TTATTACTATTATATATAGCGAGGGAGATAATAGGTCTATATAGGCTATTTAAGTAGATATAGTTTAATCCGGAGTAATAGCCTCGTATTCTCTATAATAACTAGTAAACAGTAGGACTAATCTAGAAAGAGAGACCTTAGCTAATATCTAAACTAAAGTATATCGATATCTATAATCTCTAGCTAAAATAAATCTATAAAGATAGTAAAGTTATAGTAAGCTAGGTTTAGACTAAAGATATACCTTTAGATAGCTTTATAAAACCCCTATTAATAGAGAAAAACAATTACTTTATAAAGTAGTTAGGCTTAGTCGATCTTTCTATATAGATAGATCTAAGTTATACTTTAGAAGAGGAATATCCTTAAGATATATAGATATTATCTAAAGTAGAGTAAAATCTAAGAGGGTATATCGTAGGCTAAGGCACTTTAGGAACACTAGTCGAGAGTATAGAGTACGCTTACTAAAATACTAGATAGTTAAGCCTAGTTTACTTAGCTATAGACTTAGACAATAATAATAACATTACTACCTTTTATTAGTACCCACTTTTATCCCCATCTTGCATCACTTTACGCTGGTATAAATGTAGTAATTACTAGTAGGTAGATGCCGAAATAATCTCCACTTTAACTTCTATGCTGGCCGTAGCTCACGCTAGCGAATCTGCGGCTGGGCGAATGTTAAGACCACCCCTTCCTCTATTCACTCCCCAGAACACACATCATCGCAACAACCAATCAAGTCGACAATGGATCCCGATGCCCCTCCACAACCCCACGACTGGCCCTCAATCTGGCGCTGGGTCCTCGGCTTCCTAATCGTCGGCGCATGCTGGGGTTTCACAACCCCTTTCATGAGACGAGCCGCCGTGGAACGAGACAAGAAGCCGCAACCGCCGAGACCATACCTCACCGATCCGAACGTCTCGTGGTTGAAGAAGAAGTTCTGGGGCATTGTGTATGCGGTCTTCGATCTCTTGCGGAATCCGAGTTATGCGGTGCCTTTGCTTTTGAATGTTACGGGGAGTGTGTGGTTCTTTTTGTTAATTGGGCAGGCGGGTGAGGGATTGTGATGTTGTTTAGGTGCTGTGGGAGATGTGCTGATGGCTTATAGAACTGAGTCTTACGGTGCCTATTACTAACTCTTTGGCCTTCCTTTTTACGGTGTTGGGAGAGTGGTGGGCGGAAGGGAAGACCATTTCACGAGGTGAGAAAATCCAAGCACGTTAATATCGATTCCTTGAAGCTCATGTGCAAATGCAGACACGTGGATCGGAATGGCACTTGTATTGGGCGGCATTGCTCTATGTGTCCAATCGAAGACGGCATCTTGATGATAATGCTATTGCAAACTGCCATAGTCGATTTTCTGAGACGATCCGCACCGTTCGGCATGGACGCACCCTCCATCGAGTGTTCAAATTCTCGAGTCCGTGAAAGTGCCTCGACTGCTGGTGTCATACTGTTCATATCAAGCTGCGTTCTTGGCTCTACCTGGGCAGTCTTTCAGAAAAAATATATCTCCGTGATGGACGATGAAAGAAGCACTTGTCACCATTGAGAGCATGGTTGACAGTTGACGCCAAAGATGGCAAACGCCAAGAGTGGATCGTGGAGGCGTGTTGGCGCAAAGTCTAAAGCGACGCGCGACTCCGTATGACGTTGGTTGTTGATCTTGCATCACTAAGAACTGCATCCTTGAACCTGGTTTCTCCCCTAACAACAAACACCTACTACAGAACCTGACAGTCATGGGTGCCAACAACGGGGAAGCAGCAGCATCAGCACAGCAAAGCGGTCAAAATGGCCCCTCTGACGAAGAAGTTCGCCAACACTCGGCGGAGGCAGCCCAGAAATCGCTGGAAGCACAGCAAGCTGCGTATGAGCTCAGGCAGGCGGCCAATGGAGCTGCCGACCCAGAAGAAAGACAAAAGCTGCTCGAAGAAGCACTGGACAAGGAGATTGCAGCAGAATCATTCGGCAAGACAGCAAAGTATCTCCGATCGGGGACGTTTCAAGGCTTTGCTGTAGGAACTGGGATGGGTATTGCTCCTGGAGCTTCTCTGGGAGCTCTAACAGGCACTCTTGTCGGAGGAGTCACGTCGTTGATCACGGGCGGTCTTGGTGGAGCTATTGGTGCTGTCACTGGCGCTATACATGGACCATTTTGGAATATGGGTGAGATGACCGGCAAGGGCATCCAGAAGATCACTGGTAATCTGCCTGGGTGGAAGGCCACCTGGGAGCAGAAACAGGCGCTTGAGCGAATGATTACGGATGTCAAGAACCAGGACATGCCAGAAAAGGGGGAGCTGGAGAGTATGCAAAAAGACAACCCTGGAAAGACATGGGGTCAGGCTGCATCATCGTGGTGGCCATCGTGGGGCGGCAAGTCGAAGAAAGGCAAAGATGGGTCTGACGGATCAAAAGTCAACAGAGTCGATGAGCAGAGTGTTTCCAGACTTCAAGAAGCCCAGTCCAGAGATTACCAAGAACGTCACAGGCCAAAACCCGCTCCCGCCAAAAGTCCGGCGGGAGATCTTCAGAAAGCATCTCGTGCTCAAGAAGATACCAACAGATCAACAACACAACAGACCGGCCCGCAGACGCCTCGCAAGAAACCACGCAAACTGGAAGTCAGGAAACCGCCAGCCAGTGAGGCACCTGATTCGAATAAAGAGAACAAGGAAGCGCAACCGGTCAAGAAGAAGCCACGCAAGCTGGAGACGAGATCGAAGCCTGTTCCCACTGCAGGTTGAAGATGTACCAAGGATGGACATTGACAGCCTGGATTTCGGATTTGGTGCTCACTCTCATCCGGAGCAGGTCTTCTTGGTTTCCTTATGGCCGTCGAGCAGATCCGCAATCTCGACCTTCGCGCCGCGCGGACGCCGAATATTTACAAGACAGTGGCTTGCCAAGGCTTCATCGATCAGCAGCATTGCTCGCCGTTTTCAGGACAACGAACGAGGCCCAAGACGTCGGTGTCGAGAGGATGACACATGGTGTACCGGAGGTTAAACGACGACGCCTCCGTTTCCGACTTCACGCCAAGTCTCTGAATCTCTGGCTGTCGATATAGATAAAATGTCCAGCAAACACATCATGGAACAGGGATGCCTTATCAAGGTGGACCCGTCGAATTCTCCCACTGCTGCAGCTGCACGTTTCTTCCACTACACAATAACGAAACATGGTCAACATCGCGATCGCTGGGGGCAATGGCCTCATAGGACGTACTATCAAAGAGGTATTGCAGGAACAAGACAAACACAAAGTCTTCACCTTGACGCGCCAGGTATGTCTATGTGCCATTGATTGACTTGGAATGATGTTCGCTAACGTTGAGGTAGGATCCTGATGCATCAGATCAGCGTACCCTCAAGGTCGACTATCAAGACGTGGAAGCAGTGAAGACGGCCCTCGAGCAGAATGACATACATACCGTGATCTGTGCCTTTACCATGGAAGGTGACGCTCTTCAGACTTCGCATCTCAGTCTTATCGAGGCGGCGTCGAAAAGCTCCACCACGAAACGCTTCGTTCCGACTTCGTTCGCCATTGCATATCCCAAGGAGTATGTCCAGCTATCGGGTCCGGTGAAGCGCGTCGCTGATAGTGATGGTGTAGAGCAGTTGCCCTTCTCCCGACGTTGGAGTACTACTTCCAAGCCTTAGACCGGCTCGAAGCGTCCGAGTTGGAGTACACCGTCATCGTCAATGGGATGTTCCTCGACTACTTCGGCATGCCTCACATCAAGACACACTTAACACCACTCGTCATGGTTCTCGACATCGAAAACCGCGCGGCCGCCATCCCCGGGTCCGGCGACGTCCCCGCAACATTCACGTACAGCTACGACGCCGCACGCTTCGTGGCCGCGCTCCTCGACCAGCCGCGCTGGAGCAAGGAGAGCAAAATCATCGGCGATACGGTGACGTGGAATGAGTTTCTGCGCACGGCGGAGGAAGTCACAGGTAAGTCACACCTGACTGATGCACGTGCATGCGAGTGTTCTCGGGCCCTGACCGTCCGTGTGTCTCCGCGCGCGCAGGCGAAAAGTTCGATGTCACCTACGACTCGATCGAGAAGTTGAAGCGTTTCAAAATCACGGAATTGCCTGGCCATGGCAAGCTGTACGACAAGTATCCGAAGAAGGCGCTGCAGTGGTTTCTGGCTGCGTTTGAGCTGATGACTACGGATGAGACGAGCTATGTGTCGCGGGATGGGGCGTTGAATGGGGTGTTTCCGGAGATTCAGCCGCTGACTGTCCGCGAGATGGTGACTAAGTGTTGGGGGAAGTGAAATGCCAGTCATCACATGCCACCGGGCATTCGGGTGCTGGAAAGTGAAAGTCAGCGGTTGAGAAGGTTGAAGACGATCAGCTGCCACCGGAGTCCGGCAGTTCAAAGCAAAATCGGAGGGCGAAACACACTGTCGTCGCGTGGTGTGTGTGTGACTCTGATGAACTACGGACGGAGCAGGGCGGAAATGCGATGTTTTACAATCAAATGACCAAGAAAGAAAGGAAAAAACCAGCACGATCTCGTAACGCAAGGGAAATGATGAATGCAACGTTGATGGTTTTTTCGATGTGAGATGTTGATCGTAGATTTCGCTCGGGACGCATGTAACGACAAGTTCCTTGATGGAGATTCTTCCATGCCGGTCCGAACGAACGGACATGTCGCAGCATGTGGCTTCATGTGGGATGATGAGGCAGCGGGTAGTCAATTGAGCCTTCCACGCTCCACTTCCTTCACCTTCGCAAGCCACGGGACCGGAGGATTCAAGGTCCATCTCAATGCGAGATGAAGTGGAGGAGAAAATGGAATCCTTTGCGACGCGACCGACCACCAGGCAGAGAAATGCGAGAAGAACGAGCGAAGGAAAGAATAGTAACACGCAGTAGTGCTAGTATGCAGCTCGCTTTCCTTGATGTGCTAACCGAACGAAACCACTGAACGAGGGCGCAGCACGTCGGGCTGAATACCTACCAGCGACGGACAGGGCAGCAGAGCCTGAAAGGCAAAGTGATAGGCATTGGAGAGCGTGGAAGTGAAAAGTCAGCCCTGGGAGACGGTGCGTCGAGGAGGTGGTGAGGCGAGCATTTGGAAGCACCTGCGAGCCTTCCATGCATGAGCGAGCTGCGAGCGGCTGCGTATGATGAGTGTGCAGGTGTCTTGGTCAGATGCTGGTGAGGATTTCGACTAATCGTAGCTCTCGTTCTGCCTGGCTGGCGAGTGAGAGTGAGTGAGCTATACGCGGACTCTGGTTTTGCGTTTCATCGCATCGTGCAGCACAGCACAGCTGCTCCTTGTCGATCAATCTTACTTCGTCGCGGGTGATGAGTGATGGGTGGTTGAACCCAATTCGATCCGGCTTTGATGCATGTGTAGGAGTGGAGGTACTGCTGTATCCGCGGGATTCGAAGTGTGAGCGAGAGAGAGGAAGAAAAGAGTCCGGATGGCTTCGGCGCCGCTGGGCAGGGACTTTCGGACAGAGTGGCAGGGCTGCCCCGATGCAGGATTCCAGTCGCAACGTTCGAACCGAAACGCGCGCGACATGCGACGTACTCGCTTCAGCTTCAGCCGGCAATTTGGCTGCCTTGCGCTGGTGTGAGGCTTGGTTATACGCAGCTTTGACTCGACGCCCGCTCTTGCCGGGTGCTGGTCATGTCATGTCAGGCATACTTAATACTGAGGTGAGCGAAGCTTCGTTTTGTTGTTCAATCCCCGATCTCATACATCCACACCAACACACACGGCGACTATCCAACAACATAAGACCCATCCTTCCCGCTGCCCGACGTCCCTGTCTACAGTACCTACCCTACCTGAAGGAGTATATATTCAACCGACACCCTCACCCACCTTCACCATGTCTACCTCTACCACTTCATCCTCCTCTTCCACAACATCTTCCACCCACAACCCCAACTACGGCTGGGAACAACACTTCCTCGACAAGTTCATCCAAGCTTCCGGATCTTCTCGCTCTTCCTCCCCGCTCTCAGGAAGGTCTTCTCTCGATGGGTATCGTTCAGCGACGCCAGCAGGCGGCTCAACACGGAGCGACGGATCTGCGAATCGATACCCTCGCTCTCAGCAGCGACTTGGATCCGCGCCGCCGACCAGCTCCCCGAGGACTTGAACTTGCAGCACATACAGCAGGACTTGAGAACTCCACTACCACAACCACATCTTCGTCACCGAGTACAGACGACTCCTACACCTTTTCATCTTCAAAAGAAGAAGATGCATCCGTAACATCCCCCAACAACCGCGACAGCTACTACACGCCCTCGTCGGAGCGCCACGTCCGCTGGTCCGCCGAACTAGCCGAGATCATCGACAGCTCGCCGACAGCCTCCAAGAACCCTCTGCAGAAACTCTTGCATCGCCGGTCGTCGAGTGGTGGTGGGAGTGCTACTACTACGAGCAGTTCGCATCATCATCATCACCATCACCAGGGTGGATTGTTGGTCTCACCTAATCCGGCCGAGGGATCGGAGCGGAAGCAGGGCCGAAGGATCATGACGCCGAGGGATGCTGTCAGGAAGGCGAGGAGGAGTGTGTGATTGGATTTGGGAGAAGGGATCTTATCATGTCGGCTTACGGGAGAGGTGTTTTGAGGGTACTACTGCTGGGAATAGGGAATGGGGATTGGGAGGCAATTCGCGATCTAGGGCGTTTTGAAAGGGCATCTCACTCATCATTGAGGTTGGGATGGGAAAGGCGCATGTGAATGGATGGATGGACGGATCACCATCGCTTTCATCAGAGGGAAAAGGCGTGGGTGGGAAGAGTGACAGACAGTCCTCGCGAAACAGACACTGCGGGCCTGACCTGTCATCGTTACGAGATCACGAAAAGTACTATTATCCGAAGAGCCAGCTCATCATCAGAATAATCGGAGCAAAAGAGCTCAAGATCGCATAATCCAAACTACCAATACTACTACTCATCACCCACACACCCATCCACACATGCACACCTCTCATTTGACATTTCCATCCCGCTCTCTCTCTGGCACTTGCCTCATTTTTCACAGCCAGCACATCTTAAATATTCTCTGTGTTGTCACATGCATATGCATCTCTCAAGCCCCTCCAACTCCACCGGGTGTCTCCACTCGCATCAGCGGCTGAGATGAACAACACATCACAAATCTCACAGTAGTACTTAAAGCAAAACTACCCGACGGCAAGGAAGCGACGAACCGGCTCAGGGTACTTGCACATGCTCAGGGTACATGACACGCTGCGAAAGAAAAGTATCAGCAAGCCATGGACGGGTGTGGCGGATGACTGATGGATGATGGGGTCAGGGAAGGGAGAAGGGAAGGGAAAGCTACTAACAGTTGTGTGTGGGGCTTGGTTTTAACCCATGTGAGATGGTGTGAGATATGTGTGAGCACTGAGATACCTGATAGGTATGGACACGTAGTAGAGCGTGGTTGCTTATCGAAGGCTTTGTCAAAGATGTAGGGTGCGGTTGTGGCTTTCTTTCATGCACAGGACATATGCTTTGAAGGATATGCTTTTCTCCTCGGTTGTCTTGCATGGATCTTGCTGCTGATGAACGTCAACGAGGGTTCGATGTTGATTGATTTACAGATCTCAACAAACATCTTATTATCTCCTTCGCAAATGTGGGGGAAAGGAAGGTAGAAGTGTCAATTTCATTCACTCACATCTCATCCCAACCCTTGCCCCTTCCCAACCACCGGAAAAACACAGACAAAACCATCTTGACTCGCTCCACTGTCATGTAGTCCCAATCAGTCCCACGAGAGGGGCCCCGGGGTGATGACTCTAGTGTTGGTAAGGCAATAATAGTCCCTCTCATTCACTCACTCGCTGCTCACCATGCAGCATCCTCCCCCATCTGCACCCAATCCCAAACCATTCCTTCCCTCCACCCCATTGGATCGCACATGCTCTTCGCTTGCCATGCAGAGGCAGACTCCGTCTTTCCTTTCCTTTCCTATTCGAAACTCCTTTCGTGATGTATACCACCTTCGTACAATAGAGCTTTCCATCAAGGCGTTCGGTACGTCGTCAAGCCACGCATACATATAATGACCAAGAAATCGCCCCGTCCCTCTCAAACACCCTCGCTCCACGGCCGAAGCTTTCTTGAACGAGTAGTTTTGTACTTTCCCTTTCCGTCGTGGATGAGGAAGACACGTGGGAAGGGCCAGTGACGAGAATGAGAATAATGGGCCGAAGTGGAGGAGAGGAGAATCGAAGATGTGTACACTGTATGCATCGTGTCTCCAATCTTCCCGTCCATTGCATCTTCGGCCATCGTCCTTGATGAGAGATGAGATATGCATGCATGTAAGTAGCATCCGCAGCCTCCCGGTCCATCCAGGCCTAGCATGTACTATAGCTCTCTTTTCGTGCATGTTTCAAACCATCGCGTGGTTTGCCGAACGATGGGATTGGGGTTGAGGCTTCATCGATTTCTCTCCGTGGAAATGTTGATTGTTGAGTTGTTGAGTTGTTGAATGCAACATCATTCGGAATTCCTTCATTAGTTGGTGGTTGGTTTTTCGACTGATGATGACCTGCTTCGTCTCTGTCAGCAGAATGATGACTTGCAGCTGAGATGGTGAAGGTCATCTTAGTCACCTATCATTCATTCATTCAAGTGCTGATGGTTTATCTGACTGACTTCGTACCGTCTCGTCCAGCTTCTCACTCGGATTATGGTTCTTGTCGATGTACACTGTGGAAGGAGGTCTCACCACGAAGCGGAGTTCCAAGTCTTGTCTCATGTCGCTCTCTACCTTCCTTCGGCCGTCAAGTTCACGGGATTCCGAGTTCACGGATCGAGAGGAAGTTTCTCTTCTCGAATGGTGTCAGGGCGATGAAGTCGGGGTGTAGCAAGCGAGGATCGATACATGTAGGCTGGAAGAGGATATCGTCGTGGAAGAAGTGCACGTGCCGATTCCTGAAAATCCGTTAACGCTGCGAGACGACAACAAGGAAGCGACGTCCAACGTACCTGCCTGAAATATCCACCAACAACTCCTCGCACATCAGAGAACCCTCCCACTTAACCGACCCAAAAATTGTGAAAAAGAGAATGAAGGACTTGAAAGAACAATATCGATACAAATGTTCTAGTATCTGCCCCTACTTTTCTTTCATCAAAGAAGAAATGTCTAGGTTGCAACCGACCAGAACCAGCTTCGAAGAACTTTGGTATCCCCTTCTCTCTCTCTCTATCTCTCTCTACCCGACGCTTCGCGGAGCCCAAGAAACAAAGGAGACCATCCAACTCCGCTCGCCAAGAATATCGGAACTCATTTCTTTCCCTTCGTTCGAGAGTTGGTCTACGCCTGCCAAGATGTATGCGCCGCTTCTTCAGCGTTGACGCCGACGCGGTCCTTGCCGGGAAACCTGCTCGCGTCACAGGTTGAGTTTGAGTATCATATGCCATGCCATCATTAAATCTTTCTTTCTTCCTCTACCTCTGATCCGCCACAATGCCTAGATAGGCTCTTTCTGATCGTAACGCTTTGATGACTCCGCTCATCTCAGTGGATCCGGGGAGCGCTCCAGCTTTCTTGGGTCGTCACGACGCATGATGCTCTCCACAGGACCGAGCAGACGCTGGAAGCCGTCCTTGCCAAGAGTAGCCACTTTGACCTCAGTCTTGCTCTGAACGCTCGCAGCGCGCGGCTTGTCGTCCAGAAGCGCCAATTCACCAAAGTAGTCGCCAGGCTTGTACTGCTTCAATGGTTTGTCCTCACGTCCGCGCTTCACAGCCTCTGCCTCACCAGATTCCAGGATGTAGAACTTGTCACCAGGGTCGCCCTCTCTGATGATCGCGCTCCCTGCAGGGTACTTGACAGTCTCCAGAGCATCGGCAATCTTGCTTCGTTCGTAAGGTGTGAGCGAGGAAAGGAGTGGTACTTCCTCCAAGAATGACTCGTACATGCGGCGGCGCTGGAATGCAGAGTCCATCAGAATGCGGCGGAAGGTGATGCGGTCCAGTTGCCAGAGAATGCTAGGCTCTGTGCTGACCACCGTCGCCGCACGCGGTGCGTTGTACATGAGCGCCAACTCGCCGAAAGATGTACCAGGTCCTGACGAAGCCACCTTTTCACCCAACCCCTCTGGACCAGACTCCACCTTGCCCGTCTTGGACAGGTAGATATCAAAATTACCTGATTCCACAACATAAAAGTAGTCACCGGCATCTCCCTGCACAATCACGCGAACATCCTTCGCAGGCACTTTCCTCTCTTGAAGGGCACCAAGCACTTGCGCAGACTGCTCGTCGTCGAGGTGTGAGAAGAGGAAGTTGTGGGAAACGGCCTCTCGCAGGCGATTGATCTGGTCTTGGGTCTTGGGGAAGCTGGGGGCCTTCCAGTTTGCGTCATCCGCAGATGCTGGGGCCAGCGACTCAGCCGAGACTGAAGTGCGGCGATTCATGTTGTAGTTGTTGGGGAAGGAGTCTTGCTGAGACATGGCGCCGGCGGTGACAGAGGCAGGCGGATTGGTGCGGTTTGAGCTAGCAGGTCCAAAGCCAAAGTTGCCAAAGGTTCCTCCAGGCGTGCTGTTGCTGTTTGGATTGGCGTGAACGGTACCAGGAGAGGCGTCGCCGCGAACGTTGGGGGGAAAGGAGGAGGCGGTGGGCGACTGGAAGTCATGCTCCTCCTCTTCGGCGACGGAATGCATTGCGGGCTGCTGGTTTGGGGCGGTCGAGGTCGCACCGAAGGGATTGTTGCCGGGGAAGTTGCTCTCGGCCATTCCCGGCTGGCTGGAATGTCGCTGGGAGAGGAGGAATTCGGCGCGCTGGGACTCCAGACGGCGGGCGAAGAAGTTGAAGCAGGTCTGGAGGATGTCGCCGGTGGGGTTCTTGAGGATCTCGCGGTTGAGGGCGGCGATTTCGTTGGTGTAGTCACTGGGCAGCGACATGGGGGGTGCCGCTCAGCGTGTCAGCGTGTCAGGTTGTGCGGTGCGGTGGAGCGGGCGGTGGTGCTTGACGTCTCGTGCTGGCGTGCGGGATGGGGTCACGGTGTGCTGCAGGGTACGAGAGTGGAGTCCTTGACGTAGCTGCGCCTGGGATGGCCTCGCCGCGCGAGCGACTGCTGGCACAGGGATGGGCGGGCAGGCGGGCGTGTTTGTGTGGCCGTGGAGCGCAGGAGTCAGTGGACGGCGGCGTTACTGTTACTCTCGCACAGGGCGGCGTCAGGGTCGGTAGCAGTGAGGGCAGGGTGGTGGTTGTGCAGACAAAAGGAGGCAGGCTTCTAGAAGGGACGCAGAACACGCATCGACCACGGCTGGAGCTGCTGCTCGCTGCTGCTGATGACTGGGAAGCTCGTCGCCGCTGTTTCTTTGTTCGTCGACGGCGGGAGCATCCGTGAGGCGGGGAAGCTTTTCCACTTCGACATTGATGGCCTGAGGCTGCACAGGCAAACATTCACTCAGGCCATCACATGTCGATGTCGTCTCGTGCAAACACGCAGCATTCACGGTTTCACCGCATTGCCAACGAGATGGTGGTAGATTGATCTAGATTGCTGCCCAAGTAGATGAAATTCAGAATACTTCGCGGTTCGAGCTCCACCCCGACGTCAGACAGCACGCACAAACGCACAGCTTCCAGCCCCAAGCTCCAGTGCGCCAGCCACTCTGCAGGACCGCCTCGTGCATTTGATAATCGCGAGACATCTCTGTGCGACGGCGCCTGTGTAGCCCGACCATTTTCACTCTCTGCGCAGCGTCTCCAGCGTTATCGTCGACCTCAGGCGCGACACCGCCCCATTCTCGGCCTTTTCCCCGCTCCAGCACCCGAGTCGCCAGCGCTAGCAGGCGGCCGTAATCAATCGAGAGCGAGCGAGCGGCGTGACGACGAGCCCCCAGCAACACCCTCCACTCACACACAGGCACCCTTCCCTCTCCCAACCTTGCTGTGAAGCCTGCTCGACCCAGATACCTCCTCCTCCGCTGCGCTGTCGTCATACCATTGTGCGTGTCACACCCGTTTTAATACCGCCATGGGGAGCTATACCTTTCGCTGGTACGTCGCTCGCTCGTTCCCAACCTCCATCCATCACCCGCTCAGCTGCACATTCAATACGACACACCAGCAGGCAGCGCGATTGGCATATTATTGGTCGCGGGCTTGTGCGGCCAAGCTGAACCCACTTGCTGACGTCTCATTCAAAGGGAACACCCAGCTGAGGAAGTCTACGTCACCGGCACCTTCGACGACTGGAGCAAAACCGTCCAGCTCGACAAGAAGGACACCATCTTCGAGAAGACCGTCAACCTCAAGCCGACCACCGAGAAGATCTTGTACAAGGTACGCGCGAATCGCATGTGAAGCGCGACGGGTAGATGATGCACCTGCTGACTGACAAATCAACAGTTTGTCGCAGACGGCGACTGGAAACACGATCACACCGGCAAGATCGAGACCGACGACAAGGGCAACGTGAACAACGTGCTGTACCCCGACGACATCAAACCACCCCTCTCCATGGCACAGCAGACAATCTCTGGCGTTGCGCCTGGCGCGACCACAACTGAATTGGCAGGTGAGCAGCCCCTTCAGAAGGAGAACGCTCCTCCAGGCGCTTTTCCCGAGACTCCAGCGGTGGATTCGAAAGAGAGCGAGGAAACCGGCGGCTTTGCTGGCGCGGCAGCAGGCGCGGCGGCAGGCGTTGCGGCAGGTGCTTCCGCCGTCGCTGCATCGGCCGCAGCAGCGCTTGGTCTGTCGAAAGAGAAGCAGCCACAAGAAGAGCAGACCTTCTCCGTAAACCCCATCCCAGCCTCGGAAGGCGCAGGCAACCCAGTCAACCTTCAACCGGGCGAGAAGGTCCCCCATCCGTCCACCATCAATGCCAACACCGTATCATCCAGCGTCCACGACGATCCATCGTTAAAGAGCAGCGAACAGACACTTGGCGTGGCACCTCTCCCTGCGACAGGCGGCATCGGTAATCCAGTACATCTGCAGCCCGGTGAGAAGGTCCCAGACTCGAGCACCCTCACTACAAACACCATCAACAGCAACGTCAAGCTCGACCAGGCATCCTACGAGAAGAGCGACTCTGGTGCTCCACAACTGCCCCCAGTGTTGACTCCAACCAGCGAAGCAGAGGCGGCTGGCACTACTGCCATGTTCGGTGGACTCGGCCCTCAGACTTCCAGCGTCATTCCAGAATCCGGCGGGATGGGTATCGGCAAGAACGCTCCACCACCAATCGAGTCTCAGGACACTGGACCAGCTATGTCCTCGGTCGCACCGACCAGCACAACTAACCAGCTTGCAGGCTTGCAGCCAAAGGAGCCACGAGGTATTCCTGAGGTGGTTTCTGAGAGCCAGCAGGAGGCGCATGTCGGCCCTGAGGCTGCTGGTAACCCTGTTGCTGTTCAGGAGAAAAAGGAGGTGGAGAGTGAGCTCAAGGCCAAGGTGCCAGAAGAGAACGCCGGAAGCGAGAACACTGGTGGAATTACAGGCGCTGTCGCTGGAGGCGTCGCAGCTGCTGGTGCTGCAGTGGCGGGCGGCGTGGCTGTCGCCCGGCAGAAGGCTGAAGAGCAGACGGGCAAGGATCCAGTCTCGGTACTCCCAGAATCGGTGCAGAACAGCATCAACAACAACACTACCACGAATGGAGATGCGGCCCGGGAGACCGCCAGCGCCGTACCAACTGAAGTGAAGGAATCCCAGAAAGACGCTCACGTCGACCCAGAGGCAGCTGCAAACCCAGAGGCCGTCAACGAGAAGAGCCAGGTGGAGCAAGAGCTGCTGAACAAGGTCCCAGAGTCACAGGAAGCTGGCCAACCTGCCCCGACCATCGCCGCTGCTACTTCTGCGACCGCTCCTGCAGGTGCACCTACTGCATCTGGCGCACCTCAGCTTGCCGATCCCGTTGGTGCTGGCCTCGCCCCCATCAGCATGGACGACAAGGGGTTGAACGCATCAGCTGCCACGCCAGCCACGGTCCCTGGCCAGGCACCAAAGGTGGAAGATAGCCGCGATGTCAGCCCAATGTCAAAGCCCACCACCCAGACGCAGCCTGTGGTCACGACTGGCGCTGCCGAGAGTACCGCTCCAACCACATCCAAACCCGTTGGCACTCCACGCGACAAGAACACGTCTGCGAGCACGCCACAGAAGCGCAACTCCATCATCGACCGACTCAAGGGCACGCCAGAGTCGTCCAAGACCACAGGTAGTGAGGGCAAGAAGAAGGGATTCTTCAGCAAGATCAAGGAGAAGCTCAAGCAGTAGTTTGCTCCTTCTTGTCCCTCCATGTGTTCATAGCAGCTGTGCTGACATTGATGCGATAGTCGGCGAAGCAAGAAAACCGGGTCGAGCTGTTTTGGCAGGCACAGTGATGAGAGTGGGGTTGTGATTGTTACTGAGTCTGGCGATGAAGTTGTGGGTGAAAGGCACGACGGCACTCTCGGTGTCGACGACCCGAAGCTATGCGATGAAAGTGATGATTCGATCACAACGGTCAGCGTAGTCGCGGACAGTCCACCTCGACTGTCTCTGGACTTCGCCGACGACGACAGCGCGCGCTGGGACGGCAAGACCGAGTGGCCATCACTGCTCAATCTCGTCGCCGTGGTGTCGACCTGAACCTTGCTTCATACGACTCTCGCTCTTGGATTGTGGATGGGACTTTTTGGAACATACTGGCTGCTTTTGACTGTTTGCTGTTGCATTGATACGGGTTCTGCATTACATGAGAAAGAACAGCAGGTTACACTGTGGCTGCTGCTACTGGCTTTATGTGTGTTGCTGCGTTCGATACCACTTTCGCGCGGGGAACTCTTCTCTCACGGGTCTTTGTTGCTTTTTGGGTTCTGTTCTTGGTTGCTTCATGGGTGGGTGTGCGTTCATATAGGTACAGAGAAGGTTCAAAATGGAAGTAATGTTTTGATGAAAACCGGACTGTTCTGTCTACTACTAGGAAAAGGGGGTCGACGAACGATGTCTGTCTACACCCCCCACATCTTATACCCAACCTCCCTCCCCTTTGCATACCACTCCTTCACATACGGCAACGCACAATGCGGCCCATAAATCTCCTCCTCCCACTGCGGCGTCGGCGGCTCGAACCCCGTCTCCTCCTTACACCGCGCAATCAACTCATCCATCGTACCCCCACGATCATACAGCGGCACATCCCCCTTCCCGGCCTCCGCCCTCTCGACATCCGCCCGCAACGTCTCCGTCGCAGCTACATCTACCTCCAAAGTTTCCGGCTGAATAATCACCCCGTAGTTCTCCTTCGCGCCGGCAATCGTCACGAGTCGCCGACGCACTTCCAGCGCGACGGTCTCCGCCGGCCGCGTCAGGGGGTCGCCCAGCCCGCCGCCGCCCCAGGTCTGCCATTCCAAAAGATCCCCTGGAGAGACTTTGACATGGTCGCACTTGCTCGGCAGGAGCGTCCTACTCCCATCTTTCACGCGAATGAGCGCTTTCGTGCTCCTCGCGCCGGGCTTGCCGCCCCTTACGCCCCAGGGTTTCGTGAGCCATCGATCGTCATGCAGCGAGAACTCCCCCGCGGAGAGGAAGCGATACAGCGTCCGCTGGGCATTCCCGCCGCGATGGAAACCCGCGCCTCCACTATCCGCGACAGCCTCGTTGACCTCCAACCTCACGGGGAAGTTCAGCTCAATCGACTCGGTCGGCACGCTCTTGATCGCGGGGAAGAGACAATGGCAATCCGGGCCGTCGCCCTTCGGGCGCGCGGGGACCCCGCCGAACGCGATCTGGTAGAGCTGGTACCAGGAGCCGTCGGGCTTGAAGCCGGAGTAGAAGAAGTGCGGGGAGTCGGAGAAGCCGGCGGCGGTGAGGAAGGCGGAGGATTTTTGGCCGAAGAGCGCTTGCATTATGTCCATGGTGCGGCCGAGGAAGTGCGTGCGGCAGGAGAGGGCGGCGGGGCGGACGGGTTTTAGGAGGGAGCCGGCGGGGATGTGCACGTCGATGCTGGGAGATGGGGTTAGTGATGTGGGAGGGGAGGAGGATGGGGGATACATTACAGATCGTGGAAGCCGTCGTTGGGGATTGTGTAGGGCGCGTGTACGGTGAGGAGGTAGTAGCCGATGAACATTTTGAACATCGCTGCGGATGGCTTGGTTAGTTTCGTCGTCTCAATTCAGGGGGATGGGGGTCGACGTACTCTCGCTCAGGTAGTAGTTGATACTACTCCCGGCCTGGGGACTCGTCCCACTCCAATCGAACTTGAGACGATCATTCTCCGGCTTCGTAAGTGTGCACTTCAACGCAAAAGGCCCCTTGCCATGCCCATCATCGTCCACGAAATCCACAAACGAACTCTGCTCATCCGTCATATGCTCCTCGATGATCTTCGCCACCGCGGTCCTCGTCCGCGACAGCAGAACATCCGTACTCGCCGCATACACCTTCGTGCCGAACCTTGCACAGAGCTCGCAGACCCTCGTGGCGGCGGTTCGACAGGCGGAGATGAGAGCGAGGAGATCGGAGCGCAGCCATTCCGGCTGGCGCGAGTTGCGACACATGAGCTCGACGAGGGAGCGGTTCATCTTGCCCGCTTCGAAGAGTTTCATGGTGGGGATTTGGAGGCCGTCGCCGAAGATGGTTTGCGCGTTGATGGACATGCTGCCGGGGACTTGGCCTTGTACGTCGGTCATGTGGCCGAAGTTGGCGGCCCAGCCTACTAGTTTGTGGTTGTAGAAGATGGGGAGGAGAACGATGACCTGGGTGGGTTAGTCTGGGGTGTGGACGGAGAGGGAAGGGAAGGAAAGGGAGGATAGTTACGTCGTTGAGATGGGAGACGGCGCCTTCGACTTCGTAGACGTCTGTGGATTTGATTAGCACATGTGCTGGAGAGCTGGGCAGGGGATGTTGTATTACCATTCGTGATGAAAACATCCCCCTCCTGGATCGGCTCGACTTCGTTCTTGCTGAGCTTGTAGTTCCAGATCTTTAGGAATTGGCCTATGAACGATCCAAATTGTCCGACTAGCATTTGGCCGGCTGGGTTGGTACTATATAAGACATTTGTTTAGTAGTTGCCTCATGTGCGCTTGGATGCTGATGGACCTTACATGACGTTGAACTCGTCCTGTTGCTCGCGAATAGCTGGCGACATGGAACATCGAAGCATGAGGGTATCCATCTCGGCACGGATTGATGCGAGGGAGCTGGCGATGAGAGTCGGCACCGTTGGGATGTCCTCGACGATCTTCCGGGCTTCTTCTTCCTGCGATGATAGTCAGCATAGTACATAATCCTCTAGAAATGTCATGTGAATGGCCTACCTTCTGCTCCTGCGTCTTATCAGACACGGTACTCTCAAACTTCGATTTGAACGACGGCAGCTCATTGCCTGGCATAGGGGAAATGCAGATATTGCCGACCTGATCGACGACGCCCTCGAAGCCTGGAGCTATGAGAGTATTGCTGTCCATCTCGACGATCACAGCTGGGCCTTGGACTTTGTAGCCAGCCTTGCTGATGGCTCCGCGGCTCCAAACCGTTGCTTCATGCTCTTTGCCCTGGACGACGATTGTTTTCTTCTCGATGATGGCAGTCTCAGGCGGAGTCTCGGCGTCAGCTTTGGGAATGGTAGGGATCTCGATGTCGGGCGAGGCGTCGACGACGGTGACGGTCAGACGGGTCAGTTCGATTGGGAAGTTCTCCAGGGTGTAGCTGAACTGCTGCTCGTGGATCTTGTCGAACTTCTTCTTAGCCGTCTTCTCAAACGACTCCATGTCCTGGGCGAGCTTGTCTTCGGAAAGGGTGATCCCAAGCTCGAGAGCCTGACCTTTGTAGCGAAGAGCTGCGGCATAGGTGGTACTGAGCTCAGGGGTCGTGGTATCGAGTGCCTCTTTCATGATGGTCTCGCATCTGTCCTTCAGGCCGTGAAACTCGCCCCGCAAGGTATCCATCGTCGTGCTCGTGAGAAGTTGGATGAACGACACAGACAATTCGTGGCTCATCTTGGTAGTTGCATCGCCCTGGGCACAGAGAATACCTGGTGCTGCAGGTACGATGACTGGCCATGCTCCAAGCAGCTTGCCAACGCCGTTGGCACACATGGGTCCAGCACCTCCGAAAGCGACGAGAGCAAAGTCAGCTGGATTATGGCCGCGCTCGACAGATACCAGGCGAAGGGCTCCGTAGATGGCCTCATTAGCAAGATCGATGATCGCTTCCGCCGTCTCGTATAGTGTCTTGCCCATTTCCTCTGCCAGTGTTCCGACAGCTGCTTTCGCTGCTGCAACATCGAGCTTGAACTCGCCGCCAAGTAGGGTCTCTGGCAAGTATCCGAGCACGAGGTTGGCGTCGGTGACTGTAGCTTGTGTGCCACCACGACCATAACATGCTGGACCAGGTACTGCGCCTGAGGACTCAGGACCGACACGGAGTGTGTTTGTAAGTTTGGAGAAGAATGCCAGACTGCCGCCACCTGCTCCAATGGTTCGAACGTCGACTGATGGGGAGCGGACTGCGAGGTCGCCGACCATGGTCTCTCTTCGTAGGGAAGGCTGCGAGTTGGCGATGAGGGCTACATCGGTGGAGGTACCACCCATGTCCTAGTCAAATTGTTAGACCGCATCATCTCGCAAAGTGTTCTGATCACTTACCAGAGTGATCAAGTTCTTGTGCTCGGTCGAGTTTGCAATGATACTAGTGATGCCTCGTACACCACCAGCAGGGCCAGACATCAGGATGTTGACGGGTAGCTCTCCAGCTAACTCAAGGTTCGTCAAGCCGCCATCACTCTTCAGGATGCGGATTGTAGGTGTGTCTTCGCCGAGTTTGTCTCCAAGTCCTCGCATATATCGCTTGACTTCTGGCTTCACGACAGAGTTGGCGGCAGCGGTGACAGTCCTCTCGTACTCGCCAAGTTCGGGAAGGACGTCATGCGAGAGGGAGACCTCCACGTCGTCGCCGAGCACTTCTTTGACGATCTCGCCAACTTGCTTCTCGTGTTCGCCGGATACCCACGAGTTGAGCAAGCTAACGGTGACTGCTTGCACCTTGCCCTTGACAGTGAGAAGCTCCTTCTTGAGAGCCTCCTTGTCAACAGGCTTGACCTCTTTGCCATCAACACCAATCCTCTCGGGACATTGAAGTGTTCTCTCCAGTGGGATGAGAGGCGCAGGAGGTTCCCAGTTTATCCATGATGCGAGTCCTCCAGGTATTTGCGATCTTCGCGCCACCAGAACGTCTTTGTGGCCTTCGGTGACGATGAGCGCGGCCGGGACACCCTTGCCTTCGAGGAGAGCGTTCGTTGCGACTGTGCTGCCATGGTGGAGAGCACCAAACTTGCCCTTGAAAGACTCCTCTGCCTCGATTACCGCTCTGACTTTGTCTATGCTGTTCTTCACACCGATGGATTGGTCGTGTGGCGTGGATGGAACTTTGGCTCTGTAGATTTTGCCGTTCGGAGAGAAGGCGCAGGCATCAGTGAAAGTTCCTGCGAGTGTCAGTACGCGATCGGTTGCCAGATTATCTTAGGAGCTTACCTCCTACATCAACACCTAACCGATAAGTGTCTGTCACGGATGTCGTTGAAGCCATGGTCGTAACGAAGGAAGCTGCAATTCCCTACCGACTTCCACAGAGAGCGAGAACCTACCTACACTTACATTTTCCAACATCCTGACTTGCATCATAGCTGTGTATCGATTCGGCTATCGTTATCAGTCGTAGCTACTGCCCTGCTGCCCACGAGGAGGAGTGATAGGCAACATTCTGACGCTCGCCATTGGCCTTGCCCAAGCGAGCCTGCCAGGTACACGCGCGTGGCATAGGCGATAGCAGCTATGTTTGCCCGCCATGGCGATCCAAGACAATGAGGGGTGGATGTAAGGTGGAGGACGAGCTGATAAGGGACACGTGATGAGGTCGAGATGCGGTCCCGAGGAGTGCCGAGTTTTGGCCGGCAGGCAGACTGTTCATGGGGTCGACTTCTTCCATCTCCCAGCTACCTCCTATCCTCACGCCTATCAACAGAGCTCATCCCGCCGTCGGCCAACACTGGGCAAATCCTGGAGACATGCATCCCGAACAGCTGGAAGGACACCATGTCCCTGGAGCTTGGCCGCGGCGAGGCCGTGTCCATTGCGGTCCGGCTCCGATATCGTAGGATTATCATATCATCAGCCAATTCGCTGCTCTTGACAGGAAAGGCGAGGTAACATTATACCATCTTGATCTTTTGCACGAGCAGTGTGCCCAGCCTCCAAGATGTCTATCGTTTCTCTGGCTTCGGGCGAGCCCACATGCACGCTGGATGATCTGGAGAGTATCTGTGGTTCGAATAACTTCTCAATCGAGCCTGGCAGTGTCAATGAATCGAACTTTCTCTTGTTTGCCAACAGTTTCGATGCTGTTTGCAAGGCTGTTCAAGATTTGCCAGAATACGAAGATCCACGACTGAAGCCCGTTCCCGTGGAAGGCGGCGACAGGACATTCTACAGGCCGGACGAGAATGATAATCCATTAAATGGCTGGGCACACAAGACTATCTTAAAGGCCGCGGATCCAGAATCTGCGAAAGGGCCTCTTGCAGGTAGAACAGTCGCCTTCAAGGACAACGTCTCCGTTGCATGCTTGCCGCTTACACTGGGCGCCTCTGCTAAGCATTTCCAAGACGGCAAACATCCAATCAGCACCATCGATGCAACCGTCGTCAAGCGAGTACTCGAGAGTGGAGGCATTGTCAAGGGCACGGCCACCTGCGAGAACTTCTCCGCCTTCGCGCTGAGCTTTACTTCTAATTCCGGCGTCGTTCACAATGCACACTTGCCAGGGTACGCCACTGGCGGCAGTAGCAGCGGATGCGGTGCTCTTGTGAGCATAGGAGACGTTGAGGATGCAAGAAAGCAGGGCAAAGACACGAAGACTTGCCCTCTTGGCGAAGGCGTCGACATGGCCATTGGAGGCGACCAAGGAGGCTCTATACGCTTGCCCGCCAGCTACAGTGGGATTTATGGCCTGAAGCCAACTCATGGCCTCATCCCATACACCGGCATTGCCCATCTGACTCCCATGATCGATCACACCGGCCCGATGTGTCGGACGATTGAAGACACCGCTCTCTTGCTAAGAGTCCTTGCTGGCTGGGACGGCATCGACCCACGGATGACACCAGAATCGCCATTGCAATCGAAGGTGCCGGACTATGCTTCCAATCTCAAGACTTGGATATCGTCAAAGCAAGCCAGCGAAGAATGGAACAGCAAATCTGCCGCTAAAGGCCTTCGAATTGGCATCCTCAAGGAAGCATTCGAAGTCGCCGGTCTCAATTCATCCGTCAAGGAGACCGTAAACGCAGCTGCGGAACGCTTCAAGGCTCTTGGAGCGGACGTCAAGGAGATTTCGATTCCTTTGCACAAGTACGGTGCCGCAATCTGGACAGTGGCATCAAGGCCCTCAATGCCGCACTATATCGCCAACAGGCCAAGCGACCTGTTATCACACACTCTTCCGGGTCTAGATCCTCTACCTATCGACCAAGACTTCTTTGACATCCTATCAAATCGCAACCCCGCTGTCGTCAACGTCCTCTTGAACGTCGCGCATCTCGAACGCAGGTACGGACCTTCACTGACACGCAAAGCCCACATGCACGTCCACCAACTCCGCGAAGCGTACGATCAGGCCCTCGAAGAAGTCGACGTCCTCCTGACTCCCGTGAATCCTACCGTTGGCCCTCTGCATCCCAAGGGAACGCTGAAGACCGAGGACAATCCGAACGGCTTTACTGAACAGATCATGGAACTGTTTGAGCCCGCGATTGGCAACACATTGAACACGAGCCCGTTTAATGTAACGGGACATCCGGCACTGAGCATGCCTGTAGGATGGGGCAAGGTGAAAGATGGCGGGGGAAGACTGCCTATTGGAATGCAGGTCATTGCGAAGAAGTGGGACGAGGATAGTATCTTCAAGGTTGCGAAGGCGTGGGAGATGGGTGGGCATTGGGCGGATTCGTAGGTTGGATAGAGAATGTATGATAGATCAGCTGCATCGGTGTGCATGCTTACAAACAAAGAACCTGCTTCTTGGTCTGCTCCAATAGCGCTCCAGCGTCTTGTACTCTCTCGCCAACGACAGAACGACAGGACCACGCCACGAACCCATCAGGTCTCACCAGCACCGCTCCGTCTTCCAAGACATCATATCGCCTAGCAAAGGCATTGTCACTATTGAATGCCAATTGCACAGTCTTGAAACATTTCCCTAACGTCTTCATGCCGTCGATCCAAGGTCCCCCTTTGGGACCAACGAATAACACGAAGCTTTCTCCAAAGAATTCGGAGATGGCAATATTCTTCTGTCCGTCGAACGTATTTACCAGGACGTGGTGAGCGACACTGCCTGGAGCGGCGATTGAAGTCGCTGGATCTTCGGTTATATTCGATGCGTCTAGAGGGCCGTTTGTGAAGAGCGCTTTGGAGTGGTATCGATACGCTAGTTCCAAGTGCTCGACGGGACTCTCCTTGACATTGAACTCATCGACGAGGTGAGATAGGATGGGCTCTGTGCGGTGGACGTAGTGAGCTAAGGCGTTCTCGACGGTATGCTTTGCCACTGGATATCGCTCTTCTTCGTACGTCTCGAGCAGTTCAGGGCCTGCTTTCCCCTTGAGGACGTATGCGAGTTTCCAGGCGAGATTATGGGCGTCTTGGACTCCTGTGTTGCCGCCAAAACCGCCAGATCTACACAACGATCAGCAACATCTCCCGTATGCCGGCTGTGTGCAATACTCACGGCGGCATCCTATGGGCAGCATCTCCCGCAAGAAGCACCCTTCCCTCCCTCAACCTCTCCGGCATATCAGCAATAGCCTCCCAAGTCGTCAACTGATGGATCTTGAACTCGATAGTCTCATCTCCAATCGCCGCCCTCAAATACTCATTCGCCTTCTCCATACTCGCCGTATCTGCCGGGAACCTACTTTCCTCAGACCCCTGCTCTCCAGCACTGTTGATCACGAGGAAGGACTCTTTCTTGTCTCGGTCAAAACGGAAGAAACATCGAACAACTTCGTTGGCCACGTAGATGACGCCACTGTAGTGTGCATTGGCCAGTTTGGCTAGCTTCTCTTTGTCGAGGATCTCGAAATAGATCGTCAACGCTCTGCTCAAGAGGCCGGGGCCCTGAGTTTGGATACCCAGGAGGGAGCGGGTCGTTGAGCGAAAGCCGTCTGCGCCTATGAGATATTTGCTGCGGATCTGGTAGGTCGTGTCTGAATCCCTGTTTCTGAGAGTTGCCGTGACGGAATTGGAGTCTTGCGTGAGGGAGACCACTTCCGTTGAGAAGTGGAGCGATGCTCCCAGTGCTTTTGCTTTGGAGCGTAGGAGTGGTTCGAGGGCTTGTTGCGTTAGGAAGACTCGGCGGGTTGCTGAGACGTTTTCGATACCCTTTAATTGAATGTGAGTTTAATGCCGCCCGTAGACGTTTGATTGATGTACCTCGTTCACATCCTCCAACCACTTGTGCAGAAGTTTCCCAGCCAGGCTTTCAGTGGTGATGATGCAGGTTCTTTCATCGTAGTACTTCAGGCTTTCTTCTTTCATGATTTCGTAAAGTCCCAATTCTTTGAATGCCTGCATTGTTCGAGCTTTGACCTTGTTAGTACGATGGTAGTACAAGAACACTGGCACGTACGCATCATGACCGTAGCTCTGGGGTGTATGGCAGTCGACGAGTGCTTTTCGACAACCATACACTTGATGCCATATTTAGCTAGTAGAGCTGCCAACGTCAGGCCGACTAGAGAGCCTCCGACGATGAGGACAGGCACTTCTTCAATGGCTTCTTCATTGGTCTTGGCAGCCATGCTGAAATGAATTTCGCTCGTACAGGTGATCGACCAAGGGCATTGAGAGCAAGGCCGACGTGTAAGAGGGCTAGAGAAGTTTGATCAAGGAGCAGATCGCCTGGTCTATCGCGGCTGTAAAGTAGCTCTTGCCCGCAGTGGCAATCGTGAGCATTGCCCTCTTTAGCCGTCAAGCTTGTCTGAGCTGTAGCTACTTTGAACCACGTACACAAACTGTATCTGCAGTGTGGGAAACTGGGCAATGCCTGGAATTTCGTGAGTGCTGTCGGTATCTCGCGTATCAAAAGACAAAGCTGCTGTGATCATTCGACTCGATACTTCTTAAAGTCTTTCGTGGGCACGTTTCGCAAGAACATGATGTCCAACTCTTCATAGGTCCGTCCTTTCGTCTCTGGCACACGGAAATATGCCCACGTAAGGCTGATCAAAGAGAGACCACCGTAGAAGAAGCCGATCTTACCACGCATGTTTCCCTGATCTGGGTTGATCATGTAACTATATCCTGGTTAGCGCCATCTGCACAGTACAAGGGTGGAGCCGGCTCACGGGATTGCAACTGTCATTCCAATCGCGAGAAGTGCTTGAATCGCTGTCGCTACTGCGATTGTCTTGCTTCGGACCTTGGTGGCAGAGACCTCGCAAAGAATCACGAAGCAGATCGGTCCAACGGAGAAATCATAGCAGAAGTTCCAGACGAGCATCAAGCTAGACTGAGCCCAGATTACGCTCTTATGTTCCTTGTAGTTTGGTACGCAGTCCAGGATGCCGATGATAAGCATAAGCACGACTAGAAGGAAGAGGCCTGTGTTGTAGATGACCCGCCGGCCAAAGTGGATGAGCAACACCCACGAGAACAGTGTTCCAAGGAATCCAAGGGCAAGAAAGCCGACACTCATGTCGAAGGATTCTCGTGTTGGCAGTCCGGCCAGCTGGAAGAAGTACGTTGCATAGCCGACGAGATAGATACCTAAGGATACGTCAGTACATGGTTGGCAAATGGACCCTTGTTCAATAATAATACCTGAGAAGACCTGGATTGAGTAGACTCCAACGGCTATCTCTGTGCGTCGAAGATTAATCTTCTTAAAGCAGTCGAGGTACGTGCTTCCTGCTTCCAGTTCGTGCTCAAGACGATCTGTCTCAATGATCATGGCCAGAGTAGGTTTGACATCGACTTTAGACGATGCGAGACGGCAAAGGGAGTGTTCTGCGTCTTCCATCCTGCCCTTTCGGACGAGCCACCTGAGAAATAGTCAGCTACCTCCAATTTGGCTCATGACGGTATATGTATACTTACCACGGAGATTCTGGCGCGAATGGCCACCCGATGAGAATGACTAAGGGCCAGACCCATTGAGCTGCAAAAGGCGCACTGTACGCCCAGTGAGTGTCCAACTGACTCGTCCCAGCGATCACACCGTTGGCGATTAACTGCCCCATCACGAAGCACAGATTCACATAACTGGTGAGAACGCCACGAAGTGCAACGGGGCACACTGTCTCAGTCAGCGGAATCACAACTTCGCAAAGGTTCATAACGTACCTTCGGAGGCATAGGTCGGCGCAATCGCAGCGTATGTTCCAAGAATCAGTCCGCCGAGTAGCTCACCAACGAGTAGTACTGCCAGAGATCGAGCGAAGAACTGGATGAAGATGAATGCTGCCGTGAGGATCACACAGACACCGAACGTCTTCTTCCGTCCATACCATTCCATGGGGTAGGCAGCGAAGAAAGCTCCTACGACCTGGCCGATTGGGTTACCCTGTAAGCCGTCAGTGAATGACCGTCATCGCTAATGTTCGACCTGCACTCTGTGATTACTTACCATGCTCAGGCCAGTCTGCCATGGTGCACTGATGATGTATTCGCCCTCATACAAGTACCCGAAATCTCGCTGGAAAGCAGGCGTTGCGTAGAGGTTACCAAGGAGTTGCGGATCGAAGGCCGTCATGATAATGCTGACATGCCGATCAGTACATAGCAGCATCATCTACCAAGACTTGAACATACCCAAGCGAAAAGAACAAGCTCCACCCTACGGCAGTGGGATACAACTTGAGAGCTTCAAGAAAGCTTAGATTATGTTCCTGCTCTGAAGCGACACGAGCGTCTTCTCCTGCAATGGCTCCGATAATGACATCGCCTTTGAGAATGTCTGCTCCGGGCACGTCGCCATCGAGGCTATGTCCAGTATCCGTCGCGTTGCCCATGGTGCTGGATTCGCCGATCGAGTCTGCGATCAATGGCGTTGACTCGTCTCTAGTATCTTCTGTGTCCTGTCGATACTAGTCAGTGCTTCATGAATCCGAGGTCTGAGTGTTCTGCGGTCTTGAAACCTACGTGTCTGTGAGAAGATAGGGACGAAGATGATATCGGCATGGCGACCACGCGACACCTGGTGAGAGCAGCGGATCTGCGGTATGCAACATCACGGCCTATCAAGACCCGCTCTAGTGACCAATGGCGGCAAAGACGCTATCAACGAGGAGGTACACATCCATCTGCAGGTAGGTGGTGGAGGTGAGAAGACAGGCGAGCAAGGTGGCCGACGCGTTGTTCCTTCAACGGCAATCCGGCTTGCCCCTCTTCCCCGATGCAACCTCACCTCTACAAGTCAACATCCTCCCGTAACATCAATGAGAGCCACCGTCGCCACGGTGTCAATATAGGCTGGGTCCATCAGAGTGTCGAGGAGGAAAACACCTTGAACAATTCCTAGATCAAGTCGAACGGCGCAATGACACGAATACAGAATGGAAACGCCAATGACCACGAGCTGTACAATCAAGAAGTGCACAAAGTACGTATTAAGGACTCGGAACGAGATGTTGGGACAGCGGGCCCAGAAATCATCGCCGAGGCGATAACTTACCTTCATCGGGATGGAATAGTCGTTCTGGAGAATGTCATTGATCCTTCACATATCAATGCACTCGAAGCGAAGTTAGGACCAGAAGCAGAGGAGATTGCAAGAAATCCGGACCATCATTTCAACTGGAACAAGGGGAATATGGACCAGGCACCACCGCTGATACCCGATCTTATGTTCCAAGACATTTGGGCGAATCCGATTGTGGTTTCTGTGCTGTCATCGGTCCTCGGGCCATCCCCCGTATGTCACTACGCGAATGGCAATACTGCTCTGAAATCAACGGCCAGGCAGCCAGTACATAGCGACGTCGACAAGCCGCATCCGCTGTATCCCTTCGCATACGCAGTCAACATCCCGCTTTGTGATCTCTCGGTGGAAAATGGTTCAACGGAGATTTGGGTTGGCAGCCATGGAGACAGCAATATTGATCAACACAACCAGTATGCCGATGGCGAGCATGATCTGACTATCAAGACGGAGCTTGTTGAAGAAAGGCGACAACACTCACCGCCAGTCCAGCCGTCTACGAAGAAGGGCAGCATTATTCTAAGAGACCTACGCTTGTGGCACGCAGGCATGCCTAACAAAACAACCACACCTCGGATCATGCTCGCCTTTGTGATCCAGCCAAAATGGTTCCAGGCTCCTTCGAAGGTCCTGCTTCCTGTCAAGGCAAAGAAACTGGTCCAGCAGTGGGAACGAGACGGCCTTGAGTACGCTGCCAAGTGGGTAGACGGCGATGTTGATCACAAGCTTGTGAGCTCTAATGAGGTCGACTTCAGTTCGGGGAACAAGAGACTCCTTGCGCTCGAAGACATGATGCAACCACAATTACATTAAAATGTCCGTTCTACAGCAGGTCACATAAGTCTATTCTATCGGAAGACATCATCTGTCAAGCCGCCGCAGCCGCCGCACTGCCCTTCGGCAATTTCCTGCGATCGAAAACAATCGAAGACAGCACCAAAACAAACGTTACTCCTCCGAGTGCAATGCCAATAGCATACGCATTCTTGAGACCCGCCATGTAGCTTTCAATTGCATAGCTCAGATCATCCCCAGAGAGGATTCTTCGTAGCTCAGTCGCACCTGCAGCAACGACTGCCGCAGCATCGATCGAAGGGGCTTGCCTCAAGTCCAAAATCAGCTTGTTCGTAAAAATCGACTGGCCGACGGATAACCAAATTGCACCTCCAAGGAGCTGAAAGAAGAGAGCCATTGCGGAGGCGGTGCTTAGGTCGGCTGGGTCGACAATGGCCTGTGCAACAATGACGGCCGTCTGCATGCACAAACCGAGACCGATGCCAACCATCACCTGGTATCCGATCCATTCTCCGCTGCCGCTCCCGACTGCAAGTGTGTAGATTAGGCCACTGGCAATGGTGACAAGCACGGTACCAACCAGGCTGACCAGCTGAAACTCCCCGGTTGCTGTCATGATGAAGCCAGCCACCATGGCGAAAATGGAGGCTCCGGCGACCAGTGGAATGCTTCGAATGCCAGATTGCGCCGCATCGACTCCCGAAACGACCTGGAAGTAGATGGGTAGGTAGTAAAGCAGGACAAAGAAACATCCTGACAGAATGAAGTTGAAAGCCATCATGATAGCCATGGTCTTGCCCTTCAACAGACGTGTGTTCACTGCTGCACGGTCACCTAGGTAGATCTCCACGACGACAAAAGCGGTGAAAATCACAGCAGCACCGACGAGGGTCCCGATCACATCGCTGGATGACCATGCTTTCGAGACGCCGCCCCACTGCAAGGCCAGGAGGAAGCAGATGACGGCTCCTAGGAGAAGAATGGTGCCTCCGATGTCCATCTGTAAGACTTTCTCTTTCCATGTAGCGCGGACGGGTTTGGCGTGTGCTGGATTCGTGTAGAAGAACAAGATGACGGCTGCAGCGACGCCGCCAATGGGGAGGTTTACTGAATGCACATGTCAACGATCGATAGGCCGAAAGGGTACAGAGCTTGACACTTACTGTAAAAGCACCAGCGCCATGATACGTTCTCCGTGAAGGCACCCCCAAGCAATGGGCCAATGACACTGGCGATGGCGAAGCTGGCACCAATGACGCCAAGAAGAGCCGGCGTGCGTGCTGGAGGAGCGGCCAGCCCTACGATGATGTACGAGCCTGAAGTGATACCAGCTCCTCCAACTCCGGCAATAGCACGTCCAATGATGAGCGCTGTAGAGTTGGGTGCAACGGCGCAGATCAGGCTGCCGACTTCGAAGATGAAGACAGCGAGCAAGAAGACTGTCTTGACAGTGAAGTACTTGTATCCTTTGCCCCACATCGACTGGAATGCAGCCGTAGTCATGAAGAAGCCGCTGCCATACCTGTTACACAATCAGCGTCGGAGTTCCTTTTACATCGTTGTTTCCCACGCACCAAGCAACATCGTCCAGGCTGTGGAAGTCGTCCGTGATCTGTGGAATGGCCGTTGAGATAATGCTTGTGTCGAGAGCAACGAGGAAGATCGAAAGTGCCGCAGCGCTGAGAATCAAGATGAGCTTGGCTGTCGTCGGATACACAATGGCGTCTCCATCGTTCGGTTCATCGAGCTGATTTGGTGGTGGTATGGAATTGGGGTGGCTGTCGAGCGATTCTTTGGTCGAATGTGCTTCAGAAGCATCTGCTGTGCGATCTTTCGTGTCGTCCATCGTGTCAGGTGCGATGTGTGGGTGGAATTGTTGTGCAAGAGGATGAGTACGACAGACTGCAGAGAGCTTATATAAAACAGCTCAACTCGAGACGTGCGAACCCAGCAGGTTCTCATTGAGACCTTGATGCAGCGGGAAATGGAAATCACTGGCCGTTCCGTTGCCGGTTCGAAGCCTAAATGCAGCAAGAATGAATCATATTAGTCCAGGAGATCTTTTTTGAGGAGTCAATCGCGGACGAACGCCGTTCGTCCTTTCGTCCGCGCGACGTCCTGTGGTCGTCTACCGTTCAGCTCCAGCAAGGACCATCTTCTGCTGGGAGGTGGCGAACTGAAGCCCATTTGGAGATCTTTCTCTAATGGAGTGTTGACGACCGAGCGCGCGTAACTTCGTAAGCATCGTGGGTCACAGTTGTATACTGGAATGCGCGTGGGATTGCCTTCGTGTTGTTTTCACTGACAGCGAGGCCACGACTTACCCCAGCCCTACAATTTGTCGTAACAAGTTTCGTTGGGTCTTGTTTGAGAGCAAGCGTCTTTTTGGGCTACTGAGTGGTTTGTCTCGCGAGAGAATGCCAATGCCACAGGTTTATGGCAGGCAACATTGCTACTTCTTAAATGGGCTTAGCGTGGTCTTCTTACGTCGTTCCCCACGTGAGGTCGTTGTCGGAATGCTGCAATGCTGGTCCTAAGGCACACTTCCACGATAGATATGGAGCACTCTGATTAACCGTGCTGCAGAGTTCCAGTCGTCCGTTAGTCCACACAGTTTCCACTACGAACAAGCCGTTTTCGGAAAGAAATTGATGGAGTGGCGGGTGATACATTTAAGGTTGCTGAAGTAAGCAGAGACCAGGATACTAGTGCTTCAGCCGCTTCGTCCGCGGTGCACTTCCTCTTCTTCCTCCTCCTCGTCCGTCTCGACCATGGCGTCGCCGGATCAGTACGCGGGCGTACAGAAACGTATGCGGAAGGGGACAAAGAGCTGTCTACCATGTAAGGCTGCATATGATGTCGTGGGACCTGTCCACCGCTGGATATCGTTTGCTGATCGATTCGAGCCGTTAGGTCGAAAAAGGAAGATTCGTTGCTCTGGAACGGACCAAAACAGCTCTTCTTGTAGGGAATGTATATCACGCGGAGTCGACTGTACTGCGCAAGGAATTCTATCAGAAGATGCGTCAGTGGAAAATCAACGACTGAAAGCCTACATACGTGAACTTGAATCCCGACTGGAGAACCAATCTCCCACGTCGTCTCCCGATGATATCAACCACAACGCCCTTGACAGACTTCTTGCGGATGTCAATACACCTGCTCATCGGAGTGAAGCTTCACATTCGGGACATTCGAACCTTGTGGTTAATCAACCAGAGGAAGACCTAGGATCAGCCTGCGCGCCGCTCGTGCGCTTGCTTAACAATCCCGCGCTTGGAACGACTCTCTACCCGTCGCAAGAAGAGAAAGATGGCCAGGTGTTGGACAATCACCGAGAGAGAATCTCAAGATCAGTCTCTTCGGAACGCCAGGACGCCGTACGAGATCTTTGTGCGTCCCTTCCACCCAAGGCCGAATTCGACGACATTCTCGACAACCAGAGCTCTTGGTGGCCTCTCTATCGAGACACGCTTGGCTTGGTCTGGGGTGAGGAGGAGTGCGAATCTCTTCGAGCATTCGCCTTGCAAGGACTCAAAGCTAAGCATCCATCGTTGCTGGGGATACTCTTGACAAGTCTGGCCATCAGCACGGGCGACTTACAAAGATATCTGCCCGCAGTCGAGAGACGAATCGTCAACGTGGACGAATATGCTGGGTGTGAATATGGTCTGGGCTGCTTGATGGCATTGGGACTGTGTTACATTAGCTCCCTACAACCCAGGCGCGCATGGACAATCTACAGACGAGCGAATGCTCTCCTTCAACTGAATGGCTTGCACGTACGTCGAAAGTCGGAGAAACATGAGTCTTTGTTCTGGCAGCTGTTCCATGCTGATCGATGGGTTTCGTTGATGATTGGCTTGCCGTATTGCATCTCGGAAGAATTCTGCGATGTCAGGGTCCAATCTATGGATTCTATCTCTCCCGGGACATGGCTATATCGTCAGCTCGGATTGTTGACAGGCTCGGTCATCGACTGCTTACAGAATGTGAAGGGCCCTAACTGGGCTGCAGTCCTGCAAGTCGAAGAGGATATGGATAACATCAAAGCACAGCTGCCCGCCAAATATCTCGACCTGGACGATATTCGGACATGTACAGATCTGAGTGACAAGTACACTCGACTGTATCGTCTGATCCATTTCCATCAGCTCAGAGCTCACGTTCACCTACCATTTCTACTACGATCCGCCAACCAAGAACGGTACAGATGGAATCGCGACAGCTGCATTGACGACTGCCGGCGTCTGTTAGAAGGGTTTCTGGAGGTATTCGACACCGACCCTTCGGTCGCTGCCTTTGGTACGGTCCTGAACTTTACCGCTTTTGTGGCGGCTGTGATCGTCCTGATGGGCGTGGCCTGTTATCAGAAAGCTCCTCAAGCCAATGCGGACAGCGATTGGCGGATGCTGTATCGTGTTCTGGATGCAATCAAGCACGGTGGAACGACCAATGCTGCTGGCCTTATATGTCGGAAGTGTTATGCTGCCTTGGAGCAGCTAGTATCGAGTGCTCACTTCACGGACCAGAGTGAGATCCCAAAGCGAGTGGTCTTGCCATATTTTGGAACGCTCCTCATCACCAAGCCTGTCTCCCAATCGACAACACCGGACCAAGCCACCGATGATGCGAATCAACGCCCAGAACCTCTCCAGGTGACGGAGAGTCAAAACAATTGGATGGAGAATCCACAAATGTCGGCTGCTCCAAGCATGCCTATCAATGTCAGCATGGACGGTCTAGCGATGAGCACAAATCCTATGTATACCGGCCAGAATCCGGGGCCTGCGATGTCGTTCGCATACAACGGTCCCTTTCTGCCCCAAGGCGATCCGTCGGGTTATGGATCATTACCTGTAACTGGCTCCGGCTTTGGCTGGTTCGATGATTTTGATATGGGCGCTGACTGGAGTTGGCTGACCGCTGACTTGCCGCCGATCGTTGGGAATTGAACGCTTTTATCCTGTGTGCTCAAGTCCTCGGTGCCCAGTCCCAGTTCCTACTATGGGCTGCCGGATACAGTAGCAGAGTCTCTGAGATCACGCATTAGATGAGGGACATCTCAGGCAAACTTCTTTCTGCGACAGTCCTGACAAGCGTAGGACCGGTCTCGTAGACCGCCGAAACTAGGTGCACAGTGCCTAACTTTGAGCTACAGCCTTGCAACGCATTTTAGCCTTAAGCTTGTCCACGTGTCAGCAAGACAATCCTCCATGCAGAGACATACTCGCCAGCGTTTCCAGCTTTCAATCTCACGACGATGGTAGATGGTGGTCAACAAAAAAATCTGTGTAGCCTGATGCTCGGCTCAGCCTTGCGCCATTTGCTGAGAGAACACTCGACAGCTTTGCACACCATTGAAGCTCTTCCTTTGCCTTGAACTGAGTATTCTGAATGCTCAGAAGAAGAGAAGTGAGCAGAAGAATTAGTGATGCCAAGAAAAATATATCCTGGTGAAGCTCCAAGCTCCTGCCGGCAACTGGAGGCATATGACGGTGAATGGGTCGAAGCAAGCTTGCCAGCTATTATGAACGTATCAGAGCTTAGCTTTCCCATCCAATCAGAGTCCGAAATGGTCTAGGTTCGTTGCATACCTCGTATCAATGGTCGAATCAGTTGCTAACTTTGATATAGTGGCTAGGATTTGTCGCTCTCATGAGTTTCTTGTAGACTCGAGGTCCGACAAGGCCGGGGTTCAATTCCCCGTTTCGGAATCAGTCAAGGAGGCGCATACAGCTCTCCCCAATTGTTTTTGAAGTTGATATGGTGGTTTTGGATCATTTGGAGGAGTTGTGAATTTTTTTCGATTTTGGGACCATCTAAACGATTGCCCGCCCACGACGACTACACGCAGGCTCAGAACTCGTAGATTTAGCGCTCTGGAGAGCTCCAGCCACAAATTTTTTGATCATTGGTACGTTGGTATCTTGTGATGATCGTTCGGTGCGTTGACGAATTTCGACACTCAGCTTTGCACCGAACCACCGACAGTCTTGGCACACCACCTCCACAGGGACGTGGAGCGGCTCTCTATTTTGATCTAACCACAATCTGTCGAACATCCCGATCGGCAGCATGTCGGCGAGCTCGAGTCGAGGCAGCATGCCTATCAGACAGGCCTGTTGCCCCATGGCCAAGATGATGACCCCATATTCTGGTCGGATAGGCGGTGCGGCATCGCGGGACAACGACAAGTAAACAAGTTCTTGATTATGCTTGACGAGCTAATGGCAGAACTACGCTGGCGGGATCGGGTGACGGGGAAGACGATGAAGAGTAGAAATACGCCTGACGCCCGGCGCCGGCGAGAGTTTGATCCATTGATCCATTGATCCAGCTCATTCTCGGCGAGCATGAAGACATTCGCATCTGCAGCGGGAGCATTGCTCTCGTTGACTTTCTGTTCGAACGCCTTGACCTACACAAATGTGTCTGAGGTGCCGCTTTACGGCCTGAGTCCTCCTGTCTATCCAACTCGTCAGTATACATAACATGGGGAAAGGATCAAAGCTCACGTTCCTCCAGCTGAGGGTAATGGTGGCGTCAGTCCAGAATGGCAGGATGCCTATACCAAAGCTCGAGCACTCGTCGAGCAATTGACACTTGAAGAAAAGGTCAATATGACAAGAGGACACACAGGCACATGCGTTGGAAATACGCCAGCCATTGATCGTCTCGGTATCAAGGCTTTGTGCTTCGCAGATGCTCCGGATGGGATTCGAGGACAAGAATTTGTCTCATCATTCCCAGCTCAACTTACAGTGGGAGCTACCTTCGACCGAGACCTGATGTACCGATATGGCAAAGCCTTGGGTGAGGAATACCGTGGCAAAGGCATCAATATTGCTCTCCTGCCTGTAGGAGGTCCACTTGGTCGAGTCGCAAGAGGAGGCCGCAACTGGGAAGGCTTTGGGGCTGAGTATGTTCTGCGAGCTACAATAAAGTAAACGACGATTAACACTGTGGTTGTAGTCCATTCCTGTCCTCCGTCGGCATGGGTGCTGTCACAACCGGTCTTCAGGGTCAAGGTGTCATGGCACAGATGAAGCATTGGCTGCTCAATGAGTAGGTAAAAAGAACTCTTACATGGGCAATACACACTGACATACTCCAGACAAGAATGGCGACGATTGCCAGGATCTATGGGCGAATCAATCTCTTCCAACGCCGACGACCGAACGATCCACGAGCTCTATGCTTTCCCTTTCATGGACTCACTGAAGGCTGGAGCCGTATCTGCAATGTGCAGCTACCAGAGAACAAATAACAGCTATGGATGCCAGAATAGCAAGCTTCTCAATGGCATCCTCAAAACGGAGCTAGGATTCCAAGGATTTGTGACAAGCGACTGGGACGCTCAGCACTCGGGTGTTGCATCGGCCAATGCTGGTTTAGATCTCGTCATGCCTGACGGTGGTTACTGGGGCGATAATCTGACGGAGGCTGTCAAGAATGGATCTGTCGCCGAGAGCCGTCTCAATGACATGGTCACTCGCATTCTTGCTGCGTGGTACCACATCGGTCAGAGCGATGGCTATCCTGATGTGGCTGTGCACAATTACAACGTGCAAGCTCCAATCGTCGATGTACGAGGCGACCATGCGTCACTGATCCGTGAAATTGGAGCCGCTGGTGCTGTTCTGGTCAAGAACGTCGACAATGCTCTGCCTTTGAGCAAACCCAGATTCCTCAACATCTACGGCTACGATGCGAAGACGCCAGATGCGCCTTGGACAAACCCATCTCGATTCGGCGGAGGCTACGAAGTCAATTTTGGTTGGAACACGCTGAATGGGACTATGGTCACAGGCGGCGGCAGTGGCTCGAACACCCCGTCGTTCTTGATCAGTCCCTTCGATGCCGTCCAGAGACGTGTGATCGAGGATGGTGGCATGGTCAGATGGGACTTTGCAAGCGTCAACCCAGAAACCGTGAACGTCAACACCGACGCCTGTCTCGTGTTCATCAACGCCTATGCTTCTGAGTCCTTCGATCGAACGTCGTTGAAAGATGACTTCTCCGATCGACTGATCAACAACGTCGCGGCCAACTGCACAAATACCATTGTCGTCATTCACTCTGCTGGTATTCGTGTCGTAGATGCGTGGATCGATCACCCTAACGTCACTGCCGTTGTCTTCGCTCTGCTTCCAGGCCAAGAGACTGGCAACTCGATCGTCGACGTTCTTTATGGCGATGTCTCGCCATCTGGTCGTTTGCCGTTCACTGTGGCAAAGAAAGAGGCGGACTATGGGAGCCTCCTCAACACGACTCTCGGCTCTGGGCCTTTCCCACAAGACAACTTCACTGAAGGTCTGTACATCGACTACCGCCACTTTGACAAGTACAACATCACTCCTCAGTACGAGTTCGGCTACGGTCTCAGCTACTCGAGCTTCTCCTACTCCGACTTGGTCGTCACCAAGACCAACGTAAGCACCAGCGAGTACACTGCAACGGACGCCATCATCCCTCAGGGTGGGCACAAGCAGCTGTGGGATGTCATCTACAACGTCACTGTGACCGTCGAGAACACCGGAGATGTCACTGCAGCTGAAATCCCTCAGCTGTATGTTGAGATCCCGACGGCTCCAAAGAACCAGCTTCGTGGATTTGAAAGGGTCAAGCTTGAGGCTGGAGAGAGCAAGACTGCAACATTTTCGTTGAAGAGGAGGGACCTGAGCATCTGGGATGTCTTCGCGCAAGAGTGGAAGCTTCAGAAGGGCAGCTACCCGATTTTCGTTGGAGCTAGCAGCAGAGACGTCAAGTTGACTGGATCGTTGGAGATATAGACAAGACGTTCTCGACATCACAGAGAATGTACGTCCACGGGCTACAAAACATCTTTCGATACCTGTTGACAGACTTTGATATCCCTATGATATGTAAATGTGACCCTCATATTCACCACTGAAGAACGTTCCTCTCCTTTCTCAATCATTCTCATCCTTTGATTGACTTTAATTGACGTTCCTGCCAAATTCGGAAACGCGCTAGCGGCCCGCTTCGCCCGTTGCCTGTGCAACTTCACAAGCTCACGTCAAACGTTTCTCACTCGCATTCATCCACTTTCTTCCTTCACATCACAAACAAACACATGCAAACATGGCGGCAGCATACCGAACCGACCGTCTCAAGCAAGAGAACAAAAGTAAGGCATACATTAACCGCGGCTACTAACGATTGCTCCCCTGGTGAAAGGACGTCTCCGAACTTGCAGCTGACAAACGCAGACCGCTCCGAGAGAGTGGCCTGGGCGAGAGCTCGAATGGACAAGTTGGCGACGGTCACAGACTACCTCACCGAAGAGCTTCTCAACACTGCTCCTCCGGATGACAAGATCCAACTCTGTGGCCAAGCTGCGCTTGCAATGCTTTACTCGCGGCCAGTAGAAGCTTACCAGCTGGCGCACCTCAAGATCTACACGTGGCAATATGACAACGTGCCTGAGCAATGGCGACGTCTCTATGAGGAGGCATGCCTTCACCTGGCGGCGGAGGAACTCCAGAAACTCATCATTCCAAATGGGACCGATTGCAATGGAATCGTGGGCTACAACGACCAAATCTGCGAGAGCTGCTTCTGTAGGGCCATCATGCACCTCGACAAGGCCATCTTCGTCGCAGGCGCTCCAGGCAGGAGAATCTTGATCATGGCGATGTTTGACAAGCTTGAGGCGTTCTTGGATGTCTACGGCGAGCATATCGGTCCCATCGTCCTCAACAGCCGCAAGTCAGAAGCCCTCACCACAGACCATCCCATCCAGCGAGAACTCCAGCCTCTCTCCCTGTTCGAGTTCCAGCAGCATCTCGACAACTACGGCGGTCCCATGGTCATCCACGACTCCTTCGGAGAGTGGCCCGCAACTCGACGGTGGCAAAATGCCACCTACCTCCTAGAGCGCACGCTCGGCGGCCGCCGCACCGTCCCAGTTGAGATCGGAGCAAGCTACACCTCAAAGGGCTGGACTCAGGAAGTGATGACCGTGCACAAATTCATGGAGCGATTCATCTTCCCCGAGAATCCCGCTCAAATCGGCTACCTCGCCCAGCACGACCTGCTCTCCCAAGTCCCAGCGCTGCGAAGTGACATCCTCACTCCCGACTACTGTTTCTCCGCGCCACCAGCTCCCAAAGGCGCTGCCGCCTTGACCGTTGGCCTGGACAGCAACGCAGAGCTGGGAGAGCCGCTCGTTCACGCCTGGCTGGGCCCCAAGGGCACGAAAACCCCACTTCACACGGATGCGTACCACAACATCCTCTGCCAGGTCGTGGGACACAAGTACGTGCGCTTGTACGCGCCGGAGGAGAAAGTGGAGCTCTACCCCATGGACGTGGACGAGCGCGGCGTGAAGATGGCGAATACCAGCAGCGTGTGTGTGGAGTTTGTGTCCTCGAAGGGCAAGGCAGCGGAGATGGATGCGGAGAAGGCGTGTGAGCTGGAGGAGAAGTTCCCGCGCTTCAAGGAGGCGAAGTACGTGGAGGCGATTCTGGGCCCGGGTGAGGCCCTTTACGTCCCGTTGGGCTGGTGGCATTATGTGGAGAGTCTCACCAACAGCTTCTCCGTCTCGTTTTGGTTCAACTGAGCTTGGGAAGAGCATCGGTGGCTTGGATGGGAATGAAGAATTGTGGATGAATTGTTGTTTCGAGGATTGTTTTCAGGATGATACCCTGTACTACTACCGCGCAATAGCGAGTTGAAAATGGAAGCACTGAGAGCTGATTCTTCACATCATTTCACGACGTTTACATACAACTAACTCCATCAACAGCATTCTAATACTGCCTCGCCCTCTTCGACTTCGCCCTCAGTCTCGGCCCAAACTTAAACATCACAAACGCAATCATGCTCAACCCAGTAGCCACCAGACTCAGCAAAAGTCCGGCGTACTGACTTCCCATTCCATGGAAAAACTGACTCGCAAATAGCGGCGACACCGCACCCAGCGTATTCCTCATCAGTCCCTGCCCGGCAATCGCACTTGACGAACTATCACCGTAACAATCTGCAGTGTAAGAGTATGTGCCCTCGAAGACGAAGTAAATCCCAAACGCAATGGGCGCGAGGGAGATGGTTGGTGCAATCCAGGGGAGGTAGCCGTATTGAGTGAACGAGTACATGAACAGGCCGATAGGGAGCCAGATAGCCCCGAACATGGCGCCGTAGAGGCGGTGTTCGGGCGTGACGCGGCGGTCCGGATCGTCGACAATGCGGTTGTACTTGCGCATTTGGAGGTGGTGGGCTGCCCAGCCAAGGGTGGTTCCTAGGGCGAGAGAGATGTATGGGAGACCTGAGACGCCTTCGCTCCAGCCGCGTTTCTCGGAGAAGGTGATGGGGATGACGCTGAGGAAGAGGAAGACGACGAACCAGGTGAAGCCGATCCAGAGGCCGAAGGCGAAGACGACCGGTTCGGTTGCGAGCATGCGGATGGCTTTGACGGAGGAGGCTTTGAGCATGACTTTGAGGGTGGGCGTTTCGATGTCGTCGGCGGCGACATAGCGTTCGTCACCGGTGGCTTTGACGAGTTGTTTGGCCCGTTTATGGAGGCGAGCGCCGCCGCGGGTCTCGGGGAAGAAAATGAAAATGCAGATGAGGAGTGGGATGTTGGAGATGCCTTGGATGCCTTCGATCCAGCGCCAGCCGATGGCCTGGTCGATGAAGCCGGCGTAGATGGGTGCGGCGACGGTACCGAGGATGGCGATGTATGCGAACATGGCCATGGGGCCACCGCGGTCTCGTGGCTCGTACATGTCGTCGAAGGTTCCTCCAACGAGGATAGTTCCCACGCAGCCGAAGAGACCAAGCAATGCTCTCATGACTAGTATCGTACCGATGTTCTGGCCCAGCGCAAGACCGATGAAGCAGAGCGAGAAGCACAGGTACGCGCCGGCGTAGATGACCTTTCGACCGACCAGTTCGCAGAATGGCGCCAGTACCAAAGGTGCAAGTGCGCAGGAGATGTTGAAGAGGAACAGACCGACTTGACCGATTTCCGTTGACACACCGAACTCTTCACACATGCTGTCGATGCCGGAAGAGTATGCCGTGGTCGCCAGTCCAATGAACAGTGTCATCAAGTTGAGCATCGTCGTCACGCTTCGCTTGTACCAAGGGTTCCAGTTGAATGGGTTCTCGCAGTCGCCCTTGGCGAAAGTGAGCACCAAGTATTCCTTGCCGTCCTGATGTACCAGCTCCGTCAACGTGAGTGGCATCTCACAATCGACTTCGACAAGTGGGCCATGATCGTCGTGAACCGCAGACTCCTTGTTTAATTCCACAAACGATCCTCCCACGACTCGTCCCAGTTTTGATGTGACCTTCTCCTCCCGCTGGATGGACTGTGCATCTGGCGTAACGGAATAAGGCGTGTCCATATCCTTCTCGTCTCCTTTGCTCCAAGCGCTGCCAGCTCTAGACGGTCCAGCCATCGAAGTGTATAGGTCCGTGGAAGTAGTAAGAGAGGATAGGATTGAGGAGTAGATGAGAGTTGGGGGAAACTGTGAAAGGTTTAAGAAAGAGGTTCACAACCCTACCTTTTGAGCTCGTGAAGAATGGATCCACGGCGTCCACTATTCTCGCTGACGAAGGCATATCAGCGCAGCCGCCATGCTGTCACACCTGTCGAGCGGCGTGGTTGGCACAGGTGGATGATCTCATATGTTGGCCCGGAGGTGAGATGGAAACGGTGAGGTCCACCATACCTCCGTGATCACACCGAAAGCATGCGATGCGAGATATCGCCACACTTCGGATCTCCAAGACTTTTGTGCTCCGGGCTGGGCGTTTTGTGCTGGGTGACGATGATGCTTTTTGAATCAAAAGCGGCGATTTGTAGTGTCAGCATACGTCACGGCATCGAATGCGTGAAGACTCGAGCATTTGCTGAGATAGTCAGTGGTTTAACATCGGCAAGTCCATCATCGTCGCAGAGACTTTTGCAGATACTGAGCACGCTAGTGTCCGGGCCGCCCCGCGAATCCGAGAGCCTAATGACGCTGCATGCTTCCGATTTTGGATGACTTTGGCGGCGTGGAGTTGAAAGTCGTGCTTTTCGGCCCTTGCGAAACCAGGAATCTGACGGTGTGCAACGCGGGTTGGCGGCCCATGGTCGGCGGAGGTGCTGCGGGTTGATTGGCAGCGGCAACGAGATGCCGTCTTCTTCCTCATGGAGATGCTTGTTTTGGGTCTACGAGGCCACTTCACCACGTGCTGCAAACGCTTTTTCTCCGGGCATTACGAGAGCCTCACATTTCTAAGGAAGATATGTTCGACTTCCTGCCCTGATCCGGTAGGTTTCAAGCAGCACTCTCAAGATCCATCTCTTTTGCCGTCGCAGACATCCGCGTAGAAGTCTTTGCAGCCCGGCATTCGGGGTATCGGTTGCCCTTCTCGAAACGATCCAGGTCGTGGTTCATGCTCGAAGACCCACTCCCGAGCACTCTGCAGCTATATGTGGACCAACAGGGGCTATTTCGTTTCGCTGCAGGGCTCGTTGCACGGAGAAAGAACATATCAATGGCCTGTCTCCATCTTGTGCCCGTCGAACCTTTGCGGCGTTCGCTCTTCTGTGCTTCTGACATCTTTGAGCACATGGAAAAGGTGGTAACTGAATGCCGTTGTTGCGCAAATATGTTTGCAAGCGGTTCTGGCGATCAAAACCTGGAATCAGCTGGTTCACCGCCAGGATGTTGAGGACCGTGGAGCCGACCTAGGCGAGGCGGAGGACGGGCAAGTCTCGACATCGGCGGTATGTTGCGCCAAGTTGACACGACAACACCAGAAACGAGCAGATAGCTCGGCAACAGTGCTGTACGGGAACCCCAGTCCAACACTATCCTCAGTCTGAATCTTTGCCCGAAAGCTCCCCTACAGAAGTCCAGCTGACCTCTTGGCCGCAATATCGCTCAGGTCGTTGAGCGACACTTGCATGGAGCTATTGGCGCCAATGCGAGGAATGTCGGAGTACCCTTGGGGTATTTTGATTGATATTCCGGTGCCTCCACGTTTCCGCGCCAGATGGTTTGATCTCGGGGTGCCGGAAAGCCGACCTCACCTCCCGAGTAAAATTTCGAACTGGATACGAACTGAGCAAGGAAAGGTCCCCTCTATCGCGTTGCGGTGGCATTCCAGGACTGGAGGTGAACTCTTCTCCAGAGGCATGTTTCAGACATTGGTGTTCCGACTTCGTCTCGTCTTAGGTCCGGCGTGGCAAGATCTCTTCGTAGGACATCCCATTCCAAGTCCAAAACGTCGCCCTCGACATCGAGCTACTTGGTCGAAGTCGTCGGCTTGACACCATCGTAGGCACTGATGATATCGCTGTTGAAGAACGGGCTCGGTCTCGGTGTCAGCATCGCGAGTATTTGGATGACTACGCACTTCGGTCGTACAACATTGATCTGGTTTTGGTGAGCCGCGAATGGGGCTCGCTGGCTGGTGATCAGGATCCTTGGCTGCTTCCCCAGCATATGATGGCTTGCTAAGGGTGTTTAAAAGGTTGATGTGTGCCACTGCTTGGCTGACAATCATACCAGGCCCGGGGGTGACCGAATCTTTGCTGGTCCTGATCATTGTCTCGAGCGGCGTCGGCACACTGCCAGCCTTTCACGCAGTCGGCGGTGAAGATTTCTCCTCGCGTCTGCGAACTCAAATACTCAGCGCTGGCTGGCGCAGCGGTGCAAACTTCGCAGGCGGCCTCGGTATCGCATGGCCATGTGTGTACAACTTTGCCTCGGGGAATCTGGAAGCCAAAACAAGACTCGTCTTCGCCGGTCATGTTCGCTCGCATCCATGGGAGCGTTCTTCTTCGTTCCAAAGAGATGAAAAACAAGACTCCAAAAGAAAGTGAAAGGCCGTTTGGAAAAAAAATTGTCTGCGAGCGAAATTGGGGATGTGGAGGAGGAAGAGGAGAAGAAGGTGGAGAGCGGAGGGTGATTGAACACCTGCCTCGTCTCGAGGCCGCGAACACGCGATGGACTTAATCCGTCCCGGCTAAAAGCAACGCACGGAATGTTCTTCTTTTTTGATCCACACACCATCACGGACATCGTCACGATGAGTATTTCGGGAGATGTTGTGGGTACGTTCGTGTCGGCAGATGAACGAGCTTTGTTGCAGGGCACTGCAGACTCGATGGAGCGAGCCAGTGTCGCTCGACACGACATGACCATTATCCGCATAGAGGTGGTGATCAAGCATCAAGACACGACACTGAACCTCGAGCGCAACCTCTGCCATCCCAATCCTCATCACCGACAAACATAACTCCCCGCCACCTCCGCATCCCCACCGACCAACATCGCCGTCGCCGGCCAAGCACACAACTTCCTCGTCCTCGCACTCCCATCCGGCGGCGCACAGCTCAGCACACTCTCCGGAACCTCCCCCCTCTCCACCCAACCGATCAACTTGGTCAAAATATGATACTCCGCCGGAACCTGCGGATAATAACTCGCCGCGCCGCAGTGCCCTCCCCCGGGAATCATAAACAAGCGATACCAATCCCCCACATCGCCGTGGAAGAACGACTGGATGGATTGCAGGTGCTGGATGGGGACTTCAGCGGCGTTGTAGGGATCCGCCCAGCCCTGCGTGACGAGGAGTTTGCCGCCGCGGTTGCGGTAGGTGGAGAGGTTGGGGCTGTTCTCGTCGATGAGGGCTCCGGTGCGGGCGGTGACGGCGTCGACGTCCGAGGCCCAGTTGAAGGTGGAGGTGTTATAATCAAGACTGTTGAAGACGAGGTTCTGGAGGATGGGGACGCTGAAGGCGGAGGCGAGGGGCCCTTCTTGGAGGGACCATTGGATTTCGCTGCCGAGGGCGAAGGGGGCGTAGAGGGGTTGGTGGGTGTCAGAGCGTTTGGGGCCGGCGTAGATGGCTTTTGCGGAGGCGATTTTCGAGGGGGTGAGGCAGGTAGGTGGATTTGATGATGGCTGACTTGAGGATTTGCAGGCGAGGGAGTCGATGTCGAAGGGGCATCGTAACGGATTCTCGATCACACGGTCCTTGACTCCGTCGATCTCGTCACAGGCATCCAGCACCGCATTCGTCGTGAGATTCAACTCCGCCTGCGTGAGCTTCGTCTCGGTCGTCTACAACACCACCGTCAGCAACCACATCCCCCAAACCACATCAACAGGACCCTACACTTGTATGCTGTGCATTCCACAAAAAACTCAACGCAAGATGACTATACCAATTCCCCGGCGAACCCGCATAAACCCCATCAAACAACCCGGGATAAAACTTCGCCAACGCAAACCCCTGCGCACCCCCGGTGCTACAACCATAATAATACGACTTCCTCAGCCGTCGTCCATAATACGCCTGCGTCCAGGCCTTGGCCGCGGGCGCGAGGAGGCTGATGGCGTTATGGATCCACGCCTCGACCTGGTCGCGGTCGTGCAGGTAGGGGAGGTAGACGCCCGGGGCGCCGACGCCGACGTTATTCTCGATGGCGGAGTGGCCCGCGTTGCCGCCTACGACTGCGACGCCCAGGCCGCTGTTCAGTTGGGCGAGCATGCCGATGTAGTCGATGTAGCCTGCCATGCCGCCGTTTCCTACGGCTAAGAACCGATCCTCGTAGTTGGCTTGATCTGGCAGCCAGAGAGCGAAGATCAGAGTATCGTTGTTGCCGTACGCTGCTGAGCCGTAGACTTCGCAGAAGGGGATGGCGTTGAAGTTACTCGAGGCATTGAGTGCCTTCGTTGGGTAATATGTTGAATTCAGGAATTTCGCATTAGAATGTCCCAAGACCGGGTGATGGGCCAGACTGGAACATCTCTGCCGGTGCGGATGAGTAAACGCATTCGACAGAGCAGCAAAACTGGATATCAGGAGTAGAGATAGGTTCGAAAGACGCATCATGTCGATTCTAGCGCTGAAATCAAGACCTTCTTCTGCAGGAACGGCGTGGCAGACCACATGGCTTTTATACCAGATCCCCTCGCAAATCTCCTTACCTTGTTCCTGCGCACTACATACTCGGTGAAGATCCGGGAACTCCAGGTGGAGGGGCCTGGCGCGGAGAAGTGCTGCAGTGTGGAGTGCGTGCAGTAGCCTGAGGAACTAGGCCAGAATCACGCATTGGGGACGATCGCAGGTTGACTGCCACTCTGAAAGTTGAGCATTTCGCGAAAGGAGGCGCTTTTGGCGGTAGGCAATGTGTGCAGTTGCCTAGGTTAGGTCTTCTAACTCGAAAGATGAAGCTGAATACATTTGCTAGAAAGTCGTGTCGATTTTCCGTCATCAAGAGTATAAATCCTCCTCTTCCTCTTCCTCGTCGTCGCTGGATTTCTCTACGATGAAGGGGCCTTTCTTCTTCTTCGTTGTAGATTTGACGACGCCTTTCTTTTTGATGCCGGAGCCGCTGGTTTTCTTCTTCCTCGTCTTGGTCTTCTCTTTCTGCTCCTCACCCTCGCCCATTGCGTCTTCGACCGTTGGGGAGACGTATCTCGGATGGGCCTGGTACTTCGAAGGCTGCGCTGGAGGGTCTGCGTCTGTCGCCTTCTGTTTTCCTTTCCCTTGGCTGCCAGCAGAAGTACCGCCCTGCTTCAAAGACTCGAGAAACGCTTCGTCTTGCTCTGCTTTTCGACGCTTCGTCGCTAGGTCGGCTTCTGCTTCTGCGTCGCTCTTGTTCTGGAGGGATGCCGATTTCTTTTGAGCTGCTTCGTTCATCGCTTTGATTCTGGCGAGGAAGGCGGGGTCCACGGCGAAAGGATTCTCTGATTTAGCGACAGGAGTTGTGGTCTTGGACGGTTGTGTTGCTTTTGCTGGTTTTGGAGTTGCGGTCTTGCTGGTACTTTGTTGAGCCGGTTGGTTCTTCGCTGCACCTTGGGTCGCGGTGCTGCTACTGGCCCCTTGCTGTTGATTTGCTGCTTTGGCCCTTGCCAACCTCGCCCTGCGTGCGATATCCTCGACCTGCTGGGCATTGGCCAACTCGTCCTGTGCTCGCTTTACAGCGTGCGCTAAAGCATTGACGACGAAGAGAGGAGGCTTGGGGTATTGCCACCTGGCCCTGTCGTAGGCTCGGGTCTGGTCGTCCAGGTTTTGTTTCGCGTCCAGAACTCGTAGAGCGAGTGCTTCTGCTTCAGTCAGAGGCCGGTATTGAGAGGCATTGGCAGATGCACTGCCACCTGCCGCCGCCTTAGAGCTCGCATTACGTGGTCCAGTCGCTGGCTTGGCCTGCCGGGGTTGTTGTTGCTGTTGCTGTTGTTGCGCTGCACTTTGTTGTTCTCGCTGATACTCCTGCTGCCGCCATTTCAGCTCCTCTTCAGCCTTCTTCTTGCCTGCCCACTGCCGCTGAAACTCCTCCCAACCCTCGACCATATCAGCGTCGACAGCCGCTTTCTCAAGATAGCTCATGCTATCTTTCTTTTCGTACAGCCTCATAGTCTGACAATGTTTCCTGAAAGCATCGATCGCTTCGTCGCCCTGTCTGGAGTGAAGGTCTCAGAGGGTGTCCCGTTGCTGTGCAATGACAGGCTCGTACAGTTTCCTGGCCCATCCTCTGGTGAGGTACCTGCGATGGGGTCTATCACATGGATATGTGGGAGACACTGGCGGGGAATTGTGGGCAGGTTTGGACGGGGGAGCTTTGTAGTAGCCTGCGAGGCTCTTGTCGAGCGCTGGCCATGGGCCTGCTCTTCCAGACTTCGAGCCGATGACCATATTTGACTAACAAAGTTGAGATAGCTGGATGTTTCTTGAATGTGAGAAGTGCTGCGAGAAAGTGGGGGTGATATCTGAAGGAGAGCAAATAAGACATGGCGGGCAATTGCGCAGGAGGAGTGAGTGATGCTCTTTGTCGTGGTAAGCCGGATTTGTATGAGTTGATCAAAAGAACTACAGCTTGGGGCGAGATTGTTTTGAGAGACAACGAATTTGAAACTTCACTTGTTTTACTGAAAAACCACAACGCTGTCTTTTACTTTTGTCGCTGATAAAAGTGTCTGAAGGATTTCGCATGTCGTGAGATCGTATCCGGTCCTGAATACTTGGTCTTCGTCTTCGTCAAATCATGATAGTGTCGCATAAAACCAGTTTGCTCTCCGCTGTGCTGTTCGCTGATGAATCGTGCTCATTCGCATTTGAATGGCTCCGAGTTCTCCTAAGTGCGAAAAGAATCCTAGCGCAGGCGCCATCGGTCTGCTTCATTAGTCCTGACTCTGCCACTCCCAACTCAACCCTGCCCCAACATACTGTTCTCCTTAGCCTCTTCGCGATCGCGAATCTCCTTCTCCGTCTGGCGATAGATGTCGTCGATGGCGTTCTTCTGCCAGTTGCCCTGCTGCATAGCAATGTGGGTGAGGCGCTCCTTCTCGGCGATCTGCTCCCTCATATACTGGACGGTGGACTGCAAGACGACCGCCTCGCTGCGTCCCAGGCCCTCAGTGCCAGGGACGATACCGCAGAGACGGTCGAAGCCAGAGCGGATAGCCTCACGGCGCTTCTTCTCAGACTCGATATGATGCTTCTTCTTCTGGGCGTCGGTGAGACGAGCCTTGGCGGCGTTGATTGGGCTTGGTGGAGAGTTGCTGCCCGACATGGCGACGGTCGAGTTGCGTGGTGGATTGACTTGGTGGGTGGGGTGGTTGTGGACTATGGAGTCGAGGAGTTGTTCAAATGACTGCACCGGGTCGCTCTGGCTGGACTGAGGGTCTTGCGGAGGAGCTATCTCGAAGGCTGAGTGCAGCGCAATGGTTCGCAGTGTGGTTGTCGTGGATGGTGGAGTTGGAGAGCCGTCGTTGAGGAGGTAGAGTTGAAGTAGCAGCTGGACTCGGCTCACGGAGGTCTTAGCGCGGGTGCGGTTTGCATGTGACGACGGTCTAGCATGACCAAGTGGAGTGAGGAAGTCGGAGGAGGCTGCCGGAAGCCAAGCGCGATTTCATTCACTGACGGGTGACTGTCACATGCGAAATGGAGCACAGGCGTGTGAGAATGGGGGAGGCAGGCGTGGTGGGGATAGAGTTTTGGGGGGAAGAGAAGCGCAGATTGGCTTGGCGGGCAGGTGATCCAAAAATGGCAAGCAGCAGAGGCCATGACGCAGCGTCATTGGTTGCGCTGGGCACGCCCGCCGTTGGCAGCGCGTGGTTTGTGTCTGCACGAGAGATGGTGCTTTGCATGCTGGACGCCTGGGTGCGCCGCTCTTTCACTGCTGCTATTACTGCGAAAACAACCTCCACCCACTCGTACACCACCGCTCCCGGAAAGCGGTATCGCCATCTCACGTGGTCGTCGAGTGAGCTGAGCGTGGCAAGGGCGAGCAGGCTGTCGCATCCCCGCCTTCACCGAACAACCTGTTTCACACTGCGACTGCGACTGTTCTACATGCTCTAAGACTGCCAACACTCCAACTCGAAATCGATACATACGGCCGCCATGGAGCGCTCCTCCGCTCGCTCCTCGGTCAACAGCCGCCGCACCAACTCCCACAGCGCGAGGGAGACGATTCGCCGCAACATGTCCTACGCCAACCGCTCTCACGTCTCCGAGCAGGAAGCCTACCTCTACGCATTACGAGTGGCATATCTTGCATATCTGCTGCAGCCGCGGCAAAAACGAGTTCAGCATGTCGCCAACACTTCGAAACCCATCCAGCGGTCATCGACCTCGATCAACGATATGGTAAAGGACTTCAGTTTAATACGGGACAGCAAGAGCACACGATTTCCCCATGGGTTCATGTCAGCGCTCGACAAGAGGCTGGAGAAGGTCTTGATTGGGCGGGAGAGCATGCCAGAGTACAATGATGCCAACATCAAGCGGACGTTTGGAGCTTTCTTGAATGAGTTCAAGAACCCAACTTTTCGCAAGAGCATGGAGAAGGACAGGAGGGTGGAGGATCTGCTGTTGATATTCTTCTCCAAAGCAACTAGTGAATTGCAAAAGGGCAAGAGTGCCGAAGACGATAGTTGGAAATTGATGGTCGATCGACACGTTGCTCTGTTCGTGAGACTGATCAGCAGCACTCTTTCGAATAATGACTGGACCAGAGACAGGCCTGAGTTGACGAGTCGCTTAAAGACGCTGGAAACGAAGCTCTTGCAGCATGATCAGGATTTGGCAGACGAGAGACACAGAAATGGAGGCCAAGGAGGCACGAGCATTGAAGTTGAGGTCCCACGTTCGTACGAGGTCAGAGATATGCCCTTGGTGATCAGAGTCTGCCGGATATTCGCGAAACCGACGGTACAGGCGCAGAACGACATCAATGCTCACAAAGACGAATGGACTGAGAAGGCCGCGTTAAGAGATCTGAAGGAATACCAAAACCATCTCATGCTCAACACGCGCGTGACATTGTCCAAGGATGACTTCGACCTGGACGAAGCTTACGAAGTATGGCGAAAGGGCGAATACAGTGATTTGACTCAAATGATGCTCGCCCTGGTCCAGTCAGATCCAACCCTTGCCAAGAGCACTTCCCCAAGCAGTCTTCCATCGTACAAGCCGCCTCCTGCGGCTGCAAACGACAGCGGCTATGGCGATCTCCACAAGACCCTCTCACGGCAAAGTGGTGACCACGATTCGAGCTATGTTATCGATCAGCCCGTTGACATGAGCGGGTTGAATCTGGGAGATTCGTCGCCACGAGATTCCGGGACAGGTTCCTTGGACGGTAGCGGTGCCAACTTCACTTTCATACCTTCAGATGCGCGGGCGTATTATCGACAGGTGTTGAAGATGGCGCTGACAGCGGATCTCCAGGACGATGACCTCCAAGCTGCAGCTCCCTCAGACGACATGCCTCCAACGAAGCTACTGTCAGAGCAGTCAACGGAATTACTCAACGAGATTGCTCTTCGATGGCGGATACCGCAAGTCAGTCGTCTAGTCCTGTTCTTGGATGTGGCACGTGAGAAGTACCAGAATTCAGAGCTCACCCTGAACACCCTCGACGCCGCATTCATGTACGTCAAGGAGCCTCCGCCAGAACCAAAGAAGGGGAAGAAGCCAGCTGTGCAAGTCAGCCTGTTCGACCGCGAGAAGTGGACCACAGCCGACTTTGCACTCATGCAAAACATCCTCAGCAGCTTGCACGACGCTATGTTGAGAGAGCTGTTCGAGGTCTTCCAGCATGCGTACGAGGGTAAAGCTCCCAACATAGCACCCGTCATGGTCTTCCTCGACAGCAACATCTATGAAGATCCTCTCTTCAGCAAGAACCAGGAAGACCTCAATGCTTTCGCCCAAATGATGTCAGAACAACTGAGACAAAAAGCAAAGGAGAAGTACCACGACATGCTAGCCAAGAATGTCCCGGATGACTCTACTAATTGGGAGTTTTTCAATGTCATCAAGCTCGGACAGTCGGTGACAACGCTGTGCCAAAAGATCCAGAAACGATACAAAGGCCAGATGAAAGAGATCATGGGCATCCAACCTCTGCCAATCCTGGTCAAGGAGATCTTACCCTCATTTTCTGTTGATGCCAAGGAACTGCTGGCGCGCATCATGGAGTTGGCCAAAGACAAAGGAGAGGAGATTCCTATCCAAGACGGCTTCGAGCTGTATGGCGAACTTGTCCAGATTCGCGAGGTCTACGCCCAAGCTCTTCCTGGCCGTGAGTTCGGTTTCCACATCGAGGGTCTTCTGCAGGACTTTGTCTGGCGATGGATTCAAGCGACGGACAGCAAACTCATCGACTGGATCGAAGGAGCTGTTATGCATGATGACTTCCAAGTCAGGCAAGACCAAGCAGCAAAAGAACGCGGCGACCCTCCCAGTGATGATGAGCGACACTCACAAAGCGCCATTGATGTCTATCGCATCTTCAATCAAAGTATCGAACAAATCATCAAGCTCAACTGGGACGATGATCTCCAATACGCCAAGTTCATGACCGCGATCAGCAAGTCCATCGGCAAGGGCGTTTCAAAATACTGCGAGTTGCTGGAGACGAAGTTTGCTCGCGAGATGGATCGGCAGACGCCTGAGCAAGAAGCTCGAGCACAGCAAAAGCAGCATGAGAAGTGGTTGGCTGCCGCTCGTGATGTTTGGACTACGGGAGGCACAGGCCAAAAGATTGAACCATTCCAGTTCTGGCCCGAAAGCTTTGTCAAGATCAACGACATCGAATACGCGACACTACAGCTGGACAAGGTAGAGCAGGAAATGAATGTGGACGGTTGTGTGGCGGCGATACAAAAGTACGAGCCACCCCCGCCACCGAATGTCCGCAAGCGAGGCGAAAATAAGTTCATGTTCACCATCAAGATCATCGAAGCTGAAGATCTGAAGGCTGGCGACATGAATGGTCTGAGCGATCCGTATGTCGTCCTGGGTGATGAGTACCAGAAGAGACTTGCGAAGACGAGGACGGTATATCAGTCTTTGAATCCACGATGGGACGAAACCGTGGACATCCTCACCACCGGCCCACTCAATGTTATCGCCACCGTGTGGGACTGGGATGCTCTGGGCGACCACGACTGCTTGGGACGGACCAGCTTGAAGCTCGACCCCAATCATTTCAACGACTACCTGCCTCGCGAGTACTGGCTTGATCTGGACACTCAAGGACGTGTGCTAGTGAGGGTCACCATGGAAGGCGAGCGAGACGACATTCAGTTCTACTTCGGCAAAGCGTTCCGCACATTGAAGCGCACAGAAAGAGACATGACCCGCAAAATCACCGACAAGCTTTCGGCCTACATTCAACAATGTCTATCGCGACGAACACTACGAACATTGACTTCTTCGGGCACACCTGGCATTGCCGGGATCAGCATGAACACGATGCGCGGCTACTTCTCGAAAGGAGCCCGCCCGGTGTCAGTGGCCCCAAGTCAATCTCAAGGCAACAACATCCGCGAGGCTGCTGCAAACGCATTGAAGCCTCTGCTGCAGTACTTTGACGATAACTTTGCGATTATGAAGCAGACGCTGACCGACAGCGCAATGATCATGGTGATGACGAGGTTGTGGAAGGAAGTACTGGTCACTATCGAGGGTCTGCTTGTGCCGCCTCTCAGTGACAAGCTGTCTGCACAGAAGCCGCTGAGCATGCAAGAGGTGGATGTGGTGTACAAATGGTTGGAGGTAAGTAATGTCCACACTCACTTTTTGATGTGCCAGACTAACATACATGATCGCAGACCCTGTACCAGTTCTTCCTCGCCTTCGATCCAGAGCGTGGTGTTGCCGATGGTGTCCCGATGGATGTTCTCAAATCGCCCAAGTATCACGACCTCCAAAACCTCAACTTCTTCTACTTCGAATCCACGGACAATCTTGTCAGGACCTCAGAGTCTATGGCATCGGCGACCGCCGCACGTCAGCAGGAACAGACAGCCCGACTCAACCGCCTCTCAGCACCAGCAGGCTTCCTCTCGCCAGCATTGGGAGGCACACGCCGTTCGAAATCCATCATGCAAAGCCGCAACCTGGGCACAATGAGGAAGGCGAAGGAAGAGAAGCGAAAAGAAGCGCAAGCAGACCCCAACGACGACATGATTCTCCGCATCTTGCGTATGCGGCCTGAGGCGGAGAAGTACCTGAAAGACCGCTCTCGTCAAAAAGAGCGTCTCGCCGCAGCAGCTGCTGCGGAGGCAATCGTACGGCAGAGTCTACAGGCGAAGCATACCATGGGCCACGGCCCGAGTCAAAGTATGGGAGGAGCGAGAAGCGGCGGGTTGCAAAGAGGTGGGGCCGGCAGAGTTTGGGGAACCATCAGAGAGTAGAATGGCTTTGATGGAAGCCACAGGGCCATGAAAAGAGACAGTATTGTACGATGAGCGCGGCGCTTGAAGGTGGGTTTGGGATTTATTGGGATGCATGATACACCCTTTAGCAGCAGTGTTTACGTCTTTTGAGATTGAGCGTGGGTATCGCGGATGCATTGCCGGCGGGAATGGGTATGTACATGGAATGATAATGTGGTTACCTTTTACTGCTAATAACGAAGCACCCACGACAAGTCTTTTGAAGCAATCAAGAGCATTTTCACATCCAGTCTCTGGGGCTCTAACAGATTGGTAGTGTCTTTCACCGCTGATCAAAGTTCCCATGGATTCATTTGAGCGCCGAGGGAAAATCCTACATCCAAAATAAATTCCCGCGAACAGAACATTGTCGTCTCGCGCATTCTGTCTCATACCCTACTTACGTCCGGCCCAGAATCCCCTGGCCTTTGGCGCAGTGAAGTCTGCTCTCGGCCCTTCGGCCTTCCGGGACGGCTTCAAGTGGCTGGCACGGGATTTTGAACAGCTCCGAGAGCTCGCTGGCAGGGGCAAGAGCTCGCTGAAGGAGACCCAATTTGGGAAGGTTTGGACGTCATGTGTTGAGAGGTATTGCGAGAGGGGTTAGCAGTGGGCTAGAGCTGGGATGTTTAAGAGATGGCATTGGGATGGGCGGATGGTCATTACTGCTACTAAACAAACGCTCTTGAGGCCCTGGAGGACAAGCCGAAGGCACATTGAACAACCACCACATTTGAGCATGGCGATTGAAGAGTGTCCCCGGAGTCGATTCCTCGAGCTTCCTCAGGAAGTCAGAGATTTGATCTACTCCTTCGCCTTCGACGAGACGCTCAGTCCGCCGCCTGAATACAGGGAATTCCTCGACGACAAAGAAGTCTCTCCATCCCCCGAACCCTCCGTCTTCGGCATCGACGTCAAACCCTCGCCCTTCAAAACGCACTACCCATCCACGCCTCCACGCCCTGCTTGGTACGCCCTGCTCCTTTGCTGCCGCCAGACCGCCGCCGATGTCCGGGAGTACTTCACCTCGAAATCATGCCACTCCGACGACACGGCGACCCTCACGTTAACACTAACATCCACCACCGCAAAAGCCTTCTGGACGTCCCTCCCCACCACAACCCGCAACCTCCAGATCAACCTCCTCGTCACCCACTTCTTCGACGCCGCCCTCCTGCACCCCTACCCCTCCCCCAAGGACAACATCGCCCTCCACACAATCTTCAACCTCCTAAAACGCTACCTCACGCGCGGCCCTCATCTCGCCCACCCCTCAAAACTCCCCGAGCCAACAAGGCCTTCACTCGAGAGCGTCACGATTAAAGTCGCCCCCGCGTGGAAAGAAGAGGATATGGCGTTCATGTACGGGAACCCTGCGGAGCAGTTGGGGGTTGTGAAGGGGGTTTTGCGGGGTTGGGTGGAGGGGTTTTGTGCTTCGGCGGCGGTGCTGGGGGGGGTGGGGAGGGTGGAGGTTGAGGGGGTGGGGGAGTGGGTCGTTACGGGGGATGTTTGGGATGAGGAGGTTGTGGTTAGGTTTGAGGGGTTGGGGTATCGGTGGGATTGATTTTTTCTCTCGAGGAGTAGGCGAGGACAGATCTAACCTTGCGAGCTTTTTCCCATAGAATGCTCTCTGCCATCCCCGGGACTTGATGGCTTACCATGGCATACAATGGGATAACGTCCAGTTTGTGGAGATCGAGTTCCTGGGGATAGCAGCTTATTTCTTACGTGCTGGAAGCTTCGACTCATTCACTTGAGACGCTTGTCACGGGCTTGCCGCTAGGCATGGCCCGGGCGCTACGTCACGCGAGACTGTTCGGTCTATTCCTAGACCCCAGCGTCATTCTACGACACTTTCATCGACATCTACTACTTCTTTCTTCACGGCACAACCTACACCATCCTCACTACCCTCTCCACTACACCATCCAACAAACCCGATCACCCTTCCAAAATGTTTACCACGCCTACTTCCGACGTGTCCGACGAGCTCATTGCGGCTCAGCAGATCAAGCTGAAGGAAACACAGCAGACCATCAACGACGGTTTCGAGGCGGCCTACGAGAGCTTGCGCGAGTGGCAGAATACCATGGCAGTTGCTAAGGTTGAGGAGGCCGAGGCGAATGAGAAGCGAGAGGCTGAGCTGGATGCTCGGGGATGTTGAGAGGCAGGAGAGGGAGTTGGATGAGAGGGAGAAGGAGGTCGCGAGGCGGGGGAAGGAGTTGGATGGGCGGGAGGCGGACATTGGGGAGCGTGAGAAGGAGTTGGACGACGAAGGGCATCCGAAGCGTACCTGGCAGGCATACAAGAGGAAGAGTGGCTTGTATTGGTCAGTGAAGCGGGAGCTGGAGGGGTTGATGGTGGAGGAGAAATCGGGGAAGGAAAGCCAGCCTCGGCCAAAAAGCAACAATGGTGGCCCTACAGAACCAGCCCGTCTGATTCGTAGCAGAACAATCGCTTCAGACTGCTTTCGTGTCTATGGTTTCAAGGTACAATTCCAAAACAACGTAGGAACTTCGGGAGGCTTAACAAAGGCTTTCGAACAACTGCAACATCTAATCAAAGTGCAAAATCGCAACGACCGTTCACTTTAGACCAAAACTGGGATCGTTCGCCTGTCGTCAAGTTTCACGCCCTCAACCTCAAAGAAACCCCTTCGCCACCTCCTCCAACCCCACACCCTCGTGACCTTGCACCAAAACCTTCCCATCAGTCTCGTACTCCCACTTCGAACCCTCCCACTTGTCAACATAGCCCACCCTCACGGCCCCGGTGAAGTCCGTCTTATCATGCCTCCTCACCTCCCTTTCCTCTGGCGTCCACTCATTCACCTGCGTAGGCTTCCCGTGAAGCTTCGTGTAGAGGTCGCGGATCTCGGCCCCGGTGGCCCACAAGGTAATGACGGAGTAGGATTTGTTTTTGATGGCTTCGGGGGAGTTTGTGGTTACGATCTGGGCGATGGCTTGGGCGAGGTGGGGCATTGTTCTGTACGGGAGTCGTTTAGTCTATACTCTTGTGGATGTCTGGAGTTGGCGTTGGGAGACTTACGTGATGGGTAGGGGGCTTTTTGATAGCTTATCGTTCAGGTAGATGGAGTTGTCCTTCAAGGAGGCGTACAAGAACCTACATCGACAGTCAGCATAGTACCTAGACAACGATTTATCTTATGATTCTCACCCCGACTCGAAGAACGTGAAGTCGAAAATCCCAGTATACACCTTGGTGATACCAATGCCGAGTTCCTTCGGCTTTGTGTAGCCAGGCAGACTCCCGACAACCGGACCCAAGACTGGATCTTCAAAGTCCTCCTTACTCCAAGTGGTCGAGTACATCGCCGGCATGTAGGTCACGAAGTCGGGGCTCTTCGAGATGGCTTCCATGACGACGCCTTCCGACATGAGGCCACCTACGCCCACGGTAGAACTGCCACGTTGTGAGTTGATCTATCGATTTAAGGAAGTCGTCAAAAGAGTGGACTCACACGAAGACATTGACCCCCTTGACAGCCTCTTCGAGCTTGTCTGTTGGCCCATCGAGGTCGATGACTCTGAGTTCGACATTCTTTCCGGGTTTGAAGTCGCCGGCTTTGCCTTCACGGTGGAAGATGACGAGTTTGATCTTGTCTTGCTCTGCTGCTTTGACGAGGTGTTGAGCTGTTGGCTTCCCCAGGTTGCCATTGATGCCTAAGATGCCGACGGTGTGCATGTTGCTTGACTTGGTCTTGTTGTGTTCGTGGTGTTCGTCGATGGTTTGGACGTTGATGGTTGTGATCGATATTGTCGAGACAATTGACGGGAGCTTTATATTCACTTTTCCAATTCGACCCACACTCTTTTCTTGTAAATCAATCACCTCGACTGACTTAACGATCACGCGTGTTTCTGATGGAGCATTGATCTCCGGCGGCTATTGCCCTGCCAGACTAGAGACAATATGTAGACTTGCTAAGAACGTGACCAATCCGGCGCAGGAGTACTGCAGCACTGCGCCCCATGTCTTCCAATGGTTACATAACCCACTCGAACGGTACGGTAGCTGTCGCTTGGTGCATTGGCCGAGTGGCTTACAAAAGGCAATGTATCTTACAAATGCCTATTGCGGGCTAAGCGTGCATAATTCTGTGCATAGTACGCATATCTTTTTCTGATCTGACTGCTTCTGACCTGTTCTGACAAGTCTAGTATATCTACCGGGCAGGACGACTCCTTAGAGATGGGAATGGTCGAGACGGACTGGATTATAATCAGCTAAGGATGAACAATTCAGCGATGATCGAACGGCTATCTTATCCGCGGCGAGATCCCCGGCCGCTTGGAGAATACGAGTGGTACATGAAATGCCATATCTGCTATCATCGTAATGGAGTTGTCTTTCGTCACTCGGCATGCAAATGCGTTGGTAATATGAGAGCAACAATACTGCATGACTAGTTCTGCAGGCCGACGGCCATGGCTGCAACAGACGTCCTCCGTGAAAGGGGGCACTGGCCGGGAGAAGAATTGTCGTGTTAGATCGGACATAGCATTGACCTCAGAAGTCCTCAATCCTCAAAGAATTGGCCGTAAATCTCTCGCCGTCATTGTTCTTGCCCTTGTTGAACTGCTTCAGGCACCCACGATCCCAAAAATCGTAGGCATGTGCATCCTCGCCACAGCTTGGTCCACCAAAGGCAATGACCCTACTCTTGAGGTGATATCCCGATGACTCTACGATGTCCGGTACTCCGAGCCATTTCATGGAAGAGAAGCCAGGTGTGATGTGCTGGCATTGACCCCAGGAAGCGCATACCGTGTATTCAAATGGTTTGGTGCAATTGTCGTCGTAGTAGACGGCGTACTCTTCGTCGCCCCAAGCACATTTGCCGGTGTATGTGTCTTTGGGAGGGGGAGCTGGCGGCGGCGGCGCAGGGCTCCTGCAGCCTGGTCCATCTCGTTGGCAAAGGGTCGGGTCCAGAGACCAAGCACCATTGTTGGCTGTGATCACGTTCGGCTGTTGGTTTGGTGGTGGCCAGTGAACGGCAGTGTCCACGAGGGCCTTTTTCATCTCTTTGCCAATAGCACTGCTGAAGACCTGGTTACCTGGCCTTTTGTTGATAAAGTAGGCGGCAAGTCCAGCCTAATCGAGGATGTTAGCATTGAACACATAGCAAATGCGCCTTGTCAAGATCTTACCACGATAGGAGAGGCAAGAGATGTACCCGCTAGATTTCTTATCGACGGGGGTTGACCGACTGGAGCCATATTGGCCTCCACACCAGAAGCAGGTGCATACAAAGTGATACTGCCAGTCAAACCGTCAGGTTCTCTGCTCCATGCACCTTCAGGAGAAGTCGGTAGCCTGATATCATGAGTCACAGTCTAGAGCAAGAGCAATGATCTGAATCATACCATAACCAGCCGTTTCGGTTGACTCCACCAACAGTGATAAGTGCGTTGTCCTTCGTTCCTACTCGCTGTGGAAGCGTACCGCCGGCTAGTATCACCAGTTTTAGCTATAGTTCGATAGTTCATTGGTCAAGACTGGGTCTTACTCGGAATTGAGCTCTTGCCCTTGTTTCCAAAGTTCCCTGCAGCCGCGACGAAGATGAGACCTTTGTCATTGCACCATGCCTCGAATTTGGCGAACAGCTTGTAGAGCGGTGAAGTAACGTCAACAGGCTGCGCATGGTAGCGATGGACACCCCATGAGAAGTTGACGACCGATTTGCCACCGAGCTTCCGCAAATTTATATCGTTTTGAATGATAGAGATAGCGCGATGGACCGCGCCATATTGTGGAGGTGGACTGAAGAGGGTCCCATCAGAATTTTTGCGTACAGTTCCCCGAACCTTGAGGAAGTTGAGATTGGCCTTTGGCGCAACTCCATAGTTCAGGCCAGAGGCTGCAATTGCTACGCCGGTACCATGATTTGGGCTCCCATGTCCCCTCAGGTCTTCGTCCAGCGGTTCCCAGTCGGCGTTTTTCTTGTTTATCAGGTCCTCTGTCATGGTCAACTGGTTTGGAATGACATGCCAGCCGCTTTCGCGGTTGCTGGGACCTCTCTGGAGTTCGGCCGCTTCCAGCTCAAAGCCACTGTCCACAAAGTAGATGGTGACTCCTTCACCCGAAGAGTCATCGAAACGGTAGTCTTGACTCTCGATCGGAACTCCTACCTCTGGCCGAGCTGACAGGATATGCAGTTGGCGCGGTGTATTAGAGGGCCCATAGTCCATCTTTCGTTTATGTTGAGTATGGGTCTCATTGCCTTGCTGCCTCGACTGTAAGAGCGCATCGGGGTCGAGATGGTCAAAGTCGACTTCATTGTCCTCGTCCATACCAAGATCTGCTACTGCTTGAATTGCGTCATACCAAGGTTGACTCTTGACGGCAAGAACTTCAGCTTTTTTTAATTTTGTCTGGTACCCCTGCCAGGGGTTGCCATCGAATGAATCGAGGAAGCCCTTTCCGCCATCGAGATTTTTGCAAAAAGTGTCAAAAACGTCTTTCGGGGTACTAGGTTTGGATGAGAAAAAGTAAAGCACAGGATCTTCACGGTCGTTGGCGGTGGTAGTGCTGGAAGCCGATCCAGGGGACCGGAGCGCTGCGTCCAATGCTGTCTTCCAGTCTACGCTCTCAAACAAGGCGAGGGAAGCGAAACCGGTGACGGCAACGACTTGCGCAGCATGGTCCGTCCAGTACGTCTTGACGTTGCTCTGAACTGCTGGTGAGAGCGCCACGCCAACTTTGAACAGAGCGTGAAGGCTTCGCACATCCGTTCGAAGACATTGAAGCCATTCTTCTAATGTTAGATATTAGCTGTAGGATAGGAGGCGGAGCAAGGATTGAGGGAGACATCCTCCAGATGGTCCATTGTGAGAGCCGTTGTGACGTTGCCCATTGTCCCTGAAGAGATGTCTTCCTGACACCAGTACTGGTGGTCAATGCCAACAGCTCACCAATAATTTTAGTGGCCTACATTAGTCCCTTGTTATCCTCTTTCCTACTTTGCTGAATTGAGCTCTCGCTAAGCCCACTTGGGCGCTTCGTGTTGAGCATGACCCCAAATGGTCAATTTGTGGCTCACAAGCATTGATCTTCTTAGAAGGTATAGGCATCAGCGATTGCCGAATCCGTATGCTGCTTTCGCTTCAGCCGTGGCAGCATATATTCGATGGCTGTACGTTGCCTCCGGTGCTCTCATTACGCTGATCTTTCCAGTCGACCAGACCACCACTCAGCCACCGCCTCGACGACCGAAAATGAGTCTGGCTGAAAAGGCAACGACATAGTTGGGTTTAAGCAGGCGGCAGACAGTGTTCCCAGTCTTCCTTAGATCCAGATTTAGCCAACAAGTGAGCGACCACGAGGACCCCAGATGCGTAAAATCTAACAGGCTCTCGCGTGTCTTACACGGCCGATTTACCAACGCACCAGGCGAGGCTGCTACTCACGTAATGGCGTTTGCTACGCCTATGCGTGCAGCTGGAGTTTGCCAGGCTCTCCGGTTGGCGTTTTCCGGCCTGTCATTGTCGTCCGTGGGAGCTTGTGATCTGAGGAAGAGGAAAGATTCAATCCAATGCGTGAGCGCACATTGCTGGCCGTCGATGATGGTGCTGCTCGGCGATGTAGTCCGTGTTGAAGAGAATGACTGGGCAGAGGAGAGTTATCCTGTCGCGAATGTCCGCCGTTGGCTTCCGTGATTCGGACAAGGATTTGTTTTCAAATTTGGCCTCAGCAGACAGATTTATCAGCACGGTTGACCAAGATTGGTATATTTGGCTACGTCGTTGGGGTCTCGAGTGGAGGAAGGAGAGAAAGGAGGAGGCAGGCGTGAGAAACGGCAAGGGCCGCGATGGCGTTTTGCCCGAGTGCCGGCGGCTTCTCCCGAGCCAATCATAAATGACCTCACTTCACTACTGCACTTCACCAAAGATCAAACAGACACCTGCGGATTATTTTTACAAAGCATTGGGATCAGATCACAATTGATATCTCAGCAGAAGCTAAAGAATTGCCAGCTGATTGCTTCTGACTGAGAGCAAATCCATTTTTGGGGCATCAACAATGCTCACTAATCAAGCGCTTGGGGCTGAGACGATGAAAGATCTCTGAAACCTTCAGGACGTGGAGCTGATCTAGGCCAGGCGCAACAATACAGATCTTTGGATAAAAGCGACGATTACCGCCTTGATCAAGTCGAACCAAATCTAAGCCAGCTATTATAGCCAGTCGTGATCTCTGCGAAACCATGGCAGCCGCATACGAATCGCCCGTCAGCCAGACTTCGCCACCAAAAGCAATTCCCAGCTACGAAGAACCTCAAACAATACACCATGGCGACACTATAGCTCAGAAAGCCCACAAGCTTATCCTAGATTTATCGCACCAGATCATGCTCTTCTACAGCGACGATCCTTTGGCACTCAAGGATATCTCGCACCTTCTTGCGCCGGATTACTCTGTTCTGCTGGACTGCACCCAAACAGACTACGACATGCAGAGCTACCGCGAGTATTGTCGCTATCTGGAACGTATCAGTCCCAAGCTGGACATTCACGTCATAAATGCAACGGCCCAGATTGTCAATTACAGCTGCGGCGTGGTGTATATCCCTTTCATGATGAACGGGCTCCCAGGGAACCTGAGCAGGAAGGTGACGCATGTGCTCAAATGGCGTAAGCGAGACGGACAGTGGATGTGTTATGGACATCTTGGTTTTCAAGGGATGAATTTGCCGGCTGGGGTGAGTGAACAGGACGAGGAGAAGGAGATCGAGAAAGGAATTGAGGAAAGGAAGAAAGACTGGTGGCATTTCCCCCAGACGAGCTTCGAAGATTCCAAGAAGTTCTTCTTGTCGACCATGGAGATTCCTCCTGAACGGCCGCCCATGTCCAAAGCAGAGATTGATGATATATTGATGAAAAGATTTACTTGACCTTGCCGCCTTAACGACTTCACGATGCGAGGAGATCCTGAAGGAGCGCTGTCTTCGCGAGCAATTTCCACACGAATTACGCGAAGCGAATTGTCGGCAGTAAAGATCAAACGAACAGGAGCTGAAAGCGAGGTTCAAGTTCAATAGCAATGACTGGATGCACTTGGCGTAATACCCGTCTGTATCTATGGTGCTGTACGTTATTGTACATCGTAAATCCATACAGCGTCGCGACGCTGTGGCTAAATTACAACTAGTCGTGCTGTTGAAACGAATTATTGAAAACATGCATCTTGTCCTGATTGCCCATACGAGATTTGTGACTTCCGAATCATCCTGGAAAACCCGTTTCCCAACATGCAATCATCAAAGGCCGTCGAAATCAAATAAGAAGACTGAGCGAACAGTCGCTTACAAGAAGAGGACAGCGGCGACAGCGGCGGCCACGAGGCTGCCACCAGCCATGACCTTCTCGGCGGCACCAGTGTATGGGGTGACGCCAGTGGGGCTGGCTGGGGTGGTGCCGTTGCTGGGAGCAGCTGGGCTGTACGGGGTTGGCTGGGCAGCTGGAGGAGTCACGGCCGAGACTGGGGCGGTGATGGTGCAGCCACCTGGGCACTTCTCGATGGTGATGGTCGATGGCTGCGAAACGGTGGTGGTGATTGGGCTGCTGCTTGGGCCGTAGGTGATGGTGGTTGGGGCCGGGCAGTAGGTGGTGTAGCTCGAGACGACCGCAGTGATGGTCGAGGCCGGGGGAAGGCTCTTGGCTGGGGTTGGGACGTGGCAGCCACCTGGGCACTTGGTCACGGTCAAAGTGGTTGGCTGCGTGACGGTGTATGTCTGGGCTGGGCCAGAGCCGCATGGCACGGTCAGAGTGGTGGCAGATGGGCAGACGGTGGTGAACGAGGTGACGACAGCAGTGACCCAGACATCAGTGGCAGTGCCGTTGCCGGTTGGGGTTGGAGCGACTGGCTTGGTGCTGGTGAGAGTGCATGGGCTGGAGAATCGTTAGCCTTGGTTCATGATCGTTTGGAGATGTGTTAGATGCTCTGAACATACCAGTCGGTGATGGTCAAAGTCGTCGCGGAGCTGACGGTGTAGGTCTTGGAGCCGTAGGTCAGGGTGGTCGCCTGAAAAAGAAGTTGGTTAGAGTCTGAACCATATCTCAACGAGTCCTTTCATCTGCATACCTCTGGGCAGTAGGTGGTGAACGAGCTGACGACGTCAGTGACGGTGGTGGTGCCGTTGTTGACGACCGAGCTGGTGGTGGAGGCAGAGGCCGAAGTGGTCCACGACGAGGAAGCGGAGGTGGTGGCGTTGGAGTAAGATGGAGCCGACCAGGACGAAGACGAAGACTCGCCGTAGGATGGAGCACCGTAGGCAGGAGCACCGTAGCCTTGCTGGGCAGCAGCGTAGCCCACGAGGGCGGCGAGAGAAATGGTAGAGTACATTTTGGCTGGGTATCGCAAAGCAAGCACAGGAAACGAGTGACTGTGTTATTGGTAGTGAAAGTTGTGGTGTGGGATGGATGGCTGCTGGGAAGAGGGAAACAGAGCTCCTTTATTGACCTCGAAGAGTAATTTCCCGATACGAAGTGTCTCCAGAACACTATCGAGGAGTAGTGAATCCTGGACCATGGACGGCCTCTCCATGACGGCATCCTTCAACCAAGCTGGAAGGGCCGGAATGGCCATTGGTTCCGGACCGCCAATACCACAATTCCACGGCGACCACGGATACGAACGTTACAGCAGAACGCCAGAGGGCTGAAAATCTTCCGTCATGTTGCTTCGAAACTCTTGACTCGGCCATGCAGCCCAGCCAAGGCGTTCCTGGCGTTAGTTCGCTTGCTATGCAGATGCTCGGTTCTCTTTGGCATGTGATGGCTATTGGGACGGCCTCAACATTGTATATCGTGGAATTGTCGTTTCCTCTCGATGTCAGCAGCGGCTCGACTGGTTGTGGATCAACGACCATGCCATGGCTTTGGGCCAAGGGAGCTCCAGAATACGAAGCGAATCGCATCAAGAATAGAACGGTGGGAGTGAAAACTTGAACGCCGGACTGCAGAAGCGCCAGGAACGTACCAAAGTTGTGCAGCGCCGCGGGATGCTCTACTGCAGGAACAAAGCGTGGCTCTGCATCCTCCAATGTAATCGCCACGATCTGGGCTTGGACCTTGTTTTGCCGGCTTCCGCCGCTTGTGAGTGAAAAGGCTAGTCTCACCAAATACGGGCGCAAGTCCGCCTCTTCATTGGCAGAAAATTCTCTGGTTGAGGGAATGAAAGTAACGCGCTTGTTCAGAGCTGTGTCGGAGTCCTCGTTCTGAACGATCCCGCTGTCGCAGCATCGCGAACAGCTGGAGCTGTGGGTGTCATGTGATCTGCACAGGCAAGGAGTCAGGGGTATTTATGTGGAGCTGGGATTTGGCTGTACGAGATTCTTCTCAAAATGACTCGCTGCTGCTGACAGCGGAGGAAAGCCTTGTCGGCGTCAGCTCTCAACAAAAGCCCAAGCTGAGATGTGGTTTGCAAGTGTTGATTGGAAGGGCGAGCTGCTCCTTCAATTGCGAAGTAAGCAGTAGAGGGCTACCTTGTCATGAACAAAACACAGGTATCACCCAACTTGTCCACACTGAAAATGGTTGTTCGAGTGAGCCAACTTTTCGCCAGCCCTGTCGCGTGCAGAAGTGGTTTGTTTGTTTGTTTGTTTGTTTGCAGTCGTATTTGATTGGATTGTTGGAGTCGATACCTTGTCGGCCTTCTCGTACAACCTGCGGGCCCTGTCTTCTACTACCGACGGCTGTGGCCTGCTTTGGTCAAAGATCAAGCTGCCCGAATCCCTCGACAGTCTGTGTTCAGTTTCAATACTGTCGTCGTCGATCGCAAACGAGCGCTCTGATACCCGGACTTCTGGCTCGAGGTTGCGCGGTTCGCACTTGGAACCGCAAGCGACGTCGGCATGTCGTCTTGACAGACACGTCGGATGAGAACTCGTCCTGTGGAAAGGTAGACGCCGTTACAGCGCTGTCCTACGATCCGGCAGTCTGTGTCCACATTAGTGTGTGCTTTGCAAAAAAGGCGAGGGCCGACTGTTCAAAAAAGCATGGCATTTTTCCCAGAATCGACCTCGTGACTTACCTCAACCACATTCGTGCTATCAACGGCCCAACGACCACATATATTGATGTGACGACAGCGACAGCGGCGAGGATCGAAGCAAGTCCGCATGAAAAACCTCGCATGTAGATATCTGTGACATTTAGATTCGTCCCATATTGGCTTGTGACAAATTGCGCAAATGGTCCGCCGAAGCTGGATGCTTCTTCGCGCCAGGCAGAGTCCTCTCGGGAGTTCTTTGTGTTGGGGTCCGTCTCTGGCCATTGATGTTGACTGTGGTACGATTTGTGGTGTTCACCTTTGCGCCGTTGGGTTTCCAGAGATTCTGCAGCGGCCGTTGATCGTGCTGTTGACGTTGGCATCGTGGGTAGAGGCTGACGATTGTCGAACATGTCGACCCAGTGGTTCGGAGCCGGCTTTGTGGATTTTGTCGTTTGATGTTCGTTGTGGTCTGGTGTCCGGGCAACGAGATTTGCGTCTGCTGCGATTGGTGCAGCAGTCACGGCCAGGCTGAGGAAGCACATGAATATGAGGAAGATCGTAGCATATTTGAGCATACTGTGCCGTGACATATTGGTAGCCAGCTGGTGAGAGTAATTGAAAAGACGTTCAGTAGCGCCTTGGTTGATCACGAAGGGGATGGCAACACTTTGAAGCGGGTTTGTATGGAAGTGCCACCCCTATCAACCTGGGCTTCAACATAGCTGTCAACTATGGCGCAAGACACCAGCCGAATGCTACTGCAAGTGAACGGCCCATCCTGTCAATCTGAATTTGGTTCGACACTTAGCAGGTGGAAGCCATTTTGATGGTGCCACTTGGCCCGCCGCAGTGACAAGATGGCTCTACCATCGACCAACGATCTGCTTCGAAACGTGTTCTAGAAATGAACACCGCATCGTGATAAACCGAGATGTCAACATTGCAAATGGAGGTTTTCGGCCATTTTATTTTGACTTTCGTATCCAGGCCATATTGTGGTAGCATTGGCGTTGGCTGAAACCAAGACAACCAACCAATAATATCATGTCTTAGTAGATCCTGTCAGGCTCGAAGACGCCAGAGAAAGCCCTCGTATATCTCGAAAATGGCGAATGTATGTTGGACCGTCACGTTTGTGGTGGCGGAGAGCTGGTAACAATATGGAAAAGTTTTTCCGCGCGATGAGCAGTTGACAGCGAGGGTGATATTAGCGTGACAAAGGCGTAGAGTCCAGTGTAGCAGTCCGAGCTACAGGGCCTGAGGATGAATCAGCAGGGCAGACTCTTCAAAAGGTAAAAGTAGAAGCGACAATCTCCTAGGGAACAAGTACGAGAAGCCAAGAGCGACTTTACTTCATGGCATTAGTGCCGGCCACATATCAGACACAGGCACCACAGGAACTGCTGCCGGGTACGACACCGACTTCTGACATTGCAAGGGGTGAAGCAATGCCCTTTTCGTCATGTCATATTGAAGTGAAGGAGATAAGGCCTGCAGGTTTCTCGAGCCTTCGGAACACTTTGGCGTTCTACTGAATTGAGCTTTAGAGGTATTTGCGCGGCTCATCTCCCTGCCGTCCTCGTGTGCACTCAGGGAAATCCTAGGATGTTTTCGATTGAGATCCTCGCGCGTAATTCCATTCGGAAAGCCCTCGAAGCTAAGGGCGTAAATATTCCAGCAGTACAGCCTTAGTCGGTCGACCCAAGACGGCCATACAAGACAATAGCCAGCCGAGGATGGTATTCCTCGCATCAAGCCATGTCAGCCGCCTTGAATGGTGTGCTGCCGAGAGCCCAGCATGATGTACTATGAGCCTCTCAAGGCGCAAACTCTAGATGCGCTTCGCTCACGTAGTGCACCTCCTCTGGACCGCCTGGTGGGCCGAACTTGCGGCTACAAGGCTTCGATGCCTGAGAATGACAGCCTGAAGATCCCAAGCCCTTTGCACCGGACGACACAGTGCCCAAGTCCAGATATATGCGGGACCCTCGGCCAGAGGGCCATGACTGTCCTTGCGTCTTGACAAAAGTCCGTGACGAGGACTGGTTGACGTTCCGGGCTCTTTCCAGCTCCCACATCAGCTGAGAAAGTATGTGCTAAAGCTCTTTTGTGCTCTTTGGAAGTAAGAGTGCACCGCGACCTCGGCTTGAAGATGCTGTGTTCTCACTCGAGCTACCGTGGCCGTAGGAGTTCGATATCGATCGCTGCGGAGTCGTGAGGTCCTGCCACGGATTGTCGGCCGTTTCGGTGGAAGCCCTGAAAGAACACTGCTCTCTTGTAAAGGCGATAGCTGTTCACAAGGGGCTTTCATGTTCGTCGAAGAACGTGATGTCTGGTCAAAGGATTGATGATCTCGTAAGAGGCACGTGGTTGGAAGACACACAAGGAGCAGACTCCGCGGCCCCTGCGAACTCTCTGCAAACCACAAACGGCCTTGCGCTAGTTTGATTGCGGTCAAAGGCCTTCGTCATCAATATTCCATCAGGAGTACGCTGGCGCCCAACATCATTTTTCGACATCTACCTGTTCGAGAACGGCACGCGAGCAACTCGATGTCAAACTTGGATCATTTATCAGGACTCAAAAGTCGAATGGAGACACGTGGCAGGCCCATCCGCTTTGGGGCCCGACCGAGAGTCGACAGGAGAAGAACTTTGACGTCGTCCTTGGTCTCGCTACCGGAATCGCTCGTCTGAGCCACCAGAATGAGGTACCCTCCTTATTGCGATCAAGGTGAAACATTCATCCCCATTACTTCCAAGCCATCTGAGCAGCTTGGAGTACGATGTGAAGCGCAATCGCCTATGAAAGGTCGGAGAGATGGCACTTTCATTACGGTATAGGACGTTCCACTTTGACCGGAACACCGAGGGTAGAAAGCAACTTGCTAGCCCAACCGACTCCTATCCCCAGCTTATTAAACCACCGTAGTCCACAAGTACAACAGCCTGTTTAGCGGGTCGCATACGCCGACGCGGCTCGATGAGCAGAACACAGAAAGCCAACAGAGTTGCATGTAACAGGAAGATTGCCGTCATGCCCTACCAGCTCGTTCCGACTCCGGACTCGGTTTGCACTATTTTGATGCCAAAAGACATACTGATATTGCTGTTGCAATACCATTGGGCCAGCGTTGAACGGAGATACTCTTGCGAGTGAACATCTTGCCTCTCGTTTTGCTCCCTACATTGCCTCTGAGGACCTTTGTGTCTTCGGCTCTGGCCTTGCTACGACAACCTTCACATCTGCGCAGACATGTACTCTCAAGACACGGCAGACAATACGTTAGCTGGCAGGCAGAGGCATTCCATATTCCGGCAGCGTGCCCCGGTTTGTGGCACTGCCCATGACGTTCTGAACAGGAACAGGAACAGGAAAGACAGAAAGGTCTTGCTCTCATATCCGTACATGGGCTGCGGCCTGCGGGAGCGTCTATCATACTACCCCGAAGAAGAAAACCGCCAGGTGCTAAGTCTGGGGACAGCCTCGACCTCCACGAACCTTATTGTGAACATCGGCAAATCACGGTTCGCAACTTGGATAACCGAAACCATTGGCGTCAGGCCTCCTACGCAGCTGCTGGAGCCATCGAGGGATCGTCAAAGGCTATACCACGTTTCTGCATGCCGGGGAATCATGAGCCAAGAAGCCATGACATGCAGAACACAGCCTACATGACTTCACGAATCACAAGGTCACTGTTCTATATCGGAGATTTCAGCTGGGAGGCCTGACGATGCTGATCCTCTGGATATAAAGCAAGGCCAATCGCGAAGGCAGCGTGTAGCATCATCACGTCAAGTTCACAAAAGAATCTAGACCTTCTTCAACAACCATCACGCAGCAGCCATGTCTCGTCTCGCAGCAATTGGGTCATTCATTCTACTGGTTTCGCAATGTACTGCGACTCTGGAACAAGTAAGCAGTAGCTTTCCCATGCCACTATAAAGAAAGGAAGCTGACGTACTCGCAGCGCCAGAACAGTGTCTCCATCGATGGCCAGACTTGCCCGAATGGCTGGCTGGATACCATTTACAACGGCAACCGAAAGTGCTGCCCTGGCGCGGTCTACAACACGGACGATAACGTCAGAAACGAAGACAGCGCATACTGCTGTGTCGGCGCCACTTTCAGCGTTGCCACCGCTTCATTCTCGTCCTGCTTCCCTTTCTGCTCCGGGACCGATGACGGTAATGGCGTGACAGTCGCGCCGACTTCCAAGATGCCTTGCTCGGCGACGGTCATGCTCACGGATGCCGACTACAGCAGCAAAGTCAGCTCGGCATCGGCAAGCATCAGTGGATCATCTGGAGCAATGACAACTGGTGGTTCGGGTGGCAGCTCTGGCTCGAGCAGTGGATCTGCCGCAGCTCAGACGGGATCTTCTTCCAGCAGCTCTGCCGGTGCGGCAATGGTGACTAGTGGCCCACTGGCGGGTGCATTGATGATTGCAGGAGGATTGCTGTTTGTCTAGGTCGTCACAAGTAGTGGTGGAAAGTTGAAATAAGCCAGCTCGCTGTACGGACCTTGACTACGACGCAAGAGTCGTTCCTTGTACCACATACCAAGATACCCAGGCTGCTGCCACCAAGAGCAATGATAACGTGTAATAGCTGCTCAGCCATCTTACGGCCGTCCTTCTTACACCGTTCAGCATGATCACTTTCATCTTCTCATCCATGACCGCGCTCTCATTAACTCTTGGGAATTCAATTCCTTCCGGGATCGGTCTGTTGAGGAACTCGCACAGTGGTCCCCAGCCTTGGCCCAGTCTATACTCCAGCAATCTGTCTTCTTCACCTCGCTCTTTGAGCACTCGTCGGACAGTTTCGTTGTGTTCTCTATAGACCGGAATCGAGTTTCGTCGAAATTGTTCGCCGCTATTCGATCTGAAATGGCCTTGAACGACACCCCTGATGAAGACTTTGAAGAAGATCCCAGTCCGTCTCGGATCCAACCAGGCAGCGATCCTCAGCCCAACACTGTCATACGATGAAAACATGACATTTCCCCAAGACTTGTACCACGAATTCTCTTCTCGGCTCACCAGGACGATCTTCGCTTGAGGATAGACATCGATCAGCTCTTCTGCAAATGATGAAGTTGGCATGTCCGTAACCGCCCCGAAACGTCCAATGACTTTGTCGAAGAACTGCAGGTCCAATTTGGGACATTCTGAGGAAGGATTGCCATGGTATTTGTTCTCGTAGGCTGCGAGCCAGAGGTTGAAGTGTTCGTTCGCCATTGCTTGAAAGCCGTGGTAAGTCTTTAAGCCGAGGATCGAAAGGGCCGCTTGCATTGATGCTGTTCCGGTTCGACTTAGGCTCAGAGAGAGGACTTCCATGGGTACTGTCCGCTTTCCGCCTGAGTCCACGACATCGTTGATTTCTTGGAAGCATTCTGGATGTTTGGCGATTGTCGCTGGATCGAAACCGAAGAAAAGCTCCCTCAAGGACATGATGTGCTGTAGAAAGATAAGTCTAAGAACGATAACGTAGGTTCGTGATGAAAAGAGAGTGTTGTTCTTTTGACAAACGCTCGTACTCGCGTTCTGAATCCTTCTCCGAAGAGGCTGAATTGGAGCTGAAAGACGATGGGACTGGAGCGCAGGGCCCTCATTTTATTGAGGACTCTCCAGCCGCAGCTGCAAGGATCAAGAAAAGTCTTTCCGTGGTTATTCGAGCGTAAGATCGGCCGCCTGTCATCCTAAAACAAGGTCCAAATCGCACCTATGATCCAGACGAGGAAATCCATGGGGACTTCGGAGGCGGCGAAAGCTTTTGACGAGGAAGTAGGAACCGCTGTCATCGTAAGTGAACCTGTTGTTTGCGCTTCTGCATCACCGGCTACGCCAGTTGCCGTTGAAGATTGAGAGGTCATCTGCGGATTTGGAGTTGTAGTAATCCGGGCCTGGGTTGTCGTTGTAAGTGGCAAAGAGGTCGTAGGGCTGCTTGTGATCATTGAGGAGATTGTCGTACTGATAACAGAACTAGAGCTTTGAGTTGATGCAGTTGAAGCGATACATTCGGACGGTGTGCCGAACATCACATTGCATGAGCGTGGGATGACAGTCTGTGTCTGGTACCAGCTGGACCAGGCTGGGAGTTGCGTGAAGCCTGATAGAAATAATTAGCATTTGATTGTTCCATAACCACTTCAATGGCATCCTCAATTTGAGGACTGGGAGGTATTTTATACCGTCGATTGTCACAACTTCATCTGGTGCATTCGTGTATGTGGCCAGAGTACTCGTGCTCACTGGGGTGTATTGAAGCTCTGGTATGCAAGTGGTGCTAATAACTGACTGTTCTCCTGCCACGCCTGCTCATTCTATGTTAGCGACACATACACGAACAACACGAAGAGCCACGATTTCAAGAGTTATTTGTTGACGGATGCCTGGCACTTACACCAGTATACACACCAACCAAGTTGGTCAGGGGTTGCGCTGTTGCCATTCTCACACTGAGCGTTGCAAGACGGGGCAGCGGACGACTGCGCTGGTGTAGCATCCTTGTGAACACAGTTCAGTCGACAATAAGGTGTGTCTGTGACATTGACTGAGCCGGGTAAAAGAGAACCAGTTGGTCTAGTGACCCCTTGACCGCATCCTAGGAGACATGGCACATCGTTGAAGTTGAACGGTGGCTGATTGTTGATGCTGTCTTCACAGATGAGCGGTGACTGGAGTGCTACTGTGGAATTGGCGAGTAAGCCTGTCGATAAGGCTAGGTATCCTAGCAGTCTCATCGTCCTGGCGCTTTGCAAGTTTCGAGGTTCTCTTGATGATTGTGGCTCGCGGCGTGTCGCAAGACTGAACCTTCTTCCTTTCCCGGGCGGAAAACCGGATGAAGTAGCTATGATTCTTCTCATTGAACTCGAAAGTGAGGTCGCGCGGTGTTTCGATGATTTGCCGTCTTTTAGACTGGAGGTCAAGGCAGCGAAACGGATGTTCGGCAAGAAGAAGTTCTTCAAAGTTCGGCCGGCCACAATCCTGCGATCGGACCGGTCAAGAAGACCAACGTGGCAGCATCGCGCCGAGGAGTACACCCGGATGGATCACTTCAATCGAGGGAAACGACGTGTGATCTTCAATCAGCCAGAATGAGACAGGCACGGTGACACGGCAAAAATCTCTTGTGATGACTGCTCTAAAGCCTCCACTTTTGATCCTTCAAACGAACGACGATGTACTTACGACGCTTCGTACTGCTTTTTGTGAGCACCTACATTCCAACATCATGGCCTTTCCTCGATTGCTTACTTCTCGATCAACAGCTCTGCGTCAATGTCGTTGAAAAAAATCTTGTCCAACATCCTATCTTTTGGGACGCTATGGTGCGCATTGCCAGCAAGATTGACCTGGAAATGGACTCAGTGCTCGCCCCTTAAACAGTCCATCGTTCTTGTCAGAATCAAGTCCGTTGAAATGACCATCGATTGTCTGCAGTCAATTTAGCCAGAAGTGCTGGAGATACAGTACAGGATCATACCCCTGGAATCTGCTAGAAGTCTTCTTTTTTTCTCAAAGTATAGAAATTGTGAAGTGTGTCATGGAACACTGTCATTTGCAGCAGTCTGCATGGACTCCGGCTCAGATGCCGGTGCAGTGGGTGCTGTGAGAAATATACTCCTCATGGTGAATCCCAGTAAGTGCTTTCGCCAGATGGAAGTGTTCACAGTCTTTGCCGATGGCTGGAAAAGATGCGGACATCGCTGCATTGTTCTCTTGTCCAGATGGATTGAGAAAGAAGCGTCACGTTGTAATGCGCCATCTTCTAAGACCACAGTTGGAAGGGAAAAAGACGAACCAGGCAATCGCCAAAGCTGTCCGGCGGATTGGTAGAGGAAAGAAAGGGCGGCATGCGATGGATAGTCTGGGATACACGGTGACATACTTTTCCTCTCTCGTATTCATGTGACGGTGCATGCCGCAGTATGTATGTCGGTGAGTGAGTAGAGTCTTGGCTCGCTCCAGATCTGATAAAATTTGCTTCTTAGGGTCTAGCGGGTTCAACAATGGCATGGCTGGCTATCGACATCGAGACCCACTTGAGTGAATCCTTGCCACACGGCATCTAATCTGATCTGATCTGAGTTCTTGTTCATCTTATCGATTTGCTTCTTGCCCTGTTTGCATCCGCGAAATGCTACGCGCTTCGGCAGGCACGCCAGAGAGAGAGAGCTTCTCCGGCATGGGGAATGGATGCCAGAAGAAGAACTTTCACGCTTCCTTGGCACCTTCGTCAACCTCACTTCGAGAGGGTGCGAAGCACGATCTGGCGAGACTATCAGTCACCCAGAACAACGGTGACGTGGAAGCTACACACCGAAGCTCCGCTCGAGGACATCGAAACCGGTCTCTCCGACTTTCTCGTCAGCGACTAAACTTCGCCAGGAGACCAAGAGGTAGATCTCGTGGATGTCGATGCAAAAGCTCTCGACCACTGACGCTGGTAGCCTTGCCGCATCTGCTTCTGGACCCGCTGTGGTACTACGAAAGCAGCGTCATTCTCGGTGGCTCCCTCATTCCAATCTCATCTTCCTGGCTGAAAGCAACACTTCGATACAAGACGCTCCTCTAACCCATCTGCACCAATTAACACTAAACAAACGATTTGACGAAGTGTGTTAAAATAGCCTTATGCAACGAGGATAAATTACCCGTCCAACTGTCCAAAAATCATCTGGCTTGCCTCCGTGGCCATCTAATAGAACATGTTGGCAGTGGAGAGTGTGGCGCCAGTTGGCAAGATGCTCATCGATGTAGCCAAGCTTAGAATAGGCCCGGTGCATTTGTCTCCACAAGTAGGTACAATGTGTAAAGTGGTGTTCGTTGGTCACGAAAAGATCCAGGTCGCCTGTCAATGCGTCCTCTTCAGAAACTTGTGTCCGTCCTTTCACGTCGGCGAAATACGACCACGACCCACGGTGAGTCCTGAAGGCCTCGGCAGTTTCGTGGTCGTAACATTCTGGAGTCTGCCATGCGAATAACAGAATATCAAAACGGCAGTGACGCCTGCGCGCTTCCTCTAGGCTTCCACCACAGTCGTCCCACACCCGATTCGACGCAAAGAGATTAGCATTGGATATAAAGGAGGGCTCTGGCACCACGAAGTGCGCAGAGGGGAGGGTGGGAAACAAAACACAAGCAGCTAACTCAAGCCAGTTTTCTCAAGCACGGTTGAAAATCCTCATCTCGGACCACTGATCAACGATAGCGTGTAGTCTGCATGCTGTTCAGCTCTCGGGTATGAACTCCATTCCGTTTTAGTGTTCTTAGCTGGTGCCACAAGGCTCCAGTAATGAGATCATGACAAGATCACTGCCCCACCGGCAGCAGAATTGAAAAAGCCCTCGTCGACCCAACAATAATCCATATCGTCCTACAAGCATCAATCCCATACACACACAACGTTTGACCAGCTCATCTACACCGCTGTCCCAACCTACTATCAGCATCAACATGAAGGCCGTCACACTGGTAGGCTTTGTTGCCTATGCAGCTTCGGCTGTATCATCACCCATCATCAGCGGACGGCAATCAACCACAGATCAACTCTTCGAAGCTCTTGGTCCTCTTGGAGAATTTGTCAATGGCGTTAACAACTGCACTCCTGTGGACGTCGGCGTCGGCGCTGTGGAGCCGAACGGATCGATCGCAACCATTAACCTGGATATCGATCAGAACGATGTTCGTGTGAACGGGATTCTCAAATGCATCTCCAACGCTGTGCCTGTACCTGTCTCATCTCGCCCAACAACAAAGCGATCACCCGGCCTCGATATTGATCTCGGCGTTGCCTTGTAGCGCGGTCTACAACATGATTAAAGAGATGAAGGGTGGTACCAGTCATGCGAAAGGGAAAGAGGACGAGGGCTGCTTTTGTGTATCTAGAGTTAATAGAACGAGGAACACACTTGGACTTTCTGATGGAAATTGCTTCAGTCTACATGAAAGAGAGACATTCATTCACCTATGTTGGGTTTCGTTTTAATGTCCACCTAAGCGAGATCTCGTTGTAGTCACCACGAAACATCAAGAATCGAGGCTTCATGGCAGCAGTGTGGAACGGGACGGACGTCTGGCCTCAAATGGCAAGTGGATTGCGAACTGTTTACTGAGCGTCATACATCTTGGTCATCACGAACTGGACGAACTATGTATGGACGGTCTTCGCAGGAACGGTCACCCTGTGTCTTCGTTCCCATGGCCAAATCGTCTGCCTGATCCAACGCAAGACCCACCGTTACAACTCCTTGATGGTCTTTGCGGCGGCACTCAAGCTCATCGGCAACATTGTCCTTCTGGCTGGCGATGGGAACAACCGGCCAACGCGAAACATGGCGCGTTCACGGTTGTAGAAGCACAGGTGGGCTCTCAAGCTTCAGTTCCTCATGACGATGTTGCCATTGTCACTGCTGGGCTTTCGCTTTGGAATACGTTGAGTAAGTCCCCATGAGAAAGACAAAGCCACGGACGAAATCTTCTTACTCCCATACTCAGGGGGTTTTCGGTCGGCTACAGCATCTCTACGGCTGTCTGACTCGTTGGTATGCAGCAATGCCTCCTTCACGGACGGCACTTCCCCAGGGGTAGCATCTTAGAAGTTCTATCCTGCCATGAAGCTCACGAATGGTAGCTGGAGGTTTCGTAGGTAGTTATTACCGTTCCATGCACTTCCTTCTCTTTTCGTCCAGAAGCTGCCCTAGTCTATGAGCATGGTTGCGGAAGCCTTGGCACACCGAATTCATGACTCGGGAACAACACTGCAACAGTTCATCACCACCGTTCTGGTCGTAGCATTGGCTACAGTGGTCAATAGCCAAGCATGTGTTAAGTCGTTCTGAGTTTGGATTTGAGATCGTACAATGATGCTGACTTTTCGAAAGCTTATCGCCTGTTGAATCTTCGACAAGAACGCCTGTTTATGTATTACCTTCGCCGATGGTCGTATCGAACAGAACTCTATACATATTTCCTTTGCATACCAATCGTCGTCACTGTTCCGCCTCGTTGCTCTATCAGACCTCAAAATCTCAGCAGCCCACGCATTCACCTCCCTAACGCCATTGTTTTTATTCGAAGGACTTCGTAGTTGGGTGAGATTCGATTGTCTAAACAGACTCTTGGGGATATTTCGCTCTTTGTGAATACTTGAGCTCGACAGTGTCGGTATCACGGCTCGTAATCGGTTCGAGTCGTTGATTTTGACGCGATCGTCGAAATTCGACGAACGACACAGCGGCCGTGTGTGCTGCAAGAATACTAGGTAATCGTTAGCCACGTTCGCCTTTCGACGGAAATTCGAAGCATACGTCAAGACGATTGAAACACCAACAACCACCCAGGATAGCGTGCATCCTACACCTACACATCTCGAGATGTTGGCTTGGATGACCAGAAAGACCACGGCTCCCCAGAAGACATTTTCCAACGCATTGAGTATGGCGTTGGCTTTGAGACTTGCCCACTTATGGAAGTAGGCAACGTGCTCCGTGAGAAGCTGATAGCCGATGATGATGAGTGATTTAGCACCCATACCGAGCGCAATGGTGTTTGCTCTTGTTCGAGGTTGGCCTTTCATGAAGAGTCTTGGGACTGATAAGCCGATGGCGATGATGACCAGTATGATCTGAACAATGTGAATTGGAAGCTTGTAGCGGGGATTGAGCATGTCTTGAAGAGCCATTGCGGTTGTGAGGTTGGCTTAATCGTTTTTGGTGTATTGTTTGATCGTTGGAGTTTGTTTCGTTGGAAGGCTGTAGAAGAGGATCGTTGTTGCTTGTGATGGCAAGGACCAGATCGAGGGACGCCATATGGCTTTTATTTGTTTGAATCAACATCTCGACAACCTTCGTTCCCTACAATCTTTGTGTATACGATCAATGCGATGTAAAGCGATCTTCGACATTGCTCAAGCCCCCAATTATAGGGCAGGGGCGAATGCGAGGCAATGCGAGCTTTCGCCAAGCATTCTCAGCCAGATCTCCTTGCAGAATTCGTCACTTGGCTGTGGTCTGACGTCCCAGCAAACTCGATCCACAGTGGCTGCAGACAGGCTATGTTGCATAACTGAGATCTATCCATGCTGAAGAGGCTATGTCGTCGGGCTTGGCGGGTGCCTGATGAGACGAGCGACACGACCCGGGCGAATCCGAGGACATACGAGGCACTTTGAATGCCAGAAAATCCACGACGGCGGTCTCGATGAAGCGTATTTTCACTTCGGATATCTTGCTCATGGGCCGCTTGTGCGTGTGGTGTGATTCTTGAGCTGTGATGGCACAGCCTGACGCCGCCAAAACCTTCGCCTCACGTTGAGCACATGCGAGCTGATAAGGCGGACTCGATAGAACGCCGTCTTGTACGTGGAAGCGAGAGGAGGAGTGATGCCTGGAATCCCAATTTCTGGACTGAGCAGCAATGCTGTCCTGGGCTGGTCACACCTCTCTCTCTCATCACCGGCCTTTTGCGCATCATCCGAGAATTATAGACGTGGCAAGGGTCTTTTTGACTTCTCAATGCCGGAGCCGCGAGCTCGACTTTCTGAACGGACCGTGGTTCTAAGCTCTCGTGCAAAGACATTGAGCTTGTTGTGTGAGACCCCAGCTTGGGCGCGCTTCTCAAGCACTTCATCACCGCGGTCTTAACCGGTAAATCATTATTGGTCCGTAGACGACCGTCTCCTTCGCTGACTACTCGAGAACTCACTGATTCCCGACTTGGCTAGTACCCGTTAGCGTGACTCCGTGTATATATAGGGCTCTTCTCGCATTCTACGAACACCCAGTCGTTGTCGGCCATGCGGCGAATTTTGTCCGAACATTCAGACGCCACGAGCAGCCCAAAGCAACGAAGTGTCGGTCTCGCCAATTTCGCCCGGCCGAAGCAACTTGAGCTTCATTGGACCTCTCGAAGATCGCCGTAGCGTCGAAAATGTCTATGGACTTTTACAGGAGTGTTAAAATGCTATATCCGTTTGAAAGAATGCCGTTGGCAGGGCAATACACTGCCGGGAGATAGACTTTATCTCCGCGAAATGACAACGCCATCCTTCTGTTTACACATCAATATTGATACGAAAGAAGGCTAGCGTAGTCGCACTCGCGCAATGTTCCCGCGGAGAGATGGTTTGTGACGTGCCAACGGACTCGATTTTGCGATTTGACCGACTCCTAGTGACACTTGCATTTCGAACTCAAGATAAAAGGCAGCAGTAATGGCACGTCCTCGAGACGATCATCCAAGCAAACCAGACACCACTGCAGTTCCAAGCCGCCTCTATACAACACTCAAATCGCCACAATGCCTCAGAAAGTCTTTATCACTGGAGCCGCAGGCTTTATCGGCTCAGCCGTGACTGCAGAGCTCATTTCTCATGGCTACGAAGTCCTGGGTCTAGCTCGCAGTGACAGTGCTGCAGAAACAGTCACCAAGAATGGCGGGAAGCCTCACAAGGGCGATCTCGAGGATCTGGAGAGTCTGAAGTCTGGGGCGGCTGCTTCGGATGGAGGTAATCGCAGACATGCAATTCTCAAAGTAGAGAACTATCCTGATTGACTTGTTTTGCAGTGATACATCTGGCTTTTGTCCACGACTTCTCCAACCTCGATAGAGTCTGCAACATCGACCAAGCAGCAATCAAAGCCATGGGCGAGGGGTTGGCCGGCTCGAACAAGCCACTGATTGTAGTGTCTGGCACCCTCGGATTCCCCAAAGGCCAATTGGCAACCGAAGATACTGAGATTGAACGAGGCACTCCACTCTCCAAACGCGGCGAATCGCAGGATTTGGTGAAGCAGCTCTCGAAAGACATCGGGATCCGTGGCATGGCAATCAACTTGACACCGACTGTCCATGGTAGAGGTGATAAGGGATTTGTTCCCACTCTTATTGATGCCGCAAAGAAGAATGGATACGCAACCTACATCGGCGACGGCTCCAATGTCTGGCCGGCAGGACACCGACTCGACGCTGCAGTGCTCCTGCGCCTCGCTTTTGAGAAAGGCAGGGCTGGTGCAGTCTACAATGCAGTGGCCGAGCAGGGTGTTAGCCACAAGGATATCGCGGAGGTCATTTCGAAGAGGCTCGGCATCCCAGCCGAAAGCAAGAAGCCGGAGGAGGCGATGCAGACGCTGGGCTTTCTCGGTGCGGTCATTGGATTGAACAATCCTACGTCTGGCGAGAAGACGCAGAAAGAATTGGGCTGGGAACCGAAGCAGATTGGCCTCTTGCAGGACATGGAGGAGAACTACTTCATTCCCGGTGCGGGAAGCAAGTACGTCCAGGGCTTGTAATAATGAGGGAAGTTCGATGTGAGCACCAGAGGCAAAAGAACCGTGAGCGAAATTACCAGATGATGACACGAGAAATAATAAGCACTGCCCTTCGCATCGCGATACCAACGCTGAGGACACTCCTTCCAGCGTCGCCATGCAACGTAAGTTTTCATTGTCCGACCAACATATTGTCAACCACGGGTTGAGTGTCAGCCATCCATTCTGTACCAGCACTTACTTTCTAGTACACACTGCATGAGATACACGATCCGCTGGCCGAAAAATTATCTTGCTGATGCGTCGGCGTTGCTGGGGTGCCAGCGTTGAAGAAACGGCAGTACCATACGGAAGTCGACCACCCTCGTTCAAACCTCGAAAGCTGGCATTTGCGGCTGTGGAAAACTAATCGAAGATACTGCGCCATTATCACTCACATCTATGATGCATACATTGGTACTGATGTGCGTTGAAGGTCTGTCATGACAACCCTGTCGATGGAGAGCCGGCGTGGCGAGCAGAGCAGGCTGGAGGTTGTCCCGGCCGACCTCCCACACCCAGCGAAGACAGCCATCACGACGACAGAAAGCACACCATTGTATAAGAGGTGAGTGTTCGCAGTCTTGGCCTGATCATCAGCAGCAACAAGAACAGCAACAATCTTCACCTCAAAGCAGATCCTCCACAGACCCAACCCCCATCTCTTGAGAATGGCAGTCCTCTCCGTCATCCTCGCTCCCCTTCTCGCTGGCATCTGCATCGCAAAGCCTCTCGGTACACGAGTAGCAGATGCGCCGATTTTCGCTACAGATTCGGTGGCGACTTTCACGTGGGCTGATGCTACGCAAACAACCACAGCAACTTTCACTCTCCCGAAGCGTGAAGCAGTTCCAACCTGGCCACGCCGCATGCATCACCCGCTCGACATCGCACGCCTAGCCCAATCATCTCCAAAACCCATCCGTGTCCCACAAGGCGACGAAGAGAAAGACTTGGTTGTGACTCCGAAGCATCAAGTCGAGCACCCTCCGATCAAAACGGGAATTCATCATGAGCCCATCTCCGCGAAAGAATCCCGTCCCACTTCTCATGTGCCTGACCCTACGAAGACGTCCACCTCCCCGAATGCTCCGACGGAGATTGCCCTTTTGCACGAAGCGGCAATCCTCCACGAGCGTCAAGATGTGTCAACATTCACCTTCACCGGCATCAGCACCACCGCAACCTTTACCTTCAGCTCTCCAACCGGCACTGGGGCTTTCTCCTCCTTATTTACCCTCACCGACACGACGGGTCTGCCTTTCCAGAAGGAACGCCGAGATGCGGCGACGACGGTGACGGCAGCTATCGATGGCTTGACCAGGACGTTCACCTTCTCCGAAGCGACAGACTTCCCTTTCACGGCTCTTTCGCTGGATAAGAGAGTCACGGCTGCACCGACCCCGTCTGCGTATCCGGTCAATGCTGTGGATACTTGTGCGGATGCTTGCGATGCGGCGGATGTGTCTTGCTCCGAGTTGTTGACCTCTTACACAGCGAACACTTTGTGGTGAGTTGGCATCAGTTCCCTGAACAGTGGCATAGAATACTAACAACCCCTTCTGTAGTTCTTCCTGGTTCACGAGCTGCCACAGCTTCTGCTCCCTGGCCTCCGCGACTGCTATCCCAACTCTATCTCTGTGAAGACAGAATTTTCCTAGCAGAGGCCATAAGGAAGGACCCACGAATAATGCCCAACGATTGATGGATCTGATTATATCATGCCACGCCAGCACAACCAAAGAGAGACGCCTCACGTGTCAATGAGATAGAATGAATAAACGCATGACGACTTTCAACCATTTCTGCTTGTCCCACCAGCTTACACAATCTCGATTCGCCCTCGCATCAAGTGTGGTGCGACGTGTTGTCTGTTGCAGCACATGCTCTGTCATCGGCTTCACTCGAAGCCGCTTTTCGGGCCCGCTGAGTGAATGTTCAGCCGACTCTGCGGAGTTGGATAGAATCAGCAGCTTGGAGCCGCCAAACCTCCCGGTTGTAGGTTGCATTGGGTAAATATGATTGGTTGAATCAAATAGCACTGGGTCGGAAGGAGTTTGGACGTTTCGTCGTCACTTCACTGCAACCAAGCACAGTGTGGGCCTGTGTTTTTGATCGATGGCCCTCGGAAGATTTTGCCGCCTTCCATTGCTATCATCCCGTCTGGGAGGCTGTTGGATCGTTTCCAGCTCCAAAGACATATAAGAAGACCCTTCATGGCCTATCACAGCTCAATTCTCTTCCCACCAAACATCCTCCAACCCACAATGTCTACCCTCAAACCCCTCACCCTCTGGGGCGCCGGCGGGCCCAACCCGCCCAAAGTAGCCATGACACTCAACCTCCTCTCCCTCCCCTACACCAAAATCCCAATCCCACTCTCCGAAGTCAAGAACCCCAAATACACCTCCCTCATCAACCCCAACGGCCGGGTGCCTGCGATCCAAGACCCCAACACCGACACGGTGCTGTGGGAGAGCGGTGCGATCGTGGAGTATTTGGTCGAGACGTATGATAAGGAAAGGAAGATCAGCTTTGAGAGGGGGACGAAAGAGGCTTGGGAGGCGAAGCAGTGGGTGTTTTTTCAGGTTAGCGGGCAGGGGCCGTAAGTCATCACCGACCTCTATCATCGATTGTTTCTGGGATTGCTGATGTTGCTTTACGTGGTGTAGATACTACGGCCAAGCCTCCTGGTTCAAGACCTTTCACGCAGAAAAGCTTCCCAGCGCGATTGAGCGCTACGTGAAGGAGATCAACCGCGTGACGGGCGTCTTGGATACACATCTCTCCAAGCAGAACGACAAGTATGGCAAAGCCGGGAATGGGCCATGGCTCGTAGGCGACAAGCTCTCCTACGCGGACGTTTCGTTCGTCATGTGGCAGTATCTCGTCACCGAGCTGCCGGGCTTCAAGGGAGATGTGAACATGGACGAGTATCCGTTCGCGAAGGATTGGCTGGGGAGGTTGTTGGAGGTTGAGGGGATGAAGAGTGTTATTGAGAGTTCGATGGCGGCGATGCACCAGACGAGTGAGTGGCAGGGTATTGATAAGTATTTGCCATGATCGTCCTATTGTAGCTGGCGATAGTATGCGAACAGCGCAATCGAGGCAGTCACAACAGTCGCTGCTGTGATCACTATATTTCTCGTGGCTTTCTCATTCCTCGGGTCCTGAACCTTCGACTTGAACGCCTGAAATTCCGCCGTTGAGTTGCCCTGAGGGAATGGTTCTTTCGGCACAGGCTTGCCCAAGAATTGGCACAATGGCTCCCATCCATCCTCAACACTCCACTCCAGATACTGGCGACCCTGAACACGGCAGACCTCCTTGACATCATCGTAGTGTTTCTCATAGAGCTCGCCCATGCGGTGCGGGTTTTGTTCAAAAGCTCCCACAAACAATGGCTCCAGCAAAGACTGCGTCCACAGCCTGAGCCAAAACAACTCGGTCAGGAAGAAACTCTTGACCAGCCGCGGCCAAGATGAGTAGATCCCAATAAGCGTACCTTTGACGCTCTGTTCCCAGGCCTTGACATCTCTCCGCTTGTTCAGCACGACCTTAGCTTGCGGGTAGCATCTGATCAGCTCCTCGCTGAAGATGCAGCACGGAGAATCCGTCACGGCCATGCAATGGCCTAAAATTCGGTCAAATTCCTCCGCGCACAAAAATGCCTTGTCTCCGTTCATCTTCGCTTTCCCAAGACGATGCCATTGTGGTACGTCGGACACGCGATGAGAGACGACTTGCAGGCCGTGGTAGGTCTCATCGTAGCCTAGAAGTACCAGAGCCTTGGATAGAGATTCCGTTCCAGAGCGAGAGAGGCCTAAGCATAAGACTTCCAGCGGGCGGTCACGTTTGAGGTTGGGCTCTTGTATGGGGTAAATTATCTTCGCCAGCGCGAGGAAAGCATTCGTGGTGTGCATCTGCAAGGTCGTCATTGTCGTTCCTGGGAGGCTGCAGCAGTAAAAGGCTGCTGTAAAAGTGGCACTATCGGCTTCTTTTGAGACAGTATAAAAGTCCGCTATTCGCACATGAGCCACAGCTCACGGCCCGATGGATCCGAACAACACAAACAAGCTCGTGTTGGACACCGTGCTCCGTATGCGCTATTTAGCAGCTCACCAAAGAGTATGTCGTCATAGCTGAATGAGTGTTCATGGAGCACATTCATCTTGCATGCCACTGAGAACTCTGACTGATTCGGTGGATATCTGAGACGTCCAAATGCGCGCTCCAGTCAGCGCCAAGAACCAATCGTATAATCCTGAAGGCATCGGGTTTTCGGTGGCCTTATAAGTGCGACTAGATTAAGTTCATCATAGCCTGTACATTCTCGACATGCTCGCCGGTTCCTTTATAGCGGCTATATGCATCGACCAAATCCAGGAGTAAGTGACACTGCTCACCCTTGAGCAATATTCCTCGTACGAAACCGAGTAGCAGCTGCAAATCCTGGACCAGCATCGCCCATACGACAGAGCGTTCGAGGTTGGATAGTGTTCTTGATCCTGGTACGACGTAGATCGGTCGCGCAACGCACAGCCTGACACCAACCCAGTTCTTTCAGAGCACCTACTTCTTCGAAGAAGTTTTGTGCCATATCGAGGAGGAAGTCGGTGAAGTCCACGTATGGGAGGCTGAGAAAGTTCGAGTAATGGTGAATACTGCGGCAAAGATTGCGGGCATTGTCGTACGCACTGCGCTCGACTTCATCTGGTGATAAATCTTTGAGGAAGCTGGCTGACTCTGGCTGGAAGTGTAGTAGTCGGAGCAGGGTGCAGTCCAGGAGCAAGCCCATCAAAATGTCGTATGTGTGATTCTTTACCAGGTAGCCAGGAGTCCTGAATCGGAAGAATGTAGTGAAAGTATCGGAAGTCGTCATGAAGCAATGCTCTTCGATCTCCATGTCGAAGGCATTGGGTTCTTCTTCGGTAGTGAAGGTTACGGGCACTTCGAGGTAATTTCCATGCGTTCTCCTCGTCTTCTCCTCATACCAGTCCTTCACGTCTTGTCGTATCTTGCATATGTCGGTACAGATTGCTTCGGTCTCCGTCGGATCTGTTTCTGCGGCCATCATATTATCAGTACGCTCAAGTAACGCCGGAATTTGCATGACGATGCGATAGAAATCCGTCAATGGCCCTCTGCTTTCGACATTCGCCTCAGCCAAAGCGAGCCACTGCGGCTCTCCGAGAATAATGGCCTTCCTGCGTGCGACTCCAGCAAACAAAGTCGGCATTCGTAAGTTCCAGAAGATCAACCGATCGAAAGGTTCTGCCATGTTGAGAAACGAGGCGCCGTACGCTCGAAGTAGCTGTTGAGCACCCCAATAATGAGTTCCCCAGCCACCCTCTTGGTGAGGCACCGGAATAGAATCGTCATACAAGCATAGCAACATGATGCTAGTGATGACGGCTTTGGGTTCCATGTAAGGTACTTCACCTGCAGGGGCGCTGGTAGCCTTGATCAGCGAGTTCAACACTTTTCCATATGACGCTTGAGACTCTCGGACAAGACGCATGTCACCCGTCTTCGAGCCGATGTGGGCGAAACATAGTGTATCGATAGCTATTCTCAGAAGTGGCGTGGATGTGAGGTCGATATCTGGTAGAGCAGCCAGATAAGAGCGTCTATTCGCAAGGCCAGCTCGTGCTTCTGCGGTGGGGAAGTGAGTGTTCAAGAAGTCGGACAACATTTGCATCTGCTGGACTGGGCGAACGTTGACTCTGGTATATCTCTGGCTGGCGGGCCTGTTTTGGCTCTGTATTATTGCGCTTCTAGTTCGAGCGTGGCTGGCCGTGCCTCGCGATAAAGTACAGCTGGTGACCGTCTCCGCGTCGCTTTCTGGACTGTCTGATGATGACTCGCCATCATCGGCAGCAATCTCTGGTATGTTTCCAGCGGGCTGGTCTGGTGGCGAAAAAGACACATTTAGCCGGCAATCACGTTCGATCAATGGATACAAGAATTACCTGCTGCGTGAACGAACACACGCTCGATAGCTTCTGCAACACAAGGCTCGCAATAAGGGCCGACTTGGTCACGCTGGAAGCGGTGATTAGTACATACAATCCTTCCGAAGTCAAGGTCTCGAACGAGATCAATTCACTCACACCTTGCTTTAGTCTGCCGCACAGTTCGCAGACGCTCATCGATCCTGTCTGATCGGCTCCTGTCTTCTAGAGCTCGTGCAATCCTTTTTGTGCTTCCAAACAGAGAGTCATGATGGAGCGATGCCTTCCAAATCGTCTGCACCGCCAGTCACACCACGCTGCGCCTTTCGAGAGTCCCTTGAGCTGGGCAGGATGACGGCAGGGCTAGACCAGAAGATAGCAGGACGAAGTCCTAATGCAAGAAGCCGGAAGTCTATCGGGATTTCCTGATATCGACATGTCTCCCACGTGATCAGCGGCGTTTGTGGGTGTCTCTCGTGCGCGAAGATGGAGTCTTCGAGCGGACACAGCATGATCGAGGCGATGCATGACTGTTGGTCTTGTAGACGATGAGGCCGTCGCCGTTGGAAGAGGTGACGTCCCGGATGCCGGATGCCGTGGCCTTGCCGTGGCGGCTGAATCGACTTCCGCGCCGGCCTCGACCGGGGCCAAAATCAGCCTCGACTTGTTCACCTCAGAACACCTTCTCCTTCAGCATCATCCACCATATGAGTGCCATCGAACCAATCCAGTTGGGGGATCCCGTTGCATTGGCCTGGGGCACATGGTCGGTAAGCGCTTTGCATGCCTTGCCGCCAGATGCTGAACTTCGATCTCGAAAGACCGCAAACTCCGGTATGAACTGCGATTCAGGTCCCCTGAGAAGATGGTCAGCAATTCCTTGAGCCTCCTACGACTGCGGTCCTGAATTACTGGATTGATTGGTCCGCGATGCTGGTCGGACAGCAGCATTGTGCTTACTTGCCTCCGGAATGACGGTCTGCCACCGCCAAAGCCTGCTCATTCGCAAGTCTTTGATGTGACGCTAGCTGGAAGTCGACGCTCGAAGCGCCTCCAGATCTGTACTGAAATCTCAACATGGCATAATGAGGTGCGGTGGCCGCTCTACTGATATACTGCCGACTTCGTTCTCAAGCCCTAGAAGGCATGGTTGTCAGCGGCCCGCATCCTGTGGAAAAGCCGCCTGCATCAAGGTTGAAAGCATTGTTCGTTCCTGGCGATATATGCGAAGACGCTGTCCAATGCTCTCTTCTGGAACCCTCAAGCATGGCCGTCTTCCATTCGTGAGAATCGGAGACTGCATTCATGGGGACAAGCTTGAAACATTCTGTCTTTGCAACCGCCTCAAATAATGAAGGTCTTCTCTTTCGGCAAGGGACTTGACTAAGGCATTGGAAAAGAGATCAAAATGAGGTCGAACTTCTCAACACGTTGAACGAGATCTTCATCATGGCCAAGCCACTTCTTATTCGCTGAGCACAAGCTGCGAGAATCGGCATACCACTTTAACGACTGCTGGGCGCAGACTCGAGTTGCGTGCGCCACACTAGACGATCTATTGGACTCAATTGGACTGCGACCATTTCTGGAGGAATCTTTCACTTGCTCTAGCCGGTGTACTGCGTCCGTTGGCGGTACATATGCATGGTCTTCACAGCAACTCGACTGGATGCGGAATACTACTCTACAGACAAACTCCTAATACCATGTCCTCCACAGTCTTTTTTGGAGCTTTCAGATGGCTCAGGAATCTGCTCTGCGGGAGTCTTCGTCGTTTGCTGCGATCAATCGCCGACAGTCCAAGACAGGACTCGCAGCATAGTGCAATCGGCTCCAAAGCCTCGCTTGAACTGCTCGCATTTTCCGGACCATGGTCTGCCGTCTTCTTGGGAATCGAATCGTAAATCAGACCTCAGATTGAAACAGAGCCTCCATCACGAAGCTGTTATTTGGCGAATGCGCTTCGATCCGTCAAGCCAGAATTATGTGTCTCTGCTCACTGCCTTAGAGCGCTGTGGACTACTACAGATGTCAACCAAGAAGAAATCGCAGTATTTTCTCCGAGCCATCACAATCAACAACATCAATCCGCGCTCGCAATGTGGACTGCTCTCCTGCAAGACACAACCCCGAGGTAAAAAGATCGCCGGTTGACCTCTTCCCCACACGCTACTGCACCGCCATCTGTACTACTTCCTAATTTGGTAGGTAGATTCGCCCTCTGCAGGTAAGCTTAAAAGGCTAAACCAACTGTTCACCACAATCTGGAACTTCGATTTGGAGTTGGGTCCCGAGAGTGCCTTACATATCGCGCAGTACGACCAGAGGATCGCTAGATGCCAGCAGACATGTCCCCAATGGCGGCTAATCTACCGCCATACTTTCCCCTCGATCACGAACGGCATCACAAAGCCATGTCAACCCGCACAAGTAGAGCTTCATCTAGGAACCTTCTTACTCCTTCAGAGACGCCATGGAAGTCAGCTATATTCACCAATTATGGCGCAAGCAGTCACCATTGCTCCAATCAGCCATCCCTCATAGACTGCGTACATTTCCTTCACGGAGGAAGCCGTGGAAGCCTCCAGATATGAAGCAGGCCTCGGCATGGAAGCCAATGGCATAGCTCTCGAGCAGCCGTCTAAAGCTACAAAAGCTTTAAAGGTCCTTTTTCTGGACCTTTGGAGCCCAAAGCCATCCTCAGCTCTATCTCGAACGAGGACTCGAGCAATGCTCCCGCAGCGTGGCTTGATACATACTCCCATTCGAAAGCGCCTTTGAACGAAAATGCCGAGGAGTAGGAAAACCGACCGCGTGATACATCTACGTGTTTTCAGAATAGGTAGGCGTTGCGGGACAGGCTGACTTTCGAACCAGGTCTTCAAGTAAGGACCGACCTCGTGTCAATGCATTGACATATTTCTTGATACTCCCTATTACTCTCTCGCCTGTGCTGGCAACATGGCGATATCCTTTTCAACACTGTCACTACTCACCGTCCTCCCAGCATTCAGCAACACAGCTTTTGCAACCCCACTCGATCCTCGAGCAGGCGCTCCCGTCCTCTCTATCACGAACAGCCAATGGACCGCACTCAACAAAAGCGTCGGTGGGAGACTTCAGGTCGCATACCCGTTCGCCAAACCCTGCTATAGCTACTTCAACGGCAATCCCATCATGCCAGACGTCGCCGCATGTTCCGCCGTCCAGAACGGATACGTCGACGAGCAAAGCATAGCCAACAACTTCGGAGGCTATATCAACGTACGTTAAATTACTATCTCCTTTCCAACCCACTTCTAACAACCCCCTCCAGACCAACTGGGCCACCTGCCAACGCCACGCCCAAACCTGCTCCCTCGACTTCACCGCGTCGCAAAACCCTACCTACTACGCCCCACCCGTCAACTGCTACCAAGGCTCCGTGCCCACCTACTACATCTCCGTGCAGAAAACCTCCGACATCCAGTCCGCCCTCAAATTCTCCAACACCACCGGCGTGCCCCTCGTGATCAAGAACTCCGGCCACGACTACAAATGCCGCTCCGCAGCGCCGAACTCCCTCGCGTTGTGGATGCACAACGTCCAGCCGCCGATCAAGCTGAAGAAAGGGTTCACGCCGGACGGATGTCTCGACCCTGCGGGCGACGCGGTGACGTTCGGTGCCGGGCAGGGGTTCGCGGGGGTGTATGAGTTTGCGGAAGCGAATAATATCACCGTCGTCGGGGGGAGTAGTCGGACGGTGGGGCCGGCGGGGGGATGGATCTCTGGGGTGGACATGGGGCTTTGTCGAATACGCTCGGCTTGGGCGTGGATAACGTCCTGCAGATTCGTACCGTGCTGCCGAATGGGACGTATGTGACGGCGAATCGGTGCCATAACCAGGAGTTGTTTTTTGCGTTGAGGGGCGGTGGCGGGAGTACGTTTGGGGTGAATTGGGAGATGACGACAAGGGCGCATCCTCAGGTATGTGGAGATATATCTTTCTTCCCTACTCCTCGCGTCATCGCTTGGTGCTGATGTGTCTGATGTGATGTGCAGTTGACCCTCCAAGTCCTCTACATTCGCTTCGAGGCTACAAATACCTCCTCCATCACCCAATTCACCCGCATCCTCACTCAAAACGGCGACCGCTGGGCCTCCGAAGGCTGGGGCGGCTACGTCGTACGTTCCCGATCCCAATCCACCCCCTCCACTCCACTCCACTCCACACTTCTCCCAAAAGAAAAAGTGACTAACCTCCCTCCCCCCTCAGGCCCCCGGCGCCCTCTCCACCCAAATCTCCGGCCTAATCCTCCTAACCCCCTCCCTCTCCTACGCCGACGCCGTAACCCCCATGTCCACTAACAACCTACATCGCCTCCCTAGGCAACCTGGTCCTCGACAACAGCCTCTCCACCTCCCCCTCCTTCTACCAAGCCTACTAAAAATACATCTCCCCGAACCAAGAAAAAGTCGGGCTGGGCATCGCTCTGGGCTCCCGCCTCATCCCGCGTTCCCTCCTGCAGACGGAGGATGGACAGGAGGCGTTGGTGGAGGCGATTGGGAAGGCGAGTGAGATGGTGATTCCGAGTTCTTCGACTTCCAACCTTCTCGCAGACCCCAAAGCTTTGACGTATGGGTCTCCGTTTCAGATTCTGGTTACGGCGCCTTCGTCGTATGCTTCGAGGAATGATTCTGCTGTGACGCCTGCTTGGTACTCTGCCGCGTGGCATATTGCGTTAGGACAGGGGTTTGCGAACTCGGCTTCCGCGGCGGAGATTCAGACTGCGTTTCAGACGGCGCATGATGCGGCGCAGGTCTTGAGGGATGTGGCGCCAGGGAGTGGGGCGTATATCAACGAGGCGGATGTGTTTGAGCCGGAGCCGGAGGAGACGTATTGGGGCCTGGAGACTTATCAGAGATTGTTGGCGTTGATGAAGAAGATCGACCCCGGGAATCTTTTTACGTGTTGGGGATGTATCGGGTGGGATAGTACCGATGCGAGGTATGGGTGTTATCCGAGTTTGGATTGATTAGATAGATAAAGGTCACGAATCGTGGGTATATCGAATCAAACCAGAATTTCCCACATCTGCTGCTGTTCATTGCACAGCACATCCCCATCCTTTCTTCTCGCCCTCTTTTTCGAGCTCCACGACTCTCTCCTCGACTCTTCGTACGCCCTTCTCGTAATCTTCCACGCCAGCTTGAACATCCTCAACTCTGCTCCTCAGTCCACCAATCTCGTAATCGAGCTTCGCAGCGTACGTCTCGATTTCTTTAGCACCTTCCTCTAATCGTTCCTTTGCTTCCCGCAAAACGCCCTCGGAATGGACTTGCATTTCTCGCACCGCCTGCAACTTCGGGTAGTGTAATGACTCGAGCGTCCCTTGATCGTAGTCGCACTGTTCAAGAATCTGATCGAGACGGCGGATTTGACCCATCGTCCAGTCCGTCGTCTCAGATTGAAGGGTGGTGATCAGACTGCGTAGGCGCTTGGCTTCCTTGGCTTCAAGCTCTTCTGCTGCGAGTTGAGCGTCGAGGTTGGTGTCGTAGAAAGGATCGTCGCCATCATCTGCCGGACCGGTCCAGTGAAGGACGCTGTCTTCCGCTAAGCTGAAACTGAGGTGGCGTGGGAAAGCTGCGCTCGAGTGGGCTTGGAGTTGGACGTTGACGTAGTGATTATAGGAGAGTGTCCGGCGGAGGAGAGTGCTGGCGTCAACTTCAGTCTCGGGACCAGTCGGTAGGATCTCATTGAGGTCGATGCCGTTGTATATCGAGCCTGCTACTGACGCTGTCGCAGTAACAGTCCGTGATGGGTCTGTATCGCCATTCTCATCCTGTTGTGGATGCTCGCTCGTCTCGCCGCTGATCTCTCTTGAAAGACTCGCAACGGCAGGCGGCTGCAAGCTTTCTTGGGAAGCCAGTTGTGTATCTGATGCGTCAATCATGGAGCGTGACTCGGCGGTGTCTGCTCGCTTTCTGCCAAGAGCAACGTTCAAGCGACTGCTTTGCTCAGCAACGGTGTGCATCTGTCCCCGTCCGTCACTCCTGTTGCCTTCTTCTGGACTGCTGGGACTACCAGTCGGGCTGGTGTGTGACCTTCTCAGTAGCGGTCTGCGCGTTTTGGTTTCATTCCGTTCCACAGGTGACGTTGGTGAGTGATCGTCAGTGGAAGGCTTCGATCTGTGACCAAGTCCCACAGCGCCTTTGCCAATGTTTGTGGCACGCTTCAAAAGTGAAGGCTTAGCAAGACCTTCCTCACTCTCATCACCCTCCTCAAGCGGCGTTGGTCGGTTGAACTCTTCGAATTCCTTGTCCTGCTCTCGTCTGGAGGCAGGCACACCGTCTACAGTGCTTTTCCATCCCGAGGTCCAAGCAAATCCGCCGTGCTCGTCCGATTTGAAGACCAAGGTGCGGTTGAAGGCTGGCGGTTCTGACACTTCCTTCGGATCGTGGCCGTCGCTCAGTCTGTGTTTCTTGATGGGTTTGCCATACCACAGCCATTTCGCCCGGTCCCCAAAGACAAGCTGGACAAATCGGTCGATATCAACAGTCTCGATTTCCGCGATACCAGCTCGATCCCGTCGGCCTACCGCATCAATGATCATTTCACCTCCCTTTCCGCTCAGTTCAGCCACTGTCGATTTGACAGCTTTTGGGACGGCCCATCGCTCCTTGTCTGCGGCTTTCTGCGTCGCTTTGTGTAGGCGATCTAGAGTACGGCGATCCAGGCGGCGGGTGCGATTGATCCGTTGCTGCTTCTGAAAAGTGCCAATTCCCTTCTTCATGGCTTCAACGTCGAATGGATCTTTCGGTACAGGAGCATTAAGCGCATTCAGTCTGTTCCTCGCACCCATGAGAAGTCCTAGCAAGCCGGCAACAGTCGTGGGGCCAAGAACGCCATCATGAGGTTCGACGTTATAGTAGTCACCACCGATCTCGACCCACCAGTCGTTAATCGCCTTCTCTGTAACATCACACAATAGGCCATCGTTATAGTCGATCTCCAGCTTGTCGAACAGAGTCAAAGCGCTTTGAGAGAGTTTGACTAGTTCTATGACGGATTTATAGATTTCGTTCTTGTCGCTCGTTCGATAGAGTTGGTGAAATTTGGCAATAGTCGCAATAGCAGGTGGTGCCAAAGATAAGCCAGACCGACCAGAGCAGCCAAGTCGTTTGAGATCCTCGTTGACAAAGAACTCGTGACGATGCCTCGTGACATCTCCGTCGGGGACTGCTAGGACCGTAAGAGATGAAGGAAAGCCGGAGAGGTTGGTGACCATGAGGATTCCGAGTGGAGTGTCTCGACGGCGGGCGTGGTATTGATTCAGCGCTTTGAAATAGACTCGCAGTCGTAGCGACCAGGTACTTTCATCGGTTGGCACGCTCAGGACGCTGACCACGACTACATGTGAGGGATCGCCGGTGTATGTGGTGATGAGAAATGTTGGATGGCTCCGAGAGGTGGTCCATTGCTCGACGACATAGCACTCGTAGCCGTGGAGCTCACGTCGTCTGTCGAGGACGGATGTCGAAGGATCTTCTTCCAGGTATCGAAATGCAACAGGATCGGTCAAGACGAAGCGTTGGTGACCTGGTTGGGCTTTCGGGGAATTGAGGGAGCGTTCTTCGAGTTGGGTGGGAGTTTGAGGCCTTGGCGACGCTGGAGTGCCTCTGTGGTCGGTCGGGATTTGTGATAGCGAGCCAGCAGTTTCCAATGGCGGCGGCTTCCATCGCTTCTTCTCCACTGAGGATCTTCCCTTGTCGATGGAAGATCTCGTGGCCATCTTGGCAGGTCAGTAGCACGTCGTACCAGGCATGCCCGTTTCACCGGTTGCTTCTAGGTTCTCGATGCCATCCTGAGATCAAGCCGAGCACAAGATCATCGATTCGATCGAAGTTCAGACCCCGCAGTCCGGCTGTGTTAGGTGTTTCGAATTGTTCACCGGGTATTTTGATGGGAATACCTTGAGATGGGCGGGTCAGGGTGAGCGAGATGAAGTCACAAGCCACCGAGCGGACCTGGCTCCGCTGATATGCGCTTATCGCCGTCCCACGAGCTCGACCTCACCTTCCACAGCAGCAGCCGCAGCAAACAACGTACTTCGATCCATGCATACCGCTTCAAATGACTGAATGATCCATCCCACCATCAATATCGCCCACAAAACTTTTCCCAACCATGGACAACATCTTCGCCGCCCACCAGCAGCAGGAGACCAAAGGCAACCTCTCCAAGACCATCGACTCCGTCCAGTCCCTCATCGACCTGCTCCAAAGCACCCGCGATCATGTCGCCGCCGACCCTTCCATGTCCGCGCTCCACCTGGCGAAGCTCCAAACACCCGTCAAGCAGTCCTTCACCAAGCTGGAAGAGGATCTCAAAGAGGTGAACAAGGGCATGAACGCATACCAGAAAGCTCTCAAGGACAAGTTCAAGACGGCGAGTCTGCCGACGAGCAGTAATGAGGTGTTGAGCGAGAAGGAGGATTTGGTGAATCGCGCGATAGCTATGCACTTGCTGCGAGAGGGGAAGTTTAATGTGGCCAGGACGTTTGTCAAGGAAGTCAGTGCGAGGGCACCGTCGGAGGATAGCGAGGAGACGATTGAAGTAGACTTGGAGACGGGCGAGCCACGTAACACGAGGAGCTGGATCGAGGACTTGGCAGACGCGGATGATGTGATGATAGACGGCATGGAGGCTGTGGCGGACGGAGAGCTGGAGCGTAGTGGGCTCCAGAGGAAGTTCACCGACATGTACCACATCCTCGACTCACTGCGGAATCAGCACAACCTGGAGCCTGCAATAGAATGGGCACGACAGCATTCCTTCGAACTCGAGAACCGCGGCTCCAATCTTGAATTCGAACTCGCCCGGCTGAAATTCGTCGAACTCTACACAACCGAAGACATCATGGACGACGAACCATTCGCGGGCCCTTTGCGAGCCCTGGAATACGCCCGCGAAACATTTCCCGCCTTCAACAACCGCTACGCACGAGAGACCTCATGTCTCCTCGGCTCCCTCGCCTTCTCCCCAGAGCTAGGAACATCCCCCTACAAGCCCTTCTTCTACAACTCCTCCTCCTTCGAAGAAGCCTCGGCGAGCTTCACACGCGAATTCTGCGGAATGCTCGGCCTCTCCTCCCAATCACCCCTCTACACGGCCGTCACAGCCGGCGGCATCGCCCTCCCGATCCTCGAGAAAGTCGAACGAGTCATGGCGCAGTCTAGAGGACAGTGGACGTCCGTGAACGAGCTCCCCGTCGAGACACCCCTCCCACCCGGCTTCGCATTCCACAGCATCTTCGTCTGCCCCGTCAGCAAAGAACAAGCCACAGATGCGAACCCGCCGATGATGCTGCCCTGTGGCCATGTCATCGCGCGGGAGAGTCTGGATATGCACAGCAAAGGCAAGAGTCGGATGAAGTGTCCGTATTGCCCGAATGAGAGTCATCCGAGGGAGGCGAAGAGGGTGTATATATAATGTTCACCGTATCTCACTTCTCTCGAGAAGAACGTATCGTTAAACAACGATGGAATGAATTGCATTGTTATGCTTCACGCACTCGCGAACACACCGCCCAATTTACTCAGATCCTCCCATCTCTCATCCTTCCAAATCTCGATTTTCTTCTCCGGCGTGGCGACTTTAACCTCATCCACCCTCTTCGTCCCAAACTCATATTCTTCATCTCCGTGCACGAACGCCACCAGAATTTCAATCCACTCCTCCATCAACGCCCTCTCCTCAGCGCTCGGACCGTGCGTTATCGAAAAGCTACAAAAATCACATCATTAGCGAACCGTGATCACCAAACCTTTGCCAGAGTAAAGGGAAATACATACTTCCAAAACGGCTTATCCATCGCATGCGCCACCCCAAACTCCCCCGGCGCGACGCTCTCATCGATAAACCCCATCCGATACGCAATTAAATACCTCCAGACGTCGTCGACACCCACGCCGTTCTCGAAGAGCTTTTTGGCCAGGAAGCGAGAGGGTGCGCGGACTTGGCCGTCTGCCGCGATGGTGCCGTAGAGGGACTTCCAGGGTTGGAGGGAGGAGGAGGAGGGGAGGGTGGATGAAGGTAATATGCGCTCCACCGTCGACGGGGCGTAGTAATTCTCGAGTTGGTGTTGGAGGGCGGAGAGGATGGGTTGTTCCGGGGAGTTGTATTCCGCGTAGAGGCTTTCTTCGTTGAGGACTTCGCCGATGAGGAGTTTCATCCCGCGGTCTTTGAACGTCTTCGCGAATCTGCCGGAGGTGAGGAACTCGATTAGGTTGGAGTGGATGAAGAGGTCATCCGTGACGGGGCGGAAGGTATGGTTCTTCATTCTCTCGAGGGCGTCGACGAGGTCTTTGGCGGGGATATGGCGCAGACGGGCGAGTTTCTCTTTCGCGGGGAGGGATGCAGGGAGGTTGAAGTATGTGCAGACTTCGTCGAATTGGGATTCGGTCTCTGCGACGGTTTTGGGTTGGGCCGGGATGGCGTTGGAGAGCATGTAGAATTTCTTGATGAGGTTCTCGCAGGCGGGATTCCGCATCTCGTGGAGGACTTGCGCTTCGACGCCGTATGCGCCCCCACTCCGTCCGCCGAGGACGATGTTGTTGGGGTCGCCGCCGAAGTGCTGGATGTTTTCCTGCACCCACTCCATGGCGAGACGTTGGTCCCAGAGGCCGCAGTTACCGGCTGCTGCGCCGTCGCTGTCTTCTAGAAGAGCCGAGCCTGCGAGGAAGCCGAAGATGTTGAGCCGGTAGCCTATGGCTATGAAGATGGCGTTGAGGCCGCCGGTCGAGATGAGTTCGATGGGATCCATCCCGGGTTCTTGGGATGGGTCGCCCATTTGAAACCAGCCGCCATGGAGCCATCTTCCATACATCTCAGCAAGTAGAAGACTTCGAGAAGATTTCCGTAGACTCACAGCACCACAGGCAACTTCCTCCCCTCCAACGTCTCCCCATCCTTCAACGCCGGCGTCCAGATATTCAGCAACAAACAATCCTCAGAATACTGCGCTTCCGTCCCCTCCGCCTTGGCTACCTTGCCAAACAGCTTCTGCCAGCATGGATTCTTGAACTCTGTAGCATCAAACTCATCGTACTGGTGTGATTCCGGCAGAGGTCTCGGTTTCCGCCATCGATACTCTCCAGTCGGAGGCAACGCATAGGGCACACCAGCGAATCGAATCGACTTGTTCGAAAATTGAAGACCTTTTACACTGCCTTTCAAGCCCAACGAGAGAGTCGTGGGGGTGGTTTCGTAGGATATGGTGTTGCCCATTGTTATTACTTGGGATGGGTCTCGGATTCGGGATATCGCACTGCTTCATCTGTACATCGATTTCAGGAGATCTTATCGGTCTTTTGATGTGCTTTTCTTAGGCGCGGCGCACCTTTTGCCGTGAGAGGCGAAAGGCTGACTGGCATGGTGAGGTGATGACAGGGTGTTCGGGCCGTGGAGTGTTTCCTTCGAATGCCAGGTTTGGTGATTAGTATGACTTTTGTGTGGAATTGATATGGAGTGTTGAAGTCTTCTCCGAATGAATGATCTACCAAGTGCGCCTTCCAATTTGGAAACAGGAGGCATGATCGAATAAATCTGTGAGTTTTACTAAATCAATGTTCTTGCGAGCCCAGCTGCCCGGGCATTCACTGCATGGCCGCATAATGCCTCGTTTGACAATACACACTGGTGGCGTAGGGCAATTCCCGCACGCTACGAGACACAGTGATCCCTTATCCATTCGCTGCACAGCTCGTGACTGAGATGCGAAGAGCATTTTGCCCCCTTCGATTCGCAATGTCACGTTGTGAGAAGTGACGACCGTAGACTGTTCTGGCTTTACTTCCTTTCCCTGGAGCTTATCATGGGTCGGTGTTGTTCAATCGGTTCCATAATGGGAGCTCTGGGCGTCGAGGCTTGACTTCATCAGATTGCTGTTTCGGGTCGCCCAAGGATTGCTGCGAATATGTGCCCGCAGTCTTTGCGTATCTCCGGTCGACTGCTCTTTCGACGACATCTTTCGAAGTCTTCTTGTTGACAGAATCTGCTGATACCGTCTTCTTGTCGGCGTTCCCTCCCGAGTCTCTGGTCCTTCAGACCCAGGCCGGCATCATTCCTACAATTTCAACCTCTTCCTATCTCCTCAACCCATCCCTCCACTGTTGCCGGGCGAACCTCTCATGCCGATAGTGTGAAAAACGAACCACACACCATTAAACCTCTTCCACTTCAACTCATTCATCGCATGCAACTTCACCCCCTCACCCCCAACCCCCGTAACCTCCATATTCATATACACATTCGCCAAACCAACCTCCTCATTCACATACGACCACAAATGCACAATCTCGAAGTGAACATTCGGATTCTCATCCGCGCGCTGCTTCCACATGGCGCGTTGTTGGTCGAAGGAGGCGATTTCGCGCTTCTGGGCGAAGGTGTCGATTTCGCCGCGCCAGTGCGGGGAGACGTGGGAGAGGAAGGTTTGGGCTTCCGGGGAGGTGAAGTTGAAGTCGCGGTCGTTGATGGCGGTTACCACGGTGCTGGAGAGGCGTTCTAGGTAGCTGGCGGTGGATTCGTCGCGGCGGGTGGAGGGCGTGTCCGGGGTGGGGTATGTTGCCATTTTGGTGTGAGGTCCATATCGTATTAAGTCTGTCTACTGGCCAAGAAGAGGTCTGGCTATGAGAGAGGCATTGCAGTGACTTGGTGGTGTAGGTGACGTGAGATTGAGAGAAGTGCTGACCAATCAGAGGGGGTAAAATAGATGGAGATATCCACGAAGTCGATTGTCTTCGTCGGCGGCTTTACCTTGTCAGTGACTATCAATGGGGCTTGGCTAGAGGGAAAGTTCCTCCAAAGAACAGATGGCTTGCTCCGAGCATGCTGGATCCCGCGAGAAGAGGAGCAACAGGTGAGGTCGACATTGAAGGACGGGTCCATGCACTCATGCTGGGATGTCCCCAACATCGAACAGGTCAAAACGAGATGACCACTCTGTCACTCCTCTCCACAACAACATCGACCTCTTTTCTACCCTCATTGTTCCGCTCAAAGTGGAACGCATGGCATCGTTAATCATCTCCCGGATTGTCAGCGCGACCGAGCTGTGTGTAGTACTCCGGATTGCTCAGACAGCTTCCAAGCAATGGGGACGATTCCTCTTTCAGCGGAAGAGGGAGGGTACCAGGTAGGCAACCAAAAATGCCTCCCATCTCTCCCGATGGCGAAACTGCACAAGTGTTTCAAGTGCACGACACGTCTCGTTTGGACTGCAGGCCAGTGAGCAAATGACGTCGGGGGCGGCCCTCAACTCCTCCACAGCGGCGAGAGATTCTTCCAGCCAATCGACGCCGCATCCATCGCTTGCAAAGGAGCAGCGAGTGTGGGAGTGTCGACGCGGCTGCGCCTCGAATGTCCTGCAGGTGACGATAGCATGTAACTCTGCCTTGGCTTGGTCGTGCGGTCCATACTGCATTTGGCTGCGATGCGCGGTGCTGTGCAATGTCTGATAAAGTCTTGCGCGCTGCTGTCGTGAGGGACTGACTGACTGCCAGCAACGACAAGACTCCTCGCCGGGATTGACAGGTTGGACTGACAGACACCATGTCTACCTCGCGGATGCCGATAACGACCTTCATCCGGCTCCTCTGCCTGAGCCTCTTCCTCGCGATCGCCAACTGCCAAACCTCCACAACCCTCGTCACGGCGACCACAACCGTAACCTCCAGCGCGACCGACAATGGCGGTGCCTGCAACGATTTTGTAGGCGCATGCGTCGTCTATGGCGGACCTGGAGGGGCATACACAACAACCGTCTACGCGGCCTCGAGTCCCCGGCCTACAGTCGTTACAGCGACAACCACAACGACAGTTACATATATTCCAGCAGAACAGGCGACAACAGGAGCCGTGAGCGCGTGTCAAAATTACGAAGGCGCGTGTGTTGTGTATGGGACAAATGCTCAAGGATCGGCACAATACACTACGACCGTGTTTGCAGGAGCGAGTAATAGCGGGCAGAACAATGGCAATAATGGAGGAGCAGGCTTGATCGGCGGCAGCAACGGGAACGGTGATGGATATATCGGTCCTTCTGGAGCTGCGAGTCTGAGTACACCGGTGGCATTGTCGTTGGCATCGCTGCTGATTGTGAATCTGGGATTCTTGGTCTGGATGTAGAGAGGAGAGGAGAGTTACGCTGGAAGACTCTCGTAATGATACCCATTTGCAATGCTATGATATGGCCAACGAACATCGTGATGGACTTACCCGCAGTTGCTCGTAGCCTCCAGCCTTGAGCCAGTGAAAGCTGTGAGTGAAGCACACACATTCACTCAAAGCCAGACATATCCCCAACATTCCATGCAATGCCATGCCGTTTGTCGTTTGCCTGAACAATGGGAGACGCAGCGTACAGCAGAGACAAACTTTTCACAGCGCTGCATATATCGCGCGGTGTGATCCTCTCTCCGCTGGCCTTCGTCCCAGCATACCGAAAGCGCTCCAGATACGAAGATGTGCTTCTCCTGCTTTACCAGCAAAGGCAAGAAGAGCGCTGACCAGAATCACCAGCAGTCTCCCGCAATCCCTTTAACCGACCAAGCCAACAGATCCACCCGCAGCAATGCAAGGCCCTCAACTCGCCGGGGAAACCACCAAGCAGCGCAGCCTCCTCACACCAACCGCCAGCCGACCGTGACGGCAATTCCGCCCGACCTCGAGCAAGAGACCGACCTCGCCAGTTCAAGCGCTTTCGCAGGCACGACTCCGCCACGACCAATGCGCCACCAGCCTGGTCGAAAGGTCTCACGCATGGAACCTCCAAGCATTCAAGAAAGCGCTCCGGGGCCGAATGTCACCACGTTCCCAGAGAAGGCAGAGGCGCCCAGTCCGCTGCGTGGTGATTTGCGGACGCTTCCTTCCGTTCGTCGATCAGAGAACCGCGAGAAGGAAAGGCAAGACGGCCAGCCAGGACATTCATCCGCTAACTCTGGACCGCTCGCCTCGAAGATGTCGTGGAGCACTAGCAGTGGTGAGGGAGGGCCAGCGAGTGCTGCAAGTCCACAAGCAGGAGCATCGTCGTCCAGTGCGCAGGCATCGCAGGTCGAACCACTTTCTCACTTCTCGGATACCAGTAGCAGTGGTGAGGAAGAAGCCGACGCTGCTACATTGCGGCCATTGTCTGCCGTTACTCAAGTTGGACCGCGAACCGGACTGGGAGGATCAGGCTCTTCTTTCAGAAGCAACAGCAGCAGCGACTGATGGGAAGTCGAAAGCTCTGCACCCCAAGACAACCTCAACATAATATGCCAGCTCCCAAGCTGCAGCGTCGACCACACCAGGCGAATCTGAATCATCATCGACCAGCACCAACGAAGAGACAACCGCAGCACCATCACCACCGCAAGACACAAGAGCAGGCAGCCAGTACCCAGAGTACATAGCTACGCAAACTTGTCATGCTTGCCCTTAACCTTAACATCCAACATCATCTCATGATAATTCCCCTCCCTCCTCGCCTTCTTCAACGTCTTGACCTCATCATCCTCCAGTCTCCTCCCAACTTCGTCTTCCAACTCTTTCCGACTGATCTTCGCTCTGACCTTCTCTGCCTTCTCGACTTTGTGCTTCGGCTTGAAGCGTGCTTGCATTCGTATTCGCAGTGTAGTGGTCTCGCCTGCTTCTTCTGCGTCTCCGCGGATTTCGGGCGGGGTTTTGTCGCTGTCTATCGATAGGTATTTTCCTCTCGAAGTCTGGACATCGAATAGCCCCGGTTTCTCGCTCGACGCTATGCATTTAAACGTCTCCTCTTGGCTAACAGCTTCGCGTGTGGATGACAGGAAGCCATACTGGTCGCAGCCCAAATATCTACACATCATCAGCTGTTTGCCTAGACGTGCCCCGCCTTGGATATACCACTCACTTCCCATGATGTCCCTTGAACGTAAAACTCCCCTCCGTCCCCACAATCCTCTGCGAAATCCACACCTGCCGCACATCATGCGGCTCCGCGGTGCTCGGCTCATTCTCCACCATATTCTCTACATCAATCGTGAAGACCTTTCCGAACTGATCCACCGCGACACACGATGCGGGCTCGGTGGGCAGGACGAGGAGTACCGGGCCGGCGATATCCTCAATGGCGTCTGCGGATACCCAGTTCTCGTCATCGTCGGGCGCTGCGTCGGTGGGGATGAGTTGTTTTGAGGAGGGCGCGTCTTCGTCGGCGGCGGGGTCTTGGTGGGTTCGTTTGCGTTTCTTGTGGGGCTTTTTGTCGCCTTTGAAGGAGAGGGGTTTGACCATGTTCGCGAGATATGTGTGGTTGAACTTGGGAAGTGAGGTTCGTTGGAAAGTTTGAGGTTCACATGCTTTCCCCGCTAGCGTGGGGTTGCCGAGCGCTTTGACCGCTGCTTGAATTGGACTTCACCTTGTGGACTTCGACATACTGTATCTGAGCATCGATGTCGACAACTATCCATTACGAGATACACTCTTTCATCTAATGCGAAACTCTGGAGGCCGCAACTCCCCATGATCTAATGCGTTCCTCCATTCCTTCCCTGACTTGCCTCGCACTGAGCTGAGGTCCCAGTTCCTCCAGTGGTACGCCTCGTTTTCGGCTATCGGGCTCAAAAACAACTGCTTGTTCCCCTTCTGACCCATAGCTCTTTGCATGAGCTTTTAGACTACACTCCCGCAAGAGAAACTCCCTACAGTTCTCCCCACAAGTCATCCCCTGGACTCCATCGGGAAGCCGGACCAAGAAATTATGCGGCATGCCACGATAAACTTCGAGCCTGACACGAACGCCACAACGCGCCATGCTCTTTGCTAGGACAACACTCCCATCCGCAAGACATTCTTGGCCGACGCTGATCCAGATCTTTGTGGGGCAATCACTCCAATCCGTCGCCGCGGTGGGCGAGACCAACGGGTGAGGTATGAGACTCGTCGGAGCGTAGACGTGATGGCGCGGTGGGTTACAGGGCCAGATGGTATCTTGGATGTACTTCTCAACAGGGAATGGGTTCTGGAAGGCTGAAGGGATAACGTCGAAGGCCAGATTCTCTTCTTCTGATGGGAGAGATCTCGCCAGGTCCATGTATCCCGAGTGGATCGCAACTGCGCCCGGTAAGGGGACTTGAACGACACGGCCACCGAACTCGATCTTCTGCTGGGTTCTTTGCCAATGCAGTAAGAGCTGGAGAAACGCTATGGCGAGATTGCCTCCGGAGCTGTCGCCGCATATGCCTATGGATGCAGCAGACACAGGACGGAGGCGACTTTCCGGTGATGGATATAGGAGGCTGAGGTAAGTTACGACCGTGTCTACCAATGGTGCTGGAAAGGGGTCCTGCGGCGCGAGACGATAGTCGATAGAAACGCACTTCGCCGGCGTGTCTTTGATCAGTTTCGAGACGACACCTCGAAATGCAGCGGCGTTTCGCATGCTAAAGGAACTTCCGTCAGCTTTCGAAGGCTTGCAAGAATCTGGGACGCTTACTAGAACTGGCCTCCGTGAAGATAAATATAAGTCACACCATCGCCGGCCTCATCCTCCCCTCGATGCCCAGCCGACTGACGAGTATCAACCAAACACTCAGCTCGCACATCCACCGCCGCCGCATTTGGCACATCCTCCCCTTCACAGCCTCCCAATCCAACAATTGCACCCCTCACAGCCTCGGCGATGTTATTCTTCCCGGACAACGCAAACGTCATCGGCTCGACTTTGATGCCCTTGTCGACGTTCGCGAACGCAATACTTTTCCGCTGCTCCTCTTCCATGGATACAGGTGTAGGGTCTGTCGTGAACGTTCTGGTCATTGCGACCATGAGGGCTGTTTGGAGATCTATGTATCCGGATGATGCTTGGGTTAGGAGATCGTTGAGGAGGTATCTTAAGGTGGTGGGAATGGCGTATGTGACGAGATGCCAGAAGCGGGAGATGCTAGAGGGTGGCATTTCGTCCTGGTTTGCGTGCATCCGTTGGCCGTCTTGCGATTCGAGTGATGGTGGTGAGAAGGGCTTTAAATTACAGGTATGAGGTCTCTTTTCCAAATATTACTGATGCCAAAATGTAAAGAACATGAACCCTTATACATCTCACGCCACCTCAGGACAACTCCATCAACAGACCCCTACCTCATGGAACCCATCGCCACAACCGCATCTCCCTAATCAACCCCCAAAATGGCAATACTTCGATTCGTCCGCGATTCGTCCGTTCCGAAATTTCCCTTTCTGGTAGGATATGCATTTGTGCCGATGCTATCCAAAGGTATGCTTAGACCGATGGGCAATGATGTTAGCGGTCTGGGACTTCGGCGCCGAATGCTGATTGCTATGATGTTAGGACACGGGACGGGAATGAGGTTAGAGGATCGGTGGGAGGGCTGTTGCGATGCCGATATGGCGATGAGTAGGAAGCGATGGTGGGGGACGGTAAAGGGAGATATTCAAAGCAGTATCGAGTCGAATGAGCAGTATGTTTCCACTTATCCAGAGAAATATCTCTTCGATTAATTGCTCGACGAAGCCATCGAACAACTCCACTGCTCACGGCCAACAACAAAGCACCAGAGAAACAAGAACCACAACAATGCCCACCATGGCCATAATCGGCTCCGGCCTAGGCGGCACCCTGCTCGCCTTGCAACTCCTGCAATCCCAAAACCCGACCCACACCCCCGTAATCTACGAAAGTCGCCCCGAAGGCTACCCACAAGGCCAACACATCTCCCTCGCCCCCAACGCCATGCGCATCCTCTCGCACATCCCGGGCCTCATCCCCAAGTTACAGAACCTCGGCTTCGAATACGAGAAGCTGCATTTTCGAAATTCGAATGGAGGCAGGATCGCGACGTTCGATAATGGCGGTGTGGACGCGTATGGGTTCCCCGCGATGAGGATCCATCGGAGGGCGTTGTTGGAGGTTTTGACGGGGGTTTGTGAGGAGAAAGGGGTCGAGATTTGGTACAACATGAAGCTAGAGGGGATTCAGGAGGAGGGGCAGGAGGGGAGAGTGAAGATGCGGTTTCAGGGTGGAGAGGAGGCTGAGGCGGATTTCGTGGTCGGTGTCGATGGATTACACTCCGTCGTGAGGGAGTACGTTGCCCCCAACAGCGCTTCCTCGTACGCGGGCATGCTCGGCGTGACGGGTTATCTCCCGCGAGAGAAGCTCCATTCTTCCGTGAAGGATATCGAACTTCCTTCGCACTTTGTCGGCAAGACGGGGTTCATGGCCATCATGCCCTCGAGTGCTTCGGGGGACGAAGTTGGCTTCTTCTCGACGATGGAGCATGCTGAAACGAAGACGAGGGAGGAGTGGGATGGATTGTTCCACGACAAAGAGGCGATCAGGAGGATTCTGCTGGAGAGGTTTGGGCGGCGGGATGGGTGGTGTGAGCTCGTGGGACAGATGTGTGAGACGGCGGAGGAGGAGAGTCTATGTTCTTGGCCGTGATTGGCTTTCTCGAAGATCGAATTGGGAGGATTTGCTGACGCTGATACCAAGTTTCTTCATCGCCCCGAAACTTCCAAGTTGGACCTCGCCCAGCCGCCGAGTCCTCGTTATGGGGGATGCTGCTCACGCTCTGATCCCAACTGGAGGACTAGGAGCCTCTCTCGCCTTTGAAGACGCAGAATGCCTCTCTCGTGTGTTCAAGCACGTCGCGGAACAACCAGAAACCCTCGACTCAGTCATGGGCGCTTGGGAGGCGCATCGCAAGGAGCGTCTTGCACTGGTCCAGCAGTTCACGAACCGCAATAGGGAGATCCGTGCGCCTGGGATGAATGCCTTGCTGCAGCACTTGAAGGAGTGGGCACTCTGGGTGGCGTTGAGCTTCGTAGGGAGTGATAGGATTGCTGGGGAGATATATGGGTATGATACGAAGGCGTTTGAAGAGGTTCTAAAAGATCTGGAGAGTTAAGCATTAGCAACCTTGATGCCGCTGGTGACCGTCTCTCCGGCGCCGACGGCGTTATGCACACATCATCTGATGATTTGCGCCGGATACGTTCATTTCTATTCCAACAAATTGAACATGTTCTCGCTGTTGTCATTGTCCATTGCTTTTTCGATGATCTCACACAAATAGCACCGGTCTCTTTGGCGGGGATTCTAGGCAGATTCAGGCTGTAATAAGCATGGCTTGAAGATGTCCATGCGAAGGCTTCATCCTCTGTGTTGATCGAATCATCACGTCGACCGCCGCAAAGCGAAGCACCCCTCCACCGTCTCCCGCACCGCCGTACCTTCCCCCTCCAGCCTAGCGCAGCACACTAAAAAGCAATTCCCGCCAAAACTTCGGCCCAACCCAACCCAAGGCCTATAGGTTTCTTGAAAATTACCTAAGCATCGAACACCGGCTTGGTCGAGCGGTTAGCAGTGGTTCCAAGTTCCGGTGTTCGAGTCCCAGCCTGTCCGAGGGCTGGGATTAAAACAACCCCCCGTTGGGAAGGGGGGTTGGTCGGCAAAAGAAAGACATAAAACAACTCAGAATGGATTGAGCCTCACTGTCTTCTTTCTAATACAATTAGATTGTGTTAGTTCTCCTTGTGTGGCGGGCTAGGGGGACAAAGGTGAGTTAGTGTTGAAAAACATTGACTGTGATTCCTTTTTGCTGTTGTGGTGTGAGAAGGCACGCATGATACGTATAATAGGACAGTTGCGCATGTCGCGTCTTCTTTTCGATTTCTTTTTGTTGGCATTATGGACTTGCGAGCGTATTGCCTCCTCACCACAACACGGCCAACTTGTTGACTCTGCGCGAGCATTCAGTCACGTGTTGCCGCTTGGCATTCACATGGTAATTTTGACATCGCTTCATACATCGAACACAACCACTTCACCCACACGAACGACGCAGAAGGTCCTCGAGGACCTTGAAAAGCCAAAGAATGAGCACCTCAAGCTACCAACCTGGTACAAGGCCCAGTCTGCAGGAGCTGTGGGAAATGAGCCAAACGTCTCTCAGAGTAAGCAGCAAGGGACGTAACACACCTCGTAGCCAACTATCAGCCAGCTATCGATACCGAGGCATACATACCTGGCGCTAATTGCTACTGGCGCGATCGACTCATCTAAAAAATGACTTTTGCGAGAGGCCTACCCTCGGCTACAGCACCTGTCATCGTCGCGTTGCGTCGCTCAACTGCTCTACGATCAATACGACGACGGCACAACACCCAACCTCCCACCGTCCACAACCATCACATTCCCGTTCACATACGCCCCCGCCTGACTCGCCGCATACAGCACAAACCCAGCCATATCACTTGTCCCGCCCAGCCTCTCCGCAGGCACAAAATCCCTCGCCAGCGAACCCTCCACACTCGGCTCCGCTACATTCGGATCGAACAACCCAGCCGCGAGGTCCGTGGGGAAGAGACCGGGCGCGATGCCATTGACGCGGATATGGTATGGGGCGAAACTGGACGCGAAAGATTTGACGAGGTGCGTTGCGGCGGACTTGGAGAAGTGATAGGCCTCGCTGTTGTTGCGGTTGAAGGCGCCGATGGAGGTCGTGACGAGGATCTGGGATTTGACGCCGGGGCAGAAGCTGTTGGGCGGTGTGTTGCCGGCGTCGAGGAGGGTGAGGAAGGCGAAGGAGGTGAAGGCTACGGCTGTGGTGTTGGTTGCGAATGTGCGGTTCCACTCCTCGGGGTCTTGTTGGAGGGCTTTGTGCGCGATGTCGGAGATGCTTTGTTCGCTTTTGATGTTGAGGCGTGGTGGGTAGTATCCGGAGTTACAGATGAGTAGGTTAATGTAGCCGACTTCCTGTTTGACCTTCTCGGCGATTGCGAGGAGGGAGGTTTTGGATGTTACGTCGCCGACGACGGGGATGACGTTTCCGTTGATCGACGCGCTCTGTGCAGCGGATTTGAGTATCTCCTTGCGACGACCGACGATGTAGACTTTGCGTGCGCCGTTGGCGGCTAGGGCGCGGGCGAACATCAGGCCTATGCCTAGGAAGAAGGGAGAGCATGAGTTAGCTTTTGTAGCTAGTTGAAGACGCAGATGGTTGCATGGAATCGTTTGTGTACCTGTTCCACCGCCATCAATCACGGCGACGATGCCTTCAACGGAGAAGAGTCTGGTGCGGTCGACGATGGACGGTTCCATTTTGAAGAGGTGAATTGAGTGTTAGATTGAGGAAGTGCGACAATGCAACAACAGCGTAGATGAAGATATGTCTTCTTCTTAGTTCTTCTTTTCGTGTTCAAAATCCGATACGTTCCAACATAGCGTTCTCGCTATCATCCTGGGGTTAAGAAGAATACCTCCTTTCCTCCCTCAGGCATCTGTATACTCTGATTCGAGTCTATTGTTCTACCCTCTACAGCGCCAAGCCGACAAACCCACCCTGAAGCTTTCATCCAAGATGTAAGGTACCTATATCGGATGTCCCAAGGGTTTTAGGCGGAGATAGACAGTGGAGGTTGAAAAGTTGTAAGATTTTCTCCTTCTAATCCCCTATCTCCGCCTTCTGCTCTGGGTTCGTTCCATACTTGGACTCTTGGGGCATTCGACTGAGATATGGCATATTTTGACCGAGAGATATATGCAGAGTTCGACAAGGTCTTCTCGCCATCTGAGGCCATCGATCGATAGAATACTTCAACTCAGCCGGAAGGAAGGATTGCGTTCTTCTGTGAGGTTTCATTTCACGATTGAGTAGTATTGTCTGGAATGTTTTGGCGACTGTGATGATACTCGAAGAGGAGGATGTAGTCGAGGTATCTTCCAAAGTTGCCAAACCCAGAGGCTCGTCCGTCCGATAAGAATTGCGTTTCATCGATCCTCGAACGCTGAGACATTGAGAGATGAAAGTATGTATATTGGTTCCCAAATCTTGAAGACATTGCCAATACACTGTTTCAATGGCTGCGATGCTGGATACTGCGTTATCCGCGGAGATTCAGTGGTCCTTGATGAGAGATCGCAAGTTCAAGTTGGTCCAGAAGAGGATGTTCCAAACGGCAAGGGTTCGCGAACACTCTTTGAATGACAACAGCACACAATGTCAGGCATTGGAGCCAGGACCCGTAAATTTGTGAGTATGCGTGTTCTCGAGACGACCGTCTAATGTCTTGTTTGGAATGGAGAGCTCCAAGGGAGGAAGGCGGCAAATAGTCGGCAAGAGACCAGGTTAGGACAATGCTGCGGATCGGCGGGACTTTGTATTATGGTGAGCTTCTCAGGTACATAGCTATTGTCCAAGACACTGAAATGGATGGAGCCGCCGCAGTCCATTACTGACTGCCGGAGATTTCATGCTAAGCGTGTAAGCATGTCGAGGTGAGGTCGTGACTGCCAAGCAAGCAAGCAATACGAGGCAGCTCAGACCTCACCTCATGAGCAGGTCACCACCTTCAACAAGTAGAACGATGAAACGTCGGCACGAAGACATTGTTCAACACACATATCCCATTTCCAAAATCTATCCATTAAGTTTAAACCCACACCTCATATCCATCCCCATAAATCATTAGGTCGAGCTCTCCTCAGCCGTCGTGAGGCTTCGCTCAAAAGGATCGTCGTGAAAAGTGGTATCTCTTTATGTACAACAGCTGTCTCAATCATGGACGGGTCGTTCAAACAACAACATCTGTCTGCCGTCAAAGATGCCTCTTGCGGGGGAGAGGCATGATCATGATATTTGTTGAAGGTTTCGATTCCTCTTGTCGTGTCTCGGCAGGGGGAATCTTTGAAAATGTAGGTGCGGATAAATGCTTGCTTGCTTCTTCAAAACGCGGGATACGAAACCGGGTGGAGCTGTTTACCAGCCGTTGCCGTAGCCAGTTGGCTTAGCCCAGCCTTCAGACGAGGTAGACTCGCCCCAGCCTTCGCCGTAGCCGGTGGGCTTCGACCAGCCCTCGCTGTGTGGCCATTCACCACCCCAGGTCTTACTTGGCTCCTCGTGGGCCCACGATCCGTGGCCCCAGGACTTAGTCTCATGAGGTGGAGGTGCCCAGGTTGGCGAAGAAGCCCATGAACCTGATGGCGTCCATGTTGGCTTGGTGTAAGGCGGTGGGACCCAGGTTGGAGTCGAGACGATCGACGAGGGCTGGCTAACGGGAGGCGGGATTGGCTTGCTTGGCTTCGATGGAATGCTCGAGGGAATGCTCGAGGGAATGCTCGAGGGAATGCTCGAGGGAACAGTCTTCGTCTTCCAAGTAGTTGGGAAGCTGGAAACTGGGAGGCTAGGCTTCTTCGTAGGGATCGATGATGATGGCAAGCTGGAGACTGGAACGCTTGGCTTTTTCGTGGGGATAGACGAGGGCAGGCTGGACACCGGAACGCTCGGCTTCTTTGTAGGGATCGATGATGATGGCAAGCTGGAGACTGGAACGCTTGGCTTCTTCGTGGGAATCGAAGACGGGAAGCTTGAGCCTGGCAGGCTGCTCACGGGCTTCGTTGGCTTGCTAACAGGCGCGGAAGGCGTGCTGACAATCGAAGATCCAGGAATGCTCTTGACCGGAGTCGAGGCGGACGAAACTGGTACCGATCCGGGGATGCTCTTGACAGGAGTCGAGGCCGACGAGACTGGCACAGATCCTGGACCAGTTGGACCAACTGGTGGAGGGGCTGGCGAGCTTTTGGAAGTCGGCGGGCTGACCGGAACGACAGGAACAGTCGGGGCGCTGGACTTTGGCGGGACGGGAGAAACGATGGACGTCTTAGGAGGAGCGGGAGCCGACGACGCGAAAGACTTTGGTGGTGCCATGGATCCATAAGTCGGGCAGTACGAGATCGGGGTGACTGCGCTGTAGTAGACCGTAGTGGTTGGGCAGGCGCCTGGTGGAGCAACCTGGCTGAAGTAGACCGTCTCGGTCTTCTTCTCGGTGACGGTCTCGGTAACCACGTGAGTCGATGGTGGTGGGCAGGTGTTCTGGGGAGGAGAAACGACTGGTGGTGGCAGAGAGCTGACCGTGAGGGTCTGGGGTGGCTTTGGAGTTCCCGGTGTTCCTGAACGGCAGTCAGCATTTGACGACTTTCAAAAGGACGTTTCTTCTGTAGCATGGCGAGTTCCTGCTGACCAAAATGCTGAACTCTGCCCGAAAGCACTGATTCCGCAAATTTGAACAGTATAACTTTGTCACACGCCACAGAAGCATTCAATCAAAACTAACCTGGGGTGCCTGGGGTGCCTGGAGTACCAGGAGTGCCTAATTAAATGTCAGCATGTTAGTTCGTCAAGAACAAGTCGTCTCCAATCGCAAAGAACACGATCGAACAGCAGAGATGCCAAAAACCTTTCTCTCGGCCATATTTTGCCTCACACTGCTGTCGAGCGGCCCAATGCGATGGCAAGAGTGTACTGACCTGGAGTGCCAGGTTTCGTGATATTAGTGGTGCCTGGAGGTGGAGGAGCGGAGACTGGAACAGAGCCTGAAAAAAGGTCAGCACGAGTGTCCAACACACTACCCATGGCAACTGGGGGATCCATTTGAAATGGCCATGATCTCCGCGTCTCTGAGACTTGACTTCCAATGACGGATCCATCAAGCCTCTCGCTTGAATCCTCAGTTGGGAGATTGTGATACACTCACCAGATGGTTTGCCAGGCTGGACAGGGCTCGAGCCTAGAGATTGTTAGTTGATGTTCAAAAGATCAGAGCGAGAGAAGAGAGGTATCAACTCAAACAGCTCCGAGATTTAGGCTGTAAAAGTTGATTTCCAGAGTGCTCTTCGCTCGTAGCCATTCAGTGCAGTACGAACGAAAACAGCTATACTCACCGGATGGAGGAGGCTGAGAGCCGACTGGCTGAGATCCAGGCGGCGTTGGCTTGGAAACTGGTGGAGGTACAACACTGACTGGCTTGCTTGGGATCGAAGAAGCTGGTTGGGAACCGATCGGCTTGCTGGGTTTCGAGACCACAGGGGGTGGGAGCGACGACGCAGGCTTGGAGGGAACCGAAACGATGCTCGTGGTGACGACGGTGGTCTTGTAAGATTTGGAAGTCGTCTCGATCGTCTTCGTGAGAGTGGTCGTGCCGGGCTTGCTGATCGGCGAGCTTGGGATGCTCGAGGGAATGCTTTGCGGTGGTGGAGGTGGTGGTTTGCTCCAGCTCTGGGGAGGTGGTGGCGGAGGCTTGCTCCAGCTGTGGAAATGTTAAACTGTGCTCAAGCAATGTTTCTTCTTTCCAAGACTGACCTTTGAGGTGGAGGTGGTGGTGGAGGGGACTTGGAGTAGCTGGAATCTTGTTAGTCTTCGAATTTCCAAGATCAAGCATTTATGTGATCGATTCGATCCAGGTCAATCAAAGCGGTCGTTCATCTCTCCACGATCTTTCATGAGACAAGCCAACTTCTGACCCTTCTTCTTCGATTCCAGGGTTGAAACTCACCTTGGAGGAGGCGCAGACCACGATGGTGGTGGTGCTGGCTTAGTCCAAGTAGGTGGTGGTGGGATTGGATGAGTCCATGTCGGCACGCTGGCGCTGTATGGTGGAGGCTGCGAAGCCCAAGTCTTCTCCCATGTCTTCGACCACGACCCAGATCCCCATCCGCCATTGCCATGATCACCCCATTGATCGCCTCCGTAACCCGGAGCACCGTGTTCACCTCCCCACTGTCCACCCTCCTGTCCGCCCCATCCGCCTTCACCTTCGCCGCCGCCAGGCAATGCCTGCGCGGCACCCAACAACGCTATCAGCGATAGCTTCGACAACATCTTGATCGTCTACTCTCTTCAACACCCTACGGCCAAGCGAAGGTACAGAGCGCAAACGAAAGATGTATGTGCACGAAGCTGCAAGAACGGTAAGCAAAAGCGAAAGGTTAGTCGAGATCAAAGCGAGTGCTGATCCCGGCCGGAGGGTATGGCTTGATATTGAGCGCGGAAGGATGAGAGGGAGGACCGTTCGCAAACGGGCGTTGAGACACACTGTTTCGGACAGGAAAAGAGGAGAACAGGCTTTGTTCGGCGCGCGAAGGTTGTTATAACGAGGGATTGATCGCCACAACCCGAACTCCACTCGACGCAGCAGCGCACCGAGCCATAGTGTCATCGCTGCGATCCTCACCGCAGCCCCAGGTGAGTGACTCGAGAAGATACGAGGGAGGTTGCTCTGTGCAGCGAGCGTCCAGCCAGTAGGCAGGTCCCAAAGAGACGCATCCAAGCTAGCCCCGGTGGAGATGGTTGCATTGCCAACGAAAAGCTTGCCATCTGCGCTGCGATCGCATGCGGCGTGGTCGAAGTTGTGCCTGACTGTTGTGGCCCAGCCGCCTCGAACCAAACATGTCGCCGTGCGCCAGGCGTGCAACTGGTACAAGCCAGACTCTCCATAGCGCTGACTCTGCTGCCGCCAAACCATTGCGAGGCAAGATGGCAGGCAGGGTTGCCTCTTGCGGTAATAATTTCTGTGGTTGAGGTGGTCAAGCTTTTCGCGAGCAGCCGAGTTGCTAGCCTCTTTCATTCACCTACAGCCGCAGGTCGCCAGAGAAACCAATGCGGTTCTGATGTCACCCACCTCTGCGGCGCAGGACGTTAAACTCAAAGACTATTGAAAGCATCCCTGTCCTGCCCGCTTGGCATGTTTTCCAGATATCCATGAGGATTGTCGTTATGATGTCGTTGTCCTCGGCGTGTCTGCCCAGCCAGTGTCACGGGCAGGTCAGCGCCGAGGTCAGTGGAAGCGGTTTGAAAGCGATGTCTGCGCCTGTGGTCGTCGTCAGCAACGATGATTGTGTTGAAAAGGAGCAGATTGGAATCATTTCCAAGCTCCTGACATGTGATTACGCCTTCTGCCTTTCTTCTCAGAGAGCTGTCTCGCCACCACAGCTTTCTTCACCAAAATTTCAACAGCTGTCGAGCTGTCAACAGCGTGGCCGCCATCTCGTGCCAATGATGCAATCAATCAATGTTTGGGCGGCGCAAACCAGCATCCCGAAGGCGTGCAAGGCGTGCTCGGCTGCAATGTCGAGAGCAGAGAGTTGCCGCGGTCGACGGCTGTGGCTGCTGCACCCCTCTTTCTACTGCAGGTCCACTTCCCCAACGTGCTCCAGACGGGAGCTCCATATCCCGTCTCTGCAGCGGATGCTTCCCTCGTCTTCTCTCGTTCCGCAACAGTCCACTGCTGATAACACTTCACCTCTTCCATACCGCGCCGACAGCTGCGCGGAAAAGAGCTCTTCTACGTCGTCTTGATCGCTGCTCTTGCGAATTGCCTCGTGCCAGCCGAGGAGGCTCTCCTGCACCGCGCTGATCAAGCCACCGCCCTAACAATTCGCAATAAATAGCAGCGATTGCGACCGGCCTCTCTCCACAACCAGTTTTCCTCCCAAGTGCAATCCCAACCAAGGACCGGCCAAAACTCAGGCATTCCTTGGGTCGACCGGTTATGTGTCCGGTGAGAGGAGGCTGGGGGTGGAGCAGACAGGGCTTGAAGAAAAGTCTTCATTGGGCAGCGCCTCGACGTCACATTATCGCTTGCTCGCTCACCCGGTAGCAGCGACCAGAGACTGGCGAATCATGAGTGAGAAGTGTTGCTGGCTGCCGGATACGAGACGGTATAACCGACAGCAGCAACCGGAGGTTGCACTTCATCTGTCGAAGATCGCTCGTACACCGAGATGAAGTGCTTTGATTGTGTTTCCCAGCCTGCTTGCAACACTCCCAAATAACCATTGCAAAGGAAAAACAAAGATGGCAAGGCGAGAGCAGAGGCGTTGCTTTCGAGAACACCACATCGCTGCCACCCATCTTTCTCTGTCGTCAACAACACCTTTCCACCAAGACTTCCAATTCCCACAGGATGGCACCATAGCCGACGCCTTCCGGCGTAAGGTTTCAATAACGCACAATTGAGTTTACAGCCTGCTGAGACATGCCGCCACGTCAAAACCAACGTCCCTCAACGACTATCACTCTTCAGCCCAAGAGCATGCCATCACATCACCGACCTTCGCTCGCGTTCGAAAAATGACGCAGCAGCATGACTCTGACCATGAGAGTCGCATCATCAGCTTTCTCAGCTGCGAAGAAGAAAACATCCCACGATCGAAATGGCGCGCCTGGTGTTGGTGTCGCGTATGATCGCGATCAAAGACCGAACATCACTTCCAAGCCGTCCCGGTTGAGCCGCCTGCACAGCAAATGCCCCATCATCAAGAAGAGTCACTCCTCGATGTAGCGACGTCACAGTCTGGACGTATCTTCCTTCCCCATCAGGATCCGGTAGTCGCATGCTCTCACCAACTTCTTCTGTGCAGTGAGGTGACTTCCAAACCTTCCCTTTGGCGGCCGTGCAGACATGCACATTAGTTGCAGTGGTCTTCTGCAGACCAAGATGAGGTACACAAGTTCCAAAGACCACTGGAAGTTTATGTAGGTGCTATTGAAAAATTCCTCGTATTCAATGATTGTGATATTGGAGGTGTAGATTGCGTGAATGTCTGATAAGCAGGACATCGTCATGGCACTTCAGCGTCTTATCATTGTTGGAGGTATACCACTGCATGGTGACGGACAATCGACTCTCGCCATCGAGGCGACGAGGAGGTGAGGGACATACCGTCTGACCACAGCCAGCACCGTGGCCTGCAGCCATCCTAAGCAGCATTCCGTCTCCCATCACCCCATCCCATCCCATCTCACCACCAAAAGTCTTCATCAGTCAATGCCATCCGACAAACAACACAACATTCTCAACCCACCATGCCACAGAACTCGCCACGCCGCACTCACTCCCTCCATGCATCCTCCAAGCATCCTCCACCCACCCATCCGCCTCACGCCGCCTTGGCAAAAGTAGTACGCCTCATCAGCGGCGACGTAGACGTACGCCTCTTCCTTCACCAAGACCTCTCTGCCTGGGCTTGTGAGATCTCGTCTTGGGATGTACTACTGCGCCGCGGGACAGGCAGTACTTCACGACATGGACTGCTATCTATTCTTAATTATAACGGGGATGCCTTGTCGTCGTCGGCGTGAGAGATCAGCGTACGGCAAGTTCTTGTTCTCGATGTGATCAGCCGCTTTTGCCACGAAGTCATCAGCCCGCCGAGCGCAGGCGGGAAGTTGAGAAAGTCTGGATGAGCCTCTCGCTTCGCCTGGGCTTTGTAGATTTTGGGGCGAGAAGGCGAGGAGACGGCCCGATTTGGGGATGGAAGACGTCTCTGCATCCGAGGCCGTCAAGTAATGACCGTAAGAGTCCCTCATGTGCATCCATGTATCAAGGTGAACAACACCCAGACTCGTCAAGCGAGCATTGAGACGTAAGGTAAGTGAGGGTGAAAAGTGATTGAACAGAAGGATTGTGATTCTTCATCATCAAACTACGTATGCGCGCTCTCCATTATCATCATCAAGAAGAAAACAACACCCAAAGCTTTGATAGCTTCCCTTCATGAACCCAATACGAAAAGCGCCTTTGCGCAAAGACGCCCCAGAATGCCAGTTGCATGGACTCATCCAACGTGTCATACCCAGGCCGTGAGATGACCCCGACAAATGCAAGACATCAGTCGTGAGCATCAGTCATGAGCATCTACCGGATGGTAGTCGCCTTGGTGAGACCAGCCTTTGCAGTGGTGCTGCCACCGCCAACGAGGTTGCTGGAGCCAGGCTTCTTCTCGAACACCTTCCAGAACTTGAGAGACTCGTCAGCGGCAGCAGTTGCGAGCATCTGGCCGTCTGGAGAGAGAGCAGAGTGGAGGACACGAGACTCATGCGCTGGGATCTCAATGTTCTTGACCAGGGTTGGGTAGCTCCAGATGGAGAGGCTGTTGTCTGGGAAGCCCGACGATGAAACGAGCTCCTTGTATGCCAAGCTCCAGCGCAGCGAGGTGACTTGGCTGCCAGTGTCGATGCTGTTGGTGCGAGCACCCGAGGTGGTGTTCCAGAAGTGGATCATGCGGTCGTGGGAACCACCACCAGTTGCGAGGAGGTTGGATTGCCATGGGCACCAAGCGAGAGCCTTGATGGCGGCCTTGTGGTTGGTCTTCTGGAACTTGGGAGCGTTGAGCGAACGAGCGTCCCAGATGGTGACGAGGTTGTCGTTGCCGCCAGTAGCGAGCTGGGCACCGTCAGAGCGCCACTCGAGACCGCAGACTTCAGAAGTGTGCGAGACGAGCTCGGCGACCTTGTGCTGGGCGACGCGGACGTCGTGGTTGTAGACAAGGCCAGAGCGAGCGCCAGTAGAGAGAAGGTGCTTGTTCCAGCCCATAACGCTGACGCGAGTATCATGTCCGTACATCGAGCGAAGCTTGCTGCCCTCCTCAACGTCCCAGATCTGGACTTCACCCGTGCCAAGGCCAGCGGCGACGTAGGCACCATCTTCGCTCCACTTGACTGAGGAGATGTAGGTATCGGCAGGGCATTCGAGGAGGCTGGAAACTGAGCCAGATTCGGCTGACCAGACGTAGACGTTGCGCTCGAGACCGATGGCGACTTGGTTGCCAGACGACCAGTCGAGGAGGTTGAGGTAGTAGTCGTCGACGAGACCTGGAGCATCGAGGACACGCTCAGGTGCGGTGAGGACACGACGACGGAACTGGGATGCTGATGCGGCAGCAGGCTTGAGAGGGCGGTTGTACTGAGATCGAAGGTCGATGGGGCGAGACGATTCAGGAGCGGCTGGCTTGAAGGCGAGGATACGCTGCTTCATGCTCACACCGCAAGCCTCAGCAACAGACTGCTGGTATGCAACAGTGTTGGGGCTGGGCTTGGTCTTGGGCTCGTCATCGTCCTCATCGTCGCGGTCGTTGAGGTTGAGGCCTTCGAGGGAGAGCGACGCCGTAGCGTCAGAAGAAGAGTGTGGACGACCAAGGTCGAAAGCGCTGGCAACACTGGCAACAAGTGTTGCCGACCCATCAGATGCGCTTGACTTTGGTCGCCGTCCAGGGGTGCGCTCGTTGTCGAGCTTGACTGCTGCGCTGGAGTTGGCGATGGCCTCGCTGGCGTCTCGATTCGGGATGAAGCGGTCAGCGGCAGAGTAGTTGATCTTGCCCTGGCTGCGCTTGGGTGTCCGGTGTGCCGAGCCAGAACGGCCACTCTTGGAGCGAGATGGAGTGTTCTTGGCGGAGGTAGCAGTGCTCGGGCGGGGACCAGTGCCATTGAGGGTGAATTCGCTGGTGTTCTGGTCGAGGCGGCGCGGCGACTGTGGGTGGCGGCCCGCGATGTTGGACTTGGGCGAGTCGCGGACGTTGGTCTTGGACACGGAGCGGGAGAATCTCGACATGAGGTTGACGTTGCCGTGGTGGATGCTCTCGGCGGGCTCCGTCACCTGCGTCTTGGGCGTCTGCGGTGAGGGCGTGAGAGGGGCGCGGCCACCAGCGAGGCGGGTAGAGAAGATGCCATCACGGCGTTGTTTGATGGGGGTTAATACTGATGCAGTTGCCATATCCGCTGATTGATGCGAGTGTCGGCGAAGGTCCTGTAGATGGCCCAGTGAAGGGATCCGGTTAGTAGTGTTCGCGAATATTTGCAGTATGCCGTTGATGGAGAGGGTTTGAGGGCCGCGAGGGCTTGAGAGCGTGTGCGAGCCTTGAAGTTTTGGTTTTGACTGTGTGGGTGAGGAAGAAGTCGAAGAGGTTGCGGCGAGAATCCAAGGTTTTGACTTGCAAGCAGACGCGGCGGTCGCGGGGGACAACGAGTGCCAAGAGCGGAGCGGAACCGAGAACAGAGTTCGCGATGACGATCGTCACATGGCAGGATCCAGGCACGGTTTGCGCAACCTCAGCCTCCAGTCTTCAACACTCCATACCAGATGACAACGCTACCACGGCGCAAGAGCGCATACCAGACAATGACCACCCTGTGAACGGCCTCGCATGGCAAGCATTCCGACTTACTCGTCACTTCAACCCCCGCCCTACACCTCTCTGGCCACGCTCCAGTCGGCCATTGCAGGCCCTTCCGCCTCCCACATGGCTTCTTCCACGTCCCGCGTCTCGAACACCTCCAACAACACATACGTCATGTCCAGATCGCCGACCAAGAATGGCAGACGTCGAACCGGCGAACCGTACATGCCCAAGATCATAACGACCGTGGGACAGCGCCCAGCGTGCCTCGTCAATGCTTCGGTCACTTACGTCGGCAACGACCTCATATACGCTTTCGGCGGCTTCGATCAGTACACCGACGAAGTCTACAACCACGTACTCAAACTGAATCTTTCCGCGCGACAATGGAGCCTGGTGGATAACTATGGAGACATCCCAGGCGTTCGCATGGGCCATACGTCGTGTCTGTGGCAGGGCGACAAACTATTGGTGTTTGGAGGAGAGAACGAGCATCGCATACATCTCTCCGATGTAGTAATATTCGACATTACGACCGCGCATTGGACACAACCTGATATCAATGGGCCCATACCGAGAGGCAGAGCCAGGCATTCTGCCGTGATTCACGATGACAAGCTGTTCATTTGTGGTGGAATGAGCGGCAGTGAGAATGGTGTCCTTGACGACATCTGCTACTTGGACTTGAAGACTTGGACGTGGAGTCGAACATGGCGATTTGTCCCGCGCTTCGATCATTCAAGTTGGGTCTGGGGAGGCAAGATCTGGGTGAGCGGAGGAATGGGCGAGGAGATGGAGCGGACAAACGAGATTTGGTGGCTCGACTTTCGAGGATCTCCGGCCTTCGAGCCAGGACCGACATACGGCATAGCTGGGTCAGAAGAGGGTCGACCTCTTGGCGAACGCTATACCAGCTACCAATTTGGCGGTCAAGGCTCTGGCTCAACCAGCGGCGGCTATGCTGCAAACACGAGCAGTGTCCAGTCCAACTCAGCAACCCAAATCCAACGCTCACCACCCCTCGCGCCAGGCGCCATCAACTGTGTCAAGTTCATCTCCTCTCCAACTCTGCCCATGCAGAATGTCGGCACGCACTTCCATGTGTTCAGCTCTGGCTGCATGCTTGACTTCGTCACACCCGCCACCAACATGCCCCTTGAAACCGCACTGTATGCCCTCGATCTTGACAGCCTACGATGGCAGAAGCTGGCAGACGGCAAGGACCTCTTCAATCCAACGTATCGATGGCATTACTGCTGTCTGGATGCCGACGGGACACACGCATGGCTGTTGGGATGTCCACGAGAGGTCAGAGGCAATGGCAACGGCGATGCGGAAGAGTATCTGTCTGATGTTCTTCCAATCGACCTGCGAAAGTTTGGGCTCCTGGGTAATAAGATGAGCCAAGAAGCTCGCAACGAGCAGAAGGTGCCCACATCAGATTCAAACCCAACGTCACATCTCTCAGCTATCGGCGCAGATCTGGCGCGGACGTTCAACCAGCCTCCGGAATCTGGCTCTGGTACTGACTTCACCATCACTGCCCTGAGGGATGACATATACGACATCGATTCCATCTCTGATGATGGTCCATCATCGCCAGGCATGGTCGATGGATCTGAGAGCAACAACACTTCACAACCGATCCACGTTCATCGTCTCATCCTAAGCGCCCGCTGGCCGCACTTCTCTCGTCTCTACAACGCTCAAATGTCGGAGTTCCACACCCGCCGCATGCACATCCCAGAACCCTATCCTGCCGTCAAGGCATTCCTTTACTACCTCTACACTGACTCCATCTCCAGCCCGCCAGCAGAGAGTAATGATCTCACGGGGCCAACCCTCGAAGATGTCGCCAACATGCTGGTCATGAGCAACATCTACGACATGCCTCGCCTCCGACACCTCTGTGTCAACCGACTTGTGCGAGATCTCGATGTGCAGCACGCCGCACTCATCTTCGACCGAGCAAATACTGCGCAAGAGGATTGGCTGAAGCGACGAGCCGCCAGCTTCTGCATGACACATTGGGGCCGTATCGTCAGGACAGACGGATTCAGGAGACTGAAGCGATCGGCCATGCTCGAGCTTTGTGAGGGAGTCGACGCTGAGGGTCGTGTCGTCGGTGGAGACGAACTCGAAGCTGTGGGCGGACTTGGTGGTGCACGTCTTGGCAGCGGTATGGGAGTTCTTTGGGGTAATGGCAGAAAGAGAGGACGACTGGGTAGCACAAGTGGGACTACTGTCGATGGCGATGCCGATGAGGGTGAGACAGAGATGGAGGGAGACGACGAGGGTATGGAGCTGTCGTGATGGATCACTGACTGAGTACTCCAGGGCTTGCTTGGGCTTCTTGTATGGATTTTGGGTTGGCTGTGGTTTTTATTACGGTGGCTACATGTATTGGAGCCAGGATGGCGTCTCGATGATGACGTGGGTCAGCGATGGTGCATGGAGTTTTCTCCGGGAATGAGGCCATGACATGGCGTTTAGGGTGACACTCGGTGGCATACACGAGCCACGGATACTCGAGATAGCTTGAGAAGACTGCCTGCTGGCAAAATGCTCTACCCTCCCTCCAACCTCGTTCCGACTCGACTCCACACGCAATCGCCGCAATCGGCCGCCGCCTCTCCGCAAGTTTTGCGAACGACCGAGGGCACGAACGACAAATAGACTCTTCGAGACAGCTGGTTCGCCGGGGAAGCACATCCGCTGTGCGTTCAACACAGACCGCAACGGCAGCTCTCGTTCCAGCGCTAAGGACTTTCACATGTGAAAGCTCCCTCGCTTAATTTTGCACGGACCACCCACCGCGAGACATTTAAGCCCGCTTCTTCCTCTCCAAACCCGCCTTCTTTTCTTCTTCGCCTTCCACCAGCTGGCCGTTCTGCACCATTTGTCTTTCTCCCCTTCACACCACACCGACAACTTCAGCTACTCACATCCATTCGACAATCAACATCATGTGTGCCTGAGCTCAACTCACCAATGGCGAGCATACATTGCGACCGGTATGTCACCACACCACCTTCCAACCTCGAGGTGGACTGTATGCTGATGAGACACAGACGTGCAATGTCACATGCAAAGCCGACACGTCTTCGAGGTCTTCATTGACTTCTCGAGCGACTTCATCCTCCTTCCTCCTTCCGACACACAGCTGTCCGAAGGTGCCTTCATCAACCACCTCGACCACTTGAGCCACCCACCTACAGCATCAACCTCATTAGGTGTACCAGAGCTCAGCTCATCACACGCGAGCATGCATCCACATTCCGACCGGTAAGCCACTCACTCCCCCATTCTCGAACACACCGAGCCACTCATTGACAGCTCGCAGAAGTGCAATACCTTGCACTGCTTGAGAGATCCTCGTCGTCTTAATTGACTCCACGAGCGACTTCAACCTTCCAAGGCGTCCTAGTGCCACCCTTTCCAGTCAAAAACCTTTTCGATAAATTCAGCTCCGCACTCGCCGCCATGATGTGCGCCTCAGCTTCACACGCCCATAACCGCCTCATGCCGTCCACCAGACGCGCTTTACACATTTTTGGTCCCCGACCACACAACCTTCAAACGAAGCTACGCACTCGAACCCATCATGTGCTCCCAAGCTTCACCAACAACGACAAGCGTGCAGCACATTGCGACCGGTAAGTGACACCTCCCTGTCAAAGCTGGTTGCTCAACTGACATGCCACAGACGTGCAATGCCCTCTGATGCACTTTCATATTGTCCTCGTCGTCTTCACCGACATCACGAGCGACTGTATCGGGTCTGAACTCTCGGCCCATCACACCACAACAACACCATCGTTCCTGTTTAGCACAGGTTCAGTTTCTTCCAAACATCTCAAGACCACCACACCCTCGACAATGCCTTCAATGGCTCAGTACAAGCGATATTCGGCGAGAGTCTTCGACAGCTTCAACAGCACCGCCACCGTCACCGTCACCGCTCCACCAGCCCCTTCGATCCCCCTTCGATCCCCCTTCGATGAAGCTGTGCGCATCAGTAAGGTGTCAGCACAAGCCTTCGAAACGCAAGCCTCTTGGCTTCATCATGCACCACCGAGCTTCCGCATCTCCTCAGCCAGTATCAAGACCTCCTGACGCATCATCTCGCGGCCTCTGATGATCACCTAGCCGGCATAGCAAGAGTTGGCTTGACTTCAACGATGGGCAGCAATGGCAACAATCCTCACTTCGAGTCTGCTCGATCATCGACATCAAGACCGCAGCACAGATTAAGGGTTTCAAGCACCACCGCGGACGTCCACACCTTCAGATCGTGAGGCTGTCATCGCCTCGGCAGACAAAAGCCGGATGTTTGAAGAGTCAAGCCATTCAGATCCGACACTGCCCATCAACCCTGTCATCCAGATCGATCTCGACAACTCTTCAAGCATCAGGCGAAGGCACCATGGCAAGCTCCCCGATGGTCGATGCACAACTACGCCAACAAAGAGCTGTTCAGGCCACCAGAAGTATCGACCACACCAACAAACGCTCTCATCAGCTCCACATCAACCTCTCCAAAGCAGTCCAAAGATGCAATGGCATTTGCTGCGTGGCAGACTGGCTGTCGACTGCTCATTGCGTGCAAAAAGATCTTCAGGCGCAAGTCAGCCATCCTTTTAGAGAAGTTTGCGGCAACACTGCAACACATTGGTGTCCCAGAGGTGATCTTGGTCCTCACGAATGGCTTCATCTGGCTTGAGCATGCGTGCGCCTTCCCTGCTCTTTGTCAACTCTGCCGCCAGGTATCGCACCCATGTGCTGCTGAAAGCTGCGCTTGATCACGAACCTCGACTTCCGCAAAGCCATATTGCTCGGCACATTCGGCGCCTCAAGACTCCCGTCATCACCGATCAGCGTCATGGTTCAATGCAGGCACCGCCTCCAGCATGCAGCACTTTCCACGATATCCCCAGCCAGCATGCTTCATCAAAGCAAACAGCACAAGTTCGCTTCTCATTGCGCCATTCGATGATCAAAAGATGATGCACTGCTGCCTGAAGATTGTTACCAGCTCTGCTTGGTGAAGTTGCACCACTGTTGCCTCTTGCCTCCGATGTCAGCGACCTCATCGACTTCTGATATGCCAGCGCCCTGCGATACACACCATCTCCGCATTGGTCATCCAGTCAACGGCGACAGGATGCAATCTGGCATATCAGCAAGTGCTATCGCAGCGGAGAGGCGTTTTACGAGCTCGCTTCGAGAACTACAACCACCAGCCGGCGGCACGCTCCCAGGTCTGTCTACATCAACCCATCACGACAAGCAAGCGCACAGGCTCGCCATCCTTGCTCTCGATTCTCCAGCATTCCCAACATCATCGTCATCACCGCGACTCAGCCCCTCAGTCGGCCGTGACGATGTTGAGAGCTCGCCGTCTCTGCATCCATCGTCCACTTAGAGTATGCCAGTGTCTGGCGATGCTGTCGAAGGGGCTCGAGACTATCGACCGACCACGAGGGCACAGTCCTGTCAAGCTGATACCGTGCAAACTCCCATCGACCAAGAGGCCCACCGCTTCGACTCCCCAATGTCGCCACCAACACCAGCCGACTCCACACAGCTCGGCTCCTCAGTCAGCTGTGATGCTGTTGAGAGAGCGACTTTGCCCATCGAATGCACACCTCGCGACTGGAATCTCGGCGCAGCATCTCTGCTTTCAATCTGCTCAAGATGACCTCAGCGGCTGCACTGCTACCCTCAAGGCCTCGACCTCCTGGCTACCGCTTTCGGGGCATCTCGAGCAAGTCGGTGATCTGTCAAGAAGTCAAGCAACTCAACATACAGTCGAGTGTCTCCACGATCCTTACTGGTGTCTTGCTCACTAGCTGCTGCTGCTTGTGAATGGTAGCTTGGTCAGTTGAAGAAAGGTGGAGATCACAAGCAAGCTGTCGACTCGACTCGCTGCCTCAATGTCAAACATGAAGCAAGTCTGGTGGTTATTGGCAATGGGGCGAAGATGAAACACCACGGCATGTTGATCATAGCATAGCACTCAAGCAAAGTAGATATCAACAAAACCGTCCCTCCCACGTCTTCTCTTGCTCTCTCGTTCTTTTCATCTCTCCTTCATCCTCATCCTCACCATCCCCACCTCACGTATGCTGCGCCGGCAAATTCGCCTGCACCATCCCCAGCGCATACTGATCAGGCGTGAACGTCAACGCATTAATCGCCTGCAACACCTCACTCGCCGTCCCATCCATCATGCCCATATGCGTGTTCTGTCCACGTCTCAGCAACGTATTACGGATCTGTCTCAGCAATTGCGCGGGGCCAGCGCGTACGCTTTCGTCAATCGTCAGGCACGCCATGAGCACTTCGATGAGCTCCTGGCTGTAGAACTTGTACTTGTCGTTGTTGGCAGGGTAGTACATCGTCTCGTCTTGGGGGTCGCCGAGCCAGCCGGGTTGGTCGGGGTCGACTTGGGTTGTGATGAGGCAGTAGAGGATGATGCCGATGCCCCACACCTTTGTTGAACATTGCCGTTAGTGGGATGTCGTCTTCTGATTGACTGGATGGGGGGAGAGGGTGGATCTTACGTTTGTGCAGGCGAGCATCTTGCCGCCGAGAGGGCGGAGGGTCTGCGCGCTCACGAACCCGTCGTGCTCGGGTGCGCGATAGCCTGGCGTGCCTGGACCTTGATACCAGTGAGGATTGTTTGGGTCGTCTCTTGAAGTGCGGATCGCCAGGCCCCTAGCGGGTGGTTAGATCCATGACGTTACGAGACACACATGTTCAGGAGGACTTACCAGTCGCCAACTCTCGCTTGAGGGTATTCCGGGAAGTGGTATGGATTGGGAGCCGTCATGAAGATGTTGCCCGGTTTGAGATCCCTGTAGTACGAGTTCCGTCAGTCTACTCGTTCCCAAAAACATTGATCTCATTCAATCGCTGCCCCTTACCGATGGACGATCTCCTGCCAGTTTGCGACCGACCCTCGAAAGCGCTCGTTCGCGTGGCCCCGTTCCATCACCAACGCACACTCCATCAGCGTCTCGGCGACCGACCAGATGAACGGCTCAGGGATCGGCTGACCGCGCTGGCTGTAATCCTGAATGATTTCGTGCAAGTCATGATGTTCGCAGTAAGCGGTGTACAGGCGATAGCTTCTCGTTGTTTTCCTGACAAAGTTCTGAATTGCTTGGGCGTCAAGAGGCCGGTACGGCTGAACAACTGTGCTGGTGACCTTGTCCATCTCTCCGTGACACGCAAGCTCGAGCGGCACTCGATTGCCCTCGTTGTTGACCTGGCCAGCCCAGGAACGCACGTCAAACCAGTCATTGTCGTAAAAGGCATCTTTACGTACGGCGCTCTTTCCAGATGTCAGCGGACTGGATGGATAGCACGAAAGAACAACTTACGTCTATGACAGTATTGTTCGCATCGAACTGGATCCACAGGTTAGTCACGGCCATTCCACCTTGAAAACATCTCCATGCGGTCCAGGTGCCGCCTTGGTGAGGAGTTTGTATCCCGAGGGCGGAAGTATTAGTGGCAGTGGCAACTCTTTCCCTCACTTTTCGAGCGTAACGGTGCTTCGATAGCCAAATGACCGGCATTTTTCTGATTCCTGCCGCATCTCGTGGTACACGCATTCGGTCCATGCGCTGCTCTAGCTGCTCGATTTTTGGACCGACACGGGGACGCTCGAGCGATTTCGCGCCGTATATCGACCGAAATGTATATGCAAGCGATTGAGCATCGCCGTGCTGTAAGCCTTGTTCGAGGTACAATCTCTCGTTTGCAGCAATCACCTCATCGATGGCCCTACAATGCTGCTCTTGGGCTTCTATTGCCTTGGAGTGGGCGTCGAAATACCCCTGGTAAGTCTGATTGGTATTGGTGTGGTTATTGGCGAACTGGCGTTTCTGCTCCGCGTGGAACTGGTGGACTTCCGCGACAGTGTCGCTGTCAAGAACAAGCCGCAGACACTTGACTAATCGATCTTTCTGCGCAGCTGTTTTGCCATTCCATTCTCTCAAAATCTGCCGCTGCACAGCAGCTATTAACGTTGTTAGTGAAACATCTCAATCCTGACCGCCGTCAAACTCACGCGTTTTCCCTCTCGACCTGCACTCGTAGTCCACGAACAACTGCCTTGTAAGATTTCTGTTGACCATCGTGAATAAATGCTAGCCGTATGCTGAGCCCAATCTCGTCGGTTTGTCTTGTGAACTGCAGGTGAGCAAAAGTGTGAACAAGAGTAGTGCTGCTCTCGCCGGTTTTGGGGGCGCTTTGTTCCAGACAAAAGAGTCAGCAGCACAGTCGTAGATCGTGAAACCGAGAAACCATGAAAGAAATCGTCTTGCTCAATACGGACAAACCAGCAAATCTGACTGTGACAAAGAACGACCAATTTCCATACAATGCGATACTAAAGCTTGATCGATATATCGTAGGCGTCCAGTGCAAGTCCTACGCCGCAGATAACGGCCATGTACAGACCAAGCACAACCATCGACGGCACCTCGGCCATGTGGATGGTAGGCATTGTCATGTTGATGACGCCCGTCAAAAGATTGGCCAGGAGGAATAGGGCCAGTCCGTTGCGGTTGAAAGCTGCCATGACCCTGCTTGTAACATCTCGAATACGCTGTCGCTCCAACTCTTTCGATTTCGCCTTGTAGATGTCCGGGAACATGACAGTCTCAACAAGACAAAACAGCAACAGCTGCGCGGTATTGAAAGAGCACACCCAGCAAACGTAGGCCAGATTTGCCATGCGGCGCGAGACGAAGAGGCGAGGCCCATATCTCCACATTGCCCACAAGGCAAACACGAACCAGAGCACTGTCCAGAAGACCAGACGAGGGAGCGCGGCCTTTGGCCACTCTGGTTTCAGTTGAGGCACCTCAATCGGCGGCTGCGGCTTCGCTTCCTCAGATTCGCTCCCTCCAAGGACAGAAGCCAACCAATCAGCATCCTCATCGAGACTGTCCTTTTCGGCGGGTGCCTCAGGCTCTTCGGGGTCGGGGTCGCGGGTCAGAATGTTGAGACCAATGCCCATTCCGGCAATGAAGATGGCAAGGTAACCCAAGAACGAGAACACCCCCTCTCTGTTTTGAGAAAGCCAGTCTCCTGGCTTGCGCTCGGAGAGGATCATGTAGGCCTTCATGTCCGGAACGCAGAACAAGATCAGCTCGTAGCAGATGGCTAGTGCAAACGCAAAGATGTTGTATGTCGGGATGTATCGCAGCAAAGGCTGCAGAATGGCGACGGAGGGCGAGAGCAGGGCGAGGGTGAAGAAGAAGTTCCAGTGAACGCCATATTCGCTGACGTGTTCGGCGTAGTCGAGGCCTTTGACGCTCAACAAGCGGACGACGCCCAGGACGAAGAGGGGCAGCGAATGGCGCATGGACTCCCTGAGACGAGTTACGATAGATCGAGTTGCGAAGTGCTGTTCTTTGAGTTGTTGACGGGCTGCCACGATGCCGGCGGCGAAGACGAAAGATCCCACACCAATGTCCATGAGAGAGGTACCAAAAGATTCTGTCTTGGCAAAGCGACGTGGAAAGACAGATGGGAAGTCAACGGCCAGGATGCTGGAGCATGTGATGATCATCATGGCTCCTCGGTAGGCGGTAATGAAAGGCTTGACTGGGAAGGGATCCTTTGGCTCGCGTACTTCGTCCTTGGATTCAGCGGGCTTGCCATTCTCATCTCCTTTCGATGGGACCTTGGCTGGCTTCTCGAGCTCAGTTCTAGGCTGCAAATACGCGGCCACGGCAGGGAGGATGAGAAGACCATTAAGGACCTGAGGTGCTCCGGAGTAGACGGTAGTCGCGCAGACGATAGCTCCACACTGGATCAAGAAGTCGGTAAAGGCAGCGGCGAAGGTGTACGGCTTGAAGAAGCTCTGTCGGGACTGTAGAATCGCCCACAGCAATGCGGCGGCCTGCATATGTCATTAGAACGTGAACCCGCACATGCAGCAGGAGGTCGTACCGGAGCGACTAGGGCAACGTGGTTAATCTCCCAGATTCCGCCGCCGCCCAGATGCGACACTGAGGCGATCTTTTCCGCCTTGTATTCAGGTGTCATGGTGGCGATGGTCAAGAAAATTAAAATAAAAAGAAGGACGAGAAGAGGTAGGGGAAATGGTGATAGATGTAGGAAAGAATCGAAGGCGGCTCGATGATTTTTGGCGCACGGACTTCCGAACCCCTGACAAGCTTCAACGGTTCCCGCCCGAGCCGGGATGGGTGTTCAACTTCACCTCGTGAATTGCGGCGATTGCTTCTACTTTCACACCAGCAACACATCTTTTTTCACTGAATTTGACAGTTCAAAAATGCCAGCACAGCTTTTGCATGGTATGAATGTCGCTCTCATTGTGCTCTACAGCATTTTGGTGAAAGTGGCAGCGGCAGAGATACTTTCAGTCGGTCACCATCGTATTCCATTACTTCTTGCATTTTGCGCTGAGATCGATCCCTGGGATAGTCTCCAAAGCGACTCTTGGAATTCCTCGCAGTCTCAAGTTCTTTCGACGCACTCAAATCCAGCAAAATTTCTCGTACCTGCCATGCGCTTCACCGTTTGTTTTGCAAGCAAACGCACTCCCGCCTATCGCGCGGCACCCTTGCCCCCCAAAATCAGATCCCGTACCTCAAACCATGGCCTTGGTGCTTTCTACCCCTTTCTTGCCGCTCGAATCTATCAATCTGGTCCTCAGTGTATCTTTCCTTGCTGTCTTACATTTTCTCGAGTCCATCTTTCCAAACTCCCTTTGCGCCCTTTCGTATGCTTGAGAGGCATTTGTGTGTGTCTCTCCCATTAAAGCTGCTGTACCTACTGCGATTTTCTCGGTCCAGTCCTGTAAATTTGCCGAGGCCCAAACTGCGAATTTCGACGCCCACCGAAAGCCATGTCTCCCGCCGAACGCAACACCAACTATCGTGCCAACCATCGTACATCGCATACCGCACACTGCACCCGCCAGAAGTCTCTCCGCAACGGTCCTACATACATCTTCCTCTCAGACCCCGAAAACAGCTCACCGCCGCCCCGAATGGCTACTCCACCCTCCCAGCGACTTACAGCTCCCTCTCGCATACCCACCACAAGGCCGACCTTGCGCAACATGTCCGCAGCGACGAAAAACCCACCTTCAAGACTCCCGCGAATCGCCGGCACCCCAATGAGAGGCACACCCGTTGCTAGAACTCCCCGCGACTCTGCTGTATGGTTGAAACTATCCCCGCCTGAATCTCCAATCCGTCCTCTCGATATCCGCAAAGCTTCAAGCAGCGCCGTGAGCCTTTCACACCGTTAACGTTTACATGTTTACTGATGTACTGGATAGACAACAAGCCAGATGAAACCTCTCCCCTCCGCCCCCACCGCCACCGCCTCGCGCGCCGCCAGCCCCGCCCAAGGAAGCCGCTCTCTTCTGGACGCGACCGAGCGGGAACTGTCCCCATCCCAGTTCCCCGTCCTCTCAGCCACGCCACCAGGAGCCGTTTCGGCATCCCCGTCCTCGCCCTCAGGACGGGGATCCAATGACAAGAGAAGCGGCCTCCCGCGGGCGACCTTCTGGCCTGGTGGCCGAGACTCCCTCACCTCGGACCGCCCAGCGACGTCGCCCGGGAGGGCATACTCCCCTCCCGCCACCAGCTACTCGACGGTGAGGCCCGTCCGCAACTCCGCCGCCTCCGCCGCCTCCGCCGCCTCCCTCTCCTCCACGCCGCGCAAAGGGGTGGCCTCACATCTCGACGTGAGGCGCACCAACGCGGCCCTACTCGTTACCATCCCCACGGTAACGACGCCTCCCCAGCCTGCCGAGCAGGCTGTCCCTAGCCTGAACGGGGAGGTTGCCGTGAAGATGGAGGAGGAAGCGGCGCCCGCGCCCGTCGTTCACCGGAGCGCTGAGCAGCGCGATGATGGTGGACGCGGGAGGAAGGGCCTCTTCCGGGGCTCCAAGAGCAAGGTATGCGCCATCCATCCCTGTTGCATCTCCATCTGACCATGCTCCCAGGAGAATCGCTCAAAGTCCAAGAGCCGCATGGCCTTGGAGAAGATGACCGGTTTCATACGCAAGCGAGCCTCCCAAGTGGAGATGATGCCCGGCTCCCGCCCACAGGTCTCGGCGCCGGTAGAGGGCTCGTTTGTGCACCAAATTGACCCCAACGATGAAACCGTGCCGTCCGTGCCTGCCCTGCCTGCCGCCAAGCCGCTCATCCCAGACCGTCCGCCGCCAGCCGTGCCTACCAGCCAGCCAACTGCCTCGCGTGCTCCTGGACCAAGCCAAAGCCCAGCCCAAGCCAACGATGTGGACTCGGACGAGGACGTCGACGAGCAGCAGGAAGAGAACGAAGAGACTGACCTCATAGCAGCCTCGCAGCACCTCCGCAGCCTCGCAGACGAAGCCCTCACCGACGAGACCAAGAAGACCTTCCTGGTCCTCGCAAAGGTACGTCCCAAGTACAACCTAACAAACCCAGTACCATCTAATGCACAATTATAGGCCTTCGGCGAGACCAAAGTCCTCGTCACCGAAACCGCCATCGCCATGGAGAAAGCCAAGCGCCATGCCCAGGATGCGATGTGGTACTTTAGTGGAGCCAAAATCAATGCAATGAAGATTGAGAAGATTGCGAGGGCTTTGAACGTGAAGAAGGCGGATGATGGCGAGCAACAGACCACTACGGAGACGCAGCCACGGGCCAGAACCCACACGACGATGCGGACGGCGACGAGTGCGCAGCCACAAGCTCGAGCCCGGACGAATATACCGACACAGACGCAACCACGAGCCCAGACGGAGTCTCGACGACAGACGACGCAGGCACCAACTCAAATAACGACCCAACCACGAACTCGAACGACTACAACAACGCAACCACGAGCAAATATGACGAAGACGCAGATGAAGATGCCTGCGAGGAAGTGAAGGAATCGACGATCGACTACCGAGATGAATGAGAGGCTATGGTCATCGCATGAAGACATGCAGCAGAAGAAGGGAAAACGGACGATTGACGCACGGGAGGAGCATGACGATACGAATCATGAATACGACAAGGACGGTGTCTTTGCTGGAGTTTGGTGGGAGTTTTCGGACTACAGCTATCGCTGCACGGAAGCATTGGATTTTGCGTCGAGGTCTTTGAGATGGTCACGAGTCTCACCGTAACAGAACGACTCAAGCACACTCAGGATGGACAGATTGGCGTTGGGTGTGATGGATTTCAGGGGATGACGCTCGACTGCTTTTGCTTCAGAGGTGGACAACAGGACCACAGAGCACAGTGAAAATTGAGCAAAACCCTTGACGCTCAGAGGAGTCTCTGATAATGGAATTCAATTCAGGGGGTATCAAACACTCGACTCAACATGCAAATAACACCCCTGTGCTCCCGTTCCCTTGTGAATCGCCCTCTCATCACTCAACCTCACAACCGTATTCCTCACCTCCGACGTCAGTCCCGGAGGTCCACAAGCCGCAACGCCCGCCTCACCATCTGCGTTGTCGAGCAGATCGCTGAGGACTTTGCCGATTTGCGGCCGGCCAGAGTAGAACACAGCACACGGTAGGATGGGCATCCTACGCCCGACGGTAGTGGTGTCTGCGTTTCTGGAGGCGGCTGAGGATGAGATATCTCTGACCGAGATGGGAGCTTTGGTAGGTGTGATTTTGTCGACTACCTCGCCCTTCTCGTCTTCGTCCACAGCGACGCAGCAACAAGGTCCCTTCGACTTGTCGCACTCGCAGGCGCAGTCTCTAACCACGCTGCCAGGACTCGTGAACTTGTCTGCGCAAGTTACGTAGATGCTAATGATCAGCTCGATGCCGGCTGCCTGAAGCATACCGTACGCTGCAGCGAGCTCTTCGCTGATCCAAGACGCCCAATCGGTGTCCTTGACACACCAGACGAAGTGGATACGCTGGACTGGTAACCGCTTGCCGATATGAGTGGCTCGATCTGCAATGCCTTGAAGGACTGACATTGAGAATGTCACACCAGTCGAGCCCGCAATAAGGCATATCGAGTCGAAAGCAGCAAAGTCCGACTGCGAGCCGCCATACGGACCATCGATGAATGCTCTATGCGTGGTGACTTGAGCTGCGGGCGCTGCATCTTCTCCATTTTCTTTGGAGATGAGGGCTGTCGCAGAGCTATTCGCGTTCTCCATGATACGCTTGGTGAAACCTTTGTGACTCTTCAAAATGAAGACCAAGTCTCCCCCATGCGGTTGAGGCGTTGAGACGATCGTTGCAGGATGCGACTGCATGAATCCAAATCGAGGCATGGAGATGATCGCATGACTTCCAGGTCTCCAGTATTTGACTGTCTTGCAAGACACCCTGACCTTGGTCACACCGCCATCGAGAAGACTCAAAGCAGCTCGACCAGCACGGATGTTGTTCCAAGCCAGACGTGCGGTTCGAATGATGCGATCAAGCAGATAGACAGCAATCGGAATGTAGATGTACACTCGGCTCGTCAACGCCGTGCTCGGCAGATGCAGCATGATCGCGACGATAAAGCCGAAGAAGGTGATGATATGCTGCACCACGAAAAACTCGTAGTTGAAGTACCGCATAGGAGCAGCTGTCGTGAGATTCATCCAGAGCAAGATCGCAAAGGCGGCAATGCCAGTCTTTGGGCATTCATCCGTGCGCCATTCCAGGCCCGTGAGTCCATACTTCTGCCAACCAGTGCTCTGGAAGGCAAAGTGGAAGATTGCGAGGAGTAACATGATCCTTGCGCTCCATCGATGGATCACATTCAGGCGTTCGTAGGAAGCACCGGTAAGGAGGCCGATGATATTGTTCTTGTTGATCAGAAGAACAAGGAGGGGTACTTGGGCAACAGCCAGCCATCCAGCTCGGATGCCAAGGGCTTGCCAGTATTGAGCGCCTTCGACATTGTTATTGACGAACTCCAGAGCCAGCACGAAAGCCAGATAAGCGACCAGCAGCGTGATCGTACCCATCGGCGGCACTTTAAAGTACGGCAAACTCGCGACAGTCGGCGGGGACTGCAGGTACGTCGCCTCCCTCCCCATCGCCGTAATCGTGGCAAACCATCGCATAGGCAGTGTCTTCGGCTTGGCGGGACTCGCCCTTTGTTGGGCAGCCTCCCTCAGGCGCATCTGCAATGTGAGCCATCGCAGGAAATTGAAAATCGCCGCAATTCCAATAACCACAATCACACCGTACCAGAAGTACCTCGCGTAGGTATTGCCAATGACTGAGATACGCGTGTCGTCCAGGAGATTGTCCAGGAATTCGGCCGCTTGCGTAGTGTTGGAGAAATCGACGCCTTCTGTGGTGAGAGGTTCGCTGGACATGCTCGAGCCCATGCTGTCCATGTCCATGTCCATTTCGGTGCTTCCATCGTGCTGGTGGCCGGCATGCCGTCTCACGGCCGCGAAAAGGGCCGTCGCCATGATGTTGTGGAAGTCGTCAACCTGAAGTTTGGGCAGTCAGTCCAAAAGAGGACGACTGGAATGTGGAGCCCTCGATGTCTTTGTCCGGAGTTAACTTTTTCCTTCCAGATGTCCTGTAGAAGTCCTAGGAAGAACTTCAGTATCGACGCCGTCGTCGCGACCGCGAGTGCCACGATATGCTTGGTGAGAGATCAAAGTTTCGCGGAAATGACAGTGGGCGAAAGACAAAAGGAGAAAGCAATGACCCGGAACTTCCCCGTATATCTCTTACATTTCTTCAGTCCCAGAACCAAGTCTTTGTCTTCATCTTGGCTGTAGAAGATCATTGGAATGTTTTCGAGTGGAGGTGAGCAAGTATCCACCACTGCCAAGTGCCGACCCATGTTCAGATTTTATGGTCAGCGGTTTTAGCCGGCGAATGTGTGGCGCCGGGTCTGGATTGCGAAGAGACAAATATACTGGAAGATAAACTCTCATTCCTCGAATGACTGCTCTGCTCATTGTACTCTAAGCTGCTTAGATGGTCTTGTAGTACCAAATTCAGTAGAGCCTTTAGTTGACCGTTCACTCGATCTTTCACTCGATCTTTCACTCGATCTTTCACTCGATCTTTCACTCGATCTTTTAGTAGAGCATTTAGTTGAGCATTTAGTTCAATACCCAATCGATCACTCACTTAAACCTTTAGTTATTCATTCAAGTGATCATTCAGTTGATCATTCAGTTGATCATTCAGTTGATCATTCAGTTGAGCATTCAGTTGATCACTTACTTAAACCTTTACTTCTTCATTCAAGTGATCATTCAGTTCAGCATTCAGTTCAACATCCAATTGATGGATGCGTGATGCGGCGGTCTTCATAATATGATCTTTCCGACCATCTACCCCCGTTCCTAGCGCTTTGTCAAAGTCAAACAGTCTCTCGTGTTCTGTGTAACCAGATATATCAATAAGTGGACTAACACCAACCCATGGAATATTAAAGTTGATCGAAAGCACAATCTTTGAAGAGCAAAAGAGCGTTTCACGTGCATCATAATCAAAGTCATTTCCAAGTCTACAAACCCCATCGCTCAAATCAAAGCCCATGGTATCGTGCTTCTTCATGACCGACAGACAAGACAGGGACGAATCGAGCGGACTACAAACCACACACTTCCTGTTCACCAATTCGCACCACAACATCACTCTTTCCCGACCTCCACCTCCGGCGGCGTCGCCGTCTTCTTCTCGTGCTTCGCATCCTCGTCCGAAACCTCCGCCATAGACGCCTGACCATGCGTGAGCGGCCGCCCCTTGCCAGTGATGTCCAGCCAAATCGACTTGATCGTCCTGAGACTGGTCCTGCGGCCCTCCCATAGTGGGTACAACCCGACGCAGAAGCTCGAGCAGAACAACCAGAGGATGCCGACGACGACCCATCCCGTGAAGAACTTCTTGGAGAAAATGTACGAGGAGCCGTACATGGGCATAGGCCAGAGGACGAGGAAGGAGATGGCTAGGAACAGTGTGAGGTAGCGGGCGATTTTGGCAGAGCGCGAGAGTTTGGCTTGTTCGGCGGCTTCTTCTGCATCCGTGTGGTGGGCTTCGCCGGGGACGACTTCGATGTCGACGTGTGCCGCGGCTGCGACGTCCGAGTCATCGCCTTTCCGGATCGCCGCCATGGAGAGCCAGTCGTATTTGGGGGATTTGAAGACGAGGGAGAGGATGGGGATGAAGACGGCCGGAGCGAGGAGCGAGACGACGTTGCCGACTAGCATTGGGTAGTTTGAGCCGGTTGTTTCGACGTTGAAGATGCCGTATTGGGCTTGGGTTTGGACGAGCCAGCCTACGATCGAGCACACCAAAGCCATGGGAGGCGAGAACGTGGCAGCAGCCCAGGACTGGCGGTCCCAAAGGAGGGTTAAGGACGCTGGTAGCACAGCGCCGCTAATGATGACACCCATAAGCAGGTACAAGTAACCCATCGAGATGCCGGCGTAGTGGAGGCCAGTGGAGAAGGCTGCAAGGCAAATCGCGTAGACGACGCAGCTGGTGTGGGACATGTAGATTAGTCGTCGGCCGCTGGCGGAGGGATTGATATAGGTCTTGTAGATGTCGTAGGTCCAGATGGAGGATACGGCGATAAGTTCGGCGGACATGGCAGAAGTCACAGCCATAAAGATCAACAAGAGCGTGGCCGCGGCTCCTCCAGATCCAAGAAGAGCGACTGCTGCGTCTGGCAGAACCAGGCCAGCTGAGACATCGGCTGGATCCATACGGTTGGGGTACGTAGGGGATACTGGATTGTTCTCCAGAGCAAGAGCAGAAAGACCCATGGTGGTGGCTGCGAGCCATGGGATAGCAAACCAGGAGAGACCTCCAGCGATATATCCAGGCAGAGCATGAACAGGCGAAGCAGCAATAGCCTTGTTGTAATAGCCGTTGTCCATGAAGACCGTGCCGAAGTTGCCCACGATGTTGATCACGAAGAAGATGCCGCCCTCCTTCGATCTCATCGTCAAATAGCTGCCTCCAGCATTGCCTTCCACGGGGTGGCGTTCGGAGGCTGCGACCAAGGCATCATAGACAGCTCCAGGGGACCCCAATATTGCGTTTGTGGCGTAGGCAGTGAAAGCGAAGATGAGGATGATGACCAGAATAACGACAGTATGGACATAATCTGTCAAGAAAGTCGCTTTTATCCCACCCGCGACAGTATAGAGTACGACACCGATGGGCAGGAGGAAACATGCTGCTGCTGTTGGTACGCCAGTGAGAGATGTGACGACAGCAGAACCTGTCCTAAGTCAGTTGACATTTCTTCGATTGAGTACTTTCTGGTGTTGCTCACCTCCAGTCAAAAGCATAGCCGTGACAAGAATGTTTGTCATCAGTCCAAAGACGATGTACACGCCGTGGGTGACAGATCCATATCTAGCTTTGATAACTTCGAGGCTGTACAAGTTTTGTAAGTACAGCGTCCACTCTCAACCCGATTATGAGATTGAACTCACAAAGTATGCGCGTTTGGCGCCTTCCTCTTCAACTCAATCGCCAGTGTTGCGAACAAGATGATCTGCACTGTAGCACCACTTGCATACCAGAAGGGGCCCGAGACACCATAGTTGTACGCAACGCCAGAAGATTGGAGCAATGTTGCCGCCCATGTCCACGAAGACACGACTGCAGAGGATACCAAGCCAGACTTGACAGTACGGCCAGCGGTGCTAAAGACTTCGGATGTCTGCAGTTCGTTGTTGTAGCGTTTGAGCACGAATGTAGTGAGCATCATTCCGAACGCGAACAGGAACCCCAGGCCAATGACAACGCCATAGCCCGTGGCCTGGGAGAGAGGAGGAGTCGTCGACATCTTGGCAATTGGTCAAGCCTTGCGAAAGCCTGGTGCCAAAGTCGTTGAAACAAGAGAGTCAAAGCAAAAACTGATAAGAGCAGTAACGTCCCTCGTGCTTACATATGTAGATGAGGTCCAGGATCCCAAACCTTACCTTTCCCTTCTAGACCCAGGATAACCTTTCAACGACGAACCAAAACCAACGCAGGACCCGGCCGACGGGCCCACGGGGTATGCACATGGTGCGTGTGAACAGTATAGCATTTCGCTAATTCCCACGTATCGTGCTCAATGCGAGGTGACCATGGCTCTGTCTGACTGGACAGTCAAAAGGGCTCCGATAAGGGCGAGCAACCGGCATGGACATTGCATGCATCTCTCCACGCGAGCACGCAGCACGAAACGCTCATGATGTGCGAGGTCGGCGTGGTAGGAGACAGCCGTTGGGGGAGGTTTTGCTGTGGTGGTTCGGAAGGAACTGATAAGGCACGGCTATCTTTGATGTCTTGGCGGTTTCGTGTTACTCGATCGAATTGCTGCTCTAGATAAGGAAGTTTAAGAAGCGATGGTGCAGCGTCAGGAGATGCGAAACACGTCAGAAGCGAGTTCTCAGCCTCTACCATGCGCCGGCTTGCATATTGGAGCCGCCTGGATGTTCTTGTGTTCTTGTTGTTGGTGATGGAGTTGGACAGATGCAGTTTCTCCTTTGGCTTTCCCGTTTCAGCTTTCATGGCTGCACGTGACTTGAGATCCGCCAAGCCGGGTAAAGTGAATGACTTTCTCTTTCCGCCGGAAGAATTGGGAGCCATGACTTCAATCCCAATCCCTCTGCGGAACTTTTGGTGGGCTGCTACTGCTTCAAGGTGGGCTGCTTCTGTCACGATGTAATTCTCAACCACCTCTTTGGCTGAACCATTTCAGCCTGTGTTGTAAGTGTTCAATAACCCATACTTTTCCATCCTCCTCAATCAAACTGCGATATCCTTGAACGCCTTGTTGGTTCTGCTCAGAAATAGAGAAACTTCACCATGGGTCAAGAAGTAAGTGGAAAATACCTCCTACACACCCCGCAGATCATCAAGGTTGATCAGATACACACCCTCCAAGCTCTCTAAACTACAGAGACGTGACCAATGGCTGACCCTGCCAGAATCTCTCCTTCGTTCTCCAAAAACCAGGCTCGGTAATCTTCGAACCACGCCCAACACCAACCCTCACCGACCCGTTCTCAGTCATCGTCAACGTAAAATGGACCGGCATCTGCGGCAGCGATGTTCACTACTGGGTGCATGGCGCAATCGGACAATTCATCGTCAAGAGCCCAATGGTCCTAGGCCATGAATCGAGCGGTGTCGTGACGGAAGTGGGCTCACAGGTGAAGAGCTTGAAAGTTGGCGACCGTGTTGCTATGGAGCCGGGCATTCCGTGCAGGAGGTGCGTAAGGTGTAAGGATGGAAAATACAACCTCTGTCCGGATATGCGATTCGCAGCAACGCCGCCCTATGACGGTACCCTGTGCAAGTACTATAGCTTGCCAGAGGACTTCTGCTACAAGCTTCCGGAGAACGTCAGCTTAGAAGAGGGCGCTCTAGTGGAGCCATTGAGTGTCGGCGTGCATATCACAAGGCAGGCCAACGTGCAGCCGGGAAATAGCGTCGTTGTGTTTGGTGCGGGTCCTGTTGGTCTGCTCTGCATGGCCGTGGCCAAGTCCTTTGGCGCGACGAAGATCGTGGCTGTGGATATCAACGAGGAGAGGCTGCAGTTCGCGAAGAAGTACGCGGCCACGCATATCGTCGTCTCGCAACGAGAGCCCGCTCAGGATGCCGCGCAGAGGATAACATCGGACTGTGACTTGGGCACTGGAGCTGACGTCGTGATCGACGCAAGCGGTGCTGAGCCTGCGATCCAGACCAGCATACACGTCTTGCGGGTAGGAGGGACCTACGTGCAAGGAGGCATGGGCAAAGCAGACATTACGTTCCCAATCGGAGCCATGTGTGCGAAGGAGCTAAACGTCAAGGGAAGCTTCAGGTATGGCGGTGGAGACTACGCTCTTGCGGTGGAATTGATTGCCACAGGCAGAGTGGATGTCAAGGCTCTCATCACGGGCAAAGTGAAGTTCACAGAGGCGGAGAAGGCTTTCGCTGAGGTCAAGGCTGCCAAAGGCATCAAGACATTGATCGAGGGCGTGGAAGACAGTTCTTGAACGGAGAAAGGGAAGCAAGCATCCTTGGATAGACACGATTATTGTGACAATCAAAAAGCGTATGCACGACCACCTGTCCCGAAGCGTCCACCTTGATGTCCGAATAGATGTGTATATACTCGCTCGATATCTCGCTTTGACCCTCGCAGCCGCTTCCAACTTTACACTGCTTTCAAACGGCCGAAGTTCGCACGAAGTTGGACTTCCTTCTATAGCGAGACAATCTCCTCGCAAGGACAGCCCACAACATCACGCAGAGAACATTTCGAGGGACATTAACTGCCGACAGCTTATGAGGAGAACGAACAAGAGTCTATGACGCAGTCTCTCCAAGCGAGCAGTGGTGAAGGTCGGGTCTGATGCAGAGCATGAGTTCTTGCCTCACCATGACGTTTCCCGCGCTCACAACAAAGCAATGGAGTCGCGTTGAGCGCGAGTTCTCAGGTAGTAGGTAGATAGAGGTAAGAGAAGGCGATCCCTACTGCTCGATTACATCTCCTCAATCACACCCCGTGTTTCTCTATCTCCAAGCAATATGGCTCTCTCACAAGCTGCATATCAAGCCGAGAAGGCTCTAGGTCACGGCGACAACGCAGTGACAGCACAGGATGTCACGAACCCGGCGAACGACCGCGAGAAATATGGCGATCCGAACGAAACGATGAAGGCTTTGGCGTGGATGGGCAAGAACGATGTGCAGATTGGTAAGACCATACTTCTCTACTATCACCAAGGATGTCTGACTGATCATTGCCAGTCGAATGCCCCAAGCCCAAAGTAATCGAAGACCGCGATGTGATCCTCAAAATCACCGGCAGCACTGTCTGCGGTTCCGATCTCCATCTCCTGCACGGAAGCGTTGTCGAATTAGCAAAAGGCGATATCTTGGGACATGAGTTCTGCGGTGTGGTAGACGATATGGGCTCAGCAGTAAAGGGTCTACAAAAGGGCGACAGAGTAGTGGCGAGCTTCCAGATCGCTTGCGGCGACTGTCTCTACTGCAAGAAGAAGCTGTCTTCGCAGTGCGCAAGGACGAACAGCAACAACATAGAAAATGCGATGTACGGCGGGCGGACAGCGGGAATGTTTGGATATTCGCATTTCACAGGAGGTTTTGCTGGTGGGCAGGCGGAGTATACCCGTGTGCCTTTCGGCGACGTCAATCTGCTGAAGCTGCCGGATGATGTTCCGGATGAGAAGGGTCTTTTCCTCTCCGATGTTGTACCTACAAGCTGGAACTGCGTGGTCGACACTGGAGTCAAGGAGGGCGACGTGGTGGCCATCTGGGGTGCAGGACCTATTGGACAGATGGCTGCGGACTTCTCCTTTATGAACGGCGCGAAACGAGTCATTGTTATCGACAGCAATTGGCGATTAGACTGGATGAAGGAGCGATATCCGAAGGTGGAGACGATCGACTACTCACAGCTCAAGGGCACGAAGGCCGTAGTCTCGAAGCTGAAAGAGATGGTCGACGGCCACGGTCCAGACGTTGCTCTCGAATGCGTAGCTGGCGAGTACCCCAAAGGCTGGTTCCACACCGCCCAAATCGCCCTCGGTCTCGAAACAGACACCAGCGAGATCCTAAACGAAATGATCGAAGGCGTCAAGAACTACGGCCGAGTCGGCATCACAGGCGTCTACGTCGGGTATACAAACAACTTCAACATCGGATCGTTGATGGAGCGAGGAATTCGATTCATCGGCAATGGACAAGCACCCGTGCATTTCTACTGGGAGGATCTGCTCAAGAAGATCCAGAGCGGTGAGATTGATCCTTTGAAGATGGTCTCGCACCGGGTCAAGGTGGACCAGCTCGATAAGGTGTACGAGAAATTTGAGAAGAAGGCGGATGGGATGCAGAAGGTGTTTGTGGAGACGAGGTTTTCGCAGCCGGCTTGTGCGGGTAGTCCGCCTTTGACGGAGTATTAGACGTAGATAGATGATGTATAACATGCAGAGGTCAATGTATACAATCGTGGTGTCGCTTAAAAAGGAATATTCAATCCCTATTACTCCTAAGCTATCTCATCTAAGCAGCTTAGGAGTGCCATTAGTAGTGGAACATTCGTCATTGTCACTCCTGAGCCATCTAAGCGCCTCGAGTACAATTAGCAGCGCAGTTGCTTATACGTGGTCCACTCAGGGTCACATCGACCTACTGATATCCAGCAACTTCAGCCTTCAAGCAGGATAAGTGAAAAGAGAGAGTGAGAGCGATGTATATGGACATATATCATTTTGCCTTTCGAGTTCCACTCCCTCTCTTTCCAGAGAGTAGAGTCAGAAACTCCCCTGACTACATAAAAGTAGCAAGTACCACAAAAAGCGCCATAAAGCGTTGCCCCTAAACACTACACACATATCGTTCACACGAGGACGGTCTTGTCCTCATCATCTGTGACAAAAACACACACAAATAATGTACTCCGTTGCTCTTTGGCATCACCAAACCCCCGCCAGAGACGATAGAAAACGCCATCCTTCATTACCAAACAAAAACTTCTGCTCAACGAAGGACGCGAATGACTTGGAAAAAACAAAACTCCACGTTGTGGCCCGCCGAGTGTGATGTGGCCAGGCTGGCTTCTGCGTGATGTCCCGCTGTCGATCCAGATAGCGGTGATATGGACAATGTAAAAAGCTCTTGCGATGGTGGCGGTGAATTCTTCCTCTTCTTCTTTTCAAAACTGCTGATAGATGGCTCTGAAACACATATCCGGTGAAACGAAGGCGCCGTTGCTGGTATGGGTATCGATACGGAAAATAAGGACGTGTAAGGAGGTGAGATGTCGTGGTTGGCGTTGCCTGATGCCTCATGCGTGTGACAATGCTGCTGCGTGGGCATGGCGACTGTGCTGGTCGTGAGCTTCCACGGCCACGGACTCAACAGAGGCGCATAGAAGTCGTCGGCCTAGCTCACTGGTCTAGTTGCTCGGGAATGACCATGAATAGAGGGTTCTTTTCCCGGCATTCCAGCTCGTCGGCCATCAATCGGGACAAAGCATCCCAATCCAGCGCGGCAGCGTCGAGCGCGGCATCTGTGCAAGTTCCGAGTTTGAGTGGCACGTCCGGCTCCTAATGCATCGTGTCCAATTCAGCACCCGCATCGCCAAACGCGAAGTTGGCGTCGAACCCAAGGGTATCGTTATCACCAGTGTTGTTCAGGAAGCTGTCAAAGTCGAAGTTATCGAGCACATCGCCGCTATCCAGGTTAGCAAAGTCCATGTTGCCGAATCCATCATCGGTAATATTGCCAAACGGCGCAGCATTCATGTCTGGGACCTGCTGTTGCACTGGAGGTGCGCCAGGAGGTTGCGTATTGGCATTCTGCTGTGCTGGCGTTGGCTGGCCGTTCGGTAGCTGTCCATTCTTGTTAAACGAAGCAGCATTGTTAGGAGTCATCGGTGGCGGCGGCGTTGGCGTTGGCGGCGCATTGGCTTCTTGACTTTCGGCAGCATTGGCACCCTTCTTGTTAGCAGGGGCGTTCTGTGAGTGATGTGTTAGCTTTCGAATGTAAATGTCCTTCATGGAATGACATACCTTCTTCGCGCCGTCCTTCTTGTTCGCTGGCTTTCCTTTATTGCCTTGACTAGGCGTAGGCGGCGCAGGCGGCTGTGCGGGACTGCTGGGTTGGGTGCCAGTGGCATTTGCTGGTGCCGGTGGTGGAGGCATGTTGCCTTGACGAGGAGTCATGTTTGGTGGTTGGCCTGGCTGTCCCTGACCAGGCTGTTGACCTGGCATCATTGGACCCTGAGGACCACCTGGTGGACCTTGCCAGTTGGCGCCGTTTGGCATCATACCACCGTTTGCACGAAGCATTTCCATCTGTTGTTGTGTCATCTGACCGGCCATCGGGTGTGATGATGGCGGCCTCATCACCGGCTGACCATTTGGACCCATAACCATCTGAGGTCTCATGCCTGGAACAGCGCTAGGATCCATCATGCCAGGGGTTGGCGATCCACGACCTAGTGATGTTAGCGCCTGACGCTATGCTTGGCTCTATCATAACCTTACCTCTGTTCATCTCATTGGGATTTGGTGACGGGTCGCCAGCTCTGCTTCCCTGCGGTGACATGCCCGGAGCAAAGTTGTTGCCATTCGGGCCTGGCGCGTTAGGGTGAGCCATACTGTCTTGCTCCTGACGTGCCATGAGCAGTCGTTTCTTGTTCTGCTGCTCGAGAAGCATGAGTTGCATCTGGTAGTCTTGTAGTGCGTGGTTTCCGTTGTTGGCTGCGCCTTGTTGGCCGGCAGCTGCTACAGCAGCGCCGTTCTGTGGCATGCCCATTCGGTTGTTGTAGAATTCGCCGCCGGCGCCGTCGATGCCCTGCTGATTCATAGGACTCGACTGTGCGCCGCCTGGACCCATTGCGGGATTCGGTGGCATGCCCTTGTTCGCGTTAGAACCTGTTCTTTGCATAGCGGCCTGCATGTGCTGTTGGATGGCTTGGGAATAATTCTCCACAGACTTTGCTTGTACGTTAGTGGGTTGCGCGGACATCTTCTGGAGTTGCTCTTGAGACATGGTGCTGGGATCGAGACCCCTCGAGAGCAGCAACTCGCGGGTGTGTGCAGGAAGAGTATCGAAGAGGGGTGGGGCGTTGGACGGGGTACCCACCTGTTGGCCGCCTTGCATCTGACCCGGCTGTCCAGGTCGAGCTTGGTTCATTTGATTCATGTTGCCCTCGATCCTCTGCCGTTTGGGAGAAGGAGCGTCGGTGCCAGCATTAGGAGATCCATTGCGGTCCATCTGCGAGCCTTGTCGCTCCATGGGTGCACCTGGCATCTGGTTTGCTCCAGCTTGGCCTGCTCTCATCTTGTTCATCTGATTGAGTTGCTGCTGGTTCCTGTTGAATGTCAGTGAGTGGAGTCATTCAAGTCGCGCATACATCTTTCACATACATATTCTTGATGGCCGTTTGCTGTCTCAAATCTCCCATGCCGTTGTTCATCATATTGAAGTTCCGTTGCGCTGCGTTGGGGTCTATGGCAGTCATCATGCCGGTTCGGGTCTTCTGCGCCATGCGCTGCTGGCCGACATAGCTGAGGGTAGTCTGCTTGCCGTTGCGGCGGTTGCCTTGATATAGCTCCCAGAACTGAAGCCACCAATCCATGAGAAACGGACCTGGTTCTTCCGATAGCGCGACGGGTAGTGGGAGGTCGTCGGGCTTGCCTTTGAGGGAGTCCCGCGACTCGATTTCGACGTCAACGCCATTGGCCTGGTTCTGGTTGGGGGACTGCTTGACGCCCTCAGGCCACTCGATAGGCATCGCCGTCTTGAACGAGCGGGCGGCGTCGTACTTGCCGCAACATAGTAGATATTCGTAGATGGCGGAGTTGAGACGCTTTGAGTAGTCCTGCGGGCCAAGGCCAGACATGGAGTTTGTCGGTGTCGGGGCGTTAGGCGTGGGACCGCCGACAGGACCACCCATGCCCGTCATGGCCATCTGTTGCTGCTGGCTCATGCTGCAGGGCGGGGTCTAGATGTGGGATGTGGGTTTATGGGGGGTTTCGAGATGGTAGCGCGGCGGAGGGTGGTAGGGGTGCTCGGAGGCGGGGGCGGACTCGAGCGACCGTCGGGCTCCCGTCGAGGCCCGGCGCGTGTGTAACGGGGTCGCCGGCGAGGTGTAGAGCAGGTGCGCAAGGAGCGGCGGGGGAGAGAGCGATGGGCGACGAGCGTCGTCGGGCGTGAGGTGCGCTGGTGGTGGTGGTGGTGGTGGAGGAAGAGTCGGCGGCGGGAGAAGCTCAGCACGACGGACCGTGTCGGTCGCTTATTGCCTGCCAGCGAAGAGGGCACGCTGTGCTGGCTGGCGGTCACCGTCGTCTGCGGCCGGGCGGCGGCGCGCAGCACAATAAGGCGTGTATCCGGGAGGCGGTGGTGTGTGTGTACGGTGGGCTGGTGCTGGCCGCGGTAGATGAGTGCGCCGTGGGTGCTGGCAGGTGAGGTGCAGGTGAGATCGTCGTCGGAGGGCAGTTGCGCGCAGGAGCCAAGCTGAGATGGGGATGGGCTGGGCTGGTGCTGCTGCTGGCTGGGCGAGAGGTGCCGCGCTGCTGGCTCTGTGGCGTCGCTGGTTCACACAGTACGACACGACTGCGATGGCGCCTGGGGGGTGCTGGATTACCGCGCGCGGCGTCTGTCGTCTACGGCGGCAGGGCGAGAGTGTGGAAGTGGAAAGAGAACACTGCTGCACCGGCCGGTCGCAACTTCCAAATGCCACCGCGCTAGCGGCCTCCCTTCCAATCAGGTTGTATCTTCGAGGAGGAAAGGCCAACACCTCCATCCATCGAACGTGATGCCCAACGACAGCTACAGAAATTCACCATCCTCCGCCGAACATCGCATAAAATACCACTGCCTGCACCTTTCATGCTAGCCATCCAAACAGTCGGTCAAGAGCCTCAAAAATCGATGTTCGCTGTCCGCCAAGACCTCCCAACTCACCACATGATCGGTGATGCGAGCCTAGAACTGACGAATAGCACGCCCCTCCGCACACCGAGTTCACCCAACCCGTTCTTCCACATGGACAGGGCTATGTCAGGCCGAACATCTCTACAGATAAGGCTGCTCTGGGGTTTAAGGTCACGTTCGTGTAGTTCTGTTCCATCTAGTGACCCCATCACCCCACGTCACGTTCCCCAGAGCCTGGTAGACGGAATTGCCAGGAGTATGGAGAGGCTAACGTGAACATGATGCCACCAGAGACAACAGCAAAGTACTGTCTTCTTAGTTTCACGTAGCGATGTGCTTGTGGTCGGTACTGCAAACCACGTTTAGGTATTCTGCTGCTCAAAGTGGGAGATTCATCCCCATCTCTCGCAAGCAATCTAATCTGCCTAAAATGCGAGCAGAAGCGTAGTTGCTTCTGTTCATTCCGAGAGATAACAGTTCCATGCGTTCTACTTTGAACGGAACCACGAGGGTACTAAGGGAGATGTTATAGGAAACTGAACCTGGTAGTGGTTTTCTTGTACCTGTGGCAAGGTAAGAAGCATTGGAACATTCGTGCTTGTCGCCCATATAGCTTCCATTCGTATTCTATTCGTCGTCTGGAGGCATCTCATCTTCGATGTAACGCAACAGCGTCACACGCATCTCTGTGGTATCATTCCCACGCAGAACATCACTCACGAAATGCGCCTCGACCTGCATTTGCACCTGAACATGTTGTCAGCATACCCATCCCTTTGAACTCAAGTTCCTATACTCACCATCTCCAACGCCCCTCTGATGACCCCACAAAGTATATTACTATACCACAACTCATCCTGCGCCCTCCCATCATCTGGCAACTCCACAAAGTCCGCCAAAGGATTCTCCTCAAACACCAAATGAAAGCTCTTGCCTTCCTGATTCCAGTTCGTCACCACAGGCGTAATGTTCATGAAGATCTTGAACCCGACTTTCGAGATGATCTCGGCGGTCTCGCGGAAGCTGCTGCAGCTGCCGGTGTTGGACTTGGCGAGGAAGTCTTCGATCAGGCGCATGCCGATGTTATAGCCCATGCGGTCGAGCTCGGTGTTGACGGCGGTGTAGTCGGTTTTGGAGGAGGTGTTGGGGAGGGTGAGGTCGCGGCAGAGTTGGGCGACGATGGTGCCGTAGGCGAGGGTTACGACTTCGGCGTTGATTTTTTCGACCCGGGTTCTGTGTGAATGATTAACATGTTGTCCTCGGTTGCCTGTGACAGCTCAACTCACTTCCACACCCTGTTGTACTGTCAGTCTGCGCGCCTCTCTATGGTATGTATTCTCGTGCTCACTCTTCGCCCATCCGGGCAGCTTTGGAAGTCATGATGAGAAGCTGTGTTCAATGCGCCTTGCTTCCAGAGGCGCACACTCTCTTCTTCACCTCATTGCTCTCCGTGTGTGCAATCGTGACCAAGTCTTGTCGATGTTGCGCTCGATGATGTGGTAGACAGGGTGTCGTCGAAACAAGGTGCTTTGGATGTTTGTGGAGATGAGTCCGGCGTCCCACCAGCGCGGATCGTGGCTCATGCCCTGCTTCCTTTCTTCCCTTCACTTCACGTCTGGGCACGGGAATTTTGGGCTTGAGATATTAATGTCTATACGTCTGAGATGACCGTGCGAGTTCTTTCTTTCTTCAGGCCATCGTCTTCTCAACGGCATTCTCATGTCTCTGGAGACTTCAGACTAGTCACAAATTCCTGCGTTCTACAGACTCTTCCCAATCAATGCATCAAATGAGGAAATTGACCATCAGCAACTGGCAGGGCTAGTTCTCATAGCTGCGACAGGAGTTTACATGCTCATCAGAATCAAGTATATATTTATCCAACAGAGTACAAGTTGTAATAAGCCAAGGCGTCGCGAGTGCTCTCGCAAATTGTGCGCACTCATTTGCATTGGCTCGTTGCCCCTTTCCTTTACCAAGTCAGCAATTCCTTCCCATCTCCGGCGACGGCCATGGCGTGTATTGGGCGTGAACAGTACTGTATTCCTCGAAAGCAGTCGGAAAGCAAGACATTCGATGTCTGGAGTCCGTGCGTCAAAGTGGGGCTGGCAATTTTTAGCTCAATTTAGAGTTGCTGCGAACTTCACCAAGTAAACTCGAAAAATATCCAAGTCGAGCTCCAAGTGCCGGACTTTGACGGACACCAACACGACACAAATCGATTGAACAAGAGAAGGCTGAAGTCGAGTCAAGATGTCGGGCGAAAAGAGGGCAGCGGGCGAGTCGTTCGGCAGCACACAGCTGGTCAAGAGACAGAGATCAGAAGCAGACACCAATGGCGCGCTGGTCAAGGCGAATGGCGGCGCACTCATACAAGGGGTGAGTCTACACAGTGGCACACCTACGGCTTTCTTTTGAAGCTAAACCAACACGTCAAGGAGCGGACGGCTGATCGAGAATGGGTGGAATAGGGAAATTCAGCGGCAGGCCTCCAAGCTCCTGTTATGGAGTTGAGCGGTATGACGAGAACATGTCCAATGAGGGTAGGGAGAGATACTGACTATGCGGACAGGTCATTCTGGCGAAATCTTCACCGCGCGCTTCGACCCCTCCGGCTCCCACATCGCCTCTGGCAGCATGGACCGCAACATCCTCCTCTGGAACACCACCGGCGAATGCTCCAACTACGGCATCCTCACCGGTCACAAGTCCGCAATCCTCGACCTACACTGGTCCCGCGACAGCCAAGTCGTCTACAGCGCCAGCGCAGACCAGACCGTCGCAAGTTATAACGTCGAAACCGGCGAGCGGATACGGAAACATGTAGGGCATGAGGAGGTGATCAACTGCTTGGACGTGAGTCGAAGAGGTGAAGAGTTCCTGGTAAGCGGGAGCGACGACGGATATATCTGCGTCTGGGATCCCCGACAAAAGGCGGCGATCGACGAGATTTCGACAGAGTTCCCTGTCACAGCGGTGTGCTTGGCGGAAGCAGGCAACGAGCTTTTCACGGGCAGCATCGATAACGAGATCAAAGTCTGGGATCTGCGAATGAAGAAGGTCTCGTACACACTCACGGGCCACACCGACACGATCACCTCACTCGCCATATCGCCCGACTCGCAATCACTCCTCTCCTACGCACACGACTCCACGGCGCGAACATGGGATATCCGGCCCTTCGCACCAGCAGATCGCGCAATCAAGGCCTTCGACGGCGCCCACGTGGGCTTGGAGAAGAACCTCATTCGAGCATGCTGGGACAGCGAAGGCAAGAAGATTGCGGCGGGCGGTGGCGACGGGACGGCGACGATTTGGGATAGCAAGTCTGGCAAGCTGTTACAGAAGCTTCCTGGACATAAGGGCACGGTGAATGATGTGCGGATATCCCCAGATGGGTCGATGAGTAAGTGAGATTTGATGTTAGTGGGAGAATGCGACTGACGGTGAATAGTTCTCTCGGCTAGTACGGACAGGACGATGCTTTTGGGCGAGCTGCCTAGGTAGAGGAGCGGTAGGGCGATTTCGGTCATAACATGGTCGTCTCGCCTTTCTTGACGGTATTACAACACATCAAGGCTGGGAAGAGCTACTGCTTGGCACGATCAGATAGCTCGTCCAGGAGAGTGACATTGCGTCGCAAATCGCCTACCAACCGACTCATCCAGAGCAACACGGAGATCCTGGATAACATGACGCGAACGCCAGCAAAAGCAGAGACGAATGTAAGATAGCAGACACATCAATGGCTATAAAAGACATCTTTCGAAATTCGTTAATACCAAGCCCTCTCCCTTCTACGGGCACGCTCGCGGGATACGACCCCTTTTTCTACACAGAACCCCCTAAAACACCACACGCATGCAACTCTTCAAGAACAACGCATTGCTCCCTCTTTTTTTTTCTGTATCGCTTGAACGCATCACATCAAAGTCAAACCCCTCCACACCACCACTCTCCTACCTCCCCGCCGGCGGCTGCTGTTGCTGATCCAACGCCGAAAGATTCAGTCCAGCCGTAGCCCTCTTACTCGGCGACACCTCCTCCCCATCATCATCATCATCATCATCACCATCACTCGACCTTCTAGGCGTCCTCCCCTCCCCCCTCTCCCCAAACCCCTTCAAATCCGACCCCAACCTCGGCGTGCGCGGCTCCCCAACCCCCGCACCACCCCTCGAATCCTCAATCTCCAGCTCGAAATCCAGATCTTCTTCCCCATCGACGTCCTCGTCATCTTCTTCGTCGATTTCTTCCTCCTCGTCGTCATCGAGTCTTGAGCTGGCGGTGAGATCATCGTCTTCAATCACAGATTCCGTGACGGATTGATCCAGACTCGCCCGCGGATCCGAGAGGTAGCTGTCCGCGAGATCGCCCGCTTCGTCTTCGCTGAGGATACTCTCCCTCGTGTCCGTGGGGTCCAGTCGTGCGAGCGCGGTATCGATCGCGTCGTCTTCGTCTTCGCTGTCGGTGAAATCTTCGATGTCGAGGGGTTTGTCGCGCCAGTAGTTGAAGTCCGTGAATTCCTCCCCGCCGCCTTTGACGAGGAGGCCGACGGGCGGGAAGTAGTGGTCGACGATTTCGCGCATGGTGCTGTAGGCGGTTTTGTACTTGTTGAGGGAGAGGAGGTCCAGGGAGACTTCGGAGTTGCTGTTGATGGTGAAGATACGCGTGCTGGGGATGTTGACGGAGCGGTAGCTTAGGGCGTCTGTGAGACGGTTTCCGAAACCTGCGTAGAACGGGCTGCCGGATTTGCCTTTGCCTGTGCCGAGACCGCCTTCGATGCCTTCGATGGGTTTCAAGCCGGCGGATTGATCCTCGTGGGTGTTGTCGGCGCCGCCGTGGCCGATGAAGAGGGCCATAATGTCTCGCAAGCAGGCCATTTTGAAGATTTCGGGTTTTCGGAGGTAGACTTCTCGCCTGAGAGCTGCTATTGTGCGGTCTGGACTGAGGATAACTGGTCCTTTAGGCAGTCGGTATCCTTCTTGAACGACTCCATTCAGATATGCTCTTGTGGTGTCAGCCTGGCCAACACTTCGGCTGGTCAAGTAGAGAAAGTTGTAGCCATTGGATGATATCTCGGTGTACAACTTCGCAACTCCTTGGTGTGTCCAGTCTCGGCCTATCGTGTTGAGTACATGACCAAGGACGTCCGATTTGGTGATTGTCCCGTCAATGTCAGAAATCACAATTGGAACGTCGTGCTTCCAGTACCAAAGTGTGGCATTGCAAGTCGCGCGGTTGACCGTAAACGCCATCGAGTTGGCCCCTGATTGCAAGTTCATCGATTTGAGCTGATCTGAAGTCAGTCGCAGCGTCTTGGCGTAATTCTTGTTGGGGTCTCCAACGATGGCAGGTGAATGAGGTTGCGAAGATAGGCCCACTGCGCTGTCAGAATCCCGCCTAGTGTGCGATCCATCCAAGTCAGACTTGTTCTCATTTTCGTCGGCGCTGTGATAGCCTGGGTCGGATATCGCATCTGTCGAAGCGTATGCCGCAGGATTGAAGCTGCTGATACCAGAGGCTGCCGCTGCCGCTGCTCGTTTATTTGCGGCCTCCTTCGCCTCTTCACTGCTGTATATCCAGATGTTGCCCTTCTCGTCAGCCCCAATCAACGCGCCAATATCGTAAGGTCCCTCGAGCTCTTCTGAAAGCAGTTGTCGCGCAATCCCTTCAGCCTGCAGCGCTTCCATGTTCCCACTCTTGAATCCAGTCATGTCCAACATCAAATCCCCTGATTCTGTAACCTGGTTGCTTATATTCGAAGTCCAAAGCTTTTTGGAGAGATTCATGGCCCGAGCTTTGGCCTCCTCTTGGTCCACGGATGGTGCGTTGCTGGATCGGTCCAAGTGATCTCGCATAGGTGATAGTGCTCTGTCGGAGTTTGCGGAAGGGATGAGTTCGCTCGTTTCCATGGACTCGTTGATGGCAGCCTTGGCCGCAGGGACAGCGCTGTCCGAGGCCATGCGATCCAGCTTGGGCATCGAGTGCGGCTCGCCATAGATAGCAAAGTCATCAGAGGCAGTTCGCTTGAGAGGTTCATCGGGCGAGCCGGAGAGTGGTGATAGCTGGCCCAGGTCGCTGTTCGGTCGCCGCAGAAGTGAAGGAATAGGTATGCCCTCTGTCGTGCTTCGGCTGTGCCCTCTCTTCACATCACGCGCCCTTGGACGTAAGGAATCACTCTGTTCCAAATCGAAGACATCTGGCTCCTGGAGGCTGGCTGTATTGGGAGGACTCGGTTGTAGTTCAGGGCTCGAAGCAGGCGAAACAAGTGGAGATGTTTGCAACGCCTCTGGCACGCTCTCTTTGGTCTCGAAAACGAAGAACGCTTCTCCTCCCTCTCCCAGTTTCATGGGAAACTCTTGCTTCTGGCCATTGACCTGGAACTCCACCTTTTTCTCATACGGCCTGAGCAGACTGAACTTCCCGAAGCGGATGTGGAAGGGCGAGGAAGCGAGAGAGCCATCTTCCTGCTCTACGACAATCACATCGATTGCGCCGGAGAGGGTTGCAGGATTGATACTGTTCCAACTCTTCGAGACAGATCCAGTGATGGAGCGCACATACTGCATGGCAGCACTGGAGGGAACGATCCAGTCCACGGCGGCGGCGGGATTGATGAGTGGTGGGTGGAGAGGGTGTTTCGGACTCGAGGAGGAAGACGCCTCGGAGAATTGGCGGTGGTTTCTATGGAGAGCGAGCGAGTGTTTGCCTCTTACGTCGCGGCTGGCTCGTTTCTGCGGCGACTGGGGCGGGCCACGAGGAGCGATCACACGGTGCTGGGTTGTCAGCAAAGCAAAGCAGCGTGCGTGACTCCCGGAGACGTCATGCAGTGAATCCCGAGAACGTGGTTAGACTCGCCAGGACAATGCCGAAGGTCAGTCAATGTGTCAATGAATTCGTCAAGTAATACACGTCGTGAATGATGGTACAGTTGGTTGAAGAGGGTGTTGGTACAGTGGTTGTTGAGGACGACATGGATGCACCTCTCCCCAACTCTCCTTCAACGCCCATCCCATCAGGCCTGGGGTGCAGCTCGGCCTCTGCATTATTGCCGAAAGCCAAACTGCGCGCCGAACCGACCATGGCTGCTGCTGACCGCCAGACCGACTGCAGCCAACTCCACCACTATCTGCAAGCCTCTTCCTCCTAATCAATATCTCCTTCAATCCGCCCAATTGCCTCTCCTTCCACGGACCTTCGCCCGCAGCTCGATGCTGCCTTCTACCACCCTCCACCATGGCGGCACAAAACAATGTGAAGCCTCGCCGGCCCGCATTGTTTGCAAACGCCCAGTCCACCGGCCCTGATAATGCCTTCGAATCCGCCAGACTCTCGCTGCTGGACCCCGTATGGTTGTCACGATGTGCCACCATGCTGCAGACGCTCGCTGTTCCCTTTGCCTTCTACTTCAAGCCGGTCATTGTTTTCGTTGCCATGTCATGGTATGCCTCCCTGCCAGTGCAGCTTCTTCAAAGACCCTGTAACCTAACCGCTCCCCGCCCAGGCTCTTCTACCGAGCATACCAGGTATTAAACAAGCCTCTGGAAGAGCTTGCTGGTCTGTTAGGCTTCGATATTCCTTCTGAGCCCATCATCGATCTCGCCAGCATCAAGGCGGATGGTGCTATCGTTCACATCTCTTTACCCGAGAAACAGAAACCGAAGACTTCCATGAAATTCGAGATTCACTTGAACGGCACTGTCATTGACACATTATCCATTCACGAAACCGCCGCGACGATTACCGGCCTACAGCCTGAGGGGTTCTATGTTGTGAGGGTATCTTTGGTCAACAATGTCGAGTTCAGTTCAAGAAGCGCGCCGATCCGCTTCAGGACCAAGCCGGCCAATTCAGGCGATTTCTTCGTTATCTCTGCAGACGGACATGAGACGGATCAAGATGCTGCGCATGAGGTCATGCCGAGGGTCAGGCCGTTTAGGGGTTTGAAGGATATCGCACCTGCTTCACCTGATACCATACCTATGACACGCGAGGGAAGCAGCACTGGTCTTGGGGTCAAACGTACTCTTACTGGAGGACGTAGACCATCTCCAGTCAGCATACCTTCAGACAAACACGATCCACCCCACGATGAGGGAGAGCCACCCGAGGGAGCCGAGACGATCCAACAGTTGACGGAGAGGTTGGATGCTGTTCGAAGGGAGACGGATGAGGCGGAAAAGCAGGCGAAAGAGGAGGACGAGGAAGAACTGCGGCAGAAGGATGAGCTGATCAAGGAACGTGATGGTTTGAAAGCAGAGGCTATGGAGAAAGAGAGGGCAAGTCGGAATCTGAAGAGGGAGGTCAACACACTCGAGCGCCAGAATACGGCAGCACAGAACGAACGCACTAAGCATGAGCGTCTGTTGCAACAAAAGAAGCAGGAGAGGCAGAAGCTGAAGGATGACTTGATTCGATGGGAGAGGGAGGTCGAAGAGTACAAAGTGGCAGTCGAAAAGATACGGCAGGAGAAGGAAGAAGAAGCAAGCAAGGCCACTGAAAAGCGGGAAGAGCTGCAAAGCAAACAATCCGAGGAGACTGCGGCGGTCAAGGCTCTGGACGATGAGATCAGGGAAAAGAGCACCGAGATTAAGAAGTTGGAGCGTGTGATGCGAAACAACTCGCCTGGTACTAGCGACCAGCACGAACCGAATCTCGTCCAACAATTGCAGCAAGATGCCGAAGAGAAGCGACAGTGGGAAATCCAATATGGTCAAATGCAGCAGCAATACGCGATGACCGTGCAAAAGCTCGAGCAGGCGAAACGATTCTACGGCGAGCAGGCCGCTTATCTGGATACCCTTCGAGCACGCAGACGTCAAGAGGAAGCTGCACAATACACTTCACCACCAGCCACGCAAGAACGATTGCCGCGGAGAGGAGACAGCCAACGAAGTCGCAGAGCTCAGAGCGGACACAGCTCCTCGGACAGTCCACGCATGGCTGGATTCCCCATCACTTCTGGTGCATTTGGTCCTAGCATGACTAGTACTGCCTCCATGTTTCCATCTGCGCCCTTCTTGAACATCCACAACGGCATGACGATATCTGGACCGACCGACGAAATTGCCATGACTGAGGAAGAGAAGGAGAAACTGACTGGTGGCGCGCCAATGAGTCCCGGTGCAGGCGCTGAGTTGCTTCCTGCAGACTTGTTCGGTGATGGTGATAAGCTTGCTTCTGATTTCGTTGCGCCTCTTCCTGGCCTTGGCTCGCTCCCAGGACTGCCAGGCATACCTGGACCACCCACAAGCCAACTCGCTCAAGAATACACTGGACAAGGACCTGCATCTCCTGCCTCGGCGAGCAGTAGGTCGCCTAGTGTCTTCGCAAGTCCTCAGGCCAGTCAGCAGAATCTTGCTCACATAGGCTCACCTGACAATGCCATGGATGCCGATAGAAAGTCGATTCGCTCAGTACGATCCAATCGTGCCACGAGTAATGGTGGCGCTGGAAGCCGCTTCAGTGGCATGTTTGGCATCAAGCAGCGAGCAAAGACGACCTCAGCCGATGATGGTCTTGCTCTAGGCAAAGCGCAGAGCCATTCGATGCCGCGTCAAGATCAAGGCATACCCGGGATTGACTCAAATACCAGAAAGAGGAACAGCAGCATATCTGGGGCCGTCGTGGGCGGGTTTGGCAATGATGGTAGTTTTGACGCTCCACCACCAGCGGCCAGCTCTTCGAGACGAAGCCGAGCTTTCAATCTCTTCAGCAGCAAGGACAAGAGCGATGGATGGCCCAGTGCGTTCACGCCATTCGGTCGACGTCCAACATCACCTCGACCTGTTTCAACCCATTCGAACGAATTGCCGCGACCATCGTTCGACAGCAGCAGATGGGGTGTAGATACATGGCCTTCTGGTGATGCTGCAAGCGGGGCGAGGAGCAGCCCACTCGCTTTCGGCGCAGGCTGGAATGCGCCTCAGCAGTCTCGTGTCTTCGGCTCTCGACATCCATCTCGACGACCATCAGCACAGTATGGTGCTAGTGGGCCACCAGAGGACATCCTTGAAGATGAAGACTCTGACACCACCGATTCTCTTCGTGCCGCTCGATTGGGTGCAATCGGAACGAAACCCCCTCCTGGATCCAAAAAGGCTGAAAAGGCTGCTGTGGATGAGGACGTGCCCAAGCTGAATCCTAACGCTAAGGACTTTAAGAGCTTCTTCTCGAGCATGAAACTCAGCAAGCTGAAAGAAGGCGGAACTTCTTCCACCAATGGCACTCCCAACCCTGACAAAGGCGAGTTCGATGAGTCGCCGCCGAATAGTCGCAAGTCGAAGGACACCCGCGACACTCGCTCTATGACTACGATCGAGTCCTCCATCGCCGAGTCCTCTCGCAACTCCCAGGACCTTGCTCGAACGCCCTCCTACACCAACTCAGACGCCGCCGCCCCATCGCCCTTACTCGGCGGCAGCTCCGCCGGCAAGGAAAGCTTCATGCAAAAGCTCTCCCGCAAGTCCAGCTCCGGCAAATTCGCGCTTCCAACCTTCAAACGCGAGAAGAGCAAGCTCGACTCCCCCTCCTCGATCCCTACCTCCGCTCCTCCTACCACCGAAGAGGAGGACGACCAGCTCAGCGCGAGTGTGAGCAGTCTGCCGCGTGAGAGCAAGGAGGTTCAGAGGGGAAGCGGGAGGAACTGGAGCAATGTGTTGAAGCTGGGTGGTGGGAGCAAGAAGAAGGGGAATGAGACGCCGAGCTTGAGTGAGATGAGCATGACGACTGATGAGGATGGGGAAGCGGAGGATCAGACGCAGTAGAAACATAATGCGATGTACATACCCACACTGAATGCGTTAACGCACCGCTCTTCATGATATGATCTACATGCCCTTTGGCCATCTACACGTTCTACTTTAACTGGAACGAGGAGGGGATATGCATCTAGGAGCTGGAGATATACGTGATGGTCACATTGCTTCAACGCCCTCTGCCCAAAAGAAATAAAGTATCTTTCTTGAGAGAATCACCATCTCTCAGACAATAAGGCGTTTTCTCCAATTGATCACTGCCTTGAATGCTCACACCACCCTGATCCGATGCCCAGTCCCGCCGAACGAACGTGACGTAAGGATCTGGCGCTCTCGAGAACTTTCGGAGCTTCACCTTCGAACGTGCATTGAGCACGCTTGAAGGTACCGAAACACTCAAATCAAACAACCACCCTCCAACTCTCCCTCTCACCAACGTGTATTCGGATTGTCCACCATGGCAGAAGCAATCAACCACCTCTTCGGATCCTGCGCCTGCGAACGAAACCAATACGAAGTCATCATCCCCGCGCAGTCCGCCTCGCTCGCCCAGGTCTTCTTCGACAACACAGCTCTCTCCCGTACGTCTCTGATCACATGTCAGGCTGAAGCAGCATGCGGACATTGATGGACACATAGACTAACATTGTCAAAACAGGAAGAACCCAGGCCTCTCCCGTCACAGCATGGCTCCGTGTGCCCCTCGATTGGTACTCCAGCGCAACCATCGCCCTCTTCCCAGACGAATCCCACAGCTCGATCAAACGCACCTTCAACACCCCCGCGCAGAACCCGACGCTCCCACCAACGAGGAGGCAGTTTTGCGGGTATTGCGGGAGTCATCTGACGAGGTGGAATGAGGGACTACACGCATACACCACGACGAACGAGGCGGGATACCTAGACGTCACGTTGGGCTCTTTGCTCAATGAGAGTTTGGAGAAGCTGGAGGCGCTGAGGATTCTGCCGGATACTGATTCGGAAGAAGAGGAACCTTCAACAGAAGGCCTCGTCCGCGGCGGCACCATCGACGACGAAGACCACATCCCCACCAACGAAGACACGCCCTCTGGCGTGGATGCTCCCGCCTCTCACCACCTCACGCATATCCGCACGGCGACTCGGGAAGCCACGCAACCCCCGCACAACCTCCAGAACCGCGGGATCCCGTACTTCGAGGAGATGATCGCGGATAGCCGGTTGGGCAGGATCAAGCGGCGGATGGGCGGACACACGTCCGAGGATGGGAGGACGAGTGTGCAGTGGGAGGTCGTGGAGATCGGTGGTGGCAATGGGGATGAGGCGATGGTGGACGTGAGTGCATCTTCCGATGAACCGAATAAGCGTGTCAAGCTTGATCGCTGATGTTCGCATTCAAGAGGATCTCATAGGACGAGTCTTCGACGAAGGGACATGTCGAGGAGGTTTCAAGACAGGAAACAGCATTTTTAAAGGATCAGCATGGTGGGAATAGTGTCAATGGCATGGATGTAGAGCGTAGTAGCGAAGGCGTTTGGGACTTTTTGGTTGGGCGTCTGTGTAAGTGGACTTTTTCGTCGAAAAGGGTCTCCCATTTGACGCAGTACTATAGATTCTAAGACGCTTCTCTCGAAACGGGGAATGTAATGACAAAAGTCTCTCTGTGCGCTCCTGAGTTCACATCTTCTTCTCCGCCAAGTCCTCTTTCTGAGCCACCAGCAAGTCACCAATCCGATTTTCAATACTGGCACACCACTCTGGTAACATTTCACGACTCGCCACAGCATAGTCCGGTACAGCCCGTACCAGACTTGCGAAAGTGCTGACCAGGAGTCTATCCAGACCATGGGGCTTCTCCACGAGGCATAAGCAAAGAAACACCACAAACGATTCGTTCAAGCATTATTTGCTCAAATCAGCCGTGGATATGGCACGCACGCACGCACTTACACTATGGAATGTTGCCAGAATCTATGTTGGATTTTGGGTATTTAAAGGATATGAGTTACTTGATCTTTCTTCACCATCACATCTACATCGCAGACTCTGCTCTACCTTTACGAAGTTACGAACAGCAATCAAAGAGGAGACGATACCTCTTCACCAAAGCCCTCGACACCCAACCCAACCCCCAAACACCAAATCCAACCCCAACCCCATCACCAACGCCTCCACCAGACCCCCAACCACTATCCCACCAATCCCCACCGCACCATGCCCCACCCCTCCCTCCCCACCACCACAATCCACTACACCACCCAACCCTCCCCCCTCCTGCGCCTTCTCCCCGCCGAAATCCGCGAACTCATCTTCCAGCACGCCTACGCGGACGTCATGCCGACCCAGACCGAAATCCCCATCTCCCGCATCCACGAATTCTTGCCCTCCCCGGCGCTGCTGTACACGTGCAAGCAGATCTACGCGGAGGCGAGGTGGTGTTATTTGATGGCAAGGTGGAGGTTTGGGAGGGAGAAGTGGATTTTGGTGGGGGAGGAGAGGACGTTGGGGAGGGGGGAGGTGGGCGGTGAAGAGTTGCTGCAGGGCGAGGGGCGGGGTGATGGGGATGGAGTGGATAGAAGGGGGAGGTTGGTGAAGACGGAGATGGCGGATGGGAGGACGGGGAGGTGGTGAGGCTGGGGGAGAGGAGGATCTTGAAGTCAGCGGGATTTGGAGAGGGAGGAGATTGTTGGAGAATGGCGACATGTCAGCCGCCGCGAAAATATGTCGGCGGAGACTGTTTGTTGGGCTTTTGAAATCCGAGCTGTGAAGGGGAAAGGGGGCGCGAGGCGAATTTCGACAAGGACTTGTTGGTCTTGGGGCGTACGACTGAATCTTTGACTTGATCATTTCAACATCTCCTTTACAGTCTTTTTGGAGTCCTGCGACACTCCGAAACCCAAAAAAAAGTTTAAAAAAAATCAGAACTCCCAACGCTCAATGCACAGCATCAAAAACACCAACATTCACTTAACTTCACTCAAGCATAAAACCCCAAAACCTTATTCGCCCGATCCATAACCTCCTTCTGTCCCTCCGTAAGGTTCGGCTCAGCGCTATCCCACTCCAAAAGCCCAAACGCCATCATCCCCTCCACCGGATTGACCTTCCTCACATCCTCGACGCCCGGACGGCCGATATGTTGAGATTCTCCGACTCCGCCCCCGAAATCCGGACAAGGCGTGCCGTTGAGGAAGGTCTCTCGCTGACGGGCGCTGAACTCGGCGTTGGAGACGGTTAAAGGGCAAGCGGGGATGTACATGACGCTCGAGTCGCTCTTGCCGGCGTGAACGGAGTCGACGGCGTGGATGGTGTCGCAGTGCCAGCTGACGTAGTCGCCTGGGTTCACGCGAGGCATGTGGACCATCGAGCTGGGCAGGTTGAGATGTGGATGAAGCTGGGCACGAAGTTCTTGTCCGTGGCCGGGAGTGGCGCCGTGGAGCCAGGAGTCGGGCGTCCGGTTGAGCTCCCAGTTGTTGGGGGCGAGGAAGGCTTCCTCGTAGGTCTCTGCGGTGGGGTCTTGGGCTGGCTTTTTGGGCGAGAAGAATGGGCGGAGTAAGAAGTAGGCGGTTGCTCGGCTGAGGAGGGGGTTGACGAGGAGTGTGCCCTCGAAGGGTCCTAAAATCAAGTCAGTGTGTTGTGGTCTCCCTCGATAGACAAGACCGTGCGACTCACCGGTATTGCTCAGACTCAACCATCCCTGAAACATCCTGAACATACTACAAGCACCCACACCCTGATACTTATCAGAGACGACCGGAAGCCGACAGCTCGACTCCCACGGATCGTACTCCTCCCACTTGCCCTGCCAGATGGCGTCGTACACGTTGCCTTTGCCGTAACCATCCGGCTCCCATCGCTCGCACGAGCCACCGTCAACATGAGGACCAAGAGCGAACTTCGCATCGCCTGGCATCCGCATCCTGAGTCGATCGGCGTAGATCATGGGATGGCTGCTGGAGATCAGGGCATTGGGGTCTTTCGAGTGCCAGAACTCCATCAGGAATCGCTGGGCTTTGATGAGGTTTGGGTGGGAGCGGGCCTTGATTTGGGAGGGCGACCAGTAGAGTTCGTAGACCTATAGAAATGTCAACATGAGCGTTCTCGCTTTTCTAATAGACTTCTGAGTGGCCATATCGCATGCAATGCCATGTTCCTTTGACACATACCTGGGGATTCTCCGCCGGGAACGCCTTCGTCGACGGATTAGCCTCAAGATACACTCTGAGCTCCTTCTTCAACGCCAGCGCTTCCTGCTCAGGCATCACGTTCCTGATGACCGCAACACCGCGTTTCCTATGTTCAGCCTTAAACTCCTCGCTCGCATTGTCGATATCCTTGAAATCAATCTCGGGCACAATTCTCGGTCCCTTCTCAGCAATGAGCGGGATCTCTTCTCGCAGCGAAGCGAGCAGTCTGTTCCAAGAATCGTATAGTGCTTCCTCATTGCCGGCTATCAATTGTGATTTGAGGTCGGCGAAACGAGGCTCGAGGGGCTTGAATGTCAGGCCTGACAGACTCGCGAACGCATCTGAGATGTCGCCTTCACGTTTCTGAGAGGTTGTCGCTGCATTGCGGACTGCTTGTTTTGATGTCTTCTGCAGGCTCTGGATTACTCGGCGGCCAGCGCGAGCTCCAGGGAGGACTGTAGATGCCATGCTCACGACGATGGAAATGAAAGAATGAGAAAGTCAACAAACTTGAAGAAATTGACCTGGCCCCGCCCAGTCTTCTGGTCAATATATAGCGTCTTGTCGAATGTCGGCCTGCCTGTTGCCGCTGACGCTCTCCGCGAGGCGGGCCTCCACCGTGCTACCCCAATTGACCAGGAGTGAGGTCGACGTCGGCGTCTGAAGGGCTGGAGAAAACTCGCGACGGCGGAGCTCGACTATATGAGACAAGCCGCCGCCCCTTTTGGCTGTCCCCGAGCGGAGAGCGCTGGGACAAAAGAGGCAGTCCGAAGGTGACGGCGTGATGAATGCAATGTTGTTGTCGTACGCCGTAGTCGCCGTGGTCTTTCACGTCCCTTCTCTTTTCTTCTCTTGAACACGCAAGACATCGTGCATACATACCACGAGCTCATCCCAGCAGCCGCGCCGCCTATCCATCATCATCGTCGTCGCGGCAGTCGTGTCCATCTCTGGTTCGTCGAGACAAAGCAGCAGCTCCAAGCAGGGCTCACTCACAGTCCTGTGGCGCCAGACTTCTTACGCACAGCTCCCTCATCGCATCGCATCGCACCCGGTTGCGTCGGCTCTGCTTCCGAGCAGCGACATGGGTGTTACATCGGTACCGCGCCCGAATTATATTATTCTGCAGCCGTGTCGCACATTGGTTGAGCTGTATGTCGGCAGTGAGAGGCTGGCACGTAGGGCAAGATTGATTGCTTTGCTGATTCATGGGTCGCAGTGGTGCGCGTGGTTTTAATTACCGGTGAGGTGAGGCTAAAGCAACGTCACGTCTTCTTTTGACTCTTGTGCGGTGGACGACTGTTTCTTGCTGTTTGTGGTGTTTCGCATCGAGTGTTGGTCGACCTTCATCGGCTCTTGATCTCGGTGCTATGTTCCCTTGGATTGTTCTTGGGAGCCGTCCCCTGGGATGGCGGTGTCTCTTCATAGCCTGGTTCGTGTGTCGTGCAGTCGCTGGCCTTACGTAGCATGTTTCGTGAGATAGTCTTGGGTTGGATCGAATGCAAGCGCAAGTAAGGCGAGGGTTAAAGAAACAAAAATAAGGGACTGTTCGTGCTGCTTGTACTTGCGGTGATCGTCGTGATGAGGCTGAGGTGCTCTGCGACACTGGCTGTCGTTGCGACTGGGAGGAGCATCTTCTGTCCGCAACAACGACGATGGGTGACCAATTCAATTTGCGATGTCGACGAAGACTATCGCTGGTCTTCGTTTTGTAGCGTTAGACAAGCGCACATCTCTCGGAGGGCGAGCGCATTGCACTTGTATTCAGTGACACCAAGCCACGGTCAACCACGTATGCTCGAGGGAGCGCAGTGTCGGGCAGCAAGTCTGTGTGTTGAAGGAGACTCTTGTCATCGACTCGAACACGAACGATGCTTTTCATCGACGCAACGACCACACGTTGTTGCTGAATCTTCTAAGTCTTCGGCTTGACAGATGACTCTGTGCGTTCTACGTTGTTCTACACGTTGCTGTCAACACAACTCTGGCCGTACGCTTGGGTTCCTGATGGAGCCTGTATCGACTTCCATGAGGCTGCTCGCGCCTCTGCGGGTCGATTCTTGTGGCAATGCTCTTACCCCTGTATCCTCCTACCTTGTTCTCGTCCGCCACCGATGACGAGACGACCGTGGCTTCCGGTATCGCTTGGAGTGGTCTTGCTGATGCAACAGATCGATTGTGCCGAGTCTGGTCGTCCACCATCGTGATCGTACCTTGCGTCGTCGTAGAGTAGCATCGAGCGAGGAACAGATCGAGGTCCCACGTCACCATCGGCCGGTACTCTTCGCGGGAAGGATAGCGGCAAGAGTCATGACTGCAGCAATTCGCTCGCGCGTTCCGTATCCAAGTGAGACACATTCGCTCATTGCAGCAGCGGCAAGTTCTGGTGGAGAGGAACGCCACGGAGCTCGAATGACTCGAGCATCCAGAGAAAGATGAAGGCTGGATTCATCAGTACAATAACAGTAGTGCAACAATACAAACCTCATCGGCGCCTTCCCTGCAAGTCAGAAGACTAAGCCAGGAAAGCACCTTCGGAACGCTTCGTACCTGCCTCATGATATGCTTCCAGCCTGCGCAAGCTGCTGACTGGTAATTTCCAACCAGACATGCGACACACCACAGGCTCGGGGAACGTCTTCCAAAGTTCACACCATGTCTCCGTGGACAATCCAATGAATGTCGTGAGGAGCCATACCACGCAGCCCTCTACGTCTGCACTGGCTTGGATACCCTTGCGGCTGGAGAGGTCTAAAAGCAACCTGGTTGGCCTCAGCGGCGATGGGGGCAGGGGCGAAGTATCGGCCCGGAGAAGGCGCAAGGCGCGTGGCTGCGGTCATGCCCAACAGGATTCAACTGAAAGCGGAGAGGAGAGGGAAATGGGTATTGCAGCAACTATGGACGAGCGTCGAAATGGAAGAGAGAAAATAGAATGTCGAGAACGACCTACCGGTAAATGCAACTCTGGAAACACCATCTCGGATGATGGTCTTTGCCATGTGCATGGATGCCCCTACGTTGGGTGTTGATAACGAAGTCTCGTGCTGTGGATCTTCATCAAAGGCACTCGGACGAGGACGTGTGCCTCACGTAATTCGCGCACTCGGTTTTCAAAGGCCACTGCACAGCAACAAATGGACGATCTTGGGTCTCAAAGCTGAGAGAGAACCTTGCCATGCCTTGATGCCTCGCAGCTTACACTGCGCTGGTGGAGTACTCACCAAGCTGGCGTGGCCTTCGAGCAGTCTCCGACTCTTTGATAGACTCCAAGTCTGTTCTGGTCTGCAGCGGGCTCTCCTGCAATAACGCCCGACAGCTAAGGTCCGTTGAGCGTGGTCGTGCTGCGGGATTGCCAATCTTTCTGGTTGTGATAATCCCCTTTGATGGCGAACGCGCATATTCATAACATAATCCAACCACATTGAGGCTCTTGTGTGAAGGAGAGTAGTTCATATGGTTGATGTGAGGTGAAGTTGTGGAGTGCTTGTACCCGACTGGAGATCTCGATGCCCAGGGTTGCCTGACAAGACGGCTGATCGGCGGAGAACCTTGCGAAGATCCGCGCTCTCGCTCTTTGCTGTGTTGTGTGCCGCTGACGAGCCACGAGTGCGAAACAGTGCTGATATCGTGTTATCGGCGAAAAGCGAAGTCTTCATGCGAGAGATCAACGTCTTCATCTTGTCATGCAAATGGGTGTGAAACGCTGGCACAGCTATACCAGAGCACCGCCGTCGTCGACCAAAGTCAAAAGCAGCAGGTCCATAATGATGGCGAGCTATGCGTGAAGGGTGAAGTTTGTGTAGCTGTCGGATTGCACGGAGGGCGGTTTCAACGCCAAAGACATGTTATGTCAGTGCCGTCGTGTCAGAGATGGCGTTTCTGGTGGCATGCAAGCCATGCATTGCGCGATTCATGGGGTGGTGTATGCAAGGCGTAAAGCTGCAGTACCTTAGGTTTCAGGCTGCATATGTGGTTGCCATGATCCCGTGATCCAATACAGGGCCGTTTGCGGCGCTCCCAATGCGTGTGCCGTGAGGGTCATTGACTTTCATCCTACCTGCAGCTGTCGTCGTCTTGCTTCTGCGGCATGTCCTCTTGAAGTTCGGAGAATGGATATGGTTTGGGGCGCGACAAGTGCGCGTAATAGCAGATGTGAAGCCTCGGATGCTGATCCTGTTGAACTAGAGACCAGAGAGTCGCCTGATGAGGAGTGGCCATCTTGGACAGTCGGTTAGTAGGTTCAGATACGAGTATCCATTGCGAGCCGGCGAGGATGTGGTGGCCGCAAGGCCTGCGGTCTGGTGACCGTCCAGCACAACAACCAAGCAATATGTTTCAGGAGAAGGACACCCTCAGCAGTTGAAACAGGCATGCTAGTCATGAAAACAACCACATCTTGGAGGTAGCGGGCGGTGCCTCACAAAATCATGTCATGGATGGACGGTCGACCCAGGATCCAGCATGTCATCAATCAGGATGGCTGGCGCTGCCGTGCGCGCTCCAGCCAACCTAATTTGCCTCCCGATCTCACCTGCATCGGCTTGCCGTCGGGTACACACCAATAAGGTTAGCAGGCGGCATCCGGCCGACCGCACCTTCCTCGCACCTCGCAACAATGCTGCCCGGACCCTCGCTGAGTGAGTGAATTGATGGGAAAAGGGCGCCTGAAGATGGCACAAATTGGCCGCCGACCGCGGTGATGAAGAACAGCGCATCGTCGCCGCCTTACCGCTCCCTGGGACCAGCTCGTGCGCCGTGAGCCGGGTTGGCCGACAGCTCGCGTGGCCACCATGATCTGTGATCGTGCTGGCGTGGGCGACCGCTTGATCTCCGGCTGACTTGGCCCAATCAGTCGACCGTCTCCGCTCCAACGCTTGCACAACAAACCGGCTTGGCGGGCACGACACCTTCGACGTCTGCTGCTGCTCCTCTTCCTGACCGCTGCGGCAGCGTCCATCTCACCAGCGCTGCTAGGCCCGTCGAGGATGCGCCCCCATCCGCCTGCGGCAGCTAACCCAGCTCGCGCGCTAGGTCGGCACCTCATCGCTCTCTCTGATGGCCCGCTGCTCGATGTGGCACACGCAGCTGGCACCTGGCGACCAGGCCCTCCTCCTCTGCCCCGATATCCGACGGCCGACCCTTCGCTGCCTCTGCTTCGACCGGGAAATCCTCGCCGCGGCGCAGGGTCGAAAACCAGATCCAGGTCCGCCCTGCTTCAGCGATGGGGTGAGGGAAATTGGCGTGCCATCCTGGGTCCAGCCTGGCCGAAGCGGCGAACGCTCTGGGATCGCGAGGTGAGACGGCGTGAAGGGGCATGCTGGGGGGATCCAGGTGAGTCTTAACAGCCGCGATATAGCACTAGGTGCGCAACACGAGAGTCATTCAGCGCAGGCCAGGACGAGCGTTCCTGCCGATCCAGATCTGGCGGTGGCGGCCCTCAGACTTCTCACCTCACACGCCTGGTGTAACGCCCTCCACGTGGACTATAGCGAAGGCGTCTTCGGGCCCCGCGGTTAAAATACCTTAATCGCCTGCCCAGCAGCAAAGGCTGCAGCGATGAGCCCTGCCCGCATGGTGCGCCACTAACGCCTTCCAGGGCATGTATCTGGCGATCGGAATGGGTAATACCTCTGCTCACCAGCCCTCTCGCTGCTCGACCTCGCCTGCAGCAGCGGACGGCTCGAGCTGGCCGTCGCCGGGGAGGATGTCATCGTGCCAACCACCTTGATATGCTGCAGGAACCGCTACCCTCGTCCCTGTCAGGCTGCTACTGCACTTCAGTTGGCACGAACTTGCATCAACGCTGTCGGGCATCGAGCTTGTCGACGTCTGTGATCGCATCGTGCAATTTGCCGGTCCTTACCGGAGGCCACTGCGTCCATAGTTGGCGACTAGGTTATTAGCATCAACGTCTGCGCCTCTGCTCACGACACTGCGTCCCTTTATGAAACCGAGAACGCTGCCAATGCTTCTGGACGAGCTCTGTTCTCTTTCAATGAGCCCACCATATAGCCACTGCCCCACGCCCAACTGCCACCAGTCTCGTCCCTCCAACCGCCTTCAGCACCACTAGATTCAACCATTGCACCTATCGCCGGATAAACTGGACGGCGATACCCATCAACGACTCACGCAACGACGACATAGTTCGACACCCCAGTACCAGAAACCCTCTTCCCAACGTCGCCCATGACGTGCGTTATCTCATCTACGCCGTGGCATCACTTCAACGACCACCTCCCATGGGCTCCGACGAATTCAGACACGGCATCATCGCTCCCAGGTTTGGAGAAGTCGCTCTCCTCGGGCTACGTCTCCCCAGGCTCCGACACACGCAAGTCGTCGACGAGTTCGGGCAAGAAACGAGCCTCACGAGCCGGAACCCGCAGTGTATCGACCCTTTCCGCTGCTCAATTGGAGAGAAAGCGTGCCAACGATCGTGAGGCCCAACGAGCCATTCGACAACGGACCAAAGATCACATCGACCACCTGGAAAGGAGTATCCATGAGCTACGCGGCTCTCAAGAAGCCAGTGAGAAGCTGGTACATGTTACACAACAGCGAAACCGCGAATTAGAAGACGAAGTCGCTTACCTACGCGGTAAGCTCAGCCAAGCAGGCTTTGATATGAACGTATTGCCGACAGAACGTGAGTATTCTTCACCCTACCGTTCCAAGTCGACCTCTCTAAGTGAAACCAGATCAACGACCACCAGAACCAACTTTACTCCCTTTGCCCTCCACTTCTCCAGGTACCGCGTCTGGATCAAGCATCCAGAGACCTGGATCAACTTCGACCCCAGGTAACCAGTCCATGACGACGCAGTCGACCGGTTCGCGTCACGGCTCATGGCAACACCAAGCCGCTGGATTCGTTGGCACCGCCGCCACTGCCATTGGACTCCCAAGTGCAGCCGCAGTCGCGGGCGCGCCCAGCCTGACTACATGGCGATCGCACGACAACCCTCAGACGATGCAAGACCCATTGTCTGCTGGATCTTCAGGACCATATCACCAAGATCAACGCGTCGATTGGCCCGCAAGTGCAGGTCCGTACCAGCAGTACGTAACTCAGGAGCAACAACGACAGCCGCAGTACGAGACGGCACCGGCGCAACCGCAGCAAGGTTACCAACAGCCCTTTGGAGCTGCTGCACCGCAGAGCGAGTTTCCCAGTATCTCGGTATCATCCAGTCCAAGCAGCTATCAGGTTCAAAATCAACCAACCTTCCAGCAACCAGGCTCATTCCAGGTGGCGCCCATGCAGGTCCCAACAAGCGGCACAGAATACACCACGTCCCCACATGGACAAATGCAGCCACCTCCGTTGCCAAATGGCCCGTTTCATGGCACCCACGGCGAGCAACCATATGGTACACAGCCAGGAAATCATGCACTGCAATACCGTGACGAGAGTGCCAACAGATCTTACTCGCTCGCGCATTATCCCACAGCCTAGGGACCCGCTGTCAGAGTAACCTTGCAGCAGCATGCAGCACAGCTGGGAGACCAGTCCGGTACTGGTGCCCAACTGAGTCATGTAAGCTCCTGCCGGGAAGCACCATGACAACATGGGAGCTTCGAGCTGTTGAAATAAGCACCTGACGAGCGAAAGTGCAGGCTAGCCCCGGAACCTTGAATCTTGCAAGCGCAGGCAAAAGCAAGCGCTGGCCAAGTCCACTGGTTGAGTTACGAAATCACGCCGGCACGAAACCTATCACCTGGTGGAGTTGAAGGATACCCTTGTTTTGGACTTTTACTGGCATTGTTCTTCTTGAAATGTGCTGACCTGGTTACGGGTTGACCTATCGGCCCGCTTGCCCAGTCGTGGTGATGGCAGCGCTTCTGGATTGCTTGGCCACGCATACGATCGCGCCCTCGACCGCAAGCCATCTGCACAATGTCCCGCCATCAACTGGAGTGCGGTCGATGCGATCGAAGCCATAGAGTTCAACGCGGCCCGCCGGCTCTGCGGGGAAGTGAACCTTATGCGAAGCCAACTTGTTCGTCAGTCTTTGGCATCCTTCCTTGGCTGCACGCTATCACCAACTGAGCATTACACTTTGGAGGGTTGCTACTGCTACGAGGGCTCTCTCGCGATGCCATCGTCGACTCGAACGACTCAACCCACGTCACCATGATGTCTTTTCCACCACCCACGACGACAGCACACTGTCCCATTTACGCTTTCCGGTCATCGCGACATTTGTTTGGTACGGCTTCTCACTAGGTACGGGCGTTTTCTAATACCGAAAAGAACGGCACTTTGATCACAGCACGCTCCTCACGATGTGGCGGGATCTCCAGGAATCGTCTTTTTGACTTGCAACCATGTACTATTACCATACCCCCTTTCTGATGATGTTTTGATGTTTGGACGGCAGGGAACGGATGGGAAGGCACTATTGTTTTGTTTACGTCTCTATGTATAATGCGTAAAATGAAGTCTTGATGTCTCGCTTTCACTTGCTGGACCCTCAAAACAACCACCCCTTCGCCCCGAACTCTGGCTGCAACGCCTCTGGAGCTTCGCGCTTGTGATGATTGCGATCGATTCCGCCCGCCAACAAGCTCCAAGCCGTCTGCGTTCTCTGTTCGCTTAACTCGCCTCGCTCATCATGTCTAGTGTTGCTCCCGCAAAGCAGCACGTACGTAAGCCGTCGGATCAACTGAGTTCGTCACTCTCTCCCACTACCACTCACACTGCTCACAACGAGGAGGGGCGTTCCTCTGTTTTGCGAGCTACGCGCTCCCGGATACGAGATTCGGAGCCGTTGCCAGTTTTCTTGCATATGTATGCCCAACTTCCTCCACTGGTGCCCACAGAATCCCTTTGCGATAACAGCGTGCGGTTGCGGAGGAACGCCCGAGATGGCCTTGATAAGAACTGATGGATGGATTGAGTAAGTAAGAAAGAAGCGCCAAGAAACCGAGGTTTACAAAGTCCGGAGGTTTATTGTATGATTTGTTGTTCCTCTTTCAACTTTGGCTGCAAGGACTGCATGAGCTGGAAACGGGGGGCAATGCGGTGCCCTCCAGGAGGGTGTGGGCGTGATGGGTGCTCGGGAGAGTCTTGTACTCTTGTAACTCATACTGACTACTGAGAGGAGGCGTTCGATGAACATCGCTTTGTGTGGTACATGTAATGGCTAGCTAGCTAATGCGCCTCGACCGCCGCATTCTGGTTGTCGTCCTCAGCCGCGTTGGGCAGCGACGAAGCCGCAGCGATCGACGGCGACTATTGCTGCAGCGTCCGTGGCTGGCCGTCTCCCACCACCACTTGCTCCTTCGCGGCAGCGCCTCTCGCTTCTTGTCGTTGCTGCTGCTGCTGGGCCTGTTCCTCGCGAATCTGCTTGAGCAGAACGGGATACCACCTTTCCCCAACATCCGGATGTGACTTGATGCGGTTCATGAGCGTCGCCTCGCCCAGGTGGCTCCATTTCCCCTTGACGAACGTGAACTCCACGTCGTCGCGGCGCCCGTTTTGCGACGCGAGGATATCCTCGCGGAGTTTGCGCACGTGCGCGGGGACGTCCATGGATTCGAATTGCGCGTCGTAGGAGACGCCTTGGAAGAAGGGGATGGAGAAGCGTGCGCCGGTGCCGGCTTGTGGGGAGAGGACGCGGTGCGTCGTGCTCATTGTTACGCCACCGGTCACGGCTTCGAGACCTTGGCCGATGGCGACGACGAGCGTGCCCTTGATGGGTGGACCTGGATGTGGTTGTTGGGTTAGTTTAGGGTACATGGGTCGTGGAAGGATTTGTAGGAGTTTCAGAGTTTCGTAACTTTGCTGATGAGACGCAGATTCCACTTACAGTCGATCCACTCGCCCCGTGTGTTCTGCACTTGCAAGCCCTTGTGGTTTGTCGCTTGCAACAGATATGAACTCAACATGGAGTCCTTGTGAGGCCCTACACCTTGCCCTACGCCGTCGCCGACATCAGGGTACTTGATGATTTTGAGTTTGTGTTGCTGGTCCTCGTCGAAAAACCGGTTGAAGGCGTTGGCTTCCAGGCCGATGGCCTCGGCGATGAGGCTGGTGAAGAACATACTCACTTCGCTCATCTTGGCCATGTAGTCTTCATACACTCGCCGGAAGTCTGGCAAGAATTTCTCATTTGGCCACATGTTTGGCCCCCACAGGTTGTAGTACAAAGGTTCCCGTTCCTCGCGCAATCGATGCGGTGTTCCCAAATCAATCTGTTCTCTCCAGTCCTGTTTAAACGCAGTGACCTCGTTTCCAAGACGGCTGTATCCCAAGAAACTGGGCTGGAAACAAGCAAATGTAAGCCTCACCTTGTCCTATAGTATGGGTTGAAACACCTACCGCGTTCTTCATCTCGATAGCTAATTTCTCTTCCTCGGAAAGGTCAAAGAACTTGATGCCCTCCGCACATACTCGATCATACGTCTCTTGATCGATGCCTGTGTTCTTGATGTACAAGAATCCCACATTCATCAACGCATCGCGTAGTTCTCTGAGGAACTCGGGCTTCGTCTCATCGGATCTCGCCTTGGAAAGATCAAGAATCGGTATCTCCTTAAAGCTCATCTCTTCTGATGAGGTCTCCTCTATCGACCCCATCTTGCCGGTTGCCTTCTCCCCAGCTTATATATCCAGCTCTTTCCGGCCCTCCAAGGCGCCCTGGCTTGGTTCCTCAGGTGATGAACGTGTAGGATATTACGGCCGCGAGGGCTGTGGCCTTGACGATTGATAGGAGGAAAAGCGCAGTGAGGAGCAGGACTTCCATGTTTGCTTGGGCAATCATTGACGCCAACGAGGCTATCGTGGTGCTATAGCCCGTAGCGGGCAAGCGGGGTACGTGAGCTCGCCTTGCCACGCGCTCTGCACGTGATGTTTTGTGCGAATGTACGAGACACATGCGCGGTATTGAGGTGAAGTCAACGCGCAACAACCGCAACATTCACCTCTCCTCTCATCGCGATGGCGTTGATGTTAAGAGATGCCATCTCCGAGAAACATGCGAAGTGAGGAAACACATCATGAGCGCTAACCTAGTGCACATTTCACCACCACCAGCCACAAAAAGGGTCTCGAAAGATTTTCCCTGGGGGTCCATCTCCTCTCCAGAAACCTCACTCTGGCAAAGCACATCATCGACGACTCGACTCATGATGCCAGTCTTCAAGGTCTCAGAGTGGAACAGCACGCCATGCTCCCCGAAGCACGCCGTCTTCAACACCGCTTCTGTGCTAAAGATCCCTTAAAATACATCTCGAAACCGGTAGCTGGAAACACTAGCGGGCCAGGGCGAGACGTCGGTGCCTGGATTAAAGGATGCAGATATCTTAAGAAGCCGAAGTCCTTGCTGCCGGCAGGCAGGTGTGTGTCCGCTGGTATTTCGGGTTGAGATGCATCTACTGCGGCGGGCCCGAGAAGCCGTGAGCCGAGTCCATGCGGGTCTGAAGATTGGTTGTTTCAATATCATCATTCTGTTACTGTCAGACTGACTCCGGCTTGACGTGAGGACTGAATCGAGCCTGTAGGAGTAGTGAAGGAGTGAGGAGAGACACATCTCCGTGGTCAGAACGAGAATGCCGAGTAAGCTGAGCAGACGTGCACACTGCAAGCACAGAAGCTAATCGCCCATACTATTACGTGGTTGTTTTAATGCAAGCTGCACGAGTGAGGTTGTTTTCCAGGAGGAATTGACGCGACGCAGAGGGAGGAGATGATGAAAAGCGCCACACATGCACGCCGTTCTGCATCGTCAGCAACAATATGATCAGCACGTCAATGCTCTCATATCGCATTGCGGTTCTGCACTGTCCCAAACCGGAAGGATATAATATGACATCGCTATTGCATGAAACTAATCCACGAAAGGGGCGTTCGCCTCTGGCAGGAACAGACAAGTTTGGAAAACTCCATCTCACCAGAAGTCTGTCCTTTGTATCATGCAGCTTCAGTCGTCAGCCCTACCTGCTAATCCGAAGGGAAACGCAAGAAACAGACTCTCGCATCCACCACCTCGCGAACCGCCCCGAAACGAGCATGATGAGACTCTAAGCCCTCGCGCAGATTGCTGTCCCCTCCCAGCCCTACAGACAATCTCTCCTGCGAAAAGCTTCCTCAAGAACGAAGTCGAAACTCTCGGAAAACCACGACACGGCATCGTCAAACACGTCAATCCCGAGTCCCCTCCAACCCCAACAAATGCAACAGTAGCATTTCCCCCCCAAAACCGCGCATTCATCCCTGATAAACCAAAACCCAAACCATCGCTCGCACTCCTACCCAGACATTCCCTCCCAAACCCTCATCAACGCTCACACTTGCTTCCATCGACAAACTCTCCCAACAATCCCCCCATCATCAAATGCTAGATCCATACTCAACATGCGTATGCCTCGAATCGTACGCCCCTCGAGGGATATCCCTCCGCACGCCGTCCATCGATCCCCGTCGCCACCACATCCCCTCGAACCACTCCGGTTCCGGGGGTGGCTGAGTGGTAGTCTCAGAAACATGCTCTCGCCCCCGCACGTGATCGTGATAGCTCTCTGCGTCCTCGTCCTCGTTCTCGTACTTCCCAACAGTCGGCGTGAAACTCCTATCCAGCTCATCAAGCACCTTATTCTCCGCCTCAACCGCCCGCCGATCCGCTTCCTGCTTCTCATACACGTGATTCCAATCCGACACCACCGAGCTCGATAAATCCGGGGGTGGCTCTTGCGCCGCGAGGTCCAAGGACGTCGTCATGTGCTCGACGACCCCATCCCCGTGGGATTCTCCTCGACTGTCAGGTGATCTCGATCGAGATGTTCGTGAGCTTGGCGCAGGCTTGTTGTGGGCACGAGCTTGTCGTGCGCGGCGCTGGGCTTCTTCGACGTCTTCTTTGAGGGCGAAGAGCAGCTTCGCGGGGAAGTTCGATGTATTCTCTGAGTGTGCGCTGCTTGCGGAGCTGGCGATAGTCGACGGGGATCGAAGAGAGGAACCTCCTGAGCTGTGTGTGTGGTGCTTGTCCGTAGACTTGGCGACTTCTCGCGGTATAGCCCTCAGCGCGCCGCTGGCCGTGAGCATGGAGACGTGTGGGAAGTAGTGTTCGTGCGACTGCTCGGTGTCGTGTGGAGGGAAGTTTGGAGGGTCGGCGGAAATGTCTTGTCGCAGGCCTTGCAAGGAGGAGGCGCTGATGCATGTCGCTTTTGCGGCCGGTGTTTGCTCTGTCGCTGGTCTTGGTCTTGCTTGTTGGGAGGCAAATGCGCCGTCGTGGCTGTGTGAGGGAGACATCTTGATCTTGTGGGTGTTGCGCTCTGGATAACTCGTGGTGGTATCGAAGTACGAGAGTCGGGAGATTGTTTGAGAAAGTGACACAAGTACTTACAGGTAACACCGTCGTGAACGAAGTACTTCACTCTTCACGAGGCGCAAGTAACGCGCTGTAGCGTGTCTATCAGTGTATCTGTGTTGTAGCACGAGTGACTCGCAGCGTTCACTCATGGTTATCGCCATCCCCAGATGCTCCACCAGCAACGGACCTCCATCAGCTCATCATCGTTGCCGCTTGACCAGTCGTCCAGACCGGTCTCTTCGCCTTCCTTAAGGACTGACAACCCAATGTCGCCCATCCGTGTGCGAAAGTCTTCACGCTCGGCATTATATGCATCGCGCAGTGGCATCTCGACGACCACACGTGCCGTGGATTCTTTGCTTAGATGATGCTCGACGGCATGGACAAGAAGACCGGGGTGGTCGGCACTATAGATTGGATCTGCTGCCAGAATCAAGGGAAACGAGTGTGCTCCTCCATGGTGAACTCCCTCGATATGGAAAGCACTTGGGTCAGTCCAGTCCAGGACAGCGACATCCGTCTTAGCATCGTAGGCAGAGAGCACAGCAGCGTTGGCACGTGCGTTGCGCTCCAGGTTGGGGACAATCGCTGGCAGGTCAGTGAGGATCACGTGGGTCTGGAATGCGGCGGCGGCTGCAAGGCCAACAAGCCCAGTACCAGCACCAAGTTCCAGAATGGTGGCTTTCTGCGGTATCGATGGCATGGCTGCAATGCGCTTCGCCAGCAAGTAGGAAGAGGCCCAAGTCTTCAAGCCCAGGTTGTCCGAAGTTAGCGCTGGTTCATGCAGAGTCAACTCCAGGTTGTTTTCTGGATCGGGATTCAACAGTACATCTGCACTCGATGACGGGTTCCTGCTGGCAGAGCGCATTTCAATGACAAACGTCCGACTGATAGCGCCCATGGCTGACCTCCCGCTCCGCTCTGAGAGTCGCTGCGACGCGGCCTCCCATATTTGTTCTTTCTGATCATCGTCCTCAATCCAAGCCAGAGGGCTTGAGACGATCTTCGTGAGGTATCGAGGTACTCCCTCATTCCGAATAACCTTTCTCTTTCTGCGGTAAGGCGTAGAGGTACCGCTCAATGGCGACCGAGGGGTGCCGCTTCTGGTCGTGTCCCATGAGGGCGGCTCAGAGCTCAGGTCGGCGAGGGTGGCCAGCAATGCGTGCGCGGACGGCCTGAGGTGCAGCTGCGGCAGATCGAGAACTGATCATCAGTCAGCCTGTGGATCCGGGGGAGGATTGCATGTGAGGTCGAGCTGGGTACGCACCGTCCAAGATTTCTTCCTCTTCACGCAATCCGCTCAATCCCAGATCCTCAGCGGTCAGCGCGGCAGGCTTGTCCATCGCTGCAGCCATTTCCCATGCCGCCACGAAACGCAATGCAGAGACTGGCGGCGTGCTGCCCGACTCCGCTAAATGTTAAATGTTCGATCTCAGCACGGTCCAACCACATGCAGGCTGATTAAACGCCGAGGCTCTAGCCGTTTTGGGAGCGCGCATCAAGTCGACTGCATATTCCACACCTCACGTGAGTATGCTGAAGCGATTCGCTGGCAGCATGTCTCAAACTCACTCGAGCGTGGCTTTGAATCCTTCGTACGCAGCGTTGAGGTCGAATTGCAACTCCCGCGCCTGCTCCGGGCTCAACTCTTCGGCGGCGCGCATTTGGTTCAGAGTGATGAGCCAGTGCACAATCTTGCCCTTGTTCTCAAAGTCACGATCGGTAACCTTATTGACTGCTTGTATCGTATCGACCAGGATGGGATGTAAGGTGTCCTTGGACAAGATGTTCATGCGAACGGCGTCAAACAAGGTGATGAAGTTCTCCGATGCCGACACAATGGCTGTCGCATTCGCTGCGCTCGGGGCATTGCTGGGCGTGTGGGAGTTTGACGTTCGATGCTGCGATGCAGTACGAGTAGGAACAGTCTCGACGGTCGCGGGGAGGCCAATCTTCAAACGCTCCGTGGCCTTGGGCACTTCCAGCTGCAACCTGCCGTCAGTGTGGTCCTACACCATCTTACAATGCCGCGAACGTACGTCCCACTCGGCTTTGAATCGTTCCAAATCACCAAAAGCCGCCAGAACACTCTCGTCGGCGAGGTTGCTCTTGTACTGTCGAAGAAGCCGGTCGCATGTCTCCGTATACTCCGACTCTTTGATACTGTCCCTCAAGTACGCCTTCTCCAAGGCGTCAAGGGTGATGACGATGCTGTATATTTCGGCGAGAGACTCGTAGATATCCCTTTCTGCGGCAGTGTCGGCGAGTTTGACTTCCTGAGCCAGGAGTCAGTAGGCTTCGAGCAAGCGGGCAGTGAGGAGCGTTGTACTTCATCGAGATTGATGGTCGCCGTGAGATTGCTGGATGGCGTGTAGCTGTAGGGCGTCGGCGCGTAGGCCAGCTGCTGTTGTGCGTACATTATGTGCCATGAAAGACGGTGGCCTGCAACGAGGACTGACATGTGCGCGGAGGTGAGGCCGAAGCTTTCTCCACACTGCCGGGGAATGTGCGGCTCAGAATTCCAGCAACTTTCCTCTGAACTTTTTTCAGACCCAGTCTCTTACACAACACCACCAACCATTTACTGCAGGCGAGTCGTCAAGATGGGACAAGCAAAGGCGACCAAGAAATTCGAGAAGCGACACTTGAAGGATACACTGGACCGCCGAAATGGACTGAAAAAGACCAAGCAGAAGCACCAATTGAAGGCCAAGAAGAAGGCAAGACGAGCTGAGGAGAATGGCGTCGACGGCAAGGAAGAGCAAGGAGAATCGAGTGCACAAGAAGGTGGAAGTAAGTCCGCAAAAGATGCTTTCAAAGACATGAGCGTGGACGACTTTTTCCAAGGCGGTTTCGAGGTCCCAGAACTACCCAAGAAGAAGAACAGCAAGCGAAAGCGGTCAGACCCAGAAGAGGATGACGATTCGGCATCGCAAGGGTCTCTCGAACAGGAGGCTGTACCCGCTGGTGGTGATTCAGATGACGACTCAGAGGATGACATCGGCGACTTCAAGGAACAGCTGGATGCACTGGCTAAGAAGGATCCCGAGTTTCACAAGATGCTGCAAAAAGACGAGCCCGAAGTGTTTGAGGACTTGGACGATCTGGTCTTGAGTGAAGACGAGGATGAGCCGAAGCGCAAGAAGCAAAGGAAGGGCGATGACTCGGACGATGAGATGGGGACAACGAATGAGCTGGATATGGCTACTGTTAAGAAATGGCGTTCTGCTCTCATTGAGCAGCAGTCGTTGCGTGCTGCGAAAGAGGTCGTCATTGCTTTCCGTTCCGCCGCTCAAGTCTCGTCATCCGACGCAGAAGAGAAGGACTTCAAATATTCTGTTTCGGATCCTGCAGTTTACCACGAGCTTCTCACGACGGCCCTCAAGCACATCCCAGATATCTTCCAACACCATCTGCCTGTGCAAGAGACCAAGAGTGGAAAGATTCATGTTCCCACTGAGTCGAAGAAGTTCAAGACGATCGGCCCACTGCTGCGATCGCAAATATCTGGCATTTTGCACCTGTTGGACCACCTCTCAGACCCGGCAACACTAAGATTGACACTTTCGTCTCTCTTGCCGCTCCTACCCTACCTACTCTCGTTCAAGAAGTTGGTACGCGATGTTTCCAAGGCGGTCACCTCAGCATGGTCGACTTCTTCAAATACGGAGGCTACGAGAATCGCCGCGTTTTTGGTAATGCGACGATTGGTTGTCATTGGCGATGCCGGAATTCGAGAGAACGTGCTCAAGGCCACCTATCAGGCTCTAGTTAAGAGCAGCCGCAATACTACCATCCACACCATTGCGGGTATCAACTTGATGAAGAACTCAGCAGCAGAGCTCTGGGGTCTCGCGGGCTCGGAGGGTGGTGTTGCATATACGACTTCCTTCACCTTCATCCGCAGTCTGGCTATGCATTTGCGCAGCAGCATTACCAACAACTCGAATGAGAGCTACAAAGCTGTGTACAACTGGCAGTATGTCCACAGCCTGGACTTCTGGAGTCGAGTTCTTGCAGCTCATTGCACAGAGTCAACCTCACCGTTGCGGCCGCTCATCTACCCACTGACTCAAGTCACCTTAGGTGCTCTCAGGCTCATCCCTACGGCGACCTACTTCCCGCTTCGATTCCAACTCATCCGCTCACTGTTGCGTGTGAGCTTAGCAACAAACACCTACATACCGCTCGCGGCACCTTTGCACGAGGTCTTGAACAGCGCCGAGATGAGAAAGGCGCCCAAGGCGAGCACTTTGAAGCCTCTCGACTTCAATGTCGTCATTCGAGCGCCGAAATCATACCTACGTACTCGGGTCTACCAGGATGGTGTTGCCGAACAAGTCCAGGAGCTGCTGTCCGAGTTCTTCGTGATGTGGGCGAAGAATATTGCGTTCCCTGAGCTTGCGCTGCCGGTCATAGTGATGATCAAGCGATGGTTGAAGGAAGTGAACCAGCGGGGTGCAGCTAAGGGCGGCAATAAGAACCAGAAGGTCAATGGCATGGTTCAGCTTCTTCTACAGAAGATCGAGGCGAATTCAAGGTGGATCGAGGAGAGAAGAGCGAAGGTCGAGTTCGCGCCTAACGATCGAAAGGGGGTAGAGGCTTTCTTAAACGACGTGTCGTGGGAGAAGACCCCTCTAGGCGCGTACGTGGTGGGTCAAAGAAAGACGCGAGAAGAGCGGGCACGAATCGTGGAGGAGGGCAGGAAAGACGAGGAGAGACGGCGGCAGAGCGAGAAGGAGGCTGCCAAGGCTGGTGCAGGCGAGCGCAGTGAGAGCGAAGAGGAATCAGATGAAGAGGACGAAGAGGTGGACGATGAAGACTTGTCGGAAGGAGATAAAGAACTGCTCGATGGCGCAGAGGAGGATGACAGCGATTAGGTAGGTTGCAAGTCTACGCTTCCGATACCTGTCGCCTTTCACGAGCCCGCATACCATCCTTTCTCTCTTCGACGGCAGCGAAACTTATGAGACAGGTTATATGGCGTTCGGCTTGTGCCCTGTTTCACTTTGCATGCGCCAACAAATACCACATGCTGCCACATGCTGCCATACGCTGGCCTCTTCACCTTCACACATTCACACGTGAAAGTGATGCTAGGCTTCAACTTGACTTCTTGCCGTCTTCTTCAATGTTCTAACGACAACAACTTTATCGTCAGTTCACTTTTCGACTCGTCAACCCGCAACGAAACCTCATCCCACCAACACCGATACCACTCTCGAGCCCTCTCGCTCGTCAACAGCAACCATGGCGACCGACCCGCCCACAGCCCCACCTCAGCAGAACGAGCAGAAGGCCCAAGCCCAGCGCAACAATCTTCGCCGACGCATCAAGGAGATCGCCAGCAGCGTCATGCAAGGCCGCTTCAACGCCATCTCTGGCCCCTACCAACCCAAGACAGTCCACGAGCCCGATCACCCAGAGTGGCAAACCCTCCTGAAGAACCAGCAGACGCTCCTCGAGCGCATCACGAAGGCGAAGGATGCCATGGACGGCGGTATCAGCAAGGAGGACCTCATCTTTACTGTCCGCAGCGATTTCCCTGATCTTGCGAAGAAGATCCCTGAGCCGGTTAGAAAGGCGCGGCCGCCGCCTCCTCCTACTGCTTTGCCGGAGAAGGATGCGAAAGACTCGCTTCCGGTCACGATCAGTCTTAACGGCAAGCGTAAGCAGGTTGACGATGACCAGGACGACGACGAGGAGTATGACCCCGACGCAGACAGCCGCGCTCAGCGCGAGGAGCGTGCTGCGAAGCGTCAGCGTTCGAGTGGACAAGACACGATCACGCCAGCTGCTGCGACCGAGTTGAAGCCGATGATGGATGAAGAGGAGCTGGAGATGCAGATTCAGGAGATCAAGATGAAGGCTGAGCTGGCTATTCTCCAGTTGAGGCGCAAGTTCGCGGCGGATAAGAAGAAGCATGAGCAGATGGGGGCGAAGATCAAGAGGCAGGGATTTTGATGGAGTGGAGCTTTAGTACGACGTATGGTTGATGACAGGGATGGCTTGGATAGGTCCTCAGCCAAAGAAGCTTCATGGACTTGGACGGATTGAGTGACCTGGCAAGCCTGCTTCTCTTATCTTGGACAATGACACAGGATCCTCGTGATATCTCGAATGATATTTCTGACTGCCGAATATGTACTTTTAGAAAATAGCGATAACACCCGGAGGCGAGCCAACACCGCCTCTGACATGCAACGGCGCCGACGTCAAGAAGAAAGTCCACTTCCTCTCCTTCTCACAAACCTTACTCAGCTCCTCGAGATTCCACAATTCCCCAATCGGCGTCCCAAATTGCGCGAGCAGCCACTCGTGTAGCGTCCATCCAGACTATACCCATCACCAACGTTAGCTATATCCACTGACAAACGCAATAGATCACGTCCAACTCACCTCCATATTCGGCGGCCACGACTCAAACGCAATCGTATCGCCCGCCACAGCCGCGAAATGATGCTCGTAGAACCACCTCACGCTCGCCTCGTTAGCCTCCACACCGATGGCATTATCGTGGTCCTGCGTTCCGGCTTTGCGTTCCGCAGAATTGGCATAGTTGTGCCACTTCGTATACCCGCTTCGGACGAGCAAGATATCCGCAGGCCTCAGAGTCGTACCCTGCCACTTCAGGACCTCCTCGATCTCGGCGATGGTGATCGCGTGTGTTGACACGGGAGAAGGGGGATTCCCGTGCTTCTTCTCGTACCAGCTCAGCCAGTCTACCAGCACGCCTCGACCGACGATACCGCCTCGCTCGCACCAGTTGTGGATGCCGTTCGTATCGGACGCGAGCGCATCATCATGGCTCAGACCATTATAATGCATCTGCGTCTTCTGATGAGCGCAATGTTTCAAACTATCCCACTGCGAACCACCCTGCGTATTGAAATGCAGCTCATCATCCAACACGGCCTGCTTCCCACCCGTCAAAGTCCTAAAATCAATAACCTTCTGCTCGAACTTCCGTCGCCCGAAACCCGGGAACTCCACATTGTCGGACAGACACCAGTCCAGCTGGACGTGCTGGCCCGTCCGGATCTCCTGCGCGGCTTGCTTGACGACGTCGGGCGTGAGGAGGTTGATGGTGCCGACTTGGTCTTTGACGCCGTTCTTGTCGAAGAAGCCCCACGTGCATCCTTGCGGCTGGCCTTCGACCTTGATGAGTTGGTCGAAGGCCGGGAAGTCGAAGTGAGGCTGGCCCAGCATGGTGTCTTTGACGGCTGAGACTCTTTCCGAAGCCTTTTGCACGAGCGTGCGGTCTTTGCCTTCTGGCATTGTGAGGACCCCGAAGTTCTTATTGAGGTCTTTTTTTTCTGGTGCTGACGAATGGAGCTGGAGGATGTGACCTCGACGACGATCACTTGGATAGGTAATCAATCGTTTGCCGAAATAGAACAGCACACCGACTCCACGCTGCTATCAAGTGGTCGTCGGATTCGACTTGATTACGATCAAGTTCGCAGTATTGGCTATGAGAGGTAGAAAGTGCGACTCGCATGACACTACATCTCCGACCGAGGTGTTTCTGACGTGACCCGCCCCGCTGTCAGCAGTCTGAAGGAGCATCATGGTTGCGAGGAATGAGCCCGACAAAGCTGACAATGGACTGGGTAGCTGGGCGAGAGACGGCATCTGTCAAAGACTGTCAGTGGCGACGAATTCGTTGTTCGTTGCTGGAGATGTGAAGTATATCAACAAGGCTGCTTTGGGCAAGGCTGTCCAGACTTGACTACCTTGATGAACGATCCTTGCAATATTGGTGCTGGGTTGATACCACTACAACTTTCAATCACGTCGAGCGACATCAAGCACCCTCACATGCGGCGTGAGTAAGTGACGGGTGTAAGTTGTCCAGAAAATGGCATTCTCGGGAAGCCGAGAGAAGTGAAGGCCTACACGATGGTTCACGTCCATGCCCGTACTTCCTGTTTCGTGAGAGTCGTACCCAATACTGGAAGACACAAGAGAACTGAACGAATCGAGTACGTACCTGACCGCATAGGCGGACCAAAGCAGGTGACATGCCCTCTGTCCGAGTCGACATATGTACTTCTCCGCAAGTCTGCTGGTGGTTTGGCCAGGGGTAGCTCACAGCCAAGTTGGCCAACCCTTGTTCCATCCTACCAATTCGAAATGAATGCCCAAAGCTGGCTGCGACTCCGCTTTGAGGTTGAGGGAGTTATAAGAAGAGTACTTTCCAGAGCAGACGTGAAACGCAGTTCATTTGGAGAACTCCACTCACCGTCGCCATGAACTCGAAAGCGCAGAAAGCAGTCCAGCAATCGCTGGACAGTGTCACGAAAGACCCTTCCACTGGCATCGCTGGTATAGTCCTCGTAGCAGTCGATAAGAATGGCGACCAGATCTGTGCATGTCCGTCTGGCAAGCGAGGCCTGAACAGAGACGAGCCAATGACCATGGATACCGTGTTCTGGATCGCTTCCTGTACGAAGTTGATCTGCACAATCGCCTGCATGCAAGCCGTGGAACAGGGGCAGTTGAGGTTGGACGATGCTCAGCAGGTATGTCGTGGCTAGATCTCGCCATGTTGACCGCAAAGTTGATCGCATGAATAGGTGCATTATTTGTGCCCTGAGCTCAACCAGAAGAACGTCCTTCGGGATGATGGGACTCTTGAAGATCGCAAGAGAGATATTACGTTACGTATGCTCCTGTCACATACCTCTGGGTTTGGATATGAGTTGTGAGTGCAGGAGCGTCGAATTTCATATCACTCCAGAAGCTGATGAGATTGCAGCTTCAATGAGAAGCTCCGCGAGTATGGTCGACCGGTCGGATATGATGTGTTTCATGCTGATGTGAGTCTTCGGCTCTCCGAAAGTCTGAGCATAATCGAGCGCTGATCTCCGAGAAATAGATCCGAGACGTCCTGCGAATGCCGCTGGTTAAACAGCCAGGAGAAGGTTGGGAATATGGGACGGGTATCGACTGGGCTGGCATCGTTCTGGAGCGAGCTACTGGCGTTCGTCTGAACGATTGGATCCAGAACAACATTATGGAGCCGCTGGGACTCAAGGCCGTCAACATGTTCCCAACTGCGGAGATGAAGCGCCAGCTGGCTTTCATGCACCAGCGCTGGCCGAGCGATCCATCCAAGAAGAGCGAAGAGCGAGACCACATCTACCGAGAGCCATCCTCGCGGAGACTCGCGAAGACCGGGAACGCTTGTTCCATAGCGGTGGCGCTGGATGTTTCGCGAAGCCGGCTGAGTACGTCCAGATCTTGGCGGCTTTGCTCAACGATGGAAAGAGCCCCATTACCGGAGAGCGTATCCTGCAGGGAGACACGGTTAACATGATGTGGGAGAATCAAGTCTCAGACATGCCTGACTTTGCTCGCCAGGGGATACCCGACGCAAAGAGAGAGCATACGAATCCCACTCCAGAGCTGTATCCACAGGAGGGCAATCCACCGCAAGGCTGGGGACTGAGCTTCATGTTGACGCAAGAGCCTGGAGCGACTGGCCGAGGCAGAAACACTGCATGGTGGGCTGGGATCGCGAATCTGTTTTGGTGGTGTGACCGAGAGAAAGGAGTCGCTGGCATGATTGCGAGCCAGATCATGCCGTTCCTCGACCCGAACATTCTTGGGCAATGGGTGGCTTGCGAGTCGGCGGTGTATGCGTCTGTTTGAAGAAGAGTTGAATTTAGCGGTTCCGTGTATAGTCGAGGCTTTCAGTATCAGTATCAACCTAATTCTCTCAAACAAGAGCCATGATTATATCGGCTTCTGAAGTCGTGACTCTGCAGGAGTGAAAGCTGACATCAATGATGAACGCCCAAGACTTTCGTGCAGCTTATGTGGCTTATTCAGATTGTGCCTCGCGAGTTGGGGAAACGAACTTGCCACTGACCACGCGAAAGCCTCGCCACCATTTGAGGACTGCCGTAGCGTAATGAGTAGAAGAGCTGACACAGATCAAGCGAAAGCGCTAGGTGTATACTGATCAGGGGAAACTTGCAGTCAGAGACGAAAGTGATTTCGAATTGAAGATACGAGTAAGCTCTTATGAAAATAGGAGTGAGCCTGGGAATAGAGCAGACTGAGATTTGCAGTAAACTTGGAATGAGCTGAGAACTGCGATAGAAGTGAGCCTAGGATTGAAGGTTGCAGTGAAATTCGGAGTCAAACTAGCAGTGAGCTGGGAACTGAACCTGGGAGTAAGCTGAGGAACGAAGTCGGCAGTGAATTTCAAAGTGAAGGTGGAAGTGATTTGAGAACTGAAGAAGGGAGTGAGCTTAGGAATAAAGCAAGCAGTGAAACTTGGAGTGAAATAGTAAGTGAACTCGGAAGTGAGGCAGTAGGTGAGGTCGGGAAGTCGCTGCTGCGTATTTCACAGTACATGCGCAATTCCTATAACGCGGCTCGTCCCGCAGCTAGCGCACGGACTCCCGCGCTCCTGTGAAACGAGCTTTCTTTGAGATGCGAGCTTCCGTCCTTCCTTCCTTCTACAACCACCGCTGCAAGCTGTTTTTAATATTTTGGCAACAACAACCCACCACCCCAACATCAACAGCAGCAGCAGCAACCACCACCATGGTGGAGAGAAGGAGCACCCGCATCGCGGGCCAACGCGCCTCGTCGGTTCCGGCCGACACCAAGACCCCCATCGGTTTGTTGTCCAACATTCTCTATTCCCCTCCCCATTGGTTCCTTAGTTATTGACGTCCCCAGACCGGAAGGCGGCGACGAAGACGGCGAAGAAGCCGTTCGTCTGCGGCGACGTCGTCGACCGCATCACCACTCTGACGGGTCTCTCTGTCCTCGACAAGCTGACGAAGGACAATTTGAAAGAAGTTGTCGCGGCCCTCCGCGACCGATACATCGAGCGCGGCAAGCAGCTGGAGGGCGAGCAGGAGCGTGCTGCACACCTCAACGACGACCTCAAGCGCGTGACGCAAGAGCGCGACCGCTCGCGACACGTCGAGCCAGCAATGCGCGCCGACCAGCTCCGCATCCAGCGGCTCAAAGCTGCCGACGCCCACCGCGCCGCCTCCTCCGCCGACCCCGCCACCAGCATGCACGACGACTCTCCTCCCGAGCCAGAGCCGGAACCATCCCCGAAGGAGATGGACAGGCCGGCCGAGGTCTCAGACACCACAAACACCGACAAGCAAGAAGCAACGTCGACAAACACCCAGTCATCCACCCAGTTATCCATCCAGTCACACACACGCTCTTCCTTGCTCGGCCGCTTGTGGAACCCTCTCCGCAATTTGCTCTCCGAGCCCTCATCATCACCTGCCAAGAGCAGCACAAACCCACAGCCGCAGCAGAGTCTCGGCGAACTCCCTGCCAATCGAAAGCGGCCAGCATCAGAGCACGAGCCAGAAGTGACTGCGCCAGCAACAAAGGCACCACGCACACACACCACATCTACGCCAAAGGCGAAACTCCCTCGTCGGGCAAACGCGACACCTCCCCCTCGCACCCACACCCCTCACAGCAACTACGCCGTACCTGGCAGCATGCTTGACACCATCTCAGAACACACGGAGGAATCAGAGGTAAGCGCTGCAACGACTCATATTTTTACTGATTCCAAAGCTAACAAACATCTCAGGCCAGCATTCGCGGCACTCCAGCCCCAAACACACTCAACCGTACCTCACTCAACACTCCCGCTCCTCTCGACACTCCCGCTCCTCTCAACGTGGAGACTCCACGCTCCCGACGCTCTATCCAAACCGTCAAGCAACAGCAGAGACTCCAAGCAAACGCGCGCGACCAGACCCCAGCACGAGTATGGGACACAACCCCGCGTCCGCGTAGGATCGACACGAGACCCGGCAAGTTCGACTTCCTCTTGGGCAGAAAGCGTCCGATTTTTGAAATCCAACAAGATGAAGAGATGGAGGAGTTTTACATGCGCCCAGTGAAGCGCGTCAAGGTCGATGAAATCGCCGAGATACCACATCGTCGCCCAGGCGACCGCCCAGGCACCTTCGCCGTGCCAGAAATCGACTCGGACGGAGAGCTGGAGGTCGATGAAGACGTCGAGATGGTCGGCAACCTGTTCGAGATACCACAAGCAGAGACGCAGAAGGACAGTGGCAAGCAGCCTGCGCGCAATGTCTTGGCCGAGACCTCTCCTCCCGCCAACAACTGGACCTTCCCCTCCGTGGGTGAGCAGCCGCCAGCTGAGCAGCCCACCGAGGTCACCGTCACCGACGAATGGGCCTTCCCAAGCGTGGGCGAGCGACCAGCAGACGAGTCGCAGAGCGACATGGCCGACTTCCTCGGCAAGAAATTCGCCTATGGCTTCGAGGGTTGGAAGCGTGGGCTGAACCTTGTCGAGTGGTGAGAGGTACCGCGACGCATGTCTCGAACGGATAGCAGGAGCTCGCTATGGAAACACAGTGGGCCGGCTTAAGTTCCATGACGGCGGGACTTGGGTAAGGGCCGGGGAAACCTGGAGCTCTGCCCAGTCTTGCAGTGCGTCTGCGATCTCGGCTGCCGTTTCTTTCTTTTCTTTGTTTTGGACTTGGGTTGGGTTGGCGGTTGGCTTTTGCTTTGGCGTTTGGGATTATGGACACGGATGATGATGATGCTTGCGACACTGTCGTACTTGACTACTACTGATGATGATGCGAGCCAGAAGGCTGGAAAGGATACTGCACTTGCTACGGCGCACATAGATGTGCGATAATACGATTGGTCTTAGGTTTTGGCGTGCCTCCTGCTCTCTCTTCTCGCCCTTACAGGTGACATCCTACCTCCGCTCACTCTTCATTCCGCTCGAAGTGGAATGAGTAAACGCCTGAGCAATTCGCGGTGATGTGATGCGTGTTCGCTTCTAAATGCATTTTCTTGTCGTGAGGTGATGTCTAAGGACGATCCACGGTCCGGCATTCGGGAGGATTCATCTCGAGCTCGAGCTCGTTATCAGTGATGGTCCAAGCTCTGTACCTTGATGGCACGAGGACTCACATGCGCGCAGTCGTATGACCACCCGTCTTCTTCCTTCCACGGCGTCTCCTGCGTTAACACACTTCCACAACTTGACCTCTTCACCATTCCGTCAACATGGGCAACTCCGAATCAGTTCCCCAACCTCCCCCACCAACTCGCTCCATCTCCCGCCGAGAACGCCGTATGCCCCGCGAGCAAGCTCCCGTCACGACGTTCGATGAGAAGTTCGATGCCCTCAAGATTGACCATGCTGAGACCAAGCCGACCGAGCGTGTAATCTTCCCCTCCGACAACAGCGAACATGTGGACGCAGCTGGCACTGAGCAATACGTGCGTCAACTGCTCAAGGACTCGAAGAATAGACTGGGTCTATCCGCGTTGAGCTCGAACAACCCTGCCGCTGTGCTTGAGAAGCCGTCTTCTGTGATTAGAGATACCCAGTTCTTTAATTTGAAGATCCCTCATGAGGGTTCGCCGGTAAGCAGAGCGTTCTATTCGTCTTGATACGTATCTGACACAGCTAGGTCACCAACCAACGCAGCTCGGGACGCTGCTGGATCTTTGCGGCATGCAACGTCTTCAGAATTGCCATCATGCAAAAGTACAACATCAAGAGCTTTGAATTGAGCCAGGCATATCTTTTCTTCTTCGACAAGGTCGAGAAGGCCAATTACTTCTTGGAGTCGATCTTGGATACTGTGGATGAAGACGTGGACAGCAGGCTGATCGGCGCTCTCATGGCGAGCCCAGTCGGCGATGGTGGCCAGTGGGATATGATTGTCAACCTGGTTTCGAAGTACGGCATTGTTCCTCAGACTCTATACCCCGACTCTTGGAATGCCCAGAACAGCTCGGTCATGGACAGCATTCTCACGAGGACACTGAGGGAAGACGGTCTGAAGCTCAGAGCACTCAAGGCCAAGTCAGCGTCTTCAGAGGAGATTGTAAAGACCAAGGAGTCCATGATGCAGGACATCGTGCGAGTCCTTACTCTCTGCCTGGGTCCACCTCCATCCGCAGACAAGAAGTTCACCTGGCAGTTCTACGACAGCAGCAACAACTTCAAGACGGTCTCCTTGACACCAATCGAGTTCGCCGACACGACGCACGTCAAGAAGTTCATCTGTCTCGTCAATGACCCAAGGAACGACTATCAGCGCCTTCTGACTGTGAATAACTTGGGCAACGTCTGGGACGGTCGACCGGTCACGTACGTCAACGTTGATAAGAGTGTTCTCAAAGACGCCTGCGTTGCGATGCTGAAGAAGGGCCTCCCAATCTTCTTCGGCTCAGACGTCGGCAAATTCTCAGATTCCGGCAAGGGCATTATGGACACGGACCTCATCGACTACGAACTGGGGCTTCAACATCAAGCTTGGCCTCACCAAGGCACAGAGACTGTTGACCGGAGAGTCTCAAATGACGCATGCCATGGTCCTCACGGCTGTGCATCTCGACGAGGACAACAAGCCCGTGAGATGGCGAGTCGAGAACTCGTGGTCAGACTCCGCTGGTACAGACGGCTACTTTGTCATGTCTGATAAGTGGATGAATGAGTTCGTCTACCAGGCTGTGGTTGATCCGAGCGTGGTGCACAAGGACGTGAGAGATGTGCTGAAGCAGAAGCCTAAGGTGCTGCCGTTGTGGGATCCTATGGGTGCGTTGGCTTAGATTTCTAGATCAGGACTACTGATGATTGAATGAACGATATCCCTCCGTGCTGCTCCGGCTTCATTACTTTTTCGCTACTGTACATTGGCTTCGACCGTGATTACAGCTATCTCATGGCTCCAGATCCTCGATATGGATCTTTATCGAGCCTGAGTTTCGATCCGCTGATGCTTCAAGAGCTTTGTCGGCTTCTTCGAGCTTGAAGCGGTGGGTTATAAGGGGTTGGAGATCGATGACTTTGTGCTGGAGCAGTCGGATAGCCATCGGCCATGAGTGATGGGAGCGGTTAATGAATTTGAGGTCGACCTAGAAGCGCATCTGTCAATCATCACTGATCTAGGAATTGGGCGTGTATGACCTCACCTCCGCCAACGAGATATGCATAAACGGAATCTCATTCATCATCGGCTTCCCAACGCCAATGACCATCATCTCACCAGCCGGTCGTGGAAGATAGCAAGCCGTGGCAACACTGCTCTGGACGCCAGTGCACTCATACACGACTCTCGGCTGATCGCCACCAGCTTCCTGCAGCGTCCTCAGAATATCCGCGGCGTTGTCCTGGTAGTTCTTCTTCGTGTCGATCTGGTACGTCACGCAGTTGGGCACCCAGTTCTTCGCGAATTTCAACCTCCCTGGATCCAGATCCGTCACGAGGATCGGCGCGGCTCCGGAAGCTTTCGCGACGGCGAGTGCGCACATGCCTATGGGGCCGGCGCCGCAGATGACGGTTGCTTCGCCGAGTTTGATGGGGCTGCGCTCGAAGCCGTGCAGGACGACGCTCAGTGGTTCCAGCAGGGCGCCGTCTGAGAAGGAGAAGCCTTGCGGCAGTTTGTGCAGCCATGTGGCGGGATGGACGTGGAACCTTCGAATCGACCCTGCGTGTGGCGGGACGCCGGAGAACTTGACGTCGGCGCAGAGGTTGTAGTTGCCGCTGGAGCATTGGAAGCAAGTCCCGCATGGCACGCCGGGTTCCACGGCGACGTTGTCGCCGACGTGGAGGTGGGTGACTTCAGCGCCTTTCCAGACTACAGTCCCGGCGCCCTCGTGGCCTAGGCAGTGGTCGTGTTCGACGATGAGAGGGCCGATTCGTCCCGTGTGCCAGAAGTGGACGTCGGAGCTGGGAAGAGGTCAGTCGGGGTGACTTTGCTCTCATGTCGTCGACGTTGTTCGTACCCGCAGATGCCGTTGCATCTCATTCGTACTACGCAGTCTGAGGGTCCGGGGTTGAGCTCTGGGGATGTGCCCATGAAGATCTCGCGCTTTTCGTTTGTGAACAGGGCTGGGTTGGGTTTGTCCGGGTGAAATTTGGCCACGCCATTCGTGCCGTTGGTGTGTTGTTCTTGGCCCATGGTGATGTCTTTCTGGTTCTGGATGAACGGATGTGGCGATTCTGGGAGATTAGCTCGAGAAGGACGAGAATAAGAAAGATGTCTCCTGAAGTGAAGTCTTGAGGATAGAAAGAGTCAACGCAAATGAAAACTTCTCTTCGCAGAATCTAGACCCGCTCGTTGAGACGCGTGTTGCGGACTTGGGTACCGTCAGAATGATAGACCTCCTCACGATTGAGCTCGCTGCTCTTCGGCAGAGCTCGATGCGGCGTTTCCGACTGCCGGAAAGACCAGCTGGGCAGGTTGACGCATGGCGATGAGGGTATCGGGGAGCATGTCGTGCTATGGCCTGTGGCCGCCCATGCGGAGGCTTGTACGGTAGGGCGATTTTAGATAGGTAGGCGATGCCATGCCCACAGATATCGTGAAGAAGGCGAGGTTTCCCGCCTGTCTCCATCACGGCCAGTCATCCACCGCTGACCGGCTTCCCAGCCAACTGCTTGGATGCGTGCGGGAGTGCGTAATAAGTTCCAGCATGATCAATACACAGACCAAAGAGGATGTACAGGAGTTGTGAAGAAATAGAGAGGAAGCACCTACTTACAGTATCAATGCATGCCGATGCGGTGTGACAGCCGTTGGAGTCCGTGCTCTCGCAGAATGTCGACCTCATCTCCCGCCTTCTTCTTCTCTCCCTCAACCCCATCTTCCTCGGCGTCCTCAATCGGCTCTCAATCGAACACATCTGGCCGACGCGCATGCTGGAAACAATGCAGAGACCTCTGGAACCGGCCACTGACGTCTTGGATATGCTTTTTCCAGTCTCTTCGGCGTGGTCACCCTGAGTACACGTAACACGAGTCCAAGATGCTCTATGTAAACTCGCCATTGCCTCCACTACGACCCGATCATATCGCAAGCAGCCTTCCGCGGCCTCTCCCATATATTCGAATAGGAAGATCTTGGGCCGAGTATTCGAGCCGGTGCAAGAAGTGCCGATTGACTTTGGAGGACTCAGCCTCCACACGCTTCTCCATCTTCCCAAGCAACGTCACGCAGACTGCGCAGACGGAAAAATGTCGATCCTCTACATTCTTCGTATTCTTTGGAGATACTCACGAGACTACGACACGCTCCACGACTGAGCTCGGGAAGTGGATGAATGCATTGGATGACACTTCATTCTTAAGAAAGGTATTGCTGTCTCGATCCTGCTCATTATCACGACCTTTACGGCTCTTCGTACTCTCCTGTTCCGCCACTAAACATGCAGGCCACGATCAAGGCCTTCGGGCTTTTGTCTTTGGCATCATTATTCGGCCAAGCCGTTCATGCCGCCACTTTCTTCCCTCTTATTAATATGACCGACACCGATGGAAACTTAATCCAGGCACACGGCGGCAACATCATCCAGGCGCAAGACGGCGATGGCTCGTGGTACTGGTTCGGCGAGGACAAAACAGGAGAGACCACTGGCGGAACCTTCATCGGCGTCTCATGCTACAAGTCGAGCGACTTCTCAGCATGGGAATACCAAGGCCATGTCTTGAAGCCCATCGCTGACACAAATATCTCGGACTCTCGTATCGTGGAACGGCCCAAGGTGCTTTACAACGACAAGAACTCAGAATATGTGATGTGGTTCCATGGAGACAGCTCCAACTACGGTGATGCTCAAGTGGGCGTTGCTACTAGCAAGACGATCGATGGCCAGTATGACTGGAAGGGCAACTTCAAACCATTTGGCAACGACTCTCGCGATATGACAATATACAAGGATCCTGATACTGGAACAGCATATCTCATCTATGCAACCAATAACAACGCGGACTTCAGCATTGCATCTCTAGACGAGGACTACTATAATGTAAATGAGACGCAGTACACCTTCCAGGGCGTGTATCAAGAGGCGCCTGGCGTGTTCAAGATCGATGGACAGTATTATCTGCTTTTCTCTCCACAAGATGGATGGTAAGTTTTCTCCATCACTCATTCGGTATCTGAGCTTATTGTGAATAGGACTCCCACCGATAACGGCTACCACGTTTCCTCCAGCATGGCGGGTCCCTGGTCTGACAAGACGCTTTTGGCTCCTGCGGGAGCTTACTCCTACTTGACGCAAAACGCTTATGACATTACCATCAATGGCACGGAGGACACCTTCTATCTATATCTCGGCGACCACTGGTCTGGAAATGAGCTTGGCTCCTCGACCTATGCTTTCTATCCCGTTCTCTACAACGGATCTGCGCTCTCCCTCCATAAGACCGGTGGCTGGACGCTGGACGTTGAAGCTGGGACTTGGGCTGATTTACCCTACACGACCATCACAGCGGCCAATTCTACCACCGCCGAAGAGTATCTCGATTCGTGCGACGACGGCTGTACCGGCGGCAAGGCAACCAACATGACCGGGAGCTCGAACTTCACATTTACGTGGGATGGAAGCGCTGGGGACAAAGTCGTTCAGATCGTCTATACTTATCCCGGCGCAAAGAACGCTTTCAAGCAAATTGGTGCGACGGTCGATGGCAAGGCAGTCAATGGAACGGCGCTGTTGGAGACGACCAGAGCGACGACTATGTCGCAACAAGCGCCGATACCTTTGACGTTGGCGGAAGGGAGCGAGGTCGTCTTGAAGCTGCTGAATTTCGATGGGACGCAATTTTTGGTGGATGGAGTCCAGGTGTATGATGCATAGCCAGCTGTTATAGACATGGGAAAAGCTATCTTGTCTTCTGCATGAAGTATTGTTGTTTCAAAGAGGACGTCGCTGTCGCGAAACGAGTGGTGTCGAAGGGCTGGCGCGCTGTGGCGTCCGAGCCGATCTCGACTGTTTATCCGGTTGCTAGGGCAGGCAGCGTTTCTCATCCCACCTTCGATCTCGCGACCTACCACCTACACTTCTCTTTTCACACTCCTCCTCTCCGACATTTGTACAAAGAAGCTGTATCTCTTGTGTGCAAATACCAGTCTCGACTGCAGCAGTGTTCACGTACTAGCCAAAACACTCATTGACATCCAACCCAAACAACTTCTCCGGGACAACGGCCACCGCAGCAACCGAGTGATCTCATTCACGCAAACAGGCCCTACGACTCTTTCTTTCGAGTTTTTGACTCTTCGAAGTCATGGCAAACCGGTTGGATGCAGTCAATCCGACCATGAACTCGACACCCTCCGTCACCCAGGCCAAAGCCGGCAACGGCGCCATGAGGCCAGCGAACAACGGCAATGTTATCAAGCGGTTTGTTGCTTCTCAATTCACAATCTCGAAGGACAGCTACTGATTGAGGATGCGATGCAGCCTTCAAAGCGAACTCATGACCCTCATGACCTCACCGACTCCGGGCATCTCTGCCTTCCCTACCCAAGACATGACCAAGTGGAACGCAACCATGTCAGGACCCAGCGGCACGCCATACGAGAACCTCTCCCTCAAGCTCACCATCGCCTTCCCACCTACCTACCCAATATCGCCTCCCGAAGTCCTCTTCAAGACCCCGATCTACCATCCGAACGTCGATTTCTCCGGACGGATATGCTTGGATATCTTGAAGCCCGGCGGCGAGGGCAAGGAAGGAGCTTGGAGTGCGGCTTTGAACACCAACAGTGTGTTGCTCAGCATCCAGAGCTTGCTCGGCGAGCCCAACAAGTGAGTGCAATGAAAGCTACAAGAAGGCCATGCGGGTACTGACATCGAGTCCAGCGCATCACCACTCAACGGCGAGGCGGCCATGCTGTGGGATCGGGACCAGGCCGAGTTCAAGAAGAAGGTCACCGCACGGCACCAGGACATCGATTTTGATGTATAAGGTGCTTCATACACGGCTGGAGTCTTGGTACATAAGGTGGGATTGATGCGCTTACGTCTAGAAGCATGGAAAGGGCGTTCGGATTGTTTTCTGCATGCATGGCGCGAAGATCATGGCTGAAAAGGATGAATTGGGTCTGTATGATCTGCATCTACGGAGCAGATTCGGCCTACTGTACGAGTACCTGGGTGTACCTAACGCTGGATCATGAATCGAATGACAACGATCATTTTGCGTGAAGATTCTCAAGTTCTACCTGATTCTGTGCTGCATGTGAATGAAGAGGCGCCGACTCAGAAGTTTTGTAGTCACTGGTAACTTGCCTTCCGCACATAAAACACGCACACTTTCCATCCAGCACTCTTCTCCCACCTCAAGCTCGATCTTCACGTGCAGCTCCCACTTTAAGCTCAGATCGGCCCGCAGTCCGCTCCCGCCAAGAATCCCAAGTGAAGCTTTCGCGACTTGAAACGCGTGCAGCCACTGTCGGGGCCCTCGACAGTACAAACCCTACCCCAGCGACAATACAAACGCCGCAACGCACCCACCCGCTATTGTCAACGCCGGCGACAATAGCTGTTTGCAAGCATGGCGGGCAATAATAATGGTAAGCCTTCGGGCTTCACCTTCAACCCATCAACAACCTCCTCGTCACTCTTCGGCAGCGGCAGTACCACAGCTCCAAGCACTGGCAGTATCTTCGGCGCAGCCACATCGAACAACAGCACAAGCAACGCACCCACTGCATCGACTCCCACAAGCACGAGCGGCAGCACCAGTATGGCTCCTCCGAACAGCGTCCTCTTCCAGGCCCAGAACACCCCAACCACCAGCGGCCCTATCGACTTCACCAAGGCAGCAGCAGATTACAACAGCGGCAAGACCACACCTCAAGCCCAGAAGCCGGGTGGTCTGTTTGGTGGTGCTTTAGGCGCAGGCGCCTCGACTACTCCCGCAGGCGAGCCCAAGCAACAGAACCTTTTTGGTAGTCAAGGAAACACCAGTGGACCGCTCTTCGGCGCCGGTGCAGGAGGCAATAGCACGGGAGGTGGCTTCAAGTTCGGACCGAGTGCCAGTAATACCCCGGCATCAGGAGGTGGAAATGGCCTGTTTGGGCAGAAGAAGGACGAAGGTCAACAAAGCAAACCGCTTTTCGGCGCCGGCACTACGCAGACGCCGCCAGCCAGCTCTGCTGGTGGAGGTATGTTTGGCAGCGGCGGCAATACTGCTGCAACTACCAGTGCCAGCACGTCAGGCAGCATGTTTGGTGGAGCTTTGGGCGGAGCAAACACATCGACGCAATCATCCGGCTCGGCCTTTGGACAGAAACCAGGTGGTCTATTCGGCACTCAGAACAATGCAGCTCAAGCTACTCCAGGTGCGGAGAACAAAGCATCAGGCCTCTTCGGCGCAAAGAATGCAACCACGACTTCGGGTGGCTCTGGAATGCTAGGCGGCACCACTTCCGCATCCTCCACTCCATCCCTTTTCAGCCAGAATCAGACTCAGACCACTACCAGCGCCTCTGCTGGTGCGACGACTACCACATCCGCCCCAAGTCTCTTCGGCCAGAAAGACCAAAACACCACCGCCAGTGCCGGCGCATCGAACGCGATGGGCGGACCCGGCAGCATCTTCAACAATGGCGGCGACCAACAGCGGCCGCCCTCTGGTGGTCTCTTCAGCAACCTGAATAAATCCAGCAGCGCCTCGACCCCTTCATCCACTCCCGCAACTTCAGGCCCTTCGCTTGGTGGCGGCTTAGGAGGCGGGCAGTCTTCACAGCCAGCTTCAGGTGGTGGCCCTGGTCTTTTCGCCAACAAGCCAACCGCCGCCTCCTCTGCCCCGAGTACAAGTAACCTCTTCGCATCTACGACGCCCGCTTCACAAGCCCAATCGAGCGCTGCTACGCCAGGCTTGTTCTCCAACCTCAACTCTTCAACCCAGCCGGCTGCGACTTCTGCGTCCGCTTCCAGCGCAGCAGCGCCAACACAACCTACTACGACTTCATCTGCCGACGGTGGTCTGTTCGGCGCCTCTGCATCTCAGCCAGCCAACACCAGCGCGCAGGCGCCGAGCCTCTTCGGCAACGCTCCTGCGGCTGGTCCAAGTGCTGCCACTCCAGGCCAGACTGCTGGTACACCAGCTGCTGGGAATGCGGGAGCCGCTGCAGCTCCGTCAGGCTCGGCCAACTCAACCAACGCTGCAGGTGCTGCGTCCGCCGCGGGTGCAGCTCCACCAGGTGGCTCCCGCCTCGCCCGCAAGTCACTGGACGAGATCCTCACAATGTGGTCTACCTCCCTCTCCCAACATCAAAAGACCTTCCAGAACCTCTCCAAGCGTGTCGGCGCATGGGATCGTGAGCTTGTGGAGAACAGCACGAAGATCAGCAACCTGTACGGCCGCTGCTTCCAAGCCGAGCGCGACACCAGCGAGGTGGAGCGTCAACTCACGAACGTTGAGCACCAACAGTCGGAAATCGAGCACTTCCTTGATAAGTACGAGGCAGATGTGGATCGGATGATGACTAACATGGGTGTTGGCGAGGATGGTATCGGAGGCGTCGATGCTGAGCGTGAGCGGACGTACAAGATGGCAGAGAACTGCTCTTCTCGCCTTGGGGAGCTCAACACGAGCTTGACCGATATGGTGGAAGAGATCAACTCGACGAGTGGCAAGTTGTCGGAGAAGAAGGGTGATGATGGCGACAAGGGCGATCCTCTGCGACAGATCGTTGGCATCCTCAACCGACACTTGGCACAGCTGCAGACGATCGGTACGGGTGCTCAGGCATTGCAGGAGAAGGTCGGTGCCGCACAGAAGGACGTCCGCAACCTTGGCAGTCAGGGGTTGAACGGCGGCAACTGGGTCGACGACTTCGGTCGCTCCTATCTTGGACGTCGGTAAATCGTTATTATGGTCATTGAAACCAGGCGTATGAAGCATGGGATGGGCGTTCAGGAGGCGTTTGGCAAACAGCGATCAAGACAAGATTGCCCGGAAGGATAGGAGATGACACTTTGTAGTTTAGTACGCTTGAGATCGAGCAGTGCAGGAGCGTGAAGCTCAAATGAACATTCTGTCTCGTTACTTCAGCCATCTGTTTGGCGTTGCTTTTCTTCAGGTCGGCTTCACTTGGCAGGAGCTTTTGATAGAGCATGTGGCACATGACTCACCCCGTTACCAGATGAGTGCCCTGACTTCCCTCTGCACATTCTACTTATTACTCTGATAACATCACTCCAACAAGCACGACCACTTGCAGTTGACTCGGCACGGCTGCCTCAATCCCCTGCACGAAGCAATTCGAGGAGCAAAAATAGGAAGATTCAATCCGTGTTCATCCCAAACCCAACTCAATTCCAACTCCATCTCCATCTCCTCGGCGTCCAAGACTCGAACCCACGCTCTGAAGAGGCGTAAAAAATGCAAAAGAACTAGAACCCCTATTTCAGAGTTCTAGAGAAAAAACCAACTTAATGATTTTACTTTTTAAGTGTTGTTTTCGCCGACTCGAACTCGCTGCCTGGTAGTCAGTATAGTTAAGTCATGCGCTTTCCGACTGCGCCATTCTATTCAATCAATCAGCTTCATGTCCCTCCCACACCAGTCTGGCTGATGTGGTGATGACATTGAACTGAAATTGATTATATTGTTTAACTACAAGCTCCACAGTGCTCGAACATCGACGCTGCGCGCTTGACACCATACGGTTGTTTTGCCTCACTACTGCAGCGAACAGGAGTCACATATCACGTCGGCGCGCTGACGCCAGTCACAGTCGCGTAAGTTTGATTTCGGCAAACTCGATTCTACGCATCTTACTGACTCATACGCCAGACATCAAGACGCTCGAACGCGACTGATCATTCGGCTTGACATCCATGGAGGACACAACGGTCGACAAGGCGGCAACATGCCATCTCTTTCGTCTTCCAGCTGAGCTGCGCAATGACATCTACGAGCTCGTCTACCACATCGACATAGACCGCGACGTCGACCTCCTTCACGCCGAGCCACCTCCAGCCCCTACCTTGTCGCTCGTCTGCCGTCAAACATACACCGAGACGAAGGGATACTACCAAGAAAGCCGCACGAGATACTACAAACAGACCCGATACTTCATTCAAGATCTCGAACGCGCCGACGACCTCAGCCACCTCCGCACCAGGCACTTGGATAACTTCACCCACTTGACCCTCCGCGGCACGGTGCACCGCATGCTTCCTGACCGCAAACTCTACACTTTCTGCTGGTTACCAGCAGCACGCACGTGGGAGGTGTGTAGACCCTGGAAGCCTAACTGCGTAGCCCATGTGTTCGTCCAGCAACGCTACCGGGCCTTTCGCCCGCACTTGGCATTCTGGGAGGTGCATCCGCAGTCCGTCGAGCATATGCGGCGGTTCGTGGAAGGGTGTTTGGAGCTGCCGGGGGGAAAGGTGGAGCTGTGGAGGCAGGTGGTGCGTCTAAGGGACTGGATGCGGAGGTCGGTTGATCGTTAGGATGATGGGTGATATGGGGGGTTTGAGAGAGATGCTGGAACATGGATTGGGGTCGAGGGTTGGGCAGTGGGCGGGTCTGTTTGTATGAGGATTGGATTAGAGATATGGACCAAGCTTGCCTTGTCTTCTGAGTCTGATGAGGTTATCTTGTAGACCACCAGAGTCTGTACCTACAAACCTATGTGCGCTACATCGCAGTGACCGCCCAAGTGGATGCAAGGAGCCGGAGCGGTCTGTCGATGGAAGAACGGTGAAAGTAGCACTACCAAGAAGTATTAAGATTCACCAGTCAAGGTGTAAACACGTCAAGTGAATGGCTCACATGCGTAGTGACTGCACGACGCTAGTTAGCCTAGCGGCCGAGAAGACTACTTGAGTTCCTTCCAGCGGTGAGCCGACTTCAACAACACCAATTGGACACCACCCCAACAACACCCCAACACCAAAGCACCGCCTCGACTTCTCGTCAAGCCGCACCCAGTCGGGTGGCCATGGCACCAAAGAACAAAAAGCGCAAAGTCACGAAGTTGAGTGGAGGAGGCGAGGGAGCTGTTGCACCAAGCCAAAAGAAGCGCAAGGTCTCAAATTCGAGTGGAGAAGAAGAGGGAGTTGTCGCACCAAAGGTCAGTCATATCACGTAGCATCACACCTCCCCATTTGGCGACGACATGCGATAGCCTATAGGCATGGCCAAACGCCGTTGCTGGCAGAAGCTAACACTTTGAACAGAAGAAGACCTTCTTCGATCTTCCGCCTGAGCTTCGCAACGACATCTACGAGCTGGTTCTGATTGATGGCGAAGTGGTCGTCCACGAGAGTCTCAAGCAGCCGGGTCTACTCCAGACATGCCGCCAAATTAGGTCCGAGACGATCAAAGTCTGGTATTACCGGCCGAGCTTCAAGTCTGTTGTGGTCGACTGCGACGCTCGACTGCTGGGAAAGTGGACACGACACACCGCCAAGTACGACAATGAAGAAGACAGTCCAGTCGATTGGGTCATCGTATTGACTGGACAACCAAACTGGGAGAACCTGACAGAGTGGTGTCGCGAGGTCCACAGTCGCAGATGTGTGTCGGTATATCCTAAAACAAGGGACAGAGAATATTTGCACGCAATCTATGCTGCACTGGAGATTGCCAACAATTTCAGAAATGCGCCATGGACCCAAGTCGAGCAAACGCTGAATACACTCAGGCATACGCTCGGGTGTATCGATGAAGGATGGCTCGATGGTTTCGAGGAGAGTGACGAGAAAGAGGAAGTGTGAGTCGAGCATGAGCAAGTCTGCAGACGCAGAGGTGGATCGCACACGGGAGACACTTCGCTAGATAGAAGAGTCACTTCAGACCGTTACACAGGCTAGCATGTGATGCACAGTTGCAAGGTAGAAGTGAATGAATCAGACTCGTGAAGAGCCGACGTCGCTGAAAGGCGGCTGAGCGATTAGTCAGAATTTTAGCGTAAGTATATAACCCTTCCCAAAGTCTCCTTCGCCCAAGCAACAACCTGCTGCGAGAGTGTCATGCCGCAGACAAACACCTGCCGACGCCATAACACACCGCAAAGTGTGCAATACCGAGCATAGAAGATAGTCGAGAATACCTGCGCCTTCAAGCGCTTCGCTTACCTTGCGCGACGGCGGTTTGAAGCGACAACGCCGCCTTCACGTGCGCCTCCGTACACCCCAAGGCACGCCGCGATATCCTTATCCGCCCAAGCGACGACAGCATCCACCTCTTGTCCGTCCTCTAAAACAAATCGTCTACTCGTCGGGGCGCCATCATGACCAACAATCTGGTGGTAGGTGATCTGATAAGAGCGCAGGAGGCGTTGGCGAAAGAGACAAAGGCATGGCTAACACGGCCAATACAGGGCGACGTCTACGCCAAGATCATCGAGGAGGTGGTCGCGCATTCGACGACTGACTTCGAGGAGAGCGGCGTGGGCTCGACGACGCTGAAGGAGTTGCAGGCGGTACGTATCGAGAACGCTCCTTTTCGAGTCTCAAAGCCAGTCAAGAGTCGCGGGAGCGTCGCAGTCGTCTTTCCCTTTCACTGAGCAAAGCACTCCCACAATAAAGAAGTCAGAGAGGCGACATCTCGTCGTCGTCTTCAGCGACTTCCAGGCGACAGGCGCAGCTGACGGCGGCGCTGTGCTGTGCTGGCGCTGAGCGGGCAGAAGCGGGGCTTGAGGATCGCAAGATCGCTGGGCCTCGCCTGCTTTTGGCTGTCTGTTTTATAGCGCCTGCACCCGCCAAGCTCCGCCCCCTTGTCACCCACGCTTGACTGCTTTGGGCACATCACGTGGGATCTGCGTTGCCTCTTTACGTCTCAAATTTTTTGTGTGACGGGCAGCATGCTAACGTCCAGCAGGAATGGCAGGCCAAGCTCTCACAGCGCGGTGTCGCTCAGATGCCATGGGACCCCAAGCCGCAACCTCCAGCGCCACCACAGCAATCTCAACCCCCACCGTCATCTCTTCCCTCGGCTACAGCCAACGGTCTTCCCCAGTCGTACTCGTATGACTCGACACAGGGCCAGGCAGCAAACGGCACCCGGATCAAGACTGAGCCAGGCACTGAGCAGTACAACGGCCTTCCGAACGGCAACTACCAGAATGGAGCTGCCAACACTCAGGGTGGTCTCGCTCGTGCACAGGCTTTGGTTCAGCAGCAGTATGGTCAGGCTGGCAACGCGTCGATCAATGCTATGCAGCAGCAACGTGGTGGACTTGCGCTTCCTGGCCAACAAGCTAAGCCTCCACAAGGTCTGAACTTGCCAGCTGGTAGCCCTCAGCAGCAGTCATTCCAGCAGCAGCAGCAAGAAGCCATGGCCCGTCAGCAACAGCAACAACATGCAGCCATGGCACGTCAGCAGCAGCAATTGGCACAACAGCAGGCTCAGCCCCGCATCAAAGTCGAGAATGACAGCCCTCAGCTTCAGCAAGGCGCATTCACGCAGCAGTCGCCTCCCAGCCAATCCTATGGCCAGACCGATGGCGCAGACGAGGGAATGGACGAATGGCGGGCGATGCTGGCAGAGAGGCGGGTTGCAAATGCTCGGCATGGTGACCAAGCTGATCGTCTCATGCGCGACAACGTCTTGAGTCTGTCCGAACACCTACAGAGCGGTTTGATGGTGCCCTTGGATGAACAACCATCGAGGTCGCGCAAGCATAAGCGTCGCGGTCCATCCGCAGTCGCTTCATCTTCCAAGCTGCCCACCATCCCACAACTCGATGGTGATGCAGACGATGAAGAAGAGAAGCCTGACGTCAAAGACGAAGACGACGAGAACGCCATCAATTCTGACCTCGACGACTCTGATGACGAGAATGGCGGCGCCATGGGCGATGACGATGACGACCTCGGCGATAGTATCCTCTGTACCTACGACAAAGTCCAGCGCGTCAAGAACAAGTGGAAGTGCACCCTCAAAGATGGCGTTATGAGCGTCAACGGCAAGGAGTGGGTCTTCCACAAAGGCACCGGAGAGTTTGAGTGGTAGATGGGAAACATACCACCAAGGCCTGCACTGCGACAACATCTCAAACAGCAGGCTTCCCACCCCCTTCGACTTCGCTGGCAGGGATACTTCATCGATTATCGAGCGACTACTGAATTTCCACGATACCAGAACGGCGCGGGTATGCTTTATCATCATCATCATCATCATCATCATCATCATCATCATCAATCAGCAACAGTCAAAAATCCAATCAAAAACAGGTGCAGTTGGACAAGACGACGGCATGGCTGACATTGGGCGTTTGTTTCTTTCCTCTACTCATCACCACAACAAGAAGAACACTACAAGGAAAGTGTTTCAAGAATGATTACAACACGGCTTCTTTAACGAAATTGGCTCTCAGGGAATTGGCAGTGTGAGAGAAGGGGAAACTGGCTCTAGCCCGATTAGGGAGCAAATATGTACAAATAGATGAATTGAATTGAATTGAATTGAATTGAATTGAATTGGGTTTTCCAAGATGGTCTTTGCGCTCTCGTCTTTGATAAATCGCTGTCGTGTCGGTCGTAGTGAGGCCTTTCGTCAATCTTCCTCACGTGTCGTCTTGTGTCATGGGGTGCCCCTTTTTCAGCCACGGCGCTTCCATCTGTCCAGGGCGCTTCTTGCTGTAGTCCAGCACTCCTCGGCGAGAACATATCCAGGCAATTGCCCAAGATCTCCGCCTTGCCGTCTCTCGTCTCTAGCGTTCAGTGCTCGCAGAAGACGGATCTCGCTGCTTAGCTTATGGCGCATCTAATCCATTCCGCTGCGACCTTTGCCGGCGCCTGCTGATACACCAGCTATGCATGTCGTCTCTGGTCCGCGTTTGCCACCATCGCGCGGCACCACGTCCAAGCGATTACCGCACCTGGCGCTTCGTCCTCCTCAATCTGTGGTGCCGGCGCTTCATGACACGCCAGCGGCATCACAGACGCAGGGCCACTCGCAGAGCTCACACCCACGTCTGACGCAGGAGCGTCTCCAAGAACCAGGTAACGGGGTCGATCGAAAGGACGATCTGAACGTAGCCGCACGGTCCCAATCTCTTCGGGGATTTTTTATGCAAGCCACAGATCATTATGCATGTACTCTTCCATCGCACATGATCTTCAAGTCTGAAACGAGCCTCCTCTTCTTTCAGCCTCATCGATCCCAAATCCGAACACGAGCCTGAAGAGATCTCTCATCCAGGCCCATTGTTCGCTGTTGCCCAGCCACCTCACCGCTTTGGCGACTTCTGCCGCGCCCAAGCGTCTCGAGGGGATTTGGTGGACGCTGAGCATGGACTTGTCGTTCGTGACGAGCTTCCTGTAGAAAGACAAGACTTTCATCTGCCATGGTAAGGTGCCGAATGCGTTATCGGGGAGCGATTTGACCCATACGGGCAGGGTTTGGCCTGATGTGCGAGCGTAGCCTGTGTTCATGCCGGCTCTGAGAAGCAAGCATCGAAGTCGTGCTAGTTGGGCTTCCTCGGCGCCTGCGGTTGCTGTCGAAGATGAGCGTTGGGATGAGCCGGCGGATTCGGAGTAGTCGCTGAGAACAGAGGCGTTGCTTGACCAGCGTTCGTGATGAGGTGCGCCTCCTCGAACTGAGTTACTGCCGGTACTGGCTGGGCCGAGAACCAGGATATTGGGTACATTTACTGATCCATCAGGGGATGAGTCGGCGGTAGATGTGTCGTCAAAAATGGTGACTGGTGTTTCTGGAGGAATCGACCTGGCATCGTGGTACTTTCTATTGCTCACGGTGCTGTTCGTTGATCTGCCTTCAGAGCGTACCGAACTAGACTTGAACGATCCCCCTTGCGAGGAGGCGAACGTGGTCTGGTTAGGTCGTGGTGTGCCTCGATCTGGCCGGATTTGAGTCCAGCCTTCACGGAAGAGGTCGCAAAGTTCCCAACATGCTTGCACAGCTGATCCAAGCAGTTCCTCGTCTGCCCTTCGTCCCTCGCGGCTTGCTTGGCGTAGGTTGAACAAGTTCTCAGCCAGTGACCAGCAAGCTCGCAGTAGCGAGTCTGTTTCCTCTGGCAGTGATGTGCGCTGTTTCATCAATCGATGGCATAGCGTGATGTAGAAGTCCAGCGTCCGCTCGTTGAAGGCGTCGGGCAGGCTTCGGTCGTGGGTGTTGTATAGATGATTGTTCAGCTCAAAACTCACTCGCAGGACTGAATCCGACGCCTCATCCATCTTTTGCCTTGCATCGAAGAGTGACTGACAGAAGTCTCTGCACAATTCGAGTGTGGGCATCACCTGCGAAGTCGCATCATCATCGCGATGCTCGTACAGCTGCTGGCACAATCGCCAACAGCTTCTCCAAGCCTGCTCTTGCACTTCCGTCTTGCCAGAAAACTTGAAAGTCCTCTGCCGATGGCTTGACGACAGATTCGCCAGAGTGTTGCACAACGTCCAACATTCGCTCAGCGCAGTACGCAGAGCAGCGACCTCGTCTTCCGCCTGGCTCAGCGTTTGCATGGCGTCTTTCATCGATCCATCACCAACAAGCCCAGCCGTGCTAGGGCCATCGTCATCCTTGGACCCAGCCTGCTCAGTATCGGCATCTTTGTCAAGAGCCTCTGGAATATCTGCACGACCTGTCAGATACTGCTGGAAATACTTATCGAAGCCTGGAAGCAGACCTTCTAGACTCGATGTGCGCCTACTGTTGCGCTTGTAGCTCTCATCCAGTTCCTGCCGTGTTTGCGCGCGGGGCGTTGTGCGATCCATATATAGAGGGATGTCGGTGTTGACGGGTGAGATTGGCCTCTGCATAGAGAAATGTTCAGCAGTTGTGGTAAGTAGCGAACACGCAGCATTGCCTACCTTGTCGCTAGGATATACCGTCGCAGCTTCTGGAGTTGTCGGCGAGGCTAAGCGGGCGGTACTTTCAGACCGATCCTCAGTGGGAGACTGATGTGTAACAGAGCCTTCTTCAAAAGTTTGAAAGCCAGAGGGGACGTGGATAACGGATTGAGGCTCATTGTCGGTGCTGTCAGATCGATCTCTCTGCGGCAGCTGCGTGTCGAGTCGGGGAGGTATCGTTTCCTATCACAATCAGTGCGAGTTCAACCGTCGCACGTCGACCAGCATACACTTTTCGCGCTCTCTGGACTTGTTATCTCTATATCTGGAGACTGCACCTCGAATGCCTCTCCATTTGCAGCGGACTCTGGAGACTTTGTTGCGCTCGAATCTTGCGCCTCTTCTTCTATCTCTGTGCTTTCTGTGCCATTGGAGTCTGTCGGCGAGGGTTCGATTTGCTGGGGATATGGACTTGGAGGCGCAAGCGTATCAGACGGACCGGATGATCTAAATATCGGTTGAGGATCAGCCGCTGTGCCTTCTCGCATACATGTGTTCCGTGTGCGATGCTCTCACCGATTGCTTTTGTCATTCCCATTCGCCGGGAAGGACGAGTCCTTGAAGCGAGCCGGCGAATTGGGAGAATCCGAATATGGACTGAAGGCAGAGGAGAGCCCTCCACCGGTTGGAGAAGGCATGAGTGGACTCTTGAGGGCCATTACACCAGCGGGCTGGCTTCGCTATCGAGCGTCTTCGACTGTGGCCAAGAATAACGTGTACATTCGCGTGCCGCTACCGTATGCGCCGCAGCATGACTGTTGGCCAGCGGCGCTGCTTGCTGCTGCTGTCCTCGAGCGCTTTGGGACGAGTGAGCTGCCGTACTGCTGCAGTGGTTCAGCTCGAGGTCCAGGGACTGCAGTCTTCGAGCTGAACGTTGCCTCGTCCGCGCCGCCTACTGCATGCAGAAAGTGGACGCGTCCCGGGGAGCTCGCCGCGTCGAGGCAAGAGTCCAGTGCGAGGCGTCGAGGAGAGCTGTATATGCGTGCCTCCGGTGCTCAATGCGGCGCAGCGCAATCAAATATCATCAGTAACAGCAGTCGTTGCAAACCAACGCCGAAACTCTCTGTGCAGGAGCCAAATCACCTGCTGTAGATCCCTCTTCGAAGCTATGGCCCCCCGGCCTGCAGGACGTCGCAAGTGTTAATGCAGCGGCGGAATCCAGCGCTCGATAGCCGGCACGGCCCAGGTGTGGATTGCTCTCGCAGTGGAGGACTTGGGAGCCAAGCAGGCTTCGGCACTGTACACTGCGTGCGTCGCCAACGAGACTGGGTCGCTGCGGCTTGTGCCACCACTCACAGTCGCCTGTGCCTCTGCATCCAACGTTGCTGAGTCTGTGGACAGAGGAGCGAAGTTCAAGATGTTAAGCGCCCGAGGCTGAGTTGTGCCGCAAACCTAGCCTCGTCGGGCGTAGCGCCGTCTCCTCGAGCACTTCACTTGCATTATCACCTCGTCTGCAATCCTTTCCTCACTGCGTGCCGTCGCGAAGACCACTCTGCTGGGAGGAGCCACGCTTCGGGTGCCAGGCCGAGGACGAAGAGATACCGCAGTGGACCACGGCCGAGCTGCTTACACTAGGTCTGGCACCGCTGACCAATGACATTGGTACATTGCTCAATTTCACAGTTGGCCAGCAGACGTGTTCAGCGTGGCACAACGTGGGAAGACAGCAGATCGAGTTCGTCAGCCAGAAGAACCTTGTCGATCACCTATGCCTCTTACGACACAGCCCTGTGGTCCGTAGGCATTGGCAGGAGCTGTCCGCCTGTGGAAGTGGCAGGAATGCCACGGCAGGATGTATACTTTCTCAGGAGGCCACCGTCACATTTGCGAAGTGTTACCGGTCGTACTCGACTCCTGATATGCAACAGCATGCGGTGCCTTTGATCTGCTCTAGTCTGAAAACTAATGCTGAGTAGTTGGAGCTTTGTCGAAGTGGATCCATTTGGAACAATGTGTTTCACAAAGATTCGCTAAGGCACATCATGCCAGGCGGTTAGCACGTGGAGAGGACCCATCGAACTGGGCCCCAAAGGATTCCTCCGACCTCAAACAAGCGCTTGGAAACGTTCCCGCAATGCGCATTGCATACGCGGCCGCGACTCTCAACAGGTGTGTTGGTTCTCCCAAAGCCAGCAATGAGGGCCGAAATGTCTTTGACGTCTCGCAGCATTCGCTGAGCAAATCTTACTTCCTCCGCAGGATTACTCGTGCAATGCATACCCATGTCGAACCACTGATCACACCGGTGAACCTTGGACAAGGGGAGGTCTGAGCCGGGCGCTTATGGAACGGCCGGCGACGTTGACCACACCTCCAACACTAGTCTACCTCTTTCCGCTTTCGATCTCTCGCCTCGCCGTAGACAGCCACTTGTGAGCTTTGTCGACGTCTTGTTGGCTCAGCATGGTTAGAACCAACAACACTTGGCAACGCCGCAGTTGGTTTCTTTGCTTTTCAATAGCCCAATGCGGCACATCCAACAACCTCAACAGCAGCTGAACTTGAGCCCGCATACTACTGCTCAGATGCGGGACCATGTCAATGCGAGGAAGGCGATATTGCCAACGTGGATCGAATGGCAAGAGTTGGCTTCGGCAATTCCTCCAGAGCTGATATCAACCTCACTGCAGAGACAGTGGTGCCGCTCGCAACGACCTTTACTAACATCTCGATGCGATACCTCGGTTACATGTCGTCAAAGGAATGTTAGAAGTTACTCCAATCGCGCCTGCGGGGAAGAGAACGGGATTATTTGCACGACTCTTCTATCTGCCGACCAGATTCGAGTCAATGTTACAGCCTCTCCGTGCATCGGAAGGATAATCTGAAATCCACTTTTGTTCGCTAGCAAGGGTTTGAACAAATCGGACGTGTCGAAACACTGGCAAGCTGGAGTCAATTATCTGTCCGGTGCACAGAGAGGCTGTAGTAAGATCGAAAGGCCCACTCGGGCTCACCTGCGGTCCAGCGCAAGTTAGATGCTGCGGGCAGACTTTGCTTCGCGGACTCTGGGAGCATCTTGAGAGCTACCTCCTCCACTGATTGTACGCAGCGTTACGTCTGACTGATCAGCAGCAGGCCATCAGACGCGAGGACATGTCCAGGACTCGAAGAGAAGTACTTCACAGAACATTCCCGCAACTATCAAAAGCTCCAACACCGCAAACTCCAACCTATCCGGTCCAATAGGATCATTCCCTCCAAAAGTGGCCAGCCAAGTAGCACAGATCCGCGCCCAAAACAAGATCGAAGCAGAATTCGGGCCCGCCCAATTGCATCGAAAGTGCAAAAGGATAAGCCGCCAGCGACCATCCTTTGCCCGCGCGAACGCCCTTCCAACTGTGTACTGTGCCGCTCTCACTAATGAATCTAAGCAGGTGACAGACAACATTGAAGGGCTCGATCCATCAGATTTAGCTTTTCTGTTGCTCTTGACAGATGACTGACATTTGAGATAACCTATATGCATTAGCAAGGGTAGGCATGAAGCCATGATGATCTCAACTCGATGGGTCTGATTGAAGTCGAGCCGGATTCTCGACTTAGCTCCAAGGAATTGGTGTCCATCTCGCAGAATCTTGTCCCTGTCGAAAACGACCGAACAGGGTGCTCATTTTAGTGCACGAAAGTAGTCGATCCTGAAACCTTCCTGGTCTTTGGTCCTCTCGGGACAGGCAAGATCTCACCTTAAATCTTCCACCTCGTGGACTTCGTCGCAGAATGTCTCGCAGCATTCCCACACTCGATCTTTAAGCCCCGCTGTCGATCCGCTCCAGTGGCTGATCTCTTGAAGGCAGTGTCAGCATTCAGCAGCTGTGAGTGTGCCGCACAAGCAAAAGATTAGGCTCCATTACAGTACGAGGAGCAGCAGGGACAAGACATGAAGATAGGCGTCGCAATGCATGGTGCTGGCAGATTGCGTTGACTTATGTCATATGAAGTCTTGCCCTGCCAAATGGAACGCGGTCTCGACCCAGCCTCACGTCAGGTTGCTCTCCTGAGCGACCGCCTTCCGAAGGGGTGCGAGCATGTACATGCACAGCACTTCTGATAGAGACTGGTGGAAAAAAATTCCCTCACCTCTACCGCGACAGTCCTCGATCCTTAAGTTTTTCTTCACAGAAAAAGCCGCAATTCCCCGTGGCGCTTGCCGCGCATGTGAAGACCCGCTAACGCCGGATTAGGAAGTCGGTTTGGGAGCCGAGTCCACTTTCGTCGTGCTTACATTCAAGGCACTTGTGCCCGTGTTCCGAGCCGGCTGTTGATTCGTTTTTCTCCACCAGTGAGACCGATATAGCATGCAGTACCTTTTTCGTTTTTGCGTCGGAGTATTGTCCGAGCTCGGTTTTTCGTCACTCCTGCATGGCGGAGAGTTTTACATGGTTGCATTTGCATTTGTTGCTCGAGTGCTTTGGTTGGTAGTGAAGCCATGGCTGTGTTGGACGACGTTCTAGATGGCATGAACGGTACGTACAGATAGTGAAGGCAACGTATATTCTACATGTCGGCTACCCCCGGTGGGTATCACTTCAGCTTGGGACATTCATAAAGCTCCGAACGGACTCGATCTTTAGCTTGAAACCGCCCAAAGTCTCTTTCATTGACCGCAATATTTAGCGCAAGAGGAAACGCTGCAGAGGTAGTTGCTAGATCAGTCATTGGCATGAGTCTTTTAATTAACTTCATTGCTAGATCCCTGTCTCTGGTTTCTCCAGCTCATTGTCGACAATGTGCGTTGTCAATCTCCATACCTGGCTGAAGTGTAGGCACTTCTTTGCACAGTAAGTCAGCCAGCTCTTCCCAGTCGTCGATGCTAATACCACTCAAGGCACGAGATGTGCAGCGAAGCACTGGCTCGCAACCCAGCAAGCTTTTGTGTGACTGTACATGAGCCCATCTCGACAGACATCGACGAGGCTCACGGGCCTTGCCCAGACCGTGACAAGCACCCGAGTGCAACAGGAGCTAATGGCACCTCTTCGTTTGGTAGATTGCTTGGGATCACTCGAACCATAGGTCCAGGCAATCAATGGTATCGAGAACAGAACCAGGGCCAAACCTGATCGTTGGCATCGAGTTGATGGTCGACTGATCGAGGCTGGGCGAGCAATCATATACCCAGCATATAAGTCGTAGTCGTGGACATTCGTTGCTGTAATTAAATCGGTCGTAGTAGTGAATAGGGTGTCTTTTGAAGTAAATATGTCTCCTTCTTCAAACTTTCAACATGGCATGTCGTTGCTTCGGCTGGTACTAGCTTCGAGCTAATTCGAGATCGGCAGAGATATGAAGGCCCCAGTAAAACTAATCAGGGGTAGGTCGTTTAGGCGGAGACCGTGTGACTCGTGTCGGGCTGCGGCATTTCCTGCGGCGGTTTTCTGCTTCGGTAGACTCAACTTTAATGTCAGCCAAATGCTTGCTCCGCCGCACGGACCACTACGTCGTCGGTTGAATGTCTACCGTCTCAAAGCCCCTCGTCGTCTTCGAGCTCGTCGATAACATGTGTTGCAGACAAGTGCAAGTCATAGCTTTTGTCTTTGGGAGTGGCCGTTGGCGAGCCCTGCGGGACTCCAGAATCCACAACGAATGCGGCCTCGTTAAGGGAACTTCTCTTGCGCCCAGTCCTGTACGCCCTCGATAAACGGTCGGTCATGAAGCGAAGTCTCTCCTCGTCGACGAAGCCGGCTTGGTAGCCAATGAGTAGCAGTGTCTGCATGAGATCTCGCAGGCTGCGGAAAGAGACGGCGAGGTCAGCGAACAACCATAGCAGGGTCTCAAACGTAACAGCCGCGTTTGACACTCGCCTGATCTGTGTCAAGGCGGTTGCTGCTACGAAGACGGGTCCGTTCAACGCGATCGTCGGCGGCGCCAGGGAGAAGTATCGCTGGTAGAGGAAGACAACATGCTGCAATTGTCTCGCCGAGGCCACGAATATTGCTCCTGCAGTACCACCAGCCTGGAACCCTGGGATGGCACCACGGTAATGCGTCAGTGGTTGGAAGATGCTTAAGATCCAGAGATGGGCCCACATTCTGAAACCCTGTCAGCATGTTCTCCTCCTCCATTCTTGGTGTCAGAACGCTTACTGCGCGATTGCCGCAACGTCAGTCACTCCAGCATGCAAAGCGGCCGGACGTCCTGTCTTCGCAGAATTGGCCAACGAGCGTCGGTAAATCGATGCGACTTTCAATGCGCGTTCCTCGTCAGATAGTGTGTCGGCCGACAGATTCAGCATAATGGCTTCCCTCATGTATGTGAGATTCGAATTGATGGCAGCGGAGATATAACGTTCGCAGGCGATTTTATCGACGTCAGCGCGCGATGAGCCCGGGATGTCCACCACTGTCCTCGTCGATACCTCGAGATACGGCACAGGCAGTCTTGGGACTGGGGGAGGCTCCCTCTCTCCCCAGCGGTGAGAGTTGTATCTGCCAGCCGTTAGATTGATCACTCTGCGAGGTTTTACGAACTTACAAAGCGCTGGCAAAGACACCCCAGACAACATGCGACAATGCCGCCTCGTCTTCGGGTGAAGCAGCCCAGGCTTCATACTGTGCAGATGGCTCGTTCCAACCATAGAGAGTGTCAGCCAGATCAATCGCTTGATCTAGGAAGTTCGCGACTTGCTCGGAAGGATGATTAAAGAGGACAGCAGTATAGTACACGTTCAGTGCAGCCATCCTGGCAACTTCGATCGATGAGTCGTTTCGAAGGGCTTTCTCGGTCTCCACCTGGAGCGATTCGACAATCCCAGCAGCTTCGTCGACGCACCGCGCTATCTTCAACTGCGAAAATGTTTAGCAAAGAGGCTCCAACCATTGGGAGACCGAGTCTCACTCACACAACCATAAAGCAGCACTGCATTGACGAGAGCTGTCGAGCAATGTCTTTTGCTGCACTTGCAAAAGTCTCTCAGAAAAAGCTCGGTGTCCATGAAGCCGAAGAGAATGTGATCTGTACGCAGATACACGTTGATTGCTTCCTCGGCCAAACCGGTGCTTATCGGTACATCCGTCCAAAATCTGAGACAAATGCTTCCAATCCAAAGATTCCACGAGGCGATTCGAAATCCATCCGATAGCTGTTGTTCACTCTGCAGGTCAGCAGAAGCCGAGGGGGTGAATTGTGGCGATGAGCAAAGATTCTGTCCTCTTCGGGTTTGCCATTCGTGAAGATCAGGAGGCCGACGCTCGTTGGCGGCAGACTGGATCTCGTCGCCTGTCAATGGCGGATACCACTTCGGAAAGAAGAGATAAAGCTCGAACTGAACGTTCGACTTAGTGTTCGGGAACGTTGCCCGCATAGTGTCCAGCATCGATATCTGGCGGTTGAGATTCGATGACTGCCGCTGGATCTTGACCCCGACCTCAATCAGCGATGCTGTAGGATCTGGCTCTTTTAAGACATCTAGGATCATCTGAGCTGCGCCATCGGACGGCAAGTCTTTCAACGCAGTCAAGCTCTGTGCGATACCATCAAGCTTCGCCTTCATGTCGTTCATCCTATTGGCCAAGTACAGAACGTCAGCAAATACCTCAAGATCAGAACGGCATAGCCTTGGCTCTTCAGATGCTTACTCGCGCTTCATGGCCTGCATCCGGGTCTCTTCCAGGCTCTGAGTATCATAAGTGCAGGTGGAGTCACCGCGCTTCTGGCAGCGAAGACAAGATGGTCGCCGAGCATCGCACTTACACAACATAGATGTGAGCTTCAACACCTCAACAAAGTTTTAGCCGGATCATTTTGTGGCCTACCGCGAGCTTTCGAGTTCGACAGTTGTTGCATGCTGCTCCACTCACGATCCTCTTGATCTTCTTCTCTTGAGGAGGTTTCGCGATCCTGAAGACATGCGTCTTCATCTCGGCCATTTCAGCCTCACAACTTTTACAACGCCCCAGATCGAACCAAGCGAGCGCGTCAGGCCCAATGAAGTCCGAATGGGAGCAGTAATGTGCGCTTCGCAAGCATCAGCGTTCAACGTTGGTCCTCACTCAACGCCTGAGGTGAATAAAATGTTGCGTATGGCGCCCTGGATTTGAGCCGCAAGGTCTTGCTAGAAACATCCGGCTGCAACACTGTCGACGTTCATGTGAGTCTTGGCTTTCAAGTCTGTGCGACTGACGCATTATTCGCACTTACAAGGATCACCTCATCCCACTGTATTTCAAGGACTGGGTTCCGCATCGTTGTAATTCGCACAGAACATCGGAGTTGTCAGGGGGGAAGCGCGGCCCGGAAAAGCTAGACTGCCCTGGCCTGATTGGGAAACAGCTCTTGGCAGATACGTGGGAAGTGGTCCCAGCCTCTTCTGTCTTCTTTCTTTTCCGACGGTCAAATGAGCTTATTTACACTTCCTGTCACCACGAATACAGAGAAAGCAGAATTCGCATCATTTGCATGTACATAAGAGATATGGTGAAGTAATTGAGGAAGACGTTGAAAGGCAAGATTTCGCTAATGCCACTACACTACAACACTGTTCGCCCCCGACAAACCCAGCGACAAAAGAAAACCAACATAGGAAAGAGCACTACATGAACTTACAGCCATCCACCGCCGCGGCTCCGTGATGAGCTGCTTTGGCCACCTTCTTCTTCACTTTGTGCGAGAGCCCCTGGATGTTGCGGTTCTTCGCCTCCTCCCTAGCCACAAAGAAGACGTAGTCGAGTAGTTGATCGACGCAAGCCCTGGTCCAAGGCTCGACCAGGAAGTCCAGGCCTCTGGTGCTCTTGTCGAAGTCAATCTTGCGTTGAAGCCTCCTCTGGAAGGTGGTGATATCTCTCACCTTACCGTGGTGGGAGCTGATGGATCGCCCGATTTTCGTCACTATCAGCGTCCACTCGCTGGTGTCGCTGGGTGTGAAGCCGTTGCGTTGGACAGCAGCATGTGCTTTGAGCAGTTTTGCCATGACGAGCAGGTGGACTAGTAGCTTGTCAGCATCGAAGCATCCGACTCCCTTGGAGCTCTCGTTGGAGACAGAATTGCTGGGGGCTATTGCCTGGGCGAGGTACCTCGCTGCCAGAGTGGCGGTATCGAAGATCTGACCATTGCTGAAGAAGTCCAAGCCAGGGGTCAGCAACTCCAATCCGAATGTGTCCATCCACGTGGGTGCCTCGCGATCCTTTGGTAGCTGGAGCGACGAGATCTGAAGCGCAAGCTGGACTTGCTGGAGATGGTTCAGGTCTGGGGCCTCCACCGAGGCCACGAAAGCTGCACGGCAGATGGGACAGGATGCGTTGGATTCAGTCTCGTTCAGCCAGGTGACTATGCAAGATCGACAGTACTGGTGGTTGGAATGGCAGGGCAAGACGACCGGGTCGACGAAGTTAAGGTGGCAGATTGGGCAGGTTCGCTGTTGGTGGGAGAGTCCGAAGAGGTTGACGGAGACCAGGTGTGTTGTCCAGGGGTTGGCAGTCTGTGAAGACATGTTAGCTGAGTTGATGTTGTCAAGGGTAAGTGCTGGATCTGGGTCGGTATCGTTCTTCGCTCTCTTGCTTGTTGTGGTTGTTGAGAAAATGGAATGCGGAATGTCTGACAAGATTATAGTGAAGGACGAGGACTCTCGGTGGTTTAATAGTGCCAGCCACATGAGTGAACATGCATTATCCCAACTAATCGACACATTGACAAATGCGATTGTCATGCTTTCCGTGGAGTTAGCTACCCTTCATGAAAGGCACTCTGCTTATCTTCACGAAATGGGCGGCCTTTGGCGCAAACCCCCTCCGTCTCATTTTGCGCATAATCAAAGACCGCAGTCATAAGCTCTATGGGCCACAAAGGGAGAAATACGAGTTCGAGAAGGAAATCAGGTAATTTTTAAAGGCATGACATGTTTCAAGGGATAAAGCTAATGAGTACATCGGAATTGGGTCTTGCCCCCCCCCCCCCCCCTTTTTTTTCCCTTTTACCGGGTCCCACCGCGTCTAGCAATCACGTCTACATTTGCTGGCAGCGTGGGTCCATAGCGGAAGGTCTACCAGTCTGGCCAGCACCTTTGCCTCCTTGCTCTTGCGCCTCAGCGAGTTGCTTCTCCTCGTCGCGGGTTTGCTGCTCTCTCCAAACGAAGTAGCACACATAGGCGATGATGGTGTCGAGCTCAACCTTGTCTACGTTCAGTCCGTCCACTTTCGGGCCGTCCATTTCCTCATGTGGCGTCAAGAAGGGTGTCTGAAGCGCATACCAACCTGGAGGGGACACCGAACTGTGAAGTTTCGCGTACAGTTGGGCAGCCAGATCGCCAATGTCTACGAGCTGTCCGTCCATTGAATCCAATTTGCTGCGGAGAAACATGATCATGGCGGACCAATTGACGAAGTTCTTTCGGCTGAACGGCACGTTGCTCCCGGCTGCGAGGGCAGGAATGAGATGACCGAGGGCTACCATTCGAGTAAGCAAGATGTCGTTGACGTGAAGCGTTGCAAGACCACGCACGATGTCAGGTTCGCCGCCATCTGATCTAAGGATAAACATCTCACCCGATTCGAGCTGGCCGCTGTCGCGGGTTAGCCACACGGCAACATCAACGCTGGCATCGTAGATCATCGACTCTGAGAACTGATCAAAACCGAACGTGGTCAGCACCGTTGCTTGATCAGAGCGAGACTCCTGGAGACCAGACCGCTGTAGGCCATCGCGTAAGCCTGCTAGCTGTTCCTCAGACCCTGGCTCGAGCCATCCGTCTTGCAGTTGTTCTCCGTCTTCCTGGTCTTCTGGTGGTTCGACCTCTTCCAAGGGTAGCCCAAAGAGCGGTGCACGGCACTTCGGACAGGTGTTGACGCCAAACCCCTGAAGCCACTCGGTTGCGCACTCCCTGTCGAAAATGTGCGAGCAAGGGAACTTGACCGGGTCCGTGAATGGATTGTAGCAGATGGGGCAGTCTTGATCTTCTGTGGTTGTTTCTGCAGGCTCGACCGTGTCGAGGAACTCGGTGCGGGTCAGCACAATCGTTCTGATTGTGCGAAACATTGTGTTGAGCTTGTTGAACGGTGGTGCCTGTTTTGGTTGTTTGCGATGGGAGTGGATGGTGTAAGTGGAGGAATCTGGATTTCAGAAATAGATGGTCAAAGACGTTTTATATATCAGCCGATTGGGAGAATGCATTAACCACGAAATTGAGACTTAGACTCGACGTCTATTCAAGGTACAACAGCCTAGGGATGAATGGAATTGCCATGCCATGGTCGGGATAACACCACGCATGAAAGCTATTGAGGATTGGCGCCTGTCTTCCTCTGAATGGTATTCTCGAGTACAGCATCGACGACATTGTCCTCGGCGAATGCGTAGTCCAAGATCGTAGGGATGAGCTAGTTTGGCAAGACGAATGAAGGTGGAGACGAATTTAGGGGAGAATCCAAAAGGTTTCCAACGCAGTACTATCTATCCCAATGATCAAAATGCTAACAAACCACAGTCTTCCTATCCTTGGCGATCTTGCTGTTTTCTCCAGTAAAAGTAGCACACATAGTTGAGCACGAGATCGAAATCAAGCTTGTCCAAGTTCAAGCCACCCATCTCCTCATGGCTCGCCACAAAGGCACTCTGGAAATCGTGACGAAACTCCGGCAGACTGGCGGCGATGCGAGCACGCAGCTGGTCGGCTAGAAGGTTAGTATCACAAATCTGCGTGTGCCGGGCTTCTAACTCGTCCTTGAGCAAGGTCATCAGGAGGCGCCACTCCATCAGTTTCCGCGCATCATAAGGCCTGCCAAGGCTTGCACACAAGGCGGGAACGAAGTGGACAAAGGCGACGAGGCGAGCACGCAAGGCATCGTCGAGGGCATCCACGACCGCAAAACCTCGCACGATGTCGCGTCCGCCTTCAGGCGTGTTCAGGAAGAACTCACCTTGGTTGATTTGACCTGCCCCTCTGCTCAAAAATTGGGCAACGACGACACTCGCATCGTAGATCTCGGATTCCAGGTAAGGGCCGAATGTGAGGGTCTCGAGCGTTGTGCGCTGTTCAGATCGATCTTCTCGGAGACCGGAGAGGCGCAGAGCGCGGCGAAACAAGTTTCTATGGGCCCGCGATCCAGGTGCGGCGGTTCGAGTGCCTGGCGGAAGCTGGTAATCAGCACGAGAACGTTGTTGAGGCAGGTCGAAGAGGACAGCGCGGCAGATCGGGCAGGTGTTGACACGAGGTCCGTTCAACCAGATTTCGATGCACTCTCTGTCGAAGATGTGAGCGCAAGGAAGGCTGACAGCATCAGTCCAGGGGTTGTAGCAGATGCTACATTCGTTCTCTGGTGGATCGGCCGAAGCAGTCAGCCCGGCGAAAAATTCAGCGCGAGATGGCATTGTCGTCTTGGGCACTGATGTTAGCTTCAGTAGTCAGGGGTGCAACGGGGTTTTTGGTCTTGATGCTGTAGGATATTGAACGTTAATGGTGATTGGGGGGAAACTGGTGTGAGGAAAAGGACACAAGGCATGTAGTGTATATATGGACGCAGTCGAGTATTGCTAGGAAACAAAGAGAGGTGGTCGACACACGACACACGACACAAAGCCATTGTGAACAACATCTCTTTGTCTGGTGAAGGCTGAGCAAGACATTCACAGCAACGCCTTCGAGAAATGTCTGCGGGCGACCCTGGCCGTGAACACCAAGGGACGGACGTGCTTCAACCCACCTGAACCACCCCTTTTCGTACCATCGTAACCTTCTCTTTCCTATTCCGGCTGTAAAGCGGCGCCTCACATCTGATACCGAAAATGCACATTCTCCAAATCCGTCACATCCTCCTCGGCAGCAACCATGCCCATCCTTCTACACTCCTCATAACCCAATCCCATCTCCCTGACTTTCTGATCCCTCCGCTTATTCTGATACCAATACCACGTGCGCCACAACGACATGAGCACGATCTCGAGCCCATACACCACCGCGCAACCCGTCAAGCCGGGGATATAGTCGGGGGCGTCTTTCTCCTGGAAGAGTTGGGCGCCCGTCGCGTTGCCGGCGCAGTAGCCCATGAAGAGGCCGGTTGCGGTGATGGATTTCTTGGTGCGGCCCGCGACGTTGGAGGGGAGCATGGTCCACATTACTTTTGGACTGTTAGTCAGGGAGTGTGGTGGTGAGGAGGCGGAGACTTACATAGCCCTGGCAAGGTGCCACATGTGGTCATTAAGTACAGTCCCCATCTCGTCCACAGCATGCTGTCTTTTGGAAGGAGAGCAAGGCCCATCATGCCTGAGAATGCTGGTAGGAGGGAGAACATCATCCAGTAAACTAGCCTTCGTGTCAGCGGTCTTCTTTTGAACAACATGCATGGAATGGGCTTCGCTTACATCTCAGATTCTTCCACCGATAACACGTAAACCCCGCCAAAAGAAACCAACAAATCGAGAATGCATGCTGCGGAATCGTTTCCTTCGTAAGGGTCTCCTCAGACGTGAAACCAAAGGATTTGTACACGAGGTTGCCGAACGTCGTGGTGCCGCCATTAGGGATGGCGAAAGCAAAGTTGGTGAAGAAGAAGAAATAAGTCTGAGGATCCTTCATGGCGGTTCTCACTTGACTCCACTTCCACCCCGTGTGTTTCTGACGATCGGAGCCTGTCTGGTTAGAGACGACACGCGCGGCTGCCATTCTCTTCTCGCGTTCTGACAGCCACATGACCTCGCGAGGGGTGCCAAGGATGAAGAAGACGAGAAGACCCAAGAAGACAGTGAATCCACCCAGGAAGAAAGCGATGCCTCGCCAAGCTCGCAGGCCGGAAGGGTTATCGTTGGCTGCATCGCCAATGGCGTAGTTGATCAGGCCGGTGACCACGTTCATTCCCGCGTTGGCTGTTCCCCAGATTATGGCGCGGAGGGTGTGTTCTTTGGTTGTGTAGAAGGAGCCTGTGATGAGGAGGAAGGTTGGGGAGATGGTGCATTCGAAAACTCCTTGCAGGGAACGTAGGACCATTAAGCCGGCGAAGTTGTGGGCGAAGCCGATGCAGAGGACGATGATGCCCCAGATTATTGTGCAGACTCCTAGGAAGCGACCGACGTGGAACTTTTGGATGAGGTAGTTTCCTGGGGCTTCGGCGACCATGTATGATAGCTGGAGGCATGAAAGTGTTAGTTCTTTGTTGCCAAGTGGGCCGGGGTGACGGATGTACTCACGTAGAAGATCGTCGTCAACCACGAAAACTGCTGCCCCTGAAGGTTGGTATCAGTCCTGATCCCAAAGACCGACATGACACTGGTCGCCGTCTTGTCTGCTTGCTGCATGCCATAGCAGAACCACATCAATGGCAGCAAACAGAGATCGATCTTCCATAGCAGGCGGCGGTAGTCCTTTTGCGTGTACTCATGCTCGGCTTCGACGGTGTCAAGGGCGATCTTCTCGCCCACGATGCCTTCTGAGATCGAAGGAGCCGTGGTGACTTCGACATCGTCCTTAGTCTTTCTTGCAGTCTTCTCTGAGTCCACCGTCGCAGGTTGGACAGCGTCGGTATCGTATGCCATGTTGAACGATGAGCCTCGGAGTAATCCAACTACCAAACAGTAATGCTCTTTCGTTGAGACGATCAAATATACCAATCGAACCGGACCGCACACCTCGTCGTCGTTCAATGCATGTTCAAGCCGGACAACGAATCATCGTTCGACATTTGGCCTATCTCTTGATATGCAGGCTATGGCCAAGCGAGAGCGAGACATCTCCAGACTCCAGTGTCGAGCCGCATACCTATCTCCAACTCGGCCTCCACCATGCCGACCCGTGTGGAGAAATGCTAATGCTGGGTAGATGGGCCTCGTTAAATGGTGTCATGGCGTGCGTCAAGGTCACTATGAGAGAGTGGAGTGGAAATTGGGGAATTTGAAGGGGTTACAGATCAAGATTTCAAGAGAATAAAGTGGAAGATACTTACCGAAACAGTTTTCCGTGATAAATGTACAAAATGTGCCCATCATCTCCATCCTACATTAGAATCGTCCCTCACGGTTCTCCGAATCACAAATCTGACACCAACCAGCGTCCAAATCGACGGATGGGCGTGAAGAGACGCTTCACGGACTTGAGCTTCGCCGTCCACTTGCCTGGCTGACCCAGAGGACCTCCATTCTCGACCACGAGTCGGTTCTTCTCGATCTGCGCAAGGACGGCCACGAAATCGAGGAGACACATGAAGTCCGCGCGAAGTCTCGCGTCCTCAAGACCATGAGGAACTTGGCGCAGGAATTGAATGCGTGAGACGTCGGGCAGGTGCTTCATCACCTTCCGCAGCTTGCTGAGCATGGCTTGTGGGGACGTGTCCATGACCCGGCCCTCGTTCTGCTTCAGGATGTTGCGCAGAGCTGTCAGCACCAAAGTCCAGTGCTCTCTCTGTTGGGCTGTGTATGGCCTGTTCTGAACTTCTGAGATTGCTGGGATGTAGTTGCCCAACATGGCGAATGGCGTGGCATGTATCACCATGTTGATGACACCCGTTCCAGCGATGGCTTGGACGCCGTTTCGGTCATTGAACCGGCCAGGGGCGAAGAAGCCACTGTCGAGCCACCAGACAGCAATCTCGTTGCCCCACATCACGTTGTCGAAGTCAACCGCAGTCCCGTCGTAGGGGCCAGTACCGAAGTTCTCGATGTTGTGAGCGGGACCACGCTGGCGCAGAATGTCGTGGGCTTGGTAGATGATTCGTCGTCGTAGTGGAATCGGATTGGTGTCGAATAGCTTCGTCTTGCACAAGGGGCAAGCGTCAGCCTCCCTCAACCAGTGAGCGATGCAGTCCAAGCAGAAGACATGGCTTGGGTGACAGCTGAGGGTCACAGGAGTCTGGAATTTCTCGAGGCAGATTCCACATTCGGTTATCGAGATGTCAGCAGGGGCTGGTGTCGAGATGAAACCCGTGGTAAAGAATTGCTCACGGGTGGGTAGGGTCGCGGTGATCTGGTTCGTCATGCTGTCGGTTCTCGTTCTTTGTCGAGAGGTGGTTGGTGGTGCTGGTTACTACTGTTGGGGTTGTGTTCTCTGAGTCTTCCGTTCGTCCTTCCGTTCAGTTCTGACGAACAGAACTCCAGAAAACCAACATCTTCTCGAGCGATATGTATGGATGGGCCACATTGTCCAAGTGTTATGGTTAACACATATATACAATGCCTTTGTCGTGTCAGCTCGACAATCTCTTTGTTCTCTCGCGGAGGAACTCACAAGCTCAGGACATTCACTCCACCCCCAAGTCAAGGCCATTCAGCATCGGTGTATAAGCAAAGTACTTGTATTGTGTATACGGTTCGTGGCCGTGGTAGTAGCCAGGGGCATATCGAGAAGGATGGCTTCCAGAAGGCCATCGAGGTTGTGAGGTCGGCCAGTGGACGCACAGGGAGCTCGAAGGAGGCATAGTGTTGGCCTTTTTCAACTCCTGAGAGATGTCATCCACAGCTCCAAGAGACTCGATCAATGTCCCAGCCCTCGAGATCTTGAGACACGCAACAAGCCTTAGGAAAGGCCCAGAGAGACAACATCAGCGTGATCATTAACATTAGGTACACCATCGCACAACCAGCCGTCGTCTCATCCCACATATCCACCGAATCCCCACACAATCCCACACTCCACTTATATATCCAGTCTCAAAGAGAAAAAAAAAGCGAATGATGTAGGGTATCTCTAAAACGCAGCAACGCAGCAAGCTGTACAACGCGCGAAAGAGAACAAAGACCCAAAACAAACGCCGTGCTGTCGAGGTCGATTCAGTGCTCAGCAGCAGCCTCTCCGCCCTCCTCCACCACCTCCAGCACTGCTGCTCGGTCGTCCGACTTTGAAGACCTCGCCCCAGCCTCCTCGCTTTCTCCTTCGTCTCATACTCCCCCCGTACCCGTCACTCGTCAGGCCTCCGGACTTGATACTCGAGCCTCCGTCGTCGTAGCGATAGTAATCCGCATCCCCGTACTGGATCCCGCTCATAGGATCGTCCAGGTCGATCTCCCCCAGCTCGATCTTCGTCAAGATCGTACTCGCCAGCTTGTTGAACACCTCATCCACGCCCTCTCCGCTCAGAGCAGAGACCTCCACGGCCGCAGGTATTCTATTCTGACTCGCCCAGTTCGCCGCGGTCGAACCACTCACAGCTCTCCCCGTAGCATTCACCGTAGCCCGTTGTTGACTCCCCAGACTAATCCCCATCGTACTGCTCCTCTGCAAACTCCCACCCACACTACTCGCTCCATCGTCCTCGACCAGGCTCCCACTCCACACCGCCGGCCTCTCCACCTGCTGCTCCTCCGCCAACCCCGCCGTCGACGCCTCCACCAAATCCGCCTTATTCCCCGCCACCACCACCGTCAACTGCGGACTCGCCAATGCCCTTGCATCATTCAGAAACGTCTGCAACTCCGCAAAACTCCGCTGATTACACACATCGTACACCAGCACTGCGCCCGCCGCGCCTCGATAATACGAGCGCGACACGCTCCGGAAGCGCTCCGTCCCCGCGGTGTCCCAGAGCTGGAGCTTGACTCTCTTGCGCCGGGAGCCCTGCACGCCGACCTTGACGATTTTGGACGCGAATTCGACGCCGATCGTTTGCGAGGAGAGGACGCGCCATTCGGATTTGACGAAGCGGTGCAGGAGGCAGGATTTCCCGCAGCCCGACGGGCCTAGGAGGATGATTTTCGCGAGGTAGTCGCTGTTGTTACCACTGTTAGTTTGTAGTTCTGAATGTGCTCTTGTGTTCGCGAACTCACTACATAGACCCCATCTCCTGGCCGCCCATGGCGGGGACATCGCGGGCAGAGGCGGTGGTGCTCGAGGTCGTGGAGCCGCGTCGTGGGCGAGGCATCGTCGCCTTGTGGTTTCCTTCTCGCAGGAGGGTTGTTGTAGGTGTGATCTAGGTCTGCACCAACATATTGAACGTTGGGCGGCGATGTTGGTGGTCACTATCGCGCGATACGGCGCAGGACGGCGAATGAGGGAAGCGCGTCTCGCCTTCGTCATGCGTGTCTTGGCATGCGAGCGCAATCACATGTCAGGTTTAGAGTTCGAACAAACGTGGGATGTTGGCAGGGGCGCGAATGATGTGAATGACAAAGAAGACTCGCCTGCCTCCGCGGATTCTCATTGAGAGGTGTATCTGTACATGATCCCATCCTCCTCCATCCCATAATAATGTCAAGCAAATATAATCCCTTTTGTCGCCCTATTCCAATGCAATCCGTTCCAATGCAAGAATCCATTCGCTGATGCTGGGTATCAGAAACCAGTCGCTCGCTTGTTTTAAACTCCTCCCAAGAAAAATGCAATCCAATCCAAACGAAAAAACTCCTCTAAAGTTGTATCCTTCTTTCCCTTACTTTAATGCGCCTCAAGCTGGGCCTCCGTCTTTTGACCCATCGTCATGCCGTCTCGTGGAGGTGCAATCGACCGTCCAGTAGTGGAGATGATGGACAGCTTGCGTGTAATCGCTGCCATGGCTTCGGCGTTGGTAGCCTCGGCCTCGTCTTCCACAGGTATATGTACCCATCGTCGTATCTCATTGCTTTTGTCCAGAATCTCGGCATCATTCGAGCCGGCTACCTCAATGCCAGCCTCTCTCAGCGTTTGCACCATCGCGCGGTTGTTGAGTTGCATGATTCGCTGAGGCTCTTCAGCCTTGGTTACACGCTTCGCAATCCAGGGGAAAAGCAGGCCGAAGTCCGACTGATTGAAGTGCTGGCTCTTTTGGACAAAGAACATGTGTGCACCATCGCCTCGTACAGGCGAGTTTGTGTTTGATGAAGTCTTGCTCGGCACCGACAGACGACTCTTCTGCGAGTTTGTTGTCTGCGATGGGGTAGTAAGGCCACTAGCCCTGCTACGCTGTCGTGTCAACGATCGCATGGGTGAGCGCGAGGTTTCGGATGCGTAACCCGAATCCTTCGAGGGCGACTCGTCGCGCAGTCGCGCCCAGTTTGGAAGTAGTCTGCCGCGGTCTCGTGTAAGTCGTGGAGCTGTGGATGGTCGCCGAGACAGTGTCGGCGGCGCTACGATATGCTTGTTGATGTTGAGATTGTCCTCCCAGTTGTAGAAGGCTTCTGACAAGACCGAGACAACATTGGCGCCAGCTGGTCCACCAACGGCGTACGTAGGAAGAGGCTTGTCCCACAGGAAGGTCTGGTCTGGCGAGCGCAGAGGGAGACACCACATGTCGAGTAGCAACGTCGGAGATTCCGGCATGATCTGGGACACCACAGCAGCATCCGCGTTGGGTACGATCAGAGGCCGACCGGCATCGGCAGGGCGCTCCTTGTGGTAGATGCTCTTCAGCAGCTGCACCGTGGTAGCCGCTCCAAAGGAGTGTCCAGCCCAGGTGACCTTCCCAGCTCGGTGAATGTCCAGCATGCTGTCGAACTGCCATAGCACTTCCACTCGCTCTTTGCGCCTCGTGCCGGAGTTGATGTCCAGGTTCTCGATTGCTTGACCTCCATCAATCTTCATCAGCGCCTCGAAAGCCATGCTAATCTCCCACATTCTTATCCGGAGCTGCTGGTCTCTGCTCTTGTACACTTCCGGTCCCGGCTCATGACTAATCTTGACGGGGTTGACGATGTGCGCTTCGCTGTTCTGGGTGGCGCGCACGTATTGGATCGGGCTGCTGCCATCACGGTGGTCGAGCGCAATCACGATCATGCCCTGACTCGCCAGGTCCCCGCAAACATAGCTGTAGGCATTGCGACTACCGGCCAACCCGTGGCTGAAGAAGGTCACGGGCCACCTCCCATTACTGGTAGGCGCATCCAACAGTCTCGCGTTGCGGTGCGCGGGTAGTGTGATCCAGTATAGTTGCTGTGGCATGTACGAGATGAGGTTGGAGAGCTTGGGTGACTTGACTCCAATGAAGTTGGCAAACGCTCTGATGGTCGCTCTCTGAGGCTGCGGAATCCATCGCACCGGGCGGTCTTGCTCGGACGAGCTTGGTTTCGCACAGGGATAGAAGATTCGGAAAGCTATCGTCGGCGCAGCGCCATCCGGTGCTTCTGAAGGGGAAGGGAGGTCGGCTACGGGTATTTCGACATCGACGGTTCCCACCTCGTAGGGGCCGTTGTAGTTGGGAAACGAGACAATGGGGTTCCAGCCCGATAGCAGCGAAGCCATTGCCGCCAGCGGGCACAGGTGGTTGTAGCGACAGCAGTGTTGGCAAGCCGGGGGTGTTGTTGTGTTGCGGCGCGGGATTTAACAGCAGGACTTTTGAGTTTCCAGATCTCTCCTGACGCCGAGCCAGGCAACGTCAGCCGCAGCGCACGTGCTGACCGATGGGTAGGATGCACTCCAATGCCGAACAACAAATGAAGTGAGTGTGGTAGGTGTTCGCAGGTGGATAGGAAGCGTGTAGCGGCGGAGGCGAGGGAGTAGAGGAGAGAGTAGGGGAGAGCTCCAGCAGCAGAGACAATTCAAGAAGTTGATCGTGTGGGCAGCCCAGGATCTTCAGGCACTAACGCTCACGTGCCGCGGCACTGACGTCTTTGTGTGTGCTAGCGCCAGTGGACTTTGCCAATTCAAGCAGCCGCACGCCACGACCGTTCATCGAAGAAGACTTCCTTCTTTCTGGCGGAGAATGGGCCGTTGAAAGTGTCGTGTGATGGCACGTAAACAATAATAATAGGGGCATGGCCAGCCTATATCCTGCTGCCTTCACAGCTATTATTTTCAGCGTCGTCGCATGCTGTACAACGCAATCGCTGCTGCAAAACCTGCAGACACAGCCTGCACTGGCCCAAAGTCAATGCTGCATGGCCAAGATCTCGGTCGCGCGAAAACTTCGTTTGCACGCCAAGGGAGGCTGTACTATACGACGACCACTGAAACCCGCCTCCTTCCGCGACTTGGGTTATGTGCGAGACGATCCCCTTGACAACAGCGCATACTACTCTTGAGGATCCGCGTACGGACATCTGGAAGACATAGGGTGTCCATCCTCAGCGCTTATACAGATTGCTTCTTCTTGGCCGTTCGCGTCACATGCACAACGCCACATCGCAGCGTCATACTTTGACATTCCTTTTCATCACCATCTTGGAAGACACACTGTTCGGGGATTTGGTATTCGATTCCGACAGCTTCGGCCAGGCGTGAATGTGCTCTAGGTTGTCAGCACCAGGATGTGCCGTGCTGAGAACGGCATGCTTCTCACCTGATGCTTGACTGACCACACTAGCGCTTGCCCATCCTCGCTCGCACACCTTCAACGAGACCGAGATGGCCTGGAAGAAGTGCAGAGCACCAGCAGCAAGCCAATCGTCGTCTAGCTAACACTGCTGACCACGGCCTGCATGTATAGCATGCAACAGCCCATATCCATGCCATCGCAGATGTCTCCGGCCGCCTGCTGTGCCCATATACCAACAACTGGCCTGAATGATGCTGATACCAATGGATTCAATGGCAGCGGTGATCAAGTCTTAGGTGCCGACCACATCCCATCTCATACCAGCCTCTTCATCAGCCAAGTGCATATCATAACAATGTGCTGGCACCTCTGAGACCGATCAACGGAAAGTCATCATCCCTGCCTTAACAGACGAACAGACTTCCGGGCCTGCTGTCCGCCGCTTGGTACCCATTACACTTTGAGGTATTTTCATGGGACAGTGTCAGCCTTACAACTTGGCAACAACTGCTACCAATCTCTCCGCCCTGTGTGAAGACCTTTTCGAGCACCGAAAAAGTCTGGCTCCATCTCCTTCTTCCACGGCCCGATGTACCAAACATACCGCAACCTTGACATACCGGCATGAGACAACCCATAACGGCCGTCCCAAACCTGCTTTATCGACGATGAAACAGCACGTTGACTGTCGTCAGAGTACCAATGGTCGGCCAGATGGAAAGCTCTTGACATGACACTCCTCATTTTACGCAAGATCGATCCCGACGTTTGAAGGATTCTGCTTTCCGGAAGCTTTTCTCCATCATAGCTTTCTCTCACCGGTGGTCCATCTACTACTTTACCCTTCACGCTATGCGCACCCACTAACAATACCTCGCCGTGAGGCTTTTCCCTTCCTCGACTTTATTCAACATGCCACTTCCAGGTGCCGAGTCGGCATTCCTCTTCTCTTGCCAAGTAATCAATACGCCAGCAGCAAGCCAGCAACATACCCAGCGTCCGAAGAAGAAAGCCTCATCGATCAAGCTGCGCAAGATGCCCTCTTTTGGCCAACGAGCTGCGAGGTATCTCGGGTTCGACTTGGACGAACCGGTCGAGGAGGTGGGACGAAGGTCACCAGTGCTGAAGCCTGAAGTGCACGGCTCGCTGGTATCCGTCGTAGAACAACAGCCATCAGAGCTGGTATGCAGGACCATGACTCAAGGGATCAAGCTGTACTGACGCGATCAGCAGACTCTGAGTAGCAGCGCATGTCCTGTCCCCAGGCATGGGAAAGCCAAGGCTACCGCGTTGGTGCAGCACTTCACTGTGCTTTCGCAGAGGTGATGGTCGTTTCTCCTCAAAGGAGCAGTAGATGCTGATGGATTCCAGCTTCTATCCAGATTCTCCGGCAATGTGCGCATGACAGGACACCAATCCAGTCTCTGTTTCGCGCATCGAGCTTTTCGACACTATGGCGGCCGATCTGATGTGAATCGAGAGCTGCTGGAGGGTGCGTGTCTCCCAGAGCTGTGGTGAATGGCTCAGAAATGGTTGGAAGTCCATCCCAATGAATGATGGGGCGGTGTTCTCGAGTCTGGGAAAGTGGCATGAGATGTCTTAGCAGATCAACAATGGTTAGCAAGAGCCCCCACAGGAGAAAAGTCTTCTTCATCGGTGTGTTATAATGAACGAATTTGAATTGCTAATGAAGCATCTTCTTTGATTGCAGTCTTTATAGAGTCCCCATCTAAGTGGCAGTTTCCGAGTTGGAAACCCACTTGCGAATGCGCAGACCAGACCAAGTTATCATCAAGCAGAATTTGGCCAGCGATAATCATGACGTCCTTAGCAACGGCAACGAAGCATGCGGCTTCGAGACGAGGCATTCATGGGATCCACCAAGACACGACCACATGACATTGTGACATGGAGCAGAAACTGGTGCGTTCTCACCCACATGCCGACAGACGGCATGGAGGCCCGAAGTTCCTCACGAATTGAATCCCTGCTCTCTTGGCGAGCTCATGCAGGAACATCTTGAACACCAAGCAATTCGACTGTCGATCGTATTCAAAAGCCAAACACATCTCGTACCTTGAAAATGTCTCCCAACTTCATCTTGTTATAAAAATCCCCTCCCTCCATCCAAAGAAGTTCCCCATCAACAACCTCACGTGGAACCCCAGTCCCAGCCTAACGAACAAATGGAGGCGGGTCTTCTCCGTAGCGAGAAGCTGGGCCTCCATTGGGGTCGACGCAGACTACGAAATTGTTCGTATGGAGCACCGAGGAAGGGCCTTGAACCACCGCCGCTTGCCGGCCTCACCTCCCCAAACCGAAACCGCGCACCACTCGCTGTCGGATCCACACCAGCAGCTTCGAAGCCGGCCATCTGACGAGTCGACGATGATCGATATGCGTTTGCTCTGGCACAGGCTCCGCCGACGCGCTTGATGGGGTGGTTGCTTCGCGGATATTCCGGCGAAAAAGAAGTTGGACGCGCGAGGTATAAGATGGAAAGGTAGGTCTCGCGGGAGACTTTTCTGTTAGGTCGCGCTCTTCTCCAATTCTTTGACTCTCCCTCTCTTCGACGCCATGCGATCTTTCGTTGCTACGGCCCTTGCGGCTGCTGGCGTGGCGAGTGCCTATGACTTCTCCAACCTCGCAGCTAGCAAGAACAACTATGGCTCTCCTGTGTGTGCCTATCCAGCCTGAAGACGATGGGTCATACTGATAGTTTCGACAGTTCCCAGACACTGTCTACCCAGACTTCGTCTCCAAGGATCCAGTCGTAGTCGAAGGAAGTAAGGAATTCCAACAGAGCCCTCCCAAGTACCCATCACCATGGACTGAGGGTCTTGGAGACTGGAGCGAAGCCTACGAGAAGGCTCGTGACTTCGTCAGCCAGCTTACTCTCACGGAGAAGGTCAACTTGACAACCGGTACTGGGTATGAAAAGATCTTCGATACACCCATACAGCATCATTGGCTGACATGAACACCCAGATGGCAACTCGAACGCTGCGTCGGCCAAACCGGTGGCATCCCACGCCTTGCCTTCCGCTCCCTCTGTCTGCAGGACAGCCCCAGCGGTATTCGATTCGCCGATTACGTTTCCGTTTTCCCCGCCGGCGTGAACGTCGCTGCCACTTGGGACAAGAAAGTGGCCTTTGACCGCGGTGCTGCAATGGGAGCGGAGCACAAGGGCAAGGGCGTTGATATCCAGCTTGCGGTACGAATACGTTGACGATTGGAGAGTGGAAAAGGGGCTGACAATTTTGGCAGCCTGTCGCTGGTCCTCTTGGTCGTGTCCCAGAGGGCGGCCGAAACTGGGAGGGCTTCAGTCCTGACCCTGCGCTTACTGGTGTGATGTTCGCTGAGAGCATTAAGGGTATTCAGAGCGAGGGTGTCATGGCTTGCGGAAAGCATTACGTGAGTCTTCTTGCTGCCTTGTTCATTCTCCGGTCACTGGGCTAACTTCTGACTCAACAGATCATGAACGAGCAAGGTTCGTGAGGCTTCTTCGTGCCTTGTTCACTTTCCGGTCACTGGGCTGACCTTAGACTCAACAGATCATTTCCGCTTAAAACCGGACTCGGAGGCCTATGGCTTCAACATCTCCGAGCCTTTCTCTGCCAACGTCGACGACGAGACCCTCCACGAGATGTACCTGTGGCCGTTCGCCGACGGAGTCAAGGCTGGTGTTGCGTCGATCATGTGCTCGTACAATCAGGTCAACAGCAGCCAGGCATGCCAGAACTCATACCTCCTGAACTACATCCTCAAGGGCGAACTTGGTTTCCAGGGCTTCGTCATGTCTGACTGGCTCGGCACACACTCTGGTGTTGCCAGCACGCTCGCCGGTCTCGACATGACCATGCCCGGAGAGACCACTTCATACAACAGCGTGGAGACCTGGTTCGGCGGTAACCTCACCGCAGCAGTTCTCAACGGCACTGTTCCCGCTTGGAGACTGGACGACATGGCCATGCGTATCATGGCTGGCTTCTTCTACGTTGAGCGAGAGATCGAGAGAGATCCTATCAACTTCTCCTCCTGGACCAAGGACACCTACGGGTACGAGCACTACTACGTGGGCGAAGGCGGTGTGACCCAGGTTAACGACCACGTCGATGTTCGTGGTGAGCATGGCAAGCTCATTCGCCAGTGGGGTGCCGAGTCCACTGTCCTGCTCAAGAACGTCAACGGCGCTCTCCCCCTGACTGGCAAGGAGCCCCTGACCGCGGTCTTTGGCTACGATGCTGGTGGCAACCCAGACGGTCCAAACTCTTGCGAAGATAGAGGATGCAACAACGGCAGTCTCGCAATGAGTTGGGGTTCAGGAAGCACCGATTTCACCTACTTGGTCACTCCGGACACTGCGCTTCAGAACGAGGTCGTCTCCAATGGTGGCGCTTATGAGAGCGTGCTCAACAACTACGGACTGGAGTACATTGGCGAGCTCGCCCGGCGCTCCAACGTATCCATCGTGTTTGCCAACAGCAATGCTGGCGAATGGTACTTGCAGGTGGACGGTAACTTGGGTGACCGTAACAATCTTGTAAGTCAGCCCCCCACCACACGAAATGAGAGACGAGACTAACAAGTACTCTAGACATTCTGGGGAGGTGCTGATGAGGCTCTCGCGAGAGTTGCCGGCAACTGCAGCAACACTATCCTCGTCATTCACTCAGTCGGCCCTGTAGAGTTGGAGAAATACAAGAATCACGAGAACATCACGGCCATCCTCTGGGCTGGCGTGCCCGGCCAGGAGACTGGCAACGCCATTGCAGACGTCCTCTCCGGCCGTGTCAACCCAGGAGCCAAGCTCCCCTTCACTATCGGCAAGAATCGCAAGGACTACGGCGCCGACGTCCTCTACACGCCAAACCACCCAGTCCCCCAAATCGACCACCAAGAGGGCAAATTCATCGACTACCGCGCCTTCGACCTCCACAACATCACGCCAACCTACGAGTTCGGCTACGGTCTCTCCTACACGACCTTCAACTACACCGACCTCAAAGTCACCAAAGTCAACACCTCGCCCTATACCCCCTACATGGGAGAATCCAAACCCGCCCCAACCTTCGGCAACTTCAGCAAGAACCCAGCTGACTACACCTTCCCCGCCAACTTCACCCGCGTCTCCCTCTTCCACTACCCCTGGCTCAACTCCACCAACCTCACCGCCGCCTCCGCAGACCCACACTACGGCCTCCCCGGCTTCATCCCAGAGAACGCCACCGACGGCACCGCCCAACCGATCCCCAAAGCCGGCGGCGCCCCCGGCGGCAACCCCTCCCTCTACGAAACCGTCTACCGCGTCGAAGCAACCATCACCAACACGGGCCCCGTCGCCGGCTACGAAGTCGCGCAGCTGTACATTTCGCGCGGCGGTCCGTACGACCCCGTCCGGGAACTCAGGGGTTTCGAGAAGTTGTGGATTGAGGCGGGCGAGTCGCGGACGTTTGTGTATGAGGTTACGAGGAGGGATGTCAGTTCTTGGAGTTCGGGGGAGCAGGATTGGTATGTGAGGAATTCGACCAAGAAGGTGTTTGTGGGGGCTTCGAGTCGGGATTTGCCGCTTGTGGCGACGTTGTCGTGATGAGGTGGGATGATTGATGAGAGAGAGTTATGATGGAGGTGTATAAGTATTAGGTACTTAGCGTTGCAATGGACTTGAAACTTCTTGCCATCTGTCTGTTGTCGTCGAGCCACTAACCTCTAGCATCAGACACCCAACCCAGCCCTTCTGACCCCTTGTCCTGGACCGACCAGACAAAGACATTGTACCTCAAAAGCCCTTCCAATGACGCGCAGCATTCCCATCCATTCTTCTTTGTCCTCAGTCCATGTGTGACTGTCGTCTAGGGTGCGGATCAAGAGGGGAAGCTTCAAGTCTCGAGATGGAAGCGGCAGTGATGAATGAGGTGAGGTGAGAAGTGATCCTATGGGTGATGTGGAGAGTGAGGGTTTGAGTGATGTAAGGAGTGATGTGAAGAGTGAAGCCAGAAGATAATTCGGGGGTAGGGTTAAGCAGAAAGGGAGCAATCGTCTCAAGAATAAGAAGAACAAGGCTGGACTCACCACTAACAGTGATATCTTCTCCGTAGGACTCTATTCCCAGGAGGACCATCAAACAAGCCCATTGTTGTGGATAGGCCGACAAAAAGATTGTACCAAGGAGACTGCAGCTGAAATGCCATTCAAGATATCGGCACTTCGAGCATGATATATAACACACACATTGGTATCTTGTTCTTTCGTTTCTTCTTCACCAGTTCCTTCCACACACAGGCCTTCTGGAAAGGCGAACGCTATCAAACATCTACATCGAACGACTCCAGCCGACAAAACTCCAACCTCAGAACTTTCGCCAACATGTCGTTCACCTGGTCAGACATCTCGACTCTGCTGCAAGAGAAGCTCGCTCTTCTCCCCCAAGGCACCACGATGATGCTCATCGTCCACACCATCGGCATCCTCATCGCGATGCCTTACTTCATGGACATCTTCGTGGCTTTTTTCGAGAAGACAATCACCTACATCTTGGTGTATCGCCCCTCCAGCATGCGCAAGTCAGTCGAAGGCAAGGCTTCGCCACCGAACAAGAGCATCGACACTGTCATCCAGACTCTCGGAGGCAGCCCTCCAGGTAAGTGCAGCATCTGTTTCGAAGACTACTGCCGTCCAGTGAAGATCAAGCAATGCGGCCACATCTTCTGCGACTCGTGTATTCGATCGACGCTGGCGTCAATCTCGCATTGCCCACTCGATGCTCGTGAGCTCTTCCCGGACAAAGCCCAGTCTGTACAAGACCAGATCCAACTCCAGCTCCAGCAAGGAGAGTGGGTGCACCCAATCTCGGTGATGCCGTTCAGCTTCCTGATTCCCGGCATAGGAACAGCAACGGTAAGTCTCGCGCTTCTGCTCGTCGAAGCCCTGTTCAAGATCCAAGGCAACACCATCTGCACCGCTATCGCTCTCGTTGTCATCGCTCCCATGCAGAGACTTCTACTCGCTCGCCAGATGACTATGCTGCTCGTCTCAACGAATGCACTGCGCTTCAAATTGGGGCAACCGGTTCGCCTACAGGGAATGTTCGAGATCTACTGGGCGATCCAGTTCATCCTTACTCCGTGGGTCTTCGCTGCTGGAGCGCAGATGATGCTCATCGTCGCCTGCTGGGTACCTTTCCTGGGCGCCATGAAGGCGAGGTTTGGAGTCAACCCCACGTACATGATTTCTCTGGCGGTGCCGCTTGAGTTGAGCCTTGTGATTCTCCGCAAGCCGATTCAGTTCAAGGTCAGAGCAGGAGAGCCACAGATCGTGATCCCTGAGTTGTGAAGATAGCCAGGATGGATGAGAGGTCTCATTTGCAATAGCCATATCCCGGATATGGATCGAGGGTTCCAGACTCCAGTGGGGGTGAAAATACATGTAGGATTAAACAAATCAAAACCATCGTCAAAATATGCTCATCCGTACCATTCCTTTTGTTCCTACGAATAGGCTACATGTCATATCTTCATAGCTCCGGCCGTTGCTTCACGAGAGCTGGTTGCGGCTCGCCGTGAACATCCTCTCTCCTCCGTCTGCACTCATCGCTCTGAGCACAGTTGACCGGGCCTCCCTGCCTACGCTTGGCTATCTCTGCTGCTCCTCGAGCGGTCGCGAAGGTGAAAAGTGATTTCCATTCATTGCTTTTACTGGCAACCATGTTATCGTGCTCAAGGACGTCGAGCACATTTTCGTCTCTCACGAGGTCGTGCAATGCTTCCCTGACAGCCGCCTGAAACCGCTCATTTGTCGCTGAAGGACCAGTCAAGAGAAGTTGAGTCACGTACGGCATGTAGACATAGCGCTCCAGAGTCTTCGCAAGCTCTCGGATTCGATTGCTGACGGCGGTCCAGTACTGTTCGGTATCGTCCGCAGCCGGCAAGACAAGTCTAACAAGTCCCAGATCCGGGTCGACAAAACTCGCGGATACAGATCCATCCTTTGCCGTCTGCAGGCCTTTGATTGTACCGCTCAAAGCCTCGAGATTGAGATCAACATGTAGCACACGTTGTTCTGGGAACTTCCATTCCTCTCGTTCGCATTCATATGCGTCTGTGTAGGTATGACACAAGCCTTTGCCGTAGCCTGCGTATGCAGCCGACGTGGCATAGAGCTGGTAGAGTGGATTCGGGTCATTCACCTTCATCAGGTTGTTGATCTTCAGATAGTCGAAGACGTCGCCAATCTCTTCGTCGGTCAAGGCGATGTGGTCTGGAGAGCTCAGCACTGCCGCGGCGACAGCATGCTCATCGTCCAGCCAAGTTTGTGTGGCCTTGATGAGCTTTGATACGATGGAGGCAAGAATAGCAGTCTCTGGAGTCGCTGGACGGCCAAGAAGTTTGTTCGACAGCCTCTACGCCCGCTTCCTCATGTACTGCAGCTTCTCCCAGTTGGTGTCAAAATGGTCAGGTACGCGATTTATCGGTCCAGTCGCGTACTTGCGCATAAGGGCGGTGAAGTCGGCATCGCCTTCGATCAAAGCAACGTCGTAGAGTTCCCATTCATGGAGCCTCACCACAGCAGTACTAGGTTTTATTGATCAGCTCACACCTTCAGAAAGACGAGTCGACTTCTTACTTACCCATGATCAATCTCCAGTGCCAGTCCGATTCCTGGCGCTCGTAGTTGGTCGACACTGGGACACTCTTCGCATCTGGGTAGAGGACTGGGACGATAATACTCCTGCGGCTGCACTGCCACTGGCCCCATGAGGCTTGCTGCTTGTGCACTTGGTGTCGCAAAGCAGAGCAGGAACGAGATAGATGCAATGAGCAGCCAAGTGGCCATTTTCGCGGACATGAGAGTTGTCGATATTTGCGGCGAGTTTGTTTCAAAAGCGTACAGGCGGAGCGTTTGCTGAAGTGCCAGAGAATGTTCAGAAATGGACATTGAATGGAAGATCAGTATTATTGACTCAACCTTGTCGCACGGGTCGCCGGGCTAATAGCCTGATACGTTTAGGCAGCTGCGAGGGTATTGTACCCTCGTCGTCCCGCTCAAAATGGAATGCGTAGCATTGTTATCCCTCTAATTCCTATAACAAGTAGCCTCTCAATCATAGTTCGCAATGCTTAGACAGCTCGAGAGTGCTGGTGATAGGCCTTCCACTTTCAAGCGTAACAAGGAGGTAAGAAGCCTTGTGTACGCGTGATCGCAAGGAGGCTGAGAAAAGGAAGAAGCCTGCTATGAAGGCGGCGAATGGAGCTCTTCACATAGCGGCTGTCCACCCAGGATATCGAGCAAGCAGTGAACCCAACTTTCCATGTGGTTCTACACCCACTTCTGTAAATGCTGTTCTTCTTTGTACCCTAGACCTCTGTGTTTTTGCTCCTGTTTCTCATTGGATCCTGCTGTTGACTGCAGGAAAGGCCATCCTCCGTATCTGGATCTTCGACACGACGAACAACCAGGAGGCGGTCAATCCTGACAACGCTAGGCAAGTCTGTTTCATTGGTCAAAGTGGATATGGGAAACGAGATGCCAGGTATCGGTTGCGGAATATCCAAAGAGGCCTGCATGCAATCCAAGTAGGGCGCTGTCATCAAACATCGTATTCGGTCCCGTTTCTTCATCCTGAGCTGACAGGTGGTATTATGGCAACCTCATCCCCTTCTGCAATGCTCATGCCCTTCGCGCTTTTACTCGCTTCTTCTTCCAAGTCGACATAGTCGAGATTGACCGTCAATGCACTACTGGACAGGACTTTCTCCTTGATGCCTGGGTACCTTTCTTCCAGCTTGTCGAATAGCTGGACTACTGGGAGCGGAGCTGGCAGGAAGTCGTACTCTTTTCTTGTGTACGAACTTGATGAAGCGAAGTAGAGGAGCGTGAAGTGTCCAGCTGGAGCCTTCGGACTACTCATCGTGCCTGTCTTCTCTGTAAGTTAGCCTCCAAGTAACGTCTTCTTGGTTTGAGGTAGATCGTGGAATTCGGAGTGTGAATCAGGAATATTAAGGTGTCCCCATTGCAAGGTCGGGTAATACATGCTATATATATTGTATAACATCATGTGATGGTGAAGCGAGTGAATGAGCTTGCAGAAACATACCTGTTTGAATGGCTACCTGACAGCAAGTCAGGTTGATTGAAGAAGAGAGGAAGTTGAAGCAAGCTAAAAGCCAAATCCTCCCGAACATGATGCCAAGACTTGCACGTGACGGCTGCCTGCGACTTCATTTCCATTCCAAACCCGTCAACATCTTCCCACTCACTTATACGAACAAAGACGAAACCCTGAACTGTTGCAAGGCATATCACGCAGTCTGTCGCTCTTTCAGCGACTGCAAATATGCCGGCGACTGAACCCACTCCCCGAACGTGGACACTCCGTTTCAAGCACCATCGAACAACGCTTCTGGTCGAAGTCGATCCTCTACAGCACCTATCTGAAGTCCGTGCCGAGCTTCTCCAAGCCTTGGATGAGACCAATCCATCAGGCGAACTCAATGGCCAGCAAATCCCAAAGAACCCAGACCAAATCCAACTTGGTCGAGCTGTCGACCGCAACAACTTGAATCTGGGCTACGTGACGATCGAGAAGGACGAGGAGGGCTCGGAGGCCAGTGGAAAAGGAAGGGGCAAGAGCACTGCCGGAAGTGGCACGAAGTCGTCGGCGGCTCAGATGAAGGAGTGTCCACAAGGCGCCGGTTTGAGGAATGCAGATGTTGTTGCATTCAAGTTCAAGAACGGAGATCAAGATGGTGGAGAGGGTGTTGAAGGAGCAGAGAAGTGGGACGTCAAGATTCCAACTATGGAGGAGACGTACGGCGATGAAGATGGGCAGCAAGACGAAGGCATTGGATTGGATGAAGGCTGAGAAATATGGCCGAGATACCACAAGCAAAACGACAACGACAACGAGATGGCAGGACATCACAATATGGCAGGACATGGTCCGTCAGACTGCTCATCCAGTGGTCGAAGACATGAAGACCGCAATGTCGGACTATAGCTTTCGCAGTGCACAAGGGAGACGGCAGAGCGGCTACCCCATCGGACGTCGCTTTCCTTTCCGGGCATGACAGCGGCAAGGTGCATCTCATTTCACCTGTACCATGCTCTTGCACGACGACGCTAACGGATAGCTTCCAGGAACATGGCCCAAACCAAGCCGGAAAGGACTTGACATCCCCGACGTCACCTCTCTATCCGTCCCTGAAATACTTCTCGCCGACTTCGCAGACGCCGAAGAAGACAAGTTATAGCATTATAACTTCATGGAATTGAATGTCAACGCCAAGGGCTTCGTGATTCACACTGCGTCACACGATGTCGTGGCGTTCTGAGTTTGCTTGCAATGTTTGCTACATTTGGAAGCTTCTGACTGGTCGAGGAGTTTATCAACCTTAGTCGGCACTGTCCAAGACATTGTGGGCTGTTGTCAACATTCTTGCAAGGATCGGTTGACAAGAAGCCATTGTCCGTGAGGCTGTGTCTGCCGAGGTCAGCAGTCGTTTCTTGACACATCTTCTCTCGTCCCTCCCAGGTCATCCTTTGGTCGAACGATCGTACACCACCACATGCAAAAAGGCGCCCAGCACCGTATCGATCGTAATGCGCAAGTTGTCATAATCATCCAGCACCAGCAACTGCCAGACCGGATCGTTCCAGCCCTACGCTCGCTCGAAACCCATTTGAACCCGAGCCGGCGCGCGCGTAGTCGAGACGAGCGAATGGATGTCCTCTAGTTGCCTACTCCGTCCGCTCCACGCCTCCGTCCCTCCCGTGCGTACTGTGCAAGTACCGACAGGCTCAGAACGAGTTCGGGACTCGATCTAGCCAGAAGCAAATGGCTCTGTCTCACTACAAGCTTGGCATAGCTCTTCGATGTGCTTGACTTGACAAGCAGAGCGCACAAAGCACGCAAGGTGCGACATCCTCTTCACAATAGGCCATCTTGCAAGGCCCGACATAGTGTAAGCTATCCCGCAGTGCAACGAGGGCCACCTGGTTGAGCACCCTGTGAGGCTGACGATGTGTGCGGTGTCACGACGGTCGTGAGATCTGCTATGGTCGCCGGTGATCACTCGGCGCATTGCCTGTCCTCAGTGATATTCCCCTACGGTGCGCGAACTCCTGAATGAGCACGCAAGCGGGCAGAGTTGCAAGAACGCAGCTTAGTATCGCTCGGAAAGCGACTCATGGCCACGGTTGGTGCCCATCCAAAGCGTGGAGCCAGATCGAGCGACTCTATGGCATATCTAAATCGGTGATTTCAGTAGATGCAGCCCTTCGCCGCAGTATCCCGATTCCACGGCTCGAACGCCCGTGGCCGTTTCGTGACTGGTCCAACCTCACTCCAGTTCGCATTGGTGGCCATGCACTCGTGCGCGCCCCAGCACGTTGGACCTGACTCCGCACCCTCAACTCACTGTCGCTATATTATGTGGACTCCACAATGAGTCGTCTCGTGCGCAAACGATTGCTTCTCGCCTCAAGCTGACCAGATCCAATTGCTCGCCTGTACAACAAAGCCACGTTCCAGCGAGTTTTCCTTCTTGCAAACACTGGGGACTCGCGCACCTGCAATCTTTGACGCCCTTTTGCTGATGCGCATCGTCCTCCTGCCGCCTTTGACGTCTTGCATTGGGCTTCTATCCTGCCAAACACGCTAGAATGTTGTAGCTATCTTCAAAATGGCTCTGCTATGCTGATTAGCTGCTGGACTGCCGACTACGAGCCTTCACTCATTACAACTTGCGACGGGCGAGACTTTTCGACAACAATCAGCCACTGACCAGCTGAATAACTTCAACTTTCACACCGACTAGAGAACCAAATACAATCCAGCCAGCCACCCGTCGAACGAGACCACGACCAATACATGCCCCTCACGACATACCACTACACCTGCGGCCACACCCGCCGCATCCAAGGCCGCGAATGCCGTTGCGTCTACACCCAGCTCATGCGCATCAACGACACAAACTATTTCTCCGACTCTCACAAAGGCTACGCGCCTTTCGACTACTCAAATTGCCACCACAACAAGAGCGTCTACAGAACTTATGATTGCCGGGATTGCAGACATTACAGGGAGAGACTGGCGGCGATGGTGAGGGTTGGGGAGAGGCCCGCTTTTTGGGATCGGTATAGGGGTGGGAGTTGGTGGTATTTGAGGGGGCGGTGAGATGATGGGAGAGCAGGCAAAACCTGCAGCGGTTCAAACGTTTGGGGGATCAACGCATGAATATTTCAGGAACTGCTGAAGCACTTTGTTGGGGTCTTATATCGCATAGGATGGGATGTTTAAAGACTTAAGATATGACCGAAGGCAATGCCGGAATGAGTGGGCATGTGGGACGAAGTTTGAGCAAGCGCTGAGTTTGCTCTTGACGTGCATCGCATCGATCAAGACTGAGTTTCTAGTATCGAGAGCCGCTTTAGCTGTGCTCAAAAGCATTGTAGCCGATATCATTTGACAGCTCATGCCTCGTTCTAATCAAGTCGAAGTCCAATGTCTGCCACTTTCCCCTTTTTCCCCTAGCATAGGCACGAACCCCTTTCGACTTCAACAAGGATAACGCGAGGTCCTTCAATGTACTTCCATTCGCTCCGAGTTCCCCTACGTTCCGCAAGCCATCCAGTGTCTCGTCATTGCTTACGAGCCGTGCACGAGTATACTTTTTCAACACTGGAACTTCGTTGCCTTGGGCTGATCGATCCTTCATATGTCGAGATGAGCATCGCACAGACACTGTTTGCCAAATTCCAGTTGTCGCAGGGTCCTGATGATACGGACTGATGGCTTGTGCTCACCCCAATCCTTCCAGACTCAAGCCACCAAACCCCTCTTGCATGACCTTCTGCACCGCAAGGTGATTGCCAGCCGCGAGAGCAGACTCAGCTAACCCTCCTCCAAGGTCTAGCTGATTCAGAAGAGCATACAAAGCTCCAGCAATGAAAGTGTCTCCCGCTCCAACACTGTCCACGACTCTAAACCCTTCAAGCAGTTTAGCCTTCCCAGTAACACAGTGGCCATCTCTCAGCCTGAGCACAGCAGCTCCATCAGCACCCCACGTACAGAACAAAAGACTAGCCTTTGGAAGAGCCGGAGCCTGTGACCGGAGTAGTTCTTCAGCCGCCTGATAGCCTTTCGTCTCCGCCCACGACTTGGAGAAGAACACCACATCCGCTTCCGCAGAAATCAGTTCCAGACCCTCCCGATTCGGCTTCTCGACTTCCGCACTGAGCAATACGTTCGGATACCGCTCTTTCAGCCATCGCATACACGCCACGGAAGTCTCGACTTCGCGGCCTTCGAAGTGGAACCACATTCTTCCTCCCCCTTGACGGGATATGCTCGTGACTCTCTCCTGGAATTCCTCGACCCTCATCTCGGGCAGTTCGTTGTAGTTGACAATCGTCCGGGATCCCGTCGCATCCGCTTTGATGATGTAGCTCGAAGCCGGCTCCGTGTGGTCCTCGCGGTAGACGCAGTGCTGCGTGCTCACTTTCTCTGCCAGGGAGTTCCTTACAAATTTCGTCCCAGGAGATGTCTTCGCGGGTAAAACGCACAGGAGTAGCAGTTCATATTCCCTGCCTTCGGCGGGTTGGAGTTGTTGGAGAACTTCGAGGCTGTTCGCCACGTTTCCGCCACGTCTTCGGTCTAAGGATCTCGCGCGTAGTTTGTGGTCTTCTTGTGGAAATTGTGGGACACTGACTGTTGTTAGTGATGTTTCGATAAAGGAGTTGATGGAACGACCTCAGGATGGTGTCAACGTAGCAAGCGCCGACCATTATCAGCTTTCGTACAGGCGGCGAGATATCCATTATCAAAGCTTTTGGGGTACAGAGAAGTATGAGCAAGTGTTGGCTTGAAGTGAAGAAAATGTGAAGTTGTTGTGATGTTGAACATCGTCACAGGGCAGGGAAGGACTTGTTGAGCTAGGCGTTCATCAGCAATGCAAACTTTGATGGATTTAGTTTATATTTGATTAATCATTGCTTAGCTATGTTCCTACCGGTATGTCAGGTATTCTGGTCGTCAGCTATAGCTCCAGATGAATTTGGAAACGATTGCTGGGAGGTTTCTGGTGAATTTGTTGGCCCGTTATGACCTCGCACTCACTCATTACACTCACGGTCACCCACATCATGAACCAACTGACAAGCTTGTGCATAAGTATGTGAGCATGGTCGTTCATTGAGGTCTTGAGATACTGTACGCTGAAAGGCTAATCAACAGAGACACGGTTCTAGTGTGGTCTCCCGCCATATCAAAATCAAGATGCAGCATACGCCAGATAACGCCTTCCCCGAAGCATGGGCTCGTTACATGGCCATTTCGGCTTGCAGCTTCCGTAACTCTTCTTCCTCGTCGTCTTCGACTGCATGTTTGCTTTGTGCTGTGTCCAGGTCAGTATCTGCGTGGTAGAAGTCTTCTGTAGATCTCCACTTACGCTCTCCCACCGGCTGGTTCGGTAGTCGCTGTATCTGGTCGGATACTGGCACTGTTCCAGTCTTGAGCATTTTGTTGTCCAGCTCCTCTTGTTGGAGCTCTGCAAGCTCTTCGTCTAGCTCGTCCTCGTCTACGCCTTGCATGGAATTGCCCTGTGTAAGCGCATCCGCAATCTCCTCCCCGATCGCATGTTGCTCCCTGAGATCTTCCATAGTTTGATCGACCTTCTCAATTGATAGGTCGCCGTGGATCTTCTTCATGGCTTGCTGCGCGCCCTTCATGGCGTCGAGTGTCTCCTTGTTGATGTTCGCCGTCTCGATCGATGAGATCTCTCGCTCTACTGTCATCATTTGGGCACTGGTCTGCTCTAGCTGATGTTCGAACGCCTTCTTCCTTCGAAGTGCAGCTTTGGCAACTGAAAAGCAGGACTATCAGCTTCCACACTCTTATCTCGGCCATTCTATAGCCTGGCCTGATCGTGTGACACTTACTGGCTTTATTCGCGCTCACATTCTTCCTCGCTATCGCGTCTTGCTCGTCCATCTGATTCTGAAGGTGCTTCTCTCTCTTCGACAGCATTTCCAAGGTACTCCTCAAGCGTAAGATGGCGTTCTTGGGCGCATCCTTCTTCGCGGTGGCGGTACCGCCGAAAAGGTTGCCCCAGCCCCAGCCAGACATGTTTGCTTCCGAGTGTACTCGCTTCTGTGGATCTGAATGCCGTGGAAGTGGACGATGGCTTTTGCGTGACTGCAGAGATAGCAGTCTCTGGTGAGGGCCGGGGTATGGGGAATCGTCGTCTAGAACGCCGCAGAATCTATCACGGGAGTAGGTGTCGGAGCGGAGGACGCGGTGGGGTGGGTGTCGACAGATTCACAGGTTTGGACGCTTGGAGAGTCAGGAAGCAGGTGGCGGTGGTAGGTTCGTTGAGTATGAGGATTGTGTCTGCTGCCTGAGTGTGTCTCGCGAGCACATGTCTTTGAAAGGTGTGACGTCGAGCGGGTCGGCCCCTCCAGTAGTCTACTTTGGGAAAGTGTAGCGCCGATCTATTTACCTCGCGTCCTTCACGACTGCTCTTCACGTTCCGTGCATCTGCAAGGCATCCTCAAAGCCTGATCTCAGCATATAGGCAGCACGATGTCGCTGAATGATCAAGACAACTGGCGGCCAGTGCCAACGCGACTTGTGCAATTCGACCAGGTGCAACAGCAAGAACAAGGCACCAAGATTCGCTTTCTGGGCTGGTCAGTGCAGTCATCTCCGAGCAGCTTACAGGAGTGACTTACAATTCACGAAAGTGTTCAGGCGTATCAAGGCGAGAGCGCGACTCTCTTGCTGAGCGGCACTCATGTCATCTCAAAGACGGCGAAGCAAGTTCACGTGAACGTCGAGGAAATACTACCATCAGTCAACCACGAGCTGCTCCAAGTCGGTGCTTGGTTGAACATTGTTGGATACGTGAGAAAGCCGGATTCTCCTACAGATGCTCCGCTATCCAAGTCTGGAAAACAGAGGCGACGAAGCACTCGACTGAAACCTACCGTGGTCGACGCCCTCATGATGTGGACTGCTGGTGCGATCAAGCTCGACGACTACAGCTCAGCGGTGCGCAGCTACCAAAGTACGCTTCCAACAGACTGAACCATGCTACGATGGAGAGTTGAGCCTATTTGCGTCTGTATTAACCAGAGGAACGCGAGCTCGACGGAACCGTCGTGTCGCATCACGATGAGAGCGTGGAATGCTCGAAACTCGTCTGTCACGCAACGAAGCGGGAATTCCAGCCATATTGAAAACGGTTCACGGCTGCCTTGAGCCGGGGAGCAGGAATAGCAGACCTTGCATTTTCGACGCACCACAGGACAAGGCTGGTTAAGAATGCAACATTGATTGACGCATCAAGCGCTTCGACTCGATTTAAGCCGACTGAGGCCTCGCGAACGGAGGATCGCGAACGGACGGTGGAGTAGTGTTCCAATGCCTTCACCAGCTCCATTGCTCCCGCTGAAGTCGAGCACCCGGCGACGACAGAAGATCAGGCAGTGCTCGGGTTGGCGTCCGTCTCCCAACCCGGGAGCAATCGAGTAACGCTGGCTCTGAACTCGGCCACATAAAGAACATCTGTGCTATCCCAAAAGGAGCTGATTATCTTGTTTTGCTTTAAATTGAACGTCATGACCATCACCAGTGAGCTACCTCTGCCATCTGGAATACGGCGCAGAGCGCGGTCACCTTGGAAGACTAGGGAAAGGACTGCCCCATGCGTTCCGCTTTGACCCAAACCACGATGATGGACGTGACGAACAAGAATGTTCTACTGTCATAAGTCTACGAAGGGAGCCTTTTCTGACTGCTAGTTGGGTTCAACATCTCTTTCTTAAGGCCGGAATAAGATCCGGACAATCGTACATTTGCAAAGTCCGGAACTCTCTGGACGCCATGGTCCAGGATGGAAAGCCTTGTCGTTCCAGTCTACTTCCATACTTGCTCCATGCAGCTGTTGTTGAGAATCTCAACTTGACAACACCACCTTGCTACGCAGGGCTATCATTTCCCTACAAAGCGACCATATGGACGCTCCTCCTTCGCCCACAAACATGATTCGGCCCGTAGGTGCATCTTTCGGCACATCGCTACGCATGCACTCGCGACTCTTACATATACACGAAGTAGGCACCGCAGTACCCGCATTGAGCTATAGCAGCAACGCGCCTGGAACGGAGAACGCTTAAGGCCGGGCAATTCAGCCTGTGTGACATCACCCCGAACGAAAGCGAAAACCCGCACGTGGCGATGGGGTTCTGAAACGGGAAAACGAGGATCCCATAATGTCCATATATAAGCGTCACTAGGTATCGGCATCGTTGTTTTTGTGGAGGCATTGGGCAAGATTGAACCGCTTCTTTTGCTTCGACCTCGCTTGACAGGACGATCGACCAATCCATTTGTGGCCGATTGACACACCACCACCAAAATGCCCTTCCAATACAAAAAGGTCCTCGTCCTAGGAGGCACGAGCGGTATAGGCAAAGCCATGGCGGAGAAATTCCTCAACGAAGGCAGCTCCGTCATCGTCGTTGGCCGACGAAAACAGAACCTCGAGGCCTTCGCACAAGAATATGGCAAAGAAGAAGGCAAAGTCGACACGGCCGTCTTCGACATCACAGACCTCAAAGGAATCCCCACCTTCGCGAGCGAAATCACGTCCATACACCCGGATCTCGACTGCGTGTTCCTCAACGCGGGCATCCAGCGCCATCTGAAATGGCAGGAGCCGGAGAAGGTAGATCTGGATCTGATGGAGAAGGAATTCACGACGAATTATACGTCGTACATGTACTTCACGAAAGCCTTCCTCCCCTTCCTCCAGAGACAAGCACCGAGACCTACCTCGCTGATCTACGTCTCCTCCGGCCTGGCCCTCGTGCCCAACTCGTACTGCCCCAACTACTGCGCCAGCAAAGCGGCGCTGCACCACATGGTCCTCGCGCTGCGGTTGCAGATGAAGGAGATTGAGTCGAATGTCAGGATTGTGGAGTTGTTGCCGCCGGCTGTGCAGACGGAGTTGCACGATGACAAGCATCAGCCGGAGTTCAAGGGCACTGGTGCGGCGTTTGGAATGCCACTGAACGACTTCGTGCAGGAGCGGCAGAAGGCGATGTTGAGGATGTATGAGGCGCAGAAGAGTCGGTAAAAGCGCCTGTCGGCTGGTGGGATCAGCTGGGTGCTATGCCATTCAAAGGTCGAGCGTTTCAATATTCCATGAGAGAACTTGTCTCTGATTTCCACTGGCTCTTGCCAAAACGTCTCCAACCTCCCTAGGCAAGACGAAACAGTATGTCCCAGCCGTCTGAGAGCAGTCTTTGATCCTGGGTATGGCGAGCAGAATGTAAGCCTAAGCCTTCACCATCTCTTGTCAGCTCCATTGAAGTCCCTCATCACGAGGTAGCATCGCATATTGGCGGTTGAGGCATCTCAATAATGCCTCTCGTCTACAGCCTCGCGCCCCGGATCGTGCTTCCAATTCAGGCACGTCTTCGGCTGCCGACCCATCGAATGCGTACGCTGATGCCGACCTGACGTCCAAAGGAAAATGGCTCGCGCGGTACGATGCTTTCCCGGGTGGCAATGCGATCGTGTTACGAGAGAAATATCCAAAATACCGCAGACGCCCTTTGTTGAGGCTGTTCCGCTGAGGGAGTACCAAGGGAAACCTCGGAGTGAGCAGGGTAACGAGGCAATGTAGGTATTCTTGTAGCTGTCCGGGTCTTGGTATCGCATCCATTCGGCCAACTGGTTGGCCCACGGCGAAGACAGATAGGCCAACGACGAAAACAGATGTGGGAGTAAGCAGCACCGCCACCCGGTGCGCTTTGTTCTTACTCGATCCTCCGCCGTTGTCAGAGTATTTGGGAGGTTCCCATTGGCTGCAGATAAGGAATCGAGCTTGGCGCAACGCTGCTGCAGGCGGTGGCAGGGATGACGGACAGACTTGTGGCGTACAGAAACTTGGGGGATGCGAGCATTATCCCGCGACACGATGGATGGATGGCTGTGAGATACGCGTGTGTCGCGTGAGAGCTGATGCTGTGAGACAACTGCGTTGAAAGGGTTGTTGTCAGGAGGCGGCGCGGCCAGGAGGACTTATTATTATGGTGATTGAGTTTGGGGAAAAAAGTGTGAATCGGTTCCTTGCAGAGATGGATGTGAGGCTTGTTGCCCCGCCGTTTGGGCGCGGGTCCTTATCGAAACGGTGGTGGTGGTGGTGTGGAAGAAGTGCTGGGATGACGTGGGTCAACGTGTGGCAGAAGGGTCTGCGGTCTGGCTAGAACAGAGATGGCTATAGCGAAGACGAGGTGCACCCAATTGCCATCAACATGAAAGTCTTACTCGGGGCACGCGAACATGTGTTCGTGATAAGAGCCAGCCCGAGCTAGTCCTGCTGATATCGCCCGCCCAGAGTTGAGGCACTCCATGAATAGCAGGCTGTCATCAGACAACAAAGAGGCTCTCGCTCCGGTCAAAGGAAGCAACAGCTCATCTCGCTCGCATCCATCCCCCTCGCCCGGACCCTGCAGACTCTCAGACAACAAAGTGACCTTTGAAAGAAGCAAAACCAGCAGCAGTCTTTTTGCTGTTGCTGCACAGTGACGGGCGATCTCCCTCTATCGCAACGACTAGACCATCCTTTTGCCCGTCGTTTCAACAGCTCCTCCCACGTACTTCGGCGCCTCGCAGCAAACCAGTTGTTCGTGCGGCAACGCTACGCGCGGCAATTGACGTCGAGAGTGGTGTGTTTCTTCTATCTCTGCGCTCGCCGCCTCGGAACATCAGCCACAGCAGCCGAGACCCCTGCGGCAGAACTGTTGCTTCAAAAGACACGCGAGCGCCGCCCACTCATCCACTCCGCCCTACTCACTACTACTCACTCTCCACCGCTCAATCGCACCCATTCGCCTTTTCTACAGCTGTGTCTGTGTCGTATCGACCTCCAATCCTACCATTCCTGACCTCACTCAGCACTGAAACTGCTCACATCCTTCAAAATGGTTAGCTATTCACGAAAAGCTGCTGGTGACTCGAACAGCTAGCTAACAAGAACTCTCAGGCCGACCCCGTCTACCTTTCGAATACTGCCAACGTGAGTCTTCACTCTCTTGCAAGTGGCGACCATTCACTGACAGAGAACAGCTCGAGAAATACCTCAAGCTCCCACAGCGAGGCTCGGTGATCGCCGAGTACGTCTGGATTGATGCCTCCAACGGTGTCCGCTCCAAGTGCAAGGTAAGCATCCTCTCGTCCGTGAATCGCTCTTGAGGCAATTGCGGGACATTACGGCTTCAATGCTGTGAGTCAAACTTCATGGCCTTGTCGACCAGAAAATCCAGCGCTAGGGTACCAGTGGCTTGACGATTGCCGCGTTCGGCGTGAATCGGTGCGCTAGAAGCGCTGCACACACAACTTGCTTGGCCGAGGTCATGGCAGGGCCCAGCGGCGAGAACGAAGCATTGAAGCGTTGGAGAGAGTGGGAGTTAGACTGAATACTGACAAGACATCTCGCAGACCCTCCCCAAGAAACCAGAGAGCGTCAGCGAGCTTCCAGAATGGAACTTCGACGGCTCTTCAACAGGCCAGGCACCTGGCGACAACTCAGATGTCTTCCTCCGACCCGTTTCCATGTACCCAGACCCCTTCCGCCTCGGCGACAACATCCTCGTGATGTGCGAGACCTACATGTCCGATGGCAAGCCAAACGCATACAACTTCCGTCACGATGCCGCAGTCGTCATGGAGAAGCACGCCAAGCACGAGTTCTGGTTCGGTCTTGAGCAAGAGTACACCCTTCTCGACACCACCGGCTGGCCATACGGCTGGCCCAAGAACGGCTTCCCAGCTCCTCAGGGCCCATACTACTGCGGTGTCGGTGCTGGCAAGGTTTTCTGCAGAGATATCGTCGAGGCTCACTACAAGGCCTGCATGTATGCCAACATCAACATCTCGGGTACCAACGCCGAGGTCATGCCAGCCCAGTGGGAGTACCAGGTCGGACCATGCGAAGGCATCACCCGTAAGTGAATCTCAAAAGAGTACTACAGGTTCCAAGCTAATAAGATCACAGTTGGCGACCAGCTCTGGATGTCCCGATTCCTCCTCCACCGTGTCGCTGAAGAATTCGGCGCCAAGATCACCTTCAACCCCAAGCCAATCCCCGGTGACTGGAACGGTGCCGGTCTGCACACCAACGTCAGCACAAAGGAGATGCGTGAGAAGGGTGGCATGAAGCACATTGAGAAGGCCATGGAGTCGCTTGCCGGCCGCCACAAGGAGCACATGAAGGTTTACGGAGAGGGCAATGAGGCTCGTATGACTGGTGCACACGAGACCGCATCATACGACAAGTTCACCTGGGGCATTGCCAACCGTGGCTCGTCTGTGCGTGTCAACCGCGATGTCGCAGAGAAGGGCTTCGGCTACTTCGAGGATCGCCGACCTGCGTCGAACGCGGATCCATACCAGATTACTGGTATGATTGTGGAGACGGTGAGTACAAACACAGCGTAGAGAAGTTGGACAAATGCTGATATATTTTCCAGATCTGCGGTAAGGTCGAGGGCGCCGACGTCTTCTCGAGTTCGCAACAACAGCAACAAGAGCTCGAGATGGTCGTCCCCGTCGCGAAGCCATAGAGTGGCTCTGCACGTCTGAACACACCAACACTATAAACGCCAAAAAGATGATAATACCCCTTCGCAAGCAGAGATGTTTGTATCTTGGTTCCCTCAGCAGATGTGGAGCGCGGCAGCATGGCGTGATGCGAATTGAGGCTCATGATTGTGCTCCCTGTTTCTGCTGTCCCTAGCTAGATTGCTCGCATGACGAATCAATCAATCAGTTCGAAGTTCAGTCTGATTATTCACCTTTCAAACTCAATTCAACTTCCTGTTATGATCTTGCATGTGGGGCGATTCCACTCGAACGCACGTGCATCCGCGTGATTGACGTGAAGCATTCCGCATTTCGAACCCGAGCTTCTTCTCTTTGACACTTTCTAAACAAAACACCGCCCGTATGTAACGGCTTGAAAATCTCGATCGCATCACTACCATGTCGACTCCGACAGCGTCAAATCAAACGCCGCAGCAACCTGGTTCCGCCTCGAAGAAAGCTACCGGCCATGTCACCACACCTTCACACCTGGGCCTCGCATCCCCCGCTCCTCGTAGCGTGCCATCGCCTGCAGCGACGCGCAAAGACCATGCAGGAAAGACACCGGTCAACCACCCCACTGCCAGCTCGACTGGCAGCAAGACGCTCGGCAGCACACCCATGGTACCCAATCTGAGCCAGACCGGCATGAGCTCCTCACCAGGCGCACACAATGCGAGCTTCGGCACGCCGAGCGCTCTCGCTGGACTCGGCGTGGATCTCGGGTCGACTACGCCTGGCCAACTGAGTAATCTTCTGGCAGGCGGCGCGGCGATGATGCCTACCATGAGCGATCTGGGGTTGAGCTCGAGGAGTGGGAAGAAGAATGAGGACGAGGAGCGAAGGGATAAGATGAGGCGGGTGTTGAAGAACATCGGGAAGAGAAAGGGAAGAGTCAGCGAGCAGGGCATCAGACGCATTGGGCGGAGACTGGGACTTGATATCGACTTGGATGGGGAATCGGAAGAGAGGCCTCATAAGGTGGGGAATCGCCCGATTGGCCTCGCCGGTACTCAATTCATGATTGATCTCAGTCTGAAGCAACAAGTGGCACAGAAGGTGGACGTCATCATCTCCAGTGAAGGTGCGGATCTTGGGGAGTTTGCAACACCAGCGTCCGAGGTTCTGCTCAACGATCTCAAAGTGTCAGACGGGATCCAGCTGCACTCGAACCTGGACCGCTTCGCGAGGAACTTGAATCGACTATCACGCCTTGACATCCTCTGCAAGACTGGCAAGGTTAATTGCTTCAATGCTATCTATGGTCTCTACAAGAACTTGAAGAAGCTGAACGAGCTGGAGATCGAGGCGGTCAAGGCACGACTGGGGAGTGATGTCGATAATGTGGATGGGAAGGCACACGATGAGGTCCTGCGCAAGAGAAGTGGGAAGCCGACGATTCATGCGCGAGATCGAGTGGGCCTGGCGTTGGAATACTGGGCAGCAGCGAACTCATCCTCAAGTGGGCACCATGAGTCCAAGATGGAAGTCGACGGTGTCGAGAACTCTCAGTTAACCGCCGACACTCAGTCAGACGTTCACAGCCTCCAGATCGAAGTGGAGAGTTGGCCTGCGCCTATGCACACTGCGCTGCGGATATCCGAGGCTTGGCTTCCAGAGACCTTTGATATCCCTGATCCAGAGTCCGGCGAGAGTCTTCCCTGGCAAGATCCACCGCCAACGTATGTGACCGAAAGCGATGGACGAGGCAATGTCATGGCTGTGGACGGCACCCAACAGGTACCAGACCTCAGATTTGTTGCGAATCTAGACCCACCAGTCGTGTTGCCTTGGAATATGGTCAACGTCCTGTCCGAAGCTGGTATCGACCTCCCGCCCATTGGCCAGATTCCAGACTTCTACGATGCTTCATTGAACGTAGAGACGGGCTCTGTGACAGTACCCTCTGAGCCCATAGAAGCTGAGCAGAGCGTGCTGGCGTTACAGGATGGTCAAGAGAAGGATGTGCTCCATCATTACATTCTCGATGTCTCGAAGCCCGACCATGGCTATAAGCTTGAGAAGTTGTATTTCTCGCATCCCAGGCAACTCATCAGTCTGTTGCCTGTCTTGCGACAGTGGGCTCAGGGGGGATCTCTGATACACAGCTGCTTTGGCGACAAGCAGGACAACACACCCAAACCTCAAGTAGCAACCAATGGTGTCAACGGGAAACTTACCAATGGCCATGCGAACGACCTACAGTCCGACAGCATGGACCTGGACGACACAAACGACCCCACACACGACAAGCTGACGGTAAACATCGGCCTGTCCGTCCTCCCACAACCCACCCTCTCCGTCACCTTCCCGGAGTCGACGTCCCCGAAGATTGGTAACACTATCTTCCAGATCATGCCGAACGCCAGTCTAGCCGTGACGAGCTTCGAAGGGATGGACGAGATCAACGAAGCCCACAACCCAGACGGATCACCGAGCGAGAAAGCGAAGAAGATTGCGAGGGCCCTGGAGAGCTGTGGAGATTTGGGTGTTTGGATTGAGTGGATGAGGCTGAGGCGTTGAAGGTTTTGGGGGTTGAGTTGATGGGAATGTGTTTGGATACCGGGCGGGGGTCGAACTCACGGCGAAGACAAAAAGGGGAGAAGACGATATGCGAAGCATGCAGGTCTGGTAAGACTCCTCGATTCGAAGAGACTACCTAAGCATGGCACGCTCAGCGCGGGCTTCCACCTTTTCTCGAAATTGTCACAAAAAGGGAAGCCCCATCACATCCCGGGAGGTGGACGGGTGGTGGTGTGCTAGCCACCATAAATCTTCTGATTTCGCTTTGATTGGAGGTTGAGCTACTTCCCTGAGAGAGAGAGGATTAGGTGGGGTGTATGAAGACTCATTTCGGTGTCCTTGCTCGCATGCATGAGTCAAAGGAAGGAGACTCCAGCTCGTGAGAGATGCCTTTTTGGGACGGATGGATGGGTAGATGGGTGGAGGGCGAGGCACATGACAGGAGTGGAAATGGCATGAAAGCGATCACGTCAAAAAGGAGAATTGCATTCCCCATGGGGTATCTTGTAGACGCAATCCGCCGTTTCCGCTATGCTACACAACACAACCACCTCCCATCTCATCTCATCTTTTCCACAATACCATGTTCCATCTCAAGCAGCAGCTGCTGCAACAGCATGCCCATTAACCATGCCCACTCCGAACTCCCCCCGTCTCGTCCTCAGCCTGTCCCTCTTCCTCCCCACCGCACCCCTCGACGCGATCTGGAAGTCCATCCTATCCGAGACGTTCTCGACGCCGTTTAGGTTCAGGGGTCGGACGACCTTCATGGCGCCTGTGCCGACGCTCATGCTCTGGCCCATGATGATACACTCCGACACGCCTTCGATGTCGTCTTTCTTCATTTTGGCGGCGGCTTCGAAGAGATGGTCGGGGGTCTTTTCGAAGGAGGCGAGTTGGAGCACGGAATCTCGCATCTTCGCCAGGCCGAATCGAGTGATGCCGAGGACTTCGCCTTTGTAGGTCATGACGTCCGCTAGAAGTTGCATGTGTCGTGGATCGATGTCCATACCACCCATGACGGAGGAGATTTCGTCGATGATGGTCTTGCGAGCGGCTTCGATACCGAGAACGTCGCGAGCTTCCATGACGTTGTTGGATTTAGTCTTGTAGCCGTCGACACCTTCGGTCGTCATGCAGGCTTTGAGGCCATAGCCTTCGACGAGGACAGAGATTGGTTCTCTGCCGGTGTGGTCGGACTTGTCGTCCTTCTTGATGATGGCTCGTTGTGCGTCTGGGTACCCTTTCACCACGACCTCGGGCAGTCTGCGCTTGAGGGTGTGCAGTTGTACGAATAAGACTTCAGAGTCGTCGTTGCTGGAATTGCGGTTCTTCGCCGTGGCGCTCCGTCTGGCTTTTGAATCTTTCTCAGGCACGTTAAGCAGTACCCGGATATGCTGCCCGCTGGGTGAGGCTCGAGCGGTCACACCCATCGCCTTGAAGCCTTTGGTCCTGTCGATGGCTTCGGTGATCTGCCACATATTGATGCGCAAACCGAGGTTCTCAATCTGTTGCCAGTTGACTCGCATGTTGATGTAGCAGCCATGGGAGTGCCATACATCTTCGACGTAATCGACGATATCGCCCAAGTACGTCTTCTCAATCAAAGCCTTGGCGAATCGTCCCGCCATGTCTTCGTATGGTGAGTCGAGAGCGCAGGTGATGACTGGCGTACTGATGACTTTGCTTGCGTTTATGATTTCCTTGATACGTGGCACACCCTGTGTGATCGACATACCAGCGACACCAGCAAAATGGAAAGTCTTCAAAGTCATCTGGGTACCGGGCTCTCCGATGGACTGCGCGCCAACGGCGCCGACAGCGTGGCCAGCTTCCACCTTCGACTTCTCAAACTTCCGCAGACACAGCTGAAGGAAGCGCTCCAGGGCGGACTGCGATAGCTTGAACGTGTTCTCAGTTCCTGGCAGGCGTTTCTGCGTGCTGACCATCTTCTTGACCTGGTCAAAGATGTGCTTTGTTACGTCGTCTAAGAACTGTCTGCTGTACTCCAGTTGATCTGTGGACTTGACACTTTGATCGTCATATTCGAGCGGTTGGTTGTCTTCGGAGACTCTGTTCAATTTCGCTCGCTCCTTGTTCAGGGTTTCGTTCACGTAGAGCTCGACCTCTTTCTGGGTCAGTCCGCGCTCGGCATTGTCCCACGTACTGGTAATGGCGTGCATCCAGGTACGGTTGAAGTTGACAGGCTTGGCGCTGCCCTCCATGTCAACAGGATCCAGGCCGTCGTCTCCAAACTTCATCTGGACAACACCAGACGAAGAGTTGCGCACAGTCAAGTCGTACTGCGCGCTAAGATCTTCCAAGCTCTTCATCAAACGACGAGACATGTAACCAGTCTCAGCCGTCTTGACAGCGGTATCAACCAAACCTTCTCTGCCAGACATAGCGTGGAAGATGAACTCGGTTGGCGTCAGGCCGCTGAAGAAGCTGTCTGCAACGAACCCCTTTGCGAGCGGATCTCGGCTAGCCTTGGGGAAGTGTGGCAGGGTGCGATCTTGGAAACCTTCCAGTACTCGCTTTCCACCAATAATCTGCTGACCGACGGCTGCAACCATCTGTGAGACGTTGATGTTGGAGCCTTTTGAGCCGCACTTGGCCATGGTGAGAGGTGCGTTGTACTTGCTCAACTCCGCGAAACAAGCGTCACCACACTGCTGTCGAACCTTGCTGAGAATACCAGAGACGAGGATCTCCATGGTCTGTTCTTCGTCACATCCAGCACTGCGTTCGAGCTTGCCCCTCTTGTACTTGTCAATGATCTCGTCACACTGCTGGTATGCCGCATCGACCAATGCTTGTTTCCGCTTCACTAGCTTGTCGCTGGGATAAACGTCGCTGATGCCGATGGAGAAGCCTCGTTCACCTAGCCATCGTGCGCTGAGCTTAGCAAGTCTTGTCATTGCAGCAGCGGCATAGTCTGGTCCGAAATCTCGCATGATCACATAAAACACGCTGTCCTTCTTTCCGTCTCCAATGGTGGCTTTGTCAAAGGCACCGCACATGGTCTCGCTGTTTCTGATGACGAGGTAGGAATCGTTTTCGACCATATCGTTGATGAAACCTTCTCGAGGAGGCGCGAATGACTTGAGCTTCGCCTCGAGATTCACATTCACCGGGTAGTCTTTGTGCGGCTTCATCAACATGTTCCACACTTGCTTTCCAGTCCACAGACGTTGAGGCTTCCAGATTGCAGGAGGTGGAATCTCAATGTCGTACGCCTTGCCGGTGTATGGATCCTTCACCTGCATGCCAACATACATAAAGTTGACGATCTGAGTGAACTCTCTTCGATTGAGGAAGAGGTCTTTCTGGCTGACGAGGTAGGCGCCAGTGATGAAATCCTGGATGGCGGCGATGATGGGAGTGCCGTTCTTGGGTGTGGCCAGATTGTGTTTTACACCCATAAGTTCGGTGGCTTCTGTTCGAGCTTCTTCTGTTTGCGGAACGTGCAGGTTCATTTCGTCTCCATCGAAATCGGCGTTGTAAGGATTGCAAACACACTCATTCAAACGGAATGTCCTCCAAGGTCGAATCTTTGCTCGATGTGATAGGATGGAAAGCTTGTGCAGTGACGGCTGCCGGTTGAAAAGGACAATGTCTCCATCTTCCAAATGGCGTTCTACAGTGTCGCCAATCTCGAGTTGATCAGCAACCTTAGTCAGGTCTCCTCTGCTGCCGACCATGCGTAGGGTGACGCGGCGCTTGTCGCGGTGCTTGACGATGAAGTTAGCACCAGGATGGACCTTATCTCCTCTTCTGATGCAAGCCTTTAGCTTTTCGTAGTTGTGCTTGGTGACGCGCTCAGGGTAGGTCATGTTGACAGCAACGCGAGCTGGCACTGCCACCTCATCAATGGCCAGGTTAGGATCAGGAGAGATGACGGTCCGGCCAGAAAAGTCGACACGCTTTCCAGACAGGTTACCACGGAATCGACCTTGCTTGCCCTTGAGCCGCTGGCAAAATCCACGCATCGCCTTGCCGTAGCTGCTGTCTTTACCGAGACCTGGTATGTTGCCGTCAATGTACATGGCGATCTGGACTTGCAGAAACTCCCACATATCCATGACTTTTGAAAGAGGCTGACCAGCTTGAAGTGCTGCCACCATTAGGCCGTTGATGTGAATGATGTCGCCCAGCTTGTTGGTGATGTCGTCTTCAGTGCTTGAAGTCTCTTGTGCAACGGAAGGTCGAATGGCGACAGGTGGAGCAGGTATGTGGGTCCAAATCATGTACTCAGGTCGTCCTCCAGCTTGAGGATCCATGCCCAGCAGTTCAACATCTGCGTTGGGGACCTTTTTGAGGATGTTGAGCGCTCGCAGTGGGGTCAGATCGTCCAGAGCACGCTTCATATGACGCTCGACCTCTGGATTGGCCTTCTTCGCCTCTTCGAAAGTCTTCTCGAATGCCTGCATATCGTCTGGCTTGACCTTGCTCTTTGCATTTGAGTTGTTGTATGCGGCGTATTTGTTGTGAAACATCTTGATCGGATGGCCAGCCACCTTTCTGACGGGGCCATTGTATGCCGAGCAATGCGAACAGACCTTGACCTTTCTACAATCGCCAGAGATCTTCTTGATTATGACATCTTTTCTCAGGCCATCGAGACCCGGCCGCCTCAAGGACTTCAGGTAGATTCGCTTCTCTTTCTCTGGCAGCAGGACCCGACTGCAGTCCTTGCAGACACAATTCAAAGCCTCAATAATCTTCTTCAAGTATCCATAGTGAAAGCACGGCAGTGCCAACTTCACATGCCCAAAGTGACCATTGCAATCTTTCAATCCCAAACCGCATGTCTCGCATGTTCCGTTCTTAGCGGACGTACCCAGCCGGGTGTCGAGAGGACCATGGCCAGTGATTGTTCGGGGGGCGCCGGGTCGATCTGAGATGTCGTAGAGGTTGCGGTCGCCGACTTGGACAACTGACTGAGCGACGACTTCGGGGGGACTGAGCAGGCCAAACTGCAGTGACTTGATGCGCTTGGGCACCTGGTCGACGACCTGCTCGTTGGAGGCGGTATCGCTGTGGTCTTCCATGACGGCGATACTGGGGCGTGTTGCTACCGAGAGGTGTTCATGTCGTCGTATGAGTGCTGAGAGCGGTTGCACGTGAGAGCTGTTCAGTTGTTGGAGTCAATATTGATCACAGTCATTCATTCAAGCACATGCTGCCGCTGCTAAAATTCGCGCGACGAGGTGTGATTTGCGGGGTCGGACGCTAGGAAAGCACGGACGGCCGTGCCGCGATAAGCAGGGATCAGCATATCAGGTGCCGCATCTGCCTGGTGATACTATCAACGACGAGCAAGAGTCACTCCTCCTCTCAATCAATCAATACTTTGACGAGCTTCTCACCGAACCTCTGAGGAGCTGCAAATAGCCCCCAAGGCAGCTGTCACACCGGCCAGACTGCTCTGTCAGGGAGCTGTGGTTCGCAATCGCGCGTCCAAGGAGAGCCAGCCAGCCCGGAGCTGCCCCTCGCTGCTTGCTGCTGGATCACCACTCACTCACCTTGTCACCTCACCTCTTTTCAACAAGTCACTGACACCCACCACCAACTCCGCCTGTTGGTGCCACATCAGCGCCGCACACGCCAGCAAACCCGCCTTGCACCACCCGCCCGCTCCCTCTCACCATCACCGCCAGCTGCCTCGCCGCCGCCGTCGCATGTCGTCGCCCGCCGTCGACTGCTGCCGTTGACGTCGCTTGCTCGCGAGCTCCCTTACTGACCGGAACATCACAGTCTGAGCCTCGAGCACCGCAGCCATGCCTCCTCTCTTCAACCTGGGCCCCTTCGGTCTCTCCAACAACACCAGCACCATGCAACCATCCACCCGTCCGTCGGCCTCGCCATATGGTGAGCTCTGACGTCCAACTCGCACCTCGACGATAGCTAACTGCCCTCCAGCCGTCGCCATTTCCCTCACCTCCAACGTCTGCCAGGACCGCCGCGTCATCACTCTGCAGCCAGGTGAAGGCGTCCAGATCGGTCGTGCCTCCAAGTCCGAAGTCAAGAACCTCCAGCCCGCCGACGACAACGCCCTGTTCGATTGCCCTGTCGTCTCTCGTCAGCACGCCGAACTGCGGGTCAGCTCCTATCAACCTCGCAGCGAGCAAGTCACCATCACGGACCTCGACAGCCTTCATGGCACCACGGTGAATGGCCGACGCATCGAGGCCCAGCGCAGCTTCACCTTGAAATCAGGTGACGTGATCAAGTTGGGCGAGCGAGTGACTCGAGGTGACGGTACGTGTACGTCCAGTGAAGGCTGTACGACCCTCGACACTCGTTCTGACTTTCCACATCTAGACACACACGACGGCATCTCTGTCACCTTCAGACGACTCGACGACATCTCCACCAACCACTACCAAGTCCCCTCACCATCCGAGCCCGAGGCCTCTGACTACGAGAGTGACGTGGAATCCGTCCGCAGCATTGCGAGAGACCCATCGTCCGCCCACACCACACCTGAGAGCAACAAGATCAAGCTTGGTTCGCAGGACCAACCCATCTTCATCGCCGAATCTGTGCCAGCTCCAGTCATCGACCTTTCTAAAGACGAGCAAGACCAGAACGCTATGCAACCAGCTCAGCGTCACATCATCCCAGACACATACGAAGACGACGAGTCTCTCGTGGCGGAAGAAGACGATGTCGACGAGGGTGCCTACGTTGCTTCGGACAATGAGTCGGTGGACCTTGGTAGTGTCCAAGCGTCTGAAGACCAGTCAGTCGTCCTGGGTGACGATTTCGACGACAAGGAAGACGACCAAAACATCTTCCCAGATGATGACATCTCCGACGCCGACCGCTTTTCGGATGGTGAAGACTCTGGTTTCGTCGCTCCAACCTTCGCGCCAGATGATGACTTCACTGCGCCGGTAGAGAGCATCCAAGAGCAGGTCGCCGAGCTGCGTCCAATCGACCAGTTCAACACCATGAACAACCAGGCCCAAACGGTGAACAACTCTTTCACCGAGCCAAAACCACGCTATGATCCAGTCCGCAATTCACAGCCACCAGTGGAGAACGAGGCTCCCAAGTCTGACCCTGCACCAATTTTCGTCAAGCCTCCTGCCCGAACCTATACGTATGACCCCTTTGGACATGGAACCGACTTTGTGAACCCGGCTACTAACTCGTACTACAGGAGTCGCTGGGATATGCGCCCACCACAACACCCTGCGTTCCACGTCTACCCGAAGAAGCCTGCACCTGCGCCGGTCCCATCCGTTTTCGACAACTACCTCAACCCGCAACCATTCGCCTCACTGCTTGAGCCATACACCAATACCAGCGCTTTCTTCAATGCTCTGCAGCAGCCACTCGACCCTATGCCGCAACCCACCTATGCGCCTCAAGTTGCACCAATTCAGCCACAGATCTCCCCCGTGGCCAACGACACGACCATCACCGCTAGCACTGGCAAAATCTCAATCCCCAGCATCATCGACGGCGTGAACCAAGATGCAGCTGTTACTGGTGACGAGTCTCAGAAGGTCGTCTCGCCAACTGGCAACAAGCGCAAGGCCAGCGAGATGGAGGCATCGGAGGAGAAGAACGAGTCGTCGGCACCACTAGCAGTTCAGCAGACGGCTGAAGTGGTCACGGCTACAGCGACCCCACGCATCAAGCGCCGCCGCACTCGTCGTCATGGTACTGTCAATCAGCTCACTACCAGCTTCGCCAAGTACACTGGCGCAGCCGTTGTTGGTGCAGCTGCCACATGCGCATTCCTCAGCAGCCCGGCCGCGCAGTGGGTAATCGATTATCTCGGCTGAGTTCACTGAATCAGCATCGCCATCAACACATCCAACACATCCCCATTGCACCTTCTGCACCTTATACCCGCAAGAACAGCTGCAACCGGAGCCAGTCCAGTAAGAGGATTTTACCCCTTTCACACCACACCACTACACATCATGCTTTGGACCTTTTGGAGCGAGAGCGATTTCAGCACTGGAAGGAGGGGTCTGGGACAGGGCGTTTTCATGGATCATGACTGGCGTACGGCAGCTAGACACGACACGACATGAATGGAGAGCGCATGGAGAATAGGTAGCTCCATGAAATTGACGAAGGGTTTGATAAGGAGACTTTTCCGTACTTTCCTCTTGTTCGCCACCCTCTCTCGTTTGGCATGTGGCACAGCACAGCACTTCCTCAAAATCCCGTCAACTTCCGTCTTGTTATCGCCTTGTTTTCGAACCGGAACTTGTTTCTGGTTGTTCTGTATCGTTTGCCTTGTACCTTCGGCTCGACCGTTTCAGGCAGGAATCTGCCAAAACGTAATATGACTAAGGTCAACCCATTCGATTTTTGCCTTGTTCCTTCAGAAAACACGTTGCACATGCCTATACGACAGCAAGACATACGGACTGGTTCTTCTCCTCGGTCCATAGACTCCTTTCGTTTATGTGCAGCAGCAGGGTTGCGGTACGGCATTGAGGCCGCCGTCGTGGCTGAGGGGTTTGACAGCGGCTTGCTGCAGCCTTGTGGGGACGGGGGTTGATCTTGCAGCCTCCTCCATGGAGATGTCACGTTCTTGAGCACCCGTTGTCGGGCCTTTTCCTGTGCAACGTTGGGAGGCATGCATGTCGATGCATTGGGGAAGTATGAAGGGGGTGTGAAGGGGACTGTGCTGAGGGTCGTAAGTCAGCACCGCCCGGTGCATGCACCGCACGGCGCTGGATATATCATTTGACAGACCATGAAAGATTACCGTCGACCACTGGGATGGGGGATCTACTCCTTGGATGCCTTGATGGGCGGCCCTTTCTTGGGTGTGAGGAGGCGAGGGCGACGGTGGCCGGCTTGTTGGCGACGCCCTGGTGTTAGCGCTTGAGGCGGGCGGCGTGTGGGTTGTGGTTGATGGTATATCTGGATGGTTCTTACCTCGTGCTTTGGTCATTGACCGTCTGTCGTCGTTGTTTGGTGCGAGAGACTTTGTCAACTTGAGGTTCTTGTCTTTCCTTTGCACCTTTTCGGTTATTCGATTGACCTCAAACGTTCTGCTCAACACTGAACAGCATATCATTGGAGCCTGAATCTGCTTATTCTTCTTCTTTCGATACGAAAGCTTTTGACAACATTTCAACAAGCACGAGGCATTCTTGCGGAGTCTAGACGTCGACCTTCCAACATTCAACATTGAAGGAAAAGAAAATCAGTCCTCTGAAACGACATGGCAGGCCCCAACTCCACCTCCTCCTCGCCCAGCAGGGATATCAAACCTACAACAGCCTCGTCGAGCAACGACGAGAACAACGACAGCAACAACAACAACAACAACAACAACAACAACAACAACAACAACAACAACAACAACAACAACAACAACACCAGCGACCAAACCCACGACAGACCGTCGCCCTCAACCCCTCGATCCAGCCCTCGCGCCTGCCCCCTCTCCCCTTGCGTAGGCGGCAAACTCCTCTTACGGTGCACGGAATGCAGCACAGGCACCAACGAAAAAGTCAAAGAGTGCTCGAACTGTTCCGGCAGGATGTGGACGAAGAGGAAGTGTCCTGGATGTGGGAATTGTAGGGATCTGGGGTTGGGCGGAGAGCAGCAGCAGCAGCGACGACCCAGAGTGGATAGTCGGTTGACGTGAATGAATGAGGGGTTTGAGGGTGTAGATAGATGAGATGGAGCAAGGAGAGAGGAGATGGGGTTTTCGTCTTGATTGATTGGAATCGGATGGTGAAGGGGAGGGGGTTGGGGATGTGGTTGAGGTATCCGTTCCATTCGCTATCATTCTCGTTAGACTATTTTGTATCACTATCGTTCACTCTTCCTCAAACTATCCACACAAATCACGATCCATCCAACCTTCCCCTCTCCCTCCTCACCATCCCCACTCATCTAATGAAACTGATCCTCCGTGACCCCCTTCCCCATAGCACTCGTACTCGAAATCCCACCCTGCACCATCTGCAACAACCCATCGACATAATTCGCCCCGCTCCACTTCTGGTGCGTCACGACCTCGACGCCCTGCTCCATCTCCGGCTCCTGCACGATCTCGCCGTACGCGCGCATGCCGCGCTTCGCGTACTCCTTGGCGAAGGAGTTGGAGATCAGGGCCGTGCTGTGCAGACCCGCGAGCGTGATGAATTGCCAGCAGTAGCCCAGCGTCGCGAGGCGCTTGATGTAGGTTTCTTGGTCGGCGGGTTGCATGGCGGATTTCCAGTTGAAGGAGGGGGAGAGGTTGTAGGCCAACCTGAAAGAGTATCATGTTAGTAAGGATGATTTACTTTTTGTGAGTTGTTCGGTGTGTGTGATGCTTACTTCTGCTCAGGCCACACAGCGTGCACACCATCAGCAAACTCCTTCGCCTGCGCGAAATCGGGCAGCTTGCTCTCCATCCAGATCATATCAGCGTATGGGGCGTACGCCACAGCGCGCATCACGGCGCACTGGCAGCCGCCCTGGTAGCGATAGTAGCCCTCACGGGTTCGTGGCGATTCCCAGTCAAAGTAGACATCCACACCAGTCAGGCCCTTGGCGATGGATTTCATCTCGGAGAGAGACTTGCCCTTGGATTGATTGTTGAATTCCTCGATCAGGCCCTGCTTGTTGACGTGCACGCCTGCGTTGATGGTGTCGGCTACAGCCTCGTGGAAGAGCTTCAGACCGGCTTGGGCGTTCCATGCGTCCTCGACGGCTTGCAGGTCCGCGCCGAATTTGCCGGCTTTCTCGGCTGCGAGCATGAGGTCGTTGAGAGGCTGGAGAGCTGGGTTCGTGGTTCCCTGGATGTAGCTGTGGTCGCGGGGGTCGATGGTGCTGGTGATGAGGGTGGCGGCTTCGGAATCGGTTCTCGCGACGGCGAGAAGATCCACACCCATGATGTCTGCTTGTGCGCGGATGGCCACCAGACGGTTGATGTGTTCGCCGACTGGGACGAGGACCTTGCCGGCCATGTGTCCGCACTTCTTCGTTCCGGGCATTTGGTCCTCAATGTGGATACCAGCTGCTCCCTTCTCGACGAAGAGCTTGGTAAGCTTCATCACGGCAGTCAGACCACCGTGACCAGTGTCTGCATCGGCAATGATGGGGCGGAGGAAGTCGGTGTTGGCGAGCTTCGAACGCTCGCTGGGGGACGCGCTGAGGCGTTCCTCACGTTGCTTGCGGTCATGGAAAAGCTGGGCCATGAAGAGGTGGTTGACCTTGTTTGGCACGGTGGTGTATGGGTAATCTGCGAGATCTGGACCTGGCTCATCTGAGCTGGATGCCGTGCTCGAAGATTGCCAGCCAGATACGTAGACGGTATCGAGGTACTTGGCCATCTGGGTGACCATGACAGGGTCAAGACATCCGTAGGTCGCGCTCGCAGTCTTGCTCTGGAAACGCTCCTCTACCAAGTTCCACAGCTTCTTCGACAGGTCATTGCTTGGGTACTGGATCTTGATGGTACCGCGCTTGGAGACGATCTGCTCCGCGGTGAATGGTCGACGGGTGTATCGCCATCTCGGGCTCTGCCACCATTGCTTCAACTCCTTCACCTCCTCTTCAAACTTTTGCTGTTCTGCGTCTCCCACGGCCATGGTCGAGATTGGGGGAAGGATGGATGAGATGTGGGAGGCAATCTGCTTCAATCGTTCCGCCAGCGTGCTGGAAGCTCTACAGCGCGGGTATCAATGCTTTTGGGGTGGATAGTACTCTACAGAAGATGTTCAAGTAGAGGCAAAGAAAGAATGAAAGACACCGTTAGTCTTTCGAAACAAGAGGGGAACAACCAATTCTTAGCATCAGACGTCACAGGCTTTTCTCGGCTCATCAAGGCTGAGTATAAGAACCCAGAGCATCACCTACCGCGTACCCCGATCCTGCCCGAGCTTGGGAGCAATGGATCGGGCAAAGACCTTGTCGTTTTGACGCCTCACAAGGCACAGCCGTGACGGTGGTGACAGCGTTGTTTTCTTCTGACCTCGGAAAGCACATGTTGTCATGGAAAATAGGTAGGCCTCGGGTGAAGGGAGGCATGTGAGTGGACGAGACGAGGTGTAAGGTCGAAGTCAGAGCTGCGTCGCCCGCTTAGCCGTTTCTTGGGCTGCTGCCGCTCTGGGGTCTAGCGCGTCGATGTCGATCGTTCCGAGGTTCAGTCGTCTTCATGTGAACCACGGTCACGTGAATGCCAATTCGTCGTGAATGATGGTGTTGGGAAGTGAAAATGGCAAGGAAATAGAAGCCAGGTCATGACGATTCTGATAATTCTCACCTTCAAGCTCGTTCGGTTCTTTCTCTCTGTCCATATCATTCGTCTTCAAGCATCGATATCGTTTTGAGAGAGTGAAGACCATTCTGCCGGTGTCTCCGCAGTGGTTTGGAGATATCGGTATTCTGCCGACAGCGAACGGACTTTCACCGTCTGGAGGCGGAAAGGACCTGACGCCGAGACTTGTCCTCACTTCACACTTGTTCTTCTCAGCTTCTCGAACATTTCTATCTTAGAAGCTGCTATATTTCAGCTCGGCACCTGCTGTCGTCTACCCGAGGGTATCGTTTTTGGTGGTCAGAACCAGAGCTCGCGAAATAGGCAGGTCTTTCGCCAGAGGTCCAAGATGGCTGGCCAATTCGTAAGCCGCAGGGACTGAACTGCTGCTCTGTGCAAAAGGACCTCAAGCGGGCGACATGATGGTCAGCAGGATATTATTGACTGCGGTGAGCATGGCTGTGCGCCTGGAGCAGCCGATATTCCATCGAGGCCATCGAGACGACGCCTTGCCGTCTGCTCGCTGCAATCCTGGTCCTCGCGCTCCATCGCCGCACGCCTCTCAGACCTCAATTCCGCCAAGGCCGATAGTCGGAGTCGGTGTTTGAATTGATAGCTGACGGTAGCAGGGTCTGCTGGTCGGCCGTCGAAACCTCACTCTGTCGCGAGGGGGATGAGCGAGATGGCCAGCGCAGAGTTGACGCGACCGTGACTCTGCCACTGACCGTCAGTTGCACCTCGACGACGCCAGGCCTGATCACCGCTGCATGCTGCCCGTCAATGTCTCGACTACTGCACCGCACGCAGCGTGTGGCGCACAAACAAGCATCACATCGCAAGACTTTTCGCGGGTAAATCGGCATCGTCTCCAGTGCGGTACGCTCCCGCGTGACATACAGACGGCGCCTTCAACCTCCCATTCGACGGTCTCTTGCCTCGTCGACGGCACTGCCAGCGATACCGAAGCACACCACCGACGCAGCCACTATATCCCATTGAACGCGCATCGCCATTGGCCCACGACGTGCAATACAGACTTTGACCGCATCGGCGCCAAGCGTATATCATTCACACAGCAGCGCAGCTTGTTGATGAGGGTGCATTCGATCGCAGCTACGGCAGTATCCCTGGCGGCCGCGCCCTAGTGGCATCGGGAATCATGCATTGAATTCCGCTCTGCACTTGCAAAAATCGCTTGCCCGGCAAAGGCGTCCCCACTTGGCCTTGGGAAAGGGCAGGTACTTCGCTTGACCGCACCTGCGGTGGTCCAACTCGAACGAGTCGTATGTCTCAGCAGTCATCATTGTCTTTCTTCCTGTAAAGAATTCTCCCGTGCGTAGGTACAACCTAATATTCCTTTCCTACACCTGAGGGATCGCACCTAAGCAGCATCCAACGGCATCACCATCCCGTTCTCGATTGCTTGGGAGCTTATCCTGCGTACCACATCACTACATCCGTTTTTATCGCCGTCAATTGTTAATACACTGGGCATCTGACCTGGCCTGGGCGTCATCTTCGTTTGCTCCCTCTCCCTTGGCAAGCAATCTGATCACATCTCCTCATCTTATGTTAACCGACTGCCGGCAACATGGATCACGATGAGAAGTCGACAGCGACCACAAAAGAGGTCATGGATGTCTCGACAAGGCGCGCCTCGCACATGTCTATCGAAGACCCGCTCTCGCCCGTGTCAACATCTTCAGACAGCATCTCAATAGCGTCAAGACCCTCGCGATACTCGCAAGAACACCCATCACAGACGCTAGCTCGACATCTCTCCCACGCCTCTTCGACGAACGCAGTAGGCGGGGTGGTACCCACTTATATTGACCGATCATGGACGCACACGACCACAGGAACAGCGAACACTCTGGACCTGGCATACGAGGTCGACTTCGAGGACGATGATCGAGGCAATCCGCAGAATTGGTCTCTGCTGTACAAAGGATTCGTCATCATGATTTTCAGTTACGCCACGACCTGCACAGTGCTTTACTCGACTTCCTACACATCGGCTATCCCTGGTATGATGGCGGAGTTCGGTATTGGGGAAAGCGAGGGCATCTTGGGTGTGACGACGTATCTGCTAGGTATGGCCAGCGGATCGGTCATTCTGGCTCCACTGTCCGAAATGTACGGCAGACGGCCTATATACCTGATAGTGATGGCGCTGTTCGTCGTCTTCGTCATTCCGTGTGCGGTGGCGCAGAACATGGCGACTATCCTGGTGGTGCGGTACTTTGGTGCTTTCTGTGCTGCGGCGATGATCTCAAATGCACCAGGAACGGTCAACGACATCGTCGACGAGGAGTACAGAGCGCTCGCCTTCAGCGTGTGGTCTATTGGGCCAATGAACGGTAAGTAAGCATCATTCCACAAGCAGCGAATGACCAGCCTCATACTTACGTTTGCGTAGGGCCTGTCGTGGGACCAGTCGTGGGAGGCTTCGTTTTCCAATATCTGGGCTGGCGCTGGACCAATTGGGTGGTTGTCATCGTCGGCGGTATCGCTTGGGTACTTGTGGCCTTGGTTCCTGAGACGTACGCACCATCCATTCTGCGCAAGCGAGCGAAAAATGTTCGACAAGAAACCGGAGACGAGAGCTGGTGGAGCAGATACGACGACAAGCAGAGCTTTTTCGAACTGCTCAAAGTCAACATGTCTCGCCCGTTCATCCTGACCGTGACCGAGCCGATCTGTCTGTTCTGGGACGTCTACATTGCACTCGTGTACGGTGTGCTTTACCTTTGCTTCGTCGCATATCCGATCGTCTTCTCAGACATGCGAGGGTGGTCACCAGGCTTCTCAGGTCTAGCTTTCACAGGCATAGGAGTCGGCTCGATGATCACCATCGTCTGCGAGCCGTTGATCAGGCGACTTATCAACTCGCATAAACACGACCCAGAGACCGATCGTCCGTATCCCGAAGCCATGGTCAGCGTCGTATGCATTGCATCGATTCTCATCCCTGCTGGTGAGATCTGGTTCGCTTGGACATGTACACCAAACGTGCACTGGATCTGGCCTATCCTGGCGGGTATCCCATTCGGAGCGGGCAATGCGGGCGTGTTCATCTACGCCTCGAATTATCTTGTTCAATCGTACGGCATTTACGCCGCCTCAGCCTTAGCAGGCAACGCCGTCCTTCGATCGATCATGGGTGCAACATTACCCCTCGCTGGTCCCTCGCTTTACAAAACCCTCGGCGCGAACTGGGCCGGTACACTCCTCGGCATGCTGGAGGTGCTCTGCATCCCAATCCCATTCCTCTTCTACAAGTACGGACACAAGATAAGGGAAAAGTCCAAGTTGATCAGAGAGATGGCCGACGATCAGCGCCGTCGGGAGGCGAAGCAGAAAAAGGTCGCCGATAAGATGATGAAGAGAGCCGAGGCCGAAGCTGCCACCGGGGCGGTGATTGAAACCGGCGCCGCGATAGATGAAGGTGTCGATGTGGAGAAGGGGCTTGAGAGGGAACTTAGGAAGGGTGGGGCTTGAGAAAGAAAAACTTGGGATGATATCGCTTGAGCGGGTCTGGTGGCAAGATTGGAGTCCGATAGCTACGTTGCTTCACATCTGCACAGCGATGGCGTTTTTCGGCAAGGAAAGAGGGATAAAATGGTATGTGATCTACGACGGCATGATTATACATTAATGATGTTGCCGATGGCAAACTGCATAGCACGGCATGGCATCGGTATCAGCAAGAGGCCAAAAGACTGCGAGAAATGGAATATTCTTCAAACTCATTGCCTCCATCCGGCAGCTGCCGCTTTCTCATCAATCGGACTTGAGTTGGACCGCTTCTTCCGCTCTGACAGAAACCCTTTTCGCCACAAACTACGCCGACCGCATCGCAATACCTTCGCAAGTATGGTGGATATGCAACTTGAAGGGCGCGACAATCGATACGACACTGGATCTTTGATAGTGGCGCCGAGAAAGAGCGAGGTGAGGTTTCACATGCTTAGACCAAGAGGATCGCGCGCACGGACGTGTGCAACGGCTGCTCCCAGCCAATCTCACCCCCTGGATTGCGTAAACTTCCATCCAACCACCTCTTTTTTCTCTTCTCACTTCTCACTTCCCATCGACATTACTCCACCACATCAAATCATTCCTCAGCATCTGACAATAAACTCGGCTTTTTGCCATTTCGGCGTCGTGGTTGTCTTTTATTCGCCATTGCCGCGTTGCACCCGCATATGGACGGAAGTCTTCGAGATTTACTGCAAACTCCGTGTTGACAATTGCTGAGTGAGTGAGTGAGAGAGAGTGAGTCGTGCCGATTCGGCGCCGAGAAAATACCTTACAGCCTTGCTGCGAGAAGGAAGAGAGAGAAAGATATATCTATCACGTAGCCGAGCATGCAGTTCCGGGATCCCTGTCATCAGCATGGAGTCTCATTCCACAACCCTCATCAACACCAACATCTCTTCTGGATGGCGCCACCCACCGAAGAAAGAGAAGCGAACTTGACGGACCCGGCGTTCTTCGCCTCTCAGTCGCAGAAATTGAACGCTTTGCTGGGGACTGTTGTGCGCGAGGCGTCGACGGCGACGAACCCGGATGCGGCTATCGATTTTATGCAATTGACGGAGATTGTTACTTCTCTACTCGAGGAGGCGCAGATGTTCAGTGTCTTAAGCCAGGAGGAATTGGGGAGGAGGGAGGGGGACGTGAGGGGTTTTATGGGTAGGATCGAGACTGTACACTCCGTGATTGAGGATTGGGATGCGAGGACGACGAAGGGAGAGGGGAAGGGCAGTTGTGATGGGGAGGGTTCACGGAAACGGGCGCGGCCGACTTCGTCGTCGTCCGGGAGTGGTCCTTACGATACGCGATCGAATCGCAGGAGGATGCAGTGCGAGACGGAGCAGGCGTTGAATATGGCGCCGACGTTTGATGGGCCGTATGCGGAGATGATTCCTTTCGAGCAGTATCCGGAGAGGGAGAGGGAGAAGGCGGCTTGGTGGACGGAGCCGTATTATGATTGAAGACTGGAAGTGATGGATCCGGACGATGTTTGATGCCACTAAGATTTCCAGTGCTTCCAGATGGAAATGTAATCCGATGTCTTCCCGGCTTCGTGCGTCCTCTCTGGTCTGTAATGGGCGACCCTCACGAGGGAATCATCGTTCTTCTCGATACCTTGATCTGGCTCAACGACACCCGACTCGTTATACCTAACTTTCTCACCAGGCCTTGAGAATAGAGCTTCGTAAAGACTCGAAGTCAATCCATGAGGCGGTCCACCTTCCTTCGGATCTTTCCCCAACGGCCACTCCAAACACACCAATTTCCCATCCGGTGCGAGCAATTCACTCATCCGCTTCGTCCAGTCTTGTCGAAGCTCTGGTGGCAAGGCACAGAGGAAGGTATAGTCGAAGATTACATCAAACTTGCCACCATTCGTTTCTGAGAAGAAGTCGTCTTTGAAAAAATCGGAGAAGATAAACTTGGCCTCGCCACGACCGATCGTTGCATCATGAGGGGCGTAGACCTCGTCGTCTTCGTGGGCAGTTTTGTACTTCCTCGCGGTCTCGACGGCGGTCTGTGAGGCGTCGAGACCGTACGTGTTATAGCCGAGAGAGGACAGGAGGAGGACATCGTAGCCTCGACCGCAACCTGGTACAAAAGCCCTCTTCCTCTCGCCACCTTCCGACTTCACCGGCCCGCCGAACACCTCTGGATGCCCTGTGATGGCATCTTTCAACGCGAGGCTTGGTCCCTTTCGATCCCATGGCGTAAACTCTTGCTGCCAAAGGTCGTCCCAGCCGCCGGTGTGTTGGTTCGTGGGCAGGGTCTCGAACTTCTCTCTGAGTCGTTGGCGGTTTTCTGCGGGGAGGCTGTCGATTGGTATCGACATGATGGGTGCTTGTGGCGATATGTTAATTTGAAGGATTGATTCTAGGAGTATGGGACTTACGATGTTTTGGCGGCCGAGTGTATGCTCTCTTTGACATATACCCCTCCGAGAGGCGGGTTCGACGGGCAAACGGAGAATGGATCGTTCTTGATAGCGGAGTCTTCTGCTGGAACGACCCTGTTGCTCGCCTCATCTACTGGGTTCTCCTCAAACACCAGAAATGATCACGCCTCTACCACTGCTGCTGTTACTTACTTTGATTACATGTACAGGTTCTCGAACATATCACCAAAGCAAAAGAGCAAGGTGAGGTCCGACCCGCCGTCAATCCCCGCAGCTGCAGCTCCGCGTACAAGGCGAAGTCCTGCCTTCCGATTTCGCCTCTCTCACCATCAACAAACCCAATCACAAGCCTCAGCAACAACCTTCTCGGCCGGGCTGCATCGCGTCGGCACGTCAGACAGCTCTATCAATACCCGAGGGTACCTTGCCCATCAAAATCCAAAATTCTCCAAGCCTTTCTCAAGCCCGCAAGCCACGGCCGTCCTCGGTGCAGCAGCCATCACGCCCGTAACAAGCTACACGGCTACTCGGCACACACAGGACTTCTCGCAGAAAAAGGCGGATTCTGGTGTCCTTCGCTCGCCGTACTGGTCTGCATCGTGACCTACCTCCCTTCGATCATCACGCTGGCGCCGCTAAAAAGCGTAGTGAAACGGACCTTTACCCGCTGTAGCCACCGACTTTCTGCGCGCAACCGATCTACCGAGACCACAGGTACCTTCTCAAAGTAGGTCGACATTGAGCAGCAGAGGAGTGATGGGTGGAGGTGATGGCGTGCCGTGTGCCGATACGGCAGTGGTAGTCCGCGTGCTACAACATTGGATGCAGGTTAGTTAGGTTGGGTAAGTGTTTTCTCTTCTTTTCTTCTTAATACTACTGTTTCGTTGGGCTGGTGGCCTATCTTTTCGTTCAGCGACGACCGACGGCCTTGAGAGGAAATTTCGTCCATCATCATTCTTTTGCCACGTCTTACCTCCCTCCTACATATTCCAGGAAGAGGGCTGCTTCGCGATTGCTCGTGTTAGACGGGTTATCGGCCCAGTAGTGTCATAGACGCGTTGTGGGTGGTTTGCTCCTTTCACTCCGGGGTTCTGGTCTGCTCTCTTGCCTCGAGGGGTCATGCTCGCCACCTGAGGAACGAAGCATTGTTATCCAAAACCAAAACCTCTCGGCCCTGCATTACCTGAGCGATCATGGGACAAGACAACGACCGGGACGTCGATCACAGCGACCTAGAAAAAGAAATAGACAAGATCGAAGCAGAATCTCCAGTATCAGAAGACGAAGATGGACGCATCTCCTCGTTACCTCGACGGCCCCCGCCCGCGCTCACCAAGAAACCCGACGTCGACGTTCAAGACCATGCCAATCACCCTGAGGCACACGAAGAACACGACCGCGGTCGACGGCGATCTTCCCACTCGAGCAATTCCACGACCTCCTCCCAACACACAGACTCCGAGGCCCATGACCACCAAGTAACCCACACCATCTCCCGCACGCAGTCCAGCGTGCGCTCCGTCCGTCGTGAAGCAGTCAAAGTCCCACGATCCGAACGTCGCGGCCTCTTCGCTCGCTTCTGCATCATCGACGAAGTGACCAACGCCTGGGACTACCCCCGAAAGATGAAATGGATTGTGACCACCATCGTCGCTATAGCAGGCGCGGCAGCTCCCATGGGCTCGTCAATAATCTTGCCAGCCCTGGTGGACATTGCTAAAACGTTCAACTCCACCGCCACGATCGTCAACCTGAGTGTCGCGATGTACATGCTCAGCATGTCAATCTTCCCGTTGTGGTGGAGTTCCTTCTCGGAAACGCTGGGTCGAAGAACGATTTATGTCACGAGCTTCGCGCTGTTCCTCGTCTTCAATATTTTGTCGGCGGTGAGTACAAGTATTGGGATGTTTGTGGTCATGAGGATCCTCAGCGGTGGTGCGGCGGCGAGCGTACAAGCTGTAGGTGCAGGCACCATTGCGGATATATGGGAGGTGAAAGAGAGAGGTAGGGCTATGGGTATTTTTTACTTAGGCCCTCTGTGCGGACCTTTGCTCTCTCCTATCCTTGGAGGTGTGCTGGCAGAGACTCTAGGCTGGCGGAGCACACAATGGCTAATGGCCATATTTGGTGGAATCTTGTTCATTTTCATCATCATCTGCCTGCCCGAGACACTACACCAACGAAGACGCATCGCCGCCGAAGCAGAACAGGAAGCAGCAGAAGAAGTCGGCGAAGTGGATGAGAAAGGAAACCCACAACCAACCCTCAACCGTACGACGACCAAACAATCCGTCCGGATCAAATCCAAGAAATACCTCCTCATGGCCCGCCGCGCCTTCCTCGACCCCCTACACATCATCGTGTATCTGCAGTTCCCTGCCGTCGCCATCCTCGTCTTCTACGCCTCCATCACCTTCGGCTCGCTCTACGTCCTCAACATCTCCGTCCAACAAACCTTTTCCGCGCAACCCTACAACTACAGCTCCATCATCGTCGGCTGCTTATACATCCCCAACAGTTTGGGCTACTTCTTATCGAGTATCTTCGGCGGCCGCTGGGTCGACAGCATCATGCACCGCGAAGCACGCAAAGCCGGACGCTTCGACGAAAAAGGCCGCCTGAAATTCATCCCGGAGGACCGCATGAAGGAAAACGCCTGGGTCGGCGCCATCCTCTTCCCCTGCTCCATGGTCGCCTACGGCTGGCTCGCGGAAAAACACATCAACGTCGCCGCGCCGCTCGTCGCCAACTTCTTCTTCGGCATAGGCTCCATGCTCATCTTCGCGCTCGTCACCACCATGCTGACGGAATTCATGCCGCGGAAAGCGAGCAACGGCATCGCGCTGAACAACTTCGTCCGAAACATCTTCTCCTGCGTGGGCAGTGTGGTGACGGAGCCGCTGATCGTGGCGATTGGGAATGGGTGGTTGTTTTTGGGGTTGAGCGTTATTTCGCTCGTGGCGGGCGCTGGGTGTATTTGGGCGATGAAGAGGTTTGGACCGGGGTGGAGGAAGAATATGGATCGGAGGATTGAGGAGGTTATGGGGGAGTGAAAGGGAAGCACGTTGCATACTTTTTTGAGCGGTACGAAGAGCATGAAGAGGATGAGAAACCACTCAGGACTTCTAATATGCTTGGCATCTTCCACGAGTCCCTTCAACGAAGCCTCTCAAAACCGCGCTAGAAGTCGAGTCATATGCCCCGTCTTAACTCGCTGGCGCCTTTCGCTTACTCCTGAGTCACCCATCGCCTCGCCCACCCGCCGAACTCACATAATGCCTTTTAGATCGAAGTCATACCAGAGAAGTAGCCACCACCAATCAAAAACAATCTAAGCTTTGGGTGCTTAGTCTCTTCGGAGTACTAAACCAGTCAGTCTGTGTACCCGTACGCAGGCTGACTACTTCTCTTTTTGCGGGCTTGCTTGGAGGCTTGAGTTCGAACCTGGTTGTCTGCTTGAAGTTACGTATGTCGCATCGTGGAATATCTTTTTGGGATTGGGAGAAGGGTTGCGCTCGTTCATGCCAAATCACTCTGGCAGTGAGAAGTGAACTTTTAAACGATGTCCATTCCGAAGTCAATTCGATCGATTACATATTCCTTCTCAGCTGCCATTTCTCCCCACCATCTCGAAAACCCGCCCTCATCAAGCTGGCTCAATGTCACAGCCTCTCACCGATCTCTCACATACCACCTTCGCCGACCTCCCTCCCACTCCACAACCCAACCCACCACAACCTTCATAACATCTTTCGAGACGCTCATCCATCAGAGAAGTAGCTGCCCAACCAACCAAAAGTCAGAAAAACCTGAGCGTTGTAGTCGCTTAAATCCCCGTCGGCGTTTGTCTTCGGGGCGCTTTTAGGGTCTTGTCTGCGCATGTGGATGAGGTCTCTTCTCTTTTTGCCCTTTTGACCGAAGGCTTGGGTTCGAGTCTAGTGTTTGTTCGGGGGAAGATAACGAACGTTTTTGGTGTTTCGTCTCGTGGAGTTGCGAGATCTTATTCTCTCTGCGTTCTCCCTTTTCAGAGTCGTTTAGGAAGGTCCTGTGTTGATTGATCCTCGGAAACCCTCAACATGAAACTGGAAACTCTCGATGTGCATATTTCGAATTGCTATTGATCGATTTCGTCGTCCTTTTCGACCGCCTCATTGTCGCCACTTCCATCGATCAAAACCTCGCCATGCTGCCTTAGGCCCCCAGCCTCACCGGTCCCCCTGACTCACCACCAACCATCCCTGCGCTTCTGCCTGCTGTCCCACACACCTCTCCCATTTTTCAACCATGATAATATCTTCTACTCGCTCATTCTTTCAGAGAAGTAGCTACTACCAATCAAATGCACTGAGCCTTTTAGCTTAGTCTCTTCGGAGTCTATCGGTTCACCTTGCTTGCAGGATGGATTACTTCTCTTTTTGATCTGTCTATAGGATGATGGGGTGGGGAGTTCGAGTGTGAAGGTTTGTCTCTGCGAGAGTTTTGTAGTTTTGTCTTGAGAGCCGTTGCTGTCTTGCATTTGGTTGGAGATTGGGTTTTGCCTCCTTTTTGGCATTTTCCAAACAAAAGCCACGTTTTGATCGACATTCCAGTCTTCACTCTCATCATCGATCGACCCTTTCGTTCGGCTTCGTATTGTGTGATCTTTCAAAAGCTCAAAGGATGCCTCAGGCTCCAAACCTCACCGTCTACCTCCTTTCAGTCACCGCCCCTACCTACGCAGCTCACCAATCCAACGAACCTACATAGTGCGATTCGAACGTGATGCTGTCAAGGAAGTAGCAACACCAACCAACGGCCTAGCCCTGACGGGATTCGTCTCGCAGTGCTTTGATAGCCTGACTCGTCGGGTACCTTCCTTTTTGCACTTGCGTTCGAAACCCGCTTCCCAAGGGTCTTCTTCAATACGTGTGGCTTCCATTGTTGTCGAATGCATAATTTTCTATCGAGGTACCGGTATGATGGGTGGTCAAGAGCGATTGAGATTCTTTGCTCTACTGGAAGGGGTATCGTACTGTTGAAGCTTCCAAGCTGTATGTCTATAATCTCATCATAACCGGCCAGTACCTCGCCATCAACACTCCCCCTCCCCGTCATCTCTAAAACGAGAACTCCTCCAAATGCATCTTAACACTCGGCGCCTTACTGACAGTGTTCTCCGCCACCGCCCTCCTGATATCCGTCAAAAGCGCCGTAGGCCCACAACCCGTAACAAGCACTCTCTCATCCTCAGACTGCCCTTCCACAGCTTGTCTAATAATCATCGCGACATCCGGACGCCCCGTAAAAGTCGTGCTCAATGCCGACTCCGAAGAATTTCTTGACGAGGAGATGGACGGTTGGAGTTCTTTGCTCAGAGACTTGATATCGGCGGTTTTCTCGAGGTCGCTGCTCATGGAGAGGTCGCTTTCCTCTGTGACGTATTGCTCGTGGTTCGGGCCGGAGACGTAGAGATGCAGATTGACGCGATTGTTGGATTTCACATCGGCGAGTTCGTCTTTGAACCATTCGAAGTTCGCTCGACGGCGGACTGTCCAGATCAGGTCGAGAGTGCCTTTCTCCTTTGGTGTTCGACGCTTCTTGGCCCAGTCCAACGCCTGGCTCATGGCGAACGTGATACCACTACCGCCAGCGAAGATCACGACTTTGTCGTGCTGATTTGCATCTGGAACGTTTCCATAGGGACCTTCCAGAGCCGCGCGGAACTTCATTAACGGGTTCTTGCAAGCCGCCTTGTACAGGTCTCGCGTGAAGCCGTCTCGGGCCTTGACAACGAATTCGGCACAAGGCTGGCTTTGCACCAACGTGAAAGGGTGACGTTGAAAGAGCCTGACGCCGGGAACCCAGATGAAAGCGACAGAGCCTGGAGCAGCTCGCATTGGCCTACGCATCGTGATCCTGACGCCTTCATCTGGGAGAGGAGTCAGGGTACAATGGTTATTGTAACCGTAGAAGATCCATCTTGATAAGCGGAGAGACTTGTCGGCGAACCACATGCTGCCTGCGAGGATGGTGATGATGGCTGCCTTGAGGCTCAGATCTGGACGGTGAAGACCGACTACGATCTGTGAGTCGAAGCTTCGTTATAACAGTGACGTTCACACTGACCTGTTATAAGGATTCCAGCCACAAGTACCAGATGCATCGCGTAAAAGAACTCGTATTGCCGTCGTCGGACGAAGCCGATCGCAGTAATGAAGATCAGCACCATGAAGACACCAGCCACAGCTCCTGCGATGTTCGCCGACTCTGTCATGACTTCCGTCAATGCTCCAGCATTGGCCAGGCCTGCGACGTACACTCTACAAGGCCGGATCAGCTTTGGACAACCGGAAGTCTCATGATCAACTTACATAGCGTGCAGTACGACCAACAGCACTGTAACATAGCCGCAACACCGATGCAAGGAATTCACAGCATCGAAACTCCGTCCTGCCAGTGGCGAGAGGGGTGTGTTCTTCAGTCCGAGAAACACTGCAAGGCACATATTGCACAGCGCCAACCAGCCGAAGCGTTTTGCGATGATAGTCTGCATTGGGGCATTCTCTGGATGGTCATGAAAGACCATGACTATGTTGATCGCGATGTATGCAAAGATGATGTGCATTCGGCCTGGATGGAACGTGATCCCAAAGATAGTCCTCGGGCCATGCAGTCGTACGAGAGGACGGACGATAGCTCTGCTGAGGGATCTGAGCGTGCTCGGCTTGGTGAAGCTCTGGCTGAAGAGGCGTTCCGTCCAATGTCCAATGGCAAAGACGATGATGAGGGATCCAATGGCGATGCCGAAGATCCTGGCGGTGACTTCGTCCAAGGCTTGCCATTTTGCGAAGAGGGCATACATTGCCTTCTCTGCAGCCTCTGCTGCGGCATCAGGAGAGGAATGGGCCATGTTTGTCGATGAAAACGAAGTGCAGAAGGCCTGACACAGATGTAGAACGAATGTATGCCTTCTCAAAAAGGCTGGACGCTCGAACGCAAAACAGGTCGAAGCAGGATGCTAGCAACAGTACCTGTGCTTGCTCCTTTGACATATATGTAGCCTATGGAACCAACCTTGCTTTCACATGGAAGTCCGTTGAGCAACGGACATGTTATCGTATGGCTTGTGGCGCCGAGGACGCCCATTTTCTGCGTTCTTCGACACTTTTATGGTAGAGAATGCACCGTCTGTTCGTTCGCGATAACAGCCCAACGGACTTGGGTATAGCCATCGGCGTGGTGATGTTCGCGTCGGCGACTATTCGGTGGCGGGCATTATGAGAAAACGAGCCCATGCATGAACGGCACAGGGCATCCGCGAGATAATCCCTCAGGCAGGACGGCTTTGGTCGCGATTCGTACTTTGAACGTACACATGGGTCGAGTCATGTTTCAGAATCTGCGCAGTATCCGCTCGACCTGAGAAATTTTGTTGTTAAGGTGACGACAGAAGTCCTACGTGCCTGGAAAGCTGTGAGGTTAATGCAGTGTGCCGGATCTGCGTTCGAGAATCCCGCTAATCACCACTCACCAGGCCCCTGGGAAGTCCGAACGTGCATACTACATGACCGTGTTTCAGCATTATCTTCCAGGCTGTAGGTAAGATTTATTCCAAGCCATGCCACGGCAGTTGTGGGGTCTGAATTGGTTGACCTCACCTGTCGTATGGTCGTGGCCGTTTCTTGTCGCTGCAACGCGATGATGACGCTGGCTATCTGGCAGCACTCGTCCGGTCTTTCAGCTTTTTGACATGTGCTTCTTGTTGTTCCTGCTGCTGAGCCTGGTGCATGGTCGCTTGGGGCATTCGGATGGCACAACTGCATCCGATGTATGGTTTTCTCTCTTTCAAGTTTCTGAGCGAAAAGGTGGAGCGATCTCCACCTAAAACAGCATCGATGTCGAACTCGTATGTCGGTGTGCGAAAACCTTCGCCAAAGCAAGGTGCAGTCGAAAACAGAATGGCAGGATGGCGCTCGTGGCAGGCAACATCCTTGTGAGACATGTGGTCGAAGCTTGGGAAGACATCACGAAGCGTTGCGTTCGACAAGGATGGACGGCTATAACGCATTTCGCGACCACAACCTATCCAGCCTTGCGACTCTGCAATGGGGCCGTAGTACGCAAACCGATAGAAGACGATTCTCGCAACGGCTGGGCGTCTCTCGCTTGAGGCTTGGGCCGTCATCGTCGTACTTCGCGGCGTCATGTCGATGGTCGGCTGCTACGTCGCTAATAGTTCTTATCGGGCACGAGAAAGCTGGGTCGGCATGGAAAGACCAGAAACTGTGCATGTTGGCTTCGTGGAATGCTCTGCGATTGATCATTTGCCTTGCGTCTGCTTGACCTCCTCCTCAGCAATCAGGCCCAAGACTTCTTGCTCCGCCATCCAGCCTCGAACGCTATCCATGACGGTCTCGAGCGCCTTGCCTCCGTCCATGACCTCGGCCAGGTTCCTTAAGTCCAGACCACTGCGGTGATCGCTCACACGTTGCTGGCCCCAATTGTACGTCCTGACTTTGTTCTCTCGTCCGACTTTTCCAGCACCAGCCGTCCGTCTCATGCGCATCAGCTCTTCTTCTCTCTCTTCACGCCGCATCTGGGCTATTCGCGATCGCAGAATTCGGCATGCCTTTTCACGGTTCTTCACCTGCGAGCGCGTGTCTTGCATTGCGACGACAGTGTTCGTAGGTATGTGGGTCAGTCTGACTGCAGACTCGGTTTTGTTGACGTGCTGGCCGCCTGCCCCTCCTGCTCGCATGACCTCTGATCTGACCTCCTTCGGATCCACGTAGTAGTCGCTCTTTGGATCGTTGAAGCTGTTTTCGCCCATGTCCCCCGCATCGTCCGAAACCGATGGCAGGACCAGAACGCTTACGGCACTGGTATGTGTGCGGCCTTTGCTCTCGGTAGCTGGCACTCTTTGAACTCTATGCACGCCTGCTTCGCAACGAAGGATTCCGTATGCGCCTGGAGACTCAACTTCAAGAACAGCTTCCTGTACGTGAGCGCCCCCACCTGCACCGCTCCCCGAAGCAGTGTAGTCCGCAGTTTCATACTTTAGTAGCGAAGTTCGAAGGCCATTCCGCGCACAATAAGCCTCATACATTCGTACCAGATCTCCTGCAAATATAGCAGCCTCATCTCCTCCAGCTCCTGGTCTAATTTCGACGAGACAGGGTAGATGCGCGAATGGGTGTGTGGGTATCAAGCTCGACTTCAGCGCTTCTTCCGCCTTCTCAACTCTCTCATTGGCAGGTTCGACATCGTCTTGTGCCAGCTCCTGAAGCTCCTTGTCTGAAGACTTCAAGAGCGATTGTAGTTCGTCCCATGATGAGCGTGCTTTGTCATACGCCTTCACAGCGTCCGCAGTACGCGACAGCTCCCCCAATCGTTTCGCAGCACTCGCATCGAAGTCGGTAGCCAGCTTCTGACTGAGGTTCGTGTACTCTGTCGCAATAGACCGAGCTTTGGAAAGTAGGGTAGGTGAGACCGCATTACTTGACGGTACTTTCGTTAGGTTAGCTTGTTGTGTTCAGCCACTCATCTGGTTCGGCAACATACCAGTGCTTTGCAACCGCTGCTGTACTCGCACGCCATGGCGAAGCGGCAGCGCAAGTCTGCGCAAGCATGATGAGCAGATCCAGGGCGAAGGAGGCATTGAAGAGCTCTGAGCTTCGAAGATATCTCGAGACAGGAGCGACCCTTCAAAGTTTCTCCCAGCCAATCGGCTGAGCTACCAACCATCTTGCGCTAAGATCGATTAGCGCCAGGAACGGAGGTGAATCGTGGAGAAGCTCCTTGTGTGACGTCGACGACATTGCAATCGTTTTGCAGGGGAAAGCCTTTGTTGTGCAGCTCGTGAAGAGTGAAGAACAATTCTCGAACACTCTTTTAGTTGATGATTTCTCGATACATCAGACTCTCCAGCCCCCTGCAACAGAATCCGACCGGACGTCTGGGGAACGCGTTCTACAGCTCTCTCTCGAACAAGACGACAATGGCTCCCAAACGCAAGGCAACGTCTCCAGTACGGCCATCGCCTTCGAACAAAACGAAGCCTGAGAGCAATGGCCAGCCGCAATTCGACCACTCGAGGATCTCGAAAAAGTCAGGCATCGTGCAAAGACAGTTCTATCCCCCAGAGATGAGCAATGAACGATGCAAAGAATACAACGATAACGAGATTCCTCGGCCCATCGAGCTTCTTGAGAAGAGCATCAAGGATACCAAGCCCGAAAGAGAAGAGATCCAAGTGGGTGAATCGGTGGTACACTGGTTTAAGCGAGATCTTAGGACGTTTGACAATAAAGGGCTTCGATTGGCGAGTGAGAAGGCCAAGAGCAAGAATGTGCCTCTGATATGCATGTTCATTGTGTCGCCTCAGGATTATGAGGCACACTTTACGTCGCCGGCGAGAGTGGATTTCGATCTGCGGACACTGGAGGTGCTGAAGAGCGATCTGCAAGAGAAAAACATACCTCTACATACAGTCACTATTGACAAGAGAAATGATGTCCCTGGACATGTCTTGGAAGTATGTGGGAAGTGGGGCGCGAAACACATTTTCTGCAATATCGAATACGAGGTCGACGAGCTGAGGCGAGAGACGAAGCTGTTGAAAAAGTGTCTTGAGAAAGGAATCGACTTCCAACCGGTACACGACGATGTGGTCGTACCGCCAGGTAACCTCGCGAGTGGTGCTGGCAAGCAATACAGCGTATACTCACCCTGGTTGAAGGCATGGATCAAGCATCTGCATGAACATCCAGACATGCTGGACGCGGCAGAACCACCGCACCAGAATCCAGAGACTGCGAAGACGAAGTTCAAAGATATCTTCGAGAAACCAATACCGACCGCGCCACCGAGCAAGGCCATCAAAGATGCGGAATACAAGCAACGGCTGGGAAATATCTGGCCCGCCGGGGAACACGAAGCTCAAGACCGCCTCGAGCGCTTCACTAAAGAGAAGATCAAGAACTACGCTTCCTCTCGCAACCTGCCCGCTGCGAATAGCACATCACTGCTCTCAGTCCACCTCTCGGCCGGTACATTGGCCGCACGCACCGCCGTTCGAGCAGCCCGCGACAGCAATAGCTCCCGCAAGCTAGATGCTGGATCAGCCGGCCACGGCACCTGGATAAGTGAAGTCGCATGGCGTGACTTCTACAAGCACGTCCTAGCGAATTGGCCGTACATTTGCATGTTCAAGCCCTTCAAATACGAGTACAGCGACATCGAGTGGGAGTACAACGACGAGCACTTCCAACGCTGGTGCGAGGGCAAGACCGGATTTCCTATCGTCGACGCGGCGATGCGGCAGTGTCTGTATATGGGCTACATCCACAACCGCTGCAGGATGATTGTGGCGAGTTTCCTCGCGAAAGACCTCCTGCTGGACTGGCGACTGGGTGAGAAGCACTTCATGGAGAACCTCATCGATGGGGATTTCGCTTCGAATAACGGCGGCTGGGGATTCAGTGCCAGCACGGGCGTGGACCCGCAGCCTTACTTTCGAATCTTCAACCCTTTGCTGCAGTCTGAAAAATTCGATAAGGAGGGAGAGTATATCCGGAAATGGGTGCCTGAGCTGGCTGGGATGGAAGGCAATGCTATCCACGATCCTTATGGACGGGGCAAGGGGAAAGAAGCGGAGAAGGCTGGTTATCCCAAGCCGATTGTGGATCATAAGACTGCGAGAGCGAGGGCGTTGGAGAGATATAAAGGGGGGCTTAGGAGGAGTACGGCGAATGTTGGAGGGGGTGTGCATAATTGATGGAGCTGCTGTCAACCTATGAGTAGGGGAAGTATGTCAGGTTGTACCAAGATCCTGGTGCAAGATGTTGAATTGTACCAAAACGAGCAAAGGCTCTTGAATTGTTTTCATTTTTCATTTCTGTCATCTCGCAAACTGGGTATGCTAAACTCCATTGCTATGCATCATCTCCTTCACACAACTCACTCACTACACAAGCATACAAGCCGCAACAAAAGCCATCAAAGTCACCATCAACCCACTGACCGACGCGCCCATCGCACCACCAGTATAAGCCTGCGGCTCCGTCGCCGTGCCATTGCCATTCCCATTCCCAGTACTGCTCGCCTTCAGGCTCGAGTTAGCCACAGGATAAGGCCCACTAACATCCGCCCCAAAGAAATTCCTCGCACTCTCCGGCGGCACATTCTGGCCAGGCGCAATAACTCCCGGCTTCGAAGAAGGATGTCCCGTCGAACCCGCCACGCACGAAGCATTGCCCCAGATCGAATCGTACGCGGCCTTCCAGATGAGACTCTGGTCCGCGAGCATCGCGGGCGTGTAGAAGCGTCTGCAATCCGCCGCTTCGTAGACGAACTGCAGCGGCGTGACGGACGCATCGCCCTGCCGGATGTTATTCCGGATGTTGACTTTCGCCTGGACTTCGTTCTCGATGACCGCCGCGCGGGCGAGGGCTTGTTGGGCGGGCGCGGTGAGGTTGCCGTAGGTCTTTTGGAAGTAGGCGGCTTGCGCCGGGGTCGCGTCGTCGACGCCGGCTTCGTCGATGGCCATGGCGAGAAGGTCCCAGCCGTAGACGTTGGCGCCTTTGACGCCGCCGACGGCTTGCTGGGGCCCGGTTTGCGCGCGGCCGCCGAAGACGACTTGTTTGATGGATTTTTGGGATTTCACGAATTCGCTGAAGACGGCGCAGGTGGAGGCGCAAATGCCGTCTTGCACGAGGATGATGTTCTCCTGCTGGAAGACTTGGACGGGCGTGATGTTGGTGATGTTGCCGAAGCCGGAGATGTTGCTGCAGCTGAAGGTGTACTTGTCGTTGAGGTTGTAGCGCGTGAGGGAGGTGAAGTTGTCGCCATGGTACTCGTGGGGGCCGAAGAAGTCTTGCCAGGACGTGAAGTTTCCGTTGTCGACGTTGAGTTGTTCGCGGTAGTTGAAGGGGTGGATGGAGAAGTCGGTTGGATTGTTGCATTCGTCTGGTGAGATGGTCGCGTTGGTGACGTTGGAGTAGAAGTCGCTGACGATGATGCCGACGTCGTTGCCGAGAGGTGTGGCGCGGAAGTTGGTCGCTCCATACGGGATGGACTTTGGGAAGAGCTGGGAGAAGAGGTCGTATGCCAAATCGACATCACCACCTCCGTTACCGCGCAGATCGATGACCAGCTTCTTCTTGCCAGCGGCCTGCGACATGGCCAGGAATTGACGGACAACGTTCTCGAATTGCGTGTCGTCAGCTGGCTGGAAGGTTGGGATCGAGAGCACAGCAAGCTCTTTGTTGTATCGAGGGTGGTATCCAGCAACTGAGCCATCATCGTTGATGATGACAGGCACTGGGTAACCATCAGGTCCTGGATTGGCAGTCTGGGTAGGAACGGCTTTGAAGGGCACCTCCGTGGTTGGGATGACTGGCGCCTCGGTGGAGGACGGTGTAGGAGTAGCATCCTCCTCGGAGGATGTCTGAGGAACACAGAACTGCTCGAAAAACGACTTTCCATCAACAACGCCAGTGAAGTTGGCCGTAGTTGTAGCGTAGTTTTGCATAATACGCGAGGTGCCGTTACGGAATGTCAACGTGGTCACTGGTCCACTGTAAAAAGAGCTCGAGGCGAAGACGCCTACACTCTTGGCACCGCGCACGTATTCGGGGAACATGGTGTTGTAGTTGGCGTCGGGGTCTTGGTTGTTGCCGGTGGCCGCAGCATTCTGATTGAGGAACGCCTCAACGTCTTGACCATTGATACGCGCGACTGGCGAGGTAGTCGAGTTTGTCCCGTTTGGTGAGTTGAACGCTATGATGTCCGCAGCGAGATAGACCTCTGGCACCGAGATTCCATCTTTGGATACGGAGTATAGCGGTTGTCGAACGAAGCTAAAAATCTGAGTAATATCCGCAAAGTACCAGAAGTGACCGTCGTGGGCGCTGTTTATGGTGTCCAACAGGTCGAATTGGAAATCGTATTCTCCTTTGTATTCGTTGTTTTCCAGCTTCTTCGCAATCTGGTCGTAGGCACCAAAGACATCAACAGCTGGGTATAGATAACCCTCTGTGGGAGTTTTCAGGTAGGCCAAGGTGCTCTGAAACTGGGTAAAGGTTCTGACACCCTCCAACTGCAGCGCTGCATCCTTGGTATGAAGAGGGACAGACTGCAAGCAAGCGTAGGCCACCTTCGCATCCAGTGGAACGGTGTGCTTTGCGGTCTGGTTTCGAAGTGCCTCGCTGATTAGAGCACACGGCTCTTCGCTCGTACTCGTCGTGTTGTGGGCTGGGGTGTTCGTAGCAGCTCGAATGTAGTCGGAGATTCCTGCAGGAGATGCAGAAGCCGCGCCTAGGAGGGCGGCAGCGGCGGCGAATGCGCGCATCTTGTCAAAGAAATGACAGACGAAAGGAAATACTAGGAAAGGCGCACTGAATGTTCCTTTGGACACAAGAAGTTGATGAGTGATGAAAAGCCCCGAGACAGAGACCTACGAGGCCCTGTATATACTGGTCCACACTTGTTCCCGCCATGATCGCCCCCATCATTTGACGCTGTACGCCTGATATACCTTCGCAAGGCGTCCAACACAGCCTGCTTGAGGTTTAGTCCATAGTCGACTAAAAGCGTGCCATGAGGGTAAAGGGGCGGCTCCAGCGCTACCGTCTATGCGTAAGGCATGCCATGTGGATGGACCATGGGCAGTCCGGCGGCTTCAGCCTCTCCAACCGACGGCGGGTATGTAGAGGCTGGGGCCACGAGCTGAGACGGCAGTGCTCGTGCAATAGGCAAGTATCCGCACGAAGGATGATCAGTCGTTTGGTTAAGCATCGTTTCCACATGCCTTGGTGATGTCTTATTCTCCGTGACGCAAGCTTGGATGAGATGTCATCTTTAACGCTTTGTACCCGTTGGTCGTTCTGGAGTATGGCAACCGCTCGGATGTCGTTCCCTGAAGGCCTCTGGTCTTGTTCGTCTGCGTGACGTATCTCAATTCTCGCCTGATGTGATGAACGGTGGCCATGATGTTGATCGGGCTATTCGTGGTAGACTAACGGGCCGTCAGTACAACGCAGAAAGATAATTTGCAAACGTGCTGTGCACGTCTGCGTCGGGATGCCGAACATGGCGAGAGCTGTGAAGTCTATTCGGTGTGGGTCGTGCGGAGACGCACGTGCTCGGATAAATTTAGAATCCGCTCAATCTTTGCCTTTCCAGGCCACCGGAGGCCGTGATGAAGCATCAACAAGTTCCCTGTTTCCACAGTCCAACAACATGACCATCGCAGCTGAGACGAACCGAGAGGCCACCATGATACCCACCATGTTCATGGCCAATCCGGAAACGGTAACAGGTACTCCAATGTGGCCATAGGGTCGCGTCGGCTTTGGGCATCGTTACTCGGCGGCTGAAGCGCGGTTGTTTCGTGGACAGTGACAACTGGGAAACCACTCATCGCTGGAATCTGTATCGTCGAGGCGGTGCCTAGACCAGAGTCGTGGTGAAGGCCATTCAACAGCCGGAGTCGAAATGCCGTTCTTGGACATTGGTAATTCCTCGTGCACCGAAGGTCCCCCATATTGCTATTTTTTAAGGGAATAGATATCGTCGCGAGGTCCTCAGCCTCTGGAGTCACCGTCTATTCCGGTATACTCGATTTCTCGCTGATGGCTCTGTGCCATGGAGCTTCGCCGCTTCGCCCTTTGTGTGTCCAACATCTGGCCACGCGTGCTGTCCGGCCAGTCCACATCAGCTGTCAGCCAACATGATGGTCACCTTTGATGTGGTGTTTCGCGAACACGTGTCGAAGAGCAGGTGACAGCATCCATGAAGCCGTGCGTGGAAGTCCACTTCTCGTCTTGGCGCATCCTGTGAGAGAGTATAAGTGTCCATCACCGTACCCTCGCCCTATGAGCACAAGAGGCACAGCGTAAGCTTCGAGAGACAGCATTGTTTCTACAATGACCCCTCCAATGGCCTCGCGATCTTCACGTGTCGCTGACAATGTGCTCCGTTTTTTAATCGTTCGCCAAGGTCCCAAGAACACCGCCAAGGTCCTTCCGCGGCTCTGACGACCTAGAGCTGGGTTCTCTGACGAGGCATTCGCAACCTTGCTGGGCCATGTCGACTTCTTCCTCCTGCTGAAATGGCCAGACAGTAAAAGATTGGAGTCGAGCTTCTGACCAGGCATTTGGAACTTTGTGGCGAATGGACCATCTTCGGCGAATCGAATCAAATCAGCTTCTGAATACGACTTCCAATTGAACCTTGGCAACATTCGATATTGTAAAGACATCTCGCGCTCAGAGGTTCAGCAATCGGGATCTCGACAATGGCAGAATGTGGAACCGGCACGCGGAAGGAGGACTACAATCTTCCTTTGCACGTGGGAGCCTTGTTCATCATCCTGGGAGTTTCAGCAGGTGCTTGCGCTTTGCCGTTGGTCGCATTGAAAGTGCCGCAGCTACACATACCTCCTAAGGCTCTGTTCGTCTTCAGACACTTTGGAACCGGTGTTCTGATAGCTACTGCCTTTGTCCACCTCTTCCCAACGGCCTTCGTTTCGCTGACGGACCCTTGCCTGCCGAGTTTCTTCAATGAGCAGTATCCAGCATTTGCAGGGGCAATTGCTCTTGCAGCGGTGTTCATTATCACAATCGCGGAGATGATATTCAGCCCTGGTCGATCGATCTGTTCTGGGCCAGAGGCAAATGCGGCGGCAGCTTGTTGCGACGGGGAACCCAGTGCGATGCCGTCACGTACTGCGTCGATGGCCATCGATGAGATTACGCCTGGTGAGTAGGCTAGAACATTGTAGAATACTACGCAAGCTAATGATATGCAGCTCAAATAACGCCCGAGTTTGGACGAACTAGATCAGGAAGATCCCACAAGAAAACCAAGGATTTCCAGGAGAGTGCTGCAGATGTTAGCAACGAGGATCAAACCACGGCCGTCGGACTTGGTCGAACCAGCGAAGACAGTCTTGATGCCATGGACGAAAAGGAAGAAATTCAACAGCGCAAGAAACTTACAATGCAGTGTATGCTTCTCGAATGTGGTATTTTGTTCCACTCTGTCTTCATTGGAATGGCGTTGGCTGTTGCTGTTGGCAGTGAACAGGTCATCCTCCTGATTGCCATTGCGTTTCACCAATGCTTTGAAGGGTTGGCGCTGGGTTCTCGCATCGCTACGGTCGGTTGGCGACCACGCGCACTTCAGCCCTGGTTCATGGCCTTGGCATATGGCTGCACGTAAGTGGACTCTCAGACATTCAAGTGTACCAGAGCTGACGTCGACGAAAGAACTCCCCTTGGACAAGCCATCGGTATCGCGACTCGCAATCTTTACGATCCAGACAGTGAAACTGGCCTCATCGTCGTCGGTACGATGAACGCCATTTCGGCCGGCCTCTTGACTTACACCAGCTTGGTCGATCTGTTGTCGGAAGACTTCTTGAGCGACGATAGTTGGCGATTGTTACGCGGTAACAAGCGACGAATTGCGATGTCGTTGGTCTTCCTTGGAGCTTTCTGCATGAGTTTGATTGGAGCATGGGCATAGGCGACGAATGATGAATGTTTGCGAACAGTGCATTCAGACGAGGTGGAAGACTGAGAGGCTGATATAAGAGCAGCCACGAGTAGTTGGCGCAATAGCTATATCAGGTGACCTCTGACCAGGAAAGGAATGTGTGTGGGTCTCAGCTCTGAGGCTGAACAACAGCGCTTTACGTTTTCACCCTTGCACTCTCTTTCAACTTCATCTCGCTTCTTCATCTGTCAGCAACGCCATTGCACTAAAGCACCGCAGAAGACTTCGTCGCCCTTCAAAATAGCTCCGAAGCCCAGCCGACGGCCGCAGCAGTTTTCACCGGCGCGGCACTGCCTGCATGAGGCAGCTATGCGGTACGGCTGAAGGAGGCGTTCGGAGGAAGAACAAGCAAAGAGTCCTAGACTACCGTCGCGACTAGGTTGCACCTAGGGTTCATGAAGAGTATCAACGATACCAACCAATCCGGATCCAGGATGTTTGCTCTTATCGGTCTAATATGCACCGGTCTCACAGACTGCCTAACTGTTTGTTGTTATTGCGGTGCGCTGCGGCTGGGCTTTTTGGCTTTTTCTAGACCTGCGCCGCAACGATGCAGGTCGTTCGAACAAGGCTGGCCTAGCTTGGGGTCTATTGCCTTGCCTGATCCAGCGGCAGGATGGGCGGTGGGGTGATTGTTTGGAGAGGGTACATGAAGGCTCGCATGCCACTTCGGTAGGTGAAGTCTTTCTTCGTTCGTTGTCACTTCACCTGCTCTAGGGTATCAATCAGCGTTTCCTACGATACCGCCAAGAAAAACCAATATGCGCTCTACAAAGCCTTTCCTCCTCTTCACCACCCTTCTCCCACTCGCCTCAGCAGACTTCTTCGTCTCCAACACATCCGTGTGTATGGGAAGTTTTGGGATCGCGCAGTGTTATACTGGCGCCAAAGTCCTCTCCGGAACCAACAACAAAACAGACTACACCTGCTCCCATCTCGTCCCGGCCCAAGACGACCACTACCTCAGCAACGGCACGGCCGGGCCCTTCGGATCCGACCACCTGATTGTCAATGGCGGGCTCTGCGATTCCGGCAAGCTCAAGTTCGTCAAGGATGGCGAGGCGTATATTGTGAATGACGAGGATGACAAGACGGTGGGGAATTGTGTGTGGGATAACAGTACCACGAGGTCGTGTAATATGTGGGTGGGCATGTTGTTTTTTCAGAGCTTGTATAAGTGTACGAGTAGTGTTTGTGGGTGAGAGGGTTCCTGGAGAGAGGTGGTGTACGATGAGTCTCGAGACCTCTGGCTTCTACTATGGTGGCGAAGGGAAGGAGCGCATGGCAGTGAGAGAGGAAGCCCGCGGGATTCGTTCTGGAAAATACAGTAACTCTGTGGAGACAGAGGTGGCCGAGGAGCGTGCCTGATGGGAAACGAAAGCCCAAGTAAGACAACTGAACCCAAGCGGTCTGAGCTCTCGGGCATCCTATGCTGTACTACGGAGTCGAGGTGGCAAATCTCGATGGGGAGAAAGTCAGTCAAGCAACAGAATGGTGAACGGCTGGGTCGAGCCTGAGAATGAACAGTTGGAAATTTGAACGAAGCGTCGAATAGAACCAGAAAGCCGCTATGAATCAACAACGCTACAAAGCAATCCAAACCTCAATTCACCTCACCCCATCCTCTCCAACTCATCCAGTCCGATCAACTCTCTTATCCCTATCCCATATGACCTCAGTAGAACCCACTTCCCTGAACTGGTGTATCCGGTGGATCGGCACGAAATCCTCCGCCTGCTTGTCCTTCGTCCACTCCTCGAGCGGCTTCCACAGCAGCTTCGTCTCGAATCGATCTTTGTATCCGACTTCGTATCTGTTCGATGCATGCTTCGTGTCCCACTGCAAGCGGTTTAGCACTTCTTGCGAGGTTCTGAATTTGTCTGAGGGTTCTTGTGCTGGAGAAGTACTCGTCAGTGCCGTCTGTTTGTTCTTGGCTTCTTCTTCTGCTAGCGGGTCGATGAGGGGGCTGTAGTCGAGATGCAGGGCGAAGACGGCTGGGAGACGGTCAGCATTGTTGATCCTCAACTTGGCAGGTCAAGACGAGATTGCTTACCTGGCAAGTTGTGCGCTATCACTTCAAGGTCCCCAAGCGCCTTTGTTAGTGCTTGTCTGTCCATGACTTCGTACTGGACTGTTCTTCCAACCCCTTCAAAGTCCCTTGGGTTGAGAGTGGTCCGGCTTATTTCAACGGCATGATCGTAAACATCCTGAAAAGAACGCGATGGTGACTCTGCGGATGCGGCGATCAGGAACGTGATGTTATCCAGGTGGCCAGTAGGTAGGCTGAACTCGGGGTATGCTGTCAATTGGAATTCACGTCCGAAATGTACAACGTGAAGGGCTTCAAAGCGGGCCACTCGGTAGCGCGTCTCCGAGATGAACCTATGCTGCGCGAGTTTGCTTTGATGTCTAACATCCCAGCAGCTGGCGTCGATCTTGATGAAGACCTCATACGTCGCTACAAAGTCTTTGAGCGCGTCGACGGTCCAGTCTGCGAGATCAGAAGGCGGCGCAACTCTCTCGATCGCCTTTTTCATGCGCATTCTGTGATCCGAAGACATCTGAGACATGTAACGCCTGCAGATAATCAGCCAAATGACAATACAACAGGACGAGAAATACCCACCCATCACTGAGCGGAACGTGGCACATATGGCGTGGTAGCTGGCAAAAGCTGTTGCTTCTGATGATTCTAAAGACGAGGACCCAATCAGCGTTTGTTGAGTGTTGTGGGCAGAGATCTGGAGCATAACATACTTGTAGAACAGCTTGTTCTCGTTCACTGGTGAGGATGCAAGGCGTTCAACATCTTGAATGTGTTCGAAGAATCCCTCGGTGTAATACTTGACCAGAACTTCTTCCGTTCCTATCCGACCGTCTGGTGACATGATTCCGACCCGGTAAGCCCAATCGCGAACCAGCAAATAGTTGCGACGATATATCGTTGAAAGGCACTGCAACGCAAGGGGCTCTTTCGAATTCTCCACAAAGCGAGAAAAGCTAGACAGCTCTTCCGGCAGAGCATCATCAACCCTTTTGTGGCTGAGCACCAAATCCAAGCCATTAGGCAAGGCAAGACCAATCCGGGCAAGTTGCTCATCTATGATTTCGATCATGCCCGTTTCCCTGTCGACACCGATGTTCTCAAGAACAAGTCTCTCTTTGATGTGCTCCTCGAATAGCTCCATTCTCAGACGTGTTCGACATTCAAGGCGGACAGAGTTTTGAACGGCGAAAAGTCCAAAGACGTGAGGAGAGGCTCGAGTCAGGCGACCGAATACGTCCAGAGGCAGCATTGCCACTACGGATCCGCGGGTGAAATAGTCTCCTGGACCGGCACGTGGAGGCGGATCCCATGTGATGTATTCGAATTCGAGCCTCTGCGCAATCTGTTCGACGACATGCTCCACTCGCGCGTATGCTTCGTCGTTCTTCTGGAGAAGAATGTCCGCCATTGCTGTCGCGGGTTGTTTGAGGTTTGGAGATAATGTCGGGTCGCTCGCTGCGATGAGGGTTCTGTCAAGTCGCACGACGCAGGGTTCGCCGACTGTTGTGTAGAAGACCAGATAAGCCTGTTTGTTTGTGTTGTGCCAATATTTCGAGTGCGGATTGAGATTTGAAGAGACAAAGTCGAAAGAAGAAGGAGCACGTGCGCCGAGGCGCAGCACCTGAATACGGAAGAAACGACGACCTGACTCACCGGCTTCGCCCTCTTGCTCCTACTTCGAACAGATACTTCAATCTCCAATCAAATATTCACCAGAAATCAGTGCAACCATCCATTGGGCGCATGAACGTCGTTCATGGGTGGCGATGTCACTTTTGGTTCCAACGACATGTGGACCTCTGAGCCGGGTAAATTTCCGCCCAAATCTAAACCAAGTCAATTCCGCCATGTTCAAGTTTCCAACGTGCTTTCTGTGGCGGTCAGAGGTTTTGTTGGAGCGAGTGTCGGAAGGGGAGTCAGATTTGACTCACTCATTCACCTACTCGGCGCTAACCGCTTGTGACAGCCAGTCACGGGACCCTGAATTTTGTCTCCATGTCGCATGACGTTCCAGCTTCAATGCAGTGCATTGCAATTTCTTCGTCAATGGCCCGAAATCTTTGGTTCGCGAGTGCCCATCAACCGCATAGATTACTGGCAGCTAGGGCATGTACTGCGGCTGATGCCAATACCCGCTAAGGATCGCTTCGACTCGCTTGGTCTCGTACATCTCCACTGGTGGTGTGGTCAAGTCGACTGAAAGAAGCATCGGTCCGCTCAGTACTGGGTATGTTCGAGCTGACATGCCTATGCTGGCAAGTGTCCCGCTTGACCGGCTGTAGGCAACACAGCTATGATCGCAACTGGTAGTCAGTCGGCGTCTTGGCTCCTCGTAGCGTCTGGAGACGTTCATAGCCGCCCAACGTGAGCTGGAGGGCATGTCGGTCTCTCATGGTATAAAGAGGTAGGAAGCATCCGTGGTAGCTCGTCCGTCTTCCTTCCCCTGGACAGCTTGCTTTGAGATCATTAGCCCTCATATCGTAGAAGCCATGCTTACATACTTTTTCTTCAACCTTGCTCTTACAGCTCCATCGCTGGCCCAGTTCGCTGCAACCACGACATTTACGTTCTCTGGTAATACGCTACCGACTGGTCTGAGCGCTTCGGATTGGATAGTGCCAAGGGACCCCGATACGCCTGCTGTATATGATCACTTGTTCGTGCCAGAGAATGCTCGCGTACAGGATGGCTTTCTGGAGCTCGTCGTTCCTGGTGGCCAGACCGAAAATCCAATACGATCTGCCGAGGTCTTCACATGGTTCAATGTCCTGTATGGAAGCGTGCGAACTTATGCCATCTTGACTGAGGAGCCGGGCGTCTGTAATGGTAGGGCTCTGCACCATCTCCGCCCGTGCGAACGTCGCTGACAATGTTTTCCAGGAATGTTCATGTACTTTGACGATAATCAGGAGACTGACATCGAATGGATCAGCGATCCAGAATCTTTTGCGAACGTCGATGCCAATAATGGGACCAGGGCTATGCTCTACACAAACCAGAATCTCGTCGAAGGTGTAGACGCCACCACCGTGTCTGGTCGCTCCGCCGTAGATGCCACTTCTGCGGTCCATGAATATCGCCTTGACTGGACCGAAGATGCTACACGATTCTATCTCGATGGCGTGCTGCAGCAGACCATCACAGAGAACGTTCCCACTGTGCCGGGACAATGGCTCTGGAACAACTGGGTGTAAGTCGCCGGCATGCCGAGTTCCGTGACCTGGCTCTCGCTGACACAAGACAGTAATGGAGATCCCTACTTCACGGCCGGCCCACCTGTGGGAGATGCAGTCTTCAAGATCCAGAAAATTGTAATGTTCTACAACCCTGCGCGAGAGGTTTTGCCAGGCCGGAGAAAGTCGGATCTGGACTTTCGTGTATATAGAAGTCGTCCTGATCTGCTCAACGAGTCTCGACGGAAGTGTATCGTGGACGCAATCTGTGCAGAAAAGACATGGCCGACGAGTCATGCTAGTAGATTGACTTGTGCGTGGTTTGATGCCGAAATGGAACCCTCATCTGACGTACCTCTCACTAGCCTGCTTGATCACCGAACCGCTCAGGGGCTGTTGTCTCATAGCGCGTGTGAGCTTTGTGTCAGAACGTTCGTCGTCTACTGGGAAGGTCATTCTCAGGAGCCAACCAAGTCATTTCAGAAAGGTAAAGGGAATGTTGTCGATGGAAAAGAAGAAGAGACCCTTTTCCACGGCTGCACGTCAACTCAGAGAGGCGCCATTAGCGTGTGCATTACTCACCCGGCAACGTCTTGACATCCCTGTTTCTAGAAGCGGGAGAAGGATCCTGCCGTGGTCTTGAGCCAGAGAATTGCTCGAGCTCAGATGCTGCTGTGGGGCCCACACCCGCCTCGCTCATCATACTCTCTCTGCCCGCCAACCGCCGCGTGCTTGATGCAGTTGGTTTACTTCACCGTCGCCAGCTTCTTTTGATATACCCCCATTGTTGCGATTGTTTCCCTCCTTTTCGACTTGCTTGTGGCTTGATCGTGGAATGCGAGCTTGTCTGAATGCTTATCGATCTAAATCGTCGCCGTCGTTCCTTGCATGAGCATTGACCGAACCATCTCGCGGAAAAGACGCTACGGATATCACGCTCTGTTGAAATTGCTCTCCCTATACCGGCCAACATACCTCTCCTACGTGCTGTCCCCATCGAAGTCGTCGCAACGATCGAGATACATTCTCCGCTCAGCACAAGTACATACACCACGCCAATGGGACCGGGTCTATACCGCTAGGCATTGCAGCGCCGGTTGGCTGCAGCAGAAGTACCTTGCCGTTGGATGTGTTGGATCTCTCACCGCCTATATATCGAACATCATCTGTATCTCGAGACGTTTGCGAACTCTCATGGTCAGTCATACGACGCAGGAGCTCGCGTTTCCATCGGCAACTTGAGACTGCAATAGGATGCGCCGACATCCGCTTCGAGGCTCGCAGTCGGCGCGGTCTGCCAACCCTCCAGATGCTCTCAGCTTGATCCAAAGTTATGATTCAGATCTGAACCCTTCGAGACCCGTCAAGTCGTCCCCTCTAGGCTCTTCACTCGACACCGGACTTCCACTCGAGCTTGTCGATCGACTCAAAGCGTTCCCCCTCTTCGCGACCGCGCCCGAATCCTTCCTACTCTCAATCGGCAAGAGTCTACGTCCAAACATATATCAACCATCACAAGAGATCATCAGAGAAGGCGAAGATGCAAAGGCGATGTACTGGCTTGTTCGTGGCTCAGTGCGCGTCACGAGCAGGGATGGAGAAAGCACATACGCCGAGCTCAAGCCCGGCTCGTTCTTTGGAGAGATTGGAATCCTGATGGACATGCCGCGCACTGCCAGCATTGTGGCGAGCATAAGGAGTTTGGTCGTTCGACTGAACAAGGAAGACCTGCAGAAAGAGCTGCCTTCCTACCCCGACGTTGAACAAGCGATAAGAGATGAAGCGCTCGAGAGACTGGCCATTTTGGAACGCAAGAAGAAAGAAAGGGGTACAAGTCAACATACGAGTCAAGATGGTAGCATGCGACCACCTGCAGCACCGCGCAAACGATCACGTGATTGGATGGCCGGCGACGTTGAGATGGGCGAGGCTGGCTCTTTGGAAGACGGAGAGGTGACGAGCAACAAGAAACGAAAGTCGCCATCGCCGGGGATTGCAGAAGTTGCGGCTTCCAGCGCGCTCGGCTCCTCACCTCTGACGGTGCGGCAGCTACTGAAAGAGCTACCACTATTTTCTGGCCTGCCAGCGGATATTCTCCACTACCTCGGCGTGAATGCACAACCGGTCTCGTACCCACCCTTCACCGAGATTGTTCGGCAGGGAAGCAGTGGGCGTGAAGTGTACTTCATTATCAAGGGTAACGTGGAGGTTGTGACCGAAGTTCCTGGCACAAAACGAGCATCAGCGCAAGCGCTCACACCCGCAGAAACCAACGGCCATGCACAACATCCAGAGCAACGGATACGGGCTCGCCTTGTGGCTGGACAGTATTTTGGCGAGGTAACGAGTCTCAGCCTTGCACCAAGACGAACGGCTACTGTACGAAGTGTCAACGCAGTGGAATGCCTTCTCATCAACGGCGAAGTCTTAGATGAACTATGGAGGCGCTGTGGGCCTGAACTTCGACAACAAGTCGAGAATGAGGCGAGAAGACGACTCAAGGCAGCCCGAAAGGACGACGACATCGTGATGACCGACGTAGGAGGGCCTGTTGGCGGTGGCGTCCACACCGCTGCAGACTCTGGTGAAGATTCCGATGCAGGTAACGAAACCGAGGATGATTGGCGAAAGGACCTGCCGCAAGTCAAATTCGAAGAACCGCTGCCATTAGAAGAGGCTGGCCATTCGCCTACAGCATCACAGATGGAGCCCATCGACCCAGATCCATTCTTCAACGAGAACCTCGACAACATGCGCGCTAAGTCACGAAGGTCGTCTCTTGCGCCGCCTGTGCCTTCACCAGACAACCATTCAGCCGAGAACAGGACCCCCAGTCCACCTTTGGTCCGTGTCCTCCCATCATCGCCATTGAAGCCGTTTCCGCACAAGATGTCTCCGATATCATCGCCAGCCTCAGCATCACCAAGCTCTCCTTTACGACTGAGTCCGGTTGCCACGAGAAGACCGAGTCTCGACAGGCGGCCTTCAAATATTGGAAAGGGCAAGCTACCCGACAATGTCCTGGTAGACATACTCAGCAACCTGGATTTGCTACAAACAATGCGCTGTCGACAGGTGAGCATGCATTGGCATCATCTTATTTCGACACACGACGACCTTATGGTGGATCTGAACCTCGCCATGTATAACAAGTATGTGACAGACGACGTCCTTCAAAACATTATCGTGCCCATGGTGGGCAGTCGACCTCGCAACATTGACCTCTCCAATTGCTTTCACGTTACAGATGAAGGTTTCAGGGCGTTGACTGAAGCGTGTGGGGATGTGGCGAGGGTGTGGAAGATGAAATCAGTCTGGGACGTGACTGCAGGCGCCGTGCTCGCCTTGGTGGACAGAGCCAAGGGTCTGGAAGAGATTGATCTCAGCAACTGCAGAAAGGTCGGCGATGCTTTGCTTGCTCGAGTTGTGGGTTGGGTGGTGCCGGAAACGAAGCCTGGGATTCAACCTCCGCGGCCACCTTATCCTCTCAACGGCAAACGATCACATGGGAAGAAAGGCTCATCGTCGTCTTCACCTGGACACGAAAACCAGTCGCTACCTCCACCAGGAACCGTCATCGGCGCGCCAAAGCTCAAGCGCTTGACGTTGTCGTATTGCAAGCATGTCCAGGATCGCAGCATGGCACATATCGCCGTTCATGCCGCTGACCGGATCGAGAGCCTTGACCTCACAAGATGCACCAGCATTTCCGACGCTGGATTTCACTCATGGGGCGTGTACGAGTTCCGCAACTTGCGAAAGCTGGTGCTGGCAGACTGTACATATCTCAGCGACCAAGCGATCGTTGGCGTTGTCGGCGGCTGTAGAGGTCTGAGGGAGCTTGACCTCTCGTTCTGCTGCGCTCTGTCGGACACAGCGACCGAAGTGCTGAGTCTTGGTCTACCCGGCCTCAGGAGGCTTGATATGGCTTTCTGTGGTTCGGCTGTGAGCGACAACAGCTTACGCTGCATTGGCCTCCACCTGCTCGAACTTCGGCACCTCAGCGTCCGAGGTTGCGTGAGAGTCACAGGTGCCGGCGTGGAGAGTGTTGTCGAAGGCTGCAGATACCTCGAGTCTTTCGACGTCAGTCAATGCAAGAACCTTCGGCCTTGGCTTGAGCGAGGCGGTATGCAGCGGATCAATGGGCCGGGCATCGGACGAGACATCAAGTTTGATATCGTCGCTGACGGCTCGTGGAGAGCTGGTACTCGATGAGACGAGGCCTCGAAACACGTCCAAGTTTACAGGATCGTTATCATATCAGCGCGGCGTTCATTGGCGTGAAGATTGTAGGATATGCTGGATATTTGGGAGATCGATGTTTGGGGATATAGTTGAGCGGATGACCTCAACATCCGGGTTGATATGTCTTTTGCGCGTCAAGTCGTTTGTGTTTTGCAAGAGATACCACCCCTATTACGTCGATATATCACTGGAACGGCTGCAAAGTATGGAAAGAGCGACACCTCACGAGTCTCTTCGTTTTGTCTTTCGTCTGATCTGGGTATTTGAATGTGTGGGTTCACTATATACAAAACATTACTGCTCTGATACCGGACATCGTTACTCGTAGATGTAGCAGAAAGGACCCTCGAGCGTGCTCACGGCGTCCCGAATAGCGATCCCGGGAGCATTTACCCCCAGATCTATTATATCGTCGAGAGTCGCATTCGCACTCGGAGGATCATTATTCACTGTGTGCGTGCCAGCTATGACTTCGATACGATGCCACGGGTCGATATTCTGCCAGATCCACCAGCAGCGGTCGATTTGCGCGTGGTGCAGGAAGAAGTACGGATCGCTTGTTCGTATGTCAGTCTGGAGTTGCTTCTGTGGGCTAAGAGCGAAGAATAAGAACTCACCCAGGACTACTGAACAAGTCGCCGCCTGGATCGCTACCGACAAAGAAATGGCCACTGGTGTGGACGCCGAGAAAGCCTTTTGGAAAGTCGCCTTGCATGGTGTTCTGGAATGTGAAGATATTGTTGCTCTGGAGGATGAGATCCGTGACATTCTGATCTGTATTCCACCGCTCTGCTGCATAAGCGGACATGTCCCGTCTCAGACAGCGTGGATTGTAACCCAGGCCGTCTTTCTGCGGGTTTGGAGGAGCATCGTTGACGGCCGGCGCGACTGGACCGAGTCGGACTTGCATGTCTTTGAATGGGCCTGACTCGACGCAACCTCCTGCCTCGCCTGGGGGAAGGACGATGAATGGTTTGTCGTTGGATGGAATGTTAGTGCCGTTGTATTTTCTGTAGCAACCGTTCCCGCTCATGGAGGTGTCGCTACCGTCAAAGACCGGGGCGTTGTAGAGATCAAGTGCGTACTTGGGCCAATTTAAGTACGGTTGGTAGCCGGTGTATCCGCATTCGTCTCGTAGAGCTTGTTCGTATGTGAATGTGAAGTATCGGTGCCACGATAGAAAGCTTCCCTGTGGCAGATGTTGATCAGAGTGACTCAATCGCTTCGAAGCATGCCGTACTCACAGTGCCATGTATCGAACCCGTTTGGTTAATGTGAATGGCGAGAAAATCATCGTATCTGCTTCGAGCTCCCGGTGCAAGGTCGCCACTTATCGATGGCTTTTCCATGAGGCAGAGAATCGCGTCGATGTATTCGCGCTTCTCCTGGCGGCTGAAGGTCTCCCATTCTCTCCGTCTGTACGCGGTTTTGAGGCTGCAGTTCGCTCCATAGCCTTGTGGCTGAGATGATTCGAATCGTCGCAGTGTTCTCAGAGCCTGTGCCGCAAGCTTATCGGTCCCAGCGGAGGAAGCAGGTACGAAAGTCGACGAGCCCGTCAGCGCAGAGACGATTGTCTCTATGAAACGCATTCTAGGGTGCTTGGAAGTAGCAAAGCCCGTGAAGATTGTGATGCGACCAAGTAGAGTTCAAAACAGAGGTCCAAGAAATTCGCTCGCGGTGCGGCAGAGTGGTTTATTGTAACTTAGCGCCAATGTCAAGACCAACGAAGCGATCCCAGCAATACCGCGTGGCTACTATGTCATGTCCAATGGCCGGATAAGCAGGTCGGCTGCTATTTACTTACCACTCTTGCACCTCGAGAGGCAATGCTGCTGTCAATTAGTGCTCTGTTTCAGAGAGCCATTCAAACCCCTGGATTCGAAGATAAAACGAGACACAACTTCGCGGCTGTCGAAGTGGTTGTTGCTTGGCGAGGTCAACTAGGGCACTTCGCGTGGTTCCAGGAAATTGTGGCTATTCCGAGAGTTCTTGCCAGCGTTTTGCCTGCTGACCTGTGCCAATCTCGCCACAAGCACGGCATTGCGGGAGATACTCACCATCAAGGACGGAGATGCGGAAAGTGGGGAGGCGTTGGCTGAATTCTTTGTGGACGGAACCATGGCAATCGCTTGATAAGCCTCGACTGTATTTCACGGCTCAGAGGTAACGCGGCAGCCTCGTCGTGACTCGTTTTCGCATCGGGTGGAGGGAAGTTTGGTGATGGAGACGCAAAAGCCTATCCCAAGTTTTGTGCAGGCGCATTGCTGCCTCAGGCTTTCATTTCCTATTTCGGACAAGCTTATGGGCTTTCTTCCAACGTCACACTCTGTCGGTTCTCTCTCCTGCCAGGTGCTTTCCAACACACTTCGTACACGGATGAAGACCCCCTTCATTCGACAGCCCTATGTTGAAAGATAATCGTGGCCTCAATACTGGCACATCGCGACTGTGCCGCCACAACTCTGGTATTCCTGGCTCTCCCCTGGCAAGTCTTTCGGGCTTGCACGGTTGATCCTGGTCCGCCGAAAGTCAGTCCAAGACAGACGAGCCCGCCAACTTCCGCGCCCATTGTCTTTATATCCAGCCTGAAGCTTGCTGGAACTCCATGGTTAGGCGTTGAGAAGTTTCGACGCTCAATCTGCAAATAACTATTGTCTTGTCTGTGTCGCCCGAGCAGAAGACACCCAGATCCGCACTTGTCCGACCAGTCGAGCAAACCGTTATTCGGTTTTTGTCGACAGCAACGAGAGATGGCTGGCGAAAGAGGTACAATGCCTGCACGTTTCCTTTCTGGGCGCGGGGCCACCCAATTTCCTCCGCTTCTCCTGTCACTCGTCCCTTGAGCTTGACCAGGGGACTCGGCAGAGCTGGAGATCAGGCCTCCGCTCTGAAACCTCCCTGAACTGCCGTACAAGGGGGTCTTGACGTAGAGTAGGTGATTGCATGGAGATGCACACTGCTGACCATTCAGAGCCTTGCGTGCGATCGATAGGCGAAACTGACTGCCTTCAGTCTATTTTTTTCTCCGAACATTATGCACCAACAGCAACGTATTTCTAGTGTGTTCAGAGCAGATGGCTAACTTCCAATTCCATATTCCTTCTCCCAACAGCGCAATAACGGCAAGCGTCAGATATTTTACGCCCTGCGCAGTCACTGAAGTTCAATACGAGATACTTCCCTGTGGAACAGCCGGATGGAGTAGCCAGGAACTCGAAACAGGGACGCCTGGCAAGCAATGGCTTTAAACCTCCCAGAAGTACTCCAAAACGAAGTCTGAACGAGCTCGAGCGCGCTCAACCCTCTTCGTCTCGACCGATCCCAAATACCCTCTGCGATGACACTGGACTTCACGGGCGAAGCCTCTGCGTTCAGCGCCAGCATACTGTACAACAACACATCGCAAAATCACCATCAAGATGCCGGCACTACGAATGTTAGCGCGACAGCAAATGGCACCGCCGCCGGACAACGCATACTGCCAGGAAAACAACAAGGCGGAGATATTAGGCGTTACTGGCGCCTTCTTCACAGCCGGCATCATCATCGTGGGACTACGAATGAGTGTAAGGGCCATTATGATCAAATCGATCGGGGCGGATGACTACGTGATGCTCTCCGCATTGATCATGGCGATGGCGACGTTCATCTCGTTCGTCTATGAGACAAAGTACGCCATCGGGAAGCATACTCAGTGCATAGCAATGGACGACTATGAAATGTACGCAAAGTGGCAATACTATCACTCGTTATGGGTGATGATAGGAGTGGTCTTGGTCAAGATATCGATTGCGCTCTTTCTCATGCGCTTGGTGCCGCCAGGAAAGAAGTGGAAGCGCTTTCTTTGGGGCTCTATAGGTAAGGCAACAAGGCGCGGAAGTGGAGGTGTAAGCTGACTTGACACAAGTGTTCCTCGTCTGCTTCTGCCTCTCCTGCATGGGGACGTTGATCTGGAACTGTACTCCAATTGCGGCATCCTGGGACTTTGAGCTGCGAGCCAAGCCGAGCACGCGCTGCTTCTCGAACGACACCTTCACCGCGATCGGTCTTTACAACAGCTCGGTCAACTGTGCCACCGACTTCCTTTTCGCCATCTTGCCAATCCCCATCATCGTCAAACTCCAGGTCAATCGACGCACGAAGATGACATTGGGAATCATTTTGAGCTTGGGCTACTTTGCGTGTGCGGCGGGAATCGTAAAGGCAGTCAAGCAACATCAATTCTTCGACGAGACGGATCCGACATGGCACAACGACTTCAATGTCTGGAACATGATTGAGCTCTGCGTCGGAATGATAGCCGCGTCACTGCCGACCCTTCGCCCTCTCTTCGCAAAGATTCTCGAAACCACCAAGACAGCGCTCAGCTCGAGCAGAGAAAATAGTGGCAACCGCACAGCAATAGGAGGCTCATCAGGCTATCGTCGTCAGCGGGATGTCGATGGCGACATCAAGATGGACGATTGGAAGGACTTCAGCAACAGCACCGGTACAGCTACGTTCTCGACTGTCAAGACCGCGGTGGGAACGGAGCCTGACATGCACCAGCACCAGGCGTCCACGTCAAAGAATGCTAGGCACACGCTGGCGATGACTGATGCACGAGATCCGAACGATGACGGGAGTTGGGAGGATATTGAAGTGTTGAGAAGTCAGAGCGAGGAGACGCTGAATCGACCCGCGGGGATTCACAAGACTACGTCGATTATGAGAAGCTGTGAGCAGGTGCAGCCTGGCAGGAGGTTTTGAGGTGGCTTTATGGGTCATGATTACGAGTTTGGGCGGCAGCGAAATGAGCGTTATCACATTCGAGCTCACATTATGCATCACGTTCCAGCTCAATTGCTCTTCGGTTCCTTGGTCACTCCCTCGCTCACTTTCAGCCTCACATTCTGGCTTACATTCTATGATAGCTCAAGTGCTCTTCACGATGCCTCTTACTTTCAAGCTTACTTAGTCTTCACTTTCCAGCTCATTCCTTTTTTCACTTTGTCGCCCATGTGTTAAAGCCCCTCGCACCCTCTCCCAGGTCCTGCCTTAATTCCCCTCCTCCCTCAGCTTCTTCCAGAAGGTATCCTTCATCAAACCGCCAGAGACGAGCTGCCATGATTGCAAGCTCCCATCATCCTGTAGAGATCTACAAATCGATCTTCATCCTGTGAGTCGTGAAATGTGCGTGCGCCATGTCATCTGCTCGGCTCGTAGATATCGTCAGCAGTCGATTCTGCTCTTCCACGTTTTGGAAATTCCAGGTACATGCAGAATCATCGTGAGTGATATGGGCGCTTTGTGGGAGGCGCATCTTCGTGGATGCCTGGAAACCATGTCAACGAGAGAAAAATGTCAGAAGGCCAGAGCAGCATTCTCCCCGTTTTATGGCGAAACTACCACTACCGCGAGAGCATTGAAGGAAGCGTAGTCGGACTTTGTTTCTCGGACACGCTGGCGCACGATCCCCTGCAACGACTTCGGCCTCCACGAGGGATGGAGAATGGTGAAAGGAAAGGCCAAGAAATGCAAGACGAGAGATTGTGCAGATTCACAGAGCCTTTCCGCCACGACAGCGTCTTGATATCCAATTAAGGTAGCCCAACACTCAGAATGTAACAGTTCTGTCCGCTCCCCACTTGTGACCCGGGCCTGATGTCCCCATGCCACTCCACCACGCAATTCGGGCAACGGCAGCCTTTTGTTCCCTTGATCCTGTTGCGGTCTTCTCCTGCACCCGAGAGACTACACCGAACAGGCTCGTGAACGTTTATGTCCTAGTCCATCTCCTGATGTTCCCACCCCTCGGATCGCAAGTATGACGGCACGCGCACTCTCTGCCAGGACTGAAGACATGTTCCTCCTGTGGTGCGCCGATCCGCGACTTTTGTGCCTGATGTCCGTCCTTTGCAGGTCCACCCAAATCGATATAGTGCCCTCGTAGTCCTCATGAAATCTTGAATGACCAATGTCGTAGTCTAGAGCATTTTTTGCCCATATCCATTCCACCCTTCATTTCTTCGCCAGGGCCGCCTTCTCCGCCTTCTTGTCCTTCTTCCCACCATGCAGCATCTCAAGATGTCCAGCTTTCCCAGCAAGAGACTTCTCAGTCGCAGCAGCGAGACCAGACGACAGCTTCTTCTTCATATTGTGCTGCTTGAGGAGCGCTTGCTTCTTGGGCTTGATCACTCGGGCGCCGGTTTGCTTGCGCTGGGTGCTGGTATTGTCAGCAAAGGCGAATAAGAGGAGTGACTTAGGAACTCACATTTTTGTGGCTGGCGCTTTGGTTTTCTTTAGCTGACCTTGCGCCATGTTGGTGTCGTCTTAGGTACGAGAGTGCTTTTTAGAAAAGTTGGACGTCTGGCTGGTTGAAAGTCTACGGCTCGGCTACGGAGTCCCGCCCCCGCGAAAGTTTAAAAATCCCGGTTGTGTTGAGACCACTTCACGTCCTGTTCTGTTCACTCTTGGATAAATCACCGATTTCGCTGCATAATGCTTTTGACGAAGCCATTTCGGCTGTTCGTCTGATTGTGTTCTGAGGTCGCAGTTTGCGTTCCCCCAGACAAAGTCTCATCCTTGAACTTGTTCAAAAAGACAAGGCATTTCTACCAAGACAAGACATTGGAAGTATCGGCCAGTACTAAACACGTTGCCACATTTCAGATGATAGAAGTGGTGATTGGCTGGGGGCGTCGAACATCAGTCATGTTGTAAGGTGCAAGACCTACACGATGCTTCTTCAATTGAGGAGAGCGTTCTTTCTAGCTCCATTCAGCAGGAGGCGTTGGACCGGCACAGAACCCATTCCTCAGGGTGTGGAAGCTTCGGTGGTACAGATAGAAGCAATGGTCATGGTTCTTGTACATGCTCGCAAGATTCTAGTTCGATGCAGTGGCCACGTCGTTCACTGTCTCCGCAACAATTGTCCTCTCAAAATGAAAGGAGACATGTGTCTGAGCTCCGAAGAAGACGCCCAGAGACAAGTACTTAGCAGAGCTATGAGTTTCTCGTCATTCTGCTGAAGGTATTTCGTATTCGGAGTGAGCCTGTCTTCTCTCTGTAGCTAAGAACGACGAAGCTCATGATTGCAGGTTAGGTTCCCTAGACAGCGTGCATTCAATGGAGATAAAGGAGCATTTCCCTTTGAGCATAATGTTCAACACAGAGCTGTCCACTTCATTGCCAGCAGAATTACCTCTTTACTACAGACTAGGTCCCATGCCTATGACGATCCACGACACGAGGCTCAAGCGTTGCTACGCTGGATGGAAGTCTCATCAGCGACCAGGTTGTGTCTTGGACGCCGTCATTTTTCCAGGATGAAGTGCTCTCCCCGTCTGCCCATTGAACAAGATAGGGGCCCCAAACATGGATTCCTAACAAACGGATTGACGGGTAAACAAACGTGAACAAAGGCGTCTCTACCCAGACATTTCTGTAAGATTCGCTGATGGCTCGGCATGGTTCGGCAGAGCTGTTTGCCGCAGATGCAAGATAGAAAATAGGATGAAGCGCCATCCGGATAGCCAGTCTCGACCTTGGTCGTGAGGATAGCGAATCAAAGCTGTCGCAGTAAGATACAAATCGGAAAATGGAGCACGGCACTGGAGGAGCTGCCTCCGGAATGTGCATTAGAGCAAAGCTTGCAGTCAAATAGCTCTCGGACAATTTATCTCGCGACTGCGCCGGTGACGAGCATTAGCAGAGAACGCCCGTCGTAATGGTCAGGGAGATGCCGCCACTCGTATAATGTGAGTAGCTTCGGTGTCTTTATTCGCGATGTCTGAAGGTGTGTGTTGATATTGGGGTTGAAAGAGACCCAAACGAGGCACGTTCTTTGACGATCGATCGCGACATGGGCCATCGAGATCCTGGCCGTCTTGGCGGTGACGTAATGTCCAAGTCGTTTCCGTGGCTCAAACAATTGATAAAGAAGTTTCATGATCATAGGCAATGGGAAAAACCAAGGAATCTTGAGCTCAGCTTGTATCAACGAGAAATTCGAGCGTTTCTTATCCTGTGTAAGTTAGCTCAAGTGGCCGAAGTGAATGGGTGGCAAAGGAGGATTTCATCTTGAATGAAGAAGGGAGGAGCGACCGTGCGTAAGCGGGCGCTCCCGTCTTGCCGTCCGGGCTGCTTTGAAATTCCGGTCGCCAGCGTGCCTTTTTCTTAAATGCAGAACGCCGCGACGTCACTTCCTCACTTACCACTTTGACTGTCGTCATCAGACAGAGAAGTCGCAACCCGCTCGGACGTTACTGCCATACTGTTGCAGGAGGTCACGTTGTACTATACCATTCAGAACGCTTTCTTGGCCTTTTTGCGACGAACAGAGCCTCGAGGCACCCTCGCGACGCCCTTCGTTGTCGCCGTCGCAATCTCTCCTTTCTGCCGCGTCACGTCACTGATCCAGGATCATCGCGACGCCAGAACAATCATCGCATCCGGCAGCATCGTCTTCTCGAAAGGTATGTCGAAGAACAGACCGTTCATTGGCAATTGTGAGCAGCGTTACGGCGACCAAGATCCTCGCTGTCTCTTGGTGGTTTGCCACTGGCAGATGGCGGGAGCAGGTGGAAGCCGTAACGCAGCAGCAAAGCGAGTCAAACGGCTCCAGGGCGTGGAGACTCTTGTTGTTGGCAGCAGTGAACCTCAAACTGACATGTTTCTCAGATTGTCGGAATTAATTTGATAAGGTGCAAGCTGTTTGGTTGACTTGGTCGACAAAAGAGAAGAAGAGAGAACGCGGAGCGAGATCCAAGATCGACCTGCCGCACCTGCGTCATAACCTCTGCATCCGACATCATGGCAGCCGCGATCTCTCGTTCCTCTGCCACACAGTCGCCGCACATGAATGCTGGCGCAAAGAGCATATCCAATTCGCCTGCTAATCGCAACTCATTACTGCCAGGTAAGTTGTCGCCCTATAGCTTGCCAATGTATTGAGCTCTACTTCACCGTCTCGCCGTCCTGCGACATGGTGGCAGGGTGGACGCGCCTCGAGTCGCATTGGCAAGTCCAGCTTCAATCGACATGTACTAACTTCCTCGACAGACACACTGAAGAAGGAAGCCTCCAACGCAGCGGAGAGCAAGCAAGGTATGTCGTCGCTCCATCTCGATCAACATATCGTCGCACTATGGCATCGACTAAAACGTGCGGTGAAGACCCCGCCGTCCCGACCATCAACCAGCCCGAAGACACCGACGCTGGAAAGGGCACCAAAGCGAACGGCACCGCGACGACCAATGCACCCCTCGCGCCGCCGCCTAAGCCAACACAGAACGGAGACGGCGACTACTTCAGCGGAGCGCACACCACTCATCTCGCGAAAGAACCGAACCCATTCGAGAACGCCTTCAGCAACCCCGCCGACACACCAGGTAAATCGCAACTACCCGGTGTAGCGAGTTTGACCTCACCGGCACCGCTCATTGGCAACACTCCTGGCTGGCCCAGTTCGCTTCGATCAGGCCCATTAAGTCCTGCTATGCTCAGCGGGCCCACCGGCGGCAACGACTACTTCAACGGCGACCACGGATTCGCAGGGAGCTTTCCCACACCGAACGAGTCCTCCCTTCGGACTGGCCTCACACCTGGTGGTGGGGGGTCTATGTTCCCGCAGCCATCACCGAACTCGCAAGCACTATACAACCAGCTACAGAGCGGCGGCGCGACTCCTGGTACTCTCGACTTCCATCGCACGGCGATGACTGCTCGCGCACAAACCCACGCCAACACCTACCAACTGCCGCAAGCTACCGCGACGAGTCAAGCGCAACAAAACCCGAACATCCAGCCTGACCTAGACAGCAAGCCTTACAACCCCAACGCAGCAACGGCACAGCAGGACAATCAGGACCCGTTCGGCTCACACCAGACCAACGACGCCGCGAACGGTCTGTTCATGCTCGCTCAAGCTGGTGGACAACAACGCAACTCGCAAGGATATCCAGTACAACAGCCACAACAGCAACAGGCCTCATATCAACAAACCGCCCAAGACAAGCGAGGTGCGAAGAACAGCATTGGTAGCAACATGTCGGGAAGCACCGATGGACAGGGCGAGCAGTACTCGGATGATGCGGATACAAAGCCTCAGACTCGCAACGGTCGTGGCAAGAAGGGATCAACCGGCAAGGCTGCTGCTAATGGCAAGAGGAAGACCGATGATACCCCAGCCAAGGCACAGGGCAACAAGAGACAGCGCGGGAGCAACGGCGCTGCCATGTCCATGTCAGAAGAGCCTGAAGATGATGACGATAGTGGAGATCAAGACATGGGAGGCGATAAGGACAAGAAGATGACTGACGAGGAGAAGCGCAAGAACTTCCTCGAGCGCAATCGGTAAGCATGTGGCACCCCGGAACAACACCCAGCGACACTAACATCCTTGCAGTGTGGCCGCCCTCAAGTGCCGCCAACGTAAGAAGCAGTGGCTGGCCAATCTCCAGCAGAAGGTCGAGATCTTTAGCACCGAGAACGATGCTCTTGCGGCGACTGTCACCCAGCTTCGCGAAGAGATCGTCGGACTGAAGACCCTACTGCTTGCACACAAAGACTGTCCGGTATCGCAAGCCCAGGGCATTTCGGGTATGGCCATGCAGCAAATCGCTGGCGACACGCAGCACTATTCGAACCCATACGGCATGATGGGCCAGGGAGGTCCCGGGATGGCTCAGCAAGGTCAGATGGGACAGGGGCAAATCCAGCAGAGAGGGTAAGTGTTACAACATCTCCATACTGATTGCCAATACTCACAGCCCTCTCAGCTAGAATCCTCTCAACGCCCAACGCGATGACACGCAAGAGCGTTCCAGTAGAACGGACGATGGCGCAGTGAACCCAGCAGAGTTCTTCATTTCCTCTCCTTCGCCAACTCAGCATGCACATCCTCCGGCTCATTAAGCCACGACTTGCGATTCCTCGGTTTGTGCGATAGGGAAAGGTTTGATAGAAGTGTATTCAGAGCTGTACATAATTCTTTGGCTTTGGGGGTTGAGAAAGGCGCAGGCGTGGAAAGCGAGGTGTATTCGAGCATGACTGGTGTTTAGTATTGGGAGGGATTACTGCAGACTGCATCAATCTTGAGAATTGAACGAACACGGGCTCAGAGACTGAGCAGCCATGCTATGATAGGGTTAATGAAACGAGACCTAGCAACATGAACCACTCCCCAAGCCTTCATCATGGCAGTCTTCGTAATAAGCCCAGTACTTTGTGAGTGGTGAAGTGAAGGCAGCGGCAAGCTCGTGACAGCCGCACCAAACAACAAATCCAGCGCGCGTCTCCATGCGAACATCACCTCAATGCGCGTTTTCTCCCCCAACCACATTATACAACAACGATGATCCCCGGTGTTGATGGCGTCAACAAAATCCGAGCGCGTCGAAAACGCGCTGCAATCCCTTCTCGAGCGTCTCGTGCCCGCACAACAACCTGGAGAAGATGAAGACCGAGCCGACCAACGCTGGGAAGACGCGAATAACCTCGCCCACGACATTCTTGACCGCGGAGAAGATGAAGCCGTCCCTGTTGAGGACGTCAATCATGCCGCGGATCTGATCAAGAGGAAGTTGTTACGCGAGAATGTCAGTCCCGAGAAGGCCACGACCTTTGGGAATCTGTACTCGAGGTTGCTGGCGCAGCCTGTGCTAGGGAAGAAGTGGGCGATACTTTACTTTTTGCTGAGAGTTGGTGAGGAAGAGATGGATGGGATACCACAAGGAAGGGCGGGGAGCATAGGGGTTGAGAGTCGAGATATGGGAAGAGACGGATATGGTGAAGAGGTGGGCGGTAGTGAGGGACGATATGAGGGGCAGAACGATATGTTTGACGATGCCTTTGCGCGGAATGGATTGCCGAGAGTCCCTGAGCCTTCAGGACCTGAGAGTCCGAGGAAACCGCCGACGAGAGATCGAGAGAGACCTGTGCCGTCGAGATCGAGACCACAGCAGAGCGAGGAGGCGGCGCCCGAGTCGCCTCGTAAGAAGACTACGGATGGACTGGAACCGCCAGAGTCCGCGTTGCTGAGAGATCTGCCGTTCACACTACAAGGGCTGTCGTCGAACAACTTGCCATTCGCAGACAAGAAGTCACTCAAGCTGCCTCCGACTCTCCCAGTACCTCTGGTTTCACTTCTTCACACTCTGGCCGAGCCGTCGCTCTTGTACAGGTCGCTTTCAGAATTTGTGGAGTCCACAGAAGGTGGATTGGTGGGACAAGCTCTACGTTCTGCAATTGGTATCGAACTGAGATCATATCTTGGACTGGTTGCTACTCTGGAAGGTCAAATACGAAGAGCCCTTACTCATTTGGATGAGAATCAGCCCGATGAAGGACTTGGGAAAGCCGGTGTTACTTTGAAAAGATGCGTGGTCTGGACTCGAGAAGCTACGCTGGGCTTGAGACTGATGAGCATGATGGTCGAGTCGGCGAAGGGCAAGAAAGGAGGCGAGCTCATAAGTCTCATTCACAGCTTCTCTTCGTCACATGGCGATCCTTTCGTGCACAGCTTTGCTGAAAGGTTGCTTGTACATGTCACCAGGCCATTCTACAACATGCTTCGAGCCTGGATCTATGATGGCGAGCTAGAGGACCCTTATCAGGAGTTCTTCGTTTTCGAGAACCAAGATCACGAGGACAGCGGCGCGACGAGCGTCTGGGAGCACAAGTACAGGTTCAAGGAAGCCATGATACCTTCTATCATGACCCAGGACTTCGCAAAGAGAGTGTTCCTCATCGGGAAGAGTTTGAACTTCATTCGATATGGATGTGGTGATAGCGGCTGGGTAGAATCGTACAGCAAGTCCGCTTCTCGAGAGCTGAAGTACGGTGACATGGCGATGCTTTCTACAAGCATTGACGAGGCCTACAAGACGGTCATGGCGCGACTGCTAAGCTTGATGGAGAACAAGTTTGCACTTCACTCACATCTGCAAGCACTCAAGAACTTCCTGCTTTTGGGCCAAGGAGACTTCATCGCGCTGCTCATGGAATCTCTCGCTTCGAATTTGGATAGGCCGGCTAACAGCCAGTACCGACATACTCTCACGGCACAATTGGAACATGCAATCCGCAATTCGAATGCACAGTATCAGAGTCCGGATGTTCTACGTCGACTGGATGCACGTATGTTGGAGTTGAGCCATGGTGAGATCGGCTGGGATGTGTTCACACTGGAATATCGAGTCGACTCGCCCCTGGATGTCATCGTCACGCCTTGGGCTAACAAGCACTACCTTAAAGTCTTCAACTTCCTTTGGCGGATCAAGCGAGTCGAGTTCGCGCTCTCGACCACCTGGCGAAGATTACAGACTGGAGCGAGGGGCGTCCTGGCAGCTGTCAGTGACAAGCTTGGAGAAGACTGGAAGAATGCGAGGGGAAGACTTGCCGAGATGATCCACTTCATCGACCAGCTGCAGTACTACATCCTATTCGAAGTCATCGAAGCTGGGTGGAACGGCCTACAGAAGGATATTCGCAAGCCGGACGCTACGCTTGATACACTGATCACTGCGCATACAGTGTATCTGCGCTCGATCACGAGAAAGGGGCTGCTAGGAGGCGGTGGAGCACTCGACTTCACCACGCAGCTACACGAGCTGTTGAAGCTCATGCTTGGATACAGAGATGCTGTGGATAGCCTGTACAGCTACAGCGTTGCTGAGTTCACACGACGGCAGGAACTGTCAGCCAAGATCGAGACCAGGACGAAGGCCGGAAAATGGGGCATCACAGAGGCAGACGAAGACGTCCAATCGCCTCTGTTCCCTACATCCAGTGTCCGCAATCGACTACGAGAGCGCGAGACGGATTCTCCCCTACCACAACTCCTGCCCGTGCAAGGCATCGATGGAGAGAGGAATATGCTCGATCAGCTACGACAGAGGCTCAAATCGCTGGCAATCGATTTCCGGTCGAGGACAAATGTCCTGCTGGGCGATCTGGCATATCAGGCGGATATGGACATGCGGTTTTTGGGAGTCGCGATGAACTTCAATGATGTCTACGCGCCTGTGAAGAGAAGGAGGCAGAAGACGACGGATAAGGTACAGGTGCCGCCTAGTGCTACTGGCTCGACGACGAGAAGACCGCAAGGGAAGGCCGAGGAGGGCAAAGCATGAGGCGAATACTATGCATGGTGTACTGGAGTTTGGACGCGCAGAGTATGATGCTCACGATCATGAAATGGGATAATACCAAGATAGCGGCGCAAGGTATACGATATCCATCGCAGAAATGCGCTTGTGCAAGGTCATCAACCGGCTTATCAAGTAAAAGAAGCAATGCGAACAACAATTCGCAAACAAATCCCTCTGCGAACAATTATCCGCATCAAACATCCATCCTAACCCCAGCGCAAAGGAACCTCTTCCCACCCCCACACACAAAAACACCTCACCATCCCTACCACTTTCCACGCGCAAAAGGAAGAGGCAACAGTTGACGAGCGTGCGTGCGAGCGAGTCAGAAAAACGCAGATCTCTCGCGAAGTCGCAACGGCGCCCGCTGGACGATGCGATTGTAACGCTATTTCGAGCACGGCAAGCCGGTGGAAGGTGGTCCTTGCGGCATCGGATCGAGATTTGAATTTTGGGTGTGAGACATGTTGTCTGTGCGGACGTTTGGTGGTGTGGGCATGGACATGGGATGGGATTGGGGGCGGTGTGTTGGTGTTGCGCGCTTCGGAGGATGGGATGGGGGTGGTGTGTGCTGGAGGGAGGGTGGGCGGTGCCGGGCTGGGGCTGGGTGAAAGCAGAGGTGTTGTTGTTGAGGGAGGTTGGATGGTATCCACGACCATGACCATGACCATGACCATCGCTAGCAAACGTGCTAGGATGAATTTGAGCTGGGTCGGTCGCTGTGAAGGCCAGCGAGAGAAAGACCCAGGAGGTCAGAAGGGCATGAGCAAGCAGCAAACTTCAGAAAAGACGAGGCAGACAGGCACGAAAGTGATCAATGCAATGAATGCAGGCACATATCCAAAGCGACTCCTCATTCTCATTTCAGGCTTCATCTCATCATCCTCTACAAAAGCCGTCTCGATCGTTGCTGGGGGTTAATTATGTTCTTCTTCGTGTGAAAGGCATCAAATCCTTGATCATCGTCATCCAACTCTCTGTCTCAACCGCAAATCAACCTCCCAGAAAACCAACCCTGCAAACATCAATCCCTTTTGAACGCCCGCGCCAGTATGTGGGGTATGCAAGGTGTCGCACTCGGATACTATGTACAAGTAGGTCGTGACTTCGTGAATGGGGGAGACAGAGGCGTGGGAGGGGGTGCTTCCCGGCTCTTCTCGTATGCAAGTATAACAAAACTCCTGACCGGACTCCCCTGGTGGTGGTGGTTGGAAGCGATCGATGCTGGTATTGATTGGATAGCGGCCGTCCCATATGCAACAGTTGGCTTTTCTTCTGTGCAAAACAACTCGCAACACCTCGACGTCACACTCATGACTCGGCTGCGAGCCGGAAGTGTCGCGAGCGCTTGAGTTTCTTGCTACTCGACGTGCAGACGTCCGAGCCGGAGAGGCTGGCGGTCGGGTAGTAGACGCGCGGGAGGCCGGCGCTTATGGGGACGGTGAGGGTGCCATTACTCGACGTGGTCAGGGTATCGCAGGTCAGGAGTTCCGTGACGCCCGTGTTGGCGGCGTAGCCGGAGGGGATGTCGAGGGTGTAGTTTGAACCCGTGGAACCGACGTTCGTGACGACGGTCACCATGTCGCCCTTGCGCATCGCCAGGTTGGTGTAGTCGTAGTAGATGTGGCTATTTTGGGTCGTGGTGTACGTGTCGTCGGCGTTGATCGCGGCGTGCCGGGCGGCGTTGAGCTGGGTGACGTGCGTGTACAGTTCCGCTTCCGTGTTGTAGCCTGACAACCAGAGGGCCTCCCTATTGTAGGGCGTCGATCCACCGCCAGTGCCCACGAAGTGCTGTTCCTGGCCCTGGTAGATGACCGGGATGCCATCCGTAAGCATGGTGAAGGCGATGATGTTCTTCGCCAGGGACATGTCGGAATTGAGCGAGGCGAAGCGTGGCTGGTCATGATTTTCGCTGAACGTCCCGAGCATGGAGGTGTCCGGGCAGCTCTTGATGGTATCGATCATGTTGGCGAGGTCACCAATGCTGCCTGTCGTGCTCTGGAAGGCTGCGATCATCGGGAAGTACCTGCAGATCATCGCGCCGTCAGCCAAAAAGCCACTACCGCCTCCACAGATCTCCAACAAGCTTCCGCCTCCAAACAGGGCCAGGGGCAGGGGTTGCAACTTAATACTCACATCGCGTAGTTGAAGACACCTGGTACGTAGTCCTGGTAGCCGCAGACGAACGTGCTGTCTCCATTGTAAACCTCTCCCAGGGAGTAGACACCGGCGTTTTGCTGGAACCCGGACCAGAAGCCGGTATTGACCTCCATCAGGGAGTCGATGCGCAGGCCGTCGATCGAATAGTTGGAGACGAGGTCGCCGATCCACGAATTCCAGACAGACGATACATTCTGAACTTCAGTCTTGAGATCGGGCAGAGGCACGATGGTGTCGCCCATCCAGCATTGTTCGATTTGAGTCTGCAGAGTAAATGTCAGTACGGTTTAAAGATAGTATGAAAGTTTGGGTCGTATGGGGTATGTGCATGCCGAAAGGCTGCGGTCGGCTGCGGACGCCAGCCCAGCCCAAAGTGAAGATCGACATGTGAGGAGATGAGCGCTTTGGCACGCGTGACCGACGTACCGTGTTGGAAATGTCGTTGAAGTCGATTGCGCAGTACGAGTGGAAGTAGTTCTGGTTGTTGAAGGGGCCGAATGTGCTGTAGTCGACGGTGTCGGGCGCTCCAGACCAGGCATAATGATTAACCACAATGTCAACCATGAAGTACTGTAAAACACAATCAGCATGCGATTCGCGCAATAATCTGGGGGGAATAACGGTGCCTCGGCTCCGTACCATATTGCGCGAGTGAAGCTCCGCCGCCAGATTCTGAATGTCGCTGGCGGATCCGAAGTGCTGGTTCACAGCGTCGATGTTCGTCTGCCAGTACCCATGATATGCGGCGCCGTCTGCGGTGAGGCCGTCGAGTTGTTGTGTCACAGGCGATATCCAAATGGCATCGAAGCCCATGTTCTGTACGTAGTCGAGTTGGTCGATGATGCCTTGCCATGAGCCGCCGCAGTAGTCGCCCGTGCCTGTGTCGCAAGCCGCCGTAGTTGAGCCATCTGTTCGCGCGAATCGGTCGGTGACGATTTGATAGATGGTCCTCGATCTCCAGTCGGCGCCAGAAGCAGCGAGAGCCGTTCTCGACAATGCCAGGCTCAGCAAGGTGGACAATATGCTGAGGGATGGCATGGTGCCTGATGCTCTCGCGGAGAGATAGGTAGGATTGGTGTAGGAAGAAGGAGGAATAGAGGGTCTAACAAGAGAGACAAGTAAGAGTGCGTGCAGCAGCCGTTGGCGAAACTCGTGAGACAGGCGGTAGTAATAAGATTGAATACCCCATGAGCAGTTGGAACGCGGCAACTGTGCGCGTATGCACGGCTTTATGTCAACGGCGACTCTCCACAACTCCAACCTCGCCTGCCCGTGTGCACAGTTGTTGGTCGCTGCATTGCCGGGGGTGCCCTTCACATGGAGTCGTCACAGTCGTCACGAGGCGTGCAAGTCAGGACCCATGGAGCGGCGCCAATGCCGAGAACAGCAATGATGGGGGAGGAATGCTATCGTGTTGCCCACATGCGAACGAGCTGGCGAGCAAACACGCTGCCGCCGCCGCAGTAGCTTCCTTCGCCAAGCCGAGGCCGATCATTCACTCAGGCGGAGCTGCGACTGTTCTCAGGTCCCGCTTCGCACAGCCGCATCATGCCGCATGGGTGCATGCGAATGCAGGCAACCTTGCCGATCCTTAGGTTTCGTTTCGCTCGGACCGTTGCGTTGCGCCCAAACTGCCAGCCTTCCGTCGGTGGCTGTCGATTGACAAAGCCAGCCAGAGGGGTGCCAGCGGGCAGGCAACGACTGGACCAGTTTCGAATCGCCAGAGCACTGTAACATCAAGACAAGTGGCGCACCCCGGTGCTCCGGTCAAAGCGGAATGTCCTATGCTAGTGGAAGTGCCATGTCTCCGACTTTTCACATGCGACTGCGCTGCTAATTGCACTTCAAGCTGCTTAAACAGCTTAGAAGTAATGGAGATAAATGTTCCACTTTGGCTGGAACAAGGAGGGCACCCTCCTTAGACGTCGAATCTCTTCTTACATTCTTTATCTGTTTTGTCTGAGAAGGAGTGGCATGAGCGCGCAACAAAACGCCTTGGTCGCTGCGGCAGGTTCTGAGGAAGATTTTGGCTTTGGCTTTGGCGTTGGAGGAGGTCGGGGTCCTGTGGCGGTCAGGAAAGAAAGCCCCACTGCGGCCTCGGGGACGATCAAGCATATTGTTCGGCTGAAAGAGAGACGAGGGTGTGGTTGTATCGGTCGCAGGCCGAGCATCTGATGATGACAAGCCAGGCCTGCTCCCTGGGAAGTGAAGTGTGTGTGCGTGGAGCCGCACACCCAATCGTCTCGGCGAGGTCAGCCCAAGCCAAGCTGCCGGAATGCGTCACAAACAATCGAATGCAATCGATACTATAGGCATTGTTCCCCCCTCCAGGCTCGTCGCTGTTTCTCGGTGTCAACAAAACAAACGTCGTCATCATTCTGGTAGTCTGGTAGTCTGGTAGTCTGGTAGTCAGGAACGCAAAACGCCGAGGGTACTTGGTACTCCTCGCGTGGTTGGCTGAAGCAGAGTTTCGCTTCACTTTGCCTTCAGCCTCGAAAGACCGGCTCGTCTCTACGTCAGCGCAACCGCGCAACCAACCGTCCATGCAGCACCGCAAAGTCAGCCAGCTGGATAGTGCGGACTACTGCCTCGCCGGGCAAGATGTGTCGGAGCGTAGAATCTGTGCCTCTTCGGCGTGGACGGTGGCGGAGGTATGGCGTTAGCTGCATCTGATCGTCACGGCGTGCAAAGTGTTCATGAGACTGGAGGATGTCGTGAAAAGGCCAATAGCAAGGGGCGAAGGGCCGCTTAGACGGTTGGTGTGTGAGCACTTAGGCGGATGCAGAAAGTGCCAGCAGAAGCGCCTGCAGTAGTAGCCGCAAAAGCATACTCGAAGGCGCATGACCGATGACTGCAGCGTGGAGGAGTGATCGGCAAGGAAGCATACCGCCGGCGAGGTTGCAGATACATCGCGAGATCGTGGAGAAATGTCTCAGTTACCTGCCGCCCCAAACTTCGACGGCACCAAACGGAGATGTCGTCCTCGTCGTCGAAGTACCAGCTACTCACCAGTTCCACAGGCCCGAAGTCACTCAGAGCTGTCACGAGCTGAAAGAAAGCCCCGACGCACTTGAAGCTGCCGAAGGTGGGAAGTGCAAGCATGCAGGCGCTGTGCAGTACCAAGCATTGGGTGAATAGATTAAATGGACCACACTCGTTGTCTTATAGGGCCGCCCCTCCCTTGCGTGCTGTACCATCACCGGCGCACACCCCTCCAACCAGTGCCTATCCACGTTCGACCCCGACGATTATTGCTGTATCTCCGCATGAGTGCAACCGACTCGATGCACGACGAACGCACGCGCGGCTGAGACGTCCATTGCTGTCATGGGACAGGTCGGCTCGGCGGAAAGAAGTCATGAGGGAAAAAGAAATCGGGTGCGACTTGAGTGATCGCGGGGTAAAACAGAGATCTTTCGCAAATAGTGGATATCTTGCGAGCCACTCCGCATCTCTCGAATCTTGAGCGCGACCACGCCTTCGATCCCATTTCCAACCCATTTATCCGTCTGCTGGGAATGGAGATAAATGATATTTGGACCAGAGTAGCGGTGTCGTGCGCTCTGGCTCCACTTCATATTGGCCGTCCAGCATCATTGCGCGCGCATGCTTGCTGCGATCCGGATAAGAGCATTCGAAACACGTGCAAATAAAGGGTGACAGGCTGGCGGCGCCGACGTGCTGTCGGATGGTGGAGAAACTTCACGGGCTGGACTCTCCCCAGTTCACCCAGTGCAACCATGACGCCTGCAGACCAGCCGTTCCCATCGTTCGTCGCGACCTCGTGGAGAAATAGTGGCTAGCAGCGCAGAGCCTTGCTATGCGAGCCGGCTTTCGTTGGCTCGAGAAATGTTTGCAAGCACACAACTTATGCTGTACCGACCCAGGACACGTGGTTTCAGACGGTGTAGCAGTATGCAAGGAGGGCCAGTGGTGGTACAGATGACACGTTATCGACCAGTTCATTGTACATTATAGCGAGCCCCTCGATCGCTACCTGCCGTCTCAGGTCTGCTACGAGCTTGTCTAATAGGTAGGTGCATTTGCTGCTGCTGCTGTTGCCCCACGTAATTTGCACTCGAAGTTCTGATTGGAAACGGCCGCGCCGAGCCCGAGCCATTCGTTGATGCAGAGGATATTGGTATATCGCCAGAGGTGGGTGTTTGCTCGTTTATGCTGGCGCTTGAACTCTGGCTGGGTGTGTCCTCGCCACGTAGCATGGCTCTTGTCGCGGGCGAGAGCTGCGGCGCAAGGTGGCTCTTCCTGTTGTGTCGCTCCATGAGACTGACGGCCCATGCCTCCAGGTCCACGGGAGTGCGCTTCGCAGCCTGAAGGAAGGGGTCGGTGTCATACAGCTCTTGAGGGGTGGGTCGCTCGTCTGGGTTCTTCATCAAACACTTCGCAATCACATCTTCCAATATCTGCGGGAACGCGTCACTCTTCGGAAGTTTTGGCGCAGGTTCCAGTACAATCTGTTGTAGCAGGTCCAGGATGCCTTGTGGGCCGGTAGCATCATCTTCTCCGTCTTCGCTTTCGATGCTGAAAGGGAATTTGCCAATAGCCAGTTCCATCAACGTCAAACCAACACTCCAAACGTCACTCTTGACGGTATATGGGCTGCCCTGTATCCGCTCTGGAGCCATGTATGTGCCCGTTCCAACAAAAGTATCTGCCACGCTGTTCTCCAACTCTGAAGACACACCGAAGTCACAGAGCTTGATCTGTCCTTTGCTGTTGACCAGGACGTTCGAAGGCTTGATGTCGCGATGCATGATGCGGTGGGCGAGGTACAGGTACTTCAGGCCGCCGAGAACAGCCTCTGCGATCTTACCGAGGACGTCTACGCGGACTGGACCGAAGTGCTTGGATATGCTGTCGAGGGAGCTAAACAGCCAACGTTAGTCACAGGCCCTCACATGTAGGAGACCATACACACCCAACATCCATATACTCCATGCACATGGTCACATCGTTGGCTTCATTCATGAATGCGCCATAGAAGGACACAATGTAAGGCGAATTGCACTCGTGCATGATCTGCAATTCCCTCACAATGCGCTTCCGGACCTCCTTCTTCGCCTCGACGTGTATGATCTTGCGCGCCATCGTTATGTTCCAACCCATGTGTCTGACTTTGCTCACTGTGCCGCCATTGCCTGAGCCGAGCTCTTTTATGACCTCCAGATCTTCACTCCGCCAGTCGGGTCTGAATTCCACGCCAATCTCCAATGTGTCTGCTCTTCGACCGTCGTTGCCCAGCGCACCTGGCAGTTGCGCATCCTCGTCGGAGGGCACTGCTGGCTTTGGCGGCGCACTGAGGGCCAGACCCTTGACGTTCTTCCTCTTCATCGTCCGGGCCTTGAACTGGTCGGCGCTCATAGTGGGCAATTGGTGACCGCCTTGGCCGGCGGCTGGCAGAGTCGATTGAAGTCGCTATCCGGAGTCTGAGAAGCAGCAGAAGTTGTAATGTCGTGAAAGGTAAGCTGGGAGAAGGGATCGGGCTGCTGTCCAGCAACAAGTTGGCGTTTCTACGTGGCGTCCCTCCAAGTGCAGTTGGCGAATCAAGGTCTGGAAGCGGCGAGCAAGCGCTGCGATCGGCGCGGGTGGAGGGCGGAGCGATTCGAGCCAACGTAACCTCTTTGGATGAAGGCCACCTCAGGCAGCTGGGAGAGATGCTGTTGGGCAAATGGTGTAGTAGTGGGTGCGGTGGGCTGCTTTATGATTGTCCAGGACTGCTTCCTTGCGAATAGGAGACCAGTGACGCTACGGAAGCAGGGATTGAGCGCCACTTCAAGCAGCCGGCGAGAAACCCAGCTTCGCCTATATTCGTCGTGCAGCCCGACGACAATGCAACAACTCGCTAGAGATCAGCTTCATCGTTGGATCCGGCGCGCCGTGGTGAGTACTTGTCTTCACCTGCGACTTTGCGAGGTGCGTCCGGAAATCATCGCTCATTTCCCGAGGGACAAAGGCGGCCAGATGCGCGTGAGAAGGGGGGCAGGCTTCATGACATATGCCATCACGGATTGGGCATATGGTTCAGAGAAATCATTAGACACTACTACCGCTTATTTGAAATGCATGTGCTGACTTTGATGGCAGCAGAGACACCAGGTCCACCTCACGGGACACATTGAGCACAATCTCCTCTGACTCTCCTCTCTCGCTTCAATACCGAGCGACTCAGCTGCCTATGCATCATCCATTGCCATGGCCAATAGCAATGCACTGGGGAGGCGACCTCTTCTGCCAATTGAGACCTGGCTGATCCTGGATGCTGAACACGTCTCGGGCAACATGCGTTCCTGCAATTGCTCACATAGCACTACCTGAGCGATTAGCTCCCGGAAACTGTGCTCCCAATGACTCCCAAAGTGGCACGCCGTCTCTTGTGATCTCGTCCAACTGCGGACAGCTCATATTGAGCAATGGTGCGGCGATGGCATCTAAAAGAAGCTCGAGCGGCGCGGCCAGCGTGCTGACGAGGTTGTTGAGGTAATTCGGCGCTACACATGGTCAGCAGAGCCTGGAAATCAATGTACTTCACGACTTACCGGCAAAGTTGACTACTTCAAGCACGAAACACAACAAGTTGTTCGACTCAAGCAGATTCGGTACATTCAAAAGTCCATCGACTGGATCGGCCAAATTGACACCTGTGAATGAGTTCACCTCACCCACGTTGCCTCCAACACTGCCGAAAATCGGGTATCTCAAGACGAACTCCACGACGTCAAGATTCAAATCGACGAGGCCGTATGGCACCGAGGATTTGTACCAATTCTCCGGAATGCGCTCGTGGCCTTTGGTGTACGTGAAATTGGACTTGTCTCCACTCACGGAGAAGAAGCTCTTCAAGATATCATGCGTGAGGGCACCATCTGGGTGTTCTGAGGAGTAGTTGGCGAACAAGTTGCCAATGAAGCAGTACCCGGTGTTTCGAGCCAGCATCCCAGTGACCGGGCCGTAGTAGAAGTATGGATTGGTGGAGATTGTCTCATTCCAGCGGATAGACGCAAAGTCGGCCATGACATCCAGCGTGAACGTCTGGGTTGAATTGTCCGGAATCATATTATAAAGGGTCTCGAACTTGGTTAGGTTCATCGTCACCGGATCTCCAGTCACATACAGATCGTCACGTGTGGGAGAAGAGTCCGCTTCGATGAAGTTGTGGGAATGATCCAAGCCTCGAGGCTCGCCGAGGAGCCCGAGAAGATTGCCCAAGAGATTCTGCACTTCCGGATCGTTACCACCGATGGAGAAAGATGGATTCAGCGAGATCGGATTGCCGGTCCAGACCACGCCCATTACTGCTAAGATGGTTGCAAGCTCAAGGCCAATGTTGTAGACCTCGACCATGGCACCGACCGCCCCCAGCAACGAGACGACTCCGTCGCGAGGAATATATCCATGATTTGCAAGAGCATTCAGACCTGAAATAGAGAAGATGATCAGTAGGCGTTCTTCAACAGGACCGCTTACGACTTCAACATACCGGGACAAGGACCCCGTTGGTCTCCTTCGCCAGGTGGCTGGAACTCATGGTCTCCGGTTATGCTGAGAGGCTCGGATGAGCTGAACAACAGGCGCTTCTCTAGATCCCTCAAATGCTCATGGTGGTGCCCATGACCACTCGCGTTCACGATCGCATGTCGACTGAAGATGCCCACAAACGCCAGGAGCTGATGGATCCGGAAGACATGCATTCTGTCTGCCTACACAAGTGGTAGCGATGACCAAGGAACTTGTTCTCACTGGCTTCCTCAAGTCGTCTCACGGCAAATCCCATCATCCCCTGGAACCCACCAAGCTAATCTCATCATCCTATGCTACTAAACAGGATGATTTCGTTGGGGATACCGGCTCACGCACTATACCAGTGCCAGCTGCCTTGGCTGTTTCTCTTGTATGCGGCAAAATACCGGACGGTGCACAAGGATCATTAGACACTCCCAAGGGCCGCGATACCGGATCAGGCTCCCTTCCACCACCCTGGCTCGCGGGATGGCATCCGACTGCTGCTGGGCCTCTTCACTGGCTTGGTTGGTCTTGAGGTCATCGCAAGCCAGACTTGCCAGCGACTGCGCAACTTTCGCACCAGGATGGCGGCCACAGTCCAATCTGCAAGCCCTCCGCATCGGCGACTGGCCAAGGCACCGCCTTCTGCTCGAAAGTGGTCGGCGTACAGACTCGCACGAGGGCGGTGCTACATCGTCGAATGTGCTGCATTGCGTCTCTTGGAGCTCGACAGCTAAGCACGATTTATCTATCTTGACGACAAGCCTTGTGTTCTTTACTCCACTTCGAGTCGATCGTTACCTTCTCTTCTCTTATGTCCTTTCGAGGCGACGTCGTTTCCTGACCCGCCAATATGAAGCTTTTGTGGAGTTTGGTGTTGCTTTTTGTGACTTTCGGTGCTTGTCAAAATGCTACTACTTCGCAAGACCAGCTCTTGCAGGCCTTGGAGCTGCTCGCGCAGATGCCGGAGTGTGCTGTAGGATATTTGGAAAGAGAGACTATGCGGCAGCGTAGTGTGCTGACTAGTGACTACAGCAAAACTGCCTCTTGTCTGCGGTAGCCGCTGCGGGAATCACCAGCGCGAACCTCGACCTTGCGTCGAGTTGTAGCAACACGACGGCGACCGCGAAGATCGAGGCATGCTCGATCCAGGCCTGTACAATTCGGGAGCAACTGAGTACGGGAAAAGGAAATCACAACATGAGCAGGAAACCGTACTGACCAGCAGTCAGCGGCGAAGAATCTTACGGAAACGTTATGCCAGCGACCTGTCCGCGATGCTCCTACTATCTCAGTTGCCAGCATTGTTGGTGGGATTTGTGTCTTGATCGCCTTCACCATGCGAATGCTGTCCAAGATCCGCTTCCCTTGCGACAAAGGCTCTCGAATCGATACCGACCTCTGGTGGGACGACTTCACGATCACCGTTGCGTTTGTGCTTCTCATCCCAATCACCATCTTGTCCAACGTTCGTACGTATCGTCGACCTTGCCCCAGTCGAGTGTCACAGAGTGCTGACTTCTATACAGTAACGGGACTCGGCATCGGAAAAGACGTGTGGACCATCCCCTTTGAAAACATCACACAGGCACTGAAGGTGTACTACGTCGACGAGCTGCTCTACCTCACAGCGCTTCCAACAATCAAGATCGCTATTCTCTGTACCTATTTGCGAATCTTCCCCACGCGGACCTTTCGAGTCGTGGTTTTTGTAGCCATTGGCTTCAACGTGGCATACGCCATCACGTTCATTATCATTACGATCTTCCAGTGCAACCCGGTATCTTTGGTGAGTCGCACAATACGTGGGAGTTATTAAAGGATCCATAGCTGACATGGCAGTGCTAGGCGTGGACTCATTGGGATGAGACGCATCCAGGAACATGCAATAACGTCAACGCACAATCTTGGGCATCTGCTATCATCAATATCGTCCTGGATCTGGTTGTTGTTGGGTTGCCGATGCCAGTCCTCTGGAACATGAACTTGAATACGAGGAAGAAGTTGCTGGTCATGTTGATGTTTGGTGGGTCACGACATTGACTTCTGATTTCGATCACAGCTGACCCATCTCGCAGGCGTCGGTTTCTTCGTCACGATCGTCAGCATTCTACGCCTACGACTGCTGGTTGTCTTTGGCGACTCGAAGAACCTGACCTGTGAGCTACTGCTTCCCTTTCTACTCCTGTTGTTGACCTTTTACTGACTATGGACAACAGACGACTACAAGCAAGTCGGATACTGGACCGTCATCGAAGTCGACACGGCCCTCTGCTGCGCCTGCATGCCCGGCATCCGCAACCTCATCCGTCGCGCCTTCCCAAAGCTGATGGGCACGTCCATTGGCAACTCCAATCGCGTTGCCACACCTGGCCTGTCAGGCTTATCTGGACACACTGCTGTTGGTGGCAGCGGCATCGACAAGAATGGCACTGGAGTCTACGTCCGACCGAGACACGACGACGACGACCACTTCATCCCTCTGCAGAATGTCAGCACCGAGGGACTGAGCACGACGGACAGAGACAGTGTGCCTAAAGCGGACAAACACCAGCGCGACATTTCACGGACGACGTACTCTCCGGATCAGGGGGTTTGGAGGCCAGTGTCGCCAGCCTGAGCCTACGACGAGCAGATCGAGATGATCGGAAAGCAATAAAGGACAACGCGTCGCCACAGCCAAAGAGAAGGGTGGTTGGACTCAGCAAATAGAGATACACACGAGGTCACGGCCGCGGATACACAACGCATCAACTGCACACAAGATACAGATACAGCACCGCCTGGTACTCACCAAGCTCGAAATCAACTGCTTCCTTCGACACAAGTGACGGCCCATTTCTGCTGGCATTCGCTTGAGCCGAGACCGAATAGCTTCCAGAAAATGAGACACCGTTGGGCTCTGGACGCGGACACTAGTTTCTAATCAATCCTTGCTCGGCTCCAGGTTGTGAGATGCAAGGTACCCCTGGGTGCGGGTCGTTGCCAAATTCTTAGCCGACACAAGTTTCTCCAACTGTGCCGTCTTGACTGAGAGCACTAGCATCGCGGATGGCTTCAGATTTCCGTCAGCTATCGAGAAACAACATAGTGTCATTGCAGAAGTAGTTAACATTCGAAATGCCACAACGTTGACCTCCGTCTTTGCCCTTATGCCCATAGACAAGTCCCAAACTGCAAGAACCTGCATGTTACTGCCGAGAATCACCAATCCGACCAACAAGGGCCATAGCCAGCTAGCCAAACCAGTTCGGCTACCCCTTCTCCATTTCCCTCAACCACGCTACTAACCAAGACCAACCACCATCACAGGCTGGGGATATTCATCTTCTTCACATGGAGACCTTGCTAGATCATGTCTCGGTACATCATCGCGCTCGAGTGTCGAAACCGCGAAGCGACGACCAAGCCTTTGTTAGCGATATTGCAGAGAGGGGCTGCGGTTTATTAGTTATGCAACGAGGATCTGTATAGACTGACGGCTAGAGGACCTTGGACGGCGGCGGAAATGGAAGGGGTTCCGGGTGCTTGTGCTCGTGCGCCTAGGACGGTTGTAGTTGGGGTGGATGGGTTTATGGTGTCTTAGACTTTGAGATTCTTGACTTCGTCCTGAGCGTACTGAATTCGAGGTTACGGGAATCGAGATGCTTTTGAAGGGTCTGGCTGCAGCGCTCTCGTTGGCAGTGGCGACGACTGCGACGCCTACCAGCCATGGACGACTTCACCACCGACGGGCAGTGAACGAGACGAGCTACGAGTATGTGGTTGTCGGATCCGGACCTGGAGGATCACCACTGGCAGCTCGACTCGCCTTGGCTGGCTATAAAGTCCTCCTCATCGAAGCCGGTGGTGATCATGGAGATGCTCTGAATCAGACCGTGCCTGCATACAACCTCAAGTCGGCGGAAGACGACATTATCAAATGGGACTACTTCGTCACCCACTACGAAGACCAGGAGCGTCAGGAGCGAGACTCGCATATGACCTACCGAAAACCTGACGGTGGCTACTACGCTGGACTCTACCCTCCCGAAGGCTCCGAGCCCCTTGGCATCCTCTACCCACGCACAGGAGCTCTTGGTGGATGTGCGGAGCACAACGCCCTCATCACGACGTATCCCCACGAGAGCGACTGGACGTACATCCAGAGTTTGACGGGCGATGATTCGTGGGCTCCCGAGAAGATGAGGACGTATTTCGAGAAACTTGAAAGGGCGCAATATGTTGTGGGCAGTGGGCATGGTTCTGATGGGTGGTTGAGGACGAGTTTGACGAGTTTGACGTTGGTGCTGGAGGATTTGAAGTTGTTGTCGATTGTTCTTTCGGCGGCTTCGGCTATGGGGAAGGTGTGTGAAGCAGTACTATATGGGTTGCTTGGTGGTGATGCTAATTGAGATATAGGGGCTACTCACTACTGTCCTGAGCTCCGTTACCAGCCTCGCCCACATTCTCCTCGACGACGTGAACAACGACAACCCCTGGCGAGATCAAACCACAGATCTCTTCCAGGTACCGCTCGCCATCGACGACGAGACCTCCACCCGCAGCAGCCCGCGTAACTTCGTCCTCGAAGTCGCCAACGCCGTCAACGAAGATGGCAGCCGCAAGTACCACCTCGACATCCTCCTCCACACCCTGGCCACCAAAGTTCGCTTTGACCAAAACGGCACCACTCCCAAAGCCATTGGAGTCGAATATCTCTCAGGCGAGCATCTTTACTCCGCCGACCCAGCATACGCAAGCACGTCTACCGGCGTCCCGGGTTACATCGCCGCGAGCAAAGAAATCATCATCTCGGCTGGCACCTTCAACACGCCCCAATTGCTCAAACTCAGCGGGATAGGTCCCCGTGCCGAGCTCGAGAGTTTCGGCATCCCTGTTATCAAGGACGCACCAGGTGTAGGCGCCAACATGCAAGACCGCTACGAAGTCAGCATCGTCGCCGAAGCCGAGACCAAATTCGCCGTCTCAAAAGACTGCACCTTCCAATACGACGGCAAACCCGACCCCTGTCTCGAACAATGGCAAACGGGCGAGGGCGTCCTCGGAAAAGGCCCCTACACCACCAGCGGCGCCGCCGTAGGCGTAACGCTCAAATCCTCCATCGCCGGGGATGACGACCCCGCCGACCTCTTCATCATCGGCACGCCCGGCGTGTTCGCAGGTTTCTATCCGGGCTTCGCGTATGACAGTGTGATTCACGGCAACCGATGGTCCTGGCTGGCTCTGAAAGCGCACTCGCATAATAATGCCGGTACGGTGACGCTCCGCTCGACAGATCCCCGCGAACGCCCCGCGATCGACTTCAGGAGTTTCGACACGGGCAACACGACAGACGGGGGCGACGAGAAGGACGTCCAGGCGCTCTACGAGGGACTCCTCTGGGGACGGGAGGCGTTCGACAAACTCATCCCGCTCGACGGGACGTTCACGGAGATCACACCTGGCAGGAATGTTTCGAGCGAGGAGCAGGTGAAGCAGTTTATTAGGGATGAGGCTTGGGGGCATCATGCGTGTTGCACGGCGGCGATTGGGGAGGTGTTGGATGGGGAGTTTAGGGTGCTGGGTGTGGAGGGGTTGAGGGTGGTGGATGCGAGTGTTTTTCCGAGGATTCCGGGGACGTTTATTAGTTTGCCGATTTATATGCTGAGTGAGAAGGCGGCGGATTTGATTGTTGGGGGGAGGTGAGTGGAAGGAAGGAGTGGGAGGGGGAGGGGGGGGGGGAGGGGGAGTGAGCAGGTGGAGGAGTGGTGAAGACATGTAATTCTTAGTCGCCTGTTAGCTTCAGATGTAGATACATTTGGACTCACATGCTACGGTATTACTAACCTCTTTGTAAAGAACTACGCCGTGTGTTGATGGAGATGCACTAGGCTGAGATCGGTCCTTCCGTTTTGCGCGCAATCCTTTACCCTCGTCGTCCTGCTCAAAGTATGAATGGGGATAGACGTTCCTAGTTGAGCATATGTAAGTGGCTCAGGAAGGAAGGAGCGAACGGACATCACGTGCAACGTGCTCTGCATTGGCAAGTGCGAGTTTCGCAGGATCGCCAAGTCTTTCGATTGTTGTTGAGCGACGAAACACAAATGCCACCGAGTTGGGAAGTGCTGACGAGTGGATTTCAAGGCGTCGTCGTATTGATTCGTATTGCGCTCCCCTCCAAGATGGCCAGACACTCTAGACTTGCCTTGGCAGGGTCTCGATCAAGGCACAGAATGAGTTGTTTGTTGCTTGCTGCTCGCGAAGAGCAATGAAAGTGGGATATCCTGGGTATATTCACAGTCTTTGGGGATCCCGCACAGGTGTCCGTCGTCCGTGTTGTTGCCCAGACAGATCTCGCAGGTGAAGGAGTGGTCTTCATGGAGATGGGGGTTGTGATTGGGTGGTGTGGATGACGCGTGGCAACCCCAAGAAAATTGTAAATCCGGTGCTTCTCCACCGATCGCCACTCACGGCGAGTTGTTTCACGTCGTGCATCGAGCAGGGCGTGTGGGTGAATCGTTGGCAGAGGAGTTGCAGGTGCAAACACACCGGGCAGGGCGACACATTGATTGATATATTTGATGGGATAGTCGTTAAACAGAAGCATCAACAATCGCAACGGTCAACACGGCACACAACAGTTTGCCGGCGGATCTCCAGGCCGGGCGCTGACTTTCTCTCCACACCGACGCGCACCACTGGTCGTTCATTGGGGCTGTGCTGCGCTCTGCGCTACTGGCCGCGAGTACGGGAAAGGGGGCGACGAGGCTGCTGCTGCTGCTGCTGCCAACGTCCACGAGCACCACACGCTCATCACCATCACCACCGCCATCACCACCTCCCCTACCACCAGTCACTCGCTTTGTTGTTCGTTGTGCTGGCAGCGTGAGAGTTTTGCAGAGACAAAGCCGGCGTCATCATCTCCCTCCTCAACCACCGCCGCGCCCCGGAGTCTGGACGGACGACGCTAGCCGCTTTGCGCGCCTCCCTGCCACCTGCCTCCATCTGCCACCTTCTTTCTTGACTTGACACCACTCTTCATCACCTTCGTTTCAGCATCCAACTCTCCACCGACACTGCGACCGCCCTCCGCGCCCTCTTCCTCTACCCACATCGCCGCCGTCGACGCGCCTGACGGTATCCTCTCGCTGCCGGCGGGCTCCGCCAGATTCCGACCGAATACACGCCCAAAACTTCCTCCTCCAAACCTCCCTCGATCCTCGACCGCAACAACCATGAAGCCCTCAATACCATCATTAATCTCGACCGCCTTGCTGCTCGGCAGCGCACCCTTCACATGCGCCGAGCGCTTACTCAAGTCGACCTCGCTCAACCCCTGTCAGACCAACAACAACTTCTCCGCCACCCTCTTCGACGTGACTTTCACGCCGCAGAATCGCAGTCTGGCATTCGACGTCGTCGGTGTCAGCTCCATCACGGGAAATGTTACCATCGAGCTCATTGTTCTCGCATATGGCTTGAACGTGTACAAGACCACAATCAACCCGTGCGACTCGGACGATTTCCAGGGTCTATGCCCCATGAACGAAGGACAGATCAACTTGAACAGTAATGCGGACATCCCAGCGAGCTCGTTGAAGCAGGTGCCGGGCATTACATACACTGTGCCAGATTTGGATGCGAAGGTGCAGGTGTACTTCAATCAGACTTCCACTGGAACTTCAGCTGCATGTGTCGAGGCCGAATTGTCCAACGGTAAGACCGTGGATCAAAAAGGCGTCGCGTGGACCATTGCTGTTATATCCGGCCTGGCTCTTGTCGCGTCTGCCATTACATCAGGTCTGGGCCACTCCAACACTGCTGCTCACGTCGCAGCGAACGCAATGGCTCTGTTCGGATACTTCCAGGCACAGGCTTTCATTGGCATGACTGCGGTCTCTCTGCCACCAATCGTTGCCTCGTGGACTCAGAACTTCCAGTGGAGCATGGGCATTATCCGTGTTGGCTTCCTTCAGAAGCTCGCCACTTGGTACCAGAGAGCCACCGGTGGAACTCCATCGACCATTCTCTCCAACTTGAGCTCTAGCTCCGTGCGTGTAGAGAAGCGCAGCATGCAAGTTGTCGAAGGCTTGATGAAACGCGCAATCAGCCAACTCCACAACATGGCCATCAACAAGCGATCCAACGCTGGTTCGGATCAGACCGACTCATCGACCCAGGTTATCGTGAAAGGCATCAAGCGTGTTGGTTTCCGTGCTTCCATCGAACCGACTAACATCTTCTTGACTGGATACATCTTCTTCCTGATCTTCGTCATCTTCGTCGTGCTCGGCGTCGTCATCTTCAAGTTCGTCTGCGAGGGGCTGACGAAAGCTGGTAAGATGAAGGGAGAGAAGTTCCAGGATTTCCGCAATGGCTGGACTACCGTGCTCAAAGGCATCCTGTTCCGCATTGTCCTCATTGGCTACCCACAAATGATCGTGCTCTGCTTCTGGGAGTTCACTCAGAAGGATTCTGGCGCTGAAGTTGTTTTGGCCGTTTTCACCATCTTCCCAATGCTCGCCATCCTCGGCTGGGCATCCAGCAAGGTCATCCGACTCGCGCGCCGCAGTATCGCAATGCACAAGAACCCGGCCTACATCCTCTACTCGGACCCCGTCTCACTGAACAAGTGGGGTTTCTTGTACGTCCAGTTCAAGGCGACGGCATACTACTTCATCGTCCCATTCTTGATCTACATCCTGGTCAAGGGTTTGTTCATTGCTTGTGCACAGGGCAGTGGCGTTGCTCAGGCCGTTGCGCTCGTGGTCATTGAGGCAGTCTGGCTGATCGCCGTCTGCGTGCTCCGTCCATACATGGACAAGAAGACGAACGCCTTCAACATCGCCATCTGTGTTGTTAACTTCCTCTCGGCCATCTTCTTGTTGGTCTTCTCGGAAGTCTTTGGACAGCCAGTGAGTATACTCCCTATCTATCAAACTACTCGTGCTAACATCTACTTTTAGGGCATCGTTACCGGCGTAATGGGCGTCATCTTCTTCATCTACAACGCAGCTTTCGCCACCATCCTCCTCGTCATCGTACTGGTCGCTTCAGGGATCGCCATCTTCTCCAAGAACCCCGAAAGCAGATACCAGCCAATGCGTGACGACCGTGGTAGCTTCATCAAGTCCCAATCGCAATTGACGACCGAACTTGATGCGTTAGGCGCGACCGCACGTGGCGAGTCGAAACACGGCTTCCACACTACCAAGAGCGGCGCTCGGATCGAGGACGACGACGACAGCTGGTCTGGCTCAGGCGGCAGCAGCGACCGAACGCCGCAAGTAACACAATCTCAGACAGCGTACACCGGCGCAGGTGGCTTCGGCCATGCCGGCAACGATGGCGGTGCACGACATCTGCCACCGTACGACCGAACAGGCTCGATGACGAGCAGTCAGGGTCGTTTTCGTCAGCAAGGAGCATCACCTTGGCAAAGAGGAGCCGGTTACGAGTAATTACCCAGAGCGACCACCGATCTTCACAGGCGTTTCGGCGGAGACGGTTAATACGGCAATATTGATGACAGACGTCCAAAGTCCCAAGTTTTCCAGTTTTAATGCGAACACCCACCACCATCACAACACCCGACCGGGCACGGCTTCCTCACAACGACCGCTGCTAGATCGAGCAGATCCCACCGATGAGGTTGGCAGGGTCGTCAAAATGTACGAGCGGCCCTGGTCTCTGGCATCTTCGCTGCGAGGCGACCGAGCCAGATGAAGAATGGCGATTGCAACTTTTTGCGGGGCGACTTTTGATCGCTCCTTTTTGCCAACATCACTGATTGACGACTTTTCTCCTTGCGACTTGTTTTTTCTCTTGAGTGTAAATAAAAACTGGGGAGCATCTATCGAAACCCCGCGAGGCATGGAAGGGCGGAGAAGGGAATTCCTTTTTTCGAGGGAAGGGAGCTAGGCTGGTACTGGGTCAAGGGAAACAAGAGGGCGAGTCTTCGATACAGAGACAAGCTCTGAACAAAGTATCTGGGGGCGTTGGATTCATGGAGCCGGGCTGGCTGTGCTAGCTTTTTCATCATCACAAGACCCTCGTAAAAAAAGGGAAGAGCGTGTACGCTACTGCTAGTTGGAGTTGCTAGTGGGGCGTGGCTGTGCTGCGAATGCAACTTTTTTATACAATGTCAAGAATTGCGGAAAGTGAAGTCGTGTGACAGTCTCGAAAAGGTGCATAAGTACTATTTGTTGAAGTGCCTTGTTAGCTGCTCGGGGAAGGGGGAGTTATGGGGATGAGGAGATATACGGCTGTTTGTTTTATGGTGGTGCGTGAATGAGTGGCGATGTCGTAAAATGATATGCCGGGTGTCTGTGGCCAGCATTCCAAAGTAGTGGTGCTCAATGGCGTCCATCTGCGGAAGGGTCTTGCTCGAATGACATTCTCGCACACGAAGGGCTAGCACCTCGTCGACGATGATCCTGCCTCCGTCGACAGTCGCGACTAGTGTTGCGTTGATGATGCCACATGTGATGTTGCACAAAGACATTTTGTCTGTGGCGGTGCTTGGGCTGAGTCCGGCTCAGCAACAGCGAAATGATCTTCCTGAAGTTGAATATTGAGTAAATTCTGAGATTGACTCCTCTGGTGGAGGAGGTATTCATGATAGTCTTGTTGGGCATACATGGTTGAACCATGTATGAGTTTGATAGCATGTTTGCTTGTCAATTTTTTTTTTTGCAAGATGTAAGAACTAGCTGGAAGAGAACCAGACAGCAATCTCAAAAAACCAAGCTGGGAAACAGGGGAATGAACGAGACGTCGGCACGTTTGTTGACGTTATGCCACGGTGTATGGCCTTTCACTTACCCTGGCAGCGGTTGAACAGGGTTCTGTAGCCCGGCGATCACTGGGTTATTCAAGCATCGCTCAGTCAAGTAGTGCTCGAGATTTGTGTGAGGCTCGAAAGCCACAGTCTGGCAGTTGCTGTGGCATTGAATGATTGACTCGTCTCAGGGAGCCTGTTCTGAATCTTTTGTTCTTTTGTGCCCTTTAGTTGAGACTTCTTGTTTGTGCTGGAGGTAGGACGTGACTGCTGGTTGCATTGGCGGATGTGCTGATTCGGCGCCATTCCTCGAGGAGCACTGTTCTGATGGTCGAGGCTTCGTTGAGAGCTATAAGTAATATCTGCATGCACGAATTAGTTGTTAATGTTATCTTGTGAAAGCCTGCATCGAGTGGACTTCGGAAGGTGAAGTCAAACCAAAATCACGTGACTTCCCGCTTCCGGAACCTTGCACGTAAAGCTCGCTGCGTCTGTTCGCACGCGACGACAACTCCATCCACACCACCCTTCATCGGCGACTGCTGCCTGACGACTATTTCTCGAGTCGCCGGTTCTGTCTACGTCTTCGCGACAGCCTTGGCATTCTCTTTGCACACACTCCCTCAACATTCCTCAGGCAAACACTCGACTCCTTTTCCCCATTGTTAGCGAACCACAACCATGGCCGACAATTTCTTCGACACGACCGCCGACGTCGGCAGCGAGGAAGAAGATGAGGATTTCGATGAGGAGACGGGCGAGGCCAGACCGTCAAAGAAGAAGGCCGCAAATGGCATGGACATGGATGATTCTAGCGAGGAAGAGGAAGACGATGACGAGGAAGCCGAGCGCGAAGTCCGCGAGGGCTTCATCGTAGACGAGGATGAAGATGAGGATGAGGCTGCGAAGGAGAAGCGCAGAGAGAAGAAGCGAAAACGCGAAGAGAGGCGGCAGAGGCATGAAGAGGAAGAAGAGCTGGATCTTGACGATCTCGATCTCATTGGAGCGACAGTGCCGGAGGATCAGCGACATCCAGAGCAGAACAAGTTCAAGCGGTTGAAGCGCGGGCATCGAGATGATCGCGGGCCAAGCGAGCCTCGAGGGCTGGACGACATGTTCGACGATGAAGAGGAGGGCGAGGGAGCAGGAGTCAGTCGACGACCTGGTTTTGGCCAATACGATGATGAGATGGACGGTTTCATCGAAGAGGATGACTTCCCAGACGAGGACGGCGAGGGCATGGACGAAGATCTTGGCGTTCGTGCTCCTCGCAGAGCAGGCATTCCAGACATTCAGAACTTGAAGAATTCTGGGTTGGGCGAGCTCGAAATGGAAGACATGCAAGGCGCTTTTGGCGATGGCGAGGAATACACGTGGGCCTTGGTCATGGAACAAGACAACAACGACGAGCAGTTCGACCCCAACAAGCCTCTGGAGCTGAAGGATGTCTTCGAACCGTCGCAGCTGGAAGAGCGCATGCTTACGGACAAGGACAATCAAATTCGGCTCACAGATGTCCCTGAGCGATTCCAGACTGCTCGCCAGGCTTACAAGGACTTGTCTGAGCTTCCAGCCGAAAAGCTTGCAGAGCGAATTGGCGAAGAAGCGACCTGGGTCACCTCTATTCTGTTTCCACGCAAACGCATGGAACCTCGTTTACGAGAGCCATTCGAAGCAGCTGTGAGGCAGGTGCTGCATTTCATGAACGTGGGCGACTACGAGCCTGCCTTTATTTTCCAGAACCGCAAAGACTACCTCATCCACTCGGAGCGAGTGCCATCGAACGACCCTGATGGACCAGAGTTCACGATCAAGGCCGAGAAGCTTCTCAACCAGTCCGACCTGTGGGACGTCTTCGAACAAGATCTGAAATACCGGGCGTTCGAGGAGAGACGTGAGGCAATCAGACACAGTGTCGGCCTCGTTAAGGAGCTCGAGACGGACTTCAACGATACAGTCTTTGACGACTTGATCCCCGAAGCCGCGCAGTTGGATGATCTACAAGACATTCAAGATTATCTCCACTTCCAGTATTCGTTACAGCTGAAAGACCTGACCATTTCGAAAGCCATCGGTAATGGCAAGCAGAAGAAGGCTCAGGGGCAGCGAAGTCTTTGGGACAAGGTCCGGTCAAGCCCAGCGTATCATCTTGTTCGCGCTTTTGGAATCACGGCCGACGGGGTAGCACAGAACGCAGACAAGACCGGCCGACGAGTCTATACGGAAGACCCAGACAAGCAGCCTGAAGATATCGCAGATACCTTGACCCGCGACCCAGACATGCCGACATCCAAAGAGGTCATGAGTGCCGCCAAAGCCATGTTCGTGGAAGAGATTGTCATGAGCCCACGAATGCGACGACACATGCGCAAGATCTACTACGAAAACTTGGTCTTTGACTGCTACCGTACTGAGAAGGGCTTTAAGCAAATTGCGGAGGACCACCAATACTACGAGTTCAAGTATCTTCGCAATCAAGAAGTGCGGTACTTCTTGGTGGAGCGCCCCGAGCTGTTCCTTCGCATGCTCAAGGCCGAGTCTGAAGGATTGGTGGAAGTGCGTGTGAGACTGCAGAAAGAGCGTCGCATCAGGGAAGAGCTGCAGCGAGCCATTGAGTCTGACAACTTCTCCGAGGTTGCTGACGCTTGGAACGCACTTCGACGAGAGGTTCTCGAGACTGCACTCAACAAGATGCACCGCATCATAGCTAAAGGTGTCAAAGACAACCTCAAGAACGAGTGTGAGAACAAGATTGCTGGGTACTGCCGCGACTCCTATACGCAGAAGCTGGATCAAGCGCCTTACAAGCCGAAGGGAATGGAACTCGGTACGTGTGCGCGCGTCCTTGCACTGTCGAACGGAGGCGGAGGCAAAGACGATGCTATCTGCTGGGCTTACGTCGATGAGAACGGTCGCGTACTCGAGAATGGCAAATTCAACGACCTGCGACTTGGAAACGAGGACAAATACATTCCAGACGGCAAGGATGTCAAGCCTTTCGTTGAGCTTGTCGAACGCAGACAACCTGATGTCGTGGCAGTTTCGGGGTGGTCCACCGAAGCTCGTCGCCTCTACACAGACTTGCAGAACATTATCGAGAAGAAGGAACTGCACGGAACGCCGTACGAGGATCAGGATGAGCGGGAGGTGACCGATCCATTGGACGTGATCATTCCTCAAGATGAGGTGGCCAGACTCTACTACAACTCTGATCGCGCAGCTGCCGACCACCCTGGAGTTGTCCCTCTTACCAGATACTGCATTGCTCTTGCACACTACATGCAGAATCCTTTGAAGCAGTACGCCGCCTTGAAGGAGAACATCACTTCTGTCACATTCGATCCCAACCAAGGCTTGCTTCCTCAAGACAAGTTGAAGAAGTGCCTGGACACGGCGATGGTCGACATCGTCAACCTCGTTGGCGTTGATGTCAACGAAGCCATGTCAGACCCGTACACGCAGAACCTCTTGCCTTACGTTGCTGGTTTAGGTGCTCGAAAGGCGGATCATCTGGTCAAGGTTATCGCGTCGAACGGTGGCGAGCTCCTCAATAGAGCAGACCTTGTTGGTGATGTCGAGAGCCACAAGAGACCGGGCGTGGGACCGAAGGTCTTCGTCAACTGCGCAAGCTTCCTCTACGTCACTTGGGAGGACGAGCCTGATGCAAACTACCTCGACAACACCAGGATACACCCAGAAGACTACGAGATTGCACGCAAGATGGCGGCTGATGCACTTGAATTCGACGAGGAAGATATCCAGGCTGAGGTCACCGAGAATGGCGAAAATGCCGTGGTGCGAAAGCTTGTGAAAGACGACCAGACTGACAAGGTTAATGACTTGGTTCTGGAGCAATATGCAGAGCAGCTGGAGAAGAACTTCGGCCAGAGAAAGCGTGCTACCCTGGAGACAATCCGCGCTGAGCTGCAGAACCCGTACGAGGAGCTGAGGCGCAACTTTGCATCTCTCACCACCGACGAGCTGTTCACACAACTTACTGGTGACACCAAGGAGACTCTCAAAGAAGGCATGATCGTGCCGGTCACCGTCAAGAAGACCTTCCCTGAACACATCGAGGTGAGGCTGAGCAACGGTGTCGAGGGTGGAATCGGGTCTTTGGAGTTCCCAGAAGAGATGACTCGAAACGGTGTCGAGCCCAGACACATGTGGGCCCAATGGCAGATGATACAGGCCAAGCTTACTTTCATCGACCGAAAGAAGTTCACTGCGCAACTCACCTTACGGGAGAATCAACTCAAAGAGCCTTATCGACCGCAGTATGATCGGGGCATCGATGAGTGGGACGAAGACCAAGAGGATCGAGACAAGCAGGCCGCCAAGAAGGCGATCGAGAACAAGGGTGGACGCCCGCAGAGAGTCATCAAGCACACCCTCTTCCGCAACTTCAACTCGCACCAGGCTGTCGAAGCCCTCAAGAACCAGTCTCGCGGCGACTGTATCATCCGTCCGTCTTCGAAGGGGACTGATCACCTTGCTGTCACCTGGAAGATTGCTGACAATGTGTACCAGCACATTGATGTTCTGGAGCTTAACAAGGAGAACGAGTTCAGCGTTGGTAGGATTTTGAAGGTTGCCAACAAGTACACCTACAGCGATCTTGACGAATTGATCGTGCTGCATGTTCAAGCGATGGCCAAGAAGGTGGACGAGATGACCAACGACGAGCGCTACCAGACAGGGACCAAGGAGCAAACTGGTAAGACTTGAGCGTGATTGAATACATAATACAACATTGCTGACTTTGCATACAGAACAATGGCTTGCTACCTATACGGAAGCGAACCCGAAGCGATCCATGTACGCCTTCTGCATGGAGCCCAAGCACCCCGGCTACTTCTTCCTCTGCTTCAAGGCCGGTCGGGACGCGCCACACGCTCATTGGATGGTCAAGGTCATTCCACAGGGATTCGAGCTGAAGGGGAACAAATACCCCGACATGCGGGCGTTGAAGAATGGGTTCAAGCTGCTGTTTGCGAACCAGGGCCCGCAGTCGAACGGCAGGCGCTAGGAGTCGTCTGATACACCGCTTGGTGTTTGGCATTGGAGCCCGGGTTTGGGCCATTCGCAGATGGCGTAAGGTACTATTGGAGCATCATTGTATCAAATGTGTATCATTAGCATTTGGCGTTTGAAGCAGAAAAGTTGAAACTCTGAGGAGGATAGGAACGTCGCAGAGACAGGATTGATACTAAACAGATCACAGTCTAATGACTTCGCTCTCCTTTCCCTCTCCCAACCGAGCGCCCTATCATCCCGATTTCAGCTCGCTGCATAGCATCTGTTGAAATCTGCTTACCTATCGCTGACCAGTCTTCCCCATTGTCCTAGAGGGGCAATTTCTTGTAGACGAACATGTCGTGGAACATTCGAATCAACCACACCTCACCCTTCCAAGGATGCCACAAAACAATCCCTTCAGCTTACACATCTGCCCAAACCCTCAGACGCAGGTACGAGAAAAGTGCCACGAGAACGTGAATCCTTCCGTTGTCCGAATGAGGGAATTTCTGCAAACGTGCCTGCATCGGCTAACTTGGTCGGCAAACCTCGAGAATCTTTGCACGTTGGAAAGGGCAGGAGGAGATAGGACATGGAGATATCGCACGAGCTTCGAAATCAATATGTAATGAGTATTTCCAAGCAAGGCTCGAAAAGTACACGCAAGCAAGCAAACACTCGATCGAATAAAGTGACAGTCGGGAATAAGGTAGCGAAACCGAAAACGGAGCCATCTCCGCCATAAGGATTCTCGTTCTAGCCCATGCGGCGAAAAACTTTTAGCATGTGAATTTCTTTCTTGTCAATGGACGAACGAAACGACACGACACGAACGAGTTGATGTCATCATTGCCGAAGCATAGCCGATTCTACTCTCTTCTCTAGACCGTATAGCCGTGAACATCCGGGTTTGTTTTTGTTGGGAGAAGGATTAGAGGCACAACGAAAAGAAACCCGACTTTGTTGTTGTCAAGGAATCCTCCCGCATAAAGTCCGCTGCAGGTTCTGTGTCGAAAGTGGTAGTGGTGCAATATTGGAATAGTCAGCAATGCCTGTGAAAGACGGGTTTTGGAGATGAACAGGTTTTCTTTCCTGTTCCACGCGCGACTTCAGGGGACTATTCGATTATGTGTTCCTCGTACGACGTCATGTAGTGTGGGTACGTGTATTTTCTATCCGTTTAGCTGCTGCTGTAGCTTGGAAGGTGCCCTGTCGTTTTGTATAAAGTCTTCTCAATCACGCCCTTTGCTTTTGCACCGTCTCATCTTCATTCCTCACCCCGGACACACAGAACAAGGACAACCCTTTCCCAGCTTCTTCGAATCACCCGCAATGCCTTCCTTCACCGTTTACAAGGGCCAAAAGGGCGGTAAGGTCTACAAGACCGAAACGTCCAAACCCGAGCTTCAAGGCGACCAGATCCTCATCAAAGTCACCGCCTCCGGCCTCTGCGGTACGGATCTCCACTACCGCGAAGCAGACCAGGGCATTGGCCACGAGGGCGTCGGCGTCGTCGAGGCGACTGGACCAGGCGTTACACACTTGAAGAAAGGCGACCGTGTCGGTTGGGGTTACCAGCATAACAGCTGCGGCCACTGCCAGGAATGTCTGCGTGGGAATGAGACGTACTGCGCCGAGCGACAAATGTACGGATACGCGAATCTGGACCAGGGATCTTGTGCTTCGCATGCTGTGTGGCGAGAGGCTTTCCTGTTCAACATCCCCGACAGCATGAGCGACGAGGTAGCCGCACCCATGATGTGCGGTGGTGCTACGGTTTTCAACGCTCTGCACGCCTACAGTGCACAGCCAACTGAGACCGTCGGTGTGATGGGCGTTGGCGGTTTAGGCCATCTTGCGATCCAGTTCGCGGCGAAGATGGGATGCCACGTCGTTGTGTTGTCGGGTTCGGATAAGAAGAAGGACGAGGCGCTCAAGCTTGGTGCTCAGGAGTTCATTGCGACCAAGAATGTGAAGGAGATCAAGCCTTCGCGACCACTCAACCGCTTGCTTGTGACGACCTCGGCGCAGCCAGACTGGGAGAAGCTTGTTCCTGCTTTTGCTCCTGGTGCGACCATCCATCCTTTGTCGGTGGACGAGGGTAACTTCGCTATCCCATACAGTAAGTCCATCTCCATTGACAACCTGACTGCGTTTACTAACTGAAGCCAGTGCCACTCCTCGCCAATGGTCTCACAGTTCAGGGCTCGATCGTTGCTTCGAGATACATTCACACCCGCATGCTCGACTTTGCGGCTCTCCACAAAATCGAGCCGATCATCGAGAAGTTCCCAATGGACGAATCGAACATCAACCAGGCGATGGACAAGCTTAACGAGGGTAACATCCGGTACCGCGGGGTGTTTGTCAACCAATAAGCAGTCGATTGAATCAGGCAGCATAATGCATGTGGAAGCGTAGGCGTCGGGGGCGAGAAAGCGGTTGTGGTCTCAGAAGGATCTTGAAGCGATAGCATCGTGTACTTTAGCGCATTCGAACATGATGCTTTTTCACCAGTGTCCATGAGTTCATTTTGGTCTCATTTCCAATGCCCAGATCTGGCTGTGATCCTGGCAGACGAGCGGCTTTCGATACACCCAGGCAGTTCCGTGGCTGGACAGGGCTTCCCACAATGCCAGACTCTTCGGCTACTATCGAGGAGCTGAATCGCTGATGTCCATGGGGTGTCCAATTCTGATCATGCTTGGTTGCGTTTGCGCCTGGTTCAGAATCTCCACTGTCGACGAAGCGGCGGTGAGTTGGACCAAAGCGTCTGTCTGGAGAACCTCTTGATCCAGACCTGCTGTGGTTGATTATTAGCAACGCAAAGCCTCGAGAGCATGCAAACAGCTCATTCCAGCAGAGAAGCAGGTAGCTCGAAGGTTTTGTGGACGTGAGTCTTGAGCGTATCGCCTTCTTCGGGAGGCTGCAAACCGCTGGGATTCTTCATCTCGGGAGGGTTTGTGTCAATCTCGATGGTGACCTAGACGACAGTAAGCGAGTGGTTCCGATGACAAGTGAAGGCATCACGCTGGGGCTACTATATACCGCTTCGTCCTCACAGCGGTAGTCTACACCTACAGGTCCGTCGTTGATTAGAGAAACGTCCATCATCGCCTGGAAGACGCCATCTTTGACTTTGTCTTCTCGATAGAGCTTGCGGACTTGGCCAATAAACGAGTCGTAGAGCTCCTTGCCTTTGGCTGCTGGAGCGGACTTGTGGAAGTCTGGTTTGTTGCCCTTCTTTGTCGATGCTAGTAATGTGAATTGGGAGACTGGTTATTGATGAAGTCAGAATAAGCTATGGCGACCTTGATGGTGGAGAAGTCGAGCATACCACACAGGACGTCGCCGTCGATTTCTTGGACGTTCTTTTTCCACTTTGACTCGCCATCGTCCCATAGTCTAGGATGTGATCAGCGCTGTCTCAGATAGCGAAGCCCCTCATTGCCGTAATTGCGTACTTGACTTTCAGCACTTTGGAAGCCATGGATATGGCCTCTTTCTCGGTATCATCTTTGCCAATCGCAGCAAAGACTAGGAGACCTTTGCTGATGGAAGAGATCAGCTGTCCGTCTACGGTCACTGACGCCGATTTGACCCGTTGTATGACAGCTTTTGGATCACGAGTCAGACACCGCAGTGGAGTAATGATCAAATGCGTGCAACATACTCTTCATGCTGGTGATTGCCTGTGATCGGCTAGACACAGCGAAGTTCGCAGCACAGCCCGGAATTCAGCCCCGTCGATAGGTGCAGTACAGGCGATGAGGAGGCACAGTGCAGGCTCAAGGTTGGGCTGAAAGCAGCAGCTGCAACTGCGCGCGTGTGTGGTGAGGATCGACCGGTGAGGCGTGAGGCGAGAGCAATCAGGCCAGCAGCAGGCAATGGGCGTCCGCGTCTTGCTTGCTGTGCGGGAGGGTGTATGTACAGCACAAGCAATCGTTCAGCCAGATATCATATGATATTGATGAGTGAATATTCCATTCGGTGGTCCGTGGAAAGAAAGTGAAGCAGATCTAAGTTCGCGCTTGAGCATCTCCAACAGTCGCGCCAAGAAGGGGTCTGAAGCTAGAGCATCGCCGTCGCCAGCACCACCTCACTTCAACTCACCACCCGCAACCCTCCATCGCTGCACCACCCGCCGTCATTACCACCTTCGCCATCACCCCGCGATCCCATCCCATTCCATCATTCGCCCGCGGCGGCCCATCTTCCCATCGAACCACCAATTACCACCCCGCGACCTGATCCCCGGCCACCACCACCGCGCCGGTCAGGCTCACATGCACAATGGCCGCGCGAAAGCTGCAGCAAGAGATTGACAAGGTCGGACTCTGTACGGCATGTGTTTGAGGCTTGGCAATACTGACTCCAGCGCAGGAGGACAAGAAAGTGGCCGAAGGCGTCGTTGTCTTCGAGGGCATTTACGAAAAGCTCGTAGAATGCACGAATCCGTCGCAAAAGGAGAAGCTCGAGGACTCGTTGAAGAAGGAAATCAAGAAGCTCCAGCGGTCTCGAGACAAGTACAAGACATGGCATTCCATGAACGACATCAAGGACAAGGCTCCTCTAGCCGACAAGAGGAAGCTAATAGAAACGGTATACTACTCTCGTGAGACCGCGTGAAAAGGTGGATAATAAACTAATACGCACCCTTAGCAAATGGAGAAATTCAAAGCCGTCGAGAAGGAGATGAAGACCAAGGCCTTTTCCAAAGAAGGCCTGTCCGCTGCCGCCAAGCTCGATCCCAAGGAGAAGGAGAAGCAGGAAGTAATATCATTTCTGGGCGACATGGTCGAGGAGCTCTCGCAGCAAATCGAGACATACGAAGCAGAGGCCGAGACATTAGGAGCCACAACGAAGAGGGGCAAGAAGGCAGACACTGGCAAGATTGAGCGGAAAGAGGAGCTGGAGCGGATGCAGGAGCGGCATAAGTTCCATATAGGCAAGTTGGAGGTACTGAAACGCGCGTTGGACAACGGCAGCGTGGATGTCGAGCAAGTCAAGGAGATCGAGGATGGCATCAAGTACTATGTGGAGCAGAACCAAGAAGTCGACTTCATGGAGGACGACGCACTCTACGACGAGCTCGATCTGGACAAAGAGGAGGACATGTTCGGTATAGGAAACATCGATGACAAGGTCTCTAGTCAAGACGCGCAAAGCATACAAGACGAACCTCCCGAGGCCGAAGCACCGCGAAATACAACCACAAGCACAAAGGCGAAGTCACAGTCAGTGTCCGGATCTGCAGCAGGAGGCCGGCGAGCTAGTACGCAAGCCAGCAGCAGTACACCTCTACCTGCTCTCTCGACACTACATACAAGTCTACCGGGCAACGTCAACGGGAAGGCGGCAGAGACGATGAAGCCGGCGCCCTTACCCTCAATACCTACTGGCCAGCCGTTGAAGTACGCATCTGCTGCTGCAGCGGCTGCCGCGAGCGACAAGAACGGGGTCGGTATAGCGCCTCTGCCCCCGCCTCCTGGAGCAGCCAAAGCAAACGAGTCGCCATCGTCAACAGCAGCGTCTGTACAGCCCGTGCCTCCACCAGCTGAAGCGGCAAAGCCGGCAGAACAGCCTGCGAAACAACCCACTCCTGCTCCCAAGGAAGAGCCGAAGCCAGCAGAACCAGCGGAAGCGGCACCCCCTCAACCTGCAAAGGCACCGTCGGTCAAGCCATCACCTCAGGCAGCGCCTGTGCAACCCTCACAACCGCCACAAATCAAGGCATCAAAGGCACCACAGCCCCCTAGTCCGGACTCCGGTATCGCAGGTATTGCGTCAACGCAGGGCGATTCTTCTCAAGACGACGACGAAGAGGAGTGCATCTACCATCTCCCATCCTCGCTCACTGACCTCTTGGACTCATTCGAGGAGACCAAGCAGAGGGCGCAGTCGGATCAGCCCTACGATCTGAACATGCTGAATGCTTCACGCCTCACTTGTCCGACACCGCACGACTCGGAGAAGCCCAACCACTACAAGCCGCAAAATCCGTACAACTACACACCAGCACACTACCCGCAGGAGCCTTCGAGTGTGTTTGATGATCCAAGGCTGTACAATCGAATCGACACTGACAGCCTGTTCTACGCCTTCTACTACCGACAAGGCACCTACCAGCAGTACCTCGCTGCCAAGGCGCTCAAGGGCCAGAGCTGGCGGTTCCACAAGCAGTATCAGACTTGGTTCCAGCGGCATGAGGAGCCGAAGAACATTACGGAAGAGTTCGAGCAAGGCACGTACCGATTCTTCGACTACGAGAGCACCTGGTAAGTCTCCACGTCAAGTTCACGAGATTATAACAGCTAACAGTGAGGCGCAGGATGAACCGGAGAAAGGCAGACTTCAAGTTTGCCTACAAGTTCCTCGAAGACGATCTTTGAGGGCGGAGCAATACCGAGAAGGCACGAGCACTAGGTCAGCGCCAATTTCTTGCGTGCTGTGAAGGATCTTGGTCGTGGGTAACAGTAGCTTCCAAGGTCCCCGACACGAACGTGGTTGCTTTCAATCAGGGCAGATGGGAAATCCAATTCACTTTTGGGCAAACGCCTTTTTCAAGGCTGATCTTGAATGACGAACTCTTGGCACCCTTTTCCTTTTTCTCCCTGTTCCCCGGTGCCCTTGCTGAGTGCTCCTGTGACTGCGCAGAGGCTTGGCGGCGTGGCCGTTGGCGCTATGCATGTGGTCTCTGCCACGAAAGTCAATTGCCAGAAGGCTGACGCGCATGGGTCTAGCCTAAGCGATGGGCGCGGACTTCACAAGGCCGGTTTGAACTGACCAATCATAGGGGTTTGTGCTTGACGACAGCTCTTCTTGCAAGGCGACGCTCTCACGACATCACCAACATCCAATCGCTCATGACTCCTCAGGCACGGCCGCGGATTTCAGAGCAGCTGGAGACACGGCGCTTGATCGAACCGTCAGAGAGGGAGAGAGGCTGCACGACAGACACAGCCTGCGCGCCCTTTATCGTGGGTCTGGCAAGACGCCATCTCACAGCATCACCAAGAAGGAACGGGCACATACGATCATTCAGCTCGATTACCATGCTCCATAATATAGCTCTTCAAAACCTGTTTGAGCGGCCATGATGATGAGCCTCAAAGGTCGCTTTGCGGAAGCTGCGCCGCCTTGGAGCGCCAAGCCTGGCGGCCTCTTTGGAGCTCCTTCCTGTCGCTCGCCTCACTTCTTCACTTCATCACTTCAGAATTACTCGCCGTCCTTGCCCTTCTCAGAGGGCGGGAGTGCGGTGATAAGACATAAGGCAGAATCAAGGCAACTGATAATTGACTTCTTGAGCGATGTCATTAGACTGGTCTCGATGGTTGTCAGGGACTTGTTCCGAAATGGATCGTGTCATCGATGAGAACCGCCCAGAAGCATATGTTCCTGAGGTTCAATCCGAGAAGGCTTATACACCTTGGTGAAACCACGATCGAGGCCTGAGGTCCATGTGTGAGGTTCTTTGGCTATTCCTGGGCATCTGTAGCACCATATCCACGTGCCGAACAAAACAGAGTGAGTCACCACCCAACGAAGAACATGGATCGCAAAACAACCCGGTCTTCCTCCTCGCACACAGCAAACCACAGCGCCTGTCTAACTATCGCGTCCCACCAGCACCACCCAAACACCACACTCCCGGAAAGCGGCCCGTGGGATCCTTCTCGCCTCTCCACAACGTTGCCTTGATGAGACAGTCCGCATTCCCGGCAGTCTTCGGTATCGAAGCAACTCTGCCTTCCGTTTTCGGTGCGTGTGGCATTGCGAACTAGAACACTGCCTCGGTCGTGGCCTCCTCTCGTCATTGCTCGCCTCATTAATATCGATGGGTCGCGAGCCAATGGGTTGGCCAACGAGGGCTCATCAGGAGGTTCTAACACGCCATATTGTTTCTGCCTTGACGGTATCGTGGTGCTTGCTGTGAAGGCATGTCTATTGCCTTCGTCTTGATAGATCATGGGCGCGGCGAGATGCGCTCGTGCGGTATGGTAAGGCTGGCGGCTGTGTGTGCGGCCTTGAGGCTTGGGTTTTGTTGATAAATGGAGGCTTTAGCTTCTTGTGTTACGTCGTGGTTGTTGTAGCCCAGTCTCGTATAGAAGTCCTTGAGTGACCGCAGTTGAGAAGCATCCATCCTATTGCGACCATCGATTACTTTGTGATATCTTTGTTGAAGCATCACCTAGTTCAAGCAGCAAGTCAACGATCGCAAGCTACCACGGTTATCGTCGTCAAGCACAGTAGCAACAGTCTCGATACCGTAAGTTGATATGTCCCTGGATGGTTCGAAGCAGAGAACAAAGCCAGCTGAACGATCTCAAAGTCATCTGTCATCATCAACATCACTCACACACATCGAATCAACGATGGCATACCCCGACCCCTATCGACGGGCCTCATCCTCTCACCACCCTTCATACAACGGCTATGCGACCACAATCCCCATCAGACCCGCCCCAACACCAGGCTACCCCTACAACGCCGCCTACCCCTATCAACAATACCCACCCTCTCCAACCTCAACCTCCTCCCCAACATCAACCTACTCAACCTCGCCCACAACCCCGTAAGTCCCCTTCCCTCCCTCCCTTCCTCTCCTCCTCGCCATCCAAACTAACCCCCTCTTCCCAGCAACAACCCACCAACATACTTCTGCCTCTGGCCCAACTGCACTTACTCCTGCAGCCGCAACGCGGACCTGCAACGCCACTACCAGAACGTGCACAATCGCGAGAGCGCGCCGCTGGTCGATTGTTGGGTGCAGGGGTGTCATCGACGGGGCGCGTATGGGTTTACGCGGAAGGATAAGATGGTCGAGCATGTGAGGGAGGTGCATAAGGTTGATGTGCCGAAGAGAGGGAGTTCGGGGGGTGGGAGGTGAGGTTGTATGGAATGGTGGGGTGGGTTTGGGGGTGTATAGTAGATTGTTCGTTTTGGTGATTCTGTTGTGGGTTGTGTCGATGATGGTTTGAGGGTCGATCTGGTGCCTTGGTTAGTCTGGCGCAAGGCAGTCTGTTGAGAAACGTGTTGGGATAGTAGAACAGTGTGTCGCAAGACGGCAGCGATGGCCTTGAAGCCTCAATGGCAGATAATAGATACCGAGATTCTCCACTTGAGCTCCCTTCTCTTATTCGAGCCAGGCCAGGACACAGGACACAAACACACTCCCCTGACCCTGCCCGCTTCCTTTTTCAGGTTAATTATAATGCAATGACAGACATAAACTCTCAGATGTCCTCCCAATAGTACTAATAGTAAATCTTACGCTGACCCGCAGCTCTTTGGTAGATTGGAGTCGACTTCTCTTCGCGTCGCCAGGACATTTCGGGGTCGTTTGTTGGGTTGGGTAAAGGACGGACGAGCGTGCCTGCATTGCTCAGGGGTGTGGTGTGGTGGATGGTCTCGATGGGCGTGTCGAGTCCGGTGATACTGCTGTTGACAGCAGTCCAGTTGGGACATGGCGAGGAAGGCGTAGGAGCAGCACGCTGCCCTCTTATCTCCCACTTCCATTGCCATTGCCCGCGACTCGCTGGATCGCCGCCAGGGGAGGATCCTCAGCTAGCCACTTGCCTTCGGCGCAGTCGGCTTGACGTAGGCTTGCGTCGACTCGGGCATCTGTGATGGCTGCCAACTCCTGAGATGTCATATCAGTAACAAGTCGTCTCCAGAGGCTTCTACGTGAGTGTTTCGACTTACACTTCGAAGCTGGTTCCTTATCTGCTGCAAAGCAGGCGCATACCCAGCATGCGGTCGCTGGCCTTGAAGGATGGTTGTCCTTGCGTTGACCCATCGAAGAGCCGCCAGTGCTCGCATGTAGAGCTTTTGCGCCTTGAATCTTCTGACCGCCGCGTCTGCTATGATCCTGTCCTCTCGTCAGTCCTGCCAACCACTTCCAACCCTCTTCATCGATCCTACCTCCTCAGTTGCGCCTTGTTCTGCTCGTCGTCCCCCCTCTGCGTCGCCTCGCTCTGGAAAGGCTGCGTGAGCAACGCCTGCGACTGCGCTACGCATTGCCGCAGAACGACATATCCATCCTCGTTGTACTCCTCCGCCGAAGGGCTCGCCCTGATGTTCGCCATGTATGTTTGGAGGTTACGGTAGTCCCCCATGAGCTCCGACACTCGCATGGCGCGAATGTTGTTCATGCCGTCTGCCATGTGGAGCATTGGTCGTTGGTGTTGATTAAGAGGAGGGTGATTAGTTGTCTTTGTTGGGCGGCAAAGAGTATAGAGGAAAAGATGATGTTAGTAGTGGTATGGTGGTAGTACAATGAGCACAGCTCTTGATGATAGAAAGGAGTGTTGTCGGATCGTCGCAGCTTGTTGATAGACAGAGCTCTGAGCTGTGAAGGCCGAGCCATCTCTATATGAACAAGAGCAACCGTATCTGGCATGCGGCACTGTCAACGATACCCATCTGGTCGATGGTTGTGGCTTGCTGGCTGCTGCATCACCGCAAGCAGAAACCGCCAACGAGAGGGCTTCTCTGGGCAGTGCACTATCTTTCGGCAGCCCTGCATTCGTGTACACTGACAGCTGGTGAAGGGTATTGATGCGTAGTAGCGAAATGTGTCGTGAATTGACCCTGCACTCCCAACAGTGCAAGAAAAGTTCTTTCTACGTCACAAGCAGCATAGCTCTGCTGGTAGGTCAGGAACGTTTATGGAGCTCAGGCAGCCAAAGACAAGCCATACCCATGGTTAGTGCGCAGGAACCGTGGCCGGGTGCTGAATCGGGGGGATTGCTGAAATAAAGTGCGGCTCTGTACCTGACATGATGCATCCCATTGGCCTGCATGGTCGTGCATTCATCTGACCATCGACAAGAGTTGCGCAGAGCAAGGTTGCATGAGGCACGGATATCACAGAGGGTGACTAATGAAGTGCGGCAGTGGAGTGGACTGCATGGCTTTGCAGGGAGCGGTCTGACGTTTGGTGCCAGCGGAAGCGTGCCGGCACGCGGAGGCGATCATGAAACGAGAAAGGTCCCAATGGCCACGTGAGAATCGTTAGTATGGTACAACGCCTCGTGAGCGTCGGCAGTGCGTGACAGAAGCTTAGTGTACATAGTGCTGTAGTGGGATCGAAGTTCGCAGAGCTCTCACAGCTGAAAGCCTGCAGCTCTAGCGCGGCCTTGGCGCTTTTTGGGTGAAAGCAGCCAATAGCCGGAATAGCAGCAAGCCTCGTCCAGAGCATGGCTTACGGCGGCGCCGAGTACTCCATGCCGCAGCATTCATCGCTGCGAAGCTGGACAAGTCGCAAGACACGCTGGCGTACGCTCGACATGCTTTTTGGTGGTGGAATCGCGTGAGGTGGAGCATGTCGGCGGCTGAAGCGTGCCGTGGCTTAATCCTTTTCAGCAATCGATTGCAGACGCTCGTCGATTTCGTCTTCAGTCAGGGACCGGAAGCTGGGATCGGTGCCCTCCTTTCCATCCGTTCGAGGGCCGCCCACGATACCAATCTCCAATTCGCCCTTCTTGAAATCCACACTGAGGACCGTGCTCAAAGTGGTGATGGCCAGCTCGACAACCTCATCCCAACTGCCGTCCGCGTTGTCCTTGTTCTTGAGCTTCTTCTCGAGGAAGTTTAGCGCCTCCTGTGCCTTTGGACCCGACGCAGTGGCCTTGTAACCGACATAGTAGCCGGCTGGATCGCACTTGTAGAGCTGCGGGCCAAACTCGGAGTCTACTGAGATGAGGGTGGTCGCGACACCCAGTGGGCGCATGTATGCCTACAAACTCAATCAGATCTTGCTTTTATTGCCAATTCCCAACCATACGCACCCGCTGTGTGTACACCTGTGAGATGTTGGCCAACCGCTTGGCCAGGACGTCGCATGGCATCTCGTAGCCGTTCTTGTACCGGAACTCAGCAGCCTCTCCGCGCGCGCGATTGACCGATGCTCTTGCGTCTGCTATTGATCCAGTCATGACGCAGCCGACAGATGGTGAGAGCCGGTAGACGTATGAGACGGATGAAGGGTCGATGAGCTTGTCCTGCATGTGCAAATCCAACGATCAGTATCCAACCAGCACTACCAACTCTTCCATTCGTTCAACATACAGGGACCTTCTTCTGCGATATGACGACTGCACAGCTCTTGCCTCGAACGCCCACGGATGTGATGTTTGCAGCGGTAATGGCCTTGAATGCATATTCTACGGTCCAATCAGCGGCGAACTTGGTGGTATGACGGATTTAGACGCGGCTGATACACACCGACTTGGTAGAGACGTCCTTGGTCAGAGAAGATGGTGATGTGTCGATCGAAACCCGCGCTCCCTGCAGGACTATGTTAGCAGCTGCGCCTCGTCGTGGACAGGGCTGAAGGGAGACTTGCCCGACATGGCGGCGGTATTGGAGAAGTGAGGCCGGTGGTGTGGATGGTGTGATGGCTGCTGAAGGAGAATCCAAGATGTGAGCGGTTGTTGAGAGGGAGATGGCGGTGGATGTGAGTGTCGGGTGTTTGATGCGTCGATGGTTGGTAGGCCGCAAGCTCAAGACGCGGCAAGCTTGGTCTCAGAAGCACGAGCTGCTCGACGAAACAGGTAAAGCGTGACATCTGAAACAAGCACCTTCCACTTCACCAACTTTACTTCACATGCCAACGCCTACTATCTCACGCGAACTTCAAATCGCTGAGGCATCGAGGCTTTGCATACAGGTTGCTAAAAGCCTGCTCATACCGGGGTTGAGAATTGGGAGTAGTTCCGCACTCCCCAACCTTGACCCATCCTTCGCCGTCTTCCTCTCGCAAGGAGCGATACATGTATCCGGTTGGAGGCGAGATACAAGACATCCAACATCGCTCTCTTCTTCACAATGTCTTTTCAGGCCAAGACTCACATGAGACCTCCAACTCTTCTCCCTGGCAGTTTCAGAAATGACTTTAATCTCCTCTCACGCGCAGGAATAATTCGTCAGAAACGAAGAACCACTCCTGTATCGCGGGATCACTTCGCTATCAGGATCATCTGGTTCCAGGCACAAAGGTGGTTCAAAGTACAAAATGATGTCCATCTGACTATCTTCATGCTGGACCATCTGAACTATGTAAGATCCTCACACCCCTTCGTCCCCTCGGCTGTAGCAAACCGACTCATCGAACGAATCCCAATGCCCTTCCGCACGAAACATCGAGAACAGCGGCATGGCACTGTCTATGCCATTCTGGCGGAGCGGAAGTAGAGCCGACTTTCTCGAGTCTCAAGGGGGTAAAGTCGCGTGTGCAGATGGCAGGCGCTATCAACGTGACTCAGCTTAAAAGAAGTATCGCTTCTTCCTGTAGTCTACTTAGGGCGGTGATAATCGAAATCAATACAGTCCAATGTAGAAATGTATGACAGGTACCAACCTGGAACTTAACCAGCATATATCCCTGTTGCTCCGTAGTGTATAGCGCAGACCATATACAGTTAACTGCACATCCAGAAAGTCTGAGTTCCTCTCAGGATTTGCGGGAAAGGCATCACGACCATCGTCGCAACCACGAGCCTGGTCTTAAAAGCTGTAGCTGCGATTCCACGAAGTCGGGAAGCCGTCCACGCTTGAACATACGCTCGCGTACGTAGCACGAGAGAGAACGATCTATGTATGGCTTTCTTTGCAGGTGAAAAGAACAGCAAAACATCTGCTTCTTCGGTACAAGGAGCCACGATTGGAGGGCCGAGCGCATTCTGCAGCGGAATTTGGAAGTATGCAAACAGATCGCGATTCGCTACAAGTCATCAATGATAATGGAAATTTAAAAACACAACAACACGACACCGAACGAAAAAGAACTCACCCAAAAGAAAAGGGAGGAAGGCAAAAAGAACGATGCCTCAACTGCATCCCTTTACACGACGAGCCCACCACCAAGAAGCAAACAAAAAAGCAAAAGAAGAACTACGCCCTTATCACCTGCTTAGTGAGGTGGTCTAGGAACCCAGAGAAGAAAGAAGATATTACTCTTTTTCTTACTTTTGTGTTGGTTGCGCTCTATTTATTTAAACACCTTGCTTCCACAGGTGTGCTGTTTACATCCACATGACTCGAACTGGTTTCCAATTTCGATTTTTGCGGTGATGGTTGTGCGCTGAACCCACTGCGCCATCGAACCCCAACTGGCAACTTTGGGACGTGATGGTACAGATGAGGAGTACAGGATTGGAATTGATTATAAGGGTTAATTCGGTTTGGTCCGGACTTCAGCCGGTGCTGGGCTGAATGGGGAAGGAACGGGTCGGCGGTGTGTTTTTCTGCCACGGCGGTCCTGTTCCCTTCTTGTGCATGCGAGCGATGAGTCATAATACAGCTTCAGGCCTTTTCGTCGATTCAATCGCTATTCAAGGTCATTTGCGGAACCGCCAGCTTACTAGAACAACTCGTCGCTGAGTCCGATGATCTCTCTTCGATCGCCGCCGCGCGAGGGGCCTGATGTTGGAAGAAGCCAAGGGACTCCGCGACGACTTAATGAATGCCACCGTACATGCATGAATGGCTGCCTATGATGCCATAGAGAGGCATGCAGCATTCTGAGGGATCGTCATTGAGTTCAATTCCCATTCGTTCCATTCGTTCAAGTGACGCACCGACCGATGCGGAGGCTTTGCTCGCGCCCAATGTCATCATAGACTTTCTCTCCGTATTGCAACAAGATTTTCAAAGTGCATTACGAAGGCCAATGGACTGGTATGGACTCATGCTGGGGAGATGTCAACTCGCAACAAGGGCTCTGAGCGAAGAGCAGATCGGCGTCTTGGAACTCGCAGTGTGCGATTGCAGAAATGTCTTCTACGAAAGCCCAGATTTCGAGATTTCATGTTTTGAGCATCTTTAGTGGGCTGCCATGAGTGCCAGTGTGGGTGGGATGTTCAGGCAAGATCATAACGACGGGACGAGATCTGGACGTACTGGATGCTGGACGAAACTTCGTCAGGATCGAAAAGCTGCTGTCCGAGTCTTAGATCTTCCAGAGAGAAGTCAGAATTCATCGCATCACGGACTATCATAACTACCGATGACGGAGGTACAGTTTCTGAGGACAGTGTTGAGTCCCAAATACATGTAAATGTTTAAATGAACCTGGAAAGACTTTGCAGAGGGCTGAGAATAGGCACGCGGGAGATTGAAGCATTGCATTGAATGCAGAGATGTGTCTCATAGAGTTGTACTCCAGACATATGTACGAGTGAAAAGATATGTCAAGAACAAAATGCTGAACTGGATTGCCAACAGTCCCCATCGAGGTGAAGTCAGAGGATCTTGAGATCCCAGACCCCGCGCCAGACCAAATTTTGCCGAAATTCTGAGACAGAGAAAACCTCAAGTCGTCCACCCAACAACTCAAACTTCAAGGTCCCATTCCATCTACATCCAGCAATCTCCATGGCCGACACATCCACCAGCACTGCCCGAGTGCCAGCATGGAAGCGAATCGGTCTAAAGCTCAAATACGCCAAAGATACCACCGAAGAGAACACACCGCCAATATCAAACTCGAGTCCGAATTCTCATCAAGAACCCTTGAAACCCAGAAAACGACCTGCCGATGATGAGGCTCCAGAAACTCCCATCAAGCGTGTGAAGTCGGGAAAATCGGATAAAGGGAGGTCTGGTCTGAGAGAAAGTACTCTCACTGCTCAGGCTTTTTCGACGCCAGCCACCAAAACTCCAAAGAAGATCGTATTCGATGATGATGATCAACCTGTTGAAGCGAAAGGCGGTCGCCCGAGTTCATTGAGGAAATCTGTGTCTTTCACGCCAGACACGAAAGTCGAGGATGGATTCTCAGCATCAAACTTCTTCAAAGCCTGGGTCAACGGCGGCGACAACAACCAAGGAAACGAAACCACCGAGCCAGAGGAGGAGTCCGCATCACCTTCCAAAGAATCCACCACCAAGGAACAGAAACCCAAGAAAAAGAAAAAGTCCAAATCGACTTCAATCCCCGCAGAAGATCAACAAACTCAAGACTCCAAGAAGCCCAAGAAGTCCAAAAAGTCAAAGTCCAAAGACTCCAACAAGTCAACCTCAGACCCACGTGCAATCGAAGACTCAGAGCCCACAGAACCGACACAACGCTACATCACCTACCTCACGCACCACCACACCAGCAAAGCGACCTGGAAATTCAACAAAAAGCACCAAAACAACCTCCTCAAGAACCTCTTCAACATCTACCGGATCCCAGCCACGCACAACGCCGCACTCGTAGAGTACATATCTGGACTGCAGGGATCTGCGCGGCAGCGAGTCGCGCAGGAAGCGGTGGAGATTCTGGTGGGCATGGCGGGGGAGGAGGGGCTGGACGCGCATGGGTGGAGGGAGAGGAGAGATGCATGTTTCGCTGCTCTGCATCGGCGGGTCGAGGAATCAGGCACTTCGGGTGAGAAGGGTGAAAGGGATGATCAGAAGAGGAGAGAACTCGAGCGTGGTAAGCGAGCGGAAGCTATCCTCAAAGACGCACTGAACGACGAAGAACTCCTGTCTTCCGTCTTCGCGATCTCGAGCACCGGGAAATCACCCTCTGAGTCGGTCAATATGAAGGCCGTACTGCCCTCAACCACCGAAGAACAACCCGAGCTGGACACGAGACCTCAACGCAGGAAGCGCAAGGCTCGGACTGATGTCTCGTCCTCATCCTCCTCATCGTCAGACTCTTACACTTCAGAAAGCTCTTCGAGCAGCGATAGTGACAGCGATAGTGATAGCGATAGCGACTAGATAGATGGATAGAGATCTCTGTACATACCAGGGCTCATGTGCTCGGCGTCGATGGGCAAGAGCTTGCATTGCGGAATGGAGATAACTACCTGTTCTATGCACTGGAAATTGTGCGAGCACGCCGGAATGCCTCGGATGCGGCTGCGAAGGAATCTCGTTCGGACAAGGACAAAGACGAATTGTCAAGGAATTGTCGTCCTGAGGAGAATCACGTTAAGTGCTTGAAGATGCTTGGCGGCATTCGCATTCGCAGACTCATCAAAGTAATGGCAGCGCACTGCATTCATTTGCCTTCCTGGTAGTTATAGTCTTGCTAAAACCGCCTTTTGCGACGCCCAAACGCCTTGCTATGCCGTACCCACCCAACCATCTAGCGTCATTGCTCATGCAAACATCTCACATCCGCTCCCGCTCCCGCTCAACTTCGAATTTGAAGTCAAAGTACGGTGGATCGAAGTGATGTACACGAACGTAACCGTCCTCACCACCACTGCAGTAGCACTTGCCGGTAGGATCAACAGCCACGTAGTTGAGCGGGCCGAAATGACCTCGTACTCTGCCGACTTCCTCCTCGAAGATCTTCTGGTAGAAACGGGCCTCGAACTTTCCTTGTCTTGCTGAGGTGGTGGTGACGTCCATGGCGGCTTGACCACCGCCAAGAATCACGTAGTTGGTGGGCTCAGGGGTGATGGCGGCGCTGTTGAGAGGAGTGTCGGTGACGTAGGTCTTGAGAACATCGAGTGAGGTAGCGTCCATCAGCTTTGCGGACTTGTCCTTTGATGCAGTAATGAAGTATGTCCGGTCGGAACTCCACTGAAGGTCGGTGACGAGGCTGCCCTCCTCGTGAGGGTATGTGTGCTTCAGCTCCTCGCCCGTCTTCGCATCGTACTGGGTGACACTGCCGTCCTCGTGGCCGGAGATGATATACTTGGTGAGGTATGAAAAGCCAGCCACGGTGACCTTCGGGATGTCGTCGACCACAATGCGCAGGCTATGCTCATTTGGCTGCTGGCCCTCTGGATCCTGGTTGATGTCGTATACGATGATTGTGCTCAGCTGCCCGGCACGCTTCTCCGTCACACCCAGCAACTGTTTCCCATCTTCTGAAAATTCCACCCGCTTGATGGCGGTGCCGAACTCCCACGTCTTCAGCAGCTTGCCCGTCTTGACCTCCCATAATCTGATTGTGTTGTCGGCTCCTCCGCTTGCCAGAAGGGTGGTGGTTGGGTCTACGTCGACCGTCCAGAGCGCACCCTGATGCGCCTTGTATGCGCCGAATCGCTCGCCGTTGGCGCTGTACCATGCGCAGATGACATGGTCCTTACTGACGGAGAAGATGAGGTCGCCTTCTTTCGAGAATCTGTGGAAGCCGTCAGCGGATGAATTCGTCAGTCTCGCGCGCGTATATACTCACTTGACTTGAGTCAGGGCTCGCTCGTGCCCTTGGAGCAGGATAGGTCTCATGTTGGCGGTGTTTGTTGGTGGAAGAGAGCAGGCGACGTCGAGCACCAATTTGCACCCGCCGCCGCCGCCAAGATTTCGTCGACTGACTCGAAGCGGCGCACCAGCCACAGAGCGGGACACATGTGGCTGGTGACAGACCACGTGATCGCGAGCAAGGATTTGTTCAGTCTTCTCCGTGAAATTACGAGGTCAATAAACCTTTCTAGCCGTAAATCGTTCGTCGTGGTGTCGTTAGACCCTGTGTTTGTCGTACGTTTCGTTGACTCAACTCCCTCTCTTCCGGCGCAGCTTCAACAGTCTGCGCGTTGTTGACATAGACGGCGAACTGGCGCATTGTGGTTGCGGGCGGCGAAATTTGTTTGGCAGCTCAGGTTACACTCGTTCGACTTTCCTCCAGCACCATGCGGCGTCCTCAGCAGTGTCATCTTGCAGCGATCGGCCGTCTGCGGGGCATATCTCCTATCAACCATCCGAAATTTGTTCGTCCGACAACTCTCGCTCCTCGCTGTCCGCGTGCTCTCCTACACCCTTCATTCCTGGCACCCCATTGGACCGGAGGGGCATCACAGCTACTTAATGCCCACTCGGCCACCCGCTCCTTCACCACCACTGCTCCCAAAATGACCGCCACCAAGATCGATGGCACCGCCGTGGCCAAGAGCTACCGCGAGAGGATAGCTCGCGAGATCGCTGAGAAGCAGGCCAAGAACCCTCGCTACAAGCCCAGTCTGGTCATCATCCAGGTCGGAGACCGTACCGACAGCTCGACCTATGTTCGCATGAAGCTGAAGGCCTGCGAAGAGGCCAACATCGACTGCAAGCTCGAGAAGTATGACGAGTCCATCTCCCAGTACGAGCTCCTCGAGCAGATCGAAAAGTTCAACAATGACTCCAACGTCCACGGCATGCTGGTCCAGCTTCCTCTACCCAAGCAGATCAACGAGTACGAGATCACGTCTGCCGTGGCCGACGAGAAAGATGTTGACGGATTTGGTGCCATCAACATTGGTGAGCTGGCCAAGAAGGGAGGCAAGCCTTTATTTGTCCCATGCACACCCAAGGGTGTCATGGTGCTTTTGAAAGAGAGCGGCGTTGAGCTCAAGGGAAAGAATGCCGTTGTTCTGGGCAGATCGGACATCGTTGGTGCTCCTGTCAGCTACTTGCTGCGTAACGCGGACGCCACGGTGACTGTGTGTCACTCGAAGACCGAGAACTTGAAAGAGGTTGTGAAACAAGGAGACATTGTCATTGCAGCCATTGGCAAGCCTGGCTTCGTCAAGGGCGACTGGTTGAAGCCAGGTGCTGTTGTCATCGATGTCGGCACGAACCCAATCCCTGATGACACCAAGAAGTCTGGCCAGAGACTTGTTGGAGACGTCGACTACGAGTCTGCTGTGGAAGTCGCCAGCCAAATTACACCAGTACCTGGTGGCGTAGGACCAATGACAGTGGCCATGCTTCTGTCGAACGTAACGGAAGCTGCAGACGCCTACTTCGATCGCCAGAAAGCGAGACACATTACACCTCTCACTCTCAAGCTCCAGAAGCCTGTTCCTTCTGACATTGCGGTTTCACGTGCGCAGCACCCAAAGCTGATCAACAAGGTCGCTCACGAAGTCGGTATTGCACCTTACGAGCTTGAGCCGTACGGTGCCTACAAGGCTAAAGTCTCGCTGGATGTATTGAAGCGTCTCGAGCACCGCAAGAATGGTCGTTATATTCTCGTTGCCGGCATCACGCCTACACCTCTTGGCGAGGGCAAGAGCACGACCACTATTGGTCTCACCCAAGCTCTCGCTGGCCAGCTCAACCGCATTGCATTCGCCAATGTCCGTCAACCTTCCCAGGGCCCTACCTTTGGCATCAAGGGTGGAGCCGCAGGTGGTGGATACAGTCAGGTCATTCCCATGGACGAGTTCAACTTGCACTTGACTGGTGACATTCACGCCATCACTGCTGCAAACAACCTCTTGGCTGCAGCTATCGACACCAGAATGTACCACGAAGCGACGCAGAAGGATGGCCCACTCTACCGACGTCTCATTCCAGAGAAGAAGGGCAAGCGAGAGTTTCCTACTGTCTTGCTCAAGCGTCTAAAGAAGCTCGGAATCAACAAGGCCGACCCAAATGAGCTCACCGACGAAGAGATCACCAAATTCGCGAGACTTGACATCGACCCTGAGACCATCACCTGGCGTCGCGTGCTCGATGTCAATGACCGACATCTTCGTGGCATCACTGTTGGTCAGGCACCCACTGAGAACAAAGTCGAGCCCAGACAGACCGGCTTCGACATTTCAGTGGCTTCAGAGTGTATGGCCGTGCTCGCACTTGCAACCGATCTCGCTGATTTGAGGGACCGTCTCGGCCGCATGGTTGTAGCTTCTTCAAGAGCAGGTGACCCAGTCACAGCCGATGATCTCGGCTGCGGCGGTGCCCTTGCTGTTTTGATGAAGGACGCCGTGAAGCCGAACTTGATGCAAACGCTCGAAGGTACTCCTGTCTTCGTCCACGCTGGACCATTCGCAAACATCAGCATTGGTAACAGCTCGATCATTGCTGATCGCGTTGCGCTGAAGTTGGCGGGTACTGAGCCTGAGGAAGAAGCGGAGCGAAACGAGAAGGTCGGCTTCGTCGTCACTGAGGCCGGTTTCGATTTCACCATGGGTGGCGAGCGCTTCATGAACATCAAGTGCCGCAACTCTGGTCTTGTACCTGATGTCGCTGTCATCGTTGCCACTGTCCGTGCGCTCAAGGTCCATGGTGGTGGCCCAGAGATAAAGCCAGGCGAACAACTGAACGAGGTCTACCGCACTGAAAACATCGACATCCTCCGCAAGGGTTGCGTCAACCTCGCGAAGCACATTCAGAATGCCAAGTCTTATGGCGTCAAGGTCGTTGTTGCCATCAACAAGTTTGAGACTGACACTGACGCCGAGCACCAAGTGGTTCGCGAGGAGGCTTTGAAGGCTGGTGCTGAAGATGCCATCACCGCCAACCACTGGGCAGAGGGCGGTGTCGGTGCTCTAGACCTCGCCAAGGGTGTTATCGCCGCCTCTGAGAAGTCCGAGCCCGAGAAGTTCCAGCTGCTCTATGACGTCGAAGGCTCTGTGCAAGACCGGATTGAGGCCATCGCCAAGAAGATGTACGGTGCCGCATCTGTCTCGTTCTCAGAGATTGCGCAGAAGAAGGTCGACACCTACACCCAGCAAGGCTTCAGCAACCTACCAATCTGTGTCGCCAAGACGCAGTACTCTCTTTCCCACGACCCAGCATTGAAGGGTGCACCAACTGGCTTCGATATCCCGATCAGAGATGTCCGCATGGCTGCTGGAGCTGGCTACCTGTACGCTCTGGCCGCAGACATCCAGACCATCCCCGGTCTTCCCACCGCCCCAGGCTACCTGAACGTCGAGATCGACGGCGAGACCGGCGAAATCGACGGCCTGTTCTAAAGGCCACCCAAACACCACTGGCGTCCTCACCTTTCTAGGATTTGAATTGTGTTTTTTATATGATACCACGCAGCTGTTTCACCACGGCGGGCATAATTTGCATCACCGAACGGCGCAACCTTTTTGAACGATCGTAATGGAAAAAGGAAAAACGAAACGACCGGGTTTGATTGTCACTCAACGTGATTTTGAGCGCGGCGTTGGGGTGATGTGATGGGTTTTTTAGATACAAAAGGAATGAACGATGATACCTATTACCGTGTGGACTTCTTCCTCTCTCTCCTCGTCATCCCCTTCCAGCAATCCAGCCGGCCAGATGTCTTCATCGATGTCTCCATCCAGCCAGCCCCCTTGTCCAAGCCTTCTTTCCGCTTCCACGCTCGACGACGGCTGCCTGCAGCAACTCACCGACAAACGTTTCACCCAGATATAGCGTTTATAAGAGAGTGTCTCTCAGGGAACGTAGCTACACCAATGAAACCAAGAAGTCATACGCGGGCCCTTCGTGGCCCATCCGTCTCCTCCGAGAGGAGATACTTCCCTTGTTTTTTTTTTCCAGCGCTTTCGCGTGTCGTTCAGGAAACAGGAGAGTTCGATTTGTTTGATGACTCTTTCGTTCAGCGACTGATCTTTAAGCTCGTCTATAATTTCACCCTTCTCCTGTTTTTGTCTGCTCTGTGAGGAGTATGGAGAGGGGTTTCGTCTGATATCGCTGTGGCTTCTGGCAAAGGAGGGTATGGGTCTTGTCGGTACAGATGTGGGCTTTGCGGATGGGAGAGCCTTTGCTCGGATTGCACAATCACTTGTTGCTATTCACCCTTGTTTCTCCAAGTCTCTCGACTCCTGAAAAATGGAGAGACGTGTGTTCTCGCTCGTCGCTTACGTTTGCTTTTAGGCAAGGCGGATTCTTGCAATGAGTGACGAAAGTGGCATGGGATGTTCGAGACTCGATCCGGAAGGCTCTACATGTTCGCTTTCTGTGCTTGCTTGTTGATTCGAATAGTGTGGCTTACATGTAACTGTTACATCAAGCCTACAGTTGACCCCTGAATTTTCACCACAAAACGTGAAAGGATTGACGAAGAGAGAGAGCAACAAGTCGTGTATACATACATAGTTACCAAGGAAAGACACGCAAATCCTCGTACCGAGATGCCCCCCTCTCCCAGCAACAACTTAATCAAAAGAAGAACTCAACCAACGTACGACAGAGGAAACCTCTCCCGCATTTCCTCCTCCTGGAACCTGTCCAGCAACTGCTTATACTCCCTGATCTCCTGGAACACGCACGAAATCAGTTCGTACATCTCCGTCGTTGCGCCCATGATCGCCCGCAGGCTGCTGCTTGGCCGGTGGGGGTCTTTGGAGGGGCTTTTGACGGGCGAGGCGGAGTTGCCTCTGCCTGTGGTGCCGGCGGTTGTAGCGATAGATGCGGTGGTGGGCGCGTAGGCTGGACCGCTCTTGAGGGGTGATGTGAGTCTTTGTTTGTCTTTTGGGCTGGGGACCGCGGTGGTGGGTCTGTTGATGGGCGTGAATCTACGGGGGGAACTGTAGGCTGGCGAGGTGGCTCTGCCCTTGCCCTTGGAGCTTGTGCTTGTAACCGCGGTTGGGGCATACGCAGGAGGGCTCTTGGTCGGGGACGCAGCTTTCCCCTTTCCTTCGGAGGCTTGGATTGAACCGGCAAGCGTGCCGAAGAGGTTGGATCCAGAGTTGTAGTTGATGGGGGAGGTCAACCTCTGCTTTCCCTTGGAAGCTTGAATGGGAGCGGTAGGGTCGTAATATGGTGCGAGTTGAGAAAACCCACTGATAGGCGTATCGAGGTCCGCGGCATAGCCCTCCGGCGTACGAGGGACGAGTCCCGGGCGAGCTGGGAAGAAAGGAGCTGGAGGAGCATTCGCATGGGCAGTCACGCTGCGGTAACTTTGCTTGATCGACTCCGCTGGGGTCCCTCTCCGCTGGAAAGGTTGGCTTTCAATCTTGGCCTTGCCCTTGCCCTTCTTGTTCTTGTTCTTCTTGCCCTTCTTCTTGGTCTCCGATACACCAGAGGACAAATCGACGCGGACGTTGACAACAGGCGCCGGGTTGCGACGCGGCGCGTTGCGTTCATCCTCAGGGGCAAAAGTGTCTTGCTCCCCGGTCAAGTAGACATGGAAAGGATGCTTCGACTTGTCGAGAGCAGCGATCTGCCACACGATATTCCAGAAGAGCTTATCGTTGTCCTGGATGGCCTTCTTGTATTTCCACTCGAGAGCATTGATACTCGTGCCTTGGGAACCGATGAATTTCGCAATCTCAAAGCGAGTTGGGAAGTAGCGCTCCGACGCAAGAGTTAATCTCTGCGTGGGAGCGACTGGGCCCCTGTTGCTAGTAGACCCGTAGATCTTCGCAAGAGCCTTTTCACGTGCCGTAAGAGCCTTCTCACGTGCATTCTCACGCGCCGTTTCACGTTCCTTCTTAGAAACCTCGAGAAACTTCATGCCAATGCGCGCGCCAGCAGCTCGAGACTTGGGGCTGCTCACAGCAGGAGCATCGTTTCTCAAGTATACCAAGCGGGGATGTTTGTCACGGTCGATATAGGCGATTCTGCCCAGGGCCACAAAGAAATCATGCGCACGTTCCCCACCGGTGAGGTGTCCCTTGAATTGGCTGAGCAGACCCCCGACTGTTGTGCCGTTGGGTCCGATGACTCTGCGGAACTCGAGGTCTGTTGGAGGACGACCTGGATATTGTTTAGAGAGCGCATCGGGGTCATCGAATGCGCTTGCCTGATTGGAGTACTTGGTAAATGGGACTCTTGGTGACTTAGGACTCGGGACAGGCGTGGCTGGCTTCTTGGTCGTCTTCGTAATCTTGCTGGCGGTCTTCTGCTTGGTGGCGGCCGCTTCTGTAGTCTTGCTCTTGTTCGCCGGCGTGGTCTTCTTAGTCGCAGCAGGGGCGGTCGACGCACTCGCCATCTCCCGGGCAAGTGATGATCGTCTCCCAGCCGCTGCTCTCGTCGTTGGTGCCATGCTGAGATTGTCTTGAATGCGGATGAATGTTAGCTTCTGAAGCTGAGCATTGCTCGAGGGAAAGCAGCGAAGAAGAGGTTGGGCAGACAAAGATGGTGCTGGCTTTGTACAGCGACACGACATCGCGATGACGCCGGATATGGCAATGTGCTCGACATTCTTTGTTTCTTTGAAGGAGTGGCCGGAAATGGAGAGAGACTTGCCATATGCAAGGAAGGAGCAGTCGCAGGGAAGGAGTAGGCACATGTGTCAACAAACGTAGCAATTTGCACAAGCCTAGCTGTACGTACAGAGTAGTTGGACCAACAAGCAATGAGCAGCAACTTCATCCTCCAACTCAGCCGTCAACCCTTCGCGGTTGTTCCTCGAAGCCTCAATAACTGGCCTGATCCCATCAACACAATCGCCTATTTCGCCTTCCTGCCCCGTGTGGTGCGCTTCTTAGTTGGCTCCTCTTCTGGCGAGGACAGTCCTGGACTCTTTCGCGTCGCCTTGCTGGACGTGGAGGCCTTCGCCGGGGCTGTCTTCGCTCTCTTCGCAGGTGGCTCAACCGCTACCGATTCGCCGCTTGTTGGCAGATCTTCTGAGGCAGCGCGTTTGGTACCAGTGACCTTGGCAGTCTTTGCTTTTGGAGGAGCTTGCTCGAGAGTGGCGCTCGACTTCTTGGTGGGAGTTGTCTTCTTCTTCTTCTGAACACCGGGCTTGGGCGAGCTTCTGGTTCGCTTTGACGGTGGTGCAATTTCCTCTTCATCATCGTCTTGATCAGCGGCTCTCTTCTTGCCGCGAGCAGGCTTCTCCTCAGACGCTTTGACCGTCTTGGAAGATTCAGCTTTCTTCGTGTCGTTGGCAGGTTTCTTCGCCTCCGTCTTGGTAGCTGGTTTCTTCGCAGCAGCCTGCGACGATCCCTTTCTCGTGGTCTTTCCCTCCACGGTAGGGAGAGCAGACGTGCCATCTTTCTTGAGATTCGCCTCTTTGGTAGCCTTGGATATGCCTGCCGAGGTAGTCGTCTCGGGTGCTGGCTTCTTCTTTCTGGCTGCAGCTTTGCCGGTGTCTTCGTCTTCGTCATCGGTAGTTGGGATTCTGGCAGGCCTGCGCCTAGCACCACCACCTCGTGGTAGACGTTTCTTCGGGTCCTTTCCATCGTCATCAACCTCATTGCCATCAGCCGCTCCTACGGTGGGCTTCCTGGCCTTGGCCTTTGACTTCTTTGGTGGTGGCTCTTCTTCACTCTCTTCAGACTCCTCATCGTCATCATCGTCATCTTCTTGTTCAGCCATGATGGCATCAACCTCTCGCTGAGCTGCATCAGCCGCAGTAGGATTGGCCAACGCAGAGGGACTAAGAGGGAAGAGCAGAAGGTCAGCGGATGCCCCTGACATGAAATGGTGTACCATCTGCATTTGCATGTACGTACTACATCCGCTTGGTCTCCCACGAAAACCGGTCGATGAACTGCTGAAGATGCGCCGCCTGGCTATGTTCCTTCATGGAGTTGATGGTTTGCTGAAACTGATCATAGTAGAGTCTCGTGGCCCTGATCTGGTCACTGGTTCCGAATCTGGTGATTTGCGTCTTTGCAGTCTTTGGAGCCATTGTTGCTCGCTTGATCGTTTTCGAGTTCTCGTATCGTTTGATGTGAAATGTAACTTGATCGTCTTCGATTTCTTTCGTGTCGTCTGTTGTTGTATGAGTTGAAAGAGAATGGAAGTCTGTCAGGTCTGAAGGTAGACGTAGGGAATGAGAACGATTCTTCGGTGACCCGACAATAGCAAGGGAGTCGACAATAGTTGGGGTTCATTGTGACCGAGCGCTGCCGGAAACATTTTTATTGCCCACAATAGCGAAGCCCATTGTTGAATGGGCCTATTGTTCAATGGGATCCACCCGCATCCACCACCGCCCACGTGACGGCTGGCAGAATTGTTGTGCGCGATTGGACGTGGGAGAAGTGGTCGTCAGTCGTGCGTGCATTGGGAACGATTCCGATGTTCGGCGGCTTGTACAGTATCGTCGGTTGGACGTGAGGCTCGCTCTTCAATCGGCACATGGGTATCATCAGTCATTCCGGTATCTCCATCGCTCGACCTCATCCCCCAAGCACCATATCCACAATACTCCTGCCTCTCTCCCCACCCAAATACTGCACTTCGCCCTCAATCTCATCCAGCTCCAAACTAGCCTCATACGCCCTCCTCAAATTATCCTCTTCAACCTTCACGCTCCCCTCAGCCAGAACCCGTATACAGCCCGCCAATCTCGCAATCTCCCTCCTCGTTTCCGTCGAGATCTCGTCATTCTGGCTCGAGTACATAGACTGGCTCGCCGTCTCTTCCAATCGATTCAACCCAACCTCTTCCCTCTTCTCTTCCACGTGCTTTGCGATCCAGATGTATCCATTGACGCCCAGAATCACGTCTACCTCCCCACCTCTTGCTGTTTGAAGTGTAAAAATCTGTCTCTTCGAGCGAACGACACCTGCGCCGCCGCCCACGCCGGAGACGGCCATGAAGTATCCGTTGCGCAGCTTGCCATATTTGAGAGAGCGGGTGTGGAGGGAGGCGCTACCATCTTGGAAGAGAGATTGGACCTCCGCAACGAGCAGCTCGCCTTCGCCGAAGAAGGAGCGGATGTTGAGTTCGTCGACGCTGGTTCTTCTCCGAAGAGCTCCTCCCGGCAGGTTGATGCTGCTGAGAAGCAGATTGGCCAGCAAAGGCGCAGCGACGTCCACCTTCCACCGCCGACTCTGGACCTCCACAATGCGACCGATGACGAGGTCACCGATCTCGGGTGTGTATCGCGCTCGGAGGGGAACTACGCTGAGGAGTTTGTTCGTCTTTTGTAAAGTACCTGCCAAGGTCGATCGGATCGCTGAACTTGCGTCGTCGGATGCTGCGAATGTGCCGTGACCGCGCATCCATTGCGGGTCGTCTGTTACGATCTGGCCTGGTGTTATGACTTGTGTCGTTCTGCGGTGACCAGAAGGTAGGTCATCTATCTCCATTTCGTCTTCGTCTTCGCCGTATGTGTCGAGGTCTGCATCGCGGATGCTTCTGCGTGGGGCCTCTGCCGGCGCCGGCGGTAGGATTGTTATGGCCATCCTGTTGCTCTGTTGAAACGGGGTTTTAGTGGAGAGGAAACATAGAACTGATCTTCGAAGTTCTAAATTGAGGTGCAGTCAAAGCTCCACGAAAATTGCCCGCTGCCACGTGACAGTTTGACGTTCACATGCCGCAGTTATTCCAAACCCGTTCGTGAGAAGCTGTCGTAGGGAGATGTATCAAGCCGTACAAATCACTTTCGTATTCTAATACACTACAGGATCAACATGTGCCAACGTCTCTGCCGCGGCATAGCAGTAAACAGTCTTGCTAGCTCGTCGTTTGATGATTCGAATGAGAACTCCTTCAGAACGCCCTTCCAATAATCCCCCATCCATCCAATCCCGCGATGCATGAAAATCGCAAAAGGTATCGTTGGTTCGAGAGAGTAACACACACATGTTTCTTTTTTAGGATTCGTTTCGAACAATTGGGCAGACCCGCTACCGCTTCGCGCAGCATGAGAGCAATCCGCTCTTGAACAAAAAGTACACGCATCCGATGAAGCGGATGAAGGACAGAGCAGCAGTTGCCCAAAGCAAAGCTCTGAAGAAGTTGGCAGTCCTGTCCGTGGCACCTGTAGAGAAACCGAACTTGTCGAAGCTGTCCGATGTAATGGCAACTGCGAGAAGAGCGTTCGAAAAGATCCAGAAAGTGACGAGGCGAGTACGGAAAGACTTGTACGAATCCTCGAGTGTCTTCTTGGTGTCTTCCTTGGGAGCAACATACGGAGTGAGGGCGCGCTTCACGGTTTGCTCGAACTGGCTGTCGATGTCCGCCTGTGGCAGGTCGACTTCCTCAATAACAGTAGCTTTACCGTCAGCGCCCTTCTGAGTCGTCGCAGAGGGCAGTGCATCGGCCTTGTCGGAACCCTTGGTACCCCAAGAAACATCGTGCCAGTTACTGAATGCATAGACCATGAGGATGTTGATGTAGCTGGTCATCATCAGGATGTACTGGCCGAATGAGGTGAACATGTGCCACGGGTCCAGGTAAAGGAAGGAAGCAACGAAGTAGAGACCGAAGGTGGCCGCGAGCGCGATGACGACGATACCAGGCCCAGTGGAGGAGAAGAAGGATTTGACGAAGTCTCCAGCGCTGTCGGTATCAAAGCCGTCGCCACTCGTGAAGGCGTGGACAACCAGGTAGAAGGAGTCGACGATGATGTAGAACTGGATGATGGCGTAGACCGTGAACGACACAATGTAAGACCACTTGCTACCCTTTGGCCGGTTACCCAGAGCGAGGATGAATTGCAGCAGGAGGAAGGCCAGGTAGATGTATTTCACGATGGTGTTGAGGACGGGGGTGACGGTGTTGCCGAATGGGAAAGCGCGCTGATTGTTGCTTGAGCCTGGGGTTCCGACAAGGTCGATGATGACACTCGTGGTGAGGTAGTAAGAAGCTGTGTCATGTTAGTCACCGTTGTACATCCAACAGCAGCTCCTTCACTTACCCAAAGAGAACCAGGAGAGTGTCACAGTCGCGATGTTGTAGATGAGTTGAACGTGGAAGAAGAACATGCGCAGCAAGTTGTGTCCAGAACGGTACATGCGGCCGAAGTGCATGAGCGAGTAGAGAGTAGCAGCGAAGGATCCGTTCAGCCATCGTCGACGCTGGCCGATGAATTCTGGGGCACCTTCTGGCACATCGGTCTCACCCTTGGATGACTTCACGTAGGAGAGATGCCATTTGCTTCCAGCTTTGGCGACCAATTCGAAACACAGGATACGATCTTCGGCCAAGAACATGTTCTTCTTGAAGATGTTCATCCCCTCGATACCCTTAGGACCGAGCTGTTTCGAAAGTGTGTGGTCACCGTGGAAGTACTGCTCCAGGGGTCGACCCATGATGGCACGGAATCTGTAGGCGGAGAAGGCACCTGGAAGCACGGACACGTAGCCGAAAGACGACTCCAGCGGCTTATCCAGGATATTGGAGATCTTGTACTCGAAGTTTTGGATGGCGACCAGAGGATTGAGTAGGTTCTTCCAGCCTTTGCCAAGCAGTGCGTGAATCTCACCACAAGCACCTCCGAGGTCTTTGTCGTTGTAGAAGGCCTCCCAAAGAGCGAGTAGAGCCTTGTGGCCTGGCTTGGTACCGGCGTCGAGCAGGATGCAGACCTCCGGGTTGAGGATGCGACCAAAAGCAGTGAAGAGCCATCTGTGAGAATTGATCTTCTTGCTGTTCTTCTGCTTCAGACAGAACATCATCTGCACTGGCGGGAGAGTGGATGGGCCATCGTCCAATGGCCGAATGAGCTGCTGGTTGGCCGTGACCGACAGCTGTGTGGTGTACTCAAAGATATGTGCGACCGTCTCCTTTCCGTCAATGTCCCTCTTCATGATACCGTCCTGGTAGATACCGATGGTGGCCAGCACATCGAGCGTACCCTTGTCGCAAGGGTCGATTCCATCGAAGACCATGCACACAACGATCTTCTGCCACGCAGGGCCTCCCTTGTTCCAGAATTCCGATTTCTTGATGTTGACGATGTCGCGGATGTTCTGCATCACGCCATGCAGCGTACGTGCCGTCAGCGTCTTATCCTCATTGTAGTAGGTGACGGCGATCAGCAGCTCAGTATGTCTGTTGTACATGGCTGGTCTGAGGTTGTAGCCGTTCTTCAGCGTGAAGTCGTTGGGGTCGCACGTGGCTGCGGTATACCGCAAGTGTGTGAACTCCTCACTACCGCTCTCCAAGTCATTTCTGTACTTGGCCTGTACGGCATTCTGGATGGCTGATGGTACTGGATAGTCTGCGCTCAGGACTGCACCCTGGACAAGCTTGACCTTACGCGTGGCATTTCGCTTCAGGCCCCCGGCAGCACCTGCGCCGCCGGGTTGTTGTCGCTGTCTCCATGCCTCAGTGCTGCCAGTCTCGCTTCTCGAGTAAGGGCTGGGGACACGGTCAGGTCCGCCGTAGCCTGGGTCTTCCAGAGTCACGCCGCTGTACTCTTGGTAGCCATTGTATGCTGGAGCTGGGTGTCCTCCAGCGCCCACGTAAGACTCTTCCAAGCTGTATGCCTTTGGGTCGTGGCCACCTGGAGTGCCAGCGCGGCTTGTGGGCTCGTCGAAGGGGCCCTGGAAAGGACCGGTGGGGTTGGAATGCAACAGGGAGCGCTCCTGCTCGTCGTCGCTGTCGTGGTGTGGGGGCTGATGATAGGATTGCTGCTGACAGTCAGTAGAAGCTCGAGAAATCAGATCAGGTGACGGTCGGAGCGTACATGTTCGTGAGGCAAGTCATGCAGGCGCTGGCCGTCGTTGTAGCCACTGCCTCCTTGGTAGGCCATTGCGAGAGAAGGTGCTGCTAGTGTGCCAAAACGACCGTGGGTGTTTCAAGTAGTACGACGGTGGGCGCCTCGATGGCGGCGCTGTGGTGAAGGGTGACGGCAAACAAAGAAAGAAATGGCGTGCTGCTCGCGGAAAAATGGGGCCTCTTGGTCACAAGAGGCGGTGGTGATGGAGGAGAGAAGAGGTCGGCGGTGTTGCGTAAAGATCAGGTTGGCGTCGCGGAGGTGTCTTGGCCGGTTAGCAGGTGATGATCCAAGACCCTGAGAGCTGGTCGCCGCCGGTTATTGGTCCGCAGGCCCCTTTTGCGTGTTTCACGAGGACGGAGAAGGACGCCAGTAATTGCCAGCTCACCAGCCACGGTACCAGCGATGGGTGTGCGGTGAGGTGTTGATGCAAGATAATGGACGAGCTGCTGGACACAGGGGATGTCTTTTGCTTTCTACAATCTTTTCGCGCCAGCTGCATGAGGGCCACGCTCACTACGCTAGCGCTTTGCGTTGCTCGCACGCGTACTGCGCATCTTTATTTAGAAGGCTTACAAGCACACTCGCCTGCACTGCACTGCCACATGCACCTCTCCTCTCACCCTACAAAACTGCGACCAGCCGGTGTGTTGAGCAAAGTGTCCACGCCACGCCCGATGCAACGCTTACGGCAGTCTGCAGCTCTCAAATAAGCCTTGACAACAACCCAGTTCGCGACCTCTCGCTCTTCAACAAAGTAGATGTTCCTGCAGCGAAACCCATCTGCGTCTAGATCCTGCGCTCCAACTTCCCCGGAACGTTGGCCAAAGTGCCGGCAAACGTCTGCGAAAGCTTCGAGGAGTTGTGGCCGCTATAAAGCCGTATGGAAAGAATCATGTTTTTCGTAATGATGGAATACAAATGAAATGTTTGCCACGGCGGCGACTTCTCGTGTTCAGAGTTGTACTGCAGTTTGATCTGCAACTTGTGGGAGGCCAAACGCTGCTAATTGAACACCAGCAACACCGGCCTCGCCGCCGGACCCTGCCCCAAATCTTGAATACGGATGGACATCGATGCACTTATCCGAGGTCTGCACACCTTTCAACGTGAGTCGTGAGCATTTTCAAGTTTTTGCTGCTTGCACTATGCCATTGGTTGCATTGCTTGAGACCGGCAATGCTCAACAGGTTTCGAGAAAGAAAGATTTCGAGTCACGTGAAAAGCGGGGCATGCCAAGGTCTTACGGTAGGTGCGGACAACGATACCGAGTCCGGCAGCAGCGTCAACCGACTACCCTCGTCACGGGTAGCCTCTAAGCAAAACGTTCTTCTCAACGACAGGCATTTGCACCACCCCGATCAGGATTCCGAGACCACACTGATGCGTCTGACTGGAGTTTTGTCGAGGAGATTGATTCCACAAGAGCTGGACGAATCCTTCAGCAGCTGCCAGCTGCAGTCATCAGCAGGCAGAACTCGACCAGCCTCATAGTTGCTTACAACACAAGGGACATGCCATTTGGGCGCCTGAATTGAGTTCGTGGCGCCGACAACATTACCACATCCTCACCGCACAGCAAGCTGTTGAATTTCCGCCATGACCGAAGTGACGGGCTTTGTCCAAAGCAACGACATCTCCAAATACTCCGAGCTGGTCCTCGTCTGCTGCCATGCGACCTACATGGGCGACGGCGCCAACACCAGCGAAGACCAGTGGATCCTCCAGCCCTTCCAAAGAGGCGACCCTATGCTAAACAAACCCTCCGAACACGATACCTTCATCCAACATATCCTCGCGGCTGCGCATATCGTCCACAACGATCCCCGTGCGCTGCTAGTATTCTCGGGCGGAAGGACGACGCCTGCGCCTCGCACAGAGGCTGAAGGCTATGCCACGATCCTGAAGCACATCGTCAACAACAATGCCATGCTCTATCCCGCCGGCGTGCGCTTCGCGACGGAGACGTACGCGACAGATTCCTACCAGAACCTGATCTTCTCCATCATCCGCTTCCGGCAACTTACAGGCGTGTATCCGAGGAACATCACAGTTATCACGCACGCCTTTAAAGAACGGCGATTCCTCGAACTGCACGCCCCAGCGATCAAGTGGCCTCACCACAGGATTCGTGTGCAAGGGATCAATCCTCCATTCACGTTGGACGAGCTGAACTTCACGCAGAAAGGCGAACATGAGCGGGCTTACCGATTCTTCGCCGAGGATCCTTATGGTGTCAGGACGCCTTTGCTGCAGAAGCGAAAGGAGAGGAATTGGAATGTCGACAAGGCGCATGTCTTTCTGGGCTGGAAGTTGGAGTCTCCTGTGATGGGGCTATTGGAATGGCAAGGTGGAATGAGTGGATGGGAGACATTTCCAAGACGATTGCCCTGGGAAGATGAGACGACTGCCTGGATGTATGCGCCGAAGACTTGAAACTGGAGATCGATTCACCATATCGCGAGGGAAGAAGTCCTTCGGATGGAAGCACGAAAATCGACGCCAAACACTGGAAGCTTTCTGCTAAGAGCACATTACATTATCCATCTGGTCTATTTGTCTAATAGTCTCTTTTGAAGAGGATCTCGCCGCCGTTGGTATCATCATACCCAGCGACGCTCGGCTTCACAATCCCAGCCTTGACGAGGTCCTGCACCAAACCAAAGATCATGCCGTCACAGCCACTGGCCGCCATAATGTCGACAGTCACTGGAAGGACTTCATTGTGCAGCGTGATGTTGCTGAAATACTGGGCGGAGCCAACTACGGCACATGTCAGTCGAGAACATCTAGACGAGGGACGGGGAGCGACTTACGAGGCACAACAAAATCCGGACCGCCCCAGAAAGGGCTCACTCTGCTGATGCTGAAGCCGTATGGGACGCCAGGTTCTCCATTGTACTGGTTGCGGTAGCTGACGCTGGCTTGAGATCCGACGTAGAAAAGCAGCGAGTCACTGCAAGTCGCGTTTTCCGCAACAAGCACGTTGCTCGACCACCAATCCTTGAACACGGTCCTGTTGGCGTTCGCAATATCGACAGTGTTGTTAGGGTACGAATCTCCAAATGCCCAACGAATCAGCGGCGCCGGGTCAACGAACGGACGTCGACCATCATGCGCCGCGGCATAGTCCTCGTAGAACGGCTCTCGAACAAGACGCGTCTGCTCCTGCGCGATCAAGATCGGATACGTGATGTTCAGCAAATCATCAACAGAGACATTCGTCCCATTCGGACGAGACGAATTCCAAGCCTCCTCGATATCAAAAGACTCGACCTCAGCTCCCAAGAACGAGCTAACCCTCCTCACGAAATCAACAAAAAGCTGATCCCCAGGCTCGGTCACATTCGTCGGCAAGTCGTAATTGTAGATCTTCTTGGGGTATTTGCGCGAGATGGTGATGTTCTTGCCGTACAGAGCCTTGGCGGCTTCCATCCAGAGGACCGGGTCTTTTGTCAAGAAGCCGCTCGTGTCGAGTTCGGGGGCGAGCGGCATGGTGTTTTCGAGCGTTACGAGGCCGTGGGTTGGTCGGTTGCCGTAGATGCCTTGGACTTCGGATGGACCGCGGATCGAGCCTCCAGTGTCGGAGCCTAGGGTGAGGTCTAGCCATGAGTAGCTGGCCGTTCCTGCGCCTGGACCGGAGGAGGACGAGCTTGGGTCTTGGTAACCATCTAGAGGCGAAGCACGGGAAGTCAGCGAATGTCTCAGATACGAGATGGGCTACCTCCTCCCTTTCACGAACGTACCTCCTCGTGGATTGAATGGCGAATGGTAATCCACCCAATCAGCCGTGGCAGACTCCCCATTAGCAAACTGCGAAGTCTTCATCTTGCCCACAATAACCGCTCCCGCCTCAATCAAGCGCTTAACAGGCGTAGCATGCTCCTCCGCCGCAGGATACAGATGATACCAGGCCCTATTCCCATTACTCGTCTTGACCCCCGCCACATCATAGATATCCTTAATCCCCAACCTCACGCCCGCCAAAGGCTTCTCGGCCGTCTTGGTGAAATACAACCTGCTAGGCACGGCTACCGCGAGGGATTGGCCGGGGACGCCGGCTGGGAGGACACTGTATGTCCCATCGCCGTTGGCGAGGAGAGGCTCCGTGAATGCGCCTGCGAAATCGCTGTACAGTCTCCACGCCTCATATACGGCTCCTGTCGACGAGAGGAAATATGGCCCCGGCGGGATGGCGCTGCTGTTGTCCACCTGTTTGTGCACGACTGCGGCGGTGCCGTTGGGGGCGTTGTTGTAACTCGAGGCTTTCCATTCGTTTCCGCGCGGTTTGAAGCCGATATACTGGACGTATATCGTTTCGAGGAAGCCTTCGGAGAAGACGTCGTCGGTGGCTTTGTAGGAGGCGATGGTGGTGCTGAGATCGCTGCCGCTGTAGGAGGAGCCGTTGGCTGTGATGACTGTGAGGCGCGTTAAGGTGTTGGTTTTCGAGAGAGTGCTGTGGAAGTTGTCGTGGTGGAGAGTCGTGATGGGACTCGCGGGGAGGTAGTATGGGATGCCGTCGAGTTCGACGGTTTGGCCTGTTCGCGAGACTGTTGAAGCGAGGGAGTGCTGGAGGAGCGCTGCAGCGGCGAGGGGGGAGGATGAAAGACGCATCTTTTGACGAAGAAAGCTCTCAAGGGTAGAGAGGAACAGGTTCTCGAAGCAAGGAGATGCAACAATATCAACGAACTCTCGCCCACATCTCACTCACCTCAAAAGCAACAAGCAGGCCCGACAAGCGTCCCACCCGGCTCTTCTTATAAATCCTCCCAAGATATAGAAACAAACAAACGCGCAATCCACCTACCCAGAAACACACCGTATCGATAACGCCAACCAGCACCGCCATCCCAAAAAAACCCCTCGACTGTCCAAGTTCCCACTCACCAGCCTAATCGGTGCAGGCTTCCTTCCTGCACAAGCACATCCGTTCCTGGCCTAAACCAAAACCGACGCAAGAAGTAGATAAGACGTCGCACCAACCCACCAAAGACCAACGAGATCGGATCGCCGCGCCGTACACGTGCATGCATGGCCGCCGCGTGGTAATCGAGTGCATAACGATATCAAGCGCTGTGTGTGTCTCATCGAGCATGCGAGAGGTGTGGCTATCGCTCGAGCCGGCACGCCGGGCTGCCTATCTCAGCCGCAGGCAGATAGATAGGCATAAGACGGACGGGGTGGGGTTTCGGTCGAGGGCGGAGTTGGCTGTACGGGCGTCCTGTCTGGGGTTTCTGAACGAGAGGCTTAGGGTCGTCGTGCAAGGAAGGAATGTATTAAACAGCTTCTTCTTGCTATTGTTCTTGAAGTAAGGGATGACTTCGATGGCGTTTTCGATCCGGCCGGGAAGGCTCTCGTGTAGGGAAGGGGGTTGCGACGAGTGAGATTGTGGAGGTTTGAGTGTCTCATGGCGTCTGCCTTCGTGCAGAGACAGATTCGTATGGAATGGGAAGGTGTGGTGTGGTGTCTCGGAGCGTAGGCCGCCGTGTGGTTGCAGTGCCGGGCAAGACGATCGGGTCCTGCCCGATTTCTTCACCCTTTCTGTTTCCGCGTATACTCCTTGCGGGTGTACTTCTCTTCGACATCTCACAGCCTTGCTTTCCTTGTACCTCCTAGCTCTTCCGCACCTCCATCCATATCTGCTCCGCCCCGCGGACCCGAAACGCAGTCCATTCTCACCTCAATCCACGCTCCAGAGACTCAAACGTTCCACGATATCGCAACGCAATCAGTATCGCAATGTCAGGTATGAGCAGGTCGACAAGGTGAGGTCTCTTTAAAGTTGAGGAAGATGCTGGCTCTTATATTATTATTAACCGATCCATCTCACTCATACCTCTTCGAGGTCTTGTTGCGAGGGGAGTTAGGGAGGGCCAGAAATGCTCGAGGAGCTGACAGAGGTCGAGGTTTGGAGTTTGCCATCCGGAGTTGCCGTGATAATTTTTCTTTCAACATCACTCTGTGGAATGGCAATTACTCTCGGTGATGTTGGGATGGGAGGATGCGGAGTTGATAAGCTCGAGTATATGTCATTAGCGAGCCTCGAAGATTCGTTGGAGAGCCTGCTCTGCCGGACAGTCTCAAGTAGAGACTTCAAGAACTCACTTTAGTGCATCCCAGCAATCATCAAGATCCCGGTAGTTGTTCAAATCAACAGCACAAAACGGCTTCTTTGGAAAGGCAAGAAGAAATATTCTCTTCGACAGTGACTATCTCAAACATTCAAGAAACCAGGATCTCATCTCCATCCCACTCCACGCTCCTCGAAAGAGCCGGAGGCAAAAGCACCATCAAACTCCATCCCATAGTCTCACTGTCCGCGATTTGCTAGACACGTAGAAAGTGCGAACTCCAGAAACACCGGCATTGAGCTCGTGACTCGTATCGAAGTGACGAGCCAGCTCGCAAAAACATCTTTCCTTTGCTAATACAAGCATCCACAATTCCAACCTTCTCCCTTCCCCTCGGCGTCTCATGTTCAGTGGGTAGCATGAGCGTCGCTGAACGGACTCGCGTCCCTCTTCGCGCCAGAAGCTTCATGATCAGGGTCCTGGCTTGCTCTCTTCGCAGCCTCTTCGATCACGGCACTGAGGCCGCCGGGACCTCGCGAGCCTCGTCGAGGCCTCTCGTTGCGGACGCTGGCTGCCATGGAAGCGTACGGGTTCGGTCTCGATGATCCTGATGGCGAGCCTGCAGCTTGCAGTTCCGATGCGTCGAAGAAGGGGCTTTCGAGAGGTTGGATGAGAGGTGCGGGGTCTGCTGCTCGTGAAGTCGCGTTCATCAGGCTCCTCCTTGCTCGGGCGTGCTCGTCCTCGTCGTCGGATTCTGTGGCGGTCTCGACGAGCGGTGATGGAACGGCTGGCGCGTGCTTCACTTGCGACGTGTTGCTCGAGTCGCTGGCTTGCCGAGCAATCGGGAACCTGCCCTTGCCCTTGCCGACAGTGACTTGCGTAGCTTTAGCGAACCCTCCATTCCCAACGGCCGGCGAAGCAGAAGGTGAGTTGTTCTGTTCAGGCACCATGACCTTTACCGTGCTCGGCGAGCTACTGGATGGGGGTGATTCCGAAGACGGAGATGAAGCCTGGGAAGTCTTGACCGACACCATCCGAGGGGCCGCGCGAACGACTCTCGTTGCAGGCATGGGTACGTCCGTCGCGTCGTCTCGGTACACATCAGACATCATTGATGATCTTGCCAGTGATGGGGTGATCGATTGACGAGTATATTGCGTATCGCGGTTGTTGCCAGATCGGATCGAAGAGCTGTCCGTGTACGTGCTATCCCTCAAATCGCCAGGCCTGAAGAACAAAGCATCGCCTTCATTGCTAAGCGGGCTCTTCGGTGTCGAGTTCGCATACGCAGCAGGAATCGGCGGCACCGGCGCAGTCGCTAGCAAACTGTTATGCCCAGATCCATTCCGATTCGTAACACCCGGAATATACGCAATCTGGATGATATTGCTCGCCCGGCTGAGGATGCTATTCGCGATAGATCCCCTCGTCCGCGTGGATGCCGCATCCGAGCGCATGGCATTGAACTGTGTGGTCCGCTTCTGCTGGGAAATGTCATCCTCCTCCCACTCCTCCGCCTCCAGCTCTTGCTGCTCTCTCCTCTTCTTGATCCAGAACCTCCACAAGAAGAACATGACAATCGCCATGAACGCCACTCCTCCAATCACTCCTCCCGCTATCGCCCCGACATTTGTTTTCTTTGAAGCGGGTGCTGGGCTGGGATTCGCAATGCAAGTCATATGTGCGCAGGCATTGCAGTCCTGCGGTACGAGGGAGCAGATTTGGCCGCTGGGGCAGTCTGGGCATGTTGGTGTCTCTGTCGGACACTTGACGCATCTCTTGAAGATTGTCCGGAGGTTGCGCTCGACTTCGTAGGACATGGTGCCACGCTTGGTGGAGGCCATGGCGGAGCGCGCTGCCTCGCCTCTGGCTTTTCGTCTCTTTGGGGGTCCTTTTCAGCCGTATCCTGCACGGAAGTGATGCCCTCGTTGGCGGCCTCGACTCTCCAGCGTGTCGTTCTCGTGGTGTGTAAAGTACAGTGTCGAAAGCCGCGCGTTCTGAAATATACGGGTGACCTCGCGCGGTGTGACACTCAATCCAGAAATCTCTCCAAGTCAGTGGTCCAGTAAGTAAAAAAGTAACGAGCGACAGTGAAGTAGTTGGTATGGAAGTCGTGGGTTGGTGGTGGTTGGTGAGAGAGATGTGCTCGTCCCTCTGTACCTGCGCCGGCTGGCGGAGGGAGACGTTGGGCTCATCGGCAGCTCATTGGCCAGCATCATCCTGGTCCCTTTGACGCGGAATGCCGAGCACGTGGACGCTTTGTCCAAGGAGATGAATCCAATTCGATTTTTCCGACTTCACTCTTTCAACTTCAGTGTCGACTTAGATCTAGCCCCATTCGCCTTCGCATGTGGTGTCAATCCGGCTACGATGCTACGACGAGCAAGCATGAGCAGTGATACCTACGACGAGTTGAGCATCAAGAATCGGGAAAGTAAGAGCATCCATATCCATCTACATCCCATTCGCTATGCTACCCCTCCAAATGCAAATGCTGATCATCCAAGTCGTCAAGTAAATACAACACAAGAATTTCCGAAAAACCCGTCCCTAGTAAAACACTCTCCCACCTCATCAATCAAAATCCCTTCAACAACGACCCAAAAAACGATTTGGGCCGCGACTCCGGCTGCGTAGAAGACCTCTTGCTGCTCCTCCTCTCGCCCTTGTCACGATGGCTGTCCCTCCTTCTGCCTTCAGACGGTCGCTCCGCTTCCGATCGATGATGTCGTCTCCTACGATGATGCGAGGAACTCCCTTCTTCTCGACTGCCGCCGTGGGCGCTGGAAGATGGTCCGGCTTCGGGTTCCTCTTCGCGGACCGGACGTTCTTCTCTGATGGCCCTGCTCTCTCGGCTCGATGGCTTGGAGCTGCTGTAGTTGCTCGCTCGCACGCTGTTGGATTTGATCGAGTCTCCCAGCGAGAAGCCGAGTACCTTGGGGATGGAAGAAGATGACTTGCTGTCTCGTCTGGACGACGGACGCTCTTCCCGGCGGCGTCTTCGTTTCTCAGCCTCCTTTCGAGCAACAGCCTCTGCTTCTTCCTTCGCCAATCGAGTGGCCTCCTCTGCTGCAGCCTTCCTTGCTGCTCGCCGAGCTTCGTGGCGAATTCGTCGTAACTCCGCTTCTTCGGCCAGGAGTCGTTCTTCCTCCGCGATTCGAGCCCGTTCGGCCGCTTTGCGTTCCTCACTTCTCTTGTGACGTCTCGCAAGCTCGTCTGCGGTCAACGAAACACGTGCCGGTTTGTGCCCTCGCTCGCGAGCGCGAATCTCGTCCTTCTCGCGGGAACTCCTCTTGGCAGACCGCGACTTGTCAGAAGACTTCTTCGAATCACCCGAGCTACGCTTCTTGTGCGACCTCTCCCAATGGCCTTTGCTCCCGCTGCCTTTGCTGAGGTGTGGAGATGGTGGTGGTTCTGGGATAGCGTCTGGTTCTTCGCCTGCACCGAGAGACACCTCCTCAGTTATGGCCTTCTCTGCTTCCTCTATAGCCTCTGCAGGTGCTTCCGGGGCTACTTCCGGGGCTGCTTCAGGGACTGCTGCTGGCTCCTCCACGAGATCTGGCACCGGTGCTGGAGCGTCAGTAACGGCTTCGGGTTCTTCCACCGCAGGCGCCGTTTCTTCCACGGGCTCGGCGGCTGGCGGCTCCCCTGCAGCAGGTTCGTCACCTGCGTCGGCTACAGCCTCCTCAACAACTTCTTTTGTCTCTTCAACAGGCTGAGCTTCGGCGACTGCAGGCTCTGGCGCTGACTCCGCTGATTCGGGAGCTGCCTCGACCGGTTCAGGAGCAGCCTCCTCGATGACCGCCTCTTCCTTCGCTGGCTCAGGTTCTGCAGGGGCATCTGGCGCGGCGTCTTTGGAAGGGCCTTCATCTACTGCTTTCTCAGCTTCTTCGGCATCTGCAACAGCTGGTTCCGTTGCTGGTGCCTCCTTTGCAGCTTCAGGCTCAGCTTCGCCGTCCTTCGAACTATCTTCACCTCCTGGAGCAGATGAATCTTCTGGTTCATTTGGAGCTGCCGTCTCTTCGATTGCGGCCTCTGTGGCTTCAGCAACAGCAGCTTCAGCTTCCGCAGGCGACGGTTCCTCTGCAGGCGTTTCAGCCTCGTCGCTAGCCGCCTCGAGCGAGGCCTCAGCTTTGGTTTCTGCAGCCTCGGGAGCACTTTTCGGCTCTTCTGGTTTCGACCCTTCTTCGATCACTTCACTGACGGCGTCCGGGATGGCGGCTTGGCTGATGGAGTCTTCTGGGGTCAGCTCGTCCTCATCCGCGTCAGCCGCGTCGAGATCAGCAGATTCATCTTCGGGAGGGATGTCGTCTTCGATGGGCGCCCACGCTTCACCAACCTCCTCTGTTGGCTCTTTGGACTGTCCATCAATCTCCGTAGGTGCATCGCCTGTGGCCTCCTTGGCCTCTTCAGCTTCGCCTTCCTCTCCGTCCCGATCAGGTTCGTCCGCCGGCAAGTCTTCCAACACCACTTCTTCGATATCCTTCACATCTTCCATTTCAACAGCACTATCCGGCGCCTCCGAAACGCCATCGTCATCGAATTCCCCATCATCAAGCTCATCATGTCCTCCCACCTCTTCAACGTGCTCCTCCTTCATATCCTCCTCAACGTCACGTGACTCCTCGCCAGCAACAGCAGGCTCTACATCCACGACGGCCTTCTCAGCGCTCTCAGGGGCAGGAACAGCTTCAGAAAGAGCTTCACCATCAGGGGCAGCCGCATCGCTAATATCTCCCTCAGCACCTGCACCATTGAGTTCGACCGGGGCATCGGCCACCGAATCGGCGAGGACCGGCTGCGCGTCTGCTGACGGATCGTGTTGGCTCGCTGCATCCGCATCTGCATCCACGTTGACAGGTGGTTCTGCCGCTGCGAGCGCTGCGTCATCTTGCTTTGTGGTGTCTTCTGTTGTCGCTTCGGGCTGCTCTTCTGGTGTGTCGACTGCTGGTGGTGGTGGTGGAGGGAGGTCTAGTACGAGTTCTGGTGGGAGATCCAGTCCTGGAGGCGGCGGCGGCGGTAAGTCACTGAAGTCGATCCCAAGACCGGCTGGGATGATTGGCATTGGAGGCATTTCGCTTTCTTTGGGTTTGCTCTTTGAAGACTTCTTTTTCTTCTCGTCCTTGGACTTGGATTTGGGTGCTTCCTCGATAGGCGCTGGTGGCTCTTCGACAACGACCACGGGTGCTGGCTCTTCTCGAGTTCGAGAACTCTCCTTGGAAGATTTCTTCGAACTCCTCTTTTTCTTCTTTGGCTTTTCTTCCACAGCGGGCTCATCTTCAGCAGGTGGTGGCTCTTCGTTGATGACTTCGACGGCAAGTGGCTCGGCTGGGGGCTCTTCTGATGGGACATCAGCAGGCTCTATAGACTGGTCTTCCACAGCTTCAGTTGCTGGTTTATCCTTGGCCTCCGGAGCATCTGGAACACTCTCCGCTGAGACTTCAGGCTCACCGGCAACGATCTCAGGCGTCGCTTCTTCCACTGGCCCAGCTTCTGGTTCAGCAGGTGCTGGAGCAGATTCGTCCACCACTACAGCCTCAGGTGCTGCAGGCTCTTCAATAGGCTGCAGTGGAGGCGCGTCGAGAGCAGCGGCAATCTCCGGCGGTAAGTCTCCCTCATCGATCGGAATGAACGTCTTCTTCTTCTTTGTCTTCGTGCCTTTCGCACTCTTCTTCTTCCGATGCGTTGGCTTGGGCTCTGGAGTGCCAGGCGCGAACTGCACGATTTTGGGACTCTTCTCGCCTGCTTCCGGAGGGATCTCGACTTCTATCACATTCTCGGCGTTGTCTGATGGTGGTTCAGGGGCTGATGGAGGGATGTCGAGGAAGGCGTCTTCGGCGAGCGGCAGTGGCGGTGGTGCATCGTGAGCGACATCTACTATGGGTTCGTCATCCAGTGGGCCTTCGATCACTTCGACAATGTCTTCGTCGTGTGGTTCTGCTTGCGGAGGCTCAGGTGCTGGAGGTGGTGGCACTGGCTCTTCTGCCGCAGGTTCATCTGACTTAGGTAGACTTTTCTCTGGCTCCGCTGCCGGTTCAGCTGCTCCATCAGCCTGTTCTGGTTCAGCTTCAGGTGCTTTTTGTTCGCTCGCTGCTTCGGGCGATGCATCAGCTGGAGGAGTTTCGTCGACCGGGGCCGCTTCAGGGGCTGAATCTGCTTCAGGCGGTGCTTCCTCTTTGACTGGAGATTCTGCCGATGGCGCCGGAGCTTCTGATTCAACATCAGGGGCAGAAGGTGCTGCTTCCTCTACCACAGGCGCTGGCTCTGCCTCAGGGGGGGCATCCCCAGATTCAAGAGGTGAGTCCACTGGAGCTAGTCAAATCATCAGCCAACATCAAAAACAACAAATTGCCATCATCCACCTACCCTCTCCCTTCGCCTCCACCCCTCCCACATCTCCCCCATCATGCTCATCCTCCCCCGAGTCCTCATCATCCGTCGGCTCAGGCGGCGGTGGCGGTCTCGCAATCCGGACCTTATACGTCGGCGCAAAAGCCCTCGAAACACTCTCCGGCGAAACAGAAGCCGGCTTCGGTCCTCCTCGAAAGGGATGCACGCTCAACTTGGGGTCTTTCCAGGTGGCGACTTTCAATTCCTTGAAGCCGTATCGGCTTTTGATCTGGTCGAGGTGGCTGACGGACATGGTGGTGGGTGAGTCCCTTCGGGCTCAATGGGTTGGTCTTTTGCAGAGAGTGGTATGGGTTTTCCGGTCAGGGTGTTAGTAATGTTCTCTGCGAGTCGTGTGACATGGCAGGAAGTAGTAAGTCGAAATGGAGTGAGATATGCTTTCGCGCCGGTGGCCCACGAGGGATAGAGGGAAGAGACAGACGAAAGCGTGGGATGACGTGCAGTCTAGGTTCGTGGCAGCAGAGGACTGGAAGCGTGGACAAGGGAGGGAATGTCGAATAGCAGCAAGACAGCAAATAGGTGCGTGGGGCAATAGCAGTCCATTCGTCAGAGCCTCATCTTCAATCGCCGGGTGTTGGTTCTTCCTGTAGGAGAGACGAGTAGCAGTGACAATGATAATGATGAGAAAAAGGGTACACTTCGCCGCCGAGCCAAACCCCACGATGGAAAGCAGAGAGGTGCAGCGGTGCAACAGACCAGTAAGACCCAGACGGGCGGCGACTGGAACCACCTGGCACGTCTCGGGAGAAGAACCCATCCTGCACAAGAAAGAGAGTGTGTGTGATATGTGCTCACCCTCACCACACACAGTTCTCCCCGAGGAACTAGCCATGCACCTCCCAACCAGAACAGAAAAGTCTGAGAGAAGCATTGGGTGTCCATGCAGCAGCACCATCATCATCATCAAAGAAAGAACCCCTCAGGACAAGCCGAATGGGTTCCCTTCCCCGACTGGCATGCCTCGCTATTCTTCTGCGCCGCCGGGATCGGGCATTTGCGTGTACGACATGCATTGCAAAGTCTGGCGGGATGAGGTGAGGTCGGCTTCATTGGATCGACGTGGCATCGTCTGAGAGCTCCGCTGGCCTCCATGGCTGCGCTCCGATCCGACACCCGTGCTCGTCCCTTCCCTTCCCCTCCCTCCCTTCCTTCCGTGAGTGACAGCTGCATGCATGCATGAACCACCTCTACTACCTAGGTACTCTCCCGTTCTTTTGTGCAGAAAGGCAACGAGATAGCATCGTGGGTCGGAACTTTAAAATCAACCTCGTTTGGAATGAAAGACGTGGGGGGTTGAGGACAGACATTCACGAATTAAGTACAGTACATACAGTATGAGGAGGTATCATCGCTATAGACAGTATGTACAGGAGATACAAGCGCCCGACGCAAATGCAACGCTCCAATGCAATGAACAAATGATCTCATGTTGTTACACGTGTCCCCTTCTTCATCATGCTGTATCACCTGCCCGCCAAAAAGGCGAACAAAAACGCCGCGCTTAACGCTGCACATGCAGTTCTTGAATTGAGAGTCATCTTTGGGCCAGGTGTCGGGCTTTGACTCGATGAGTTGTCGTCGGTGTTGTCGTACACGCCTGCAAACTGTTGGCTTTGATATACCATGTTCGTGTGGTCGGGCGGTCGTTGCGAGTCTCGACGTGCTTGGGCCGTAGCACAGTCGTCGCTAGAGTGTGATCGATCGGGCTTCAGCATGTCGTTGCGTTGCACGACCAAGACCCTTTGGGCTTCTTTCGAGCCGCTTCTCGATCTCGAAGTGCTGTGTGTGACACCACTTCATAACGCTTGGGCGGCCGCATCGACGTCGTCGATTCTTTGAACACTCTCAAGTCGTCGCAACCCGACTCAACCCCCTCGACCTCCTGGGCCCCAACGCAGTACCAGCACCAGCACCACCATTCATCATCTTCCCCTTATTACCAACCCCCTTCCCAAAGTCCAACTTCGCCACACTCCCCCTTCCCCCATCAATACTCATACTATCCTTGGGCGCCTTCTTCGCATGCCCTTCTTCCTCAGGCGTCGCCACAGCCGTACTCTCGCTAAGCGACCGCTCCCCACCCCCAACCGCATCCCTCCTCTCCACCCCCTCAGCCTCAGCAACAACCCTCCCATTCGGCAAAACATTCGGAGAATCCTCATACCTTTCCGGCTGCTCCATAGCCGGCGCCCTAGGCAACTCCGCAACGCGCACCTCCCTCCTCCTTCTCGCAAAATGCCTCTCAAGATTCTTGCCCTCCTGCCGCACCCTCAACGCCCTCTCCGCCGCATCCACATTCTCCAACGCCCCGCTCTCAATCCACCGCCTCTTCTCCCTCCTCAACTTCAACTTCCCCGCCACATTCGCCCCTACGGCATTGTACGTCGTGTTCGCCGCCGACCACACCTGCTCGTACACTTTCCAGCCGTAGTCCACCCGCTCGCGGATCTCCTCCGTCCGCTTATCATGGCTTCCGCGTGCGAGGAGCGCCTGCAAATCCTTCTGTCCCTGGATGAGGTGCGCTTTGCGGATATACGCCTTCGAGCCGGGACCGTTGTGTTCCGCTTTTTTCTTGATGTACACAATCATACCCTTGCCGATATACGCCGGCGGGGAGACGACAGCGCTGACGTTCTTGAGGACGAACCCGCCGACGCCCTTGCCGACCCCGGTCCCGAAACCTGCGAGTTTGGACGGTATCGTGTCGCCGTCTTTGAAGCCGCCGATCGGTTGTGTTACGAGGCCTGTCCAGCCGTCCCAGACGCCGTAGATGAGTTCTTTGCGCGCGGCCACGAGGCCTGTTTTGAAGCCTGTGACGCGGATGGGTTTTCGCACCGTGGCGTCGCCCCAGAGTCGAGGTGCGTTGTGGAAGCCTTGGGCGATGGCGACGTGGAGGTCGTTGGGCATGGTGAGTAACGCAGCTCCGGAACGCTTGAAACCTTCGTGGAAGTCTCGTGCGAGTTCATGAGCCAGAGGTGTGCTCGGATCCGCTGAGAGTTTCGAGCTGAGCGTATTCGAAGTATCCTGACGATCATTCGGCGGTCGCTGGAGTTGTTGTTGCTGCTTCTCATCAACCTGCGCAGCTTTCCGCTGCCGTTTCTCCTCCTTGCGGTTCTCTTTCCTCTTCTGAATCTCAGCCTTCTTCTTCTCATGCTCCGCCCTCTTCTTCATATGCTTCGCAACCCTGACAGGAACCATACCCACGCCACCACCGATATTGTACAGCGAGTCCGTAACAGCCCCTGCCGTGCCAGAGATTGGCTCCCCAGGCCCATCGAAGTCGGCCCAAGCACAAGCTCGGAACAGTCTCAAATCACTCGTCTTGAGCTTGCCCTTCTCCATGAGCAACTCTGCCGCGAGCGCGGAGAGTCTCAATGAAGAGCCCTTCAGCTGCCACACAGCGACACGATCCTCCAAGATCGAGCATCGTATGCTATGCGGTCCAGCCAGAGGTAGACTTCGATGGAACGACTTGACAGCGTTCTCCGCCCCATCGCCTTCCTTTTCAATCCCCTCCGCCAGCTTCCGCACATTGATCTGTGCCTCCTCCGTCAAACACTGCTTAATCCCCTCCGCCATCTTCTCCGGAGTAAGTTTCTTCCAAGGGATGACCTCGTGAGCACCAGCTTTCGCTTCAGCAACACGAGCAGCCCAGAACGGCTGATCGCCAAAGAACGGCACAATCATCGTCGGCTTCGCACACTTAAGCCCAATAGCCGTAGTACCCGCTCCACCGTGGTGCACCACAGCCTTCACCTTAGGAAACAGCCAATCGTGCGGCGTATTCCCCAGCATGAAAATATGATCCGGCGTGTTCTCATTGCTGTGACCCAGGCCACCCCAGCCCTTGTTCACGAGAGCCCGCACACCAGCCAACTTGGTCGCCTCAAAGAGAATCTTCGTGAACTGATCCGGGTCGTCGACGACAATACTCCCAAAGCCGATGTACACCGGCGGGTCACCGGCGTTCAAGAAGTCCACGAGATCCTGCGGCGGCTTGAACATCTTGGCCAGATCCATGAAGACGAAACCCGCGATATCGATCTCAGGACCCCAGTCGCCTGGCTTGGGCACCAGGCTCGGACTCCACATGTAGGTGTAAGACACCTTCATGCGGTACAGAGCTCCAGGGGCCCATAGCGAACTAACAGGTTCCAAGCCGAGTACCCTCTGCCGAAACTTGTTCACGATATCCCCCAAGCCCTGCCAGGTCATCATCTCCACCAAAGGATAGGACATGAAGTTGACATAGTTGGTATCCACATTACTCTTCCCAGGCTTAATATTCGCTAGCGGATGCGGGAACGCCTGGGTAGGCGAATAAGGAAACGTGAACATAATGTGAAGCGGGATCCCTAGTCTCTCCGCGATATGGACGTGTGCCATCGAGGGCGGGTTGGCGATGATGGCGTCCGCGACGAAGGGAGCTTTATCACCCATCATCTTGATATTCAACGAATCGCTGTCGTCGTCCGTCGTGTTGGTGCAAGCCCGCCACATGCCCTCGAACATCTCCCCCATAGCCACTCGCCGTCGATGGATCTCGCCTTCGCGGATCGTCTGCAGGCTGGGGATCAAGCCAGGATTCTTCACCATGAATGCCATGAGTTCTGAGGGATCGCCCCCTACACTGAAGAACTCCAGATCCGTCTCTTTCTCCACAAATTCTCGAAAGGTAGGATGCGTAGCAATCCTCACGCGGTGTCCATGTTCTTCCCTCAAGATCTTGCCAATCTTCAGAAAAGGCTGGATATCCCCTCGGCTGCCAATAACCATAATCACGATATTCAACTTCGGCCGCACAACATTCGAGTACAGCGCCGACGCGATCTTCTCCGCATCGAGATCCACATCGGGGTCAAGTTCAGGATGATCAGCCAGATGCTGGCGCTGCTTCCTCGCCCGACTGCGATTCGGTATATCCAGATGATTCTGAATGGTATGTCCCAGAGCCTTCGCCAGGTATCCACTATTCGCCGTCTGATTGATCGAGATATTCAATCGTCCGTCTCGTTTCGACACCCGTCCTTTCGTGCTCATATGTTCATTGCTGATGCGGAAGCGCGAGTACGACTTTCCCTTCTTCGCATCCTCCTTCGCCTGTGTCTGCTCTTGCTCCTGCTCCTTCACCTCCTCGGCCGTTCGCGTCCGTTTCGCAGGTGGCCGTTCCTTCCTCCTCGTACTCTCATCTTCCGAAGAACTCGATTCTGAATCGGACGACATGGGATCGAAGGTATACTGAAAGCGCTCATCCTGAGGCGACCGCCTCCTCATCGTCCTCAGCAACGTGCTGTTCCTCGCGAGGGTACTCGGCCGTCCATTCTCCGCCGGCGCAGTCTTCACCTTCTTCAATGGCTGCAGACTAGGCAAAGGCAACTCGTCGTCCTCCGGCGTCTCAAACGGTTCTGTCCGGCTCTTTCGCACATTTCTGATATCATCCGTGGTCGTCTCGCCTGGTGTATTCGTGAAGTAAGAACCTCCACTCCGTCGCGGCTCAGCACCGTCCGTCTCCTCGCCATGGCCACTCTCCAAATGCGCGCCAAAGTCAACCCCACGCAAAGGCTCCAGAGGCAATATAGACTCCCCTCTCTCATCCCTCAACACAGTCGGCTCAGCACCCTCCCCAGAAGACACCGGCCTATTCTCCACCGGCGTCGCCATCGTATTCGTTCAGTCTTACTCGCAAGTCGTGCAAGATAGGCGGGACTGAACGGACGAGGCAGACCCAAACTTAAGCAGAGCACAGAACAATCACGGTAATGGATGCGCCCACTTCCGCCAGGGCCAGCCAGCCGTCTCGCACCGCAACTCACTTGGAGAATCAGCTGTTCATCTCAGATCGATACGAGCGTGGGTGTGCGCGCCCGCGTGTGCCCGTGTGAGCGACAGAGAGAGAGCGCGGTAGTGACCGGATGGCTATCTGCGCGAGCCAGGACTGGACAGGACAGGACAGCAACAGCGCGTCAAGACAGCATCACCGAACACACAAAGCAAAAAGCGTATCTCAGCTCCTTTCCTCCTACCGGCGACGACCCTTTGACGTAGGAGGTCAAACGTCTATGTGTCCATAGCGTTCACGCTATAGTCGAAGGAACTGGTGTATCGTTCAGATTGATCGCGCGGAAGAAACAGGACTGAGATCTGGGAGAGGCGGTGATGTCACCGCGCCGTTTGGGAGGTTCTGGGAAACGCGAACCGCTCTCTGCGCGAAATACGCTTCGGGGTTCGGGCGGTTCGATCTGGTCCGGTTTGGGAGAGCGCCGCGGAAGAGGTGTTGGAAGTTTCTGGTTGGATGAGATCACAGGGGCGAGATGAGAGGAAGAGACGACGACTTGGCAATATCACAGTAGTGGGAAAGGCGTCCAACTTCATGGTTGGTCATTAGTGATTTAATGAGAAATGATGGTTTTGTTCATGTTCATTTCATTGCATTGTTACACATTAGATAGATTGAGGTATCCATACGAAAAACCCGACGACGTTCTTTCTTGTTGACTTGATTGACGAGAGGGAGAATAAACGCCATCCTGATGAGCTTGAGCTCGCCTCCAGTGCTCGCCCGCTAAATCGCTTGTTGTGCAATCCAAGAAGGGGGTTGGGTAGTCGTCTTTTATTCCATTTTCTTCATTCTCATCGAAGCAGACACACGTAGTGGCGTCTCTCATAAGGCGTCTCTTGGTGATGGTGGTATCAGGGGGTATTAGTACTGCTGTGGAACGAGTCTTGTCAGCAAGTCAACTCATTATTTGTTTTTGTGTCAGATCCCAAACTCACTTGATCCTCTGCCGCTGACCGCTTTAGACTTGGCTCATAGCCGGGCCACGGCGGATGCCACTGCTACGTGGAGCACCAGCACCGCGCATGCCGAGGCCAGAGAGGACGGTGGAGACGAGGAAGGCCGCCCATCCAAACCAGAGGAATGCAGTGCTGGCTTGAGCCTCGCGGCAGGCACCCTTCTGGTCGCTGGCACCACGGATGACGTGGTTGGTCGAGACGTAATCCTGAAAGCACTGTCAGTTTGCGCGTCCCATTCATCTTTCGTCAAAGGTTGGTCGACATACGTGGTTGTTGCAGCTGTGCACATGGAGCTCGGCAGCGAGTGCGATGGCGCCGCAGAACCAGAACAGCATGGTCAAGAGATCGATGGCGAATGTCGCGATCGGGATGCCCATGTCCTCCTTGAACGATACCGGTAAGAGGTAGAACAGGAAGAGCATAGCCCATGCGGCGCAGAACATGGTGTAGTCGTTGATGGCCGAGTTGGCGCCCATGGCGATGGCGTTGCCGATGAGCGACATGATGAGGAGAGCCATGAGGAACTGCACAGTGCGCAGAGCGAGCTGGATGATGTTGGCCATTGCGACGGTGGTGTGTGTGTTGTTGTTGCGATAAACGGGGAAGTTCTGCTTTTGCGACTCGTCGAGGAGCTCTGTACACCCAAACAAACGCGCAAGTCAGCTTGACACTCCACAACAGTCGATGCACAGGTGGGAGCAGCAGGACGTACAAGACACAGAGGGTAATTCTGTTGTGATAGACGAGAGTGAGTCTGGGTTGATCAACAGCGACACCGAGGATGATGACAACGACGGAGAGCAGCAGGGCAGGAGGGGATGCAGGAGCTTGGGGAGCTCTTGTAGCCGGACAGCAAAGCCCTCGACGTCACCAGCGGACGGAAGACTCGGGATCCAATGGGAGGTGAATGTTGGTCCTTGCTGAAACCTAAAATCGGGCGACTTCTCGTCTCTCATTCCAAGGAAACGTGCAACACGCCTCATCGCCCTTACTGTCGTCCATGCTAACGTAAGACCTCCTACTCTGAATCATCCCTCTCTCACACCTCTCCAGCCGTCACATGCAGATACGCATCGCAATGTCTACCCCAAGCGTTTTGGCCACGTCGACGGCAGGCTGACATTGGACGCTGCTCCTCTCGACCACTCGGACAACGGATATTAACCTTGTTACCTCATCACAGTCGCATCACGCAGCAAACGTCTGGTCCATGTCCGTCTCACGTGTTTTGCGTCACACAACATTCCACACCAATCGAAGAAGCCCAGACGCTTTCGTCGATGGACATCCCAGCAAATTGACTACTAACGACTGGGCGAAGGACATCTTTGTGCTCAACCGATTTCTCGGGAAGCAACTGGAAAAGCAGAGCAGATCTTCCGGGACTCGGAAGTCTGGAGTTGGAATAATAAAGCGGGGCGATTCGGTCATGCAAGGTGAAAGGTGAAGCTCGAGGCCACGAGCGTCAAGCTTTTTCCTTCCCGCGGCTGGCCCCAGAATCAACACGTCGACGTCGTCACTTCATCCGTTCGTCATCATTTCTCTCAGCAAACAATACAAATACAGTAGTAGCTCATGATGGGGCTATGCGGTCCGAATCGTCTGTCCATTCCAGACTTCCAGCGTATAAGCCCTTGTTAAGACGATGTTTGTGCTCAACGGGAAGACACAGCACGAACTACATTACCTTGACATCCCAAAGATCTCGCCAACGACTCAGCTCTGAACCACATCTTCGATAGCGTAGATAGCTCGAGAGTAACGGGGATATATCTTCGACTTGAAGTCAAATAAGGAGGGTCAGTACTTGCGGTCTCGATGCCTCACCACTTCGTGCGGGCCTGGCTGTGTCCACGCAAGATCGGCCTCGGCCGCAAAACAACAGTACAGTACCACTTTCCACGCTGATAATGCACATTACATCTCCGTGAAGTCTTTGGCATTCCCGAATCTACTTAAAAGGGCCCATACGGTTGGTTCTGTCATGGTAGAAAACCTATCCATCTGATCTGCCTCGTCATCCAGAATGCCTCACTTTCGCTTTTCTATCAATCCCCATCACACAACCTCCCACTTCTCCCCAATCGAAGCAGTCAATTCATAAGAGTGGGGATTCCCCCTTCGTGATACCGATTCATGCCATACTCATTCCAATTCACACATACACGCAACGCCTCCTCTTTGGGGGTTATCTTCTCGTACCACGCTTTTTATATCATGCAATTCGTCACAGGCGTGAGCCACAGAAATGTCTCTCTTCTGTAGTTGATGTTTTCTAGTCGTTCGCCTCGGCGAGCTGGATGATCAGACGGCTGGCCACGTCCAGGAATGGGAAGGGACTAGTAATCTCCTTCTCCTCCAGAGGGCGGCCGACGCCGACCAACTGCTCACCACTCTCATCTTCGTCAAAGTCCGCGGAGGTGTAGCCATCAGGCGCGTTGTCGTGCTTTACCACGTCGCTCTCGTTGCTGCCAGTCACTTCTCGCGCGAACCGCCGGACGAGTCTCTCATAGCCAGCGCATTTGAAGTCGACCAAGAAGAAGTCCTTTTCGATGGCGTAGAGCTGAATCGTAACGTACACCCACACGCTCTCCTCTGGTTTTGGAGCTTCGGTGGGGGCCGTGCTACCACTGTACACCGAATTGGCTTTGCTGCCTTGTCCTGGACCAACAGCTGCCATGTTCTCGGTGCTGCCAGCCGCACTTGATGTGTGGCTTGCATTGTTCGAGCCCCCGGCCGGAGACATGTGGACAGAACTTGCCCTCCTAAGGTTCAAGTCGACCTGCGAGCTGTGGGCTGAGGCTGGATGTGGAACACCAGCTGGGAACATGCCTTCTTTCTTGAATCGTGCGTTGATAACCCATGGATCTTCAGGAATCTCGTAGCCCCAGTCGTTCCATCGGCCGTGACGCTCGCGACCACGAGGATGGTTTCCACCTTCCTGACGGCGATTGGCGCGGCGGCGTTCTTGCTCTTCGTGGGTCGCATACTCTGGGTCGGTGCCGGAGCCTGGGTCCGAGTCACTATACTCTGGACTGTTGCTCCGCTCTCTGTCGTTCCCTCGCTCCGGACTGGCCTCGCCACTAGCAGGCTCGCCGGGCTCCTTCGCCTTTGCAACCTCCCATTGAGCACCCATCTTCTGAAGAGCGCGGTAGATTGCCAGCATTGCCTCTGCGGGCGAGTTGCGGCTCCTGATACCGAATTGCCATTTGGTCGGTCGCTGCTTCTTGGTGTGCTTGCCTCCTTCTTGAATACTGGTCATCGGCTCTGGTTTGTCGCTCCCGTGGCGGCTCAAGTTTGCGGAGCTTCTGCTATGCGGCTTGAGGCGGCGTGCCGTCGCTTCCTGCTCCTCTCTCGTTCTCGGCTTCTCACCGTCATCGTGCTCGCCATTAGGATCAGAAGACCGATTGATCTGCCCTTTCATAAAGGCAGCATGATAGTCGGGCAAGGATGACGGCAAAATGGCAACAGTTGATGCTGGCGAACGAGCTTCTATGATCGAGCCAGAGCCATTGGAGACTGTGGAGCCATGTCGAGGGTGATCGATGTTGCTACCAGCAAGTGGAGACACAGGCGGACGTGGTGATCGCGGCGACCCTCTAAGCTGAGGAGAGTTTCGCATGGACGACAGGCTGTTGGCGATGAAAGGTGGTGGCGACTGTCCAAATTCTGGTTGCGCCTCTTGCATCGATGGATTGTTTTTCATGAGATGATTCTCACGTACAATGAGGTATGCATCTTTGATGGCGCTAGGCTCATTCGTGGAGAGCGCCTCTTGCACATCGGTTGGAGCATAGCCCATGGTCTTACCGAGCTTGCCTACGACGTGCTGGTGAATCTTTTCTTGGACTGCGACTGGCTTGCCTTTGGCGAGCGCATGTGGGTCGATGGCTTTGTTGGGGTCGACGCCAGTGTCTAGGAAGTCCTCAACCGCAGGCTGAAGGTAATCCGCAAGGCCTTCCTTGAACCAAGGGTCGTTGCGGATTTCTTGGATAGTCATTCGATTGACGGGATTGACTTGCAGCATGCGTCTGATGAGATTCACAGCACCGCTACTGAGGTAGCTGGGAACGACGTAGTTGCCTTGCGCGATCTTCTTGAACAAGGCCGGAATGTACTCGTCGTCGAATGGCAGGCGGCCAACCAACAGAACGTAGAGGATGACACCACAGCTCCAGACGTCGACCTCCGGACCAGCATACAACTTGCCGCTAATAACTTCAGGTGCTGCATAGTTCGGACTGCCACAGCTCGTCTTGAGAAAGTTGCCATCCGTCATGATGTTGCTCAGACCAAAGTCAGCAATCTTGACATTGAGCTGGTCGTCGAGGAGAAGATTCTCCGGCTTGAGATCCCGATGCACGATCTTGTGGCGATGGCAGTACTCCACAGCACATACTATCTGCTGAAAAAACTTCCTCGCCTTGTCTTCGCGCATCTTGCCGTGCTGAACAATGTAGTCAAAAAGCTCTCCACCGGCATACTCCAGCACCATGATGATATCAGATGGAGTGGTAATGACCGTGTATAGCTTGATGATGTGTGGGTGGCGCAGTAGCTGCAAGTATTGGATCTCGCGCTCAATGCGGCCAGTCATATCTCGGGTGACCAGCTTGCGGCGCGAGATGATCTTGAGAGCCACCTTTTGACCGGTGACGACATGAGTCGCGAGCTTGACCTTGCCGAACGAACCTTCTCCCAAAGTTCTGATGACATTGTATTGACCCAGGCGCGACGGCAGTGACTTCGGGTTTGGCTGACCGTGACCTGGCGGTGCGCGAATGATGGGTGTGCCTTGGGCGGGAAGCTGCTCGGGGGCGGGGTCTTTCGAAGGACGGCGCGGCGCCTGTATGGACAGGGAGAGGTCCTCGTCGTCGAGGGCGGAGCTCATGGTGGTCATTGGGTCTTGGCCGGTATGACCGGCTCAATGGCGTCTGGCAGTCGGTGTTGATGGCAGGTGGTCGACACTGCGTGCGAGGGTAATGTCTGTGAGGCTGTGAGCAATGGAGGTCGGGCCGGCTGAAGACGGCCGGGCGAGGCGGCGGCGTGGTCGATGTCGGCGGCGGTGGTGAAAGTGGTGGTGGTGGACGAGGTGAGGTGCGTGAAAGAAGAGCGAGGCGGGTCAAGTCTCCGCGATGTCGCTGATCGTGGTGCCCCACCTCCTCAAAGTGCCATGCACGGGCTCGAGGCCAAAGCGTGAGGTGAGGATAGGATTCTCCCGAATAAGCTACAAATGACGACTGCCAAGCATCGCCTATCGGTGTCCTTACCCGAGGAAAGCGCCTGTCACTTTGGAGGCGGAGAAGTTGTGTGAAGCAGAAGTGAAATACTAGGCGGCCAGTCACACGAGCGGCAAAAAGCAGGCAAACAGCAGAAGCTCGAATAAAATGCACAAAAGCCGCGGCAGGTACGCCTTGCGGAGAGCATAAGCCGCCTAAATCGATCACTTGCATTAGTCTGCGTCTTGCATGTGAAGATTACGCACGGACACTTGAGTCGGCTGCACGTGACAATGCGAGCACCTCCCTGGACAGTATCCGGACACGATGACAGCCTTGCACCGTTGCACCGATGGACAGTCCGCAAAGCGATTGCATCGACGCGACGTACCTCTCACCACCAATGTGCGCTGAACAAAGAAGGCCGCCCTCGAAAGGCTCCTTGCTCTTTCGAAAGGCATTGATCAAAGACAATTCAAACTCTTTATGGCTTATCCATTGCCAGACACAATGCCATTCTACGACTCCCCCGAAACTCCTCTTAAAGTGTCTTTCCATCTTGCCCTCAAGTTTCACCTCTTTTACCCCTTCCAAATCTTTCGCATTGCAAGCTGGTCTGGTACTAGCTCTTCTACCGTCTCGTTTCGAACACACCCAGCACATCACCACCAACACCATGGGTGCCGCACCGTCTCAGGCGCCAAAGCCGAAAAGCAATAACACCCACAGCAATGAGATACCCAAGCAGCTGAGTCAACGCAGCAAGACGGCATCGGAGTCAAGCGACGAGCAAGGCCGCTTTGAGAATGAAAGCGAAGAAGTCGTTTTGAAAGAGCTCGGCTCAGGCTCTTACGCAGTGATCTTCGCCACAATCGGTGAGTTCGATGCTAACAGATTCGTGATAGACTACGACCGTGCCATTGGGGATCCAGTCGAGCAAAAAGACATCATCGACAAGATGCAGGCATCCATCTCCGCGACGAAAGTTCTGAGGAACACTCTAAACGACGAGGAAGGTTATCGAGCCCAATTCCAGGCCGAGATTCGCATGCTCTGGTACCTGAATGACAACTATCTGGAGAAGGCCGGCCAGCATGGTGTCGTCCGAATACTGCATCCACGCGTTGGGTCGAGCCCAGGGTCTTGGTTCTCGATGGAGATGTACACTGGAGGGACTTTGGAGGAGTTGCGAAATCTGTACTGGAAGGATCCTCCTCTTCTCGGTGCCACCATCCCGGAAGGCTTCCTCTGGCACATTCTCGCCGAACTGACGGAGACTCTTCTCGCCCTGAACTTCGGTATCATCAACGGCCAGGAGAGCCACGATCAGGATATCATGGCTCACTACGACTTGCATGGTGGTAATGTCATGTTGCGCTGGCCTGGCAAAACCTATGGCAACTACCCGGACGTAATCATCACCGACTTCGGGCTGGGTATTGCCATGGACTCAGACATGGCCGACAAGGAGCGTGCTGAGATGATGTACCAGATCCAGATCAGAGACCTCAACCACATCATGGAGTTCTTGTGGACTTTGATGTGCAAATCGGATGACAATAGTGAAACTCTGCTCCGGGTCTTCAACGCGCTCTACGGTGTGGGCAAATCGCCGGAGAACAAGCGCATGAAGCGTCGGCTCGAAATTGTCCTGAAGGAGGCGAAGGTGAGGCGTGAGAACATGTACAAGGAACTTCCAGACGCTTGGATTCAGTATCTCTCGCGTCCAACGGTCAGCGACAAAGAGCTCGAGACGTTCCTCCAGCAGTCCAGGTGGACCTGAGCCAGGGCGTCCGTCCTCGCGTCGAGTCTTGCTTTGGGTCGTGCCTGCAATAGAGGTGAGTGCAGATTGGCAAGTCGTTCTCGTGAAGTATGGAAGTGTGGTTTCCTTTCGTGTCTTTCTAGAACCCATAAAACATCAAGCACACATCTTTCTTCAACTTTTCATGTTCTTTTGGCGGCGTGTTGCAAAGTCTCTCAGTGGTCGCTCCATGGAGCAGCGGTCCCACACCGTATCCTGGACAAAATCGACCATCGTTGTTCAGAGACGAGAGGACACCGAGGCTGGATGCCAATGTCTGGTTCCGGGCCAGGTGTTGGGGAAACGATGTCGTTGTTGTAGGAATGCGTGTCCGAAAGTCCGTCCCAGGAGAAGGACCGCCGTATCCGACATTTCCAACGGTTCGGTTATAGACATTCGCCTATTGTTGCCCGACACAGAAAACACAAGAACTTACCCTTGCTCGTCGACTTGAAGAGCTTGTCAATCATCTCAAGAGCAATCATATTAACAATGAAACCCTTCTTCTCCCTCAGTCCAGCCTTGCACATTTCCTATCTCCTCATCGCCGCCAGACGTCTTTCAGAAAGCAGACCCTTTCATCGTTCATGTCACACAGAGTTTAAATAGCGACGGCAACGTCCGCGATCTGCATTTCCTCCTCTCGTGTTGTCTCCAACTCTCTTGTTCCTGCAGCCTCCTTTTCGCTTCCATTGGTGCTCCTCACGCGTGCAGTCCCAAACACCATCACACCTCCCACCGTTTTGCTGCAGGACATCACCCGCGATACCAGAGTTGAAGACCTCACCACGTTCCGCGACGCTTGTACAACACACCTCGTAAACCGGTCCGACCTCAAGCTTCAACAGCGTCAACCCGGGGAGCAAGGTGAGAGGGCGCAAAGATGGATCTCCAACATCCACAACCGTTGCGCGTCTCTTTAAGCTTTCGCGGATTCTCAGATTAACATTGGGAGAATCTGTGGAATTAGAAGAGCCGTTGTCAGGCGGCACGCTGCACGCATGGCTGCTCGTCTGCTCTGCTTCTCCAACCGAACGCAAGACACATCCTCCAACCGCCACAACCTGTTGCGCATAGGGGGATTCGTTGGCTGCCCTGCCGTGCCGCACAGCAGCATGCATGCACCGCATTGCACCTTACTTCTTCCCTTGATATTCTTTTCTGGTAGGACCGCCTACTCATACTTTTAGTGCGCTGCTTCGTAAAAGGCTCGCAAGATCTGCTGGTTCGTCCAGAGCCTGCTGCCTCTGCTGTGCCTCTGACCGCACTCTGAAACTCGTCACATCTTCTTGCTTTGCTTGCTGGTTCTGGACTTGTAAGCAGGCAAAAGCTATGTCGAGTTCGGATGCTGGTTCGGGCGGCAATGCTACTGGCATGACCGATTTTCAACTACCTCCTGGTCCCCTGCCGACTGGGGATCGGGGGCCCGCCATCGACGCCGTGCAGGTGTTGATGATTGTTCTGGCGACGTCGTCTGTCGTTCTGCGATTCATTGCCCGGCGGATGACTGCTGCTGGACTATGGTGGGACGACTGGATGATACTTGCGGCGTTGGTATGAAACAGATGGCCCTTGATGCAATGCAATGGTCAACAAGCTGATAGAGTATCTCTATTGACAGATCCTTTCACTGGGCATCAACTTCTTGAATCTAATCGCTGTCCAAACCGGCCTCGGACAACATATCTGGAATGTCAAGGACCATGGACAAGCCTACCTGCGGAGTCTGTTCGCCTTGGAAGTTCTCTACACGACCGCACTGGCTCTTAACAAGCTTGGAGTTCTACTCATGTATCAACGACTATTCGGCATCGAACGGAAGTTGACTATCGCGGTCAAGGTGGTCGCGGCCATTGTCATCGCCTGGTGGATCGGCGTCGAGATTGTCACTCTCTTGCAATGTCAGCCCATTGACAAGTTCTGGAATTACCAAAAGGAAGGTCATTGCATCGACATTGTCGCATTCTTCGAAGGCTCGGCCATCCCCAACGTCATCATCGACGTGGCCATTCTTTTACTACCCCAGCCGATATTGTGGAAGCTCAGGATGAGCATGAGCAACAAGGTTGCGCTCTGCGGCATATTTCTCCTTGGTGCTTTGTGAGTCTCCTAAATGCTTGTGATGGCTGTGATACCTCATACTGACTTATCGTCAGTACTGCTATCAGCTCGATTGGGAGACTGGTAGCAATCGTCGAGTTCCATGGCGCTCTCGACTTCACGTGTGAGTCGCCTCTTCCTTACCTTGAGGATAATTTACTGAACGTGTTCAGGGACTGCATTCGGCGCCATCATTTGGTATTCTTTAGAACCCGCAGTAGGCATCATCTGCGCGTGCCTGCCCTGCCTTGGACCCATCTTCCGGAAACTACCCGGCTCTCCTTTCGCAACCCAAAAATCCAACCCTGGAAGTCGATACCCATCACAAGGACCCAGCGGTCAACTATCAGATATGCGCAGCAAACACAGCCGGCGAATAAGTCTGGACACAGCCAGCGTGGCGAAGTTGACACAAACTGAGAGCTCATACCAGACCTCAGTATATGCGTCGGCGAGCGGGAGCGTGGATGACATCCATCCTCCTGGAATGCTCGAATTGAATCAAATACATGTGCGAAGCAGCACACATATATCGTCTCCAATAAGCCCATAGCCATGAAAGAAAGCATTTTGAAAAGCGCGGCTGACGGTGTTACACCAGCGATTCACATTCCAGTCTTCATCCAGCGTGCGCCATGCCTATAAGCAGCGACAGGAACGCGCAGTCATACTTGGGAGATCGTTGCACAGCCTAGTTCGCCAGCGATATAGTTTCGCTGTTGAGGCGACGATAGAGATGCTTAACAGATCAAACAGCTTGACAACACACTGACGATAGATATTTCCGTCCCAAAGACTCCACAGTTGACCACATCTCAGCCGCGATGGCATCAACCTCGGCGACCATCTCATTCCCAAAGACATCGATTGCATCTTTCCACGCACCTCTCGAGCAATACAAACGAATCGTGGCCTTCCTCGGAGCCGGTCTTTCTGCATCTTCTGGCTTGACTACATACCACGGCGGTTGGGACTGAAGGAAACTGTCATGGGGCCGAGTCCGAAGCGTTGTCGAGTGTGAAAGCATTCAACGAGACGCCACAAATAGTCTTGGAGTATTACGAAGAACGACGACGTCAGGCTCGAGAGGCTCGGCCAAATGCTGCGCACGAAGCCATAGCAGCACTGGCACGAGTCAAGGGTCCGGCGAATTTCATGGCTATGGATATGAACGTTGACGGATTGTGTTCGAGAGCTGGACACCCCAAGCATCAACTCTTCGAAATGCATGGCAATCTCTTCGACGCGAAGTGCTCGAGACTTGAGTGTGAGTACTTCAAGGAGGAGTTCTTCAACGACGAGTACAGCACCATGGCCAGACAAACCCGGCCACGCTGTCCAAGATGCAACAGCGACCTCCGCCCTGCAGTTGTCTGGTCTGGAGAGAACTTACGCAAAGACGCGGTCGACGCTGCGGAAGGCTTTCTCTCTGAGATCGAACCCATCGATCTGATCCTGGTTATAGGGACTACGGCCCAAATCTGGCCGGCTGCTGGATTCGTGGACTCTGCGATCGAGAAGGGAGCCAGCGTCGCCATGGTCAACGTCGATAGAGGCAACCTCGTTCCCGAAGGAGGTGCTCTAGGGCTCACAGGAAAGGACTGGTTCTCTGTGGGCGATCCAGCGGATGTGGTGCCAAGGTTGCTGGCGCCTCTAGTTGGGAATCAGTACATCAGGTTGTGAGCACGATCCACGGCCTTACGCTTTTGGACTCGGGCTTGTTGGATGTTTGCTGCTAAAAAGGGGTAGAAGAGGCCTTGTGAACCGGAAAAGCCAGCGCTTTATCTCGGCCTTGAACCATACACGCATGCTAACAACGTCAGCCGACTACGGCTGCCACGTCCACAATGAACACCATATTGCTTCCGCAGCTTTCAGGACTGGAATAAACACCTGTGAATAGAAACACAATAAGCAAACTTCTCTACTCAGTCAAACATATCCCTCGACTTTGACTAACAGCCTAGCCCGACAATGGCACCCCGAAACATATACAGCTGGGTCGAAGATCTCCGCGGACCACTCAAATCTCCCTACTCCGACGACGACGATATATCTACCAGCATGGGCGAAGAAGAAGCCGAGCGAGAGTGGCAATCAGCCAAGGCGAGGGCAACGCTGGAAGGCAAATACTTGTCTTTCGCGGATGCCCACGCGGATGTCAATGATCCTTGGAAAATCGGCGATGACGAGGAGTCTGATGATGATAAGAAGCGAAGCATGGAGGCGAGAGAGGATTGCCGACCTGAGGTGGCCCCGGAGCCTCTGAGACCGAACCGGAGCGATACTACGAAGGTACACAAGTTGCATGAGATCGCGGAGCCCGTAGGCAATGAGGAGACGCAGAATTGGTCGAAGGCACCCTCGGCGACGATAAAACCGAGTGAGAGCATCGAGGACCTGCAAAAGACGTCAAACGCCAGGACAAACTCGGCTGATCACAGTCGAAGTCCCACCGAGAAGCCCCTTTCACAGGCGTGGACCTTGACACCCAGCGATGTGCCATATCGGCCTTCCCGGCTGATCAATCGCGATTCTCAGAAGACTACTGTGTCGAATGAGCGCGGGTCTGAATCAGCGCCTATTGCGAGCATGCTGGGCAGCCCATACCGGTCAGTGAAGGATGTCAGCGACGTTGAGAGCGTGCACACAGGCTTCGAGGCAACGGCAGCAGAGCTGGTGACAAGACCGTCATCAGTATACCAGCCCAACCGCAACAGAGACACAATCCAGCCGGGCGACTCGATCAGCTGCGCCCCATCCAGAGAACCTACTTTGATCCCCTCTCGAAGGTCCACAGCAGGTGTCTCGGTTGGTGACAGAATCTCCTACCCACCACAACTCCCTCCGACACTTCACACCAGCCCTCGCACCTCGAGAGACCCCTTGCCGCGGTACTCAATCTCAGACCCGTCTCGTGACGTCGAAATGCAACCTATCTACTCGGTTCCGCTCGACAAGCTGCCAGAGCCGTATAAGCCCGAAGAGCCCCTGAATGGCCGTACAGCTTGGCTGCAGGCTCTGGCAGGGTTCCTCGTGGTGTTCAACTGCTGGGGCATCACGAATGCCTACGGCCTCTTCCAAGCGTACTACGAGCAGTACTACCTCTCCGGCACAAGCGCCTCGTCAATCGCCTGGATAGGATCGACTCAACTCTGCCTCGTCTTCAGCCTCGGCGTGCCCATAGGTCGTCTCGTGGACAAAGGATACTTCAAGGAAGTCTTCCACTCTGGCACCTTCGTTATCTTTCTCGGGCTCCTCAGCACAGCCTTTTGCAAAACTCTCCCCACCCTCTGGCTCACGCAAGGCCTCCTCACCGGGATCGGAATGGGTATGGTGTTCTGCTCAGGGCTCGTAGCGATGATGACGTGGTTCGATGAGAAGCATCTGAGCATGGCCATGGGGCTCTGTGCCGCAGGCAGCTGCGTTGGCGGGATCGTGTACGTCCTCGTCGCCAGGTCGCTGCTCATGTCCCAAGGCTTCCGCACGACTATGCTCGTGTTGATGGCCATTGAGGCGGTGACTATGCTCCCCGCCAACCGCATCTTCCGCATGCGTGGCCAGAAACACAGAGACAGCCGTCTCGGGCACCGCATCTCCCGAGTCGCACCCCCATCGCCAACCCGTCGTCGAGGCTGGCGCACCTTCACCGAAGCCTCCTACCTCCTCGTCGCCGGCGGCATGTTCTTCTCCTTCATGGGCGTCTACTTCGGCTTCGTCTACATCATCTCCTACGGCGGCAAAGTCCTCCACATGTCGCACACAGGCGCCACGAACCTCCTCATCTTCATGCTCCTAGCAAACCTCCCCGGCCGCTTCCTCCCCGCTCTGATCAGCGACAAGTGCATCGGGCCACTCAACACCATCATTCCAAGCCTCTTCCTCAGCAGCGGCGTCGTCTGGCTCTGGGCCGCGAGCACCCCCAACACCGCCGCCCTAACGGTCATAGCGTGCTTCTACGGCTTCGTCAGCGCGGGCGTGCAAGTGTTGTATGCGCCGACGATGTACTCGTTCTGCGTGGAGAGACATGGTGATGGGGAGGAAGTCGGGACGGATAAGATTGGTATTAGGGCTGGGGGCATCTCAACTTGTATTGGACTGGCTTGTCTTATTGGGACGCCGATTGGCGGTGCGTTGATTTCTCGGAGGATGGATAGGGGGTTGGGGCAGCCGTTTCTGGGGGCTCAGATCTTTGCGGGCGTGTGTTTGCTGTTGGGCGGGTTTTTGCTGTTGGGCAGTCGAGTTGCTAAGGCTGGATGGGCGCCGAAAAGGGTGTGAGCATGGTGGGATATGGAATGGTTGAGTGGTGGAGTTGGACTGGAGGAAAAGGTTTATGACTATGCTGATGATGTCGACCGGGAGGATCTGCTTGCAATGTTGTTAATCACTTTATACTACCCTATCAGTGTTTACAAAGATGCTTCCAATTTCTTCTAATCAAGCTCTTACGGACATCGTCTTGATCACACAGGCAAAGCACAGGCGGTCGTGACATCGCATGTCCGCTCGACCGCCCTGAGTCCAGTCTCCCTCGCCCCGGTTTTTCTCATTCTCTCCAGTGACGTCCCTTTGCCGTGGCCATAAAACGTAAATACCACCATTTAGACCCTCAACAATAACCACCCTCCACGCACTCACCCACCCCTCCCATGCCACGTAACAAACTTCTCCACCAAAAACTCCTCCAACCCCCACTTCGCATTCTGTCTCCCCCATCCGCTCCCCTTAACACCGCCCTGCGGCCCCGTCGCACTCGTAAACACACTGCTCGAATTCACGTGCACCTGCCCGGCCTCCAGCTCCCTCGCGACTTTCATCGCTCTCTCCATATCATTACAGTGAATTGTCGCATTCAAGCCGTACGAACTGCTGTTCGCGACGCGGATTGCTTCGATGTCGTCGTTCACTACATACAGAGAAGCGGAGGGTGTGAAGGATTCTTCATCGATGAGGCGGATGTTCGGGTCTTTGGATGTGTCGATGAGGATGATGCTGGGTGTGAGACTAGCGGGCGTGGATAGAGTCGGGAAGCCCGTGAGGAATTTCGCTCCCGGGGAGGAGGCGGCGTGTTGGAGGAGAGCGGAGCCTTTCTCTGCGAAGGAGGCGCTGACAGCTCGGGCAGGGGGTTGGTCTTTGATGGCTTTGAGGAGGAGGGGTTGAAATTCTTTCGCGATGGATTTTTGCACGATGATTCTCTCCGTTGAGAAGCAGATCTGGCCGTGGTGCAGCGTAGCCCCCTGAGCGCAGAGGTTGGCGGCTTTGTGGAGATCTGCGCCTTGGAGGACGAGGGCGGGACACTTCCCTCCAAGTTCCATGAGGATGGGTTTGAGGTGTTTGGCGGCCACGGCGCCGATTTCACGGCCTACGGCTGCGGAGCCGATGAATTCGATTTTGCGGATGTGTGGGTTGGCGATGAGGTGGGTGGTGATTTCTGCGGCGGTGGATCGGTCTGTGGAGAGCGAGTTGAGGACGCCTTTGGGGAGCTTGGCTTCGTGGAAGATGTCCACGATTAGGCTGTGCGTGTATGGGCAGAGCTCGCTGGCTTTGAGGACGACCGTGCAGCCTGCTCCTATGGCACTTGCGAGGGCACGAGTTGCGAGGACGAGGGCTGCATTCCATGGTGGGATGCAGAGAATGGGGCCTATGGGCTCTTTGAAGACAAAGGCGAACGTGTCTTCCTTCTCGATAGGCGGGATCTCGCCGTGAATGGAGCTGATACGGCTAGCGATTTCCTTCAGATATTTGATCGAGAGGTTGACGTTCTGCTCAGCCCATGCTTCAGGACAATTCGTCTCTGCGACTTGTGCTTCGACGAGTTCGGCTCGTCTCTTGTTGTATAGATGAGCCACACCCAGAAGGATATCTCTCCGCGTCTCTGCCGATACTCGTCGCCAGCCATTCGCCCCTGTCGCGAGCGCTTCCCCAACGAAGGTTTTCCACGCCGCCTCGCACGCTCTATCGCAAGCCGCTCTGTCAGCGGCAGCGTAGTAATGCAGGGTCCTGTCGTCGGTCGATCCTATCACGGGGTGTATGCGGGATCCGTCGATCGGCAAGGCTGCGCCGTCGATGAAGATTGGAACGATATCTCGATCCTGGCTATCTTTTACGAATGGCATGTTGCTGAATGGGGATGTTGCAACTTTTGGCTTCTAGCCGTGGCCTGTCTGAAGGTTGATGATGAAGTGTATGAGGTGAAGATATTTTTTGTGTAACACTGGGCAGTAGATAGATGGAATCGAGATCTAGGAGATGTGAGATCTGTCTTATTATCGACTGCCAGCGCTCCAACTGGGGACACTATTCAATGGAATCGTTGACGCAATCTTGATGGGTTCAACGTAATACACGTCAAATTATCAAGTAAGTAGGGCTTGAATAGGGCCTGTTTGATGAAAAATGCGGCATGACGAACGAGCGACAACATGGGGAACACTTCAACTCAACTTCACGTCGACATCTCTTTGTCGTCGGTGTAGTAGTGCAGCAACTCTGCGAGGCCAACACGAATGGGACGACCGCGGCACCTTCGAGATAAACCATCCTACACCTCTTTTCAGCATGTCCAACTCTCAAATCAAATCACAACGATACTCGCCTACTTGCAGTCTAGCAGACAAGACCCTGAAAACCTAAAGCAGCATGCTGTCAATGCAACTAGCAGGACGGCCCGCTTCATTACGACCAAACTGTCCTTTGCCGGACAGCCACTGACCAATTCCTGCCCTCAAGCTTCCTACCCTGCATGTTCAAGACGGGAAGCTCAGCAGAGAGCGGAAGCATGGAAGGCAGGGTTTGGTAAGCACTTCCTACAGTGTGTGGTCCCAAAGGGCATGGCCGCCAAGCCAGAGCTGCTCTGTATGGGCGAGCTTCCTTCCTACTTGCGTTAGACCCAGATACCTACCGGCCCAAAGGGAACTGACGTTCGGGTACGTGGGTGAGTACATTTGGGATCATGTCAGACTGTGGAGTTCTAGAATGCGCCGAGGGAAAGTCAGTGTTGACGGTAGCATCCAATGGGTGGGCTGTCACGTACCGGTATTGCCTATCAGCTGGCTACCAGTCCGTTCTTGTGAGAATGCATACTGTGAGGGCTTGCGCTGTGTAAAGTCATGCGATCGCACCATTATAGTATTGGTCAGAGGTGGCAGGACAGTGACTGCTTATAGGCACCTCGATCCCCATGCACTTTTCGCTACGACACTAGAACCTTATTGCAATATACTCTGTTTTAGCAGAGTGCAAAGATCGGATCCAGAACGCCATGGCGCAATCGCATCTGGTTAGCAGACTCCCTTTCAGTGAACCTGAGCACGGGTGGGCTCTCGACGTCGGATCTTTCCTGGCTGCTTGGTGCACGGCATTCAGAGGACTTGTCCAGGCATCGACTCCTGAAGCACGAGTGCTGCTGGTGCGATACTGTCGGTTATACGCACACAACATCACGAGCCGGCTTGCAACCCATGGAGTCGTGGTGGACTCGAAGGTATTTGAGCCAAAGAACTTCCAACAGATGGACGAGGCAGTGGTCGAAGTGACGAACAAAGTCAGAAAGACCAGGTCAGTAGCGCACTGCGCCTTTGTCTCTCTCGGCAGAGCCACCACCTTGGTAGAACTTGGAATGAAGCCGGGTATGGCCAACGAGTACTATGCTCAGCACCGGGAGAGCGCGACATCAGCCATCAAGCAATTGCTCCAGCTATGCAAAGGCCGCTTTCCAGCAGAGATGCAAGCTGAAGCTATACGGATCGAACTCCTTCAGCTTGGAGGCAACGTCGATAACGTAAGGAGAGTACTTTTGGGCTCTGGTCGAGCTTCATCCAATGTTACCCGCATTGCGATTGATGAGGCACGCGATAAGAGGATTGCTTCTGTCCGCACTGAGGAAGAGCTGCCGCGGATGATGGCCGAAGCAGCGATATGAGCACGATCCAACCACTCCACTGGTTCTGACTCGGGCCCTGCGAAGGGGTGAGGTTCGATGAGGCGATAAGCACGTGGCGGCGCGGTTGGCTGTTTCTGGTCGATGCCGTGCCCCCGAGGTCATTACTGGACTCTTCCGAAGAGATAGAGGATGCGTCCCCAGATGAGGACGTTCAACACCGAGTAAGGTTCATCATATTCAAGGACGACATTGTTCTTGTGGAAAGCTCGACTCGACAGCAGCTTTCCAGGCGACTAGCGCGATGGTTATCGTCCAAATGGGGAAGCTGAAGGACTTGCATGAGTGGGCAGCCGCTGAGCGTCTCCGAGCCTCGGTAGTTGGCTGCATGCAAAGGATGAGCTCGTTGCGAACCATCGTCGGGAAAATGGGGCAAAGTATGGCCTTGCTGGCCATGGTGCTCAAGAGCCAAACCATTTGCAATGGTACTGCATTCCCCCCAGTCAACCGATTGTTGTCAGCATCGTCTTCTGCGATTTTCGGCCCGAGACCCCGGAGTCAGGACGAGCCGATCGAGAAACGGTAACTGCCAGGGCATCGGCAGGTTCTCGAGGCGACGAGCAGAGACTTCAGAGGTCCTCGAGGCATTAAGGAAGGGAGTGCACAACACCAGCGAGAGCAGCAGATACGACTGCAACAACATCGTTTGCTTCGTCCTTCGACTCTTGTCCAGCTAAGTTCATTGCCCATCTGTCGTTATAATGTCGCCTGGATGGCGATTCTTCCGATCAGACGATACCAGATCAATGCTCGACCGCCGCGACCTGCGCAAAGGCCATCTCTGAGCCATGTGGGTGAATGCCGAAGGCGCATTTCACGCTTCCTGTATTCATAGCAGGCAGCAGTTCCTCGTTGGGCCCATGTTACAATTGCAAGCCCGGGATTGGTAGCTTGCTAGTAAAAATGTGGTGGCTCTGCCATAACATAGCCTGACGCTCCAGTTAGCAGCTTCACATATCAGCGGAAATCTTTCGGCTTCCAGTCCATCGGAATCAAGCAACTTGGAATAATACGCCAAGGAGTGATATTATGTGCGGATGTCGAGCTGCTGCCGACCTCACAATTAGAGCAGTCGTGGCATTCACATCACACTTCTTGCTATCCCAGTAGTCTTGATTGTACGGTTTGCGCTCGAAAAGTTCACCATCCCAGCCCGATTCGAAGTTTTGCAGTCCTTGGCCAGCTGAAAACTGTCTCCCGACGAGGGCACCCAAAAGACCTACGTTGGCCATGGCTTCATGTCCTTGTGGCCGCAATGACCACACTGACGGACACACAGACTGCACATGCGGCCACGTGCCCGAGTGTCACATTGAAACCCAAAGTACCACCACAGATTCAGACAGGGACTCCATGGATTATGATGCGGACACCTCAAGCAACGGCTTAAGTAGCCAGTCTGGGTCCAAATTCCAAGGCGACGATGAGGAGGTTGACGATGATGTCGAGACGAAGAAACCCCGTGCGCTCGAAGCCCGAGGACGCCTTGCCAAATCCTCTGCTTTGGTCCTGGCATGGTTGCTTGACGAGCCTTCCGACATACAACGGGAACACAGTGGCCGTGAACTTAAAGTAGCATCGCCCGAACCACCAGAAAAGACAGAGATATCATCGCGAAAGCGTTCACTCGACGAGACTGAGGCAGTCGACCCTGCCAAGAGGATTCGCGTCGATGAGGGCCATGTTGAGGAAATGGGCCCAGTCAAGGACGACCATGCCTTAGGTGGTGATGGATAGGTCTCATCTTTCAGAGGTCGAAGCTCTACATTTGAGGAAAGATCTAATTGTCGACATGGACCAGGACACTTCCACGTCATCAACACTTCGCGAAATAAGCCGCCGCGGAGACTGGCGATAAATGCAGGAGGTCGACATGCCTGCTCAGGATCAACAAGAGAACCATTATCCACGGCAAAGAGTGGATGGGGGACGGTCTGGAATGCTCTCAGGAGTGTGGCTCGGTGGAGGTATTGTTCGAGTTTCATTCAATGCGTGAGAAGGTGACCGCCCGAGGAGGGAGTAGTCAAATGGCCATGAATGATTCTCGGGCCGTCGTGGTGTTGATGATGGACCTGGATGGATGGCGCAGACGAGGGGCAGCCACGATGGCGCTCTGCTATGGCGGCTCTGTCGAGAATGTGTAATTCATAGAGGATTGCGAGAATGACAACGGAGCATGTGATTGATGATGAAAGGATTGAATGCCGGCTCGGCAGTGATGTTGATGGTGGACAGTTGAGTTCATCGGCGTGTGACGATGATGATTTGCTGAGAAACGAGGGCTTCGAACACTCGCTGCGCCTCACCTTGCACGCCATACGACTCGCCAAGCACTTTCTCCAACGTCGCTCTCTTTATCCTTCACCAACCTGTACTCTTCAGACACCCACTGCTAAATCTCTCTCACCAAGCCCTTCAAACCCATTACCGTCACAATGGTCTCCATGGAGGAGATGCACCAGTCGCAGGTGAACCGCAGCATCAGGACCATCAAGGCTGTACGCGTAACGCCGCTCCATGGCACCTTAACATGCACTGACAATCGCTAGGAACTCGAATTCCTCTGCGATGCCTCCGTAATCACTCCTCAAACACTCAACCAGCTCCTCCAAAACATCCCCCAACAGACCGCCCTCCATGCGCCTCTCTCAGTCGGCGCAATGCCCTCGGCGCTCAACAACGCCAACACACCGGTTCAGCCACCTACCTCACCCATGAACAACCTCTCTCTTCAAAACTCCAATACCAACGGTGGTATCGACGAGAAGCGCGATCAATACTTCAACCAACCCACTCCTGCGGCGCAACCTCCGCCGGCATACCAAGCGCCTCCAGGCCCACCACCGACCGCAAACTGGCCTCCACTTTGCACCGCCACCGCCCTGTATGCATACACATCGACGGATGCTGGCGACTTGGAGCTACAGCCAAACGACAACATCACCGTTACCGAGTATATGAACGCCGAATGGTGGAAGGGTCGCTCGAGCAGAACAGGCCAAGAGGGTATCTTCCCGCGCAGCTACGTGAAGGTCACTGAGGAGAAGGGTCAGGCGAGCACATCGAACAACTACGGTAACATGCCGCTCGAGACGAGCGGTATGGGTAATGGCGAGGGTAAGGTGCCCGGAAAAGGACAGGAGATGGGCAAGAAGTTCGGCAAAAAGCTTGGAAATGCGGCCATCTTCGGTGCTGGCGCCACTATTGGTGGCAATATCGTCAACTCAATCTTTTAGAGTTGTCTTCTCTGATTTGTTCATGGCTCTGCGTGCCACCGCTCGGTTCTTCGGGGGTCGGCCTTTTGTATGGCGCTGGGGATGGGTGTTTTGACTGGCATATATTTAACTAGAATGGGATGCAGTAAGTAAGGCGATCACCACAGAATGAATCTGGTCTTGTCTTCTCCTCCAATACTGGATCTCATGAAGTGTAATCTCCATGGACTTGTATCTGGTTGTTGAATGATCGGGATAGAGTTCAGTCCTGCGTTAGAATAACCTAGAAGGGTAAGTTATGGAGCATGACTAATATGAACGGCGCTACTTTTCGAACATCCCACTTCGCGATGAGTCTTGTGAGATGTTTCTGGCGGGAACACTCACTTTGACACAACACACAAAAGCCCGAGACCGACTCTGAACTCGGCGAGAGTTTCGAAGAATAACTTCGCCTCAAAAAAGGCAAACACAAGGAGAGACACCGCCCACAATGGGCTCCATCAACTTTCCGGCGGAGGAAGAGCGCATCTTGGAGCACTGGACGACAACAGATGCCTTTCACCGCCAGCTCGAACTCTCCAAGGACGAACCTCCTTATGTCTTCTACGATGGCCCACCGTTCGCAACAGGCACCCCTCACTATGGCCATCTCCTCGCATCCACCATCAAGGACATCATTCCCCGCTACTGGTCCATGAGAGGACGATTCGTGGAGCGAAGATTTGGCTGGGATACGCACGGTGTGCCAATTGAACAGATAATCGATAAGCAACTTCAAGAAGAGCTGGGTGTGCGAGGAAAGGCGGCTGTGGACAAGATTGGAATCGAGGAATACAACCGACGATGTCGCGCCGTTGTGCTCACATATGCCAACGAGTGGAGAAGAGTCATTGGACGTCTGGGACGATGGATCGACTTTGATCGAGATTACAAGACTATGGATCCGACGTTCATGGAGACTTGTTGGTGGGTGTTTGCCCAGCTGTACAAGAAGGGTCTTGTCTACCATGGTGCGAGAGTGCTGCCATACTCCACTGCACTGAATACTCCGCTGTCAAAGAGTGAAGCTGGTGAGGAATACAGAGACGTTCAAGATCCGGCAGTGACGGTCTCATTTCCTGTGCTTCCCGTCGAGGAGCAGCCAGAGTCTGTGCGGTCAAAGCTGGAAGAAGCCTTGAAGGTCGCAGGTGGACCTGTCAATTTTGTTGCATGGACGACCACGCCCTGGACATTACCGAGCAATCTCGCTCTGTGCGCTCATCCAGACTACGAATACATTCTCGTTCACGACAATGAGACCGCCAGCACATTCATCATGCTCGAAGCTGGTCTCAAAACACTCTTCAAGGACCCAAAGAAAGCCAAGGATAAGTACAAAGTGCTGCCTCTGAAGATCAAGGGATCTGATCTTGCTGGATGGAGATACAAGCCTCTTTTCGACTACTTCTACGAGACCTTCAAGAAAGACGGTTTCAGGGTCATTCTGGACACATACGTCAAGCAAGACGAGGGCGTTGGCATCGTTCATCAAGCGCCTGCTTTTGGTGAAGACGATTATGCTATCGGTTGGCGATACGGCATCATCAACGCCGAGCGACCGCCACCGAACCCTCTCAACGCTGGCGGCGAGTACACAGATGAAGTCCCAGACTTTGAGGGTCAGCATGTCAAGGCTGCCGACAAGAACATCATGAAGCACCTGGAAGGCGTTGGACGTATGGTCCGCAAGTCGCAAATCACTCACAGATACCCTCACTGTCCTCGATCCAAGACTCCCCTGATTCAGCGAGCCGTACCCAGTTGGTTCATCAAAGTCGAGAACATTGTACCAAACATGCTCGACAACCTAGAAAAGACTCATTGGGTTCCATCAATGGTGAAAACCGGCCGATTCCACCAGTGGCTGGCTGCTGCAAAGGACTGGAACGTCAGCAGAAATCGCTTCTGGGGTACGCCTTTGCCCTTGTGGGTATCTGATGACATGAAGGAGGTTGTCTGCGTGTCTTCTGTTGCCGAGTTGAAGAAGCTGTCGGGCTATGAAGGCGAGCTCAAGGATCTCCACAGAGATTCTGTCGACCACATCACCATCCCGTCGCAACAAGGCAAGGGCACTCTGAAGCGAGTGGAAGAGGTCTTCGACTGCTGGTTTGAGTCTGGATCAATGCCTTACGCATCATCACACTACCCATTCGACTATCCTGGTTTCGACGCCTCAAACCCAGAGAGCGGGTTGTCTCGGGAGGACGGACCTGGCAAAGAGCTCTTCACCAAGTACCCGGGCGACTTCATTGCTGAAGGTCTTGACCAGACGCGAGGCTGGTTCTACACTCTGTCTGTCCTTGGTACGCACTTATTCAACACGTTCCCTTACAAGAACTGCGTGGTCAACGGCATTGTGCTTGCGGAAGACGGCAAGAAGATGTCGAAATCACTGAAGAACTTCCCGGACCCAATGCTTGTCATCGACAGATACGGCTCTGATGCTCTCCGACTGTATCTCATTGACTCACCCGTCGTGCGTGGCGAGCCGCTGCGCTTCTCCGAGCTGGGTGTCAAGCAGATCGTGTCAGGCGTACTTCTTCCATTCTGGAACTCCTACAACTTCTTCGCTCAGCAAGCTGCCCTCTACAAGAAGAACACCGCAGAGGGCTTTGTCTTTAATCCAGAAATGCAGAAGTCCAATCACAACGTCATGGACCGATGGGTTTTGGCCGCCACTCAGTCGTTGCTTCAGTACGTCAACCAGGAGATGGAAGGCTACCGTCTGTACACCGTTGTGCCTCGTCTGCTCAAGATGGTCGACGATGTCACCAACTGGTACATTCGATTCAACCGAAACCGATTAAAGGGACAGACTGGATCGACTGGAGGTAAAGCGACAGCGAACGGCGCACCTGCTGAGGTCAACGGCGTGGCAGAAGAAGAGGAAGGCAGCCGGACAGACACTCTACACGCACTCAACACACTCTACGAGGTCCTGTACACCCTAGTCAGAGCACTAGCGCCTTTCATCCCCTTCTTGAGCGACAACATCTTCCAGCGACTGGCACCCCATCTGCCTGAGTCCATCAACAAGGGCAAGGATGTGCGAAGCGTGCACTTCTTCCGCTTCCCAACTGTCCGTCAAGAGCTTTTCGACACTGTCGTTGAGAGGCGAGTCAGTCGGATGCAGAAGGTCATCGAACTCGGTCGCATCTGCAGAGACAGGCGGACGGTCTCGTTGAAGACGCCACTCAAGACTTTGGTAGTGTTACATCAAGATCAGGAGTTCCTCGATGATGTGCAAACGCTAGAGCGATATGTGACCGAGGAGCTGAACGTCCGCGATCTGGTCCTTACCACCGACGAGAGCAAGTACGGTGTAGAATATGCCGTGCAAGCTGATGTCAAGAACTTGGGCATGAAGTTCAAGAAGGACGCTGCCAAGATCAAGGCCGCGTTACCAAAGCTCTCCGCGCCAGAGATTCACGGCTTCCTCGAGTCTGGCGGTATCACGGTCGAAGGCCACCAGCTTAGTGCCGAAGATTTGCGTGTGCAACGGAATCTGAAGCAGAGCAAAGAGACCGAGAACTTCGAGCCGGGTGTCGATGCAGATGTGATGGTCTTGCTCGATGCTTTTGCCTACCCCGAGTTGGCTCAAGAAGGCCTTGCTCGCGAGGTCCTGAACCGCATTCAGCGGTTACGCAAGTCCGCTGCCCTCGTACCGACCGATGATGTTCAGGTTGCGTATACAGTGCTGTCGCCTGTCGCCGTCGATGCTACGGACGGAGCAGTATCAAATGGAGAGAAGAATGCGGTGTCCGAGGTCAGTAGGCTGGAGCAAGAGCGTCAAATCGACGAAATGTTCGAACAGCAAAAGGCAACATTCGCAAAGGCTGCCAGCAAAGGTGTCGTACGAGATGCAAGCTCTCCGTCTGGCATCGTCGCCGAGGAAGAGACGGATGTGAAAGAGATCCGACTTCTGCTCAAGCTGTTGAAGGTCTGAGGGAATGTTTCGGTGATGGTCGCAATTATGCCTTCGCCTATCTTGGGAGAAAGCAATCTTTCCGGCTCCTTAGTCGAGCGAGCGGTAACCTGAGAGCGGTGTACGACGCGAGTTGAGGACAAGTCTCGCATGCTAGCGATCAATACCACGCCTAAGAGAAGGCTTAGGGCTGGAAAGGGTCTGATGTGCATCGAGAACTCGACCTATTCAGGTAGCGGAGCGAAGCCCAGAACGCTTTACGAGACTTAGACGAATGGCATGACCTTTATCAAGTCCTGGGCCAACAGAGGACTCATTTGTGGTTTAGTAAGGCAGCTAGCATGAAGGAAATAGTGCTTAGATGTGCGCGAGCTATCTGTGTCACAGTGATATGCCACTTGCAGCCGTCTTGCTTTCGAATCGCTTGTCTAATCACCTTGCCCTTTCACCTTGTCCCACCGCTTCGAAGTGTTGACGAGACTGATACTGCAGCTAGGTCGTGCTCGTTCGAAGAAACCGAGTCGAAACAGAACATCATTACTAACTACAGCATGGTAACTTGGCAAAAACCTGCTCGTTAACACTCTATCCTCTCCGCGGCCCTACTAGTATGGCTTCAACCCCAAGCCGCCTCGCCGAGCTCTCCAACACCGTATCCAAGAACACCGTCATACTCGACCAATACCTTCGAGACAACAACATCCCCAAACCAACCTTCGACGCGCACGACCCCATCTGGGACGCAGAATTCCCACCAGATATCCAAAAAGCCCGCATCGCTCTCCAAGATGCCTCAACCGAACTGATCGACTTGACAACAGGAAGTCGAAGATACCTCAGCAAAGCCCTCAACGGAGGCGTAACGAGCATGGACACACTCTATCACCTGGATATCCCGCATAAAGTTCCCCTCGACGATCCTGAGGGGATCACTTATCAAGAGCTGTGCGCGAAGTTGGATATCCCGGTGAATGAGTACGCCCTCACACGTATCCTCCGCGCGGCGGTCGTGCATCGTATCTTCAAGGAGCCTTCGCCCGGCCGGATCGCACATTCAGCGGCTTCGCGACTCCTCGCAACGGATGCTCTGCTCTTTGACTGGCTCGGCGCCGCGATCGACGTTATGGCCCCGAAGCAATACATCGGCCAGGCGATCACGCAGTTCCCGGCTCTAGATGAAGCGAATCGCTCCGCGGCGTCTCTGACCTTCCCGAAACGAGATGGCGAGTACGTGAGCTTTTACGAGTACATCGCCCAGGACCCCGAGCGAGCGAAGCAGTTCGGACGCGGGATGTCGAGTTTCCAGACGGGGGATGGGTATTCGCCACGACACCTCGTCGATGGGTTCGATTGGGGGTCTTTACCAGAGGGATCCCTCGTCGTGGATGTCGGGGGAAGTCACGGGGACGTGGACATGGCAATCGCGAGAAAATCCCCGCACTTGCGATTCCTCGTGCAGGACCTCCCGGAAACCATCGCGTCCACGGGCAAGGCGAGGAAGATCGTCCACGACGAAAATCTGAACATCGAGTTCGTCGTGCACGACTTCCTCACACCTCAGACCGTCAAAGGCGTCAAAATCTTCATCCTTCGCTGGATCCTGCACAATTGGCCGGATCAATATTGTCGTCAGATCTTGCAATCGCTCCTCCCTGCTATGGTCCCGGGCTCTAGAGTTCTGGTCTTCGACGGCGTGATGCCCGGCTTGGGGACTCTGCCGAATGTGGTGGAGAGGGATTTGAGGGTTTTTGATTTGACGATGTTGGGGTGTTTTAATGCAGGGGATCGCGAGGTGGAGAGGTATAGGGGGTTGTTGGAGGGGGTGGGGTTGAGGTTTGGGGGGTGTTGGAGGCCGGAGGGGAGTCGGTTGAGTTGCATTGTAGGGGAGTGGGAGGGGTAGGAGAGGTGAAGAGTGAGTGTGGTGTTGTTGGTGTGGTATACAGTTTTCTCGCAAACGTCGTTAGCTTACATTGATAGATCATAGCACAGTCGTTGTTTCCTTTCCCTCTCCCTTTCCCATCCTTCCACATGCCCCCTCCCATATGATATACACCTCCCCCACCCACCCACCCATCACAAATTCCCTCACGCCTCCGGCCCACGATCGGATAGTCACTCCATGACCCCCCTCTTCTCCCCACTCTTATCCTCAGCCACAGGATTCACACCCCGAAACGTCTTATTGAACCACCCCGACACCGCGCCCCCGGCAGCCAGCTGATCCGTATGACTCGCCTTCCTCTCGTCGTACCCATCGCTCCCACGCTTGTGCTGCTGCAGATTCCCGAAGAGATCACCGGAGGCCGCGGACGACTGTCGATGAGTAGGTTTGTCAGCAAAAAGAAAGTCACTCCTTCGATGGAGATGTGGAGATGGTGGTGGTACGTACCCGTCGACGTTGCGAAGTGGGAGATGCTGGGGAGGCCGGATCGTTGCTCAAGGGGTTCGAGACGAAGGAGCCTTTCTCGCTGGTGCTGCTCGTCGAGGCTCTACGCACGGCATCGATCACGCCTCCTGCACCGCCGGAGAGACGTCTGCCGGGCTCGTGGACTTCCTTGCCCTTTTGGAAGAGGCCGCGACGGTCGGACCATTCTGATGGAGAGGACATGTTGATGATACTGCTAAACAAAGGATCGGTTTTGTGAGGTGATGTTAGACTGTAGTAGAAGATTGGGACGGCTGGCTGGCTGGCTGGCTGGCTCTTATGAAAGAAAGCAGACCTCCCCTTCCGCCCTCCTCCTATCTCCTTGCTTCTAATAAGCAAAGCTTGCGGGCGCGCGATGGTGGCGGGATTGATTATCACATGTCGCACACGAGGGCGTTTTTGCGGGGTAGCTCCCCGCCGTTTCTGGTGTCATTGTTGCCTTGTTGGGCTTAGCGTGGGTGTCGTGAATGAAGGGATCGAGACGACATCCTGGTTGGATCGGGGTGTTTGTGGTAGGAAGACACGTGAGCGTCGTGGTGTTGGCTGTTTTGAGTTCGGTGGGAGGTTTGAGGAAGATGTGTACCTGGCGGTGGGTCGACGATGATGATGATCATTCAGTGCTTATGAACGCGAAGCACATGCGAGAAATGCGAGACTCGCTGCTCTTCGTGGGAATTGAAAACTCCATGTACCCAATCGCAGACCTCGGGTGACCATGTACCTTTCTCAAGAGGGGAACTTCAGCTCGAAGGGAAGTGTTTGTAGGGCGAATATCCGAACAGCAGAAATACCTTTCGATCGTAGCCTTCGTATATAAGCGTCATACCCAAATCCAGGAACATCTTCGGTGACTTCCAAGAGATCAATACGTACCACCATGTCGTCTCACCATCGTTTCGGCCCTGTAGCTCCAGGCATAGCTTTCATCACGGGCGGAGCCAGAGGTTTGGGTACTGTACCACTTCATCCCCATCTTCTTCCTCAAGGGGTTGTCTGACTGTATTTGATTGCCAGGCAATGCCATTGCAGTCTCCTTCGCCAAAGAAGGTGCGCGCGGAATCGCCCTCGTCGACATCAACAACGAAGAAACCTTCGCCAAAGGCAAAGCCGCCGTCGAGGCCTACGGCGCGAAATGCATAACCATCCACGCGGACGTCACGCAAGAAGACCAAGTCGCCCACGCCATCGCCGAGACCGTGAAAGAATTCGGCCGGATCGATTACGCGGCCAACTTCGCGGGGATCGTGGGGCCCTTGGGGAATTCCTGGGAGGTGGAGACGAAGGATTGGAAGAAGGTGATTGAGGTGAATCTGATCGGGGTGTGGTTGTGTACGAAGTTGGAGATGAAGCAGATGTTGGAGCAGGAGTCCATTGCCGAGGGGATCGAGGATGGGAGGATTCCGCAGAAGGGGTCGATTGTTAATTGTGCTTCTGTGAATTCCATCCAGGCCGGGGCTGGCACGACGGGGTATACGGCGGCGAAGCATGGGGTTGTTGGTATCACCAAAGCTGCGGCGTTGGAGGGGAGGGATAAGCATGTGAGGGTGAATGCCGTGAGTCCTGGGTTTTTGCAGACGAATCTGTTCGATGATGTGCCTGGTCTGCCGGATGATCTTTGGGCTGTGTTTGAGGCGAGGCAGGGGCGGGTAGCGAAGAATGAAGAGATTGGGGATGTGGTGGTGCTATTAAGTACGCCGAGAATGAGCCTAGTAAATGGGCACAATCTGGTGATTGACAAGTAAGTTCTCCCACGTGCCATCCTCCTGCGATTCCAAGACTAACCTCTCGATTGTAGCGGCTTCACGATCAACGAGAATGCACTATAAAGTGTGTCAGCAGGGACATAGGTGCGATTCGAAAGTCCACTGAGTTTCCGAACAGGAGCACTGTACAGGGTATCGACCGTAAAATCATTTCAACTATTCAATTCTGCTTGCTCGTCAGTCGTATGAAGCCTCCTGGAGCCGCTTCCAAACCTGCTTGAGCCAGCAAACCTGACACTTTTGTTCGTACCTCCTGCTGCTGACCGACCCAGAATGCTGCTCCTCAAAGCTGATGGAGGAGCCGGCGTGACGCCGCCTGCTCTGAGCTTCCGTGCGAATGGTGTGATTTGAGGAGTCAGACCCTCGAATATATTACTGGAGTCTTCGGTCTGGTTAGGCTGCGCTTGTGAAAGCGGTGCTGGCGTCGTAACCAGATAGGAGCGGTCGAATGCCATCGGCGTGACGTGGGCAGGAGTCGGCAGTGGTCTGAAACGACCTGCACGTCGTGATCTCGAAGGTGTACGCATATAGGCTGGCGTGGTACTGTGTGCTGGAGGTGAACTTGCGAATGTCGATCGTTCTCTTGATCTTGATGCTGCCCGGCTGGCAGGTCGAAGACTCGGGCTTTCAGCATCGCGTTGCTCGCTTGATTTGGCCTTTGTTGCCTTCCGCCGTGCAATTGCTTGAGATGACCAGTGTCGCAACATCTGCTTGACATGCTGATCGCGATTGCGAGCCTCGAGGGCATCGGCGCTTTCTACACGGCGTCTTGCAGTGAATCCGGCCCACTGAATCCTCTTCAAGGCACTGCCCAAGAGCGCGAGATCCGATTCCTGCTTGGAGAGAATCGACTGCTGCTCCATTTCCGTCAAGTCCACATATTTAATCATAAGGGCTGCGGTGGCCGAGGTGAGGAGTTTCCGGTTATCAGCTGCTCTTGCCTGTAACTCAAGCTCAGCGTGCTGCGCAGTCTTTTCTCGCCATTTGTCGAATGCATGGGTGCCAACTTGGAAAAGGCGTGCTTGATCTCGTGCGTGTGCTTCAACCTGCATGGAAGAGACTTCCGCGCTTTTCGTCCGCCATCGCGTAAAGCAATCGCGAACAAGCCTGATCTTTACCCTGGCTCTGACTTGCGCATAAGCTTGGCGTCGTCTTTGATGCTTATGCTGGACCGTTCGCTCCTGCCAGGCTCTCAGGGTCCTAGAGCACAAGACGTAGAATCGAGCATCGTAGGCCCACTTCGCCAACTGCCTTGCATGTGCGGTCTGCTGTTTCCAGACTTCCATCACGTCCGGTAGAGCCCTGCTGTTAGAGAACTCTACGGCCGCTCGATCAGCATCTTCCTGATTTCGAAGAGCCTTGTTGAGACGAAGCATCCCAAACTTGAGTCGACGCCATCGTTCGCCTTCTGCAAAGTCGACACTTGCTTGCTCTAGCCTTGATTGCTTGTCTTGGATGCGGCTGTTCCAAGAAGTCAACGTCCGCCGTAGAAGTCTGACATCTTGGGATCGCTGAAAGGACTTCAATCGTGCCTGCAACATCCAATGGTAGACGCTCTCCACGAGAACCCGTTCATCGATCCGCTGAGCCAAGGCTTTGCATCGCAGAGCGTCATTCCAACTTGTCCATGCAGATTGCAAGACGCGTTTGCGACTCACATCAGCTGCTTGTCGATTGAGAGTCAAACGGAGATTCCACACTCTTATCACTTTGCGTTGAAGGTTGAGCCTAACCTTCAGTGACAATGTAGCAGCCAATGGTGTCAGTTTTGCGTGGATTTGCAGACTCTTCAAGCAGCCTGATAGGAGCTTGCGATCGTAAAGACTCCGGGACTCTTGTAAGACAGGTCGATATTGTGCCGCCCGCTGCGTCAAGGCTCGAAGAGCAGATGTCGCCAATGTGCGCCGATGAAAGTCCTCAGCCTGCTGAACTTGAAGATCTCGACGCTCCAACTTTGAAATCCAGGAGCCAAACGTGACCTGCACAACATGCTGCTCGTGCCATGCAACGGCCATACGGCTGCGGAACGTCCACAACCATCGCTGGCAGTATTTGCGCAGCAAGGCTTCTCGGCAAAGTGTATGAGCCTGCTCTCCTTCAATAGCTCTCCGGACAGTCTTCTCGCGCCAGCGTGTCAGACACTTTCGCCACAACAAGCTATTGACTTTTGCCGTTTCTTCAATTGTGTGTTTGTGCCAAAGATTGAAGTACTTTTTCTCAAGCCTCTGCTCTTGCAAGAGTCTCGCTGCAAGTGCCTTGAGCTTGGCCTCATGCTCCAAATGGCTCAAGGCGACAGCAGCAAGCAGTTGACTCTGTCGAAAGCGAAAGTCATCGGCGATGCGCTCCAGTTGGACAATTCGATTTTGCTCGTCTCGTCGTCGCCCCAGCGCTGACCGCCATACATCGAATGACTCTTTCAAGAGCTTGCGTCGATCCTGAGCAGAAGCGTAAGCGAAGGCCTGTGAACGCTGATTTCGCAAGGCCAGAGCCCGATCGTGCCATTGGTGAAGGCATTGTCTAGCGCATCGAATCTCGGATGTGGCAAAAAACGCCTCTGCGTTCTGTTCCAGTTGCGTCAAGGAGGGCTCGAAAAGAAGGGTTCCATTCTTCTGCTCTCCATACTCTGAGGCATATTCTGTCGAAGGTGATTCTTCCTGGTAGTGTTTGGGCGCTGGATGGCGACTACCGACTGGGCGTTGACTGCTTGTCGAACGAGCTCGCTGTGTGTTTGCAAAGTCTCTTGCGGCGCGAGGGCGTGGTCTGAGCTGATCTCTTTGTGGAGAGTGACTCTCCGGATCAGAATCTCCAAGCTGTGATCTTTCACTCAACCACGTCTCCTCCAGTCGAGCGTCATCGAAAGAGACTCTCCGCTTTGGCTGGTCCTGCTTGTCTACAGTAACAGGCTCCGCATCGTCCAGTGACCGTGTGACCCCGTTTATCTCTTTGTTATCATCGTGATCAATAACGGTTATGCCATGCGCTTCAAGGATGCTCCTCAGATGAGGGACCAGATTTGTCCTGCGCCCAGCTCGATATTGACGTCTTGCGCTTTCGCCCACCCGCAACAGCCACCGAAAGATCTCATTGTCGCGATTCCTGTCCAGACCCTTCTCTTTGAACACTTCATCATAGGAGTGAAAGAGAGCTTTCCATGGCGGATCAACAACCTGGGAGGCTCTTTTGCAGATCGCATCAAGATATTCGATCTCTACTACGCTGTCAGTGTTATAGCGACAGGACGGCGACCGCAGGACGTACGATCGTTGCTTATGTAGGGCAGCTCTCGGTCGGCGGCATGGTCATTCATGTGCAAAGCGGTGCTGGAAGCTTTCGGCGCATTCGTTTCGAGTACGGCCTGGTCATCTGGTGCGGCGTTGCATGCGCGCAGCTCGAGGTGTTATGAGATGCGCTGTAGACTGCTGGGCGGGTGAAGCTGTTCAACTCGCGAATGTCAAGTGGACGAGGAACGCGACTTGTTGTGAATGTCGTGTGGTTGGCACGCGCTTCGTCGATGTCTAGCGCCGATACGATGCAAGCAGCCGCTAGCTCCGGATTCTACCGATTGGCTCTTGGTGTCAAGCACAATGTTGACGTCGACCGTCTCTCTGTCTCTCCCTCGCTTTTCCACATCAACAATATGCCTGGACGGACGAGACCCATCGAGAAGTTCGCCGAAGCAACGGCAAAATGCTCTGCTGAAGTATGAATCATTCTTCCGCCTGCCAACGCCGACTGACATGAAACAGGGAGCAGTGTACGGCAAATGCATAGCGGCCAATTTCCAGAACGCAAAGAAAGATATGTGTGCCAAAGAGTTCATGGCATTGAAAGATTGCTACCTAGTAAGTGTCAATACTATGCTCTCTCGAATGATAAGCTGATATGATCGCAGAAGGCTGCAGGCAGGAAGTCGTGATCTCGCCACCTCTAGCCCAAGAATCTCAGCACATTGAACAACGACCAGTCCCAGAATCTCAGCTGCAGCAGTATCGATGTGTATGCCGCAAAGTACGCACTGTATGCCAACCATACGAATGTTGTCGTAACCGGAAGAGCCAATTCTGCAATCCAATGGTCACCCAATCCATATTCCATCGCCGCAACTAGAACCACCACACTGGACATCTGGAAAATGTTGATGAGGTTCAAAGCCGGTCTGGGGTTGACTCTGGTAGCTCCCGGCCAGTATGCGTCCACGATGATTGCGAAAGCCTGAACCACAATCGCGACGGCAGTCGAGGCCGACCCCAGCCGAACGAACAGAACCGCCCAGGGCTCGAGCATTGTGAATTGGAGCCGATTGCATAGCGGACAGCGGGTCTGTTCGTATTCGATAAGGCTCCTAATGCAGCCTCGGCAGAACACATGACCGCATGGGAGCTCGAGAGGCTCCACAAACTCGTCTCTGCAGTGGGCGCAGATGTCTTCTATATCCATTTCATGCTGCGGCGGCTTCAGGGTTCCAGAGTACCTCGACTTGGGTGGCACATCAGGATCGTATGGTACCGGGCGCCATCTCCAGGTGAAAAGCGCGACTGTGACGGCACAGATAGTGCTGATGATTGGGAAGAATAGTGTAGATGCGAAGACGATTACGCAAAATGTACTTTTCGCTCGCAGGTGCGTGAGGTTCTGGCCCGCCCCGGTCTCCATGGTTGTACTTCGAAGGCTCTCGTGGTCGCTCATAGCTGGTGTGTCAATATATTGGATGGGTTTGTGGTACTGGGCAATTGGCAATATTGCAGTCTCGCACGACTGTGCGTTTATCTACTTCGAAGGCTTCATAATGCCACTGCTTCACGGCCGTATCTGACTGCTCTTGCCATTCCCCGGCGAGCTCTTCCCGCACTCTCTCCGCATACTCGACCTTCACCGACGCAGGAGTGTGATAGCTAATCTGAGCGAACATGAAGTTGTGCCAATATTGAAGGATCACTTCTACTACGATCGAGAATGTGAAAGTCAGTGCTGTAACATAACTTTGACACGCTCAGTTCTCACCACAAGCTTGAATTCAGTCTACAGCTCATTTTCACACTGTAGCTGCCTTTCAGATTCAACTTCATTTCTACCTTCAATCTAAACCTATCGTTTGAAGATGGATTGGAGGATCATCACGTGATAGCGCGACAAGCTTAATAACGAGATTCAGGGATGAACTTTGCTAGGAGGATAGCGGGCGACGGATATTGGCCTACGAGACCCCGGCCACACCCTCAGACCTCCTGTTCGTTCTAGCCCAGCACCTCCATCGCTCGCTCGAGATGCGGCCTGCCACTCCTTGATCCGACCATTCGTCTCTCTTTCGCCTGTTGTATTTTGTTGCGGAGAAGAGATCCAAGGCACCCTACTTCGCCAGTGACTGCTGTACCACGATTCCATTCTTCCAGGGCTCTGCGGGATCAGAGCCGAGATGGCGATTGACTCCGCAACGGTCGATGACACGCCAACCCTCCCTGCACCAGAGGATTCCGCCCTCAAGTCGGCGATGCCAAGCGCAGAACCAGCAGTTGTTGAGGAGACCAGCCGCGTCGACACGCCCACCAACGATAACCCTCCCGCCGACGAAGCCTCCACGCCGACGCAAGAGACTCCCACCAAACCCCTGCCAGTCTTCATCACCACCACCACCCTCCACGACGACGAGCCTGCTGAGCAGCTCTGTTCCTCACCCCAGCCCGAGACCCCCACCGGCCCAACAACTCCCATAACCCCCAATGACGAGCACGACCTGAGTCGCGACTCGATGGCTTCTATAGCCCTGTCTGAAACGAGCCTGGACTACGACCATTTGTCGACGGAGCAGGTTGAAGACGTGCTAGCTACTCCACGCGTCAGCGGTGCGCGCCGGCATCTGCGGAAAGTGTCCAGCCTAGATATACTACAGAACAAGTGGGCACCACCCGAAAGGCAGAGCACATTGTTCGACACGTCAGATGAATCGTTGCAGATGCCCATGTCTGCAATTGAATTCCATGGAGGCCGAGACCCCTGGGCAAGAGACAGTAATGACTTCAGTGTCGACGCCATGAATCAGGACAGGAGACCTACCAATGCTACATTGGACAGCATTGATCTGCTCGAGCCCGGCCTCTCTACGCCAGCCAGCATCAGCGATGGCTCCAATCGCAGATCAGATGGCTCGTCAGACGAGGAAGTGCAGGTCAATTGGAAAGCTCTTGACCAGACCGAGCAACAAGAGAAAGAGGATAAGGATATCCCGGCAGGTGCTGAAGATGAATCGACCGCGTTCCTGCTCGCGCGTCTGGAACAGGAGAATGCAAAGATCGAAGCAGATTCGAAGACGGCTGCCAGCAAATCAAGCACGCGGGCTCGAGCAGCCAGCCGACCACCCAGCATGGCCCAACTCAAGAAGCTTGTAGCTGGGAAGGAGACACCCTCGATACGATACAGCTTAGCATCCGACAGCGGTATGGCTGAAGTGCCGCCCATGACCGAGTTGGAGTTCTGGACCGCCATCGTCCAAGACTATCCATCGACTGCCACTCGACTGCCCACTCTTACAACTACCAAGATGCGGTCAGGAATCCCACCACCTCTACGTGGCGTTGTATGGAGCTCGATGGCAGGGGCGCGCGATAAAGATTTGGAAGATGCATTCGAGCGGTTACTCGGCGAGAAGAGTCCGTATGAGGGTATTATCAACAAGGATGTCGGCCGTTCTTTCCCTGGGGTAGAGCTCTTCAGAGATGCCGAAGGCGAAGGTCAAAAGATGCTTGGACGAGTACTGAAGTGCTTCTCGTTGCAAGACAAAGATATTGGGTATTGTCAAGGCCTGGGCTTTCTCGTTGGCCCGCTGCTCATGAACATGGGTGAGCGGGAGGCATTCTGCGTTCTCGTTCGGTGAGACTATCCTAATTGTCCAAGTTGATGTTGACACTGACAAACTCTGCAGCCTCATGGACCACTACTCTCTGCGACCTTCGTTCCTACCATCGCTCTCTGGCCTGCATATGCGAATATACCAATTCTCGACTCTGCTACGACAACATCATCGGAAGCTGCACGACCATCTTGCTGAGCTTGGCGTGGAGCCTGCATATCTCTCGCAGTGGTTCTTGTCCTGTTTTGCCGTTACCTGCCCACTCGAGATGCTTTTCCGGATTTACGACGTGATCTTTGCCGAAGGTGCGAATGAGACGGTCATGCGGGTTGCACTTGCTTTGATGCGAAGGCATGAAGAGAAAATGCTTGGTTCAACGGAATTCGAAGAAGTCATGCAATTGCTCCTCAGTCGTGAGATGTGGGATTGCTACGGCGGCGATGCTGATGAGATGGTTGATGACTTCACATCTCTCGGTGACATCGTAACGCACGCTCGCCTCGCAGAGCTGGAAAAGGAATACGAGAACCAATCTGCCGAGACTGTTGGCCAGAGTGCCGGTTTCCTTCCAGATGTCCAGGCAGCCGCATCGAGATTTCTGGGTCGAATATGGGCTCCTGGTCATGCTCACACGCCCAGCAAGGCCACGACTGCGACAGCACATACCCCCAGCCCAAGCGTCACGACCCTTTCGCCATCATCTGCCGAGAAGGATGCCCCAACAAGCGGTTACAGCTTCTTTGGCCGACCTACAAGCTTTCTCAGGCGGAGTCCCAGCAAGCAGAGTATGAGCGCCGTGAATGACAGCAACAGCAGTGAAGACAGCACATCAGTAGCAGGTTCAAGCGCCGTCAGCCTGACGTCTACGGCCCCGACTGAGCCCGAAACGCCCACAGCAGATGCGTATGGAGCCATGCGCGAAAGTGTTGCCGACAGCAGCAAGTCGGTGGTACCAGGTACCCCAAGCGTCCACAGCAGAGAAACTCAAGAACTACATGCACAGATTGAGGACTTGCTGACGGCCATTGGTGAAATGCAGCGGGAACACGCTCAGCTCGCTGCAATGCTTCAACGCGAGAAGGAAGATAGAGGGGAAGACCAACGAGTGATGCGTCAGTTGGTTGGCAAAATCCGAAAGGACGACAAAGAAGATCGAAGAAAGACTATGCCCCCACCACAGAAGAAGGCCGAGCTCGAAGTGCCAGAAAAGAAGTGTCGACCATTGAGCGTTGGCGATCATAGCGAAGTAGAGCTCACTGGTGAAAACAAAAAGCCGAAGGACGAACTCCAGGAACTCGTGGAGAAGGCGCAAGAACGACTACAAACGAGCGTTCGGTTCTCCGCCAGTCTGGAGACGAAGGCTCAGCTACGTAGCACGTTAGCTCGAACTCGAGAGCGACTGGGAGCCGCCGAAACGCAATCGCGAGAGTTGACCGTCAGGCTCGACTCTGCAGAGTCTGCAGTGCTCACCTTCCAGGCCGAGAGTGAGGACTTGCGATCCGAGGTCAAAGAACTGCGAACGAGGGTCGCAGACGACTTCAAGTCGAGGCAAAAGCTGGAGCATCAGCTGAACGAATTAAAAGCACAGGCGAGATCTGTTGAGCGCAAAGAAAGACTACAACGAGCAGAAAGCCTCAACGAAGTGCCAACTCTTAGTCGCAAGGACTCAAGCCCTGAGTCAAAAGTTCGGAAGGGTAGCGTGTCCAGCCTGCCGCCAGGGTCTGTCTCTAACGCAGGCGGTCTCCGCGAGCTCAAGCTCGGTCGACGAGACTCGAGTTCCTCTGTTCAAAGCTTGAGGAATTCGTCACGAAATCCAACTCCGATCCAGACCGAACTCGCACCGCCCATCATCCGAACAGACGGCGCTTCGCCAGATGGCCCATCGCCACCCGCACTTTCTCCAGACCTTACGACTCCTGCACCGACCAATGTGCCTACATTACCGAGTGGGCTGCCCGTTCCACGAACAGGTTTCGCTCGCCGTACGTCAAGTCTAGCAGCACAAGAGGTCTTCGCCACTACCCAGCACGAGCCTGTCCCAGAAGAAGCTCTGCTCTTGGAATTCGTCAATGCGAAGACGTCGGAGGCCCAAGCAAAGCAAGAGGTTGACGAGCTGAAGAAGGCCCTATCCGTTGGCAAGCGGAAACAGGAGGAAGCCCTCAACCAGCTTCGTGCAGAGATGGAGGCCGCCAAAGCTGAAGCCGCGAAGGCCGTCGAGGCAGCACAGGCAGCCAAGGCTGAGACAGAAGCGGTGCGGTTGTCTCAATTGTCTACTGCAGGCACACCGCTCTTCAGCTTGCCGCCCACGCCGTACTTGGAGAACCCGAATAGTATAGGCAGTGGTAGTTCTGGTAGTCCTGCATCAGGCACGCCTGCAGAGGAGAAGACGCCTGACATTGCTCTGCCCAAGAAGGCAGAGACGGCTCCGGCACCGACTACTGGAGGATGGTTCTGGCAGCGGCGAACGGCGAGTAAGAGCAGCGTGCCGCTTCCTCCGACCAAGGAGGGCGAATAGAATCTGTACGATCACAGCTCATAGGCCATATGTATAGTTGACAGAGCGGAGGCACGTCAAGATCTTGGAAGGCATCATGTTCAGAACGTCTTTTGCTTGTAATGTCTTTTTATGTGGAGAAGGATGATTGGGGCGGCGCGCGAGTATTGCATCAGACTGCATCCGCATGGAGACGGCGTTGACCGCATCCCTGGCGGATACGAAGGCATTCTATTGATTTTGAGGAGCAGCCTCAGACTGCTGCGTGTGTAGAATAGTTGAGGTCTCTTCAATGTGCAGAGTATGAGAACGAGCGTCCATCGAGTGAGATGGACTGCAAGAGGCTTGCTTTCCCTCTTTTCCTTCTCGCTTCAAAGTCGCTCGTTCTTATATGTCTTGACCGAACACTCCATTGGTGAATGCTTCCCGTATATCGAACATTGTTCCACGAGTTTGCTGATCATCAGTGGTCTTCACAAGGCATATAGAATGCCATAGAGGATGCAGGGCATTGATATCCATATCTTCGAAGGTTCCAGACAGCAAAGGTAAAGTCCACGGGCAAGGAGGGCAAAGATATAGAAGACAAGCAACGTGAATTTTCAGAACAGGCGAGACACCCTGCCATATCTGAACCTCTACGCATACTGTTATTCGGCGAGTTACAGGCGCTTGGCCTTCAAAGAAGACGTCTAGGAGCCGCATCCAGCAACTTTCACTTCGCCCCTTGAACGCCCGCGGTTTTGCCGTGAGAAGCGACCCACAACGCCGAATTACTTCTGCTTATTCTCCGAATTCTTGTTGCTTACCAGCTGATCATACTCTTTCTTGTCGCCTTGGTACGTCTTGCAGCGCAGCAGGATAGGGGGCGACTATCTGACTTAGTCTTTGCAGGACAATCCCACACCCCGGCTTCCACAGCGCTAGCGAGGATGTCTCCCGATCATATGCAGCAGAGCGCCGACACGACCAACGACATGTTCCCACCTGGTCTCGAAGACGGCCTCTCTGTCACCTCGTCCTTCCCGACCAAAGATCCCCTTGTCCTGGGCTTGGTGGAGGCCCTACACTCTCTCCTGAGCGGGTACCTGTCGTCCATTCGGGCAACTTTGGAGATGAAGCACATCCTCCTCCTGCTGATAAAGACGTTCCACGACTTGTGCGAGCAAATGGCCTTCGAGAAAGACGCCTGGCTGCAGGAGATCCGGGAGACGGTCGACCAGCAGGGCAGCTCACCGAAGACCACGCGAGAGCAGACGGGCGCCATCATCGCCGATAAGATCAAAGCTGCCCCGTGGGGCCTCACCAAGCGTCCAGACCAATCGAGATCGGATACCGCCCATACGATCCTCGCCATCTACAAGGCCGTGGTCGTGTTTGTGAAGGCTCTGGAGGCGGGACTTGAGCAGAGAGCTCAGCAGGGCTTCGACCTCAAGAAGTACGATGTCGAGGAAATGCAGTCGGAGGAAGAAGAGGAGGAGGAAGACGACGCACAAGCAGCACACATGGTGGCGAAAGTACCCAAGATCATCATCCACCCACCCAAACCACCAAAATCCGACACCGCCTCACCACCAGCACCATCCTCATCCCGCAAAACCCCCGGCAAAGGCTCCGGAAACTACAACCACGGCATGTTCACCGTATGGACGATCGCCGAATGGGTGCACCTCCTGAAGCTCTACTGGGAAAACCCGACGTTGATGGGCAAGCAGATGGCCCAGATGCATAACGACGGGTACTGGGTGCCCAAGGGACGGACGGTCAAGCGGTCGACGGATAGTGTCCGGCAGCAGTATAAGAAGCTGATGGGGAAGGGGACGAAGGAGGAGACTATTGGGAAGATTCCGGAGAAGATTAGGGAGTTGGAGGGGAGGGTGACGGAGGTGGGGAGGAGGGGGGGAGATGGGGAGGAGGAGGGGGTTTGAGAGAGCTGATGGTGTTTTTGTTTGATAGCCGGGAAGCATGGTGGATAGGCCGTGGAAGTCAGGGAGCTTTGGTTCTGTCTTGATACCCACTCTATAGCTCCAGCGGAAACGCGTTTCTTTATGCCTCAAACATTTCTGAACACTATGGCACCCTACCAGTCCTGCGAAAGGGAACAAAGGCTTTGCCTCCTCAAGCAGAGATAAGATCAGCTGTGTCTATAGAGAGTTACGAAGCATATGGCTCATTCTCCTCTCTCACCACATCTTCAACAAGTAAAGACCGTCATTTCGCAGGGAGTAACGATACGACAGTCAAGGCGACGGCTTGCTCGTCCACTGTATCGAGGAGGTCGACAGCAGCACACGCCGTGACGTCGTCCAGGTTGATCCGCCCAGAGTCCTCTGAGACGATCAATCCGTGCCTCTTCTTGACATCTCCGAAGCTGGCAGATGCCGTTGTTGTGTCGAGTCTTGGAATCCAAACAGAAGAAAGAGACTTTTAACGGAGAGGATCTACATAATCAGATGCTTTCGGTGTTCGGGTGGTGAATCTAACAAAAAGCAGCTGAATTCTTGGTTTGTTTGGGATCAGAAGCGAAGCAGGGGAGTTCAGCGGATAGTTCTTAGGAAGCAGTTGATTGTAAGGGGTTTCAGATGTTTGGGCTTCTTTGTCATGGGGGTTGGGAGCAAACACACTAGCACACATTCACATGTAACAGGTAATATGTCCTCGAATAGGGACTTTGTGGGTCTGCTCCCTTCGAGTCGAGGGGGATCTTCCCAGTGCCCAGTATGCAGTGGTCTCAAAGTGCGATTAGCTCAAGCTTTGGCCAGGTTCAACGCACAGACCAACACTTCCTCCTAACTTCACGCCTGTCTTTCACAGCTATGTGAAGGAGGTTACGACAAGTACAATAACCCGAGAACAAGATATAATACGAGTAGGATGGATGGAGATGGACGTGAAGAGTGATAGAAAGACGCGTTCGTTTGATTCGGAGAGACCGCTCAACCCACGTCTATTGAACACCAAAAAATTCCAACAATCGCGCCAGCATCCCCAGTGGGTATCTCTAACAAAGAGTCGCAAACAGAAACAATGGCATGGCCGAGTGTGCAGAGTCGAGAGACCTACTGAGATATTAGCTCTAAGTGCCATTGACAGCGTAGATAATGAACTCACTTTAGGCGGCGATGGCATCACCACCGCCTGGCAGATCGTCGTCTCCACCTGGGCCATCGTCGTCGTCGCTGTCTTCTTTCCGCGACTTGACGCTCTCCACCACGTCCAGCAGGATCTGCGCCAAGCGCTGGTCGTCTTCGTGCTCACCCTCTCCCTCTGACTCCTCGCCCAGGTCATCCCCGACACCACGCTGCGCATCGAGACGACCCTGCAACGGCTTCCGCGCGTTGCGCCAGCGCTGTCGCAGGGCGTCCTTTGAGCGCTGTCCGCGCTGGACGATCTGGTTCCCAATGCGTACCGGCCGGGTCTGGAAGTGCGCATTGAAGAGAGGTTCCATTTCAACCCACGGCATGCGTGGCTCTTCACAGAACCTCTCTGCTACCCACCAGTCCTCGTCTTCGTACCATCTGGTACCGCGAAGCGAGGCCTGGGCGGCTGGCGCTGGCGCGACAGTCAGGACTGGCGCGGGTGGTGGTGCTGGGGCTGCTGGAGCCGCTGAGGGTGCGTCAGCTTGACTCGAGATGATTGAAGTGATGGGGATACTTACTGGTGGTGGTTGTAGTCGGCGCCTGTGTAGCGGCTGTGCCTTGGTTTTGACCGGCATTGGCGGTCGTAGGCTGTGTGGCATTGCCTTGATTGGCGCTGCCTTGCTGCATGTTTGGCGCGTTGGCGCCGTCGTTGCTTCCACCGTTCTGCGAAGAGGCCATGCTGTCGACGCTCTTTCTGGTGGTTGCTGGTGGTTGGAGCGGAGGCGCGAAGCTGGCGGAGAAAGACCGCTTTTTGGATGTGGGAGACATCGCGGGAAGGGAAGCGGGCCGATTTTAATCCGCGGTGTTCTGACTTCCAAAAAGAGAAGGACCCTGGATTGAGTGAATGTATAGCAAGGTCGGGTGAGGAACTATAGCGGGTGATGATGGGGGAGAGAAGAGCAGTCTAGACAGTAGAATTGCTCTCACTTATAGGTCTGCTGCTATCAGGATGCTGCTAGGCATTCAAGACCATTTTCACAAAGCTACAAAGCCCTGCAGTATGTAGAAGGAAGCAGACCATACTCGCGTGTCTCACAGTAAGAAAACGAATGTGAACATGAAAGTAATGGCACAGTCTTGCAATTGATACAAGTAACATGGAATGTCTCAGTTGGCATTACTGCACATCACTCAAGCTCAAAGTGATACCTGCATACAAAGGACTCGGAACCCCAACGACTGGCGATACCAATACGACCATCGTCTCTAGAACTTGCTAGACAGCCAACGCACTACTGCTTGTCCGACCTCTGCAGGTCTCTCAAGCATGCACCAGTGACTGGCATCAACCTCTTCAAGCGTAACGTCTGGCAGCAACCCCTGAGCAATAGGTCCCTGAACGGCCGCCGAGGGCGCCAAGGGATCTTTCAATGCAGCAACAAACAGGTACGGAACTTTGACGACATGGTTGCCGGCTTTCAACGCGTCGTTCTCGGCCTCAAAGTCCAGACTCTGAGCTGTCGCCTTGTACCAGTCGAGAGGGGCTCTGAAGCTGTTCTGCTTCATTCTATCGATCCACTCTTGTCGAAACTGATCGTTCCTCGCATATGGCAATACCTCCTTCTCCACGTTCGAAGGCTTCCTCAACCAATTCTCCATAGCACCCTCATAGCAACAAACCTCCTTCATACGGTCCCCACCACCATGCAGCGCCGTGAACATGTTCTCGACGTTTTCATCGATCACTCGATAGCCTTTTTCTGACGTGAAGAGTGGAAAGTACCAGATGGAGCAGTAACCCACGTACTGCTCCTGCATTCCGCGTATCTGCTCGAAATCGAAAGGATACGGCGAAGGTGGAAGATATGTCGTACCCAACGTGACGAGTCCACAAACGCGTTCTGGCGCGAAGGCATGAAACTTGCTGGCGAGATTTGCACCGAAGTCGTGGCCGAGGGGTATGACTTGTTTCAAACCCTCTTCGTCGAGGATGGCGAGTAGATCGTTTGAAATTGAGCTCATGGTGTAGTTCGCAATACCCTTGAGCTTGTCTGTGCTGCCAAAGCCAAGCAGGTCTGGAGCGATGATGCCGTAGCCTTCTGGTAGCAAGAAGTGGTTGATCAGGTCTGTCCATAGAGCAGCGCAGTCCGGATTTCCGTGCAGTAGGAGTAACGTCGGCTTTGTGCCCTTCGCCTCTGATGTCCAGTAGGTATACGTATGGCCTGCCGGTGTCTTGAAATTGTTCTTCTTTAGAGACTCCATAGCCCTAGTCTTGGCTAGGCAGACCGTGCTATGAGACTTTCCAGGACTTGCGGCACAGCCCTAGATGTCTGCTAAAGCAATGAACTCGACGCGATGTATACCCCGCTACCGTTCAGGATAATAATACGAACGAAGATGTGGCGCGTCAGCTCCGCAGCTATGATACCAAAGCTCGCAGATTGTCCGAGGTGCGGCTGATGATCTTGTGGGTATCCCATCCCTTCAGCTCGGTTGCAGCAATCCGTTACAATCCTCAGACGAGGAATCAAGCTCAATAGGATTCTGAGGATTCCGCTTGCCTACGCGTCGATTACACCCTAGCCTGCTTAAGCGATATGTGCGATGTGTCTACGACTCGGCGTCCACCAGATGTAGATGACATCCTGCAAAAGCATCTTTCCTCTTTTGACCAAGTTAATTGACGTGCCAGAGATGACTTCGGTGTGACACAATACTACTACAATTTCGAGTAATATGCGGACATCACACCGTGCGTCTTCTACAGAATCATTGGTAGTAATGCCCAGACACAGTCCTTGACGATTCGAGCACCATTGATATATGTTCCGATGACTGCATATCGTTGATGTCTCTATCATAGGCTAGTGTAAGGCTCTCCCGGAACCTAAGCAAAGCACAATCCGATACCTTCGAGATATGATACGCTCGAGTGCCATTCTTTGAAGCACGCCCAATTATCTCTCCAGAATCTCAATCGGCCTCTCCAAACAATGAAATTAAGTATGTCCTCTCGTTGTCTCTCCTCTCTTTGTCTGCTTCCTGCTTTTGGTCCATCCTCCGGCAATAATCTCTCCTAGGGTTGTGTTGACTCGAACAAAGAGTGAGTGATCGTAGGCGTTCGCTAAACGCGTTCGCCTGGTGATACGAAGTCCTCCTTAGATGTCAGATCGTACGCAACATAGAACGACTTTCGGCCCTCACCTTCTGCGCATCTTCAGCGTCGGTTCGCCTCGTCTCTCTCCTTGAAGTACGCCTCCCAATCCACCCCGACCTGAATTCGCTCCGTGAGGAGATGGTTCAGGGTAAGTGACTTCTCGAGAATCTCGTTCTTCCGCGGCTTGGACCCATAGGTCTTCTGGCGCACGCACTGGCCGAACTTGAAAGGAACGTCGAACCAGGGAGGGAAGTCCTCTACGAACATGGATCCTGGAGAAGGCTTCAGTTCGCTCAGGCGGTCCCAGCCGATTTGAAGCAAGACAACCTCATTTTCGTTGAGACCCGCATCTTCGCGAGCAAATCGCAGTTCATAGTCGTTGAGAGGGCGATGGGTAGCCGCTTCGAGATCAGCAGTGGATGAGGCGGCTGCTACCATTGCAGTGGATGGTTTGGAAGAGGGTTTTGCTTTGCTCGAGGCCATTGGTTGTTGAAAGTAGCTGCTAGTAGCTGCACGAGTCGGTGAAGCAGCGTTGATGCGCTTGTTGCTACGTGCAGCTGCAGGTGTTGTACGGTCGTTGTCTTCGATCGATTGACTGGTTGCCCGTCTCTTGCCACTTCTTCCGTGCATATCGGCTCCATACTCTTCATCGCCTTCGCTTCTGCCCCGGATGCCAATGACCTCCTGAGCTGTGTTGTTTCTCTCCAACTTCACACCACGTTCGATAGTCGGTCCATCAACATCTAGTCCGGCAACCCAATCCTTGGTGCGGTCGAGTCGACTCTTCTTGATCTCAAGACGCGTGGCGCGGTTCGAAGCAAAGACGTTCGCGAACAGCTGCTGCTCTACGTCAAGTGGTGAAGCTTGATGTTCGTATCTATCGGTGCCCTCATCATCCTCGTCGCCAACGTTGCCGGCTTCAGCAACATCGCTATCGATACCTTGCTCGGTTTGGCGTTGCTGCCGAATCGCGTCATATCGCTGAATGGATTGCTCAATCACGATAGCGGCGCGTTGCTGGAGGTGTGCGACGCGTGGATCAGTAGTCACGGCCTGTGGGCCTCCATGCAACGCCTGACGGACGACTCTATTGGTGTCGTTGAGCTGCAACTGAACAGCAAGCTCCCCAATTCGAAGGACTTTCTCCGGATACGACATCGGCGACATGGTGCAGCGCTGTTGTCGAGGCCTGAAATCGTCGAAGAGTCGAGGTGGTGTTGAAAGCGGTGTCCAGTTGTGCAGGATTGTTGGCAGTCGGAGTAGAAGAGCGAAAAAGAGGAGCACATGCGCGTCAGTGTTGGTGAATGTTCGAGGGGATCTTTCCACCTGCTCTAAAGTCGACCTAGGACGTTAGGGGATGGTTTATTAGCCCCCTCGATCATTAGAAGACTCGGCTAGGCCCGTAGAATCAGCTGCCCGTAGAGATTCACTTGTTTTGGCCGGCTAGGATCGGATCACCTCGCCTTGGCCCGTCACATGCCCGCCCGAGCTAAGCTAGCGCACCCGACACACAAAGTTCAAATCTCTCCTCGAACTCCTCATCTTCTCCATCTACCACCGTGCCAACACCACAAACAATGGCACAGAACGGAAGCACTGGCGCGGGGAGCAGCAGCGGCGTTGCTCGCCCTGCTCGAGGTGAAGACGAGCCCCTTGACACGAGCGAGTACGAGAGGATCCACGCCAGCGGTAGGCACATCGGCGCTCTCGACGACTCGAGAATGTGCGTATTTCCATCCCTCCCTCCCTACGCAACTGTTACTGACGCTCGAGGGCAGCCAAGACAACGCAGCGCGGGCAGGTCGTCGTCCCGCAAGCACCCCTCCCACTCCCAACGATGGTGGATCTGCTGCTGGCAGTGTGGATGGTGGCATGACCGCCCCGGGAGACCAACAGGGTGGTGAGAGTCCGGCCACGCAGACCCCGATCCCGCCAGTTCCACCGGCCGGTACCCCAATCGCCCAGCCAGTCCCTCAGGTGCCAGCGGTCCCTGTTGGTAACCCAACCCAACAGGCCGCCCCAGCCACCCAGACCACTGGCGACCCTTTTGGGCCACCTACCGCTGCCGCCGCCGCCATGGAAGGATCTCGTGCTGCTGCAGATCACATTGTTGCTGCTGCTGGGCTTGTCCCTCTCCCTGGCACCCCAAGCTTCACCATTGACATTGTTCGGCAATACCTACATGTCATCGACTTCTGGCACCTCGGCCACGGCTCCTGGACGCTGGGTCTCCCACCAACAGGTCCGGGACAGCCCAGTCGTAGACGGACAGGTGTGAAGGGACCGAGTAAGTATAAGCACCTTGACGATCACTCAATGACCTCTGCTGATTTCAACCTTTAGATGCAGCTGCGTGGATCGCCATCCACCGTCACTAAGGTCGCTGTCGAGCAAGCCTCTCGCACCCAGAAAATGGTACCCACAGGGAGGACTCTCGAAGCCAGGACATGACATGGTTGATAGAAGAGGCTAGAAAGGAGCTTTCAATAGATCTGCCTAGTCGTGTGTGCTTCATAGCAGATAAACAGCTGCCACAGCTTCGCGTAATGAATGATTCAGAAAGAACAAAGACCAGTAGTCCTAGAGATTTCTTATTCCTCTCTGTGATACATGACGGCACTAGCAAAGGATACAGAGCCGTTGTCGCTTGTTCGTGTTGCCTATTATCTAGGCTACAGCTAGTTTGGGGAAGTTCGATATATATCTTGGCTCGTATTTGCAGTGTAGGAGATCCTTCAAACACCGACTTGACTAGACATGGCATACTGTTCATGAGAATGAGTTACACGAAACTGTTGTTATATAAATGCGATGCTGCTCTACTGTGATACTGTACAGGCCCGTACAGGGGCACCTCCCAGAATGCCAAGACATTGAACATTCATTCAATGACGCTAGCGAAACCTAAATTCGACGGGAGACAGGGGTGCACGAAGCGCTCTGTTCGCGGGCAGCTTTCTTCCTACCGCCAAATTTTCGCAAACCATCTGCCTGCAACACCGATAATGGCGCAGAACAATAACACTGGCGCGGGAAACGGCGGTGCCATGATGCGCTCTACTCGAGGTGACGAGAGTACCGCCACGCGCATCAACACGGCCTACGCCGAAGACACTCTCGCGGCCGGCGGACATGTTGGCACTCTTGATGACTCGCAGGCGTAAGTACTTGCATCACCCTCTCGGAAATTGTTTCTAACACGCGAGGATAGCCAAGACGACGCAATGGCAGCAGCTGTTCCACACGCAGACAGCGCTCCCGTTGCCAACAGCGAGGAGCCTGTTACTGGTAACAGTCAGACGGGCGTAGTCGAGGCCGAAGGTCAGGGAGATGACCAGAGTAGCAATGGAGAGGACGACGCGCCTACCGAAGCCACAGTCGCTGCCACTGCCCAGCCTGCTGCCGTGGCGCCTGCTACCACGACTCACGCTGTTGCTCCGGCGCCTGCTGCCCCAGGTGCTGCTACAGCTGTCCCTGCTGGCGGTCCAACTCCCGTACCACAGGGTGGGACCTACTACACCAAAGCAGAAGTCGAGCAGCACGAGCATGCCCATGACTTCCACCACAGAGGGAAGGGTAGTTGGGCATACGGTTTGCCAGGGCCAAATGCCGGTCCACAGACGGCCGTCCGCGGACCCAGTAAGTGCGACCAGTTGAAATTGACTCGAGGACCGATTCTGACTGCTTGCAATAGACGCACTAACCTGGAAGCGTGACCACGTGGGCCGATAAGCATGCAATGGCTCATACCCGAACGTGCATGTTGCGATGGGCATCTAGACAGGGGTACCGCAGAAGACAGGATTAAAGGGGTTATGAACAATACAGTATAGCTTGCTAGTACTTTGAGTGTACCTCGTCAAAAAACCGTCATTCTAGATCCTCTTTGTCCATTATAGTAATATGAAATGTTACTTCTTTCTTGGTAAAACATATCTCGTAGAAATGCTTGCGTAAGACTTGAGTACATATGTATTAAGCGTAAAGTAACTAGAATGTGAGACTAAAGCTATGTTTCTACTCAACAACACATTTTCTGCCTTTTGGACTTCCTATCTTTAGGATCAATTATATAAGATGTCTATAAACGGGACTCTGCACTACCCTGTTGCTATGGAGCTATACAAGACGACCTTCGACTGCCAAGACATTGAACATTCATTCAATGACGCTAGCGAAAGTTATATTCCACGGAAGACAGGGGTCCGGACCACAAGCGCCGCGTTCGCGGACAGCTTTCGTCTTACTACCAAATCTTTGCAAACCATCACCCACAATGGCACAGAATAGCAGCGCCATGACGCGCTCTGCTCGAGGTGATGATGCCACCTCCACCCTCCTCGCCACGGACTATGTCCGTCAAGCTCATGCCGCAGGCCGTCACACCACCAGCCTCGATGATTCGAGAGCGTAAGCATCTCCGCCGACACCCACGCGCAATGTAGCTAAACCTCGAGGACAGTCAAGACAACGCCATCCAAGCTCAGCGGCCTCGAAACAGTCCCGATCCCAACAGTGAGGGCTCTGCTGTTGACGTCGTTGAGGGCAGCACAGTCCCAGAAGAAGGCAATGGAGAGGGCGGGGATAGCGAGCAGGAGGAGGTCGTCGTCAAGGATGAGGTTGAGGGCGAGAACATGGAGGACATGGAGGAAGAGGAGGAGGAGATTGTGGTTCCTGTCGAGGAAGATGACTCGGAAGAGGAGTCAACTATCGAGGTCGCGGCCCAGCCTCAGGCTCCTCCATCAGCTGCTACCGCTGCGCAGCCGGCACCTCAGGTGGCAGCTCCTCCTGGGGCTGGCCCTGCGCCGCCGCTCCCAAACCAAGCTACATTCAGGACTGCTGATGTGTTGATGCTCGAGCACTGGTACGACTTCTGGCATAGAGGTCATGGTACATGGGTCGCTGGACTGCCACCGTTGACAGCCGATCGCCAGCGAACGGGTGTGCGAGGACCAAGTAAGTGTCAATGCCCGGCTACAGGCTTCAGACAACAAACGCTAACCCGGATCTCAGATGCTGGCGTATGGCTCGCTGCCAACCGTCGTTAGGAATTCTGTAAATCTAGCTGCATTGCACTTACAAGGTTACCCTTGTAAGGAGGAAGACAATTAGATCCTGATACGCGTGTTATGGTCCATAACAAAGGCAGTAGCGAAGGTATAATGGGAAAGTCGTTGACAGGGCTATATACGTAGCTATCAAAACTTCTCTCAATCCATGAACAAAGAGTCGAAGACTAGCATTTTGAATTTTCATTGTCTTTCTGCAATGCGTGCAGCACTAAAGACTGACTATGCATCCGTTCTAGTGGCTGTTTGCCGAAGTAATCTCATATATAGGAACGTCTAACTTCGACCTACGAGCCGGACTGTATAGCTACCTTTAGCATTCCAACAGCACTTGAGGGCGGCTATATGTCGTCTCGACTGTGCATTCTACTAAGACAGACTGGAATCTTATACACGAGTTGTTGTAGTAACTAACTAAAACATGGCATCGAAATATACCTGCAAAGGGCGACTTCCACCTCGCCAAGCCCTCAAACATTCATTCACTGACGCTAGCGAAAGTCAAATTTCCCGCGAGACCGGGGTCCAGACGTCGGACGTCACACTTCCGCAGAGGAGGGCAAACGACTTGCTCGTTACAACGCAGCTTCCTGCAAACCGAGCGCCGTCGTAAACGTCAGTAATTTCGGAACTCACCTGCACCTGAAGCGGCTTTCTCACAGAAGGCACACCAACAAGAGCATCAGCTGCACGTCTCCGGAACGCTGAGTTGCACAAACGCTGAATCGGCACTCCTCATCACATCCTCTCCAGAGGAAGCGCCATCAAACACCCGTAGATCATACCACCCGCAGCCCACCTTGCTCTTCGACTGCTATCATCAACATGTCCAACTACTGGCCGTCAAGCTGGATCGGCACCGACATTGACCTCGCAAAGGGCTTCACCGCGGAGCAGGCCGACTGTGTGGAGTTGAAGTATGCCCAGCTGGCCACAAACGGCATTATCGACCAACACAGCGGGTTTCCGAAGCTCGAGGGCCAAGTCATCGTGCCAGATGACGACGACCACATCTGGAGACTCACTGCTGCTGCGGTGAAGCGGTATCGCTATGTGGCCGATGACGATGGAGACTACTATGCAGACGACGATATCGATCCGCTCGTCTGGCAGTGCAAAGAACGCAACGGCAATATCTCCAGTGTTGAGTAAGCGCCACCTCTTCGGACATTCTGTCTGATTGATGTGTGCTAACACTTGCTTGTCTTTTAGGATCAAGAGGCTGTCAACGGTTACAGCAGCTCATCGCGCTGGTCTCACTGACGAGGAGGAACAAAGGATCGTCTCACGCTCTTACGACAAAAGGAGCACTATTGTTCTCCCAGGCCTCGGAGATCAAGGTGGCGTCGGCGGCCAGACCACAAAGAAGCCAAACAAAGAGATGGAGACGTCGATAGAAGACGATGAAGAGCACGCGACGGGACACTCGAGCCGTTCGCCATCTCGTGGCGGTTCGAAACGCAAGGGCGAAGAAGACAATCTGCCGCAACCTCCGTCAAGAGCAAAACGCGCCCGTATCGATGAGCCATCCGTTGAGGATGGAACTGTCAGCGCAGGAACGGAAGAGCGAGACATTCTTCCACCGAGCCGTTTCTCCACGCGGGGGAATGGTGTTTCTCGCCATCTTTCCATCACCACCGCGAGCCCGGCTGACACCAATGAAGCCGAAACAGACGGTCGAGATGATGGAGACACCATCGGCGTCAAGCCAGCAGGAAGCGGATACAGAAGCGCTTTCAAGATCTCTCCTGCCATGACGAGTCCACCGCACTTGCAGACAGACGAGGATGTCATGGTGGCTAAGGTGATGGAAGAGATGCGGGACACAGCTCCTCGCACTTGGCGTGCGATGATGGGCATCGAAGAGACGGATGTTGACGATGTGGCGACGCAACCAGACTCGCATCTCCAAGCCACCTTGGGCAGTGGTAGGCGCGTTGCTACTCGAAAGACCACTCGAAGCGGTTCAGCAATCTCGAACGCGAAGGCCGCGCTTACAGACAACATGCCCACGAGAAAGTCCTCTCGCCATACGTTCCGTCCACAAACGTATGCGAGGCGTCCTTAACCTCATCACAAAATGATCAAAAGCCGCGTGAAGCCAATGATGGGCCAAGTGCACTCGATCTGGCGAAATCGTTTCATCTCGTGGATTGAGAGCGTGCTTCTGCTACTGGGCAGAAAATGCGGCCTTGTGGAGGGAGTTGAGATTGGAGGGAAAGAGCCGGGCGTATTATTTTTGGTGGACCATGGGTGGGGGTACTTTCGAGGTGATTTGTGAACGGGTAATGGAGATAGCCAGAGCTCACAGTAGCCAGCGGTTTCTCATGACACGAACGGTCTCAGAGAGCCGGTGATTAAACTGTAACATGGAGGCATATCGTCGGTAGGACAGTAAACAAAGTATGGCTATCTTCATATCTTTCCGCTCCCTACTTTCCGAGTGACTGGAGCACTTGAGGCTTTTGACCTGGTCCACTGACTCCTCCATGATCGAACTCGTCAAAAGAGAAAAACTCTAAAGTCACGCAGTAGGGCAATACCCATAATCTCGGAAGAGAAACCTGGCTGTGGAGCCAAGCTACTCTTACAGTTTCCCATAAGCCATGTGGACGCGTTAAAAGAACAAAATTACAATAGAGAAACTGCATCTCGTCTCCCAGGTCACGGTTTCCGGAGCCAAAGGCCAACGGTGTGAGTCTTCGTACGCGTGGAAATGATCATAGAGATAATGTTTCTTCGTTTGATGTGCCCGAGGCGCGACTAACTAGGAATTGGTATACGTGTCGCAGCGGCGATACGGATAACGGGAGAGGTCGTGCACAAATTTCCATTGGCGTGGCTTTTTGAGATCTCACTGACTTCACGTCATTTGTGATTCTATTGTTTTGCCAGATCTCTCGACCAATTCTGAGCAGGTGAGTCCAACTCCGCCGCTGCAATACCATCTCCAGCCAACTCATGAAGCTGTTCGGGGTCTGTGTCATTCGTCTTGTTGACGGCAGTCGGTAACTCCATTCTCTGTGCATCTGGTGCTGCCGACAGTTCAGTACCACCCAGCGACCCATTAAGCTCTGATGCCCCAGGGGGAGGCTGTACAGGCTTCGTTTCTTCTGGCTCTGATTCTTCTCCATTGGCAGACTCTTTGGCGGCTGGTGTCGCTCCAACTCCATTTAGCTCTGCCATTTGAGCCGCTTTGCGTTGTCGAAGGCGTCTTCTGCGAAGGTACACGAGTATACCAATGAGAAGCACGACTGCTACAACAACTCCCACTACAATGCCAGCAATGGCACCGCGGCTGAGTGAGCTGCTTCCACTTCCATGATTGACGACAGTACCAGGGGCTATTATAGCCTTCAGGTCTTGCGTGGAGTTGGAAGGGAACAGTGCTTGGCCGATGGTAAAGTTCCGTCGATCGTAATCCGCAACCAGATATGCTTCTTGAAGGAACACTCGACCGAGAGTGTATTGCGAGCTGTTCTGAGCACGTTTCAGTGGAAAGTATGGCAGGCTCCCATTGACGTATGGAGCTGAAATGTTCAAATCAAACGCCGAGTACGGAAAGATGATGTTGGTCGTATTGCCTTGAGGTCCGCCGGCAGAAGCACCGATCGTAAATGTGAAAGAAGGGTTCTGTGCCTGCAGCTGGGCGTGAGTGGTGTCGTTGAACACATACAGCTCTGTATCATTGTTCCACGTGAGACCGAAGGCTTCCTCGAATCGCCGACAGACATCAAGCGGTAACCACATCTGGGAGACCATAGAGTCCACGAACATATCGATGCTCTGCGCCAAGAGTGGTTCACTACCAAAGGTGTCATACGTGATAGCCTGCAGGCCTACAAGGAGATCCCTCGATTGGTCAGCCCCAAAGGGCAGGGATATCGAAGAGTTCTGCATTCGACTCGCATCGTATCCGCCCAAGGTGAGGCTACCGAAGACTGGTGGCTGGCGGTAGACAGCTCCGGCAGTGTACGCCCAGCTCGTACTAGGTATAAAACTTGTGTTCCTCAGGTTCTCGAGTATGCTGGAGACTGGCTCGTCCAAGGATGTGAAATTCATCGGCAAAGGACTGATTCCAAGACTTCCCAACCAAAAGTCATCGGTGGCGATACCAGCAATGAGCTCAGTACTCGCGATCGCATTGGAAGAGCCAGGTAGAAGACCAATACTGTCGAAGCCATAGTCCGCATTGCCAGTGAGTCCGAGCTGAGACTCCTCGTAAGTATCCAACTCATAGAGGCCATTGTTCGCTAGTCGATTTGTTGACCAGGTCGTTGACTCGTTACTCGAGAACAGATTGCCTCGAGAATTAGCACAGGTAGAGTACACAAGTTCTGGATTTGCTTCTGAGCACCCTTGAGGTAAGACTACCCATATTGAGGTCCCGGCAGATGCAGAGGTGCTTGGAAGTAGTCGGACCAATTGAGATGGCGTTCCCACCTCAATCTGAAACGTTGACCATTGCCCATCATTACCGTCCCTTACAGTGTCAGTACAGATCGACTTGCAATGACCCAGCTTCCGTTCGCTTACCAATACTCGCTAGGAGGTATAGATACTGGCGCCGGAACGCTGTTGTTTGTGGCCGCTGAGCTTGTACTTGCAAACAGCGCAGCCACCAGGAGCCACGCTCGATGTTGTTGACGCGCCATCCTTGCTGAACTGCGGAGAACGCAAGTTGCAATTGAAGTGGAGCAGCAAAGGTAGATGGTTGACGTAGTGCAGATATGTCATCCAGCCTGATCCGCGAAGCCCTACTCACAATCCAACCCAGTTGCAGCATGTCTCTGAGTAAGCCTGTACAATATCCCCGAACACGTGGCCCAGAATGGAAGATGATCGGTCGTGTGTGGGAAAATATAGCAGCCACAGGCTCATAGCCTCGCGCATTGCTCCGCAAAGGGGTCGAAAGCATCGTAGGATGATTTGAGTTTCATGCGCGGGTTGCGTACATCCATGCCACATCACCAGCGAGCCGCTCGATCAGAGAGGCCAGAGCGCCGTGACGGTGGTTTCGATACTCTTGGGATTAGGGTGTGGGATCACCTCGTATTTTGGGGGCGTTGCAGCTTTTGTAACTCTCCGATTGCCTGTCACTTGCAGAGTATCTTTCACCACTCTACATACCTGCCCAGGTCATTTCACTCGTTACTCGGTTGACTGTATCATGTTACATTCTTCCAGCAGATATTTTCTACTGGCGGCCGTCTCTGCTTCTGTGGTTCTCGCACAATCAAGGTCTTGGAGTATGTTGAGCCTGAATTAGCCTCCAGACCATCATGTACTGACGTCGCTCCAAAGCAAGCTATCCCAACATCAGCACAACAGCTTCTACCAGTGCCTGCAACCTACCTACTGAAGGATTTTACTTCGACTCCAAAAGTGCCAGTCATACCACGCAACCGACTGCTGCCAGCGCAAACCCCACTGGGAATGTGTGCGATGCCTGCTGTGCTTTCTATCCCGTATACTCGCAGGCGTGGACTTGGTCGCAAATATCAGCGGTGCCTGTGACTGTCGGTAAGCAAGCTCCTAGTTTGGGAAAGTATTCGTGATGATGTGGGCTGATCCACCGAAGGCACCGTTTTGTTGCAAGTTGACAGAGACTCCAACATGACCTCAACGACGACCATCCTGCACACTATACCGGTCTCGATCACTCATTCGAATGAGCACGGTTCATTTAGCCAAAGGGTCGAACCGACTTCCTGGTCTCAGAATGGGACGTTCGTCAGCTCCACGCTCACTGCGACGAAGACCGCGTTCTTCCAAGATCTCACGGGCCAGAATCGTACTCTGTAAGTTAGATTGGAACGCATCCTTCTGTTCGCAGAAGATGCCTGCAATGACAGACACTAACAAGGTGCGGAAAGCACATATCCAACGCCATCACAGCAACTTGCTGCCTCTCAGACATGGCTTGGACGTCTGCCAGTAACAAGCAACGGCGCTCGTACATGCATTTCGAATAGGGGCAGCGGATCTCCCCTACCAACCGCTACAGGTATGACTGCCCTGGCGCCAGGAACTGTTGATGCAGAAGATCCGCTTGGAATCTGGTGGACCTTAAAGCCGGTATCGATTGCGCCAATATCCTTATCGCCAGCAAACATCAGCAGCTACTTTGGTGACGGGATCGTCGCATCGATACATGCCTCGTGTTCGGCCGAACCTAACGAGGTACATCCTGCTACCAGTGTCAATGTCGCGTCATTCCTACTCGATACGTCGACTTCTTATGGATCCTTTTCGATCACCACATCGCCGAGCCCGGCCACCCCGACGCCTGAAAAGCCAAGTCCGGAGAGCGTGGCCCCATCTCCCGAAAGTTCTGCACCGACTGCCCCAATAGCCACGGGCGTAGCAGTAGAGCCACAGGCTGCTGAGGACACACAGCCAAGCCCGAATGTAGGGACTTCACCAGGTGGTGAACCTTCGCCAGCGGTCGGAGCGGAAAGCACACCGGCATCACCAGCTTCTGGAGGCGGAAGCACACCAGCACCGGAAGCCGCTGGAGGTGGAAGCCCATCCGCGCCGCAAGCAGCTACAGGCGGAGCCCCATCGGCAACGTCAGCTGGCACGTCCAATCCAGAGCAAGTCTCGCCTTCTAGGGCAGGCCCAGTTTCGAGCAATGAAGTAGGCTCAAGTGTAAATGCCGGCGGTGCATCGCCCACTGAGCCCTCTCAACAACAGTCGACACCACCAGCATCTCCAGTTCCAGAAGCTACTAACCCCATATCTACGTCAGTCTCTTCGCCGTCGGCACCAGGATCAGTGACAGCACCTGCATCTGGCACACTTCCTAGCTCTGGTCCGGTTTCTTCAAATCCTGAGTCAACCTCGCAAAGCTTTCCAGCAATACCCCAGGGGCCTGGCGGATCCGCTCCATCTGGAATAGAGTCGACCAGTGCGCAACCGGGATCCAATACCTTAACCGCCAGTTTGCCGAGCTCAGGCCCAGAAAGCTCCACAATCTTGACTGGAGCGTCGACTGGTCAAAGTTCGAGTTCTGAATCAACTCCCACCACATCATCCGCCGTCAATGTGAGCTCGGGCAGCGCTGTTTCGAGCGAAGAGTCGAGTCCGTCGGCAACATCAACATCAGCAAGTGGGAGTGTCGTACCCTCGACAGGTGATGCATCTTCAAGGGCCAACAATTTGAAAGCGAGCGTCATTGTCTTGTTCTTTGTATTAGTAATGAATGCATAGATGGTGTTATTATGGGGAACGGGTGTAATTGAGCTCCCATAGTGCCAATAAAACCTGATGCAAGTGTTGATGATGAAGACGAACAAGAGGAGGAGGCGCGTCACACAAAGGATTCACACCAAGATTAGATAGAGTTCGCGCTAATTTAGCGCCTGGCCCGTGAGAGGCCGGTCAACATCTCAAACTGAACATCACCTTCAACCCTAACACAGTTCTTATGAGGGACCAAAAAGGCAGGTACATTCATTTCACTTACGTTTTCAATGGATCACAATGCAAACGCTTCAGCAATGCTAGATCGCGCTTGCCTTGATCACTTCAACTTGTTTCAAGAATCAACGTCCATCCTATTTTCAGCCGCGATACTTGTGCATATCTCTCAGCTGAAGGCTCCTGCGGGGCTGCACGACGCACTCCTTAACATTCTCAAATTGCAATTGTACCTCGTCTTCCTTGTTTTTCCTGGCAGTACTTATCCGTCTACAACAGCGAGAGTATTGCTTCCTGGGGTCAATCATCTGTCCACGACAATGTCTCAACCGGCGTCTGCCGCGCAACCCACGGCATTGGGACTTTCTGCGGGAGCAAAGACCGCCAAGTTCTCCTCAGCTATTAGAGATGAGTGGGACAAACGAACAAAGCGGAACCAGTATCCACCTTCAAGCGAACGCATAAGGGAGGCCCATGTCGACGATGTCTTTCTGGTTCTGGCACTCCTAGGCGAGGCTCTGCTTCCTCTGAGTCGTCTTCGACGATGCGCAATATGCTGGTACTCTCACGGAAGTCCGAGCATCCATTGCTACCTGCGGCCACGTCACTCTGGTCAACATGTTCGACAAACTCGAGGAGGAGCTGCAATACTTGTGCACCGCCGCACTCACGGTGTGCGCAGTCTTTGCACCGATGCATGTGTACAGAGGGTTTGGCGCGTGTGTGTTTGGTGACTGGCATTGGGGCTGTCCTGACTTCGAGTATCTCGAAAAGAAAGCAAAGAAGGACACGAGTGTCTTCGCCAAGATGCCAGATCCACAGCCAAACCGCCCCGTTCTACTCGCCTTCGATCGTGCGATTCAAGTGCTGCAAGTCAAGAGCATTGCGTTCCTCAAGCACAGGCCATCTATCTCTGGCTTCTCGGACTGGCAACCCAGGTTTAAACCTCGACCGAAGAAGGAAGTCAGCGACGACATGTCTCTTTGCAAAGATTGGGCCAAGCAGCTGGAGAAGCGAGGGCATCCATCCCCGCCGGGGATGAAAGTCTCTAGTTGGGGTTTACCTTGGGCAGGCTGGCTCAGTGACTTCAACTGCCGCTTCACAAAAGATTGGGAAGAAGTCATGCTCATTCAAATGGACCCAGGTCGACTGCTTCACGCCTTTTTGTGTCGTGGTAGCTTGAACTTGCACGACGGTCAAATGCTGGCTTTGCCACCTGGGACGAGTGCCGAGTCATTGGCATGCTGGTTGGCAGGCCGCCCAGCCATGACACACAAAATTATCAGGTGGGAATGCTTCCAAACCTCAGAGTTCGAGAAGAAAGTGGGCAAGAAAATGGCAGCCAGGCTAGGGCGACATCCACTTCCGAGCAACTTCGTTATACGCAATCCGAACGTGTCAGCTTCCACTACGATATCGCCACGAAAGTCGACACCGTCTCTTTCCACAGCGAAAGCCCCGCCACCGTACTCGCCAAGTCTAGACGAGGAGCGGTCACTGTCACCAACATCGACACGCCAATCTGTTGTGGAGATCGGCAACTCGGATCCCGCTGAGCTGGAATCTAACGAAAGGCCCTCAGCGACTGCGGACGGAATAGCTACAGGAGAAGCCTTGCAAAAGTCCATGACGAGTTTTCGGAGGAAGCCAGCGCCCGCAACTGCTGCTCGACATGCTTCTGCGCCAGCGCTTACAGTTGGGCTTTCCAAGGATCGGGAAAAGAACATGGACGTCACTGCTGATACCGAGCCCGTGCAAGAACCTCCGAGTAGACCACCAAAGGAGCCTATCAGTCACTCTGCGGAGCTTTCTGCAAGCTCACCAGTAGTCTACTCTTCAGACGATACACCAGGCAAATCTGCAAAAATCACTAGCAAGCCAGATGCACACTACCTCGAGCTCTTGAACGCCGTCGCCAGAGGAGAAATCAGTCGACAGAAACTGCAAGATATTCTGGAGAGCGGAGACCCCATGACATACATCACGGCAGAACCGCAGGAACTGTCTAATGATCCACCACCGCCAAAGCTGATGGGCGTTCCAATCCCTCTCGGAGAAATCAAGCCCAAAGCTAATGCACATTCAGGAGAGCAAAGCGTTCCCACCGTTCTCCGACCTGGTTCAAGCCTTTAGCATGCTCATACTCCTTTGAAAATGTTTACACTTGGGCGGCTGTATGCCGTGACTTTCGGGTACTGGCTCCAATCTGTGTCGAAGAGGATGGCATCTTGGCAAGCGCTGCCTAAGCCCGTGTTGTTCAGCCAAGCAGGTTCCCAGTAATTGACGCCTTGACCAAGGCCGTTGGGTACTCTGCGATGGAAATCAGTCTTACAAGCACGAGGGCTGAGCAGTAGCGCGACTTACTGCTTCACAACGTCTACGACATCCCGTACCCACTGAAGCTGTCCTCCGATAGATGCTGGAATCTCAGGCTCACTCAATTCTGGTGCGTCCGCTCCGGTACATATCGCGGGCCAGTCCGTCTCCACAACATGAACCGGCTTGCCATACTTTCTCGCGATGGTGTTGAGACTGGTCCTCAAGTTCGCCAGCGTTGCGGCTGTCCCATAAAAGGGGTAAAAGCTAAAGCCAAAGACATCCCAATCACTCGTCTTGACTTTGCCGGTGGCTGTCAACGAAGAGAACCATCTCTCCTGTAGTGTCAAATTCCAGCCATTATCAATATGGATCATGACCTGCGGCTTGGGCGTTCCAGAAGCAACGGCATCGTTCACGCCTAGTCGAGCAGACTGATAGAGTGTTGCGAGATTTGTGAAGTTGGCAATTCGAGCGGATCTTGGTTCGACATCGACATCCGCCCAGCCGAGAGGCCAGAGCATTCCGTATCGGATCTCGTTCCCCAGACTCACGAGGGCGAGATCGATACCGGCGTCGGTGAAGGCTCTCAAGGTTGTCGAGACGTACTTGCGGAGTTCGGCTGCGAGAGGCTTGAGGGTTGTTGGCCAGGCTACTGGTTGCCATTGCTTGTGTGGGTCGGCCCAGTAGTCGCTGAAGTCTGCAGAAAGACGTGTCAGCCCTGAGATTAAGGAGTGTTTTGGATGGCGATAGACTTACGATAATCGAGATAGATCTTATACGCCTTCTTATGGAATCTCTTCGCCTGAGTGAGAGTATAGTTTAGCTCATACGTCTCGTAATCTACACCATCACAGTGAGTATCAATCAATCTCCATGTTATGGTTCCTACCCACATCCTCCATCATAAGGCACAGTCGGATTTACCCAAAGCCTCAATCTGACAACATTCATCCCGCCATCTCCGAGGATGTCTTCCACTGGCCGGGTAGCATTCCATCGGGCGGTGTCTTTGTAGATCGCACCACCATCTTCTAGGATCTTGAGGGAGGAGAGGTCGAATCCTTTGTAGAAGAATGGTTGTTGAGGATGACCATGTTGTTCGCTAGGTAGAGCTAGAACAAATGGTGACAGAAGAGACGCTGCCAGGCAGAGCAGGGAGGAAAGCATTCTCGGTAAAGATCTCTGCTGGTATCAGAATGCCATGTGCCCTCTCGTGGCAGAGTGCTCCTTCCTTTTAAAGAAGCACTTCGGTGGCTCTTCGAGTAATCTACAAAACGCCACACAAAGGCTCTGGGCGATGCATAAAGTTCCACCAATGGCAAGATGCAGGTACAAGCCATTCATATGTGAGAAGTACCTACATCTGTTGCCGAAATGGAAGATCATGTCATCGTGAAAAGAGGGGTTAGAGTAGCTTCGGGTCGACGCCTCCACGTCCCGGCGTGTCGCCTATATATCGAAGGAACAAAGACGAATGGTCATAACGCGCTGTCAGTGTCAGCATCCCATGCGTTTGGTCGTCTTGATCCAATGGACATGTGCTCAATGCCTCAGCAGCTGAAAGGCTGTCCGACTGCTCCACTGGCGTACTGCTGCACGAGCGCATCGATGATGGCGAACAGACCAGCAACGCAAATGAAGCCTCCGGCCAGCAGCGTCAGAACTGCCAACGTGAACCCAAAAGTGTGTCTTCGTATAGCTGCCCACCCTCGGAGTGGAAGGCCTTCTGGATATTTGTATGCTTGGGCGTGACCGAGTCGATGCGTATCTACTTCCAGTTAGGGGACGCCTATGCAAGGTTGAATACCATTGGGGATCGTACCGTGCCACCAGAAAGCGCCTATTCTGGCCGTTAGATGTGATTGATCATTCAATGTGCTCAGAAAGTCCGACTTACCAGCAAGCCCATAAGTGTACCACGACGCAAACGCTGCTGCGGCTAGTCCAGCGAGGAGAAAGAACACCTTCGATATCTATCAGTGCAATTACTTTACGATCTTTATAATATGCCTTACCGCTATCCCGACTGCTAGCACATAGGCCACACCACTGGCCAACACCAGTAATGAGATCCAGACCGTCCACGCCAGCCAAGTATGAGAGTGCAGGTGGTGGCTCTTTCTGAAGATTCGAACGAAGATGATCTTGCTTGCAACATGGTTGTATAGCGCCCCTGCTCTGAACGGAGCGTTAGCACTGCGCACGACTTAGTTGAACTCAGTGAGGGACGTACGCAAGGACATTCGGCAATAGAAGTCCCCAGGCAGCTTTTGCCCACACCGTTGACGGCAACGACAAGTAGCTCGGGTTGGTAACGGTCGAGCCAAGATACACGTATGTGACGACTCCGAATAGGACGTAGAAGGTAGTTGCGAAGATCTGGAGGAACCATGCTGACTTCTTTGCATCTCGTGGGCGCTGTGCCGACTTAGCTTTCATTGTCAGTCAATTCAGATGAACGACATTTCACCTTCATTTCCGACATTAATGGGAAGAACATGAAGTGGCCCGCATACGCAATGACTGGGTTGGTAATGGTCAGGAAAGCGGTTGAGAACGACTGCGGTACCGCAACGTCGATATGCCGTCCGGGGACTGGGTCTATGCCAGCACCAATCTATACTCGTTAGCTGTGAGTCTCTTTGATTCCACCCCATGGTCTGTGTCGTACCATGCCTATGACACCGCTGATCAGAACCGAGACACATGCGATCAGACTGAGGTGCTGCAATCCGTAGTCCAGCGTGCGTGGCAGTGATACAACGAGGATTGCAACAGCAAAAATAGCGTTGTATACCATGGCGCAAAGCTTGTGGTCTGATAAAGCAGCAAGAGCTAGTCCGCCGGCGAATTGCATGCCACCTAAAGAGAAGGGGCGCAGGTCAGTATGTCTCAAACTTGATAGATTCTTCTCGGAAAGGAGGCACAGCTCGATGCAGCCAGCAATGCTGTTGATAGCATAGACTGTCTCACATTGGGCGAGAGCCTCCAATCTTTCGTTTTCTCACCGACGGAAAACACAGCAAAAATTATGCTTCCCGCGCTCAAGACTTCTCGACCAAGCCACCCAAGGCCGAATGGTTCAAACAGAACGAAGCCAGCGTCGCCCATGCTTTGATCGAGTCAGCACCAATGCCATCGATGCTCAATATAAGCCTAAGTGACACGTACCTGTGAACCTCTGGATGATTGAGTTTGAAGTCGATGAGCAACAAGGCTGTATACAGTGCAAATACACCGCAGAAGATGCTGACGATGATGCCGAGCACAATCCCGACCACTGCAAAGGCCTGCGGGAACCCCAATGTCCCTATTGTCACAATCTCGGTGGTCATGATGAATGCTACGAAAGGCCAGCTGAGGGTCCGGTACTGAATCTCATGACGGTGTTCGTTGCCAAAGACCTCTCTTTCGTCGGCTTCATCTTGCGGGATGCTGTGAGTTGCCTCGTCGTGGTACTTCTCGTAAGTAGCCATGTTTTTGTGGAGGTGTGCAGTGTGGAATTCGAGCTCAAAAAGAAAATAGACAAGGACCCTGTACTCCTCAATGAAGTACAACGACGCCCGAAAGCCGCCTCGCCTGCAGATGGTCGAGACTTACCACCTCCTCGGCTCCATGCTTTATACGTTGCACGAGAAGCTATAAGCTACGGAGCAATCCATTGGTGAAGATCGCAGCGTATGCCACAGAAGGTAGCGGCGGACAGACAAGCAAGTACCTGCACACTGTACATGCGCTGGGTGCATTGGTGAGCGATAGAACGAAGAACAATCGAGTCCAGACGGCGTGATGGTTGCCATACTTGGTCTAAAGTCAAGTACCTCTTCCGCCAAGATGACCATGCGGCAGACTCCAGATGCAGAAGCTGCGCAGTGCAGCTACACCGCAGTACCACCGTCGATGAGTGGCCCTCAGGCGGGTGAAAAGGCTGAAAGGAGAGGAGAGAGTTGGAGGCTGAATGCAGGGAGGTCTTCCTCCCGAGGGAAGAACAGGGCACGGCTCGATTTTTTAAGGTTTACGCTAATGACAAATTTGGCCTAGTCAGTTATTCGCGCGACTCGCGCCTCCATGTTCCTGGACTTCACTCGCATAGCACATGCAAGCACACCACATTCGAACCATGTGGGCGCGGACACTACACGCGAGCCGGCGGCAGCTGGGACATTCGCACCGGACGGTCAGGTTCAGTCGGAGATACAATGCTCAAGCCCAAGGACCTCACACAACCTACTTTCAACAACCGCCGCCTCCCCAGCAGCCTTCACGATCATGGCGTATCATTCGCACACTGCTCTGGAGTTCGACATGCTTTGGGCTTGGAGCATTCGCCACAGCCTGGGCTTTCACTACGCCTCTTGAGGAGCTTCTGCGCGAGGCAGAGGAGGGTGCTTTGGAAGATGCTGTAAGTTTTGGCGCAAAATTACTGGCAGTGAGGGTGATTGTTTTAACCTTCTTCTTGCAGTTACTAGCCGGCACGACTGACAAATCCGCACGACAAGTGGACCCTATGGACGTTGATACAGCTACCGCCCTTCTCGAACTGCAAGCTGCATATTCTGTCTGTCCTGCAGCTGTTTCCCACACAGCTCAGCATGGCTCGAATCTCCCCTGTGAAGACACGTGGTCAAGTGGATCTTATGTTTACTTTAGCGACCAAAAGAAGGATTGGTCAGAGTGGAGCATCTTCGACGGCCACGCTGGACCACGCACCTCGCATGCACTGTGCCAGTTGCTACCCGTCACTGTCGGCACTCTATTGGAAAATGGCAAGTGCATGGAGAGGTCGTACGTGCCAAACGACTCCGTCATTATTTCCACCATCAAGAAAGCTTTTCAGTCTGTCGACGAGACTCTTATCGAACAGACAAGAAAGCTGATCCGAAATGAGATGCCAATGCCGATGTTGAATCCATTAGCTCCCGGCATGGCTCAGCAGCAGTCATTCTATCAAATGCCTTTGGCTCAAGCGGTCTCGGCCGGTGCCCTTGCTTTCTCTGGATCCTGCGCGCTTCTGGCACTATTTGACCCGGTCCGGTCGATTCTGCGCGTTGCGAACGTCGGTGACTCTCGCGCTGTACTAGGCCGATGGGATGCCGCAAGCAAAAAGTACATTGCGGTGCCCATGACTGTTGATCAGACTGGTTTCAATCAGGACGAGGTTGCTCGCCTTGCGCGCGAACATCCTGGCGAAGACGTCGTGGACCCAAAGACTGGCCGAGTGCATGGACTGGCAGTGAGTCGAGCTTTCGGAGACGCTCGCTGGAAGTGGTCAGAGGAGGATACTAGGCTGGCGCACGAGAAGTTCTGGGGACCCAGCCCACGACCCAACGGTGTCATTAAGACACCTCCGTATCTCACAGCCGAACCAGAGATCATGGAGACAAGAATCCAGACTGGTGACCGGCCCGATTTTCTGATCATGGCCAGCGACGGCTTGTGGGACAACATGTCATCAGAGGTTGCCGTGGAATGTGTGCAAGCCTGGCTAGACAAGAACAAGCCCATGGACTTCCTGGATGCGCAACAGCAGCCTGCGAGGACGTGGCGGGATGTTATCAAAGGCGATGGTTCGGCCGAATTTTCCACTCGAACACCCACCTACTCCAACCCCGCCGAAATCACCGGAGAAGACGACACGTATTACGACGAAGAAGAGAGATGCCGCAAGTGGAAAGTTGCACCAAAGCACTTCGTGGTCGAAGACGCAAATTGTGGGGTTCATATGGTGAAGAATGCATTGGGCGGCAAGCGGAGGGATTTGTTCACCGGAGTGATGAGTGTCCAACCGCCTCTGAGTCGAAACGTGAGAGACGACATCACGGTTCATGTCATTTTCTTCGGACAAGACAACAAAATTGAGAGGAAGTGAGCTGCCAAACATCTCGGTGCTTGCAGCAGTTGAAAGGAAGGCCCTTGGAGAGTGAGCTTAATCATCGCATAGCGAGGCGTTCATTTGGGGTCACTCTGTCAACAAAAGTACAGCGATATCCAGACGAGAACGACAGTCGGTCGAGCCGTCGGAGGAGTGCATTTCCGAAAGCGCTCGAGGATTGTGTAATCAATACACTTTACCTTCACCCCAACATCATACCGGCTCAATAGCAAACACATGCTCAATCCCCTTTACATAGCAGCCCCGGCGGGCCCACCCGACTTTGCGGACGCTCTGGAGCTCGAAAAGCGGCCGAAGCAAGCGGACGCACAGCTTCTGCCCTGTGAAGGGCTGAGGATCTGAGGAAGATGCGAGATATAAACGAGACTCATTGGCTGAGCTACTGGCCAACGTAACATCCGAGAACTAGAGTCAAGGTCTTGTAACGTCTTGATGTAATAAGAGCCACAGCTGACAATTCAATTAAGACGAGAGAGACGAAGTATAAAGACTGACAGCATTTCGTGGACCATGTCGTGCCACAAGACATTTCGTTCAATCCTCTCAAAGGATCTGGAGGTACATATTCTTCAGGATCGTCTCATCAAGTCGAGTAAATTGTTGTTGCCTTGCCCCAAGATATCCCGCATCTACCCGCAATGACCTCTCGATCCAACGACCTGCCCTCAGGCAAACAAGACGAAGAACCCAAAGAATACCGCGGCTCCTGCCTCTGCGGCCTCTTCACCTACAAACTGACTTCGGATCCCCTCCTCTCTACAATCTGTTACTGCCTCAACTGCCGCAAATGGACCGGCAGTGCCTTTACAGCCGGCCTCGCCTTTCCACTGTCATCCCTCAGACCATCCGAGGAATCGAAGGCCTACATCAGGCAGTTCATCGATACTAGTCAGAGCGGCAACGAGCTGCAACGCACGTTTTGTGGTGAATGTGGGAGTTCTGTGTATACGGAGGTTCCTTGGGCGGATGTTGTTTCTGTGGCAAGGGGTGGTTTGGAGGAAGGGGAGAAGCTGCCGGCGCCGAGCACGGAGTATTGGTGTTGTAGGAAGGAGGAGTGGGTGGATGTGAAGGAGATTGGGGAGAGTTTTCAGAGGAATGACTAGCTTGGGCCGAGTAGTTGTTGGAAGTTGTCAGTATGAACGTGTCGTGGAGCGTAGGGCCTGTCATGGCTGTAAATTGGTCTGCATACTGGTCATACCAAATGAACTTGTTGCAAATCTGGCAATAGAGAAAGACATACGCTATCGTAGCAATACCAGAGGCCCGTCCTTCTTGTCAGCGAGTTACGCTTGTGGGTACCTGCCAGAGCCCACACTTTTATGCCTTCATCTTGGCCCCGTTCTGAACGACGCCCATCCATGCTTCTCAGGCTAAAGGAGTCTCCGGTCTGTGTCAGCAGCACCGCGTCGGCTGCGTCGTGATGTACGAACTCCTTGTCCTTCACAAATTGCCCGGCCATGTAAAGTCCAGTTTTCATCGTATAGAGGCCCGTGAATGAAACCTGTCGACCATATAGACCGAACCCTTCGTGAATTTTAGTGCTCCAGTTTTCGCCAGCTGAAGACTCTTGATACTGATATGTCGACCCGCTCGGTTGCTCGGGTACTTTACGACTGCCCAAAGGTACAACCCAACCAGGCACCCGCAAACATAACCATAAGTCTTTTGTGACGTATGTGGAGCCTGGGTTTGTTACACCACGGGAAAGTTTGGTAAGTGATGGAGGATCAAGCGCTTTGATGGACAGCTTGTGTGGCCTTCCGACCTCATGGCCCCAATCCGGTACCCACGAGGGTAACGGCTGACTTCTATGACGCCGGCCAGTGCCAGTAGAGCCCACTGCAGCGATCAGCACCTGAGTTTCGAATCCCGCGGTGGTCCATTGACGTGCCAGAGATGTGTACAGCTCCTTGGCATTATGCGAGTAATCGACTGGCACGAAATTTCCGTCTTCGCTTATGTTCCTGAGGGCATAGATTCTATCGCGATCATCTGAGCACAGTGCCCTGTCGAATGTGACCAAATTCTCGAACAGCGTGCGTTGCTGACGCACCTCGGAAGATTGCACGGTACCACTTGTCAAAGTCTTGGTGGGATCGATCAGAACGTTGGCAAGGTTGGTGACTGCGAATTGCATGAGTCCGGCAAGGATAGATTGCGGGTTCCGACAGCACATTGCTTCCTGAATCACCCAGCGACGGGTGAACCAAGGAGCGTCTTTAAACTCAGCGCCGTACATGCCGACATCTCCGAATGGTTTATCGCGTGTTGCCTGGTCGGAATCCCGCAGATCGCGCTCGAACAGGAACCGGAAAGGCATAATGTGGTCGCCAAGCCAAATCAGCAGGTGACTCGCGTGTCCGTATACTTTATCCATGATCATGACTTGGGCGGCACGCTCCACCGGATCGGACTGGTTGATGCAGATTGCATCTATCCATAGAGCCGTTATGGCAGTGTCCTGAGAGTGGCGTATGCGCAACAGCGCTTGATATAGCGTTCTGGTGACCTTTAACGGGAGCCCATCGCAGCAGATAGTGTGGGTGAAGTGTGATCCGTCCTCCTGCAGCTCGCCCCATGCGTAGGACAAGGCGGAATAAGGTATTGGCCACCGGATGGACGTGGTATTGAAACGACAGTGGACTGGGTCGTCGAACTTGGTCGCCGGATCCAGTACAATGACTCTGATTTCGTGCTCCTCAAGTGGCTGATACAGCTTGCAGGGTGCTTCAAGAGCATCTTCAGCTTCCTCTTCCTGCGCGCTTCTGACGGGCTCTCCTGAAAAGAAGTCCAGCAAGCTCTCGCTATCGCTCAGTTCGTAGGAACAAATGCTCTGGGAATCGTCATAAGACTGATCATTCATCTCGGCGGCTTGAGAAGTCGTAAGTTCATGTGATGTTTGAGGGCCATGGATTTTAGTACACTGTCGGAGTGGGTCAACTACAGACGTGAAGTGGCGTGCGATAACGTGGCTAAGCCAGTGTGCATGTAGCACAAAGGAGGCTTCGCCACGAGCTGGACAGCTCTCCTTACAGACCAAGCAGGGGTCTGTCCTCGGCGTGGGATGTTAGGTCGTAGGTGCGTCCCTGCACGATACTATTAGCGAAGAGTCGCTCGACAAATTCAACAGTAGCACGGCGAACCAAAGATATACATACCCATACTAATCTACATCATCCTCTCCGTCCTCGTCTTCCTCATCCTCGTCCTCATCCTCGTCGTCATCAGTGACGTCCCCACCCAACTCCTTGATCTTCGCTTTATACTCATCCCTCTTAGCCTCGATGTCGCCCATGACGAGCAGCATGCTCTCCAGTTCGTCCTTCGCCGACTTCTCGCCCTGCTTCGCCTCCTCAACCTCCTTCTCCAACTTGTCAAGTTTCTCCTTCTCGGCCTTATTGTCTGCCTTTGCCCCCTTACCCCCTTTACCACCAGAAGCCTTCTCCGCAGTTTTGGCTTTATCCTCGGCGGCCTTGACCTTGCCTTCAGCAGCCTTGGCCTTCTCCTCAGCGGCCTTGACCTTTCCTTCGGCAGTCTTTGCTTTATCTTCGGCGGCCTTGACTTTGGCGTCTGCTGCCTTTGCCTTCTCCTCGGCGTCCTTGACTTTCTTATCCACCGACGATGTGGCTTTCTTCGCAGCTTCAAGTTCCTTTTCCAAGTCGGCAAAACCTGAGCGCTCAGTCTTCAGTTCTTCATCTCTAGTCTTGAGCTCCTCCTTGAGCTCGCTGACTTGTGATTTCAACTGATCGACTTCCTCTCCCCTCGTATCGAGAGCGGTCTTTGCGATATTGAGCTTCGACTCGGCCGCAGTGGCTCTTTCAGTGGCCGTTTGGAGACCTTTCTCAGCCGTGGCGTACTGCTGCTGCAGATCCTGAAGTTGTCTCGCAAGGTCACGCTCGCGTGTGATAATCTCGTTGTGCTTTGCGGTCAATGCTTCGAGCTGCTGCCTGGCATTCGCATGTCCGCTGGCCTCAGTCCGATGGGAATTGCCGAGCTCTGCAATCCGCCGCTCATACTCTTGCATCTTGGTTGTAGATGCGGTTTCGCGCTCACGCAATGTCTCCTGCCCTTTCCGCTCAGCGTCTCTCCTTGCATCAGCCAGAGCATGCTGGTGGCGGGTATCGCTAGTTTGACGCTGCTGCTCGAACTGCTTTTGCTGCTTTTCAAGCTCAGCTTCATGCCCTTGCTGCATTGCTTGGTTGATTTTGCGCAGGCGTTCAGTTTCCGAAATCGATGTTTGTAGCTCCTTGTGAGCCGCCATCTTGTCCTGCTCACCCTTCTGGCCTGCCTCCAAAGCTTCCTGCTGTGCCTGTGCAAGTGCATCCTTGGCAGACTGAAGTTGCTGTCTCAAGTCGTCCAGAACGTCCCGATCCACTCCAGCTTCGGCCGCGGATGGGGGCAATACCTCTACGCCAGGATCTTTATCGACAGCTTTTCGCAGCCGAGAATATTCCACTGCGAAAAGCTCAACATACACTCGACTGAGGAGGGCATCATTCTCGTCAGACTCCAGATCCAAGTCGAAATCGCGGATTGCTGGCTGGCGTCGAAGTTGCAAAAGAGCGTCAAGATACTTTGTCCGACCCAGCTTCTGTTGTAGCAATGGCGCCAATGTCCTTCTTGGAATGGGCGAGTCTTTTGTGCTGAACTCGTACACCGTGCCTAGCAGTACGGCAGAAAGACCAGTCACCACGGGATCGCTTGGGGCCTTGACAAGTCCGACAAGTGTTTGCATCAGACTCGATCCATCTTCCAACAGATCGTCAACGCCGGGAGCAAAGTCCCATAGCAGGGTACTTAAAAGGCTCGCATAAGACGCTGCAAGTCGTTCGTCTATAGGTGTCTGCAGCGAGGCTTGCAATTGCGAGCCAAAAGCTTGAACAGCAGTCACAACGTCCTCGCCTTCGTTTTCGTTGCCTTCTTTGACAGCAAGGAGGGTTGATTTGGCGTCGAGATTGTCGGCAGCCAGATCCTGAATGATCCACGAGGCAAAGACCACGCTGCTAGAGTCATTCTCGGTGGGATGAAGAAGTGCTGTGATCACATTGGCAGCGGTCTCTTTCTCAGCATGGCCAGCAACGGCTCGCTGCAAGAAGTGGGCCCTGATCCGTTCATGGTTAGTGAGATATGCTTGAATGAGGCCACAAGATGCCGCTCGCAGTGACGGCTCTGACTGAGACTGTCCCAGGCACATGTCCAGAAGCGCTTCAATGATGTAAGTTCGGCGATTTTCGACACTTGCTCGAGCACTGGCTCTGTTTCCTGCAGCACTCTTAGGTCGAGTCCCATTGACCTGTTGAGGCTTCTGTGCTTGCTCGGCATTGTGCTCGGCGTCTGCTGGGGTGATAACAGTCAAAGCAGCGAACTGCTCCTGCAATGGCGGGTTTGACTCGATCAGCGCGGCTGCCGCTTTTAGTGCTGATGTCCGGATAGGAGACGGCAAAGACCCAGTAAAGCCCAGGTCGATCAGGACTTGCGCGGTTCCGGCTCGAAAGAAAGCCGTCTGGTTTTGTGGCGTGCTTGTTTCGCCTGGCGAGAAGAAAAGTCTCAGAAGTTGTACCAGTCCCCAAGCGGCTTTCTCTCGACTCTGGGCGACGTAGGGTGCTTCTGAATCTTCGGGAGGGAATGCTTCAGCCAACAGCTTAGTTAATTGGGCCACACAGCCAGACTCGCGAAACATGGTCTGATTGCTCGCAGAGCCCCTTATGAGATTGGCGAGCAGACTCAAGCAGTCTTGTGCGGTGATGCCAGCTTCAGCCAGTCCTCCTTCCAACCGAATGAGTGCAAAGATCTTTCCAAACACATCTTCAAATGCAACAATCTTTCTAAGATCCTCGTTGGCACCGCTGGTAAGATCCACAAGCAGCAGAAGACCCGCGTTCCTCACAGCATCCCTGCCATCATCGAGAACCCCGACTAGTCTTGAGATGCCAAGCGGCGCAGACAGTATGCATTCCTGTAATCGGTCGGGGCGTGCGGCGCATATCGAAGATAGGATTTGTACAGAGTACAGGCGCGAGTAATAATCGGCGTACGGACTGGTGGGATCGAGTAGATTGAGTAGGAGCATTATATTGTCTTGGCGCTGGCATCAGCTTAGCCCATTTTCGATCACATATCTAACGGATTGAATGCGCATACCATTGAGAACTCGTCAGCCAGAAAGAAGGCGATCTCGTCGCCAGCTTCAGGAGAATTGCTGTCCGGGTTGAACAGCATGAGGAGTGTTTCCAAGACCAATCTGATCGTGTCCACATCCCCGCCCTCTTGACTCTTTCGCGACTCGCTATCTTGACTCTTGGTCGGACTTGACTCTCCCAGCCCATCTCTCTTCAACGTGGATATTAGTTCTCGGAGGGAGCCGCTTGCGACAGAAGCAGGGTACTGCTTTGCGAAGCTACGCAGACCCAGGATCGCAGCTCTTCGGTCCTCCAAAAGAGTAGCAGATTCTAGGCGACCGCACAATGTATCGATCGTCGCGGTCGCCGTCTGGAGAGGTGGTGTTTTGAGCATTGTTGGTGATTGCTGCCCGGAGGCAGTCTTGTTGTTATCTCATCTCCAGGGCAAACTCAATTTCGTGTTCTAGTCTGCCTCATGCGTCAGGTGCGCAGCGCGGTCGTTGAGTGTTGGTGAATGCTTCTTCGTTCGTTCGTAGTTCTGAATGCTGGGCTCAACTTTCGCGACTGGCTTCAGGGACAGCTGGAGTCGCGGAGCCAAGCTTTGGCAAGGGACGGCCCGCTCGAGGCTAGCGTCTCCGCATCATCAGATGAAGTTCCAACCCGAAAGACCGGTCGTCTGTCTCCTCATCACCCTCGCGCCGGCAGCACCGCCAATCTGACCCTCTGCCAGGCTGCAATTGACTCATCGCACCGCCTACGAGTAACGACCGGTATTTCGGGAATATCGCCGCCCGAGAGAGCCTATATCAGCCTCGTCGCGTCGCACGCGACAACTGCCTCCCCTTACAACAGTCACTCAGTATCATCGCTCCTCAGTGACCGAGTAGAAGAGAGACTCATCCGCCCAGCATGGGTGTCCCAGCGCTTTTCCGCTGGCTCAGCAAGAAATACCCAAAGATCATCTCGCCCGTAGTTGAGGAGCAGTCCGCAGAGGTCGAAAACCCAGATGGCTCCACGACCAAGATCCCCATCGACGCAAGAGGACCCAATCCCAATGAAGAAGAGTTTGACAATTTATACCTGGACATGAATGGTATCGTTCATCCATGTTCGCACCCAGAAGACCGCCCGCCACCTGCCAATGAGGAAGAGATGATGATTGCCATCTTCGAGTACACTGAACGCGTTATGAACATGGTGCGCCCTCGTAAGCTGCTCATGATTGCTGTCGATGGTGTCGCTCCACGTGCCAAGATGAATCAACAGCGCAGTAGGCGTTTCAGAACTGCTCAAGAAGCCGCCGAGAAAGACAAGGAGGCTGCTGAGTTTCATGCTCGCATGATCGCCAACGGCGAGCGTTCTGCAGATGGTGATGGTGAGGACTCAAAGCCTAAGAAGACTTGGGATTCCAATTCAATCACACCTGGCACTCCCTTTATGGATCTTCTAGCAGCCAGTTTGCGCTACTGGGTCAGCTATAAGTTGACCACCGATCCGGCATGGGAGAAACTCAAGATCATCATCTCTGATGCCACTGTCCCTGGGGAAGGTGAGCATAAGATCATGAACTTTGTTCGGTCGCAGCGCAGCTCGCCAGACCACGACCCCAACACGAGGTAAGCCTTCCCGCATCACATCTCTTTGCCGCTTCAGCCTTGGCTCTCGCCGCTTGAGATACCCAACTTTTACAAGAATATCTGCTAATCTGAACAGACACGTCATCTATGGCCTTGACGCCGATCTGATCATGTTGGGTATTGCAACACACGAGCCTCATTTCCGTGTCCTGCGTGAGGACGTCTTCGCCAATGACACGAAGCCTGGACATTGCAGGAAGTGCAATCAACCAGGTCATATCGCCGCCAACTGCACAGGGCAGATGGCACCCAAACCAGAAGAAGAGAAAGCAGTCAAACCATTGAAGCCATTCATTTGGCTGCATGTTGGTATCTTGCGCGAGTATCTCGCCGTTGAGATGAGCGTTCGAAACCAGGGATTCAGATTCGACCTCGAGCGTGCATTGGATGACTGGGTCTTCATGTGTTTCTTCGTCGGTAACGATTTCTTGCCGCACCTTCCGTCTCTCGACATTCGTGAGGATGGCATTGACACTTTGATTGCAATTTGGCGCGACAACATACCTCTGATGGGCGGCTACGTTACGAAGGACGGCCACGTTGATCTTGCTAGAGCACAAATCATCTTGGAAGGCTTGGCGAAGCAAGAAGACGCCATCTTCAAGCGGCGACGAGAGAATGAAGTCAGAGCTGCTGAGAAGCAGAAGCGCCGGGAAGAGCAAGCCGATCGCAGGAGCTCGAATAAGCGGCCACGATACTCCAACAACGGCGAGCCCACCGGGTACGATGAGACCATTGTTCGCAGAGGGCCGAGAGGTGGCATAATCAGAGGCGAAGCTGCTCCTGACCCGAATGCCCTGCCTACATTCGCACCAGGAGCAGCGCAGACCAACCGCGACCCTCGTTACGCGGCCAATCTGACGCACGCAGATGTTGTCGGTGGAAAGGGGGAACAAGACAATCGCTCCGCAGCCGCTGCCTTGAAGGACAGGCTCATGAACAGCAAGAAGCCCGCTGACAACCAAAAGGCCGAGCTTGAAGCACTTTTTGCGGGCTCGAACGGCGGCACTGACGGGTCTCAGAACGGAGGCGTATTGGGCAAAAGACAGAGAGAGGTGATGGACGATGCTGCGGCTGACGAGGCAAGCTCCGACCCATCCACCCCTGGACGCAACACACCAAACAAGGAGATCGCAGACCCCACGAATCGAGGTACTTCTGGCGCTCTTGGCGGTAATTCGAAGGACGGCGAAGGAATGCCCGAGGACACAGTCAAGCTTTGGGAAGACGGCTACCAAGCCCGCTACTACGAGCAGAAATTCCACGTCTCGCCGGACGACGTCGAGTTCCGCCACAAGGTTGCTCGTAGTTACGTGGAGGGACTCGCCTGGGTGTTGCTCTACTACTTCCAGGGTTGCCCGTCCTGGACATGGTATTATCCCTATCACTACGCCCCATTCGCCGCCGACTTCAAGGACATGGAGAAGCAAGTCATTGAATTTGAAAAGGGAAAGCCGTTCCATCCATACGAGCAGCTCATGGGAGTCATGCCTCCCACGTCCAACCACACCCTTCCCGCCGTCTTCCATCCCTTGATGACCGAGGAAGATAGCCCTATCAAAGAGTTCTACCCTCTCGAATTCGAGGTGGATTTGAACGGAAAGAAATTTGCCTGGCAAGGTGTGGCATTACTTCCGTTCATTGATGAGAAGAAGTTGCTAGACGCAATGGCTACAAAGTATCCACTGCTTACGGATGACGAGAAGCGTCGAAACGGCTTTGGTGAGGAGGCACTCATCTTCAGTACAAAGCATCCATTGTACAACGATGTTGTTTCCAACTTCTACGGCAAGAAGGCAGGGGCTGCCAAATTCAAGATCAACGCCAAGGCTTCAGAAGGACTCTCTGGAAAGGTGACGAAGGATGGAACCTACGCCCCCAATGGCGAGCTCCACTTTCCTTTCGACAGCGACGATCAGGATCAGTACACGAGTCTGGATGTGGATGAGAGTGTCAAAGTCTCATTCCACATGCCGGTCCTCACCAGCGTTCACAAGTCAATGCTTTTACCGGGTGTCAAGTTCTCTGATCCCGTCCTTGACTATCACGACGTCGAAACTACTCGAAGCCGAGCGGAGAAATCTGGACGGAGTTTCGGCGGCGTTCAACTGTCCCAGAACGGCGACAGATCAGATGGACGACGGATCAACTACGGAGCACGGGAGGATCAGCGTTATGGCAATGACAACAGAAATGGTGGTCAGGGAAATGGGTACGGCGCAAATGGCGGCTATGGCAGAGGCGATGCGTACTCTGGCAGAGCAGCAGATGCTTTTGCCAACCTGCCACCTCATCTTGCCGCTCAGGCAGCTCAGCACGGCTTTGCACCGCCTGCTGGTCAAGGTTACCCACCACCAGGACCCCCTCAAGGCTATCCGCCACCCATGCCGCCGCAAGGTTACCCGCCAGCACCGTATGACCGGCACAGGCAGCCACCACCTCCACCTCCACAGCATAACAGCTATGGTCCACGAGGTGGTTACAATGGGGGTGGAGGCTATGGTCGCGGAGGCTATGGCAATGGAGGTTACGGAAATGGTTACGGCGGGTCGAACGGTTACGGTTATCAGGGCGGCCGTGGAGGTGGCAGACGCTACTAGATACCCACATGGTACGATATCGGCTTGAAGTTTGGTAGTGGAGAGGAAGAGTCGACAGTTGCTCTTGTATTCGCACAACGATGAGCGATGGCACAAAAGTATTTTCAAGCCAGCAGACTCTTTCGTGAACTACTGCTATGCGTCGACCGCTTCTTTCCACGCTCCCAGCCTTTCAAAAGCTCTTGCCATGAGGGCGTTGACGGCGCTTGCTTGATACACGAAAGGCAGCTGCCGCGGATATCTGCCTCCATCTTCCATCTCTCATCGCTTGTTCTTGTTCTCTCTTCCTATTACATTCACAACACTGCTTCTTCATCCACCCTACAACACAGCCTTTGTACAAACCTACTTGACATTCACATCATCCAATGACCCTCGAAGACATCAAGACCGCTTATCAACAGAAACACCACCTTCCAGGCACATACGAGAAGATGGCCGCCCACACTCACGCACACGTTCAAGAGAACAAGCAGATCAAGCTCATCAAGAACACCAAGTTCGTTCGCCATGGAACGAAGGACCCTGGTCAACTCATGAGGAAGTGTAAGCTACCAAAACTCCATCACTCACATACCGCCCCTGACCTCCCCTTCACAGACGAGATCACACCCACCCTTGACACGCCCTTCACCATCATCCACGACGTCGTCGAAGACATCAGCCGCTCCCACAAGCTCCTCAGCAAGATGCACATCGGCACGCACGAGCCGGAGAAGCACGCGGTCATGCGGATGCAGAAGCGAGACACCTCCGGCAAACTAGGCGACGTCCCCGCCGAAGACGTCCAGAACGACTCCGAGTACCTCGCCAGCGTCGACATCGGCACGCCACCGCAGACGCTGAGCCTCAACTTCGACACGGGCTCGTCGGATCTCTGGATGTACTCGACCAAACTCCCCAAGGAGACTCTGAAGGAAAGCGTCGACGCCGGCCATACCATCTACGACCCGTCTAAATCCAGCACGTGGGCCAGCCACGCGAGTGAAGGCTAGCAGATCCAGTACGGCGATGGCTCCACGGCGAAAGGGTGTGTCGGCACCGATACCGTGCGCATCGGCGGGCTGTCCGTCGAAGGGCAGGCCGTCGAGCTCGCGGAGAATGTATCGGACTCGTTCATCAAGAGCCAAGGCGATGGGCTTTGTGGCCTGGCCTTTGGCACGATCAATACCGTCAAGCCGAGTCCCGTGCATACCCCCGTGGAGAACATGATGATGCAGGGGGATGTTGCCAGGGAGCAGCAGTTGTTTACGGCGTATTTGACGAATCGGATTGATGGTGTGCCGCCTTGTTATACGTTTGGGTATATCGATGATGTGAGTTGAACATGTTCATTTTGCATTGAGGAGATGCTTACTGAGTGATAGGCTCTCGTCGCCGGCGGCACGATCAACTACGCCCCAGTCGACAGCTCGCGCGGTTTCTGGCAGATCAAGGTACGCCTTCCCCATCACCACACAAAACATCACCTTACTGACAATCATCCCCCTCCCAGTCCGAAAAAGCCTCCATCAACACCCAAACCCTCTCCCTCCCCTCCCAAACCGCCATCATGGACACCGGCACCACCCTCGCCATGATCGACGACACAACCTGCAAAGCCCTCTACGACAACATCCCCAACAGCAAATACTCCCCCACCGACGGCGGCTACATCTACCCCTCCACGACCCCGCGCTCCGCCCTCCCCGTGCTCAAACTCTGGATCGGCGAAAACGCGGTCACGATCGACCCGGATGATATCGGGTTCGCGGATTTGGGGAATGGGTGGGTGTTTGGCGGGTTTCAGTCAAGGGGCAATTTGGGGTTTAGCATTTTTGGGGGGAGTGTGTTGAAGAGTGTTTATGCGGTTTTTGATCAGGTGAGTTGGGTTTGCTTTGAGGGTGGGGGTTGTGAGGGGGTTTGATGGGATGCTGATGCTGACTTTTGGTGTAGGGACAGAAGAGGTTTGGGTTTGTGCAGAAGGTGGATTTGTAGGCTGGGAAGTGAGGAGGGGGTTGAGAGGGGGTGGGGGATGGGTATAAGGAGGTGGGTGTGATTATCACTTGTGATGGAGTGGTCTTCCATGAAGGTTGTGGTCTCTATGCGTCTTGTAGTTAACTATTACTATATCACCTGAGTTCCTCCTGGCTGTCTTGCATCCATGTTGTATTTAAAGCTCTCGTATCTATTGTTCCAACCAAAGACCATCTCCAGCCCATGCACACCATCCTCACAACAAAAATTCGGACAAAACGAAGTGATATCCAAAAAAGTGATATTAAGAATCTGTTCATACAGCAAGACTTTCTATCACAACTTAGCCTTGACTCTGTCGTCGTCGTCCCTACACCACAAAAAACACGCTCAGTTAACAATCAAGTCCTTGTATCTTGCCGCCAAAACGGCAATCGCCGCAACAAGCACCCACCTCCCACCCGCGCCCGCCGCGCTCTTGCTCCCCAGCCCAAGCACCCACCACACCAACCCACCCGTCGGGCGACCATTCCGGTCGAAATTCGGCTTCGAGTCGTTCATCGAGCGGAACTGCTTCAGCTTCGCGTTGGTGTAGGGTGGGTAGCGGATCGCAAGGAGGCCTTCGACCCACGAGGGTGTGGTGGTGATGGCGCGACGGTGCGTGAAGGCGTCGAAGGAGGCTTTGCCGCGGTAGGCGCCCTGGCCGCTGTCGCCGACGCCGCCGAATTCGAGGGTGGGGATGGAGGCGTGGAAGAAGCCGTCGTTGATGGAGGCGCCGCCGGAGCGGGTCATGGAGAGGATTTTGGCGGCTTCGGCTTTGGTGCCGAAGGGGTAGAGGCCGAGGGGGGTCGGGTCGACCTTGTTGGCGATGCGGACGGCTTCGTCGAGGCTGTTGACGGGGAGGATGGGGATTAGGGGGCCGAAGGATTCGTCTTTGAGGAGGGAGTCGTCGGGGGAGGAGACTTGGACGACGGTGGGTTCGAAGAAGAGGGTGGATTGGTTGGTTTTGCCGCCGATGAGGATCTTGCCGGAGGTGGAGTCGAGCATTTGTTTGAGGCGGAGCCATTGGCGTTCGTTGATGACTTTGCCGTAGTCTTCGGCGGATTCGGCGCCCTTGGGTTGGAATTCTTTGAAGGCGACTTCGAGTTGTTTGAGGAAGGCCGGGAGGATCTCCTTGTCGACGAGGATGTAGTTTTGGGAGACGCAGACTTGACCGACGTTCATGAGTTTGGCCCATAGGAGGCGGCGGGCGGCGAGACGAGGGTCGGCGTTTTTGGTGATGATGGCTGGGTTCTTGCCTCCGAGTTCGAGGACCACAGGGGTAAGAGTCTCTGCGGCTTTCTTGGAGATGATCTTGCCGACGTTGGCGCTGCCGGTGTAGAAGATCAGGTCCCACTTGCAGTCGAGGAGGGCGGTTGTCTCTGGGACGCCGCCTTGGACGACTTGGTATGCGTTTTGGTCGAGCGAGTTCTTGATGATCTTCTCCATGATCTTCGCAGCATTGACGGCATTCTCGGAAGGCTTGATGACGGCCGTGCAGCCAGCTGCAATGGCACCGACAAGAGGACCTAGTGTCAATTGGATGGGGAAGTTGTAGGCTCCAATGATGAGAACAGCGCCCAATGGATCCTTGCGGATCTTGGGCGACATGGCCATGTTCATCAAGCTGGTGTCCTCGGCCTTCTCGTCCTTGGCGAATCTCTTGAGGTTCTTGATCATGAAGAGGATGTCGTTCAGCACCCATCCCACCTCGGTGAGGTATGTCTCGAAGGCGCTCTTGCCCAGGTCGAGCTTGCAAGCCTCCAACAGCGCTGGCTCTTCATCCTTGAGGCCCCAGTACAGCTTTTGCAGTTGACGGATACGGAACTGGAGTTTCCGGGTCTCGTTGGTGTGGAACTTGTTGTAGACGGTGTGGTGGGCGATGGGGACGTTCTCGACGGGGGTGTAGGTGAGGCTGGCCATGGTGCTGGTGTTGTTGCTTCCTCCACAAACCAGATGGGAGAGGGGGAGAGAGGAAGACTATATATGAAGTGAAAGTCAAGCGGCCGAGGTATTTTATTTCATCACCTATCACTTCACCTAGCAGCCATCAGAGTGCAGTGGGAGACAAGCTACGGCCGAGCGAGAGCGAGACAGCAGAGAGTGGACAGCAGCTCGAGTCGAAGATGGCGCGGAGCTGCATTCGACCGAGGCTGCTGCTGCTTGCGGCCGTGGCATCGGCGTGGTGAGAAGGGCGACGAGAAGGGGGTCACTTGCGAGCGGAGGATGTCTGTCGTGGTGCAAGACGTGTATGAAATGAATTCTTCGTCCATGTCTGCTCCAGGTAACCGCCTCTTGGATATCCAGACCGCCGTGCTGGTCGATGGCGCCGTATCATCCAGGCGAATGCCTGCCCAACGCGGCGGTCAGTCAGCTCCCGTGCGTGCTTATGGGCGCGACACGAGCGCTAAGGTAGGCCTCTCTCTTTTCCACAGCCCATCGCCGCCAGCTTACATGTACGCGAGAGAGCCCGTCGCCGTCTATAACTTTGCTCCTGACCGTGTGTTGTCCTTCTCCATCGCTCGTTGCACCCAGCGATTGATTGATTGAAACAGCGCGATTGGGAGAGAGCGGGGTCACCGGTCCACCTTCTGAGAACCCTGGGAAAGCTACCACGTCTCTGCGCGCGTAAACCTCGACCTCGACCTCGAACCACTCGAGCCTGGCCACGGCACTACCGCTCTTCTCACCAGAACCCCAACGACTGCGACAAACCCTCACTCTCGTTTCACCACCTCCCACACCGCCACCACAGCCATGGGCGACCCCTCCCTGCAAGGCCGCAAGGTCTTCAAGGTCTTCAACCAAGACTTCATCGTCGACGAGCGATACACCGTCACAAAGGAGCTAGGGCAGGGTGCTTACGGTATTGTCTGCGCCGCGACCAACAACCAGACGGGCGAGGGCGTTGCGATCAAGAAGATCACCAATGTCTTCAGCAAGAAGATCCTCGCCAAGCGGGCCTTGCGCGAGATCAAGTTGCTGCAGCACTTCAGAGGGCACAGGAACATTACCTGTCTCTACGATATGGACATCCCGCGGCCGGACAACTTCAATGAGACGTACTTGTATGAAGGTGAGATCATGCAACCTCCGGGCTATGCGCCGTGGGGCGACACCCACTGATAATGAACAACAGAACTCATGGAGTGCGATCTTGCTGCCATCATTCGCTCCGGCCAGCCTCTCACCGATGCCCACTTCCAGTCCTTCATCTACCAGATCCTCTGCGGTCTCAAGTACATCCACAGCGCCAACGTGCTCCACCGTGACCTGAAGCCGGGCAATCTTCTCGTCAATGCCGATTGCGAGCTCAAGATTGCTGACTTTGGTCTTGCAAGAGGTTTCAGTGTGGATCCTGAGGAGAATGCAGGTTACATGACGGAGTATGTTGCGACGAGATGGTACCGAGCGCCAGAGATTATGCTCAGTTTCCAGAGCTACACCAAAGCCAGTACGTTCAACTATAACAACCCATGTTTTTGGATTTCATACTGATATGTTTACAGTCGACGTGTGGTCCGTGGGATGCATTCTCGCTGAGCTGCTCGGAAGCAAACCTTTCTTCAAGGGCCGTGACTACGTTGATCAGCTCAACCAGATCTTGCACTACCTTGGAACACCATCCGAATCGACACTCTCGCGCATTGGATCGCCGCGTGCCCAGGAATACGTTCGCAACTTGCCATACATGTCCAAGATTCCATTCCAACAGCTCTTCCCACGCGCAAACCCAGACGCACTTGACCTGCTCGACCGCATGCTCGCGTTTGACCCGAGCCAGCGTATCGGGGTTGAGGAGGCTCTGGAGCACCGCTACCTCGCAATCTGGCACGACGCCTCGGACGAGCCACCTTGCCCTACGACATTCGACTTCGGCTTTGAGGTCGTGGATGAGGTGCCAGAGATGCGACAGCTGATCCTCAACGAAGTCCGGCAATTCCGTCACTCTGTGCGTGCACCTCAGTCAATGCCGTACTCTCAACAACAAATAGCGAATCAGACGCAAGTGCCTATCCCAGAGGGCTATGACCCACGTGCGTACGAAGACCCGAGACCGCAGGAGATGATACAGCGTGGTCAGGGCTTGGAAGGCGAGTTGGCTGGTGGGCTGGATGCGAACATGCGATAGAAGGGGGCTAGATGGGAACGTGCTCTGGAAGCGCAGGAATCGTCGAAGTCAATGAACTGATGACGATGTGGACGAGAGAGGAACGAAAGATGAACCCATTTTCTTGTTTCTGTCGCGAGAGAGTTCTAGTTGGTTGGTATAACGAGGCTGGGTAGAGTGAGCAGAACTCCATCCAGCACTGAAAAAATCGAGACTTGGATGTCCTTGCCAACGAGCACTCATTCTTCAGACGTTTTTCAAGTTTTCGAATGACGATGGCAGTGTATATCGAAGACGTGTGAGTATATAAAAGGCGGGTACGGTAAGTTTACGGAAGTCCGAATGGACAGATACCCATGCAAGAAGTGATTGTTGAAGGGATCCTGGTTCACGGAGGTTTTTCCTACTTGCAAGAAGTTCGTGGAGAGGCAGGAAACTCGACGGAAGCACATTGACCAGAAGACACAGAGAGCGATATAGAAGAGGTGAAAGAAGCATCGAAACATCCACCACCATAACGGTGTCGGGTCGAAGCCGACGGCAACGCATGGTGTTTCACGGTTCGGGCCAGTAGTAACGAAACGGAAAGGATGTCACCCGTCACACAGGTTTGACAAGGCACGACCACAGGACTTCTCTCACCGTGCGACCGAACCATAATGATGCGTCGGAAGGACGTTTTGCCAGCCAGCCACGTTTTTCACGTCAAAGAAGTTCTTTGTTGAGAGTGGGAGGGACATGGATCATGTGCGTGTAGTGACCGGTGAAAGTCGAGCTGAACCAATAGGATGTGGTGAAAGGGGACGTTTTGAGCTGTGTGTGTTCTGACGGTGTGCATGAGAGGGCGATGATGTGGCACGAGTCGAAGGCGGCGATTAGGGATGGGGAGTTGGTGGTTTTGGGGGGAACTTTAGTGTGTGGGAGTTGGGATTGGCTGGGCGGGTATGCGGTGCGGATGCAAGTAGGCGACGGGGATGATGGGGATGGTGGATGCGGATTTTAGGGGAGAGAGAGAGTATGTTTGAGAATGAGGAAAGTGGGAGTTGGTATAGAGAGGGAGATGGTGGTGGTGGATTCAGTTGGGATGACGGGGTGTGTGTGGGACGAGTGGAAAATCGATCTTTTTGTCTCTCTCGCAGTAGTGGTAGTGGTAGCAACGGGCTTGCATTGTGTGGGAGTACCTCTCTTCACATGCAACTGTCGGCGCCGCTGGGTGTGGGTTCCAAGATCTGCTGTAGAACGGGTATCATGAAAGGAAAAAAAAAATGTCGGTGGCTGTCGCATGAAAGAAGAAGACTTCCATTCTACTTCCTCTTTTATCCTCGTTTGGATATATTCTATATATTTTTATCGGTGCGCGGAGATCGGAGACCAGGGTTGTTGTTTAGCAGGGATGGTTTCTTAGGTGAATCGCTTGAACCTTGTTTGTGGCTGGTCGGTGCAGCGAAGCAGGCTCACGCTGCTGTTCGTCTCGCAGCCGCCAACTCATCGCAACTCCCGCTGCTGCTGCTGAACTGATCTCGTCGCTCGGGAGTCTGACTGCAGCTGTTCTCTTTCATTATCATCATCCTCGCCGTCGTTTGCATCCTCGTTGCAGCGGGCGTCGTTGGTGTTTGGGGGGACGAATCGACCAAAGTGCTTCCTCCCAGACCCCCAAACAGACGGGCCGCTAGCACACTCTCCGCAGTGCCAGCGCAACAGCAGTCGAGTCGAGAGGTCATATCGACTTACCACCACCGCACTCCTCCGCGACTTTCGCTCACATAATATCAATCAACTACGAAGACGACGACGTTTGTGCCTCCACCCGCGCAGCCACCCACCGTCCCTGTGCAGCGCTCGCCAACAGCGATTGGCACACAACAACCCTCATCCTTGTGCCTCTGTACCACCCAACACACTCGCTGCTGTGCCCACCCGGCCCAATCCCCCCAACTCGCCTCGCCACAGGACCTCCCAAATCGCTCAAACGAGCAACGCCGTTGGCAGTCAGGCACCGCGCCAGGCCGCAGCAGCTGCCCCACCAACGACGATCAGAGTAATGCCGCCCAGCAACTGAAACCACCCCCGTGTTCACTTTTCCGCGAGCGAGATGGGACTGGACTCTCGCCGTCCCCCTCTACCCGCTCCTACGGAGTCCATGGACGAGCACTCCGCCACGGAAACTGAGCTCGCGACCAACGTCACCGCCCGCACCGACAAGACGTCCTATTCGATCCCGGAGGACGGCAGCCCGATTACCATTTCGACCGGCAAGGTCAAGGACGCTCAGGGGCACCACGGCCGGACTAAGAGTCAGACGAGTCTGTTGATTGAGTACTTTGAGGCTTCCAAGACGGGGGACAAGAGTCGGACGAGACCGAGCGTGAGGGTCAAGGTCACACCGAGCGCGAAGAAGCAGAGTCGGTCGGGGAATGAGGCGATACAGATCACGGGCATAGGGACGGATCGCAAGCCATCGTATACGCGCCGCATTTCTTTGGGCAACAGCGGCAAGCACGTTGAGACGGGCCTTGCGCCGCACGAGGGCACGGAGGTCAGCCATTCTTCTGAAAGCAACGTCTCTGCTAGGCCGCCGGTTGAGATTGAGGTCTTGCATGGGAGTGACATCTCCAACAAACGCTCTTCGCGCGGACTGATGTATGCACCGGTGGAATCCAACGTCTCGTCAATGCCTCCTGATAGCTTGCTGGAAGGCGAGAAGTCTGCCGGTATTGATACCAGCCGCATGAAGGGTCATGATGATGAGGAAGATGATGCTACGCCGACGGAGTACCTACACGCCAAACACGGCTCGAAACCACGAAAGTCGAGCCGATCGAGTCGAGAGCGGAGTACAAGCAAAGGCTACGAATATGAGGGTCATTCACGTGAGCGGAGAAGAAGATCTTCGCGATCGCAGCGTGGAGAGGAGGATACTGTGAGCGGTGCTGAGTCCAGCTTGCTGTCATCCAACTTGGCCCCGAGTCAGAGATCCTACCAATCTGGAAGTTCACAGGCTTCACGCATGACCAATAATCCAAAGCTGCTTGAGATGGTCGAGAACACCATCAAGCGTATGATCTTGCCGGAAATCGATGCCCTCAAGGAAGATCAGAAAGTGGATCGAAAGCTGCGCAAGTTCTCGGAGAGCGGACGAGACTCTGTGCCTTTGGTGGATCGGGATGGCCTGGAGCGGCGAGTCAGCAAGTCCTCCAGCACGCCAAACATCTCTTCGAAGCCAAAGGTTGTGCTTAATCGGGAAGGAGATGATCCTGGGGTTGTTCTGTCGAGAGGAGATTCGGAGAGAGTGAAGCATCATCGCAAGTCGAGCCGTGAAGGCCACTCTGAGCGACCGTCTAGCAGACGTTCTTCGGGCCGTCATTCTCGAGAAGGCAGCTACGATGATGCAGAGGAGAAGATCAGACACAAGTCGAGCAGAAGCGGAAATGGACTTCGAGGTGCGGCGGCCGCTGGTCTAGCTGGAGGTGCTTTAACCGCGGCGGCGTTGAAGCACCATGATTCTCAGGGCGATATCCATCACCGACGTAAGAAGCGCAGCAAGTCCCGTGGCAGCCGCAACCGGTCTGCGAGCATCAACGAGACGTCTGAGGAAACTTACCTGAAAGAGCCCATCCCACCAATGCCACTCGCAAGCCAGATCAATGATTCTGATGTGACGCGAGAGAGCATTCTGTCTCAAGGTACCGACAATCAGCATTCCACAGGATCGGCGACTCCTATCAGAGAAGTATCGCGAGGGTCACTGGACAAGTCCGCATCACCTGCTTCTTCGCGCACCCCAACGAGGACTCCCACCGCGCAGAACCTTGGCATGAGTTTGACGAATCGGTCGATTGAGAGCCCTCGAAGCCCGAAGAGTCCAACGTCGAACAAAGCTCGTTTGGCGGCACTTACTGCTGCTGGGCTTGGAGGTGCTGCTGCCGCTGCAAACCGGAACCACGTTGATGCAGATGGGTATGGAGAGAACGTACCGCAGCGGAAGATCAGCAGTCCGGTCCAGAGCGTGTCGAGCTTGAGGAAGAACTTTGAGGACGAACCACTCATTCCTCAAGCACTGCGACCACAGAGTGCTGCATCGCGGTCGTCTGCTGGACGTTTGGGACACAGTCAAAACTCTCAGACTTCACTTCGATCTGCGGAATCATCCCCCACGACCAAGCTTGCAGAGTCTCGAAAGGTCTCCCAGAACGTCGGCGAGGAGGACTTTGAGACGCCCCTTGAGCAGCCAGCTCCTGCTTTTGCTCGTGATGGCGCTCAGACACCAAGTGGCGAGACTGCGGATGAGTGGTTCGAGCGACAGCACCTTGTCAATGACCGCTACCGTGACTCGATGGAGGGCGCAACAAACAGAGACTCTTACCAAACGAATCCATATCCCCAAGACGAGAAGCGCTTCACGATGACTACTGACGACAGTTTCGATCGGGAACTGGAGGATGAAGATGGTGAAGATAAAGATGTGCAGCATCTTGGCTTGAACCCCAATTACGTCCACACGCCGGTTGCCGTCGAATCTGCTGTGGCTTCGCTCATGGAGCCTTCAACCATCAGCAGTAATATGCTCTCTTCGAATGGCAGTTCTTCCAAAGCCAATGGAACGTATAGCGATCGTATGGCCGAGCAACTTCGAAGCATGGGCAAGGACGCACCCCCAATGTACGAGGGCTCGACCATTTCCCAAACCATGCCCAGCTCGGCTCGATGGGCGGCGATCAAGGGCCATGCACGCAACATGTCCGGATCAGTCGAGAACATCAATGACGCGAGCCCATCGAAGAGTCCACGACAGGAGCGATCAATCGAGCAGCCTGTTATGGGTGCGAGTGGTTTGCCTCTGGCCAGTGATCCTATGCCAGAGATTGGACACTTTGATGATTCGAGATCAGATCTGGAGACGAACCCATCCATCATTCAAGGTCCGTTGGGCGGCGATGCTACCGGCAAGGACACATGGCCGTACACTCCTGATCCACACCAAGATGCTCAGTACCGTGACTCCCAGTCTATGAAGAGCGTGGGTGGACAGGATGGAATGCTTGCCGCTGCAGCTGCTGCGAACTCTGCACGCCAACCTACTGTGGAAGATGAGCATAATCGTGACATGGACCTCAGTCGAGATGCAACTCCCACTTTCCGCGACGAAGGTTATGTCACTGACGGTCGTGCTCGTTCTGCTGGCGGCATCACGCCCAAGCCAGAGCATCAGCGATATGGCAAGAAGGATCTTAAGGAATATGCTCGCGCAATGGATCCTCAAGATCTCGGGGAAGATCCCTTCACTGGTGATGCGAAGCACACTCGTCATTTCAGCGGCAATTCTCATGGAATGGACTCGCCTTTGTATGACAGCTCCACCGGCAAGGGCATGGATCGCATTGAGTCCAAGGATGTTGTCGCGTTGATGGACCATCTCACCGTAAGAGACGCACAGCGCAATGCTCGCGATACCGAGATTCTGGTGACACTGGTGCGAAGCGCTGCAGAGATGCGTCAGAACTTTGACGAGATGAAGAAGATCATTGTCGAGCAGGACAAGATCATCATGCAGAACATGGAGCGCAACTCGGAGCAGACAGCACACAAGGTGTTGAACAGTCCTCGTGCGCAACCGATTGCATCTCCACGCATCATACGTCGACCAGAACAGTCTGAGGAAGATATTCAGACCAAGCGAAAGGGTGTCTTAAAGCGTGCTCTGAAGGGTCTGACTGGTGGCAAGAGCGGAAAGGATCTTGCCAGGATTGAAGATATGCTCATGCAAATTCTTGACAATGTTGAAGATCTGAAAGTCCAGCATGGCGGCAGTGGTGGTTCGAGAGGGTTGGATCGCTCGATGACCAATGACAGCCTGGACTCCTACGAGAAGCTACGGAATGCTCCTGATTCTGGTTATGAGCCGGAAGGGCAAGCTGGAACTTCGAGCACGCCTAGCCAGTCTGGTCACTTCAACGTCCCGCCGAGAGAGAAGCACCAGTTCCATTCTGGCTATGATGGACGACGTGGGTCTGAGCATCGGGTCAGCACTGTTCTGGAAGACGATGAAGATGAGCTGGAGCCACATGAGACTCATGTGTTGAACCATCAATTCGAGAACAACGAGCGGATGTTGACGCCAACGCAAGAGAATCATCGTACACGTGGCTTGTCGCCTACCAACGACACACCACCTCAGAATGTTGCGGCGTACAACAACACCCCGGACAAGCAGCGGAAGCACAAGAGCAACAGCTCATCCTTGTTTGGTGTGCCAAAGATCTCTCGCTGGTCCAGGACGACTGCATCTTCTGCTGCGCCGGATCCTGGTGCTCTCGACAGCCCCAAGCAGACACGTTATCAGCGACCTTCATCCGAATCATCGAGATCTCGCTCTACATTGGACCAGTATGACGACGATGGCTATAGTCTGCGTGAAGATGATCGGCTGCGATCGACGCAGAGCTTGGCCAAAGAGCAAGCGCAGAAGGCCACTCAAGATGAGACGCGCAGCATGCGTAGCCAAGGAAGCAGATTGACGAGAACTCCATCTCCCCTGATCCCGTCCGAGGCGTCGGGCCAAGACGAGTACGAGTTGCACGACGACGATCTGCGAGTCCCGTCCCCAGTTCAAGAGGACGACGAGGCGTACCTAGACGATCCCAAGTACCACGCGCACCGCAACTCGATCCTCCTACAACACCCCCAGCCTCGCGCCGGCGCAACCCCACGCCACCAAAACAACCTCGAATCGCAAGCCCACACCTTCGACGACCACACCGGCACCAATTCCGACCTCTCCCAGCGCACGGTGAGCGACTTCGATCCCGCCGTCTGGGGCTCCTCAGGAACGGCCGGACTGGCGCGCCACCGCTTGACGCAGCAAGTGGAACCGATCAGCCCGGTCAGCATGGCGAGTCCACGGGGTGGATACGGCGGCGGCACGCGCGACGACGGGCCGTTGGTCCCACAGCAGCAGGCGAAGAAGCCGGCTGTGCCTCCGAAGATTCGGCATGATGAGCCTGACGATGAGGAGGATGAGTGGGATGAGCCGCTGTTTAGTAATAGCGGGTTCAGTAAGGGTGGTGGTCAACAAACTGGTGGCGGTGGTGCTGGTGGGTATTACAGCAGTCCCTACGGCTCGGGACATCTGCTCGAGCCGATTGAGGAGGTGCGGTATTCGTTGGAGACGGACTCGGGACGGGTAAGTTTTCATCATCATCCCCTCCTTCTCTTTCGCCCTGTGATTTTTGTTTGGGCATATTACCCAGCAGCTTCATCCATGTACTGACACAAACGACTACTTATAGCTTTCCCCCGAACCAACAGTCGCATCCGCCAAGGCCGTCCCGGCGCGCAAGATCACCGGTCCGAGGCCGATGGGTAGTAGCAGTAGGAACTCGCAGCAGCAGCAGCCGAGAGTCATTGACACGACAACGACGGGCACGGTGAGGAGGAAGCCGGTTCCTGGGCAAGGTATGGATTAAATCAAGCCTCTTATTAAGCAAGGGAGGATTGTGCGGTCTTTTGGTTTTGTAGTTATGCTTATACATGACATGGGCAGGTTCGAGCGATAGTCTTGAGAGCGAGACGTTTTGATTCTGGTTCGAGAGAGGGGTGCGGAAGGGTGACAGGGAGAAACGGGGCATACATTAAAAGCACATGCACAAGCACCACAAAAAGTCGATACGATACGATACGAGATGATCATAGCGATGGCGTTTGTTTCCTCTTGGAGCGGGCGAGCAGGTTGTTGAGCGACTTTTGGTACAGCGCTTCTTTGGCGAGGAGATGAATTGGGGAAAGAAGAAACACTGAAGGCAACACTTGTGCAGTATTAGGTCTACATACATACGCATACTGTCTTCCTTTCTATTGTGGGAGATGAAGTTGGTTGGACGGTGCATGTACACTTACTTACTCGCTGCGTCAGTCACTCGCTTTGTAAAGTTTGGGTGTGTTCTTTCTTATAGTACAATGTTTCCTTTTTCTTTGATGATTGAAGCAGTGCTGTGCAGTGCTATCCATCAGCACCATGCCCCCGTCGTTCCCGAGCAGTCAAGCACGACGTAGGCATCTTCGCGCGTAGTGGCTGTTGCAGCGGAAAGTTGTGTTCATGCCATGCCATGACTCTCGCTGGTGCGGCAAACGGGAAGATCTATCTCTTCTGGAACCTTCGGCTACGTGAACCGGTCCTAGACAAGTGGACTGTCATAGCAGCACATCTTCTCCTGGTTCGGCAAATTCAAGTATGGGTTTCCGTATGATCCAGTGTAAGTGTTCTTGCTCCTTTCAAATAGTCGATGGAGCTTTTGAAATCTGACGAGAGTGCTGATAGAGGTTCTTTCTGTTCATGTATTCCTGGTCATCGAAGAGGCATCGGCCTCGGGCTGTTGGTTCTATCGTATGATGGTCTGCTGCTGCCCGATATGCAATCGAGCTCAATCATGCGCCAGGATAGGATAAATATCCACTTTCTTCACGGAACGGGTCGACGCCGTGCGCGAGTTTCGAGCTCTCGTCGCGGTGTTGAACGAAAGACCGACTTTTGCAAACTCGAATAGGAAGGAGCTAAGAGATAGGGCCGTTTGCTGGGGCCTGCTTGGCCAGGATTCAGCCTGCTTACTGTTGTTCGAGACCCGTCCTCTGAGATTGAGTTACTGTGCAGGATGCAAGTTCGGACAGCAGGTGTGTTGAATCCTGGTCTGTGTCCGGCTGATAATGGGTCGAGAGGAATGTCGCTCTCTTTTGCAGGATAGGTTGTTGCGTCTTCAGAGGGAGTCTCCCATTCCAACACGGCCTCTTCCACATGGAGCTATCTTCGAGAGATGGTTGTTTGTCAAGTTCGAAGAGTTAACGGTCTCGTGCATCCCATCTCGGCTGGAAGTACGGGGCAGCTGCTGGCCGCTTGGCCCACCTTTCGCAACATGCCCAACGTACGATGCGTTGAGTAAAGGTACCATCACAGTGGACGCAGCCTTTCGAGCTCATTGCCAGAAGTGGTCTATCGAGTTGAACCCACGACTTCCGATTTGAGCTTGCCGCAGTCCTCTAAATCCGGAGGCTCTCGTGTGAAGCACCTGGAGTATGCGACAAGGAGCAGCTACCTCTGGCCGAGAGTCCGGCTAATGCAACGTAGGCACGAAAGATCGACAGTCGTGGGCCATCGCGTTCGAGACTCGCTGCTTAAATGTCGACTGTCCAGTTACATTCCAAATGCGATCTCACCCTGGTCGCTGGTGCAAGGCGCCAACGTCGGCACGGACTCGAATCCGTGGAGATCGGCGGCGGTAAGGGAGCTGGCGAGAGCGCCACATCGACCCTGACTCTTATCTTAGCATAGCCACAAGCTCATGATAACTTGTGCTGCACTTTTCCAATCACTTTTGCTTCGGCCTGGATCTTTCGTTGTTGGGGAGGCGCGAGTTCCACCCTCGACTGGCGGCACAGACCGTCTGGCGTCCGGGCCACTCCGCAATTAGATCCCTCGAGGAAGGAGCCAATTCCGACGCGAGGGAAAAGAGCTACTCAGTCTCGAGCCATTAATCGACTGATCAGGTTCGAAAGATCACGATTCAGAACCGGTTGACAGCGCGGTCGAAGGACCAGTTGCTTCGTCCATGTCGATTATGAGGAGCTCTGCATTGGGAAAAGAGACGGTGTGATCCAAGAGAGGAAAAATCAAGCGGGCTGATGTCGTAGAGCATGGCACAATCGATCCTGCCATGTTCATCGTCAGTAAAAACAACATCTTACCTCGAGGTCTTTCATCATGAACCCCGCCGAGGGTTGCCGACGTGTGCGGAAATCTTCCTTGCTCGTCCATGGATGGTGGATCTTGTGCCGCTCTTTTCTGCACATCCTTTTGCCTGCAACCCCTCCACCTCGCTGGGAGTGCGGTGTGCGGTGGGGGGCGGTGGATCAATGATGAGATGCACAGGCGGCGCATGTACCGACCAGTTTTTCGGCGCTCACCAGGTTAGCAACGGTCGCCGGGCGTTGGCACTGGATGGGACCTGCACTGTTAGGCTCGATTGCTGCAGCCTCGCGCGTGTCGACGGGGATCGGACCACTGGTAAGGGCTATTGGGACGTCAGATCGCGATGAACATGGTGGGTGTTGTTGTTCCGGAAAGAAGATTTTGACCTCACGGGAACAGGTGGTAGCAGGGAGGCCAGCAGCTCATTTCGACTTGACCGGCAGGAAAGCCGTCTGATTGTCGTCAAATCCGACGGCGAGGCGAATCGAAGCTTGCCAGGGAATCGAACAACCCTGAGAGCTAGGGAGTGAGTTGGAGATCTCGAGGGCGCCAATCAATTCCCCCGCTGCAAGACCTCAGCGTACGAGACGGTTTTGCAGTAGTCGAATTGGGCGGAGTGCTCGGCTGCGCAGGTCAATAGGAGGGGATGGGCGAGAGGTAGACCGTGATAGCGTGTAGTGAATTGTTGTGTTGTGCTTGTCACAGTGAACGGCAGCTGTGAGTGACGCAGGGCTGCGTGCGCCGCCCCGTGAGCCGACAACATGGCCACATATGCCAGCCCCCCCATAGTTCTGCCTCCGAGTACATAATCAGATAACCAGACGGCGCTGCACGAAGCTGGACGTCGGGGTAGGGCAGGGCAAGCGGACGCGGCTGCATCACGCGATGCATGTGCCTTTATGAGCCGGCAGTCGCAGAGGCGCGCGGGCGGGCCAGGACCAGCGTGCGCTCACCCAAAAGACTCGAGGTGAAGAGCGGATGGAGTCAAGGGCCGGAGGTTGGTCCAGTGATCGATTCGGCGGCATGCGAGATGACGCGCGCGGCCTTCGATGCGCCTGAGCCCGTCCGTGCTAGGCGCCTCTTCACCATCACAGAAGTCGGCCAGATCGAAGAATTCGAGACGGCGACGCCACACACACCGCCACACACACGGCTTTTTCGCGAGCGAGCGCCCACGCTGCAGTCAACTAACAAACTGTCGCTCCTCGCCCGGACTGTTCGCCGTGCCATCGACAACAATACCCTCGCTGTGCAACGTGTGGTGGTGAACGCGACGGTGAGGCAGCGCTCGCCCTGGAGCACATCCACCCACGCACACGGCAGTGCGACAGCACCAGGCCGACCGAGCGAAGGCCGCCGCCACCACGACCACTCGCTGAACCCTGGCAGCTCATCGACGCCTGCTCGATGAAATCGGCGATACAACGCGGCTCTGCTGTAATACACAACACCTAGCCGCTCCGGGAAAGAAACCAAGGACCGAATGCCACCCTTTCGGTGCCTTGCTGCCACGCTCTGAACCATCCGTAATCACCCACATGCCCGTCAAGACGACACCTGCTCTGTCCGGCTCCCAACACCGCTACCATCACCGCCCTCGCCTGCCTGCCCTCTCCCTATGAGCACGCCCGCGCCGCCGTCAGTCTGATGTCCACCGGACGCCCGCTGCTGGCAGCTCGCACCTCTTCCGGCGACGCGTCCAAGGATGGCGGCAACACCTCTCCAGGCGGCGGTCGCCAGCCCGGTGGTCGCCCCAAACGCACCCTGATCGAGAGCGCCTGTTCGGCTTGTCGTCGTAGGAAGTCGAGAGTGAGTCGCGCATGAATATAATCCCGTTCAAAGTACAAGTTACTGACCCCTCGACTAGTGTGACGGCGTGAGGTAGGGCAGAAGTGCTGTCGAACCACCTACAAACCACCTTACTTACGCGATTACAGGCCAACATGCTCGCGATGCCAGAACTTGCGCACCGACTGCCACTACGAGGCAGAAGAGGGCGAAAGTCGCTGGTCCGCCCTCCGGCGCCGAAATCAGATTCTCGAAGGCGAGCGCGACCAGCTCAGGGAATTGATGAGCTTTGTGCAGACGCGATCCGAGCCTGAGGCATTGAACCTTTTCCAGCGCATTCGCAGCAGCAACTACGACGACCTTTTCCTGCTGTTGCGCCAAACCAAAGATGGCACCCTGGGCATGTCGCAAAACCTCGTCGCAACCACCTTGCCACCGCCCCCAGCATCAGGAGAACAGCGCCTCCCACCCATCCAAACCATCCTCGACGCACCATCATCTCGCGGCATGACCCCCATCGGCCTTCCACAAGGCCACTCCCTCTCATCAGAAGACAGCAGAGCTTCCTCGACTTCGGGGCCCGTGAGCTCTCACGGTCACCGCGTACCCCTCGAACCACCAATTGAACCGCTGCTGCACCAAGCTCATCAAGTTCCCCACATGATATCAGCGCCAAGCCTGTCGTCAGAGGAGAGCCTAGGATCCATGGGATCAGCGTCAATGGACGGCCCCAGACCGTATCGCACAACTCCAACAGCCGACTTGATTTGATTACAATCGCTAATCTCTTCTCTCAAGGCTCATTGACCCGGAGCTACTCCCCAGCGACTCTAGCACCCCTCCCTACCACCACCACCGCTTCAACAACGAGTCTTTTTCCAGCGCTAGCGTTCCACCCCCCATCTACGACTCCATCGCCCACGGACACGGACCTGTCGGCGGCCACCAGAACCAGTTTCAGCGCCTCCCACGTCGCAGCGTTCATCGCTTACCATTCGAGGACGGCAGACAGCCCAAGATGCTCAAGACATGCCGGGAAGACGCCCAGTCACCACGACGTGAGCGACCTCACGTTCAGCTCCAGGAGCTGCGGGATACGTCGTGAAAGGGCAATGCAATGGCATCAACATCAGCATCGGCACCAGCCAACTGCATTGCACTCGCGCCACCACCGCGGGCATCGCATCCCTCGAGGCCGTCGCACGAAGAAGTGCTCCCATCCAAAAGTGCCAAACGGCCAGCCATCTACGACTGTTCCAACACAGTCGCTCCCAACTCAACACCAACCCCATCCATCGGCGTCCAAAATCGGCCTGCAAATAAAGTAGTAACTACTAAAGCAAGATATCCATTCTGCGAAAATGGGGGGAGGGAAAAACGAACGACTGAAATGTGTCAACGACATGGGGCTCCAGAGAGAAAAGAAGAAAAGGGGAAAAGAGTCACTGAAATGAATCGAATGAAAGAAACTTGCATGCTCCCTTCTTACACTACACGGGCGTTTTTTGAGCGGCATCAGCGTGCGGGGCGGGGAATGATGATTGAATTGAATTGAATTTAACCGACAGAACGGCCTAAAGTCAGGCAGGAATGGGCGAGTCGTCTAAAAGAAAAGAGGGCGAGCTGATTGATTGCAAAGTTGGAGCGCTGAAGCAGATGTTCAAGACGGATGTGTGTTGCTAGAAGGAAGAGAGAGAAGAGAGAGAGATATCCCTATGATCGTCTGCAAAGCTGCTGCATTTCGTGGCACGACTATACTACAAACTTTTTTTCTTTCAAGATCGCTTGGGTTGCCCGTTCCCGTTTCAATGCCATTCTCAACGCCAGCCGAGAGCAGTACATGTGAAGGAAAGGGAGTAGTCGGAGAGGTCGCGTCCTCTACTGGTTCTCGGGTCGCAGGCTGCGGACGGCCTTGCCTGCTCTCCAGATCTCGAGGTTGCGGATCTCCTCCATCTCCTTCTCGAATGCCTCGCGGTAGTCGGGACGGCCAGCGTACTCCATGGTGCGCTGGGTCTCCTTGCCGGTCTTGACGCTGTCGTAGAGCTCCTCGAACAGGGGCTTGAGGTTCTCCTTGAAGCGCTTGCTCCAGTCGATGGCACCACGACGGGCGGTGGTGGAGCAAGCGGCGTACATGTAGTCCATGCCGTTCTGGCCAATCAATGGGTACAGAGACTGGGTGGCCTCCTCGACGGTCTCGTTGAAGGCCTCAGATGGGGAGTGGCCGTTCTCACGCAGGACCTCGTACTGAGCGAGGAACATGCCGTGGATACCACCCATCAAGCAACCACGCTCACCGTACAGATCGCTGTGGACCTCCTTCTCGAAGGTGGTCATGTACATGTAGCCTGAGCCAATGGCTGTGCCGAGGGCGATCGCCTTCTCCTGAGCCTTGCCGGTGACGTCCTGGAAGACGGCGACACTGCTGTTGATACCGCGACCCTCGCGGAAGAGAGTGCGAACGGTGCGGCCGGAGCCCTTTGGTGCGACAAGGATGACATCGATGTCCTTCGGGGGCTCGACGTTGGTCTGGTCCTTGAAGACTGGGGAGAAACCGTGGGAGAAGTAGAGAGTCTGCATAACCTCGTTAGTATTGCTTCCAGCGAGTCAGGATGTCATTTCGCTCACCTTGCCCTTGGTGAGCAATGGCTTGATACGTGGCCAAGTCTCGCTCTGAGCAGCATCACTGAGCAGGTTCATGATGATCGTGCCCTTCTGGATGGCCTCATCAACGTCGAAGAGGTTCTTGCCGGGTATCCAACCATCCTGCTCTGCCTCTTTCCAGCTGGCGCCGTTCTTGCGCACACCAACAATGACATTGAGACCGTTGTCACGGAGGTTCAGGCCCTGGCCGTGACCTTGCGAGCCGTAACCGATGAGGGCGAGGGTGTCGTTCTTGAAGTAGTCCTACATAAAAACTTTAGTATGCGATCCAATTGATCGACTGAGGACTCGATAAGAGTCATAATCGTGGGTATCGACGTACGAGGAGCTTGTCACGAGGCCAGTCGTCGCGCTCTGAAATGGCGGTCAGTATTGGATATCACGCATTCGTCCACCACATTCACGTACCATACACGATCTCCTTGTCGCCGGCGAAGTCGACGGTCTTCTTGCCTCGAGTCTGCTGGACAACAGCAGACGAACCAGCTTTGAGAGCTGGCTGCAGGCTGGGTCTGCTGGCGTTGACAGCACTAACGAACGACCGCTGCTGGACCTGAGGAGTCTTGAGCTGCCTCAACGAGGCGCGGAGGGCTCTGCTGGCGTGCTTGGAAGCCATTGTGTGAATTGTGATGAGTGGAGAGGTGCAATGGGGGAGTGCCAGGCAATGTTTAGAGTGAGTAATGAGAATTCTTTCCGGTATCGCACTCATGCAGGGCGAGCTTGGATCAAGCTGGTACAATCTCAATGGCTGGGGAAGCGAGCGCGCTAGGCTCGGCTCTCGGGCGTGGAAGCCGACGTTTGCTCGTCTTCCGACGCGACAAGAAACAATCACGCAAGGCACAATCTTTCTTGTTGGCATACATCTTGGTAGGCTTACTCAACGAAGGCCCAAATGTGCGCTGTGCGAGACGTGTAGAAGCAGTGTTCTTATCCCAACGGAAAGTGACACGGACTCGCCGTTGGTCAGACAGGTACCGTGCCGAATCACATGTTTGTCTGTTCAAGCTACTTTCCACAGCATCTCTCTTTGGAGAACATCGACAACAGCTTCGACATCATAGTTCAGGGACAAACGGTGGAGGAAGCTTGCGGCGGATGCATCCTCAATGCATCCTGTAGCCAACATGGCATCAGCATCTAACCGGTCAAAGCTAGATGAGTATTCTGTCTATGCGCGGCCTTACGTACCGCTCAAAGTGAGTCTCATAAACTACCGCCCGCTGGAGAAAACGCTCATATTAACACTATCGTAGTGGCGACAGTTCAACGAGAAAGCATCAAGCCCTGTCTCGTCCCCGCCTCCGCCTTGGATTAATTTTGGGCAGTACACACAATCTTTCGCAGGAAATGCGTTTCTTCAAGCTAAAGACATCGAAATCGAGCCCTCGCACGAGGTGAGAAGGACCGCATTACTTGATGAAAGTATGCAGAGATTGACTTGTGAACAGCAACATGGCGATCAGTTTGTTCAATTGGATCAGCATAACTACTCTCGATTCTTCGCCAAAGCTCTGTCGCAGGAGACTGCAGCGCTACAGGAAGAATACGATGATTACGCCCTGTACAGCATCGCTTTGCCCCATGACAACAACTCCGTTTACTATCTCAGCGTACCAGGGCTACGGGAGGCGGGCTTGCGCATCGAAGTAGGCGATGTCGTTCACGTCCGTCAGCTGAGATTCGATAAGTTTGGCGAACCAGTCATCACCCCGACCTTTCGTGATCACAATGGCAAAGCCATTGAAACGCCCAACAGCGTAGACAAGCGCTATGATGCCGCCGTCTGGGCCATCGACCGACTCCGCGAAGTCATCTTGCTTCGGATTGACGCGATGCCACGAAGAAGCATGGTGTTCAACGGGTCATTCACGATACAAGCAAGACGAATGAATGAGGTTCGTCTGGCAGTCCAGCGAACTCAGGCGCGCCTCGACGAAGCCGACAATCTGTGGATCAAGTCAATGCTGTTCCCCGAGATCAAGCACGGTCATCTCCAACACGAGCTCAACATTGCAACATTCCAAGTCAAATTCTATGACCACATGCTCAATTATGAGCAACAGAGAGCCGTGCAAACGATACTCGACAACGCGTACGGCAAGCTTCCCTATTTGATATCAGGACCGCCAGGCACAGGAAAGACCAAGACCGTGACAGAGACAGCTCTGCAGCTCGTGGCAAAGAATACCACGAACCGCGTCGTACTTTGTGCGCCCTCAGATCCAGCAGCTGATACACTAGGAAGACGGCTAAGCCAACACTTGAGTCCGCAGATGCTTTTGAGGGTAAACTCGCCTTCACGGTCTTTCCCAGAGGTTCCCGAGGCAGTGCTTCCCTTCTGTTGTGTGGAGAACGACATCTTCTCGCTTCCACCATTCTCAGAGCTGATGCGCAAGAAAGTGGTTGTACTCACTTGCCGCGATGTGGACGTGTTGAGGAAGGCGCGATTAAGCAATGAAGACTTGTTTCAACTGGAGAGGAATGTGCATACAGCATTGCATCCTGAACACCCTCCAATATTCCCGCAATTACACTGGTCCTCCCTCATTATCGACGAGGCCGCTCAAGCCACTGAGCCAGAGGCCTTGCTCCCTCTCCTCCTAGTTGCACCACCAAAAGAAGCCCAGTATGAGGGTAATCGGCTCCCTACGGTTGTGATGGTGGGCGATCAGAAGCAGCTTGGCCCACGAACTGCCTGCAAAATTGGTCCAATTCGCGTTTCGCTCTTCGAACGTCTGCTCGCCAGATCACTGTATTGTGGGCACCCACTTGCACGATCACGGCAATTTGGTGGCCTCGTAAGACCGCTTACTAGTGACATGCTTCCTATCGTCAGACCGCCTTTTACGGACCTCATCCGCAACTATCGATCACATCCTGCAATACTGGCAACGCCATCCTCACTTTTCTACAACGACACACTGGAGCCAGCTGCTGAAAACACGGACTCCCTACTTTCTTGGCCCGGCTTTGGGGAAGCGCAGCTACCTGTCCTATTTGCTGACAATCGTAGGCTTGACGAGATTGAGCGCGATGGAGGTGGTTGGTATAACCTTGGCGAAGCTGACCTAGCCATCTACCACGCAGAGTCTTTCGTACGTCAAGGCTTACTACATCCGCACGAGATCTGCATCATGAGCCCATTCAGCGCTCAGGTTCGTGTCCTACGCATGAAAGCTCGAGATCCAGCAGTTGGGATGCCTGGTATCAACATCGGCCCACTCGAAGCCTTCCAAGGTCTTGAGTCTCGCCTTGTCATCATCTGCACGACTCGGACTCGAGATCGATTCATCGACCAGGATCTTGCGCGTGGACTCGGCGTGATCCACGAACCGAGAAGATTCAACGTCGCTTTGACTCGAGCAAAGGAAGGCCTGATCGTAATTGGCAACCCGCACGTGCTTGGTCAAGATGAGAACTGGGAGTCTTTCATCGCTTTTTGCCTTCGCACTGACGCGAATACCGGCTGGACGGGACGGCACATTGACGATTGGCAGCCTCGGCCAGGCACGAAAATCGAAACTTCGAGGTTGGAGAAGCAGATGAGCTACAAGGCCAGACTTGACCAGAGTCAAGACTTCAACGTGGTGGCGCGAAGATTGGGTCATCTCAAGTTTGGTATGAGTGAGGAACAGGCGATGTGGGAGTCTGGAATCCAGGCAGAGGCGGTGATGCGAAAGGATCAGGACTTGGAGGGTGAATTCTATTCAAACAGTGAGAAATGATAAGTGAAGGCTGGCCGAGAGTGACTCGCACCTTCCATGCGACGCTGTTTGCATGTGACGCGCACAGGCCACCCGAGCACTTAACCTCAAAGCTGCGTTTGCATCTCTTCCACAACTCATCCAGCACCACAACATCACCACCTGACTACATCATCGCATTCAGCATCGGCATTCGCATCATCGGAATCGGCGCCAGCAGCCATGTCAGCATCACCAATGCTGCATCTACCCGCCGAGCTCCTCGAGCATGTCGCAAACCAAGCCAACGAGCGAGACCTCAAGGCGTTGCGACTCGCTTGTCGCGAACTCCACGCTACCACCGACCGCCCCTTCGTCAAAGCCTTTTTCACCCACCGCACTCATCTCGTCACCAAGTACTCGCTGGAGACTCTGGTCTCCATCACGGCCAGTCCGAAACTTCGTGGCCAACTCAAGTCGCTCAAGTTCGCCACTACAGGTCTTCCATACGCCGATCGCCCTCAGAGAAGTGGCGTTAGAGGTTGAGACAGAACTCTATCAAGCGAATCAAGGGGCCTTGAAACTTGTGGTCACAATCATGACAAACCTCAAGCATGCAAACCTCCTTCCCGCACTCGGTGTCGTCTACGATGATATGAACGCTGCATTCGGTTGTCGCCAAGTCGCCAGAATGGCAGGATTTGTGATGCTCTCTGACAATGTGTGGAAGCTCTGCGTCAGGTACGGTAGCATCGAACGAACCACCGGACTCCTACTTGAAGCCATTGCAGACTCCAAGCTTCAAGTCAGGGACATGCGGCTGTCGGATTCTTACTGCAGTCGCGCGCTCATCCTTGTCATGGGTGATCCCTCCAAGGCACCGAGTTTGTGTCAGAGTTTCGGCTCGCTGGCGTATCTTGAGCTGAATTGCATGTATGCACTCTTGCCGCAAAAGAAGAGCCTTGACCCCTTCTTGAGAGTGCTCGAGGTGTCCAAAACTCTGCAGCACCTCTCGCTATTCCACATAACAGGCCAAGTGAAGATTCGAGACCTGTTCGCCAAGATCGCCACGATTTGCTCCCGCCACGAACTGAAGTCCGTTAAGCTTGTAAATGGCAGCGTAACTGCAGGAGAGATTCGCATGCTGCTCGATCCTCACAAACCAACACTGGAGAGCCTGAAGCTTGACGACTTGGACGCTTTCAACGATCAATCAGACTCGTACACGTTCCGCTCCCTCTACTCCACACTTGCAGAGGACTTCACCTTACGCGAGTTCACTCTGAAGGACTTGTGGGAAATGAGGACCGGGGCCTTGGAATATGACGTGCAGTTCGAAGGCGTGGAAGAGGTTCGGAAGGGACTTGAAAACCTGACGAAACGAACCGGTCTCTTCAAGCAAGACTGATGACCACCTATCCGAAGATATGTTTTCTTCTATCGATAACGACATCGACGAGTGAGGACAACAGCCCACATCTCAGTATGCATGCTATTCGACTCAGTATGCGCATGCTGGATAGCCAGATCATGTGGCTGCTGTGAAGCGACTTGGGAGGGCCTGGACATCTGCTGATTGTTGGACAGCCGAAGGAGGGCCGTGATTCCTGTCTTTTTACGACAAATCAGGGAACGTATCACAGAAGGCAGATCACAGAGGACCTGCCATAGGCGTGCAGCACTTACAACACGAATGAAATAAAGCCCCATTATCAGACTATGGTCTTTCATTTCTTTGTAGCAACTAGTATCGCAACAGCCCACTCCACCACCACCCTCCCATCCTCAGTCGTCTCCCTAATAACCCTCTCCACCTCCATCAACACTTGCTCATACTCCTCCATAAACTCCCCCTGCCTCAAACTCTCCAAACTCCCCCGAAACCACTCCTTTCCCACCTCCATCCTCCAACCCTCAGCCTCCTTATCCCTTCCCTCATCGTACCAATACTTCCTCTGCTCCTTCCCTACTCTACTCTCCGCCCACAAATCCTCCTGCCCAGGAATGCAAAAAAGCTCATCACTCTCCCGACTATACGCATTAATCTTAACCCGTTTCGTAACACCCTGAATAAACACCCCTTCCGGCAAATCCACCCAATCCAGCGGAGAATTATTCTTCTCCACCAAGCCCCTCGCCCAGGGGATCTTCTCCCTTATCACCCTTCCATACGTCGTATACAACTCCCTCACCGCCTCCGCCGCCCTCTCATTCCCCACCACTCGCGGGCAGGGATTATACTGCACCACCGCCAACGTCCCATTCGGCGCCAGACTCTCCGCCACCGCCGCCACGAACTTCTCCCCGTTGCCTTCTGTCCAGTGCGCGGACATCATGAGCGTGCAGAGATCTACACTCCCATTTGCTACGCATTCGTTCGCTTGCTCCGCGGTCGTCTGGCTGAATGTGAACTTGGCTTTCCACCAGTTCTCCGCGTACCACTTATCTAGCCTCTGTCGGGCTTGAGAGAGGTTTTCAACGTTTGGGTCCGAGACGTGCACATGTTGGAAATACTCGGAGAGGGTTGGGACGTAGACTCCAGAACCGGAGCCTATGTCGTGGGCGAGACGGAGCGAGTTGGAATGCGCGCGGTGGTAGTCCATGATGAGTTTTGTGGTTGCTGGGGGATATCTCGGCCGGTAGTGAGCGTAGTTGTCCCAATCGTAGGTGGCGTTGGGGATTGCCTCTTTGTCCTTGTGGGAGGACATGTTGGTGGATACTTCTGTTTCGTGATCGGTTACTTGTATGCACAATGTTTCATCATCTCACAGGTGTGTCTCCTATCCTCAGGTTTAACATGAAGATGTATAATAAAGAGCATGTCTCTCATGGACCAACGGAGCACTGACTGAGTCTCACATCCCTCCAGCCTATTCCACACCAGGTGTACCTTGCAGCAAGAGAGAGCTTCTCCAGAGCTCCTGTCTTTAGCTCTCCTCATCACGTCATAGCACAGGTATCCCGCCCACTTGCGCCAGGGCTATGGCTATCAGTGAAGGAGGCAGGGCATAGTCCATAGACATAAGGTGTACGGTGGACGGTTGAGCTTATGAGAAACTTTCATCGGAAAAGTTAAGCAACATGGTTGGAAACGGTCCAAGTGATCGAATCCTTCCAGAGCGCCGACCATGTGCTACAGTATGAGAAATAGGAATGAGCATAGAACTTGGGAAGGCTTGTTTGGGAAGCCGTTGGTGAAGGATGCGGAGCAGTGAGGCACGGACTTCGCGATCACATGCGAGAGACTGCCATAACCCAGCCATCTCTTTCAGCAGCGTCTTTACTGAGCGGCACCAAAATGTGCCCTTAAACTAAGGATTCGTCGCCAGCATAGACCCATTGCGATTCGTCCGTCCTCTTGCTGTACATAACCAAGCCATTGAGACCTTGGAGGATGTTTTTTCGTAGCTGCGGATTTGTCTGGGATAAAACGTTTAGCCAAACTTAGGCGTTCTTTGTCGTTACGAACGTTTCATCGGTGCTCGAAAACTCGGCCGGCACATTGATGGCGACTTCGGGGTCGTCAATCTTCGAGCCGTTGGGGTTTGAATGGTTGATGTGCCAGGCGGCCAAGTCTGCTTTCGTCTCGAGAGCGGGTACTCGATAATTCTCTGTGTTTGGAGCAAAGAATGGGAAGCGTAGCACCTACGAGCGACGCTGGTACGTCGCATTAGGCGGCGAGACGCCTTTGACAAACACAGTTTTGCGAACTTCTGCCATGGGAAGTCAGCCATGAGCTCTGCATGTCCCACATAGGGCGGCATCCTTAATACTTACCGTCCGTCCATTGAAGACAATCGCTAGAACCCTGTCCCAGAAAATAAACAGTCACAACGCGAAGAGGTAAGAGCATGGCGATATAGCCACTCATACCACACTGTTCTTGGCAAAGAAAAGGAATGCACATGCAAATGTCTCGCGCAATCTGAAACGCTTCGGAACGGTATGCTGCGCGGTCAATCTTTGGATCGGCTCGATTCTTTGTCAGTTCCTGCCGAAGAGCTTCCAGTGAGAGTCGAGTTTGAAGGACGTAGTGCATTGAGATACAGTACCAGACGGCATGGAAGGCGTATGAGAAATCCTGGAACCAGTACGCAGATGTGAAGGTCCGGTTCTTGCACAATGTGCTGAAAGGGGTAAAACGTTCGATGCTTTGCTCTTTGAATAGGACGTTGCCAAGGGTAGTTTGGATGGCAGTCCACTCATTGAACCAGGATCGCAATCGAAGCTCTGCGCCGGAGCAAGCTGAATCCAAGGCCTCTACGCGGTTCAGATCTGCTATATTTGAAAGCATGATGGCATCGTGCCGCTCGAGTAAGGCTGGGATCTGCAGCGACGTGTTGAAGAGCAAGACCGACCAATTGAGCCGGAAGTCATTCGCTGTAGGCTCATACTCCGTGGTCTTGGCGAAACAGGACGCCTTTCGTGTCAGTAGAGTAGCTGAGAGAAGCATGTCGAGCCAACGAGAGTGCCAGAGTGCCCAGCTTTGTCTGGAAAGATTTCGAGTTTCGTGCAACGAAATAGTGCTGCGCCCCCCACATATGTTGCACCCAGCCGTTGTCGACAGTCCGGATCTTCGTGTGGTGCGAGCACATGAGCAAGATCATAATGGCAACAAAGGTGTGCTCGTAGTGTGTGACTTGCGGATTCGCGATTGATTTGCGGAGACTTGATAACGATTTGCCATAATGCTTGACGCCTTGTTGAAGGAGAGCATGATCTCCAGTCGCACCGCCTAGCGAGACCAACACCAGTGTGCGAACTGCTTCTTCGAGGGCAGGCACCGGCGACGGTAGGACATTGGGTGTCTCGAGAAGTAAAGAGAGAACAGCCGTGGCTGTATTGCCTTTCGGATTCCTCGGTAGGTACAAATCCAGAAACTTTGTATATAACCCATCAAGGTTTACTGTTGGACTCTTGATGCGTTGCACCGGATCTGCGCCGGCTGACATTGAAGAGGCGGCAACATGGCGCCCATCAGATAACCGTGGGATGTTCAATACTTCGTGACTCGCTGCTCGATGCCGCACGGGCTTCTGTTTCGACACTGAACCTCGCGGCTGTACTACCCGACTATGCTGATCGCGCGCCGCATCCACCGCGGTTGCCGCCTGTCGTCTGAACGACCGTGCCAGCTTCTCAAGCCTCTCTGCCGCACGTATCAACGTATAATGTGAGCTGGCATGGCTGGACGACGGTAGTTCACTTTGCTCTTCACGTTCTAAGCCCGGATCGCGCGATGGTAGGGACTGTGATGGTAGTTCTGATGGGTTGACTCGGTTGCCCTCTGACTCTAAGAACGAGACTCGATCTCGATGCGATTGTTCGACAGTCTTTAATGCCGCATCTGATTGCGCTACCGGCGTGCTTCGGAGTTGGTGCTGTAGTGGTCTTCCCGGGGGTTGTTCCGCAGGTCCGGAATCAGGATATGGTTCATCCTCGTAGACGGGTATTAGGTGAGGTATCCGCAGACCACTTGCATTGGAGGCATTGTGTGGATCGTGCGGGGCTGGCATTAGATCCAAGAGTGCCAAGCGGAGCTGTTGCTCCGCATCGAGGGCGCTTGCGCTCATGTTTCGCTAACCGTACTACTAGTAGAGTGTATAGGGACCGGTCTTGAGTTGATGCCGGACCATGGGTCTCCTTTTGTCTTATTAGTGGATTGATATAGTTCATGCACACGCCGAGAATCCTTCCGCATGAGTAAGCCATGGCTTCTTGTCTTTGGGGAGGCACGGCCGGCTATCAGCCGTTTCTGGGTGTTGTCGAAGGGTATAAACTCTGGGTAATGTCCGATTTCCGCTTGGCGGCGAGACCGAACCACGAAAGGTCCATTGTCCTGACTGCATCTAGGTAAAGCGGACGGACGCCCATTGTCCTCTGTCCTCAGTCCTCAGCAAGGTGCAAGTGAGAAGAGTGAAGAGGAAGTGAAAGTTGGAGATGCAACAACGAAGATTTAGCAGACCTAGAAGCATTGAGGCGGATAGCCGTTTTGGTAATGCTGTCTATACCGGGCTAGAGACCAGCTGTGAGCAGTAAGAGCGGCGGAGGGTGTATGGGTTGTAGAGGTCTCGACGCTGAGCATACCTGAAGTTGAGTTTTGAGGCGCCCGGCTATTGACTAAGCAGCTTTGATGCCTCAGGCCGTAAATTTACCCCTGAACGACAGGGGACGAGTCGAGGGACCCGAAAACCGATTTGACTTGGGTATCTATTTGAAGGGCTTGTAGACAACATTGTTAAGTTTATTTGGGATTCTGCTCTTGCAGCCTTAGGAGAGGGCCCTGGCGTCTTTCCACAACTCCTACGGATGCCAACGTTGCACTTCTAAGCGCCTCAACAATACTACTCGTACTCGATAGTAGCAGTCCCAGTGATCTCGCCCTCGCAAACCCCATCGACCTGGAAGCGTCCCGTCTTAGACCCAAAGTGCACCTGCACGTCGACCGGAATCTCTAGGTATTTACTCCCGATGATCCAAAACTCGCGTCTAGCCTTGTATTTTGATATGTCGACTCCGTTGAGGTCCAGGTGAATTGACCCTACAATGTCGACACCTTCAAATGATTGATTAGGAAACATCGGTGGATATTCAAAGCTCTCTACTTACTGTCATCTTCCACATGCTCGGGTGGTACGTCGGAGTTACTGCTGCAGAGTTGCAGTGTCTCGTCTTTATCCTTGTCTTTCTTCCTCTGTTCGGAGCGGTACGGATGCTTGCGAATGGTGTCCTTGGTGATATCATCGCCCTTAAGAAAACCCACTGTTAGTTCCGTATCGGCTCGGACTTGACAGTGGGAGTTTACATGCCTTTTTGACCAGCCACATCATGCGATTGCTGCACATTGCATCCCACCCATAGTGTGGGTAGTACAACTTGTCCTTCGGGTCGATCCCTTCACGAAATTTCATTCCAATGGGACAGCCGTAATGTTTCCGACACTTCTTTGACTCTGGCGACATATTGAGGAGTCCACGAAGAGCGGCGCCGGTGACTATAGCGGCTTGCCTACAATGTTGATTAGCGCCTTAAAGACTACCATATTCGATGTGTTAAAACACTCACGGATGCTCTGGACAGTATGCGGATATACCACCATTTCTTTGACACCAATCTTTCAATCTTTGGTAGAGATAAGGAGAGTCGCCAAAGCCGCCAACGAGGACTAGGCGATCCAGACGTTTTCCCTGTGCCCGAATCATATCTCTCTGCTGCTCTACAAGCCCTATGACTTGTTCAACGGTAGGGTCAAAAACGTCCTTGATATCCTTCCTGCGGCCGCGTCAGCTCAACAGCATGAAATTCCATTCGTGTCACTCACCCGCTAAGCAGTACAAAACCATCCTCATCGTCATAGAACTCCGAGTTTGGCACGCCATCCATGAAGACAGGACCAAGACGCTGCGGCCTCCCATTGGTATCGCCGTTGAAGCTTTTCTTGACATCTTCCCACCTACGCAGGAAGTTACCTCTCCGGCTGGCTTTGACTGACTTCCAGGCGGATCCGAATCGTCTCACCAGCAATTTGTCCAGTTCGCGGTCGATAGAGGTCGATCCACACTTTGCACCTGAACAGCAAGTTCAGCATCGCCTCGAAGGACTGCAACTTAGCACTTACCGATACCCTCGCAAACCTCTGCAAACGTTGGATAGGGGGATACCTGTCGGATTGTGTAGCTTATGATATCGACAGTACCACCACCGCAGTCGCATATCATGACATTCTCTCCTTGCTGGCACTCATCAGCTCTTGTCTCCCATGCCAAACGTAATAGTAATTCAAGGCAGCACTTCAGGGCGCACCTTGGGTTTGATGATTGTGTTGCTCCGTGTGATTTCGTCTATGACGGTGACACCCGCCGCTTCAGGCTCTGTAATGATGTTGATTGAATCTCCCGGGCGTGCACCAAATCCTGCCTGCAGTGCAGCTGATCTTGTCGCGCTTTGAGCTTGTTCAGACCAGACAGCAGGCACGGTGACCCAACATTCCACCGGCGTCGAGTCAAAAGTGTCCCCAATGTGCTTTCGGATGCGGTCGCGAACGTATGAGTAAACCTCCCCCAGATAGTCTGCGGCAACTTGTTGAGCCCCTTTGCCGGACGGAAGATGTAAGTGACCATCCGCCTTTGCTGTCCTCAAATTTGGATCGTCATATTGCGTCGCTGGAGTCTTTGAGTCCAGTAACAGCTTTGTCCAACTGCAGGCCTTCAGCTCGGGTTGTACTTGGAATCCCCACTGCGTTGATCCGAGTTCATATTTTTCGTTCTCGTAAGGATACGCAATCCGTGAAGGCACCTTCCACTCTCCGTCCTTTTCTGGCCACGTACGGACAACGTGAATATCCTTCGCGGAAGCCTTGTTACTTGGCACAAAGCTTACTCCTGAGGTAGTGTCAGTGAAGCATATGGACATTGGCATCTTTATAGCGGACCAGTAAAAGTAGTGCCGTAGTCCAGCCCAACGATGAGTTTGTGGCGTGGCATGTCGATTGATCAATGCTTAAAGTGAAGAGAGCCCATGCCAAACTATCTTCGTGACACCGTGAAATTTGGATGGCGAGTTTGCCAGAAAGCTGGGCTGTAAAGGTGGAATTCAAGAGTCTCCTTGATAGAAGAAGTCTCTGGTCTCTTCCTGGGTTTGGTCCAATAAAAGAAGGGTTGACAGCCTGAGTAGGACTTCATGTGCTTGCTGATCAGATGCTCCGGCTGACCTTGGCTCACCGGAAATTCGCTAATTTGATTGCCTTGCATGAGCTGAGAGTGACGAGGCGCCTGAAGAGACAACCCACCTTGGGACAGAAGTTGTGGTAGGTGCTGTTTATGAGCAGACGAAAGCCACCAACTGCACCGAAGACCTGAACGTAAGTCTCAGGATTCGAAGTCATGGGTCTGATCCCGAAGGACATCAAAAAGGCGTTGTTTAACACCAACGAGCAAGGGAAACCCTCTGGAAATGGACCTGCGGCTCCAGTCGACGTGAGTGCTATCCTCTTTCCGCATTTAGCTTGACCAACTGTATGTTCCAGAGTGGTAGCCAGACGTCGTACGTACGGAACAGCCAATCCCAAGGACCTGCTCAGAGTCCAGAACAGCCAGGAACGATGCCTTCAAGGCCCTCTTCCACAAAGTATCCAGGGCCACCTACAGACAACTCTGGAAATTCTCGGCAGAGACAAGATCCACGCGACCTGGCCTTGCTCCTACATGAGAAAGAACAAGAGACCACCGTGCTTCGAAATCAGTTGGCGCAGCTCCGGCGTGAAAACGATGGGCTCGGTCAGGAGATACGTTCACTTCAGGCAAAGTCATTCAAGTCCTTCGGCGACTCACGCTGGGTCCCTCTGGACTCAAGTACCCTGAACGGAGCCCTTGAGTGGATAAGATCGGATCTTACAGGACTGGTTAAGACTTATGCGGCCGACGACCTGAGCAAGATCGAGCGACTTCCTTCAGACGCAAAGAGTCTCCTCCAAGAGGACTTGTCCAAAGTGATACGGTTCAACTCCGCCAGCCCTAATGGTATTCAGGAGCTTTGGAGCATCACAAATGCTTCACGGCTGTGCCTGACCGCGCTATTATCACGCGCGCTTCATGGCAGGATTCTAAGCGATCCCTTCTTTTTCATGGACGACACCTTGGACGAGGAGCTTGTTGAAGTACTGCGCCAGTATCCAGACTTGAAACAGAGACAGAACCCCTGCGAAGTTCTATACGGGATATTCAGAGCCGGCAAGAAGTGTGAGTCCAGTAGTGCCATTCTGCAGCTGACAGAAGCACACGAAAAGATTGACGTTGCTCCCAGATGATCAAGAAAAGGCACAGCAGTGGCGCTCCGACACAGTTCGCTTGATGAATCCGTACCAGACATCTGACAATGCCGACGGTAATGCGCAGCTCATTTACATCAACGAAAAGATAGATGATGTTTGTCGAAAAGTTCCCAAAGCAATGGACCAGAGCTTGATCGGCCTTTTCTTGCGACAGACGGAGGCTCCGGAACGCAAGAAATTCATGGATGGGCTCGAACAGATTTTCGTAGACACAGGCCGTCTCGCTGTGCAGATTTGGGCGCAGCGGCCATCGTTGGAGTGCCGCAGCTTGTCAAAGCTTGCAGAGGAGCGATTCCATGTCCGTTCGCCGCTCTTGGAGCCTCATCCACTGCACAGGCGAGATGATCCAGAGGATCCTCGTCTGAACGGCTGGTTGCCAAAGGTTGTGGTTCATCCTGCGATTGTGGCGAGGGGTACGCATGATGCGGACCACTACGAGCGTACGAATGTGTTGTCGAAGGCTGTGGTATGGCTTGAGCTGAAAGACGGACGATCGTGATAGGTATCTGCAATGTCCTTGAAGCGCTGCATTGCAATTGGAGAGCCTTGTGAGGGAGCCGTAGCACTTACGTCAACTGACATTCCGGCCGAAGTCTTGAAAGGTGGTTTGTCTTCTTTTGGGTATCCGAAAGAGCCTCAACAAGGTATACACATCGCATGTGATTCGAGCTGCAGCAAGCCCTATCTGGATGTGTTACACTGCGCATAAACCGGTGTAGAGCATGTGAAGACGTGAGCGATGAAAGGGGAAGGATGTGCTGACGTGTCTTGTCGCTTCGGCCTCCCGGTTCTTTCGGCAAGCCGACCGAGTCAACGTGATTGGCTTCATCTCCTTACCCCTGACGACAAGGCAACTCGAAATCAACATTGCATTCAGCTTTTCAACAACAGGTGATGAGAAGGCGTGCATGTATTGTCAGGCTGTGCTATCGCTTGCTGGCTCAGCAGCCGCGGCTGATGAGCATCCTTCCCTCATCATGAGTGGCAATGCATGGCGTTCGCGTGGAGAGTTGCCTTGCCTGGCAAGATGAGAGACATAGGTCTCGCTGTGCCATAGTGGCAGCCTCAGCCTTGCTCATGGAGCCGTATAAAGAATCAGCTGTCTCTAGGAGAGCAAGCTCATAGCAGTAGCAAGTTATCACCTATTCTGTTCGATATGGCAGATTCAAAAAGGGTCATCCGCATCGCGGTGATGGGCGTGACAGGCTCTGGAAAAAGCACGTTCATTCAAAAGGCCAGTCAGCAAAAGGTCGCCATCGGACATGACTACACTTCTCGTGAGTTCCACATTTGCGTCCTTGATGCCTTCAAATTGACTTCCCCAAAGTCACCTCCGAGGTCGTCTCCTACGACTTCGAAATGGACGGACACAGCATCTCCCTAATCGACACCCCCGGTTTCAACGACACCCTCCGCAGCGAAGCCCAAGTCTTGACGGAGATAGCAAACTATCTCGAAATCACCTATCGGGTACAACATTTAAAGTTGGATGGCATCGTCTACATGCAGTCCATCATGGACGAAAGGATGTACGGGTCATCTCTGCGCAACCTCAAAATGTTCAGAGATCTTTGTGGTGATTCGCCGATGAAGAACGTCGTGCTGGTGACAAACCGCTGGGAGCAGGCTCGAGCTTTGGGAGACTTCGATAAGGTATGCCCCTGAGTCTCATGCTGTTGCTAGGACTAGACGATGGTACAAGCAGAGGTAACCATGCATCTAGGCCAGGGAGAAAGAACAGCAACTACGCACGAGCAGTCTCTTCTGGGAACCCCTGATGAAACGAGGAGCCGAAATGCTGCGCTGGGAAGACGCCCAACAAGCCTCCGCCTTCGCCGTAATCCGCAAATTCCTCACCAAAAACGCCGAAGTCCTCCAGATCCAGACCGAGATCGTCGAGCAAGGCAAGAAACTAATCGACACCACCGCCGGCACGACCGTCAACGAGGAAGTCCTGAAAAAGGACAAGGAATACCAACTCGAACTGTCCAAAATCCGGCAGGAGCTTAACGACGCCAAAGCCGCGCACGGCCAGGAACTCGAGGAGGTGCTGTCGGAGTCGAAGCGCGACTACGAGCGCAAGCTCGACCGGGTGCGCGACGAGCAGGAGATTCTGCGGTACGAGCGGCGCAGCGAGACGCGGCGGATGCAGAATGAAATGGACGATTTGCGGGCGGCGTATAATCGCAAGCTCGACGAACAGCTGAGTGCGCAGCGGATTGGTTACGAGAATGTTATTGCGGAGTTGCGGGCTAATAGTAGCAAGCTTCGTCCCGAGCAACATGAGTGCGTGCAGGAGGAGATCAAGGCCATGGAGAGGAAGCCGAAGAAGGAGCGGTCGGCGAGTACTTTGCTGATGAATTTGATTCCTATGCTGGGCAATCTTGCGTTGGGGTTGGTGAGTTGTTTGACAGCGTATTGAGAGTTGCACATTCGCTGACGAGATTCAGGTGGTGCCGTCTCCGGTCCTGGATATCATTTCGTCGTTATGGAGTTTCATCGGTGGGAACCAGTGAAAAAGACGATGTTTCTATGACGCAGATAGACATTAGCACAGAAGAGCAGTGGCTGTATTCCAGCATGTCAAAAGTTGAATGTGCTCCTGCTATAGCCACCTCACGCAGGCACAGCATGCCCATCGCCCCTCGGATCACTCCCAGCACTCCAGACCCCATGCCCTTCAAGCGGATCAACATGCCACCTGATAACCTGTCCTCTCCCAAACAAGCCTCTCGCAGCCCCTTTGACAACCTCGACCTTATGGCCAAGTTTCTTCAATCCCTCAACAGTCTCCTCCCTCATGCCTTCCTCGAGGTAGACAGTCATATCCATGACGTCTCCAGCATCGGGCATTCCAGCGCCAATGCATACTCTGGGGGAGTCGAGCGCGGCTTGAGGTGTGTATCCGAAGACGAGCTGGTTTAAGAGGACTTGCACGTGGCCTTGTGGTTGCATGAAGCCCCCCATAACGCCGTAGACGCTGTGCAAGCTTTGATCGCTTACGTTTGTGATGAGGGCCGGAATGATGGTGTGGTATGGTCGCTTGTTCGGCCCCAGAACATTTGGGTGGTTCTCGGGCTGCAAGGCAAAGTTCGCGGCTCGATTCTGCAGGGTGAAGCCACATCCCTTGGGGATGATACAGGTGCCAAACCCGCCGTAGTTGCTGTTGATGAAAGAAATGCCGTTACCTTCGCTATCAGAACAAGCGAAGTAGACTGTATCCGAGTGGTTGTGTGCTGGTGAGCCATGGGACAAAGGTGCGCTGGCGGTCTTCGGGTCGAACAGCTTTGCTCGTTCGGCGAGGTATTCATGGCTAATCAGCTCCTTTGTCGGCACCTTCGATACGTTTGGATCTGCAATCCACCAATTGCCATCTGCGAACGCTATCCGCAAGGCTTCGATAATGGTATGAAGGTAAAGAGCCGAGTTGTGGTCTTCAGGCGCGAACTTCGGGATCTTGCCAGCCTTCTCCAGCTGCTCGATTATACCCAACGCCATCAATGCCACAATACCCTGTCCGTTCGGAGGGTGTTCCCAGAGTTCAATGCCTTCACTGCTGTTGTCGTCCATGTGCTGTCCATGCGCCTTCGCAACATCCTGCGCCTTGAACTTCAGGCTTATTGCTTCGGTCTCTTCAGTGCCGAGTTCAGCATGCTTTTTCAGATCATCAAGTTCCAAGTGACCACCCAAATCTTGGACCACTTTGACCAACTCTTCTGCCACCTTTCCCGTGTAGAATCCTGCCTTCTTGTTCTTTCCCACCAGACGAAACGTATTCGCGAGAGTTGAGTTCTTCATAATCTCACCTGGCCTCGGAGCTCTTACACCATCTTTGGCCTTGGGATCCTTCTTCAACATCTCCGCTCCATTCGGTGAAGCTCTTCGTATCAACCCTTCAGCTTTCGCCCACTGTTGTCAATTAGCCTTCAACCAATGCAGGCATACTCTTCACACTCACGTAACTCCCCATAACCTCACTAACAGGAAACCCCTCCTCCCCAAGCCTCGCCGCCGGATCCAATACCTCCTCCAAACTAACCTTCCCACTCCCAAACTTCTCCACTGTATCCACCCATCCAGCAGCCGCACCGGGCACGCTTACTGCATGCACGCTATCCATCGGTATACTCCCCACCTCACCACCTTTCAACCCCAAGCTCTTTCTGATCGTCTCCAACGTACATTTCCCTCCACTCCGTCCAGAGCCATTGAGTGCGTGGACTTTCTTCGTTTTCGCTTCGTAGAAGAGACAGAACATGTCGCCGCCGATGCCCGTGCTGCCCGGCTCAGTCATGTTCAGGCCTGCTGCTACGGCGACTGCAGCGTCCGCGGCGTTGCCGCCTTTGTGGAGGATTTCGAGACCGCATTGTGCCGCGAGGGGTTGGGTGCATGCTACGATGCCCTTGGTGCTGTGGACGACTGATCGTCGTGAGGGAAAAGACGTGAACTCCGGGTCCTTGGCCGGACTGAGAGCGGATGGGCTGAGAGGCATTGTGTTCGATTCCAAAGCGGTATACTTTCGAAGGTAGGAGGACGCACAACGAGAGTAGTGGTGGGGCAAGCTCAGGAACGACCTGAGGTGAAGGAATGACCGTGCCAGCGTCGTCGAGGGCAAGGGAAGAGATATAATAGAAAAATTTGAACTCGCCTGTAATTGAGCTCCTCTTTTGCTGGAAGACGATGTCGCTAGACTATTACGTGATGCCGTTTGGTCGTCCTGTCCTGTTGTCCTTGGAAGAACTCTCCCACCTGCCTACCTAGGTACTTTGCAGGCTAATAGGATAGGGCGGCAAAGTCGGCCGCTTGTTGGCCGTAGGTGGGACATTGAGCTCTCTTGGCCGAGGAGTGTGTGAACGATGTCGGACATCGTCACGAGACTTGGGAAGGTATGCGTGAGCGCGGATACGGTAGAAATGGATGTTTAGAATAACGATTGAAGTCAGCAACGCGCTCCCAGCCGCTCGCACGCGGCAAAGAAAGGGGGCGCAAGGAGCGATCGGAGACTTGATCGAGTGTGGCGCCGACATTGAATTGAATGACCTCACTCGCTCTCAGCGTATTGCCCTGCATTCATGTGTGCTGTACCGCTGCAAAAACAACACCCAGTGCACTACCACACCATCATCGGGTCCCCTCGCAAACGTATTCCTCAGGCTCCCGTTGCCATCCGCTTGCTATAAGAGCAACACCTGATCTCGTAGCACCATCGCACAGACAACAGCAGCGACAATGGCAGACAGCAACGAGAACAAACCCCAAGAATCCAAGTCGAGCACCTTCATCCGGGGAGCCGGCAACGTACGCGACCCAGACAACCAGCTCTGGTGGCCGGCGCGATGGGTTGTGCAGATGATTCAGTACCTTGTTGCGATTATGGTCGTCAGTGAGTGCTACCCACAATGCGCCACATGGTGAGTTTCAAATGCTGATGTATTTCATGCAGCCATGGCCGAAGGCATCAAGTCCATCGTGAGCGGTGAGAGACCCAAACGTCGCCACCACCGACAGGAGTAGTCCTCCATCCACTGGGACCGCCAGTGTGCAGTGCCAGCCCGGTCTGCATTTTCCGGTTCGAAGTCAGAAAGCATGGCGCTGTACGACAGACGACAGTCCGGTAGCTTTCGACGATTCCGAAGTGTGACAGCGGCAAGCCGAAACACTATACATGCCGTATGCCGAAGTCATGAGCGCCGCATGCTTTGCCAGATGTCACCCGAGCTTGTCCGGCTCTGGGTCCGGGGGTGTTGTGCAGTTAGAGACGGGAGAGATGTCATGTGGTGTTTGTTTGAGGGAGTGTTTTGAAACGAAATCGATAGCGAAGGCGCAAGAACAAGGCGATGAGCATTTGCATGGCGTGAAGGGCGAGGCAAGAGAGACGACTGGAGTCGGCGCATTAGGTATAGTAATCCTTCAAGCAAATATCATGATGGGGTTCAACCCCAACCACTTGCTATTCGATTTCGAAGCACAGCTCTCGCCGCGCTATCCGTCTTTCCCTTCCCTCACTTCAGATGCAGAACATCAAACCCCTCCCCATAAATCTCCTCCCAATCAATCGTACTCGCCGCGTTCTCAGCCCCAAAAGCCCGCACCATCCTCTCGCTTTGTTCAGGATTCCCATTGATGACAAGCCTCGCATCATCTTTCGTCTTCCCGGTCGCTCCCTGACCCCAGATCATCTTGGAGTCGCCGTCGAGGAAAGTCGCGATATTTCGAAACGTCAAACTGATTCGCTGGAAGTTGTATGCCTTCTCGGCGTCAGTAAGCTCGCATAAGGGACGCTTGTCGGCATTGATTCCGTGGAGGAACTTTGCGTTCGTCTTTAGCGACATGGTGATCATGGAGTTGTGTGGCATCGGGACGCGGTGTGTTGTCCTGGCTAGTGGATCTGCTTCGCCTTTGAGAGCTCCTCGTTTCGTTCTCAGGCGCATCGTTCTTTGCGCTCCAAAAGACACATTAACGATACTGCTGCCGGCAGCAATGTCCAGCGTCTTGTCGGAGTGCTCTGAGATGAGATCGTTGCCGCTGCGGTAGAGTTGGATCAGGACATGATTAAGAGAATGGCCGACTTTCTCCTCTGCTGCCTTCCTGACCCAGTCAACCGTTCGCGTCCAGGTCTGTAGAGGAATCGTTTGATCAGCAGGATGTCGGTACACTGGCATGCTTCCATCGTCGTCAACCGTCCCTTGACAGCAGACCAAGCGTGGAACCTCGCCGGTCTGGTGGTACATTGACTGCCAGTTGACTTCGCCCTTTAGCTTGTCGAAGATCGTTTCGGCAAGATCTGGTGGAAGGAGGTCGTATGAGATTCGAGAGCCAGCGCTTTCGTCCTGTGTGTTCTCGCCAAACAGTGGCTTGCTCTTTACTCGCCCACCATCCGCCAATCTCTGTTCTTCTTGCGCCTTCCTCATCATTGTCTCGTATTCTTTGATAGTAGACTGTGATAGTCCAGCAAGACCAGCCATCGCAGCGAGTCCACGGTGTGTTGGCCTGCTATGAGAAGTAGGATCAGATGTCCCAGCAACGGGAGGGGGTGCTAAGAGTTGAAGCCACGGCTTGTCGTACTTCGGTGGTGAGTCAGGCGAGTCGAGAACACCTAACCGGCGGTGACTCGAGGCTGAGTAGAGGTGGGGCTGGACAAGCTCATCTCTCGGTCCATGGAAGCTTCGAGGTGCTGGCTGTTTGCCTGAGAGGCTGCGACGGTGAGGTTGAGAGCTCGTAGGTTGCGTAAACTGAGAGGAAGAGATCCGGCCTACCAATCCACCATCAGCTCTGCGGAACGGAAGCTCAATTGGAGGGTCTAGTCGCCGGGTTGAACGTACGGTGGGAAGGGAGAACTCTCCGTCGCTCTCTTCACTGTCGACCTACGCATCGTTAGCCTGATCAACGACCTGTTAAGTCTTGTTTCTGACCTCAAGAAGCTCAGGATCTGACGGCGTAACATGAGCATCATGACCCGGTCTAGGCTTCTCCCCAACGTCGGATACATCGCTGTCATCCTCGTCCTCGTCTTCCTCCTCGTCCTCGTCCTCGTCTTCGTCGACGTCGTCTTCGTCGTCTTCGTCGTCTTCATCACTATACTCCTGCTGCTCTGTTGGATTTTGAAGCTCATCGATGACCTTCTCGCATTTGATAACCTCCGCAGATACAATCTCGCGAAGCTGCTTGATTGCCAGGTCATGTCTGTCCTGCTTCCTGTAGCCCAGGCAGTCTGTGATCAAGGTGATTTGGATGCCGTACCGAGCGGCGTCCATGGCAGTCGCGTACACAGACAGATTTGTCATGTTACCACATACGTAAAGCTCTGTGATGAGTTTGGACCGAAGCGTCAACAGCAAAGAGGTAGCTCCAAAGGCTGAGTAGTGACTCTTGACGACCTGTAAGTCCTTGGGATCGATCAAGGGTTTGACCTTGTCCGCGAACTCTGCTCCACGGGTTCCACGAACACAGCACGGCTCCCTCTTGTTGGTCTGTGTCAGGAAGAGCTCTTCATCGTCGTCTCCGTCCTTGGGCTCTGGCAAGGTAGCAGTAGATTTCGCCTTTGATTTGGCCGTAGACTTGGGCTGGTCAGCTTTAAGAGCCCAACCCTCTGTGTAGAAATCTGGTGCTACCTTAAACTTCTTGGTCGGCACTGGGCAGTGATCGCTCGACGGCGACGACTCTGCCTCGGTGCCATACGACTTTCCAGCAACAACGGTATCGCCAGGCGTGTCGAAGCCGTTGACCTGTCTGCTGCCTTCGAACTCGGAACGAACCCAGATGAGGTCACCGTGCTCGCGGAACGCAGGGACCAGTTGGATGATTCGATCTAGGTATCCAGTGTCATCGACTGGCAGCTTCCCATCTGGCAAGACAAAGTCATTCTGAAGGCCTAGTATTATGAGACCCTTCCGGGTCTGCAAGGGCGTTGATTGCGACTGGAGAAGCGCAAACAACGACGACATGGTCCTATGTGTAACTGGAGGGATCTGATTAGCACCTTGGTATGGCAGGGCGTAGAGGGCAGCGTGGGCAACATACCCAGACGTCAGAGATTCAAGTCGAGATATGATGGCAGTTTGCAATCATCGACCCGCAAATACGATGGAGTGTGAAATATGACAAGTCTCGAGTTTCATCGCATGAACGGAAAAAGGCGGGCAGCGGCAGCACAACTACATTTTGAGCTCCAACTTCGGGGCCCAGTGCCTTGGGTCTGGCGGTCGAAAAGAGGTGCTTCGCAGATGACTTCGGTAGGACAAGGATCCTATGTTGCGTATCAAGAAAGGACCGGCCCAGGATGGATGCGGGAGGGCAATGAAGGCCGTTCGGCGCTGTTGGGTCTGTCTGCGAGAACCAGTCACTGTGCCGTACCGTATGGAACAACAGCAATAATGATCAGGCGATTTGGGATGCTGCGAGCAGAGGTTCCCAAGTTCCCCGTGCTGGCCGCTAACGTAGCCCTTGCGCCCACGGACTGCGACTGTGCTGGATGGATGGGTGGATGGATCGACGGGCGAGAGATGTTGGAGCAGCAGCGCGAGGCACGGGAGAGATTCCAGAAGGGTGCGAAGGCGGTTGCGATGCGGTGGGAGGATGGATAAGAAAGTATCTGTCGCCCTGTGTGCTCGCATCTGGTGAACAAGGGCCACGCACCAACACCTCTTACAAACACCGGCAGCCCGCCAATAGCGACCTAGTTCTGCATGTGTCCTCTCACTATCCCTGCTTTGCGAAGCTTCCACGAGTGCCGAAGCGGCCGCGCCTGGGGCTGTGGTGCCAGGCGTGCTAGCTGCATGGCCACTGTGCAGTAGCCGCCGTGTGCCTTTGATTAACGACGCCCTTGTCCACATCAATATTTTGATGATATTGATGACGACGACGAGGCACAGAGGCACCGCTGGGATTGTGGAAGGAATCATCATCGCCAGCGAGGCTGTCGTCGGCTCGGAAGCATGCCGTCGGCTCTAAACGCGCGCGCCTTCCTCCCGCAGTCTGGAGCGGTCTGGCGGATGCTTCTTGCCTGCCGACCTGCCAATCGAATCACACGCAACCACATCGTCAACCACCTGTGCCATCCTTCTGCATGACGACGTTTCTGTACCGCAACGGCACCGCCGGCTTCGCAATCCACTCTCTACGCACCACGCGGGTTGGATGTGCTCTGACATCAGGCGGTGCGAGTCGTCGACGACGCTGTCTGCCGAACATTTTCGCATGTCACTCTATTCTGAGCGCATGCAAGACCAGGCTTCCTAGCCTTGTGTATACAATTCAAACATGAACTTCGAGACAGGCAACCTCGGTCGGAACGGTATTGGAAATGCCCTATCAAAATTAGACAACAAAGTACTCGAGTACCGCTGATCACAACTGTGACGTGCATAGACTTCGAGCCAGTCAAAACACCCTTGAATCATGCGGACGCTCGTTTTTACTCCTTTGAGTTGTAGCGATACTCATGTAAAGAAAGTCAAACCTCATCGGATCAGCAAGACAACATAGTCAGCTTGAGACTCGTTCTTCTAGCTTGGTAGAGCATGTGTTGCGAATCCATTGCAAGTTACCATTCTTTCGTCTTTCTCCCAGGGATTTGTGCCGGACTCAGTGTGTATAACGAGCAACGACTGTGACCCCCCATGGACTGCCGTGCCACGACGGCGCCCCGTCGCTTAAGCAAACTGCGTAGAGGGCGGCCCGTCAGCCCTTGATCCTTCGCGCTGTGAATTCCGATAGCTACTATGTCGATTAATTTTCACCTTGTTAGCTTGCTAATACAGTCCCTAGCACAAACGTTAGTAACCCCTACTAGTTTAACTGTTAACACTAGTCCTATATAGATATATAATTATTACTACTACTTTATATATCTCCTATTATTATTAATAACTACTTAATACTTTTCTTTTATACTTTAATAGACTCTAGCTATATTAGAGATTAATAGCTTTTATTAAATAGTATAGTCTAGATAGGTAGGCTAGAATAGATACCTAAGGTATAAATACTAAAAGTTACGTAACTAAAAGGAGCTTATTTTACTTTAGTTCTCCTACTTCTTATAACTAACTAATATAATTATAACTAGGTTAGTTCCTACTATTATTTATTAATTTAGTTACTTCTACTATATTCGATACCTATATAAACCCTATAGAGTAGT